AATGGCCACCACTCAAACACAATCCACGTTGGATGTTACCACAGAAGAAATTGTTCTTCCCGAAGATGATGATGATACTATGAAAGAAACAGGCTCCAATAAGATTTTGTTGGCCAAATTGGTCCCGGCCATTCCGCAATCAAAATATGGACTTGTTGAAATTTATTCGACGGATAAGGTGATTGAATTTGGCCGTAAATCCCAACATCGTTCCGAATGTATTGTAAATGATGGAAGAATTTCTACTACTCATTGTGTGTTGAGTATTGAAGATTTTCAAATGGAAGAATCTTTGAAATTTTCTTTGAAATGTAAAGATACCAGTATCAATGGATGTTTTGTGAATGGAAAGAAATTGGGAAAGAATAATGAAGTGATTTTGAATCATGGAGATGTGCTTGGACTTGTGGTGCCATCTGTCAATCACAAGTTGAGCTCGGAACTTCCCATTTATCGTGTAGAGTTGGAAAATCATCGTGAAGCTGCTGTTGATACCACGAGCGCAACATCTCAGCATACTCAAGAGCTTGTGGTTGATGAGGAAGATTCAAATGTCGCTGCAACAATGACAAATACTAATGTGGCTGTAGCTTCATCCAAAGAGGATCTCAATAGCAGTACTACGAATACCACCGCTTCTGCATCTAATGATGACAATGAAAAAAAGAGAAATCGTGACAATTATGAAGATGCCCAGCCTAAAGAAACGGAAAATGAACCAAAAAGTGAAACAAAAAAACAGAAAAAGTCTTTAACTGAGAAGGAAAAACAACTACTGGCCCTAATGGGTGCCACCGATAGTGACATGGAAGAGAGTCAAGAAGAAGAGAGCGACATGTTGAGAGAATTAACATGCCCAATTTGTTCAGCCGTATTTTACAAGCCAGTATCTGTGATTCCATGTCTTCATAATTTTTGTTCCTCATGTCTTTCAGCATGGGTGGATCCAAGTAGAAATTTATATTGGGGCCAAACCCTTAATTGCCCAACCTGTCGAGCAGAAGTGCATGAAGTAAGGAAAAATCCACAAATGAACAATTTAACAGAATCATTTCTCAAGAACAATCCTAAAAAAGATCGATCGAAAGAAGAAAAAGAATCTATGGACTCGAAAGATCGTTTCTTGGGAAAAACAGATTTAGTTTTATACAAAAGAAATGGTAGTAGCAGCAATCATGACGATTCATCAGACAGCGATGACGAAGAGCGAGAAGTTTCTGACGATTCTTCTTCAGACGACTCTCAACCAGCGACCATTGTTGCCCCAAGATGTCCAGAATGTTTACAAGCGAGCACAATTGATGGATTTCAATGTCCAGCCAATGCTTTGCATTGCTTGTGCTCTTTTTGTCATTGCACATTGCCGCATCGAGTTCACGATACCACTCTTTCACAAGATCGAAGACTCACTTGTGAATTGTGTCATGCTGTTCATTGTAACTTGTACAAACAAACGACCAATACTGCAGACATGTGCTTTATGAACGGAATTCACAAGCTCAAAGAGCACTCAGCTATTATTGCCATTCCTCCTACGTGTCTCAGCAACAATCAACACGAAAGAGATATTTTAATTAATTACATTCAAAGCAAGTCCATATCTCCACAAGATGTCTACAATACTTGCATGACCAGCTTGGAAAATGGAACCTTTACGAATCCAACATACACTTCTGTTACTACTGAAACACGAGTTTGCAAACAATGCGCAATTAAGGTGTTTTCTGACTTGATTTATCAATACAGAGCAGCGATTCCCAACTCGGAACTACCACAATCTGTGACGTCTCGTCCTAATTGTTGGTATGGTATGGAATGTCGAACCATGTCCCATAACAGAGGACATGCACAAAGATATAATCATATTTGCCCTAACACCTCCAATGCAAGACGATAACCAACTTGATTTTAATAAATGCATTACAATGGATTAATTCATCATTAGAACCGAACCCTCAAAACTCCTTATTCACTCAGAGCGATATATCTATCACCATAATCATCCCCATCTTCGTTTTCCTCTTCCTGGTTGTCGTCATCGGCATAGTTGTCGCTCGATGGCACACAGTTCACAACAACAGGCAACTCGAGCAAACGAGCTCTCATTTCCTTGGAAATATAATTGCGATGTACGTCAAGCACTTCAAGACACATAAAGTCTGTGTTGATACCATTTTCCAAGATTTCAATAAATGACTTGACACCTTTGTCGTATAGATTGCCCAATGAAATGTCAATTGTGCTTACACGCTTGGCAACAGCACTTTCAAAAATTGCCTTACTGATCTTGTTGATATGTTCATAATTTCGTAGTCCAAGATAGGTTAATGATGGGAAAATTCCAGTCTCCTCTTTCTTCAACAAGGTTGTTTCGAGTAATTCTAACAAAAAGTGGAGAATGATTATTTGAAAAAACACGCAAAGCTTTTGAACACTTACCAGGCGGGAAATCACCACCTTGGTCACTCGTTCCCAAAAACAGTTCCAAGTGATGAAGATTTGGCAAATACGCCGTGAATAAATTGGTCAACAGTGGTGCAGACAATCCAGTGGAAACCAAAATGATGGATCTTAAAGAAACATGTGAGATGTTTGGTTGAAGTTGCAAATCAATAGAACCTTTTGATTGCCAAATGCTCAACTTGGGTAAGCTGTTCAAAATCTCGGTGATGTCATTATGATGCAGCCATGAGACTTCACAGTCACTCTGGGGAACCTAATCATTTTCATAAGACGAATGGTCGTGTTGTCGTGTTTGACGATTTCTGTAATACATGTATTTCAGAAACTTACCTCCATCATGTAAATGCTCTTAATGTTTTGTAACTTGGCAGCGTTGGTCTTGATCCATTCATAATAAATTTTTGGATAATTCTCGTACATTTCTTCCTCGTGACGACCAAAGCTAATTTCTTCAAATTTTTCAATGTGGTTAAGGATTTTTCTGAGTTGACTTTTAAGGCCTCCTTTGAAAGTGTTGGTTCTTTCTTCTTCTTGGCCATCAACTGGTTCGTCGGTGTCAACATCATCGTCACACTCTGACACTCTTGCATAAATGAAATCACAATCAAAGAATCTGTCCATAAATCTTCTGAACTTGATGGACTCCAATAAACTATACTTGTAGTCACTTCTTTTTGCATTCTTGTGGGAGGTCTGATAGGCCTTTATGGCTTTTACATGCTTGTTCTTCCATGTCTTCCACTTTTCTAAAGAAAGTGTCATTCTATTTTGTGACTTTACCAAGCTTTGAACAACTGGTTTTTCTTTTTTGGATTCTTCTTCAACCTCTTCAGGAGTCATATATCTGCGTCGACGCTCATCTTCATCATCTTCATCATACTCACAATTGTGGATTGTTTGAAAGAATTTGGATGGTTTCATAGATGCAACACGAGAGTTGAGATAGTTATTTCTCACGTTGATTAAGAATGTCACAGTTTCTTCATTGCTCTCATCAGAAATCAATGAGTAAAACTTGGAATTGACATAACACAATCTAATGAGCTCCTCAACATTCAAATATTTGAAAATGACAAACAACAAGTCATCATTCAAGAGAGAAAAGTTTTCAAACTTGACCAATGGTTCGACAACATCAGTAGTTTGTGTGAGCTTTCTCTTCTTTTGTTTGGGTTCAAAATTGACATCATCTTGTGCGTTATCTTCTTCCTCTTCCTCGTCATCCTTATCATCTTCATCATCGCCATCATCATTTCCAAATAAATATTTCTTTACAGGAACGACCGTTGATTGAGAAATAGAATCCCACAAAAAGTCTTCATTTACAATAGATACACGTTCGGGATCTTCCAAAGCTTTGGAAACTTTACCGGTAGGACTATCAAATTCATTCTGAGTCGTTATCAAATGAGTCGTGGCCTTTGTAATTGATGATGATACCTTTCCGCCATGATTTTTAATGATTTTCTCAATCTCGCTTCTTCCTTTTGAGAGTGTGCCTGACATGCAGAACACAAGACCGCTGAAGAGGGTTTTGCTCATTTTTCTCTGTTGATGGAGTGTCGTTCAGTATTTACAATTTCTGTTTTTAGCCGAACGTGTGTGCACAGTTACCTCCGATAACTCCTGAAGAAAAAGGCTAATCAGTGATCAATGGAAAGAGGTAATGAAATCAATCTGCCTGGCTTTCGTTTACAACTTTTAATAATAATCGAGATTTCGGGTCAAAGCAGACAAATGTATTTTTGGATTTTGCAAATTCCAAACCAATTTAAAAAAATGCAAACAGCCATCCGACCACCTCGGCCTCCTGCATCATCATCATCAAATGGCTCCCGAAATACAGCTGTGAGGAATAATGGATCATCATCAATAACAAGTAATAATCATCAATGGACTTATTCATCATCGCGGAACGATTATGAAGACGAGCACAGAAAAAGTTACGAATTTTTACGAGAGTTAGAAGAGAGCAATAGACAAAACATGCCAAAAATAACAAGCGCTGATTATTTAGATATGAGACTTCAGAAGGAAAATCCTACAACTAAAAAACCCTCTCAAAAACGAAAAGAGGAACCTCCGAAGAAATTTGATTTACAAGCTCTTGCTAAACACATGATTTATGACGAAATTGTAATTCCTCCCGAATTACAAGCTTCTTACATTGAGCAGCAAAAAAGATTAAAATCCGAAGAAAAAAGAAAACACGCCATCGAAGAGAAGGCATCCAATCAGCAACAACAAAAATCATCATCCAGTAATGGCAGCTCCAAAATAGCATCCACAAGTTCCTCATCACAACAAACTAAAAAGAAATCATCCACAAATGATCATTCAACAATGCGAAATCAAAATGTAAATAAGAAATCGACACACACCACTCTGAATCGTGACAGTACCATGCTTGGTACACAATCATTGGATCTTCCAACAATCAAAAAAAAGAATTCTAGTAGCAGTAGCAACTCTTCACTTGACCAAAGAGCTTCAAATACTTCCTCTTCATTTAAAATTCCAAAAAAAAGTGGCGCAACCTCAATGAGTAATGGCACTATTTCATCGAGCAAGTCCCAAACCATTACACCTTCCAAACCAAAAGCTTCACAAGCCCCACCTCCTCCTCAAAGAGCTCAACAAAAAACATCCGTACAAAAATCATCCTCGAATGCAGCCCTTCCACGTGCTTCAACTTCCTCTCAAGCATCGTCAAAAATTAAATCCAATGCTACGGCACGCCAATCCAATATTCCTGTTAAATCTGTGAGTAGCAATCAAGTAAGGATATCTGGAGGTGTAGCAAAACAGGCCATAGCAAATCGTCCCAAACCAAACTCTGCCTCAATTGCAAAGCCTCCTGTACCAAAGAGAAAGGCAGAAGTGCTGGATGATGAAGAAGAGGAAGATGAAGAGGATGAATACGAATATAGTGACGACGAAGATGAGGCGCCTTCCCACGACAGATATATTCCACCTCCAAATCCATATGATCCATTTGCTTTTGATCGATTACGAGGCAACGACACTTATAGACCTGGATCCATTGCTAGACTTTTCTTACGTCCAAATCAAAGATGTTATCAAAATTATGGAGACTATGACGACGATGATGACATTGAGGAAGCACGGTATGACGATATTGCAGACGAGGAAGCTGAGGCTGAAAGAATTGCTCGATTGGAAGATGAGAGAGAAGAACGATTAGAAAAGCAGAGAAGAAAAGAACGTGAAATGAGAAAGAAAATGAAAACTAAGTAAATAGTTGATATTAATTTATGGTGTTATTACATCATTAAAATTTACACTTTAAAGTTGTGTGGTTGGGTCAAACAAAGAGAAGGAAATATCTTCCGTGTCCTCAAGAGTAGAATAGTCTTTTCTTTCTGATTCCATTTTCGAAAAGAGCAACCAATTCAAATAACTATCTTGCGCAGCATACTTTTTCTGTATGGTAGACAAGTTCAACCGAGACCATCTGGAAACTTGTACAGAGCGTTCTTTGGCCATTTTCATTCCAAGTAGCTGTTCACATAAATAAGATGCACCTTTCTGAGAGGCATCTAACTCGATCAAGCTTTCAAATTCTTTTCCTTGAGGAGCCATCTCAAAATGTTGAAACCATAACTTGATCAGCTTGACATCCTCGCCATAAGAGCACCATGTTTTCAGTACTCTCTTGTCGTACATTAGTTGAACAAAAAGTGGTGATGGTGCATGGATACCTTCACAGCCTCCATAGAGCAAACAAGAACTTCCAGTTGACAATTGAATGAGGTCAGGAAATGCAGTCTGTTCAAATTCTTTGAAATATTGTGTTTTGAGATATTCTGATTCAGCATTGTTGTAAATAGATATTCCAGTTGTAGAGCAAAATTGCTTCTGTTTTTTGAATAATTTCCACAATTTTTCGTGAAGTACTGGATTCAATTGATAATTCTTGTTGAGTTTAAATAAATCAAATTCAGTATCCATTCCAACAACTACAGTGTCTTCACCTCCAACTTCAAGAGCTTGATAAATATATTTCTCGATCCAGTCATCAACGTCGGATGGATTAGTAGCAAATACTACTGTGTATTGATCGCTTGCTGGTAACTCAAATAAAGGTTTTGTAAGAGCTGAATCTACGACATTTGAAGACTGTGACTTTTTAGACTCAACACCACTACCAAACATGAGATTTTCAATTCTTGGTTTGTAGTCATCCACTGCTGGTAAAATTCTTTTCACTTTCTTGTTTGCTTTTGGATTAATTTGGAAATGTTGAGGAAAGCAGCATAGGAAAGAAACAAGATTGAAGGGCTTATAGTCGTACTTGTTGAAGATTACTTTTCTCAATACGCTGAGCTTGAAAGCAGTTCTATTTTTTGGAAAGTCCTCTGATAGTATCTTTAAAATCAACTTGATATGTTCTTCGTTGTTCACGTCTAAAATCTTTTTTTCTGGAAGATTACGGAAGTCTATGGAACAACACTCAATTTCTCCAGAAGCACGCCCAACTAGCCTCACAACATTTCCAGATAATTCTAAACGTAATCGGTCAACAAGCTGATAATTTTCATCGAATGAAAAGCACAAAAATTTTAGAGAAATCACGTCTAGTTGTTTACGTGGTTTGGTGATTTCAAACAAATCCGGATATAGACTCAAAAATGCAACAAGCTTCTTCTTTGTGATAACTATAGGTTTCAAAAATGAGTTTCTTAACGTCTTAATCAACTTTCCTTCGTCAGAAAGTTCAATGTATCTGTTACTTTCCAGACAATAACACAAGGTATCAATGGAGACACCAAAATCATTGTAATGAAGCTGGATGCTGTCATCATTGATAATAGGATATTCCTCAACTTGAGATGATAGGATTATTCGCACGTTTGGGTTATTTAAATATTGTTTGATTTGATATCTTTGGCGTTCTTTCAGAATTGCAATCAAGTAATATAAATGAATCGCTGTCATGTCGTTATCTGGGCTGTCCAAGTCTATGATACCAGGCATTCCAGTTGGAGAGCTCAAAGGATTTGATGGAGTTGACTTTTTCTTTCTCTTTTCTTGTAGCACAACAGATCGGATATGATGCGGATAGAACAAGGAGTCATACACCAATTCTCGTTGTTCGGGATTATCTTTAAATACGGTGACAAAGTCGTTCACGAGACAATTTGAAAACATGGTCAATTTGCCTCTAATGGTGGTATCATTAGAAACCGAACCAATCTCCATAGGAGGTTCTTCCAAATGATTTTGATCTTCTTTTGAGTGCTCTATCACTTCGGAAACCAGAGATTTCAACTCCGATTTCATATCATCATCTTCCTGTTTAAGTCCATGATGATCCACAACCTCCTCTTCCTCCTCCTCTTCATCATCATCATTAGAAACTTCAGAATTTGATCGCTCCCTCGTCTCCACCAACAAATGCGAAGGTTTGTTTTGTGTCATTTTTATTTAAAAAAAAAATTAAATTGGTGGTTCAACTCACAAAACGCAGCTTTGGGTATTTGTTGTTCAGAAAACCCAGATGCTGTTGCTATCGGAAGGTCATGATCCCATGAGTAGCTAGTATTACGGATCGCGATCGTGAGCATGGTCCACCTTTAGTTGCTCTACCAAAATACAAGTTTGGAATTATCCCAAATTCAATCTTCATTTAGTATTGGGATGAAAATTGATGAGCACCTATTCCAAAGCTTTTCTACATTCTCGCCCGAATGATGAGTTTTTCCTTATTGAAGAATGCCGACAGATGGAATGATTCGAAACTAATGATGAACGTTTGAGAAGAAAATGATGCAACCACAAACACCCACACAACCTCAACCTATTGAACTTCAATCGGTCAATCACTTACAACTTGATGCTACAAACCAGCCTTACTATTCGGGTATCCCAACTGGTTTTAATCGTGAAACATTTTCGTCCCATGCTCACAAGCACGTTCCTAACAGTATTTATTATGAACCCATGTTTTTAGGGGAACAGAGAAATAACTTTCAATTTTCAGCAAGCTCATCAACGACCACAACAGCGGATTCTACTGCGCCATTTCAACCTCGCATGGATTATTCCAATTTGCAATTTAGATTAACGACCACTTCTAATTATTATGGAGCACGACCATCGAATGCTTCAGTGGTCGATGGCTATGCATCTTCTAGAATTAAAAGAAGGTTTTCTCTTCCTTCAACATTGCAAATCGATAATCCACGACTCACAACAGTTGACGAAAAACCTATATGGTCTCCCTCAGGAGAAAATGAGCTTAAAAATCAAGGTATCGAAAGTGAATTTCAACAAGCGGTCAAAAAACAGCAAGCACGAAAAGAAGCAGAAAGCAATTTTTTAATCTCAATCATTGTTTGTATTGTATTCTATTTTACAGGCCTTGGATTTTTATCATGTATGCCTTTTTATCCTTTATTGAAATACCGTAAAAGCGAAGATGCAAAGATTAACAAAACAGGAAGGTTCGCATTCATTGGATTTTTATTGACACTCTTTTTCAACATGTTGCTGACCACCATTTTGGTCACGTTGTTAATTGTTTCCATCGTTTACGGATCCAGGAAATAAACAGCTTGAGTTTAAATCAGGAAAAGCAATGTTGACGATCAACTTCAAAGGAAAGCAACATAAAAAGCAGGTGTTGTGATGACCTTTTATTTAGTCTCACTGAACACATAGTCCTCTTCTCCCTCATTTTTCAAATTTCGAACTACGTTTTGCAGTAGCGACCTGAGGTGAGTTGCTGCATCTGTGTCAACCATTGTAAATTGTTTAGGTTGTTCTTTGGTTGGAATTTCTGGGAGAGGTTGAGATTGCCGCAATAGGTCTTCTTTAACCCGTCTTGAAAGCGCTTCTCTCATTAATCTTCTTCTTGATTCAACCTCTTCTTCGTCAGATGAATTCTTTGGACTTGAAGTGCTTGAACTAGGGGAAGACAAAGAGGACGTTGTGGACATGAGGCTGTCTGAAGAACCTTGCTTCTTAAGGACAAGCTTGGACTTGAAATCTCTCAACTTTTCTTCTCGTTCTTGTTTTTTCTTTTCCACAAGTCTCTCTTTTGCCTCCTTTAGTTCCTCCTTTTTCTTTTTTCTTTTTTGTGACAAACTGTATAAACTATATTCATTCTCAGATGCAACTTACCTCGTAGTGTGAACAGCATCTATTGTGGACTTTTCTTTTGTGATATCCTCTTCTTTTTGTTTTTCTTTTTCAGCCAACAATTTTTGTAACACATCCCTTTCTTTTTGAATTCTGAGCATTTCTTCTTTAATGGTTTCATCTGATCTTGGGCTAGTAAAGTTAAACCTAAATAAATCCTCCTGCTTCTGTTGCGATTTTTCGTTTTGTTTCTGAAGGTCTTGCTCTTCTGCTTGCTGCACTGCCTGAAGATGCAACCGCTCTTCTTCTCTTTTGCTCTTTTCCTCTAATTCTTTCTGTTGTCGTTGTTTTTCTTGTTCCAGGCGTTCCAACAGCTTTCTTTTTTCTTGTTCTTGTTGAACCTGTCGTTGTCTTTCTTCCAGTTCCAGGCGTTCTTTCTCTTTTTCCATCTGTCTTCTCGAGTCTTCTTCCACTTGCTTCCTTAGTAATTCCTCGTTGTGCTTTTCCTCTTCTTCAAGTTCTCTCTTTATGTTTCATATTAACAAGCTGTGTTAGTGGTATGTGAACGGTTTTCAAGCGAAACCTACTCGTTTTTGTTCTTCTTGAAGTGACAAAGAAATTGCAATTGCCATCTCTAGCTCTGCTTGCTCCAATTGTCGTTGCCTTTCTGCAAGTTCTCTTTCATGCTCAGACAAAGATGCTCCAATAACCAACTGTTGAAATTAAGCTTGATTGTTACAACTAGCTCGAACAACTACCTACATCATATTCCTCTTTTTCGGCAACTGTTTTCTTTTGGTTCATGAGTTCTTCGTGCTCTCTTTTAGATAGCTCCAACACTTTACGTAATTCCTCATCATCTTCCTCAGTTGGGTTGACTTTCTTTTTCAGAGTACTAACTGGCAATCAATAAAACCATCAACACGGATTCACTTACTCTAAAGCTTCGCACTCCAATTGAAGATTTCTTCTTTCCATAATTTTTCTGAAACTCAAATAATCATCCATAGCCATGATGTGCTCCAATGCTTGACCCAGTGTTGCGTCATTGGTTTCAGCCATTAGAACTTTAACAAACTATTCCCATTGTTATCATAATACGTTGAAAATTCAATACCCACCTCCTCATGCGATACATGCATCTCCCCGAGCAAAAACTCCAACAAGTTCTCTATCAATTCTCGGAACCTCTCATGAACCTGGGTTAATTCCAAACAATTTTCTTCCTCTCCATCAAAAAACAAACAATTCTCATCAATAAAACTCTGAATGGGATTGATCCAGAATGGACTCTGCAAGAAGGCAATCAATCCGTGAATAATCGGATGTCGTTTCGTGGCGACACGTGGTTGCTGACCTTCATGGTCGTGTTCGTTCAAATTTGAATGTGCCGTAAATCCCATCCTAATTTTTTTCTGCAATGCTTAAAGGCGCCGGCGGGAAAAGGATTCGAGTCAAGTCCAAACAGTTCAATACTATTTGTTTAAGAAACATCAAATCCAGCTTGGTTCTAACTTTTCTTTAGTTCATCTTTTTGACAAAGGGAATACACACAAAAAAATGTTTTCGAAACGCAAACAACAGAACCCATTCCGTCGTATTGCACAAACAAAAGATTCACCTGTTGATTCAAAAAAATTGAAAAAACTTTTGATCGTGCGAGGACAAGAACCCGATCACTTTTTTAAATGTATTTGTGAGAAGTTTAATGGTTTCGTAAAAAATCCAGAATTACTGAACTGGAGAACTAGAGTGTTTTCTCCGTATGAACCCGATGATTCTTTTGCATTTTTATGCAGTGTAGATGTTCTAGACCAAGCAGAATTAACACCAGAACACGTTGAAAGGTTTCGATTTCATTTCGATTATGATTTTGTGGTTTTTCCAATGTATGCTGGTTTCAATATTAGCTCGGAAGTTATAAAATCAGTATTTAATGAAATTATGAGCATCATGAAAGATTTAATTTCATCAAAACGTGTTGCAATATTATTCTTGAGAGGAAGTAATGCATACAGCGTTCCTAGTAGACTTGGCTATATCTCGAACAATCTGGAATCAGGCTTTGCAGATTGTACAAGTCAACCGATGATGGAAATTGACGTCTCAAGGCTGAATGAAATATGCATGAACAGCTCTATATTATTAGAATTTAAAACAAAACACCTAGAGTTATTTAGTCAACATGTGAAGCAAAAATCAGTAGATCTTTCACAAACATATAAGTGGGGTCTTCCTGTTGAAAACTGTATATATCTTTCACAATGGAACATTCTTGCAACGGCAGAAGAACGTAAAAAGATCTGTATGCTTATTCACAAAACAGAACGAGTAATGTTCACACCTTGGTATGGCTTTTCGCATGGCAATCAACTTTGTCATGACCTCGTTCGGTACTTCTGTAAATATTTGGTGTTGGAATATTTGATAGGGGATGATACGGTTTTTAAAACAAAACTCTCTCAAAAGTATCAAAATTTCCAATTGTGCGATATTGTTGTGACGTCTGCACAGGAATAGTATCTTATTCGGAAAGAAGAAAATAAATTTACATATAATAATGTAATGGACTTTTTCATACTTTTGAGATCATGATTAAAATTGCTCAAAGAGAATTCTCAGAAGAGCTAAACGATGGAGGTGATCGCAAATTTCCATTAAGAGGTATTAAGGAAAGGGCAATACTGTCTGATGCATTGTCGTTGTTTGGAGAGGAAGATGTGTTTTCACGAGCAGACGATGTTGCTGATTCCATCATACACATATTGGAGGCAATCACATTTAACATAGTTTCTTCTTTGATCTTCATTGGTGGTGGTTCGGTGGGATTGTCTTCTTTGGTCTCACCGTTTGCATTTCGATTGCTATTCTTCTGTCCTGTGGAATTGTACTGATGTAGTGGTCGGAATGGTCTTCTCCCAAACGCTTTGGCCTTAATTGGTGTTTTGGTTGGCTTTGAGAACTCTGATGTAGTGGCGTGTGACAACTTTCCACAAGTGTCATGCATGACCTCTAAACATTCATTCATAGTTATCATATTCTTATTGCCCGTCGAGTCCATTGGGAAATAATAGGTATCAAGTTGTGGAGTCATTCCAAGATCAATACTATATGAATAATTCAGAAAACCAGTAGTGGTTGTTGACGAGTTTTTAACATTTGGAATTTGAGGACTCTTTTGAAGTGGTGGGGTGAGTGAAACTTTTTCTGCAAAATCTAGAGAGGTACTTTCCTCGTCGAATTCTTCCCGTTTCACACTGTTGTTATGGTTATGGGTCAAGGAAGTAATATTAGTCTTATTCGTGCATGTTCCAATACCTGTTAATGGATCAGCTAATGGTGAAGAAATTTCATTTTCTGGTATTTGAGTTTCATCAATATCGATGATAATTGGCGTCATTGTGTTCATGTTGTTATGATTTTTTCGGTTCAAATAAGAGGTCTTGTCATTCAGAATATCAATGAGAGGAGAAAGTGACAAACTTGACTTGACTTGTTTTGGAGGAAGAAGAACATGCAATGGAGATTCGTCCATGCTATGGTTATGGACGTTTCTGCTCTCCAAGAGTCGATTCATGCCACTATTACTACTATTCTGGGCCCCAGGTTCGTGAGGAGAAAACGCCATCATTTGACTTTCATCGTGACACGATGATGACGTTTGTGAAGGCCAGCTCAGTAAAGATTCCCTACTGTTCGTTTCCTCATTTTCATCTTCTAATGAATCTGGTAATACAATTCCTTTGGTGTTGTGATGGATGGATGTGGAATGTTTTGTGCTCACAGGAGTAAATTTCATGGCAGGCGATGTTTCCATCACACAAGCGAATAGTTTCAGTGGAGCTTGTTCTTCATCTTTCGCATTGCAAAGAAGAAGTGGAGTATTCGAATTGGAGTTCAGGAAAAGTTTCAAATCTGAGGACTGCAATTTCTCTTCATCGCCTTTCAATGGTGTTACTACAGCACAATCCATCATGATGTCTCCACCGACTTGCATTGGACTCTTTTGAGCTGAGGTTGGAATATGTTTCACTTTTTTCATCTCTGGAGACATGATTGAGGGTGAAGCAGTGATCACTGCTGTTGTTGTTGCTTTAGTGAAAGCATCACAAGTCATTGGACTGCTATTACAGCGATTGTTCTGACCATTCATTGAAGGAGAAGGCAGTGGATGATGTGACGACACAGGACTTGGTTTTTGTTTTCGTTTTCTACTGTGTGAGGAAACTTCTTCTTGACTATTCTCAGAAGAAGAGGAACCAGAAGAGCATGCTCCCTGAGAATTATTACAACTTCTCTTGTTTTTAGAAAAGTATTTGGAAATTTTCGATTGTGTACCTTGAGGAATACGTTTGGGCTTTTCCTTCGCTCGCCGTTTGGTTTGCCACTTGATTCCCAAACTTGGAGATTTGAAAGAGGACGAGGGTGTTGTTGTTATTGCTGCATCTAGTATACTACCACTACCACTGCTGGTATTCATTAATGGTTGCTTTTCTTGATGTGAGGCAAGTGGTTGTTTCTCGTGATGTGAGGGAAATAAATCAATGGCCAAGATATCATCAGAAACTTTTTCTTCTTCTGGAGAGTCCAACGATTTGAATGAATACTTCTTCTTTTTAGGTGAACCTATGGATCGTTTGGTGTCCAAATTCTCCTTGTTAGAAAGGCTCGTTGTGTCAGTAGCCCCATGCTTTTGAGGTTCAAACATAAATTTATCAGGAATTTTAACTTTGGAAAAGCTCGTGTGTCTGTTTGATAAAGTTCCAGAACTCGATTGTGAATGTGATGAGGAAGATGAATCAGAAATCTCAACAATTACAATTTCTGGTTGTTGTCGTTGTTGTTGGAGTGGAGGACTTGGGTGTGTCGAGGCATAGTCTTCATGTTGTTGAGTTTCCTCTAACGAAAGAGAAATGGAGGTTGTTGAATGGCTGGATTTGGATGGATGAGAGGATGATGAGGAATTGGATGGATGTGGTGGTTGATCTTGTTGTTGAGAAGATAATTTTGGTTTGGAAGATTGAGGTTCTTCTTCCAAAGATTGGGATTTTGGAGGTAAGGATATTAAATTCTTAATTAATCCTTTTTCTGAACCTGATGAACCATTGAAATAAGTAATAGTACTACTATCAGTAGGAATTTTCAAAGGACGATCGGATGGTGCAATAGGCAAAGGTTGTTTCTGAAATGGGGTTGAAAAGTTATTGTTGGATTTCTCTTTCTGTATTGATGATGTTTTGGTTCGTAAAGTTGTGGTAGCTGTTGTTGTGAGGGATTTACTGGAGGATGATGGCTTTGCCTTTGATTTCGGGGAAGGTTGTTCGTCCTCGGTATCACTACTTGTTGTCGACTCCATTGAATCATCTTGACTTTCTTCATTCTCTACGACGTGCTGTTTCTTTTTCAAAGAGGAATGCGTGTTGGATGAAGAGCAAGTGGTTGTCGTGGATGTTGTCTTGTTCGTTAAAGTACCTGCTTCTTTGAAAGGAGTCTTGAAAGGTGTTTTGAATGGAGTTCTGAAAGGAGTTTTCTTGATCAAGGGTGCTGTGCTCGTAGTAGTTGTAGTGGTGGATGATGATTTGGCAAAGGAATGATCGAGGGTTTGTTGTTTCAATCCGTGAGATGGTTGTCGAGAAATCGTTGTATCGGTGGTCGACGTTGCATGATGATTAGTGTTGTTGTTTGAAGACTTGTTTGAAGGAATCTTTGAAATCTCATCAATTTTCACATCGGTGGGATCTAGACTCTTCAGTGGTGGCTTAAATTTCTTTCCTGAGGGATGTTTCAATCGTTGTACCATGTTTGCACGTGTAGTGATGATGATGATAAAATCGCAAGATGGAACGAAATAAATATTATTATTACTGTTGCAGTTTTTTGTTTGTGTAACGGTTTAATTTTTGAATTTAAAATTTTTTTGGCGGGTGAGCAAACTTGAAAAACAAGTTATTGATGCTGGTGTTCGTGGGAGTGAGGAGGAAGAGCTTCACCATTACTTCCAATTTCTGATCTGCAAATTGGACAATTGGCATGACGTTGAAGCCATGGTACGACACAATCTTTGTGGTAAATATGGCCACAAGGCAGCTCTGTGACATCTTCCTCTTCTTTGATTTGATCTTGACAAACTGCACAATCTTTGCAGTCAGCAGCAGTAGCTTTTCTTGTTTTTAAACTGGAAATTGTCGTTTCTGTTGCAGGAGGAGTACCACCTTGTCCTTGCATAGCATTCATCATTCTGGTGATGATGTCATCCAAATTGTCGGAAAAGACATAATCACCCCAAGTCATGCCATTGAATGGCTGTCCAATGTGTTGCATAAAGCTGGAAAAATCAAACATTGCTGGATTTCCAAGTCCAATTCTGAAGAAATTATTGGGTACGTTGTTACGTTGTCTTTGATGAGCATTGTTTAACATGTCAAAAATCTGGAAAATAGGATCTTGTTGAGGTGTTGCATTTTGTTGATTATTGCCTTGTTGTTGAGATCCTTGCTGCTGTGCTTGTTGTGGATTTGGTTGTTGATTTCCTTGCTGCTGATTTGGTTGTTGACTTAATGCACCCACTCCAGAAAAACCATTGAATAGATCCATAAAATTTGGTAAAGGTTGATCACCACTCGTTGTTCTCGTGATCGTTCGTGTGTTTCCATCTCCGCCTCCGAATGTAATTGAAATTGTTTGTGTTCGACGAGTGTGAGGTGCTGATCCACCCGACGACGATGACCGAGTTCTTGTAGTAGTTGTGGCTTGTGTTGTAGCCGTAGAAGAATGATTATTATTTGATGGTGGTGTTTGATGAATGACATTATTAAAAGCCCTCGAGAAAATATCGTCATCATTCATGGCATCTAAATCCTCGAATATTATTTGTTGAGATGGGAGATGATGGGCAGAGCGAGGCTCGTGATGATGACGTTCGTGGGTGGGTAGGGTTGATGGGTTTGTTTCAATTTCCTCAACAAATTCGGATCCACACATTGGGCAAGCTAAGTTTCCTTCATTGTTATAAATCGCATTCATCTGTGCGTTACAACCATGGCAAATGAACAAGGAAGGGGTCATGATGATGAAAATTTAATTTTTTTCAAAGCGCGATTGTATGATTAAACGTGATTCCGCGACTCTTTAGTAAAATATTCTCTAACAAAAACGTGTTTTAGAGATATTTGTGACTTCTTTTCGAATGAACAAGCAAATTGTGTTTTGAGGTGCTTGTATTTTTTTTGTTGACCAAAAATAAACATGTGGTTGATTCAATCTGGTTCGGAACCCATGTCAAGATTCCGATGACCTTAAAAAGCAAAAATCAAGAACATTGAGCTTGGAAATAAGTTAAATATGAAAAATTCTAATTTAAAAATTCAAAAGCAAAATCAGACACCAAAGAAGCACAACCATGTGTGAAAAGTGTTTGAATAGTGTCACTCCATCGCTTTCAAGGGAGTTAATAGTTTCATCAATCCATTTCTTATATTTTGGAAGATGAAGATATGCATGATAGGTTCCTTCATCACAAATTTTGTCAGTATTTCCCAATGAAAAACTGAACATGGCTGCAGCTTCATAACGAGTATTGTTTTTAAATATCAATGGACTTCCACCATCACCTAGACATCCTCCATGACCACCTCCATTCACACATTTCATAATTTCTGGATTATATTTTCCATTAGTATCAGCATTCACACATAGTGTATCTGCAACGATCGTTTGTTGGATGGTTCGAAGTAAATAAGGTCCACTCGATGAACTGACATTCAATCTACCCCATCCCATCAAGTCATAAAAAGTAGAATTAAATGCTGGCAATTCATCAGTAATGTCCAATGTTGAAACCACCACATCACTTCGATTTTTCACAACTGTGGAAATGGAGTCTTTCAATTTATAAATTCCAATGTCATTAGCTAACGATTTAGCACTGTATCCAGGATGTGTCACTGTAGAAACTACATTAAATACAGCACATGGTACATTGCTATCCCAACATCTTCGATCATTGGATCCTGCATAAATTAATAAATCAGTCACCTTATAATTATTTCCTTGACAATTTGCAAGTGAAATGAAATATTCTTCCTTGTAGAAAAATCCGCTACAAATAATCTTATCGATGCCTGGCAATGTAATTCCTCCATAGAAGGGAAATTGGTGGGATTGTACAACTTGAGAGCCTCCACTAATCATGGGCTTGGATTGAACCATCATTGGAGAGAGTAATAATGAAAGGAATAGAATGAACATGATCGGTATCGTTGTGAGAGTGGTTCTGAATCGTTTCCGATAATCATGATGATTTGGAAGGCTCACTTGATTACGGGAGAGGGAAGTTGGTGAAAACATTTTTTTGTTATTGGATGTGTGTTTAGAATCAACAAGCGAAAGGACTTTCTTTTAAGAATTGGTAATTGTGCGCTTGTGTTGGTACTAACATGAATGACGCTTGTCCTCATGAAGGAATGGAAAGGTTCAACAAATATTTGAAGACCTATCTTGAATTTTAAAAAAATGATTTCATCAGCAGCTTCATCATCAGCAGCACAGGACGAGGCCGAATTGCGAGAATTTGGACTTCAATCGGATTACTTTGTGGAATATCCTTGGATTGGAGAACCCGAGAAGAGAATTGAAGAAAATTCAGTAGACGATAAAGATCCCTATTTTAACAAATTAGGAGGAAATCCAGCTTGGATTACCGAGAGTGAATTACAAATTATGCAACTTCCTCCCAATACGCAATGTAAAGACTTGTCTAGCCTCTTACCACAAATTCCGAAATTGAAATGTGGAAATTGTTCAGGAAAATTATCACTTGTTACTCAATGTTATGTTCCACTGGGTACATATGATCGATTTTTATACGTTTTCGGATGTAATAATGGAGCATGTAGTGAGAAGAACAATGCTTGGACTTGTTTACGTACTCAATTCAAGGTAGATCCAAAGAAAGTAGAAGAACAAAAAAACAAACCAAAAAGCGAGACTTCATCATTGTCGGAAACACCCTCTACAACGACGACCGATAAAAAGGAAACATCATCATCCTCACAAACAAAATCAACCAATGATTGGACACAGAGTGTGGATGATAAAGAGTTGTCCGATTTACTCTCGGGCCAAGAAGCTCAACTCAAAAAGATGCAACAAGAAAAGGATGCCAAAAAGAAAAAGAAGAAGAAAATATCAAAAGTTGTTTCAGAAGGAAATTTACCCTGTTATGCGTTAGATATTTATGAAGAACCAGAAATGGACGAAGAGTTTACTGAAGATTCTCATGAAATGAAATTATTGAAGCAATTCCAAGCTGAGGCAAAGGAAACGGGAGAGGAAAATGCTTTTGATTCTAAGGAAGCAGAAGCATTTGCAAAGAAGTTTATGAGCGAAAAGATTAAAGGAGTGACTTTTAAGGAAGATAAGGTTGTTGAAGAGAGTTCTACGGAGGCAGGTACATCCTCGACTTCAACAGATGAGCATAACAATGAAGCACTAGCAGACAATGACGAAGAGGAAGAGCAAGTTCAAGAGTCAGCTGTTCCCGAATCAGACAAAGTCAGTCTTGCTTTTGTGCACTTCCAGACAGTGTTAGCCACATGTCCACATCAATCGATTAGATGGCAATTTGGTGGTAAGCCTTTATGGGTGTCCGATGATGCGTCAGATATGCCTCCCAAGTACATGCAAATCAAGAAGAATTTATTGGAAAAGAAGAAAGAGAATGAAGCATTGAAAGGTTCAAAACATGACAGCGATGACGAAGAGGATGATGATGAACAGAATTATAACGAGTTGGAGCCTAATCCTTCTGATTATGCACCAAAATGTGACAAGTGTGGAGCTCCAAGAGTTTTTGAGCTTGAAATTTTGCCTACAACGATTTATCAACTACAATGTGACAAGCACGTGAGAAGTGATGTTGCGGAGGGTATGCAGTTTGGCTGTGTTTGCGTCTTTACATGCAGTAATCCTGCATGTGACGGATATTCTGAACAAGAACGAAAACAATTGGGTGACAACGCTCCAAAACTTAGATACATTAAGGAGTATATTCATGTACAAAGATCTCTCTAATAGTTTTGAATAAATCCATCTCTTAATTTCATTAATGATTTCTTGTAGTCTTTACTTTCATCAATTTTGACATGATGGACTAAAATCCTTGAATACCACATTTTAGTCATCAAATTGACCATATCCATAATATAATGCCGATCTCTTATCTTTATCCTTGATGGTGCTATCAGCTCCGTGTTTCAATAAATATTTACAAATTTCTGAAGCATAGTTCCAAAATTATGGATTCATACACCATACATTCAAACATACCTTGAAAACCAGCGTATGAAGCATAGTGCAAAGCTGTCCATCCATTTGAATCGTTCACAATATTGACACTGGCATGTGCTTTTTCCACCAATGCTTTAATAATATCGAAATTGCATGCTTCAACAGCTCTCATAAGTGGAGTTCTAAACAAAAAATCCTTTTCATTCACCTTGATCCCAGTGACACTAACAAGACTTGAAGCAATTTCAGTATAATTTCCTCCAACGGCATAATGAAGAGCAGTATACTTTTCTCGATCCGTAATATTTACATCAGCTCCACAATCAATCAAATAATTTACAACAGAAAGGTGTCCTTCCCGACAAGCCATGTGTAACAGAGTCAACAATGTGGTTGGTTGTTGGAAATTAACAGGAAATTTCATATCGGAAATAATAAATTTAACAACTCGAAGTAATCCAAATCCAGCAGCTTCATGAGGAATTAATCGGAGTGTATCTGGATAAATTTCTTGTTTCAAATCAAAATTATTACTGGAGGCCGATTGAAGCAACTCAATTAAAAGATCTTGATTCTTGTTTTTTAAAGCGTCGCAAACCTTTTCTTTAAAAGAAGTCATTTTTTTTAGAAAAAGATGAACTATGATTTACGGGAAGTTTGAACAGATAACACATGCCACACGTTTATTTGAAAATTTGAACTCGTTTGTTTTCTGGATCAGAGACAAAAAGTTCTCCAGTGGAGTTGCTAATTGCCAAATTGTAAATGCTGCCAAATTCTCCTTGCTTCTTACTCTTTTGTCCAGGACCATAGCAACGTATGGCTCCAGTTGGTTTGATCACTTGAATTCGATAGTTGTACCCATCTTTAGATGGTAATATTATTAACAATTTTTCAGAGAGATGGCGGCCCTTAAAAGAATTTTCGTGTTAAATCTTGACTTACCTGCAACGTAAATATTGCCTGAACAGGCTTCATAGATTGCATGTTCTGGATAATTCACTTGACCTGGAGCAGAACCATAACCAACTGCAACATCCCTAACGACAGAGCCCTTCTTTGAGATGAGACGTACAGCCTTTCCAAAGGTCTCAGTAACAAGCAAATTTCCGTCCTTATCCAAATCCAAGCCAACAGGATTTTCAAACTTCACAGGACCTAGTCTGTTGGTAGCTCCGATGGATCTCAAATATTTACCATCCTTTGAAAGCAACACAATTCGATGTTGGTCTGTGCTGCAAACGTAGACAGTTCCATCCACTGGATCAACTCTGACGCCTTGTGGATTGTACACCATGGTAGTTTCATCATATCCTTGACCAGCACCAAAGGCCCACATGAGCTCTTGTCCATCCATGGAAACTTTACAGACCTTATGCGCATCCTTTGCGGCAATGATAATAGTATCTTCGTTGTAATCCACACAGATTTGATATGGTTGATAGGGAGCTTCGAAAGAGCTCTTGAGTTTTCTAGTTTTTATATCGAAAATGAAAACCTTCTTCTGAGCTCTATCAGCAACCAACAAGGTGTTGTTCTTGGTATCGACAAACAAGCCTTGAGGATCCATAAACTCAAAAGCCAAATCTTCAGCATCACCCACGAGAGCACTATACTCAAACTTGAGTGAGAAAGGAATTTCAGTTGGTCCTAGGGATTGTACTTGAGGAGTGTGGTCCTTGGTCTTATTGGCATTATTGTGCAAACTCAAATGTTGTTCGCATAGATCGGCCTTACATAATGGGCAATGATGAGTGGCTTCCACAGTTTCATCGTCTTGTAAACACTTGGTACAATTTGTCATGATGATGATCAATAGGAGGGGAACGAGGAGTAGTAATTCAAAATGATTTTGGCGATGATGACGGCTTGATTTGAATTTTTTTGTGAATAGTAATCGCAGTATTATCGTCGCAACTTTTAACGAGTTTGAAAAGAAGGGAGCGCTTTTGCAACGATTCCCGTCGCTTGAAAAAATCAATTTTTTGCCAAGTGAACACCCCCTAACTTGATCCAGTCTAGCGCCTAAATAGCAGGTCAATAAGTACTTGCTCCTCTTTAAAAGCGAACCGAAAGGAACCACAAGCCATACAATCTGCATTCGGAAGAATTACAATTACCAATGCATCATTATGTACTTCTTTCCTCTTTAAAACAAATGATGATCCTTATATCCATGATCATTATCTCTTCGGAAAGAACAGACTGTAAATGATCTTGTCAACAAACCTCAAGACTCTCCATATGTCTCCCACAACATCAAAACAAATTAATGAACAACAACAACTACAATCAGACCAACAACAACAATGGTACCTCTCTTCCTCCTTGTCCTGATTGGGTTTTAGCTTTGCCTCAGGTTCCTCATGTCGCAAACGTCACATCGACTTGTCCAGACGTAATATCAGTGCCTATTCTACCGGCTCTCTTTCTGTGTTTTTACCTCGTTATTCTGGTTCTGAGTATTTTGGGTCTTGCTTGGAAGCGAAAGAATGGTTTTATTGTGTTTAGAACCATGTCGGGTATGGTTGTCACTATTATCTTTAGCGTTTGTATTGAGTTGTTGTTGGCTTTCCGATACATTCTAGGAAGAGAGTTATATCCGTGTTTATTACTGAGTATCATTTTCTTTACCATGCCCACTTGTGTCGCGATGCCATCCATTCTTCGTTCGTTGAGGCTCTATGTTCAATATAAGGTCAACTTGTATAAGGCGAATCGGTTTCAGGAATTACCAGCTATGGATGATCTAACAGATTGCCCTTCTCCAGTCGCTTCTGAGTTACCTGGATACAACAATTCTCATTCAAACAAGGTCTCTTCTGTTTCATCACCCAGCAATACTCCAAGAAATATAGATCCAACATCTCCAACAACGCCCAAATTTCATGATACAGAGTTCGAGAAGGAATCCATACCCTCCTCACCCAGCTCAGTCATCAATTTCCCTTCAGTAGGAACATCCACTCAGGGCTATCCACTCGAAATCAACAGCAACGTGAGAGATTATTTTTCCAATTACAAACTTCATACTGTTTCCGAGAAACTCTTCTTCAAAGCACATTCTCTATTGTCGAGTCATCTCTTTCTCATTTCATTATTGTTTGGATTATTTTCCTTTCATATCGTTCAGTGGTTTGTGGTTGCAGTGATTGAGGATGCGTTCTATGCAGACAGGCGATTTTTAATGGTTGATCGGAGCATGCTTTCTCTGAGAGGTTGCTATGGAACCACTGTTCCTGCAATCATTTCGGTACTGATATATGTTGGCTATTTAATGGTTGAAATTGTATGCACCGTATTGTTGTTTCGAACCGATAGAGACACATGGTTCATTAGAGGAGAAACCATACTCTTGCTAGCAAGTCAATTGTTTTTCATTGGTATTTATGTCATAATTACCTTAATACCGTTCATGAAGAATGTTATGGAGCATGTCATTCCCCAAGGCTTAGTCATTATGGCATTGGCTTCCGTAGAGTTATTTGTCTCTATATTTTGTCCTGTGATGTATGCTATCATGAAGGATTCCAAATCAACCATGAACCTGTATGAATCTGAGCTTGAAATGATTCTCAATAATAAGGAAACCTTTGAATTGTTATTAGATTTTGCTCGAAGAAGCTTTTGTACGGAAGGAATTTTAGTTTATAAGGAAATCGAACAGTACAAAAAGTCAAGAAACAAAAAACGAAAGAAGAAGGCCCTCGATATTGTGCATTGTTACATTACGGAAGGAAGTCCCTATCAATTGAATGTACCTAACATTGACATCATGAGGGAGGAAATTCTTTTTAAAATTCACACCTTGGAAAGAGATAATTTACCTCCTTCATTGTTTGATTCATTACAAGTGATGGCCATGGTCGATCTGTTGGATGTTTATACGAGATTGAAACGATCCAATGCTCGAGTACGTCAAATCGTAGAAGAATGGAAGTTAGCAACCTCCAATCAACCTCCCCTTAACTAAGACTTTGTTCATATTAAGGTTGTTGAATGTTTGTCCGCTATTGAATCAAACGTATTCTCTTCCACTTAATCAACAACAATTGGAAAACAAGAATGAGATATTATCATTCTTGATTTCCAATTGTTGAAAATTGCTTCTGCATCACCCGCCATGAACAAACAAACACCTCCCGAGAGTGACTTTTCCACCAATAGAGACATTAACACAACAACAACAACTTCCACGAGAAGGAAGGGAAGTACCACTCCCAAAGTAAGGTGTAAAATATCAGCAGTGAAAAGAGGTTCTGCCAGAGCATGAGAAGCAGCAGCATCATCGTCGACTAGTTCTGCTGCAGGAATTGCTCAATCCACATTGAATCCCTCAACCCATCAAGAAGATATGATGGAAGATGAAGATTTTGCAGATTCTCCCAATAAAATACTTGTATTATCTTTGCATTGCTGATGAAAAACGTTTCAAAGAAGAACATAAACTCAGGTCTCACTTGTATCCAGAATCATGGAAGCTGTTTAGAAACTGCTGTTTGGATTTAGTGATTGATCAAAATTTTAACGTTCCTAAAAGAAAAGACAGAAATCGAAAAAGAGATTATAGTCGCCTCTTTCAAGAACGCTTGGCATGGTTGCCAACTATGTATCAGGAAGTCGTGGGTCTCCCTTTTACGATGAACACCAAGGTGGAAATACCAAGTGTGAACTGCGAAATCTATCTCCAAGCGTTTGATTGTAATGGTTGCACCTAACATCAAGAACAACATTCAAGCTATGCAACAAATGGTTTATGCTTTATGTTTCTCTTCAGAGACTAAAAATCCTGATGGAGTGTTGATGGATGAAGAGGATATCTTTGTGATATGTCGTTTGAATGATGGAACTTTGTATCTGTATGAACAGTTGAAGTCTAATTTCGTTCCAGACCTTTGTTTTCTCTTCGGAACGCTGCTTGGTTTGGCTAATCGGACCCCATGTAATGAAAAAATTGTTAAAGACGTTGATATAGCCCTCCCTGTTAGATATTTGTTAACCATTGAACCGCTTCTTAAAAAACTTGGAAAGAAAGGGGTCAATGCCATGTACAATAAGGCAGTCAGACGTAGATATCATGAGCTAAACGAGAAAGAAGAACAATCTCGGTAGCGAACAACAATGAGTGACAGTGCTTAGACCTTAGTTAATTTTTTATATCTAACGAAAGTGTAAAGCACACTGAACAATTGATAAACTTCTTCTCTTTGAGTCATGTCAAAAGTTTTAAACACCTGTAACTGAGAGTTATTGTTGAGCTGATCGTCTGTCGAATGGTGTGATACCAAAATAAGGTGGCCTTTGTCCTGATCTTTCAGAAATCCCAAAGCGAAGCCTTTTCCATCTTTCACTGACTGTTTTGCAAACTGTAAGGACAGCAGCACTACTTTGAGAATATCGTTCCGATGTTTCAAAATGTCCAACTTTTTGTATTCTCCAATAACAGCTACCTCTTATCAACTGACGTCTAGACGAGTTCTCAAATAATATACCTCATACATAATAATAACCAATTTGTCTAAGGTGTATTGAAATCCAAAATCATGGAGAATCATCGGAATCCATCCTATTTTCATTACATTGAGATCCATTTCAGTAAGGTACGTCTTCGTATTTCGTCCCGTTTTGAAAACAAAATCCAAGTAACTCAGTCCTGCACTCATGTCATACTCACAATTCTTCTGGTTGTTTTGGGCAGCATTCATCACTTCTCTTACATCAGTGTCAATATGAACCTCCTTGTAAGCTTGTTCTAGCTCAGTAAAGACATTTGAACTTAATCTAAAAGGCAACCCCATTCGTTTCCAGTCAAAAGCGTCAAGAATCAAAAGGGCAACATCTTTTTGTTCTTGATCATACGAGTCAGGAATACTCCTTTCATCGTGACTGAGGCATTGTAATTTTAAACATGTCGTCATTCGAAGTAGCTTTCATACATTCAAACATTGAGATCTTCTGTCCTTCATCGTCCAAATAAGTTGGACTCTCTAAATAGCTTGATAAGGTCGAGTTGTTTGTTTCAAGTTGAACCAGAGGTATTTTCTTTCTTTGACGAGCAACTCTCTTCTTTGGACGTTTTTCCGAAGAACCTCCTTTTGGAACTCTTAGAGGCCTCACGCTCCTAGTTAGGTCTAGATGAAGGAGGAGTTGCGGTATAGGTACCTGGGGAAGCCTTGGACTTCATTACAGGTGTACAAGGACTCTCTTTCTTTCGTTTCAAATCGGGCATGTTGATAAGGTCAATGTTTTCAAATGCTTTTCCCAAATATTCAAAGCCTTTGCTTATAAAGATGGCTTGGGGAAAATCGTGGAGCGAAAAAATTGTCTTGCTCTTTGCGCAGAAGTCCCTTGAGGCAAAGTGATGAACGGAATAATCACCAGTGAACTCTACGGTCCACAACTGCAGGACATTTAGAAGTAGTTACGACACTAGAGGTTTGGTTGAGAGTGGGTCAATTTCTACAGCCAATTGATAACGAGTATGTGTGGTGATTTGTTTTAAGTAAGAAATCTCTTTTACAAATTCAAAACTTAATAGAAGACGGTCCCGATCAGTACTCCAATATCCTCTTACGTTAACATCCAAAACTCAATCTTTCTTAGCGAGAAATAAGCATTCTGAGGCTGTATCTTTTGCGAGGGAAGTGCTTTGGCAAGCTGTGTATATTGTCAAGAGAAATTCTCCCAAAATTCTTGTGTATATTGTCAAGAGAAATTGAATTTTAAAGTCCAGTAAATCTTCATTGTTTGTGGTAAGCCAGTCCTTTCAACAACGGGCTGAGGAATTCAAAAAAAATGCAGCAAACAAGCGGGATTGCTTTCAACATTTTGCTTCTCTGCTGGATGATCACTGCGTTATCATCAACTCACTTGGTGTTCGCTTTTCAAATATTTTCTCCTCATTATTTGTCAGCTCAGCCAACAACGTTCAGGATGGCGCAATTCGGAGCCTTTTATGTGAACACAAATTGTAAAATTCCGAAGGAGGTGGTTTTAGCATATCCTATCGATGCCTGCTCACCTCTTCAAAATCATTCCACCTATGTAGATGAGTCAAATAGTGAGAATCATTACAAAGACAAACTTGTGCTTGTAACCAGAGGACAATGTGCATTTATTCAAAAAGCTCTTTATGTTGAGCAAGCAGGAGCAGCTGGAATGATTGTTGTTAACAGTGAGAATGGAGAAATGCATTTGATGAGTGATGATGGAACCGATGCAGGCAATTTAATAAGAATTCCATGTGTTTTAATTCCATACGATCGAGGTCAACAAATAATGTATTACATGGAATTAAGAAACCAGGAAATAGAACGAGAGAAACAAAGAGAGGTGAAAATGCAGAACGTTCCAACAAGCCCAAACATGGATAATTTATTCTCATCCATATGGATCAGACCTAAAGTGACTGCTGCATTGGGATACTGCTCTACCTTGGATTTCCACTTCTTTTAGTTGGTGCCATGCCACGCAACCACATCTTAAAAAGTCAATCCATACAAGGACTTACTTTTTGCCTTAATTACGCAAAACCAAACTCAACCGATATTGTAATGAGCATCATGGCGTCTATTCGCTGAGGAGCCAAACAAGTCTTGATACTACGAGCTTTCTAAAAAAACAAACATGATGTGGATTGAATGGACGCTGGTACTCGGTTTGCTGTGTTTGGGGTTATTAGTCATTATACGATGGCCACAACCAACCCAATCAACGAAAGGCAACAACGATGAATACAACAACCGCCTTATTAAAACCCATCACGACGATAAACCTTCCAATGATCTTAAGGTTCAACCCAGTACCAAATTATCGACCACACCTCAAGTTCGGGTTGATGATCAAAACTTACTTTGTATTGAGAGAACGGAGGCTATTCCTTCATCATCATCTTCATCGACATCATCCTATCCTCATCGACTTTCTCAACTTTTGACCGCTACAATTACTCCAGAACTCGTCGAGTATGCCTCAAATGTATTGTCCCGAAGACCCTCCTACCTCGATAATGATGTATGTGGTATTAGACGTGATTCGTACTCAACACGTACACGTTCCTCCTCCAACCATTCCTTCACTTCCAAGACACCTTCTGCTATTCTCAAACCAACCACTCGAGTACGGGCAACCTCATGGTCCGATGGCATGAAACTAGCAGAGAAATCTGCTGAATTATCCAAAAAACCAAGTAAGGATGAAGTATTGAGCACACTTGTACGCTACAAATTTCCATCTCATGCCTAGTGAAATGAAGACCCGAAAATGATGTATGTGGTCTATGCTGAGGTTTTGAAGGATATTCGAGATCTACTGTTTTTGAAAAGTGGATATAAGGGAAACGTTGGCTCTTGGTCATTGATACAAATGACTATAATTCCATTAATGCCCTCATCAATGCAAGTAATAGTGGGCTGAATGTATCGTGTGAATAGATGCAAATATTATATAATTATTGTAAATGATTGAAGATATAACATACCACAGAGAGAGTTCTGTCAATTTCAAAAGTGATTGTTAAGGTACCATTTCCGTCCCTTCTCGGAAGTAGAGTTTCCTCAATAATTCTGTGATTCAAGATATTTGGAGTAGCAGGAGATGAGCATTCCATCATCATGGCCGTCATGCTTGTAGCAGTATTGGTATTTTCAGTAGCATCCAAACTCTCAATAGATGGGGTCTGTGATAGCGCTTGTTCAAACATATCATCACTTTGAGACGACTTGAAAGTATCTGATCTTGCAAAAATATATCGATAAGGAATGACAATTTTCGAGTGAATGATTAATTCAATGGCAGGATTCACTTGCTCCTTCAATACTTGAATAATCTTTGTCTTGTGATCAGAATTAAATATGTATGCAATTACTGAATGATTAGAAGAAGATGTCATGATGTCCTCTTGATCCAATGATCGATTACGGCAATACACAACAAACACGTCGTCACAAAAGCAACTACAATAGATTGCTTCAATATCTTGAATTGTGATGGACAGACTATCTTGGTCAATGTTCTTCTTTCCAAATAAGTAGATCGTAGAGGAAGTAATAGCCATCTTTTTCTTTGAAGAAGATAGTGAAAAGGGATTAATCAATTCTACTTCTGTCAGAAAGTTTGGAGTGTCATCTTTGGAAATAATTTCATTAACAATCAATAAATCGCCTTGATCTTCTGTTTGTTCATCTTTGAGATCCAGTGACATGACTCTTCGAGATTTCTTTCCACAATAAACATCCATGATACTCTTTGAATATTCTTCGAAAACCTCCTCTTGGTGAATAAAAATTTTCACATCAGGTTTCTTGTATTCTATTCGTCTTGTTGGTGGAGATGGAACTTGTTCAATGGTAATCAATCGAGTGATGCTTGGATTCTTTGTAGTTTGATTGATTTTCGAGGTCACATCAACCTCAAAACTTCTTGCAAGTGTCGACTTGGATATAGAACTCAGAGTACTGATAATTTCGGTTTTTTTCACACTCTCTAAGGCCACATCACTCTCACCTCTGACATGAATGAAGAAAAAATTGTCTGAGAATGGAGACACTGAAATTTTGTAAATTCTTCTGAGTGGAATTCTTCTCGTTTTCGAAAAATAGTTTCCATAGCTTTGCGCAAAGAAATTTGTGTGCATCAAATACACAGATCTCTCTGTAATAATCATTAAACGATTTCTCTTTTTAAAAGTCTTGTCATACTTGCTCACTTCATCAGAAAATAGAACATCTCTATCTTCTCCATGTTCGATCTTATCCTTCATAAAATCTGTATGTTTCATGAGTAACGAGTCACCTACAAATTGTCGATAGAAACTTCCGTGTCGTCTCTGTTTTTTACCTCCAAAAATATCTTCGTTTGGTTTCACATAAACAATAATTCCTTGATTCACTCGTTCAATTTTTATGGTTGAAATGGTAAAGTCTTTTAAAAATTGAACAGTGAACGGTTTTCGTTTGATCATGACATTTGTAGATGCTTGACGTTGCTGATCATTCACATGAATGAATTTCGTCAAAGAATTAAATTCCTTCATCAAGCGTTGATATTCTTCGAGTTGAACCAACTCGTTCGATTCGACTAAAAACACAGAAGGTTCCAATGTAAAAGAGGAATCAATGAGCACATCAATCGAAGTTGCCATCAACGATGTGAATGTTGAATAAATCTCTTGATACAACTTTTGCTTATTTTCTACATCCAAAATTAAATCTCCAAAATGTTTCAAGCAAATGATGAGAATTCCATCATTGTATCGACTCATGCACACTCGATAAATGCATGAAATGGGAAAACTGAATTTCATTTCATATTCATCGGCATCGAGAATACATAAATGAGCTGCCGAGATGACCAGTAATCGATGTTGACGAACACCATTCATGATTTGATTCACATGATGCTCAAAAAAGACCATCGATCCAATCATGGACTTGTCCATAGAGGATGGATGATTGTCAAGTCCTCCGAGTTGAGATTTGATAATTTCTTCTTTTCTTCGTTTTCTTTTGTAAACAATTTCTCGATATCTTCTCTGTAGAAGAATGGCAACTGCTTCATGAATTTGTTCAAGCTTGTCATTGAGAATGGACATTTCGAGAGGTGTTTTGAGAAATATTTGCGTCCTTCCAAATGCACAATTATTAAGATCAATATTGAGCTCACTTAAAATGATACGACATCCCTTTTTGATGTCTGAATTACTCCAGAGAGGCCATGTCACTGGACTCAAACACTTGTACTTGTGTATGAACTTGTCGTATTTCATTTTGAAAAAAAATCCATGTTGTTTGATATGAGAGATGGAACTGAGTCCTAAATATTTGACTTGATGAAGAACAATTTCTCGATCGAATTTGAATGGCTTTTGCTCGTCATTGGGTTTGATACAATAAATGTAATGGTGCTTGCCTTTCAGCTTGTTATTCATCAACTTGTGGACGTCTCTCTTGAACTGTTTCACAATGGTTTCCTGTAGTCGTCGATATTCGGATTCCTTGTTTGTGAGTTCATCTTCAGGAAAAATTTCTCTGAGAAGGAATGATGTACTCGAACTCATGACTTCAATTAAATCTTTGAAAAGTGTGTCCTTGTTCTTTTGAACCCAATCCGTCACATTGTACTCGACTTTGGCAGCAAAGTGTTTCAAACTAAATGTTAATCCTTTAAATCTGGAGGGCTCAAAACTTTTAGATTTTCCTTTTAGATTGGTGAGTAATTTAAAGAGATAACGATCATCACTTCCTGATCCAATTAAAAAATCTTCCTCATCGAGAAGTGAATAAATTCCTATAGGGTGATCCTCAATGGTGCTAATACAATCATTGATACTAATGTAATCAAGTTGAAATGGAGAGGAATCAAGTGGTGACGCTTCTTTTTTCACATCTCTCGTCAAGGTAATGTTCAATAAACCATTTTTCAATTTAGAAAGAAGTGCTTGAGAGGTCTGGCCACCAGTGATATTACTTTCAGAAAATGGATCAAAAGAAGTAATTCCTTCCATGACATAATCCTCCTTTTCTTGTTGTAATTCTTTCAAAATTTGTTGTTGCAACTTTTCATTCACATAATTGATGTTAAGTTGCTCCAACGAGTTATCGATTGGATAAATTTCAAAACCGTACAAATCCAAAATACTGATACTCGTGGTATTCTCTTTGGATTTTGGTTTGATTGCCTTGTTAATTTTCGAAATGATCCACAAAAAGAGTCGTTCATAGACACCTTTAGCAAGAGCATCTCTATTATATATTGCTTCATTCACAGTTTGATCTTTTCGAACATATCTCTCACCTGCATTAAGAGTACGTGAGAGAAGCGACTTTTTGAGAGCTTTAGGTTCAATTCGGAAACAAAAAGATGCCCACTTCAGAGCCTCGTCATTGTCCAAAATATTGGCTGTTTCCTTGTGTTCAGATGAACTCTCAATGATTTGAATGTTACCTAAATGTAAAATTCCAGCGACTAATCGAAATACTTCTTTTCGTTCTTTGTGAGTAATTCCTACTGAATCCATACTGTGAATAGTGCTTTTAAATTCCTTACTATCATCGACACCATGAATAGTAGTGTCTGTTGAGTTAAGATAAGAAAAATAGGAGGGCTCATGAAGATTAAATTTTTCTCGTAGTGACTTGTCAGCTCCTCGACAGAGTTGATAGAAAATGTGAAAGTTTCGTTCCTTCTTTCTCTGATGAGTGACATGACTTTTTTCGAGAAGAATAGTAGAGATTTTACCTCCTTCAATTCTGCCTTTAAATCCAAAATAGATGGTGGTATGTTTTCCAAAACGAGACGAATTGTCACAATGTTTTGTTTTTGCATTTCCAAATGCCTCTAGTGTTTGATTAGAATCTATTAAAGTATGTTTAACGTCTAGAGAAGATGATCCATTCAGCGATATTGCTGTTAAATAACCTAGTATGAGCTTACTACTCTCGGTTTTTCCTGTTAAAATTAAATAATTAAAAAAACTTTTTCACGACTCAAATGTCACATACCTGAACCGCTTTCTCCATTCACTAATATTATTAATTGTTAATTAATGACACAATTCTAGACGCAAAATGAATGAAACATACCAATTATTGTTTGTGGTTGGTGAGTCTCTTTCATATTCCTAAAAGCGTTTTCAGCAATAGAGTACAAATGAGGAGCTCTAGCAAATGGTGTTTGTTTGTGATAAAAATGTATCACTGAATTTTTGTAATTAGAAACTGTCTCTTTGATGTCGTATGGGTTCACAGAAACTGCACATATTGTCAAGTTAAATATATAACGTTCGATATAATCAATCCATGAATTTAAAGTAAATACCTACTTAACATGTCTCCGAGATATGTATAAAATAAAGGCATTCTCTTATTATAATCCTTCTTATTGTATCTAAACTCGAGTAATTTTACAATATTCTCTGGTGTTGGATTTTCCAAAAATGTTATATCATCAATGGGATAATCTGAAAGATTTGTTTCTTCTCCCATATTTCTTGGTGTGTTGGAAGCTGCAATGGAAGAAATGGTTCGACTTGGGGACATTGCATTTCTTGGTGACAAGAGTGGCGTGTCACCAGCTCCATCTTCAACCTCTGGATTTTTAGAATTATTTCTAGGAGTTCGTGGTGTTCGAGGCGTTCGTGGAGTAAGAGCCCCAGCTGCCATCATTTGTGGACGTCTTCCATATCTCTCCAATAATTTTCTCTCCTCTCTTGCTTTAGAATCATTAAGGTCATTCACGATAGTACTCGAAAATGTAATTGAAGGATTTGTGTCGTGTAGTGAGAATCCAGATTTTGAGAATAGTGGTGGTACAACAGGTCGAGAAGATGTTGATGCAGCAGCAGTGCTTAACGTTGTTGTTGAACCTGATTTGGGCCATAATTTTCGAAATGTGTTTTTCAGTCGTACACTTTTTGATTCGCTACTGCTTGGTGTGTACTGTGTTGGTTGTGGTGAGCTTGATAAAGAAGTTGCACCTCTTTGGGAAGGTGACAATGGATAATGAGGCATGGAAGTCGATAAATTTGTTGCTACAGTAGTGAATGAGTTTGGAGAAAGATTAGGTGGAGGACTCGTTCCAAAAGAAATAATATCCAATGGAGAATAAGATTGTGACAAACGTCTTCGTCTAGAGTTTTCCAACTCAAAAATAATTTCATATAATTTCGAATTCATTTCATGAATATTGTGTTGAATATCAAATCCTACTGCATCATCCTCTACGGCATGATCGTGATTTGGTATGGGAATACCACCAATGGTTTGAGGAGAATGATCTGTTGTGGACTCTGGATCCGAAGCGTCATTACTCATCACATCATCACTAGGAAAAGATTTTGTAAATAATTTAGAAAAACTGTTTTTTCGTTGTCTTGGTGTTGTAGTCGATGACGTAACAGGAGATGAACCTAATGAATTATTTTGGCCTCTCGGAGTGACATTTCCATGATGATGATGATTATTCGATACTTGTTGATGATTTTGATGTTGTTGTTGTAAAATGGAAGACAATAATGAAAGAGAAGATGTATTCGTTCGTGAGGAAGAAGAAGGATCCCGAGGCGATGAAACCAATTGAGGATTATTGGAAGAAGAAACGGATGATGATATCATTGGTTGTTGTCCTGTTGTAGTGGTTGTTGCATTGGAAGAGGAGATTTCATAACTCCGAAAAGTTGGATGATTGTTGTTGTTATAGAAGGACGGCGAAGTGGTGGTCGATTGTTGGTAGTGAGGATGATGATGATGGTGAGGTAACAACAGCTGTTGATGTTGCTCCCTGATTGTGGAAGAGAGAGTCAATGTGTTGCTGCTCTCTGCTGCTTCGCCACCCAGTGTGAACCGTAAATGATCAACCTGGTGAGGCTTTTGCGACATTTTTAATTATGAATTCTGTTTTACTGGCTTGTAAAGGAAAGAATGAAAAGAAATAATTTTGTGGAAGGATTTGGTATTGAGGTTGTTCTCAGTAAACGATCTTTTGCAGCGTGACAGTTGGCAGCGAAACGAGAACTTTAAACAGCCGCCAATGATGACCGTTACATCATTTTAAAAAAAAAGAACAAATGAATCCGTTTCACAATTCCAAACAGCAACAGCAACAACAACAATTAGTAGAATTAAACAACAAGGAGAATCCAGGGAGGGTCCATCCAAACGTGGTTGCACAAACCTCTGGATTTGCAATACCACAACAACAACCTCTCAAGAAGAACAACCCAACAACATCAACAACACTGATGAATCCACAACAACAACCATCAGTTGGAATCTCCCGACCACTCTCTGCATCATCCCAACCACAACGTGCATCCAAACCACTCCCTGTACGCTCTACTACTTCCTCTCAAAACAATGGTTCAGAAGATGAAATTTGTTACCCTGATCAGCCTCGTAATGATTGGACGATTGATGATTTTGAAATTGGTAAACCACTGGGTACTGGCAAGTTTGGTCGAGTGTATTTAGCACGAGAGAAGAAATCCAAATATATTGTAGCTCTCAAATTATTAGATAAAAAGCAACTGGAGAAGGAAAAGGTTGCCCACCAACTCCGAAGAGAAATTGAAATTCAATCTCATCTCAGACACAAGAATATTCTTCGATTATTTGGCTTCTTCCACGATAAGGATCGAGTGTATTTAATTCTCGAGTATGCTCCTGGTGGAGAAATGTATAATTATCTGCAAAAGTGTCGAAGATTTTCAGAGGAACAAACGGCCAAGTTCATGTACCAAATGGCACGTGCTCTTAAATATTGTGCTTCCAAGCATGTGATCCATCGTGATATTAAGCCAGAAAACTTACTCCTTGATGCTAATGGTGAAATCAAAATTGCTGATTTTGGTTGGGCTGTTCATGCTCCATCCAGCAGAAGAAGGACTTTGTGTGGAACATTGGACTATCTTCCTCCTGAGATGATTGAAAAGAAGGCTCACAATGCAACAGTCGACTTGTGGTGTATTGGAGTTCTTTGTTTTGAATTCTTAACAGGAAATCCTCCTTTCTATGCCAATGATGATAAATCCACCATGAGGAATATTGTAGCTGTGAGATATACATTCCCAGAGCACGTTAGCGAAGAAGCGAAGGATTTGGTGAAGAAACTACTTGTCAAAGAGCCAACTGAGCGTATCACTTTGGATCAAGTTCTGCAACATGCCTTTATTACCAAATATTGTGGTTGTGAGCAAGCATGATGTATGTAATATGATGTATGTAATCAACAACATGACACCAATAACAGCACACATTGTAGCTTTTATTCAGAGTATTGAATTCTTTCTTATCTCTCCTTAGCAGCATGTTGAGCCTCAGAACATGCAACTCAGAGGCATCTCTTTTTCCATTTCCGACGCATGGATCCATAACTGACAAAAAATTGTAGATCTACAAGTGAGCTGAAAGCCATCAGATGCCTACAAGTTGTTGATCTACTCTACTTGCATCATCATCATTCCGAAGATTATTCAAAGAAGCTCATCACGGTTTACCTCAACAAATCAACTGAGAGGAGATCAAATTGAAAAATAATAATTATTAAAGGCTTACAGAATTCTCGTCATGAACAACCCACCACCATCAGGTCATGTGTCTAGTCCAACCAAGGAGAGCCTATCATCATCTTCGGTTGGCATTCCAATTCCTCAAAGATCGTCTTCTCAGGAACATGTCTTTTTCTCTCCTTCCTCAACTCCACCCATCTCTAAGTTATCAAACTACTCACCAAGTAGTTTTCAAGCATCATCAATGCCATCACCCTCAGGAAGTACCAGCTATCTTTCATCCTCACGAGAACCCTTCTCTCCTAATTATGGTGATTATCAAAAACTTTCAAAAATAGGGAAAGGCTCGTTTGGTGAGGTGTATACAGCGTATGTATTGCCACATGAAATTGATGCATCATAACCCATAAATTCAAAAATTACTTACTACAATTGTAGAAGGAACAAGAAAACTGATGCCATCGTAGCCATCAAGTCTATCGATTTAGAAAAATCGGAAGATGATATTGAGGTCATTCAAAAAGAAATTCATGTTTTACTCCAATGCTCATCACCTCATGTAGTTTCAGTCTATGGAAGCATTGTTCAAGATACCAAACTATTAATTGTAATGGAATATTTAAGTGGAGGATCAGTTTTGGATTTAATGAAACCTAATGGAGGAAAGTTTGAAGAAAAATACATTGCAACAATATTGAGGGAGATATTGTATGGTCTTGAATATTTGCATGGAATTGGTCTAATTCATAGAGATATCAAAGCAGCCAACGTTTTAATTAGCGATGAAGGAGCAGTGAAGCTAGCTGACCTTGGAGTTGCTGGTCAGCTTTCAAGCACCGTAAACAAACGTCATTCCTTTGTTGGAACGCCATTTTGGAGTAAGTAGATATCGAAAAAGTCATGTTAACGATTAATTATTGTAATTTTAGTGGCACCTGAGGTCATCAAACAGTCAGGATATACTGAAAAAGCAGACATTTGGTCATTGGGAATTACAGCGATTGAAATGGCCAAAGGATTTCCACCTTATTATGGGGACGATCCAATGAAGTCACTATTTTTAATACCCAAGAATGAACCACCAACATTAGAAGGCCAATTTTCAAAACCATTTAAAGAATTTGTTTCCCTTTGCTTGAAAAAAGATCCAACAGAACGACTCTCAGCTAAAGAACTGCTGAAACACAAATTTATTAAGACAGCAAAAAAAACCACCATTCTTATTGATTTGATTGAAAAGAAAAACCAATACGAGAGTACCAAGAAAGATGCAAACAGCTCATTCTCTAGCGACTCAAATTCATATGCCTCATCTGATGAAGAAGAGGGAGAAAGCAACAGCTATTGGGATTTCAAAAGCACTGTCAGACGAAAGAAGAAGAGTTCGATCAATACTTTGGCAAACATTCACCTTGATTTTGCCAAAGAAGGTGTTGACTTGTCCAGTAAGACAGCTATTGATAAAATATCGAACTTGAATGACAACGATGATCTTAGTGATGGAAGTTCAGACGAGAGCATGAGCGATGAGATAAGTAGCCCTTCAAGTAGTGACAACGAATACCGTACACTAAAAATTGTATCTCCCAGAGAACACAACCACTCAATTTCGCAAGTTGAATTTGTTAGAAATTCCACCACCGAAAGCTCTTCCCATTCAAATGCAGCTCCATTTCCTTCGTCCAGCAGTGAAATTGCAGAGGACGCATCACATGTGTCCACCACTTCCGAAACCTTGCCTCTAACTGTCACGAACACAATAGAGGACCGGTTGGAGAAAGACAAACACGCTGCTACATCGCAACACAAAGAAAACATGTACAACAAGAACATTTATATGAACATCATTGAGGCTAGCTTATCTGGGCATGTGGCTGGCACTCCACATGACTCTGACAAGAAACTCAAGCAAATTGAAGATTTAAAACAATTGTTTAACGACACAGAGGCTTGCATTCCTGGATTTGCAAAAATGTTTGTGCAAGGCTGTGTTGAAAATCATCACAACCAAATGAATTGTTCGATTTCACCGCTAATCATGAAGAAAGTTAGCCAACCAAAAACTGTATGTTTTAGTGATGAAGTGGCAAGAGTGCCGTCGAACAAAGCTCAGGACACCTCTCTACAATCCAAACTAGCAAATAATTTGTCCAGGAGGTGGAGAGAGCAAGCAATAAAACAAAAATCTTCGCTGTAGAGAAAAAATCGTTTTGGACGCAATTCAAAGCACCAATAGTGTTAATCATCAAACAAAGCAGTATTAATAAAGTTGTTTTATGGTTAACTGATCGTAGATGTTAAATTAATTTAAAATTTTAGTTATTCTTCTTTTCCTCAGTGTTAGCAAGGTCAGTAATATGTGGAGATGTCTTCAAATTCATAAGGAAAACAATAGCAATAACAAGGAAGAACACAAGGAATAATCCGACAATAGTTCCAGCTGCAATTTCTCCATCAATCATCAAATTGTTGGTGGTACCATTAGTATATGGTGAGTATGGGTTGTTGGCACTTGAAGACAATGTTCTGTAAACTTCATATTCGCTCTCAGAATTTCTGGAAGAGAGAAGTTGGCGAGCAAAAGGATTTGAAAGAGGAGTAGCTTGCTGAGCAGAGAAGAGACAAATAAAGTCCCCATTTGTCAATTGGTTCAAAGAAGAAGCAACATTTTGAACAATAGAGTCATATTCAACCAACAAATCTCTAGCTTTTGCATCACTACGATGGATATCAGAGAACACAAAAAGATACTTTCCACCCTTTCTCAAGTATTGATTTGGAGAAGATAAGAAATCCTTCAATGAGATAACTTTTTCGGAAGACATGCTGCTATCGTCAGTAATTGTATAAGTGAATTCAGATGGCAAAATTGATTTCAATTCCTCTTCATTTACGTTTGGGAAAGAAGCGCTAGCATCGTTTGCCATGGCTCTCTTCAGGAATGGGAAAGCATTGACTTCATCAGGATTCTTCATGAAGGCTCCCGAGTTCTCCAAAAATTCATCAGAACGTAACTATTGTTGTTTGATGTTATGATAGAGCATTCCGTCGACGATTTGTTGGATAAATTCATTGGATATTGTTGTTGGTGGTAATGAATACTACTTACCTGATGATGTAAAAAAACGGCAACTGTTGATGATTCAGATAACACACTTCTCAATGACGAAAATTTAGATAAACCAAGTTGTCTCTTTCCGCTCCACACCAACGCTGGAACAGTGGTTGCCTCTACGACCATCATGGCGATCACCATGGACACCACCATGAGCGTTGCTACTATCGTTGTTTTCATTTTTTGTTTTGTTTTTCAAAATAAAAAAATAAATTATTGATGATTTGGATTTTTTTCATTCATATCCAAACTTGGGGTGATATCCAAAAATTTTCTGTCGCCAACAATTAAACAATAATAATAATACATTATTAATCAATTGGCTTCCTTGCTTATGATACTATTGCTTACTCCAAACAGACCAACATCACTTGTCTCTCAAGATGCAGGTTGAATGAAAAAAAAAATGCGTTCTAACCTTGCTGAGCAACAATCGCGGTATCAGCATCATCGAAATCTTTCGGACGAGTCTGACGAATCGGATGATGACGATTATATTAAACGGAGAAGACGAGAAAAATTGAGTGATGAGGAAGAAAAACCGATAGCAAAGAGTGATAATAACAGACCTTCACCAGTCAGATCTGGCCAACATCATCCTTCTGCTTCAGGCAATATTTCGAGAAATCAAGCTTCACCAATTGATGCCTCACAATATGGTAGCTATAACAATCAGCCATCTTTCAATAACAACAATAATTATCAAAAACGAAAAAGAAGTGATTCCGAAGAAAAGCCTCCTTCTCCATCGAGTGCCGATTTTCAGTCATCCCTCAAAAAGAAAAAAATTGAACGAGATGAATGGGACGAGGAGATTGAATCATATACGACTTATCGTGCCATCATTTTAATGTGTGAAGAGGATCGATCGGATGAAGCTATAGTATCTAAGTTGAAAGAGGTCGCCGGACTTATTTCTAATGATCTTCAAGATGACTATCAAACGCACATTCCTACAATATCAGACATTGTCATGCAATGGTAAGTTAGTTACACAGGCGAACTTTTTAGAAATATGTAACACTTATGTTAATAGTATTACTGATTTTCCTGTTAAAACCTCTCTATACTGCACATTAGTTGCATTAGTGAACAAAAAGATACCAAAATTTGGAGAGTACATCGTTCAATTAACACTTGAGCACGTTATTCAAAGCCATAATCACTATGACTGGATTCGTCTCAAGGCACTTTTCAGATTTATTTTTGAATTGATGCGCCAAAAGCTTGTTTCTGAAAACGATGCGTTTTATGTACTGGATAAATTCGTCGACTTGGCTCTAAAATATTCCAATGACATTATGGGCATGAACTATATGTACACAATTTTAGGCTCACTTCCATGGGGAATTGAGATATTTAAAGAGAACAGCGTGTTTACTTCGGAGTTGACAACGAAGCTTACTAAATATTTTGACGTTTATAGTCAATTTGACTTTACCCTCTACAAAGTTTTCAATGGTCAAAAAGATTGCCTCATGGTCATGTGGGACCAATTCAGATTCTTTCTATCGGATCAAACTCAAATTAAGGAAATCAAAAGTTTACTTAAGCCACATTTATTGTTTTCAGAGAGCGATTTGGCAGATGCTAGAATGCACAAGATTGAATTCCCTATTGACGAACATCTAATTGACGTTGGTTCTCATGAAAATGTTTCTAAAGGCTGCATCTTCAAAGGAAGACTTGGACTATATGAAGAAATGATGTCTAGCACTCTGCATCTACTCTCCCCTATTGACAGACTTGTGATAGAGGAATACATTACTGATTTGTTATACTTTTTTAATGGGTCTCATAGAGACTGCGTTAGTAGATTGTACGCTTGGGCTGGAGATCTTGCTACTGCTGCATTTACTAACGAAAACAAAGATAACAAACCAAAAAGCTTGGAAGAAAAAGAATTGGCAATTTTAAATGACCTTGATCCAAGTGGAGAATATTTTCAACACATGGCAATTGATGTTATTCTAGGAGTAATGTGCTTGCTTCCATCACCTCCAGTTAAGATACACTTTTACAATGTGGTGGTAATTGGAATGTGCTTACAGAAATGTACAAAAGATAATTTTTCTAGAGAGATAGTTAAGAAGTACATTAACTATGTTTTTGAAAAGATAGACATGTTTGACGATGAATGTTGTATGCAAAGATTTACATCACTCATGTCCTATTATTTGAGTCATTTCGACTGCAAGTGGGATTGGGATAAATGGGTATACATTCTAAGTGATCCCAACTTAACCATAAACAAGAAAAGAGAGCAATTTATTAGATTGGTGCTTCAGAGAACCTTACACGTTACATACATGAACAAGGTTAAGAGATCAATTAAGGGGTCATCAAACCTGACAGAGGACAAATTTGATGAGGACTTGAGATACAACGAAGACGAAGATCTTACAGGAGTACCTTTTGCTAAATTTTTGCCAAACGCCCCTGATGCCAATTTCAGATTTTCCACTGGTAGTCCTCATGCTGACGACTCGTCAAAGATATTGGAAGCAATGCGACAAAAAAAGGATGTCAATGAAATGCTAGATTTACTTGCCACTTTGCAATGTAAAGAAGACAAGATATTGCTATTGGACATGTTTTTGAGCTGCGGCTTGTCTCTCGCTAGCCAAAAGAATCTATCAGAGTTTAGTGACATTCTATCGAGATACAAAGAAGTCATCAAACAACTAATAGACCATGATACTGTCTATCAACGGGTTAACCTCATCAGGTCATTATGGCTGTTCTGGTTCAAGTCCCCCCAAAGAATTATTCTGTTTATGAAGAAATTACTTCTTCAACACGACATTGTGAATGCCCAAAGCGTCGCTAATTTCTTGTTTTCTGATAGCTCACTACTATTTTCTTTTGCCTACTCATGGGACATTATGAAGTCATGTATTGATGCTCAAATAGTTAGAGCCCTTAGAGCCTATGAATATGGCAACGATTCTATTTGTACCAGTGACACGATACCAAAGCTTAAAAAAGATCCTAATGTTCCTGAAGAAGACCCCCTTGACAAAGTCACAGGTTTAGAATCCACAGCTTTCAAAATGTTGATTGGAGAAATTCGAGAAACAGTTTATATAATGACAAGATTGGTGATTAGCAAGCTTCTTAGCTTTGAGGATATGAACAGTTGGGAGTTCAGATATGTTTCTGGACTTTTGCGTGAAATTGCAAGATTTTATCAGTTCTATGTGTTAGATTTTACTGATTATGTGGGAGCTGTTCTTTCTGAACATCCAGATTCCCCAGTGAAGGACTATATCAGTAATTTATTTAATGGATCCAAGTTTTTCAAGCATGCCAGCACGTTTGTTTCAGGTGGATTTAAGGCCACAGTTCCTCGCTATGAAAGAAGATTTAATCCAATTCCAACCCTCAAAAATTACACAATTCTTGACACAAGAAGCTCAATTCATGATTTACTCATCCAGGAAATTCGACGTGTGGAGCATGAACTTCCTGTCTCAATCACTGCCGGCCATCCTTTATGCTCTTCTGTGTTGAATGAGAATTTGGAAACCATGATGCCTGTCATTAATGCCAGCACTACGACCGATAGTAACAATTCTGGAAATCTGGAAATCCAGAACACAACTGAAGCAACAAGACACGTGGAAGTTAGTAAAGATGAATAAAATTTTATTGCCAATTTTCATTTCGCAAGACTTGGCGCCTTTTTCCACACAAAAGAAATTCAAAAATGCAACACCAACGGCCATTCATTCCCGATTGCAGAATGGGAGATGCAAGTCTCACACAACCAGGAAAACTAGCACAAGACATTGAAGAGTGGTGCCGTAGGGAACTACGTTTCAACGATAAAGATATCCCACAGCTATTCAACATTCGGGAGGTCTGTCGAGGAAATATGATTCCGATATGGAAATTTCTGATTCGCTTTGTGTATCATCCTGCAAAGGTTGAAATTGTAAAAAAGAATTTAAAACTGTAAGTGGATTGTTCATGAATTGGTTCATGAATGTTGAATGGCTTTGATTACAAATATTTAGGAGCGGAGTGAAAGTTCAGCAGGCTCTTGAAGAAGAACGAAGAAGAGGCAACAATTAATAAGAGAAATTGAAAATGTAAAATCAACAATTAATGAAATTAAATCCAACAAATTACCGAGTATGGAGGATGAAATTGAAACACTCAGAAGAAAAATCAAAGAATTGCAACAATCTCTCGATAAAAAGAGAAAGGAACGACAGAAGGAATCTCAGGAGAATTATTTAATGAAAGCCTTTGATGAACAATGTAAACATAACATTTCAATTATTAATGAATATAACTCACGACTGAATTCTAATTGTACAAACCTGAGAAATCTGAAAAGTGTAAATATTAATCAAATCCGAAAAGTAATGGAGGACCGATTGAACAAATCATTTAATTTATTCAAGAAAAATCCAACTATGGGCTTTCAAGAAATGGATTTCAATAACCTCCAATTCGATACTGAATATCTCAACAATGTACCTCAATTTTTAGATTTCATATGTGATATTTATAAGGAGAATCTTATCAACTTACGCCACTTTTCTGAGAATGTCATGACGAATCAAAAAGCTGGAAAAGAAAGGGTTATGGAAGTTGAAAAATTACTGGAACTGGAACGAAGAAACCACATTTATAGATTTACTGAAACAGAGTCGTAAGTTGTGCTATCTCAATGATCTTGAGCTTTTTCGACATTTTATATATTTTCAGTTTATCCAAATCTGCTGAAGAAATACGTAGGACATACGAAAAGCAAAACGAAAGCCTTTCAGAAATGACAAGAAGTATGCTGGGGACAAGTCTGTTTACATTGATGAATTGAGAAGAAAGGAAATTGAACTTTGCCAATTCAGAGTTGTTAGAGTAATTTTAGAGGAATACATTGCTTCATTAACACAGGATAGAGAAGAAAAAAAGCTGATTCGACAGCATATGATCCAAAAGCAACAAGACATTCACAAGTTAAAAGAATTCAGAAAAGCTAAATACGAAAAAATTCAACAGCTTTTCAGTGAGTGTGATAGAATTGTAAGGAATTACACAAAACAAAAGGAATACATTAAGAGATTTATAACAGAGAAAATACCTCCTCTTGCAGAGCCGTTTGCTTCCATTATGGAAACACTGGGAAATATCATGGAGAACGAATGCAATTTGGCATGTAAAATACCTCTCGATTATCTAATACATACGGAGTGTGGAGAGAAGAGAGTGTTACGAAAAGATCTCTCGATATTTGTGCAGGATGAGCTTGGAACCGCACTCAAAGAGCTTACGAAGAGTTTGCACTTCAGTGAATATAAGGCCATTGAATACCTACTGCCCCATGTCATGAACATGAAAAAAGAATTGACCTCGCTAGAGAATGAAAAGGCAAACATGACCGAGCTTATCACACACATGCAGGCGTTCGAACAACAACTCGGTGAGGATGTTGTACAACAAATCATTGAAGACAACACTGAATTAGAGCAAACCCAAAAAGAGCATTGGCTTCCACTGATTGAAAGAACAAGACAAGAATGCGAAGAGTTCAAGAGTGAAGCTGAGAATGTACATACTTTATCTGAAGTGTGGCTAAACAATCCAGTTGTCAAGGAAATTGATTGGAAAGAGATCATTTCCATGAATAGTAAAAAATAGAGAATGACTCATTATTGCATTTTCTTTTTTCCAAATATTGTGTAGACCTTTAGGAAGAGTACAAACACAATTACCAATGGTAGTGTGAAAACTGAAATAATGCTCTTGATGGCACTACCAGTATTATCCTCATTTGAAGATGCGTCCAACTGATCTAAGAAATCTGCTATGGAATCTGATGGCTGAGTTTTGTGCGTTTTAGGAAGTGGAGGTAGGGGTGGCCGTTGTGATGGACTGGGAGTTTTCTTGGTCTGTACTTGTAACTGATTTGTGGATAACAAAGGCGGTGGAGGAAGAAATTGTTCTGTTGTTGGAGTTACAGCAACAGATTCTCTCTTAAGCTTATCCAAAACAACTTTGGCAAGCTCTGGATTGTCTCTTGGAGAAATAATTCCAGATGACAATTCATCCTCTTGAATGGAACGAAGATCCTCTTCAAACTCTTCAAAGAACTTCTGTTCTTCTTGATATTCTTTTTCAATTTCCTTTTGTTGATGTCTGAAGAAGAGAGCTTTCTCATGTAGTTGAGTAAGAGAGCATAAAATTAATTTCTTATTTTTCTGCAAGAATACATCTTCAAAGTTAAATAACAAATCTACAGGAAAGCCATCAATCTTTCGCAAACCAGCCAAAAACAGAGCCATGTTGTTTTTGGCATTGCACAAGTAATTACTGTTGTATGTCTTGTCATTCGTTAGAGTAAATAATTGTTGATCAAATTTGACAACCTTTTCCATGTTGATATAATTTGGAAAGTAGAAATGAAGTAAATTGCAAAGAATGTATCCATTTTCAAGATTATAGTAAAAGTTTCTTGAACTTTCTTTCCTTGTGGTAACATCGGATGAAGATGATGATGGTTCCTTATATCCCGATTCTTTTTTTGCGAACTGAATATTCAAAGTCTTCTCAATCCATGTTTGCAATTGTGTTTCAACTTCATAGAATTTATCTTCCTTGATATCACGCAACGGACTTAGATTCATAATGAAAGTTTGCGAGATGGAATCCATCCTCTTATGAATTGGTGTTGCTGGAGAATTAAAATTATTGTTTAATAGTTTCTTCGCACGTTGAGGTGTATCTGATGAAGATGTGATCGACAAAGGTTGTTTTGATGCTACAAAGGTAGTGATATTTTCAGCCACCACATAATCCAGCTCTTCATCATCAAGGGACAGTGTTGGCTGTGATTGCGAAGAAGACATTTTTAATTTTGTTATTATTTAACAATCAGTTATTATTGAACGAATGATTTTGTTTACTTTTTGGTTAATTATTCTTCTTCTGTTCTTGTAATTCTTTCATTCTCTTCTCGGGATTGAACAAGATGCTGTCTATCTTCTGGATGAGTATAGATAAATTTGTTTTGTAGCCAAAAGAATGGTAACCAAAACAACAAGCCAATGCCAAGTCCAATAAAACCACTTTTGTAATCACCGGTAGTAACAGTTTCATTCAATTCCCGAATAACGTTTAAAGTCATGATCGTATGAGAGAATTGAGGAATTAAACTCATATCGAGCTTCCAAGGAAAAACAATTAATCCCAATCCTGAAATGATCAATCATTGTTTTCAATTTTCAAATCATCATCAAGGTTATTAGGATCATGACAATTCTAGAGGGCTGTAAATTCAACAAACTCATCACAGATGGAGAACTCATAGCCAAACCACACAAAAAGGTGATATTAGCAATGGCGCAAGAATTGAAAAACACCCATTCCTTGAATTTACATTTCAAAGCTCCCAGAAAGAATGACGTGCTTTGAACAGTAGTCAACCCGAGCAAGGTACGAAGAGTAGTGGTGATCCAAGTCATTGCAATCTTCTTTTTGTGAAAATATTAAACAAACAGCTGTTGTGAGATAAACTAAAGTAAGATCTTTTGATTGGTGTTCGAGAGGTTGGAGGAACTGCCGGAAGATTCTGGTACAGAGTAAGCCACAGTATCCATTCCAAATCAATCAAAACGTTTACAAAAAATGCAAGAGTTAATGCCTTTGAGTGAAGCTTTTGGTGTTTTAATCAACACCAAATACAAGGAAATTACGAAGATTAAATCGGAACAACACTCACTCTATGCGGCTTATTCATCATGGAATTATTTTGTAAAATCAAAATTAATTCCGAGAGAACACTATGATAACGTGTTGCAGGATGAGCAATTTGGAATCTTATTTGTCTTACTGGACAATCTCACTGATAAATCATCAAATACCTTGAAATATGATCATAGCATTCAATTGTTGACTGATTGTTTTATGAATGACGAAGGTGTGAATGAATTTATGTTTGGAACTTTTATTCATATCCTGAAAAGAAAAATCAACAACGAGCAATCTGAAATCGCTTCTATTCAGCAATACAAGTACTCTATTTGCACATTTATTACTGAAATTATTTTAGGAGATGAATTTAACAAAAACAAACAGCAAGAGCAGAGTCATCTGTTAATACAAACGAATGACAGAGTTTTCGACAAGTTTAACCCTGAACAAATTTCACAATTACTAGATTGCCTTTGGACGATATGCCGTTTTGAGAGTGTGGTTATGGGCTCGAGGAGATGCGCCACAAAGTTGACATCGAAATGTGCAGATCTAATTTCCGTCATTGCTTATTGTTTATCGATACGCAATCATGAGTTAATTTTTGCTACGTCCGAATTATTTATCAAAACATCTATGGAGTTGTTACATTGGTTTGAACCTCACAGAGATTTATATTCTCAATTTTTGAGATACTTTATTTCAAAGCAAAAAGAAATTCAGAAAGTTGTCACCCACCTACGAGCTTTGGAGAGGAGTGAAAGAGAGGAAGACAAGATAAATGTCAAGGAGGGTAAATCCTTTGCTGTAAAATCTCTATGCTCTCTATTTTCTTGCTATTCTATTTATTTGGTGGAAGACAGAGAATATTTCGAAATATTTGTAAAGTACCTCACAAATGCCGAAAAAAAGAGCCCAAGCAAGACGTGACGTTTGATTTTATTATAGCAATGATATTGGAACTTGAAAGCTCAAAAGAAGAGACACAAATGTTGTATAATATGGCTTGTCTAATCGCCATTATTGGAAAATTTAGAAAGAAGGAACAAAAGAAATACTTTACTACATCAATCAAAACTTTCAAACAAAATACCACGCTTTATGAAGCCTTAACGCAACTAACAAATAACAAGCTATTGAGAGTACAATCAGACGAGCTCGGACGAATGTCAGTCTATCTGTACAAAGAATTAGTCACTTATTCGGGAGCCATTCAACAACGAGGCAGTTTCTTGGAGCTACTCGAGGATATGCTAGAGAGCGAAGACACTGTGTCAAAGGCCATTATATTATTTGTGGCAGAAGTGGTGAGACATGACAAGCTACAAGTTTACACAATTTTCAAATACATTGAATCAGACAATGAAATAACCAAAAAGAACGGATTAAGAATACTGGCTGAAGTATTCGACGAAAGAGACGAACAAGCTGCTGATGAAGACTTGATACAACTGGTTACGTCTTATCTCATCAAAAGGTTAGGGGAGGACTTGTCCATACGATCATGTGCTGCAACTGTTTTTTCGCATTTGGACACCAAAATTGTGTTGAAACAGTTACTGCCCTTATATTTATCTAAAAACGAGAAAGAGAGGTCAGCGGCTCACGAAGCACTTGTCAAAATCATGGACAGCAATGTAGAAAACCCCACTGCCTTTCTGGACGTTATTGATTGCATCAAGGATATCATGATTGAAAACAATAAGGATGTTGAGAGTACAAGGAAACAATTAGCAGAAAGAGTGATGACCTTTTTACCAAAATATTTAACACAGCTCTCTCCCTCAGCAACCAAGCTATTAGTTACTAGTACTATTATGAAATTTTTCGAGTTTAACAGTGATCCAATATTAGTGTTCATGTTGAATAAGATATTGAACTTTACTCTCACCGTAGAACATAACACTAACACCACCACCGAGGATGAATATCTGTTAAACACCAAAAAAGAATTACTTATTACTATCATTGAACTGGTACTTAAGAAGCTAATTCAAGAGCATAAGTTGGCACAAGACGAAAATTTAACAATATTTGACGAGTTAGCTCCTCTATTGGTTCTGAAGACTCTTCCTGTTTCTATTTTCTTTTATATACATCCAAGTGAGGACTATGACAATCTATTTATGAAATTATTGAAAATTTTGATTTCCTACCTTAAAGATCATACTGCAGCAGAGGAGTTGCGACGAGTTGCTGCTGAGGTGGCCTCGAAGCTACCACCACGTCAAACACTGCACACATTTATTGATCATTTTGTCAAGTTTATTGACAGTGAAAATGCCACAGACGCTCACCTCAAGAAGGCAAAAGCTTTCATATTTTGCATCTGCCAGTCGATTGCGCTCTATGAAGAGGATCCCTACATTTTTTCTTTTCTCACAGAAGACAAGAAGTTAATTTCTACTTTGAAACAAGTCTTGATGAAACGAACAGATAATGAAGAATTCACCAAAATTCAACAAGGGTGTATGGATTGTTTGAGTATGATCATCAAGTACATGTTGAACTATCCACAACATTCCACATTCATTTCAGAAACAATTTTACAGATACAAGACAAGACTACCCATTCTGCAATCATTCAAGATGACAGCAATACCATACTCAGGATAGCATTCAGCAACATTGTGACCAAGACTTCAAAGATTTTACCTCTCAAACATCAACTCACTTTTGCAACGATTATCATTCCATATTTAGTGAAAATTTTACTTCAACCAAGAAGAGAATCTCTTTCTGGGGAATTATCAATACCATTATTTGCTTCTTCGCTTCAGGCATTGCTGAATATCATATATCAAATCAAATCAGCTGTACACCCATTCTCGAAAATGATTCTAGAAGCTCTTTCCAAGTGCCTCTCTGATACAGATGGCAATATTCGATTATTTGCCCTCAAAACTTTGAGTGCCATTTTGTATGCACGTGAAGACGTTCTCACCGATTATCAAACCATATTCGAATTTGAAATATTGAAGAAAGTGAAAGGAATGGCCTCTATTGAGAGCAACATTGAGGCGAAAAAGTTGGCCACTGAGTTGTGTAAAATCATGGGCATCCAACTACAGTAGTGAATTTTCCTTTCAATCGATAAGAAATTGCGTCTTTCGTGGAATGGCGCCAAGAATGTACAATGACTGAACTTTGAAAAAAAAATTCAAATCATTCACTGTACGAATCGAATGTCGGAAACATCACTCTTGAAAATCAAGCTTCAAAATAAAGCGAGAGAACAGCAAGAGAAGCAAATACAAGATCGGAAAAAGGAATATTAGTGCTGATGATACGATACTTGTTCGATAATGGGTAAGTGAGAGAAGAAAGGCCAATGAATTCATACTTCTTAACATCTTACAATCACTTCGGAATACAAAGTTATTTGGAATCAGCAGAGAAAATGCAATCGGAAACTGGTATTTCATTGAAAAAGTTTGATACAGCCGACAATATGGATCTCAACACTGTATTGATTGTAGGTGTTTACTGTCACTTGAGTCACTTACAACTCTATTATTAAGGAATTTGAGGAATATTATCAAATGAAGTTTATGAAAAAACCTAAATTATTTAGAAAAATCCAAAGTGGAGATGAAACAACTGAATATGGGCGAGTTCCACCATCAAAATCGCCTTCTACCTCACCCCCCTCAAATATTCCGACCACCAGTAAGCCAACATCTTCCATACCACAATCCACAAAAACAGAGCAACCACCAACATCTAAGGGTGTTGTAGCAACAAAATCAGCTCTTGCATCAACAAGATCAAACAAACCAAATCAGCAACCAGTTCAGGGAAACACAAACACCAAAACGACACAACAAAAAGAGGAAAATAAGGAAAATATGGCAATTGATGTTTCTGGAAGAAAAATTGAAAACAAGCCAATTCTAAAGAAGGCAGTTTTAGAAAACGATGATAGTGATGATAGTGACGAGGATTTCTTCGAGGATCGATTATTAAAACCTCTTCCTGAGAATTTATTTTTCGGAGATATGAGAGAGCTGGCAGAATCAATCCGAAGAGAAATTATTGTTTCTAATCCAATGGTACACTGGAATGACATTTCTGGGCTAAGTTATGCAAAGCAAATGGTTAAAGAAGCAGTGGTTATGCCACTTAAATATCCACAATTTTTTACAGGTCTATTGACTCCTTGGAAAGGAGCTCTTCTGTTCGGGCCTCCTGGAACGGGTAGGTAGTATTTGAAGCACAGGTTAATTTGTCTTACATTTTTCACACAAGGTAAGACAATGTTGGCAAAAGCTGTAGCAACTGAGTGCAAAACGACATTTTTCAACATTTCAGCAAGCTCCATCGTGTCAAAATGGAGAGGAGACAGTGAAAAATTGGTTCGGGTACTATTTCAATTAGCACGACATCATGCACCTTCCACTATTTTTCTGGACGAGTTAGATTCAATCATGAGCCAAAGGGTTTCTGCAACAGAACATGAAGGCTCGCGAAGAATGAAAACAGAGTTATTGATTCAAATGGATGGGCTGTCGAAAAGTAATGATCTAGTTTTCGTGTTGGCAGCCAGTAATTTACCTTGGGATTTAGATCAAGCTGTGTTGAGACGATTGGAAAAGAAAATTCTAGTTGGACTGCCAGACAGAGAGTCAAGAAAGTCAATTTTTAAAAAGTGTCTTACTTCTGACAGGGCAGAATTGAATGAAAACGACTACGATACTCTGGCAGAAATGACTGAAGGGTATTCTGGGTCTGACATTACGCTTGCTTGCAAGGAAAGTGCAATGATTCCTGTTCGAAAGATATTCAAACAACTCGAACAATTAGAGTCTCAAACAGCTAATAATGCGACTCAAGGAAAGAGAGACATGACAGCAAAACCGCAAGAATTACCGCCGATGGACAAGGTCAAAATGAAAGATATTGAATCCTCGCTCAATATCATCAAACCAAGTGGAAATACCTACGAAAAGCACTATGCAGATTGGCAACAAAAATATGGTATTTAATTTAACAGCCGTCATCATTTGTGAATATCTCAGAAAATAATTACAATCCCTTGTTGAAATAGAAAGTTGTGACCTTCTCTCCGTTTGGATTAGTTGCATTGTGGAATTGTTCTTCCAAGTCTGTGTTCTTGATTGGACTCATTTGTGGGAAAATTCCGATACCCAATGGCAAGAAAGCACCAATAAAAACTGTCAGCAATGCCAAATTGGCCAATTGCTTGGACATGGCACTCTTCAAAATTCCTCTTGATTCCATATAATTCATCAACATGGGTTGAACGATCATACTTGGAGCAATAAGAAGAATACGAGAGGTAATTGTTTGAGCAACTCCGAGACGTCCAGCAACTGCGCTCTTTCCATAAGCATTTCCGTCCTTGTCAAAAACAGTAATTCCTTGTGTCATCTCCTCTCTTCTCATCATACCAATATTCAAAACGTTGGCAACAGCAACGGCAGTGAATGGTACAATACTCAACAAGGTGTTCTTGATGGCTGGTTTAAATGCGGAACGTTTAACCCATTCATTCAAACCAACTGCGGTACCTACAGAGCTACCAACTGCGGCTAAATAATTCTTGAAAAGAGTAGCGTTGCTCACTTCGTTGGAAGCATTTCTATTGGCATAATTCACACAAACGTTACAAGTTTGATTTACAGTTTGCCAAAATATTGTACTTGGAATAGAACGAGCAGTCAACATTCCAGAAACAATCAACAAGTTTACAGGAACAAAAGCACTCATACGGAATGCTGGGAAGATGGGTTCCTTGGTATCGGGATGGATGGATGATTGTTTGAGCTTCATGGCATAATAAATTTTATCGGGAGCATATTTTGGATTTGTTTGCAACTCTTTGATATCTTGTTCTGCTTTATAATCATCCAAAAGTGAGATGGCTCCTTTGAGTGTAGAATTTGTTACGAGCAATGTTCTTGGATCAGTAACATTGAAGAAGTGAATAACACGTCCCCAATAAGTATTCTGATCGTATCTGCTCTCATCAACGTTGATTTTCTTGAAGATGGATGATGGTGTAATGGCTGTTGTTGCTGCAGGAGTGCTCATTTTTTTTGTGTTCGCGTTGTAAATTGGAGGCCAGCGCTATTCATCAAAAAGTGTCATCCTTTCTTGGTGAGTCCTGTTTTACAACTCTAGTTGACACACAAACAATCTGCAACGTTCACAAGTTCACAAAATGTTAACACGAAGAGGATTTGTCCAATACAAGCTTGAACAATTCATCAAAGGATATTTTTTATCCATATTTAAAGCTTTTTATTGTCAAACAGAATTTTCTGAGTATTCAATCAAGACTTTAATAAACCCTCGTCTATTGCAACACGCAGAAAACCAAAAGAGCGTTCTTACTTGTCATTGAGTGCAAGATTTTGATAAGCATTTTGAGATATTCGTCTTTAAGGAATTTTACATCAGCATCGGTTTTTCCAATCATTTCATTTCCATGAGCAACAATAATACTTTGCCAATCCCATTCATGTACAATTCTATGCAACTCTTGTTTTGTTTTTTCCTTATCTTGCACCATGGCTCGAAATGTGACAGGAATGACAGGACCTTAAGAATTTCATCCATTGTTATGTCCACAATTCATCATCAAATCTACATACCTTTACCATAAATACCGATCAACTTGGCATATCTAAAGATAAAAGGAGTGTGATTAGGATCATCAACATGGACAGGAACTGGTTCTTTGTAATTCATAACCATGTCACAGGCAATTAAGGTTTTGGTTGGTTTGTGAAAGAGAACCACTTCTGTAAGATAAGGCATTCCTGAAACTGTTTGAAGCTCAAATTGAGATTGCCAATGTAAAGGCCATTCAGGAGGTACGGATCGATTGTCTGGTGGCAACGTGTGAACATGTTTGACAATTTCATGCTTGTCCAAATTGGGAAACTCTGTTTTCAATTTTCCATATAAATTCTCGATAATGCTTTCCTTAATATCATGGGGACAATAAAACACTGGATATTCGCTCTTACTACTATTTGAATTTTGCAAAATAAACTTGGCAAAATACTGTCCTGCAAAAGCCACATGTTCACGACTTGGAATGATAATCATTTTCACTTTTCCTAATCGATCCAATTCTCGTTGCACTGTATCGGTCAAGGCCACAACATTGTACAGACACAATTCACTCTCCATATGATCATGACCTTCTCGATGTGTTTCAGAAGAAGGATTCAACTTGATAACGGCCATCGTACTGCTCACAGCCATAGGAAGACTTTTCATTTGAAAATGATGAACATGGGTCCATAAACATTCATCTCCACTGTTGGGATCTTGATGAATCAATCGGAATGAATGGGCATCAAAATTCTGATACGTAACCTTCTCTTTAGATTTGAGATAGAAATAGGCTCCTGTTAGAATTGAAACCAATCCGAGAGAGGAATAAAAACCAAATTGTAAGAATCGTTGACTCCAATGGGATCGTTGTGGATGATCGGGGCCAGCTCCTTTGTAGTCGGCTTGAAAAGAATGGCTTGTATGAAAAGATCTCTTAAGAGTCAGTGCAGTGTTGTTGTAGATTCTATTCTTGTTTGAAACAAGATGTGAAAAGGAAGGGATATGGTTGACCAAAAGCTTTCGTTTCATTTTTTTTGTAATTGACGAAATTTCACTGACCAAAGCTCAATCAAAATCCAAAACAACACCTTTTTTCGTCAAACAAGTGATGGAACATTCCAAGCCGATCCTATTTTTAAAGCCTCACAGAACAGGTCTGAACGCAAAAAAGTCTTGAAAATTGGAATGCTCGTTCAGATCATGAAAGCCTAACGTAGATGTTATTTCCCAGAACAAGCGTCAATGTGACATTAAGGAAGCTATTAAGAAATCTCTGTAAAGCTCTCAAGTAGACTTTAATGAGAACAAATTCAACATAAACCCTAAATCAAGTTACTCGTACGGCCGAATCCAAGAATTAATTATTAGACGCCAAACGTCGTAATAATCGAGAGATCATCGTACAAGTTAATATTAAGGCAACTCTCCATCGTCACAAAAACATGTCAACAAATATTTGTCAAACCGATTGTATTTGGAAACTAAACAACCTTCCACCTTAACACACAAAAGACTCTTCAACTGAGAGGTTTCACTAACTGAACAATTCGCTCCTTTCCAAAAGGAGAATTCGTGTCGTTTCCACCTTGTGTCATTGTTCCTTTTGAAATCACATTTCAAAAAAAAACAAACAAACACCAAGTATGCGTTCTTGTTCACACGCCGCATGGATTACTCTTCTTGCTGTGTCCATCATGATGGTAGCCATTGCTGTCCAAGCAGCTTTGAATCTTTCACCATCAGCCACTTCCACACAACAATCAAAACACCTGTAATGAACCACCAAAAACCATCACCCGTGTCATCCTTTGTCATGACCAAATTGAATGACAAGATCGAATCCGAATTATGTCCAACATGTGTCTATTTGTTGGATTTTGCTCTAGCTGATTTGGAAGCTGCTGTTGATGCAGGCACTGTTTTTTCATGTATGAGCTTGTGTAAAGTGGTAGCTCCCTATGGTCCTTACGTCTATGCTGGATGTGAAGTCGTGTGTACAGCTGTTGGTGTGAATGCTTTCATTGCTGTTTTAAAGAAGGCTGACTTGGATCCCATTTATGGATGTCAATTATTGAATGTTTGTCCCGTTCATGATTGTACAGCCAAGACATGTGCTACCTTTACCAACGCAGGAGTTATTCCACAAGTCTCTCCAATGGGTGGTAAAGTCATGGCCTATGCACGTTTGAATGTTTTCAATGAGTCAGGTCCTGGACAAGTTGTGTTGAAAGTGACAGGACCATTCTCAGCACCTGACATAACCAGTCGTTATTATCAAGCGGATGGATTCATGCCAGGAGCTTATGAAGTGAAATTTGAGATTAATACCAATGATAATGATGGAACTGGACTCCTCTGGTTCAAGGGAAAGTACAATGTGCAAATCAATGCATGTGAAGGTGAATGTGGTGCTCATCGACCTCATTCTCGTCTCATAGCTCAAGCTAATACTTTTTTCAATTTGACTGATCCTATTTATTAATGAATTCTTCCATTCTTGAATTCCATGGAGTAAATAAATAAATTCATAATTGTCAAGGTTCTTCTTCACTTTCATCATCTTCGAGTGTGTGTTGTTTGACATGTAAGCGTATGATCAATGATTTATTGCTGAGGTTCTTCTCTTGTCGTTTTTCTCAGATTTACAGCAAATGGAAGAGAGTTTTCTTGTGCTTGATTAGGTTTCATCATGATTCGATTCTCTCTTCGATCCTTAAAAGCTTGTCCACTCATGATACTTTGTTTTCGTTCTCTCATGGCTCTGTGCCGAGCAGAATTGGGTCGATTCTCATCCTCGGCAGCACCAGCACTACCAGTAGTAGAGAAGACCCTACAGACTCTTCGGATTGTTTGAGTCGATTTTGTTTCTCTTCCAACATCTTTTGTTGTTGTTGTCGTTGTAATTGTCGTTGACGTTCCTTCTTTTGTCTCTTCTTTCGTTCGGCAAGTTTCTGTCGAATGTATTCCTCAAAACCTGTCATGAAAGCATCGAGGAATGAAAATACTTGTCCAAATAAATCGGTAGGATTCTTACACACGACCTTATCATCCTCAGCAAATTGTTCACATATGGTTTTCAAACTTTGTTCAAGTTTCGATGAAATGACACTCACCACATGCATGTCATTCTTGGCTACCTTTAAAAACTCGGTCATGGTTCTGTAGAATTTATCCGATTGTTTGTTCTTCCAATCTGGAAGTTGTAATTCCTTTTCGAGAGAAGCAACACCTTCTCGAAGTTTCACAACTTCAGTATTCACATCAGGTAAGGAAATTCGAATGGCATCTGCCAAATTACCAAAATCTTCTCTAATTTTCAAAACATCTGGATTCTTGGCCATACAGTGAATACCAATGTATTGAAGAAGAGTGGTTTTACCATCGATGGCTTTGGTTTCTTTGAGTTTGTTTAAACTTCCCAATGTAAAACCATAGGCATCTTTCTTGGATGAGTTGGCATTCAAAAAGTTTGCCATGGCTAAAACAATGGTCAATAAATCTTTGAATTTCTTACTTCTGAGAATTTCTTGAGAGGCATAATGTAAGGTTTCCAAATCTGGAATAATTTCTGGTATGGTATTTTCAAATTTGGATTTAAAGGCCCAAAAGTTCAAACGACTTTGTAATCGAGGAACGTCCTTAATGGCCAAATAGAATTTATCTGATGCTGCCAACAAGTCACGATCTCCATCGTAGGCCAAAATTGCTTGAATTTCTTCATCGGTTGGAGTCTTATCTTTGAGTGATTCAATATTTTGTTGAGTGAGTACTTCTTCATCCATTTCCAAAATGGCATTCTTAATTTCAGAATATTCAAGACGTAAATAACCCAAAATAATGGACAAGTTGTTGGATTTTTGTGGATCAATAAAAGTGACATAGTCTTTCTTTTTACGTTCCTTTTTCTCTTCCTTCTTTTCTTTTGGAACGTTCGAGAAGAGTTCTTCCAATTCATTTGTGTTCAAATCAACTTCCTTAGTCTTTTCAGCAAGTCCTTCCTTAATCCAAATGGTGCTTGCAACTTTTGTTTCTTGATGGCATCTCCATAAAAGTTTTTCACATTCTTCTTGGGAACTCGTTTGGGTAAATCTGGTAATTTTGCTTCGGGAGGTTTGTTAGCAACACCCATGGGTGGAGGAGGAACACCACCGCCCATACCAGGTGGAGGAGGGACGCTACCACTCATACCTGGAGGAGGAGGAACACCCATACCAGGTGGTGGAGGTGGAATGTCACCCGTTGATCCACCCATTCCAGGTGGAGGAGGAGGAATCGACGAGGAAGATGAATCAATTGCACCAGAAGATGCATTGTTCCCAACGATTCCACCATTTCTCTTCAATTCTTCAATCAATAAATCTCGATCTTGAATGGCTTTTAACAATTCCTTATTTTGTCTTTCTAATTCTTCGAATGGAGATTTAAGAGTTGGATCTAATTTGGAAGAAGAGGTGACACCTCCCTTTTTAAGAGTTTCCAATTCCAATGTTAAATCATCACACTTTTTCTTACTCTTTTGAAGTAGAATTTTAGCCATCTTCTCAGATTTGAGTACATCTGGAATTGGATCCAGTTTGGCAGAAAACATGGAATCATGAGTCAGTGAATACAGCATGTTATCAATACTCTTCCAACTGTCCAAAAGAGTTTTTTCATTCTTTGCACTCTCTGATGAATCTTTGAGCAATGTTTGTGAATAATCCAATAAATGTCTCAAAATATTTCGATAATGTGTGAAACCAACACTGCTACCACCTAATCGAATCAACAATAATTTGGAAATTTGAAGAGGATCAGTCAGAGATTTCACATTCAAATTATCATCACTGGATTCCTCTTCTTCATCGTCATCCATGAATCCAGACATCATTTCTTCCTCAAAGGATCTTATTTGATGTTTCAGATTTTGATCCTTAATGACATCATTTTCAGCATCTTTTTGAAGTTTGGTCATTAAATCATCCAATCCAAAAGTTTTGAGTTCATTTCTCAACAACATTCTGATGGAAGTATCTTGAGGAGAATTGATTAATGAGTTAAAAAGTGCCAAAATAAATGCTTTGAGCTTTTCATCCTTTTCATTCTTCAGTGCATCAACGAGATCTGAAAATCTCTTAATTTCCTTGTATTCAAGTTTGTATTGGTTCAATGCTTCCAAGACTGCCCAAAATCCAAGTTCACTAGAAGTACAAATTAACGTAAGTGCCTCTAACGCTGTCATTCTTGTTTTGATGGATTCCTTATTATTCAACAGTCTTGCAATAGCATTCACAGTCGATGGATATTTGATAAATCCATTAAGAGCTCCAAGATCGATCAACGTGCTACAACAATTCAAAGCTTGTTCTTGAATACTTTTTTCGTTAGCTCCTTTAAATGGTTTGTTTGCTTGTAAAATAATTTCTCCCAAATAGAATGATCCCTTCTCATTCACAAATTTGTTACACCATTTCAAGGTTTTTCCTTCTAACTTTTGATTTAAAGATCTCAAATACTCTGGTGTTGGATTTTCAATATTTTCTTTCAATTTTGCAATCTGTACCAAAACTTCTTCTTCAATAATGTCATCGTCTTCATCCGAGTCATCTTCTGGAGAAACTGAAGATCTTCTGGAAGGAGAGGACGACGAGTGCAATGAATTTGAAGATGAAATTTTCGAAAGTGAAGAAGATGAAGAATTATTGGCCAATGATGAAGTTTTTGGTAAATTCGAGCTTGAGCTCACATTGCTACTTTTCACAGGTGTTGTTGGAGAAGAGGTTGTCATTGCAGGTGAAGATCCGCTCGTTAAATTTTTGTCATCTTTTTTCAACACCGATGTCACACTGGGTGAAGTTGTTGATTTGGTTGTGGAAGAAACTGAAGGAGAAGAAGGTGATGTAGTTGTTGATGGATCTTCTTGTTTGTTTCCTCCTCCAAAGAATCTTCTAATTCTTGAAGTGGCTCCCGATGTTGTTGGAGATTCCGATGAAGAATCGGATGAGGTGGTGGCAGTTGTCACAGATGATTTTTTCACAATTGTCGGAGTCGATACAACATTTGATGTTGTCGTGGCAGTAGTAGTAGTCAATGTGGATGATGTTGTCGTGGCAGAACTTTCGGATGGTAAATCCAAAAATGGTCCCTTATATCCTTCAGTGTTATTTGCTTTTACATGATTCGATAGTTCAATAATAGATAACAGAACTGCATTCATGTCAGCATTCTTGTGAAGAGCTTTTAGAGTCCAATCGAGTTTAATTCCCACTTTTTGAACTTGTTGCATGAAATAGGCAATATTTTCCATTTCTTTGAACATGACACCTTTGGTTTCCTTGTTGTAAGTGGGCATTTTGGTACATCGGAGAGCTGAGATTAAACTATTATTCATGATGATGATGATGAAAATTTGAAGATTCCAAAAATTTGTTAAAAGAATGATCATTTTAGAATTTCATTCAGAGAGTGTGAAATTTCATCCACAATCAATAATATTCATTCTCATCATCCATTCAGAATTTTGAACATACCCACATAATAAAACGCCATCTTTTAATGAAGTGTAGGGATCGTTCGGTTTTGAGTACTTTTCTCCAGTAACCTTTTCAATCCATTCTCTGATGGCTTCTTTTTCTTGTTCCGTGACTTTACGGGACATTTTGGATCAGCAAAAGCAAAATCAATGAGTGACTAATACACACACAATGACGGGAGTTGATGAGATCAGCAGATGTCTGCTATTGAATTTTTTTGACAGCTGTTGGCGTCGCAGGAGAAAGGAGATTGATTTTGCCACTGCATCATGTGAGTTCGAACTCAATGAGTCCCATGATGTGATGAAACACTCTTCAGATGCGAGTGCATTTCCCTTCATGCATCATTTATTTTGATCCTCAAGTCCGATGCCTTAAAAACATGTTGAATATTCAACAAGTGAATAAAAAGAAGAGCATCTACACCCCTCAATTCAATAGACACACATTTTCACTTGCACAATGGAGAATTTTCAACTCGTGGATGTTATCGGCGCTCATCATGATGATGATGAAGAAAATACACATGACGACAATGACGACACAAATTCCTTGCTTCATTTCCCATGTGATGTAAAAATTTCATACCTTCTCAATCTAGTTATTGTGAGCGATACGGAACATTTACGATTGTGTTTTTTCGATTTGGATACTTTGGAATTCAAATCCTCTCTCGTGGTGAGTGATCAATGGCGTCCTTTTATTTAGCCATTGAAGAGAATGTCCATTCGTCTTGGAATTCCGAATCAGTCAAAGGTACAAAGACGACGAGTGGTCCATCCGAGAGATTCACATCTTGTACACGGGAGAGACTGGAGGAGTTTATAAAATCAAAATTGAAGAACTGGATCAAGAAACACAAGACGACTCTACTTCCAAGTATTCGGTTCGTCATTGTTGGTGGAGGAGGGCCATGAATGCCCATGATCCCATCTATGGAAAGGATTTAATGGGAACTGTGAAGGGATTGTTTTTGGAACAAAATCGTAATAGTAATACTATGGAGGACAATCTCGTGTATGTGTGTGATGGAGGTTTTTGCAATCGTATTATTATTCTCAAATCATTGGATGGAACGGTGGTCAAAACTCTTGATACGTTTCAAGTCGAATTCATACCTTCATTGATTAAGGATGTTGGAATGGAACAAGTAGTAGTAGTAGGCTTGGAAAATCCAATTTCAATTACCATGGGTAGAATTCCATATGAGGACTACGAGTTGAGCACAAGTGAGGAGAATAACATGCTGGTAATTGGAGAGGCTGGAGGAAGAATTAAAGTATTCACTACTCGTACCTCCTCAAATGAAGAGAATGAAGGATCAGAATGGAAATTGTACAAAATATTCGATTTGAATGAACATTTCGAACAGCCATCACTTGAGAGTGACAATGAACACTCGAAACAAGATTCTGAAGCTGAAGAACAACAGCAACCATTTGAAAATGACAACAATGAAAACTCAAAAGAAGACCAAGATTCCGAAGAAAATAGTGAGCCTTTGAACTCGTACTACTTTAGCTCCTTGTTGTTGGACGAAGAGAGTGGAAATTTATATGTTGGAGATGAAACCAATCATTGTATTCATGTGTGGAATGTGAAAAGTGGTGAATTTGTGGAAACTTTTGGTCAGTATGGAGAGGAAGAAACTGCGGATCAGTTTAACTGCATCACTGGAATGTGTTTTGAAAAGCACAAGAAATGGTTCTTTATGGTGGATTGCGAAAATAATAGAATTAAAATCTGTCAACCATAAAAAGGTCATGTGACATGACTCAATGATTCAAAGAAGAGATATTCTTTCTTCTTTTTCTAATTGGAGTTCTTGTTTTACGAGAGCGTACTGGAATGGGTGAAGCATCAGAGGAAGAGAAGGGAGAAGCTTGTAGTTTCGAACAACAATCAGAGGGTCGTGTGGAGTGTACTTGTTCTGTAGATGATGACAACGACGACGACGGTGATGCAAACAAACTTGGAGAGCTATTCGACAAACTTCTCTTCAACAATGAAGAATCTACTTTGGATGACTTGACTGGAGTCGATGGAGCCTCAAGACCATAATTCTCATGTTCTTCATGAGAGGAATGATCAAGTGTCTGAATGGAATTGTGGTTGTGGTTGGTGGATGATGGTGTTGTCTCACTTGTATTCCTTTGAAAAATCAAACAATCCTTTTCAATGACCTCATCCACAATGAGACCCCATGATTTATGACCTTTAAAACCAGCAACATTGGAAACCATCACCCAAGTAATTTTGTGTCCTTTCTTTGCCTTCTTGGCATATTCTGAATTCTTTTGTTTGTTTTGTTGCATGAATTTGGTTCCATTGATTTCAAAATAGTGACATTGCTTGTTCGTCTTCTTTTCAAACACTTGACCTTCAATTTCTACTTGTTTATGTGTGGAATTATGAAGAGAGTGATGAATGTTCATAATGGTCGTGTCATCCAACTTGACAAAACTGGTTGTGTGGCAATCGAGAGCTTGACAAGATGTTTCAATCGAGTCTCCAATGATGAGTCCCCATTGTGTGCCCATGACCATCCATGTAATCTTCTCACCGTGATGAGAGGCCCGTGTTCCATACTCGGAATTGGATTTGGGATTTTGTTCAATGAAACAAATGTTTTCAACAAATGTATATTTACATTGATTACAAGATCGTAACAAGATGGGATATGACACGGAGGGAAGATCTATGAAATCACCCACTTGTTTGTTATGAAGTTGATGATGAACGGAAAGGGCTGTCGATGTTTTCATGGTGGCACTTTTATTAAATTTTATTTATTATTCAAATTTTCAAATTTTAAATGTAACGGTCAAATCCAAAGAAGTAGGATAAAAAACTTTTATTATTTAGGTTTCAGACAAAATACAAGTGAAGATATTGGAAATATTGAGATTACACGTTGAGATGTACATCTCAGTTCAACTCTAATTTAAAGGAAGCATTGCATTTCCTTTTCAGCTGCTTCTTCCACTTCACCTGAAACATTATTCTTCAATGCAGCAGATTTGACTTTACGGAATTGAGGGAAGAATGGAATGGAGCAACAACAAGCAATGGTAAAGAATCCCAAAATGAAAGGAAGGAAACACCATCCGAGACTGAATTTGTCTTGATCCTCTGTTGGGAGTGACAACTTCACACACAACAAAATGGATGTAATGAGTGCCATAATCAAGAAAATAATCATTCCGATATAATAAATAGATTTGAAAATACCATCTCCGTTAACATCTCCCTTCTTGTAAACTAATTTCAATTCCAAGAATGCTTTGATGGAATACAGAATGGTACCAATTGCCCAAATGACGAAAATTGGAATGAAAACAATCCAGTATGATACAGGAGGGAATGGCAATTCAGAGAATGGCACTTTTTGATCCAATCGAGCAGAAATCAAGAAGATAAAAACTGCAATCAAAAAGAGGACGCAAACATAAATTGCAGTGAAGGTGACGTTTTTGTTGTCATGTTGATATGGATTGCTATCGTCTTCACTTGGTCTAACGAAGGCCTTCAACAAACCTCCGACTAACCAAAGAACGAGGAAGAGTGTGACATCCCATGAACGTTGTCTATTTACAAATATTGGGCATATGAGGAGAATCAATGGTGTCAACAAGTAATGTTGTTATTGTACATGAGCATGTCAATGAAGTGTTGTTGATGACGAAAAATTGACGCGTTCATGACATTGAATAAATATATATTTTCAATGTGATGATGGGCAATGTGCACACACAACAAGATCATCAGTCATTAAAATAATCATCATGATGAGCCAATGTCATCAATATGCATCACGAGAATAAATCATTGTTTTCATGAGTTAACAACAAACCTCATGATCATTTGAAACAACATACCCTTGAAGTACCTTAATGTTTTGAAGTGGGAATAGAATGGAAACTAGAATTGGCATACCAAAGAATAGTACCAAGTTGATGAATACCACTGGGAAAATGAGACAGTATGCGACAATCCAAAATACTTTTCTTGTATGTTTGAACGATATCACTACATAGATGGAGAAAATTGTCAGCATCAAACCAAGCATGAAAATGAAGAAAATCTCAACAGGAACGAAAACAATAAACATTGACATTGAAGGACTATTTCAATAAATGATATTGGTGTGATTGTGTGAAAAAAGTACAATGGACAACATGATGATGTGTTACATGATAAAAGATGATCATTGGTCATGTCCAACGAACAAATACAACAAAATGAAAACCTACACTGAGGAACGGATCGCTACAAGGATCCAGAAAATGACCGACAGTATACTTTCAATCAGAGCAATGATGTTTATCATTGGCACAATTCTGTGGACTGGTGGTTTACCGAACAACTTGGCATCGGTGTTGTCTGTAATTTCGATGAAGGCCGTAACAAAGCCCTTGTAATAGTCATACGCTACAGAGGTGATAAACATTTTTTTCTTTGGTGATTCGTTGGTATGTTTTCGACCGAATTTTGTTGACAGGCGACAGCGATAGACAACGTCACTCACATTTCTTCAATTTAGTTGGGTCCCTCAAACAAATGTCTCACTCTTCCCTCAAGGAAGACGGACCTCAAATCCATGATCATTTTCAACGAAGGTGCTCATCTTCAGAGATCCATTTGTTCTGTATATTACCTGTAACTCCTTTTTCAAATGCTGGATGTTGTTAAAACCCTCTAATGGATTTCCAAAACCTGGTAAATCAGACATTGACAAATCCTCCTTCTGAATAGTAATAGTTGATGATTTGGAACTAACAAAACACTGAAGAGGAACTGTAACATCGAGAAGCGCCCGAAACTCTGGGTTGAATACTCCATATCTTGCATTAATAATAATAAGGCCATCCTTTTGCTTTTCCCTATGTTTCGTTGTCTGATACAAACCATCCAGCTTTTTCTGTTTGAGTTGAACTTGCTTCTTATTTTCTATAAATCTAATACGATCGTCTTCGGACCAAGCAGATCCTAACTCTTTGAACACCTTCTCGGATGATGGTTTCATGGTTGAAAGTGCTCTTGGATTTGGAGTTACTCCATAACAAATTGCCTCACTTATACGTTGATCCCAAAACTCTTTATCATCTTCGGAATAGTCAAATGTTTTATTCCATGATGTGAAGAATGCTTTATACAAGTAAAAAAACAGTGCCACCACTCCCAATATTGCTACAATGGTCATTGATTCAAATTTTAGAAATTTATTATGTCGTAATTGTTGGGCGCGAAATAAGAAAATCTTGCTGTGACACCTATCAACAGTTGCAAGCTGTTATTCAAAACTTCAAATTCATAAACTCGCTCAACAATACGTAATGTACCAATTGTACGCAAAAGAATCTGCATTTTAAGAGGTTCCGCACTCCATTACCCAAGTCCTGTTTCCATAAAGATATTCATTAGAAAAAAATGCTCGACAACACCCCTTCAAGATCATGCTGTGTTTTATATGGCTCCCAAACTGGTTGTGCTCAAGAAGTAGCTGAAAGAATTCAAAGAGAAGCAAAGAGAAGACATCTCCGAGTGAAGTTGAGTGCATTAGATGATTATCCGATTGAGAATTTAGCGTCGGAACCTTTAGTAATATTTGTTGTGTCCACCACTGGGCAAGGAGACGAACCAGATAATATGAAGAAATTTTGGAATTTTATGAGGAGAAAGAGTTTGTCTTCGGAATGTTTGAAGAATGTAAAATTTACTGTTTTTGGATTGGGAGATTCTTCTTATTCGAAATTTAATTTTGTTGCAAAGAAGTTACACCGAAGATTACTGCAATTAGGAGCCATAGAATTTTACAATAGAGGACTAGCTGATGACCAGCATCCAAATGGTGTTGATGGTGCTCTAGTTGGTTGGTTGAGGGGCTTATGGGATAAAGTAATGATGATCTATCCATTACCAGCAGGTGTAGAGATTGTGTCCCCTCATGTTACACCAGAGCCAAGATATCGCATGGTCGTTTGTGACAAGAATAATGTTGATTTATCAAAAGTCAATTCATACATATTTAACACATCAAAATCTCATCAAGGATATTGCAAGGAAAACCCTTACATGGCCAGAATGATTGAAAATAGAAGAATAACTGCCGAAAATCATTGGCAAGATGTAAGGCATATTGTTTTTGAAAACGAGGGCCAGCCTCTCCCTTACGCTCCTGGTGACGTTCTAGCTATTTTACCAAGAAACACCAAAGATCAAATTGATCATCTGTTAAAACGATTGGCACTTACTGGTGAAGAAATTATCAGAATTGAAAGAATTGATCAAGATGCTCCAGAATTTCCATTTGGAAATCAACCTATTACTTTGTTCAATTTATTAGAGAAGTACTTGGATATTCAAGGAACTCCACGCCGATATCTATTTGAACTATTGAGCCATTTTGCCACTGGAGAAGAAAAAGAACGATTAGAATACTTTGGATCAGCAGAAGGCACCACAGATATGTATCGTTACAATCACAAAGAAAAGAGAACCTATATTGAGTATTGGATGATTTTCCAACTGCACAACCCCCTTTGGACTATCTATTGGATTTGATTCCTCAAATTAAGCCTCGATATTTTTCCATTTCTTCCTCTCAATCCATGTTTCCATCACAAATTCACCTTACTGTTGCAATTTTAAAGATCACGACACCATTTAAGAGAAGCAGGACTGGAGTATGTACTTCTTGGCTTGCATCCATTGATCTCAGCCAGCAGAAAGAAGTGTTAGTTCCTGCTTGGATTACTAAGGGTACCATGTCTCTTCCAAAAACACTATCCACTCCATTGATTATGGTTGGACCTGGTACAGGATTAGCTGCATTTAAAAGCTTCTTGCAAGATCGATTTGTGAAAGTTCATTCTGGCCATGGTGGAGATGTTATTGGGCGAAGTATACTATTTTTCGGGTGCAGAAATAAGGAAAAAGACTTTTTATATGCTGACGAATTGGTTAAAATGTCGAATGAGCCCAATTTTAACTTTTATCTCTTTACTGCATTCTCACGAGATCAGGAAACCAAAGTTTACGTTCAGCACAGAATTACTGAACAAAAAGATGTACTTTTTGACTTGATTGTGAATCAAGGAGCCTACTTTTATGTCTCTGGAAATGCCAAAGTGATGCCTGAATCTGTTTTCAAGGCCGTGAAATCAGTTCTTGTAAGTGGTGGCATGAATGAAGCTCAAGCTGATGAATATTTGAAGCAAATGGATACTTCAAAGCGATATCAAGTAGAAACATGGTAAACAATCACGATGTAAGAGATAAAACATGATCAGACAGACGTGATTGGAACCTTCACTAAGGAACCGTTATCCAATTTTTTGCGCCAATTTCGTCATCACATGTTAAAACTTTTTCATAAAAAATATCATGAAGCGAACGTTTGATGAGAGCGGCGTTGCCCACAACGAAAGTGATGATCAAATGAATCATCAAAATGGTAATGATACCAACATGGAACCAAATAACAAGAAGGTCAAGCAAACTGTGCTAGAGGTTGATTTTTCTAAATTCAAGGAAGGGGATATCATTACCGAAAGCGATGGCAGATATGAATTTAGAATGTTGCAAGGAAACTTGTGTCGGGTTCCTTTGGATAGACCTGTGAGAGTTTATGCCGATGGAATTTATGACTTGTTCCATTTTGGCCACATGAGATCGCTTCAACAAGCAAAAAATCTCTTCCCTGATACTCAACTGATTGTTGGCGTTTGTTCTGATGAAGACACATGGAGAATTAAAGGAAAGACTGTGCTGACAGAGAATGAAAGATATGAAGGAGTATCTCATTGTAGATATGTTGATGAAGTCGTTCAAGCTGCTCCTTGGGTTGTCACTCCCGAATTTGTTTTAGAACACAACATTGATTTCGTTTCACACGGAGAAGACCTTAGTGTTGATGAGAACGGAAATGACGTGTATGAAGGTTTGAAAAAGATGCACAGATTCCTCACAATCAAGAGAACTGAAGGTATCTCAACAAGCGACATTATCATGAGAATTGTAAAAGAAAGAGACACTTACATTGAACGTAACTTGAAGAGAGGATACACACCTGATCAACTAGGAATTGGGTTGGTTGGAAAAACCGTACACGGTGTGAAGCAATTAATTGGAGGCATTGTGAATGTATTTAGTCCTCGTAAGGCAAAAGCAGAGTCAAAAATTACTGAAGAAGAAAATAAGGAGGAAACAGATGCTGCCGAACCAACAGAAGGTGGAATTTTTGATGACGAAGAGGAAAATGGTGCTGAACAAGTTAGTGATCAAGCAGAAGACAAGGAAGAAATCGATACTTCTGAACACTAAGCCACTTTTCATAATATTTTCTACTTTCTTAACAAGAGAGATTCTTGTTAAACTAGTGCAAATCTAGCTCATAAATTATTTATCAAAATTTTCTTACACGATTCGCAAAAATTGGCTTGGCTCGCTTTGGAGCAGCTTTTGGCTTTTTGGACGTTGTGTTGGAGCTTGTTGAAGACAAGTAAGACGAGTTGTTGGAACCGGTTCGTTGCAGCATTGACGAATCAATTTGTCGTAAATTTTGATATTTTTCAAGCAAAGCCTTATCGATTAACACAATGTCCTTTTCTATCTTCTCAATATCTATTGAAACACCTGTTGACGGTACCGAAGTTGCAGTTTTCTTCTTCTTAGTGTCCTTAACTACCGTCTTTTCTTTTGGTGGAGAATTGGAGGCTTGCTTTCGCTCTATTTCATCTTGTTGAGAAGGGGATTCCCGTTTTTGAGAAATATTTGGGAGATGACCCAGCTTGATCTCCTTTTCAGTTTCGTTTTTTGCTTGCTTTTCCTCAACTACTTGAATTCTTACTCTCTTCATTTTGTTTGAGGGTGATACAACTTTTAAAATATTTAGATTTTCTTGTTGTGACAGGATTGATGATTCACATTCGTCTGTTGATGAACGACGTTCTATTCCTTTCAGAGCTCCATATGCTTCTGAAGCTCTAATACTTTCCCTATTGGCCATCTTCTCTGCCAGTAAAAACATGTCCGTGCTTGATGTTATACCTTGCAAATCCAACGATTCCAACACATTTAAATGCCGTATTTGTTTTTTTGTGATGTCTGCTGGAAGTATTGCTGTTTCTCTTTTCTCGTTTTTATGTAAGACTGGTAGTTTTGTTCCCTCCTCACTATATGGTCGTTGTTGATTTGTTGTCGTGGTAATTTTAGAAATTGGTAGGTTTTTCAGCTTGATTGCTGATTTAATTCTTTCCTTTCTTTCCTGTAAAGCTTTTTCAATCTCCAAATCTTTTTTTTCTTTAAGTTGAGCATCCATTTGTTCTTGTTTTTTCCTTCGCTTTGCTGTTTCTATCCTCAATTTTCTAAGTCGTTCCTCTTCTATTTTTCTCTTTTCCTCTTTCAATCGGAGATGTATTTCCTCTTCCGTTTCATGATGATTAAATTGTAAAATCCTCCCGTCATTTAGTTCAATAGCTTTCGGATTTGAAGAATTATTATTTGCTGATGAGGTTTGAGGGTGATGATGATGAACATAGGCAGCAGCATAAGCTCCTAACGTTGTCCTTGGATGGTGAGAGGTCATTCATGTATTTACAAATTTTATTTGAGAGATGTTGGGACCTGTGGCGGGAATTTCCAACCGAAGAGGATCAAAACTCCCTCTGACAGCCTAGTTTTTCGTTTTCAGGCATTCTTCCTATTTCCTGATACCCCAACAGCGCTGTTGAAAGAATGTTCTAAAGTTTATAGATTAAATCTTGACTCGTGTCATCTCAGGAAAAGGTCCATTGACATGAGAGTACTTAAACCAACTGTGATGACAGGTCAACACATTCTTCTGCTATTCCTTCAACTAAGGTCGAAAGACTCATCTCCCGAGAACCAGAATGTCCGTACTTGTTGGGAAGAGATTTTCTCTTGTTAGCATGATGCTAAACCTCTCTTAAAAAAACATCTCCTATCTGTACCATAGGCATCACACCAACAACAAATGAGTAGGCTCGGCTCGTCGAGAAAGAGCATCACAAATTCGGAATCATCTGAAATTGAATATATAAAAGAGCAAGCCTTGTTGCACGCAAAGAGGCTCAAACACTTAAAACTTGAAGAGCAAAGAAGGAAAGTGCTTGCTGGTACAGTCGATGAGAAAAAACTGCTTCAACAACAGCGGAAATTGGAGATTGATCATCATATTGAAATAAGGAAAAGGAATGAAGCGTTTGAGGAATGTAGTTCACAATTATCGGGACCAAGACCTGCTACAAATTCATCATTAGAAAGTAAAAAAGCGAGCTCTGCCCGATATAACAAAATAATGACCAACCAAGCCGCTCGCAAGGAATTTGAAAGGTCTATCATGATGGAAAATATCAAAATGCAACAAATGAAGCAGCAAATGAAACAAAAAGAAGGTGAGGAAGAAAGAAAGCAAGTAGCAAGAGGTATTGAATATTTCCACAATAGACCTCGCTCCTTCTTGTAATCTTTTTAGAATTAAATTCTTTCTACTGTATTGAAGTTACACTCTGGAATCTTGTAACCATTCATGATTTAGAATATCACTTGCTGTGAACCGTTTTGTCACGTCCTTCTCCAACAAACCCTTAATGAGAGAAATGCTTTGAGAATTCAACACTCCCTCTCTCTCAAGCTCATCTAACGGAATGTAAAATTGGCCTAAAATCTTGTCAATGGTGTTACGGAATGGATAATATCCGACAAGCATTTTGTACAACAACACTCCAAGAGCATAACAGTCGACCTCATTTCCCACGTATCTATCTGACAAAATCATCTCAGGGGAGGCATAATCCTTATTTCCACAAAATGAAGAATGTTTCTTTATATTGGGCATGAAGAAATCGCTAAAATGACGTAAGCGACTCATACAAAGATCTGTAAATTACCTACCTTAATCCAAAATCAATCAATCTGATATCCTGGTCTTGACCCAAGCACAGGTTTGCCAATTGAATATCCCTATGACAGATTCCTAATGTGTTGTGAATATAATGGATGGCATGTGCTATCTGTTTAAAAAATTTCTTTACAACGGTTGAAGGAAACATTTCTCGCTCTGAGTAAATTTGGAGTTACAATTTTCAAACGTGCCTATGTCTAACTAAACTCATGACTTACCTTCTAACGGATTCTCTAATGATCCATTAGCCATGTATTCCATTACAATATAATAATTTGTCTCTGTATAAATTACATCATAGAATTTACAAATATACTTCTTCCCAATATGTTCATCACCGTTCTTGAGAGAGTCAGACAACAATTTACAAATTGACATTTCACGATCGATAAATTCTTTAAGACGTTCCACATTATCAATATTCTTTCGCTTGAGCTCTTTAATTGCAACGAACTCTCCCGTGTCCTTGTTACTTCCCAAAAAAACTCTACCGAAAGTACCTCGGGCAATCAAATTCTCGGAAATAATGTATCGGTCACCAAGAATTTCAAAATTCTTTATAACTGCATCTCGAACAACTCCTTCTTCTTCCTTTAGTTCACGTAATGTTCTTTCTAGCTTCATCAAATGCTTGTCTTCAATGGACTCTGTGGTGAACCGTTTCACAGATCTATAGTAATTCATTTCCAAGTACGATATTTTCTCGGTGTAATATTTCAACAGAGATTCATGGCAATAAAATCTATCATAATTTACATAAACGTCAACGTTTTTCTTTGGGTTTGAAGACTTGCCGAAACTATTTCTTCGGGGTATGGACATTGTTGGTGATGAATTTCCTCGTTGTAACTCCTCATCGGTGATGTAGTTTAGGAAGGTTAATTCAATGAATTTAATCACAAGGTCCACATCTTCTTTTGTTTCGAGATAAAAATCTTCGAAATTCAAGAATAATAATTCAGCGTTCTGATGAAAATAAATTCTTGATTGCATAATTTTGGCAGTGGGTTTCACCACCTTTAACTTGTCTTTTGTTGATGGAGGGAGAGGAGATGATGATGAAATCGCTGTGATTACTGTGTCCGTATTTATCGGAGACTGAATCATATTGTCCGTTAGGTTATCGGTAAGTAAATTTGTCATTGTAGGAAGAGCTAGGTTGGACGATGAAAGCCTTTTCTTGATCAATTTCATTTGTGAATGTTGTTGGGAAGCGAGATCTGTATTGATGTTGTTATTGGAACAATTCACAGAGGGTGAATGATCAGAAACAAAACGGCTGGGTCGAGATGAGGGAGGGTGTTGCAGCATTTTTGTTGTGTTGTCCTTTTACAGCTTGATCAGGAGAACGGCGAAAAACAATTGTATCTACCGATGTTACTATTATTAAAAACAATAGGAGAATCGTCATTGGCTCAACGCTATTGAACTACTTTACCTTGTTTTGGCAAAATTTTCATCTTTTTTCAGTGTTTTTGCGTGCCATATCTTGGGCCTCATACGGAATATCAGATGGTCGGAAGTTTTAATCTCGTTGGTTGAGAACCAAGAAAAAATATCTCCCAGTCTCTGAGCTACAACCAGATCGTGTTGGCAATACAGGTATTAATACCAGCAGAACAGCAAGCAACAGAACAACATCAAATTTGGTATATACAAAACCGTTGTGTGTTCAAAGCCAATGAATATTCTCTTGGAAGCAACACAAAACCAACTCTCACAACAAATACAACAACAACATTCAGAATATTACCATCCACCGATCTTACTCATCAGCGAACACAACAAAGACAACATTACACAAAAGTACATGTTCCAAGATTATCAGCAAGCACCTCTGAGGAACATAAACACCAAACAAGAGAAGCTAGATGCCGACCACTACCCGTTATCACAAACGTTTTTGGCCGTTCCAATTCTACAAAAACGCTCCTTCAATCGATTTCAGGTGTGGTCTTTGTGGACGGTGGTTCCCAATTCATCTTGTTGCCGCGGTACTAGTCGATGCAAGCAAAATGAAGAGTTCCTTGCTGATTTGAGCTTTGGTGTTGATGATTCTTTTCGTAACCTCCTCTCTCCTATTTCAAATTTTCATCACAAACCAAGTTGTGTTATTATTTCTGCACTTGTTACTACTTCTGGACTAGTAGTGGTGTGGACGCATGCAAAGCAAACAACCGCACCGACGCGACTTCCAAGCCACTCGGTGAATCCAAAAAAATTACCTCACCGTCGAATCTTCTCGAGCATCAATAAGATCAAATCAACATTCGCACGAACATTACGTCTTGCTCGATCAAAGGCCATTCTTTCTTCCTTTAAAGACGTGATGACTTTATTTGAGCATGTACCGGATGGCAGCATTAAGACCACCATGCATGTGTATCATGACAACCCGTACATCGAATCAAGATCCCATCTCGACATGCCTCGAAAAAGCTCATTCTCGCCTTCTTTACCAATGAATTCTTTTCTCTCTTCCTTGCTTGTTCCACCACAACAACCTTCTCATGTAGTAGTAGTACTAGTGGTTGCTGTACGAACATCACACACATTCAACAACATGAAGTCTTCTTCAACAACGTCAACAACAACACACGCCACATTACCACCCACTCCATTCACACGAATGAGATGCCGGAAGACACGTGCGATGTCGCTCTTGATTGACCGAGTGCATGTTCATGATACATTTATCCACAGATGTCAAAACAGGATTGTGAGGCGCTCAACATGGCAATACAACCACATGGTCTGAATGACCCCCCCTGCGGAAACAGGGGGGGTTAACAACTGTCAAAATTAATTTTGGCAATACTAGTTCAAATATGTGAATTTTGAAGGTTCAGACTGAACATGCTGGCTTCATTAAGGATGTCATTAATAAATTTTTTATTACATAACACTTATTGACAATTGTTCGTTCAGCATTGTTTCATAATTGTTGAGCCAATCTACTCAGTATTTATTGGAATGTGCAAGCTGTCGATATTCGCGAAGATCAATAAAGAACTGCTTTCGTTGGAAGTTGGATTATTGTTCCGGCCGCAACTGGAAGCAAAGCGAAGATCAACTCCAGCAAACAATGGAAAATCGTATGAATAAAATGAATCGAAATCCTCTCTCTTTGAATGAATTTACATACGATTTTTCGGGCTTCGAGCGAACTGTCCACGAAGGCGTGCCTTTGATCAATATAACAAAATTAGCAAAAACCAACAAAACCTCCAAAACAAAGACCCACAATGCATACCAACCGACAAAATATGCTCCTGTAGAGTATACTAACCCATCTCACTCAGCAAAATATGTTGATTATTTGTGGGCTGTGAAATTCTTGAGCTCTCGTGATAATGTTCAGCAGGAAGAGTTTTTGCAATGGGTGGCTGTTTGTTTGTTTCAACAATTAGAGTATGGGAGTTGTCAACCTATCACAATTAGTGAAAACAACTCTTCGACCAGTACTATTGATGATTCTAACAACATTGATGTGCATTCTAGTTTTGGATTGTCTTGTTCAAACTGTGGACATTCGCATATAACAGGGAAATCAATCTCTAAGAAGAGAATATGGTCTCTCACTGATTCCACTTACAGAAATTCTAAAGTAATGGCTTACATGAACACAATTCAACAAATGTTTTCCGTCAGTGGTGTTATCATGATTGAAGTGTTGGCATTATATTTTCAAAATTTTCTAGCACACTTTTTGGCTTTGTTGAGTTATGTTGTTCTAAAACCAGGTTCTGAAATTGAACGAGTTGTGTCTCGTTATATTACAATCCGTCAAAATTTTTTTGCTCAAATTCCAGACGTGCGCAATGCTAAAGAAGATATTCTATTGTTAAAAGATTTCATGTTGTTGAGTGATGAACGGTATCAACACTTCGTAGACTATGTTCAGTTGAAGGGATTTTTACCTTGCTCGGAAACATTATATAGATGTAGAAAAGAAATTAATACTGCTATCACTCAAAAATATGAAATACAATATAATGGTGTGCGTCTTAATTGTAATTTCCTTAAGGTATTGCAAGACATGCTAATAATTCATAGAAATGAATGCGAGAGAGCAAATGTTAATCCTCAAATAGGAGTTTTGGAGTTGAAAATGGTTATTGACAAAGGAGCCAATTCATTCCTAATAGGTGCAGTTGGTCCTTTAAATTTGATATTGTCTCCCCAAAGCAGACATTCGTATGTATCATGCGTAGCGTTGGATGACGAAGAGAGCAAAGAAAATTCTACATCTATATTTAAGTATATGGTAGAAATATTGAATGCATCTATAATGATTTTACATCCTTTCATATTTGATGTTGCTCAACAATTACCCCTTCCAATAATAGTATATTTGACAAATGATTTAAAAATGGTAGGATTAGTAACAGATTTGAATGATGATGACTGTTTCTGTCCATATTGCAAATGCAAGAAACATGAAAGACATCTCTTTGAAAAAGAATGTGAATATCGTTGCTTAAAGTATCACACTAATCCAAAATTCAATATTGCAACTCTCCCGTGTTCTCTTCACTTGAAAATAAGAGTTGTTTGTAATTTGATGTTACAAGTATTCCTAAAACAAAAATCGTTCACAATTTGCAAAACCATCCAACAGAGAATTAGTGAGTTACCACATTGCTCTCAATTTAAATATAGAAATACACAAGTGGAAGATGATGACAATGATGATGTTGTTGGAGCTAGGAGTGACCAATTTTTGCCAGATCTGCCATATTTGAATGGTAACCAAGCAGATCAAATATTGTTAAATTTTGAAACAATTTTCGCTGGTTTTTAGATTTTAGGGAAATATTTATCTGGCAACTTACTCGAATCATTATTTTCTCATATGTACAAGGACCCAATAGTTTAAAAGGAAATGTAGAAGAGTATTTTAAGCTCAAATTATATTGCAAATGGCTCGGAATGCTATTAATTGATACATATCCAACATCTAAATTTGCGTATTATATTCATATATTAGTTAAGCACGTAGCAAGTTTGATTTTCATGCACGGACCACTCATCAGGTTTGCTAATCAAGGAAGTGAAAATATTCACGCTGGTCATATTCTTGGAGTGGAACGAGCGACAGCAGCAGGAGGAAGGGCAAAAGAAGATAACAAGAAGACTCCTATGGAACAAGTGGTATTCCAAGAGTTCCGAAGAATATATTTAACAGCCCAAAGAGACATTCCTTGGCAATCGAAGTTAAATGATACAGTTTACGTTACAAGTTGGAAATCGGTTTCCAATGAATATGAAATTTTACAGAGATTGGAGCTGGCTCAAGGTGATGCGTGGAAATCTGTGTTGCGCTTGATGATAGGTGTTACTGATGAAAACAACATACAATCAACAGAAAGGTGGTCACAGCAATCTTGTAATTTTTTTGAAAACGAGTTTTAATAAAATTTAATGTTTCAATGAATTTTATTTGACGATTTCTTGATGATCATGCTGTGTCTTCCCATCTATCTGTGATTGGACAATATGCTTGTGTAACTTGTGAGAAATGTATATGCACTCTGTTGTCATGATTTACAATGAACACTGTTTCATGATAAAACGAACGAATTTCTCGGTTATGAAACATTTCTGTGATGGGATGATCTTTCAAACCCCAATCAAAACCAGCCAATAGATCAGGCATAGACTGCTTGAAATAATAGTAGGTGCGAGTATATTTCTCCCAAACACCATTTTGCTTCACTCTGTATTGAGCTTGCCATGTCAAACAATCTTGCCTAGTGAAGAGGTGAGCCAATAATTCCTTGGGACATGTTCCGAGGAACAACCAATGGCCAAATTTGCTGTAATTAGGTTCCAATCGTCTGTTCAAGATTTGTGCAGATTCGGAGCCAAATTCTCGTAATCTTCTTTGTTGGTAATATCTGTCGAGGATGGCAGGATCAATATCCTTCAATGCCTCTCTCCAATTTATACTGGTATCAACCTCTGTTGGTGTTGGTTTGATTGCTCTTTTGGGAACTCGAACGAGACCCGTATCGTCATGGTTGGTGGTATTGACAACTTTCTTCTTTCTAGCCGCTTTTGATTTCTTGCCAAAAATCTTATCACCAAGTTCTACGGAAAGAGGTTTAGCATTGCTTGTGAAACAATCAGAGTTGTACATGGTTATCTTGAAGACCTTTCTTGGTTTGGGAGTGGGTTGTGTATGGTGGACTCGGGTCATGACGTATCGTTTGATTGCTTTTGTATTGTTGTTATGCTTTTGTTATTGTTGTTATGCTTTTGTTATTGCTGTTTTGCTTTTGTCGTATCACTTGTTGTGATGATTGTGTTGGCGTGTTGCCAATTTATTTTAACTGGTAGGGTACAGGTGTGTGATCATTTTTTTTCGTTATAAAGACTGTCGGAGGTCATTTTCTTGAGAAATTTAAGTGAAGTGGTTGTATTGGAGATAACGTTCCCTCTCGCAATTAGTAGCATTTGTCATCACCAAGTGGTAGTAATACATGATGCATCAAAAAACAACAACATGACGTCAAGCAAGCAAAACACAACAGCACGGACGAACACGTTACAAAAAACATGTTCATGCTTTGAACCCTTCACATCTCCATCCAAAATAATCATGACGCCACTTGTTGTGAGATTATTGCTGGAACAATTCATTATGTTGTGTCTACATTTAGATGCATCACATTGGAAACGCAATCATTTGGTTGCTGAACCTCAAGATGCATGTATTGATTCAGTAGTGCTTCCACTTTTACGAATCATTCCTTGCGCTCGATTCTTGGAATTATTCGTGCATGCATTATCCAATGCAATGATCATTACATGCGTAACACCGAATCATTACTTGTCTTCTTCTAATGTTCACTTTACTCTTTGGAATGCATCCCAATCATCACATACTAGTTGCATTCAAAAAAACGTTGGCTGTAAAGGGCGACATTATCCACACTTGTCGAGTAACCACACGATACTACGAAAGTGTATTCATTCCTCGACATATAGCACGCCACTACATTCATGCATGATGTTTTTACTTTTGATGGAACTTCAAGCTCCTTTTCTAGAAAGTACATGCATTGATCATGGAACATGCATCACGAGGAATGGAAATGGTTCTCAATGCAGGAGGATCCAAACATGCATTCAATGCTGCTACTACTTCCATTACTTTACAAGACATTTAGGAACATGTACAACTATGGACGTGCATGTGACTGGAAGAGAAATACTTTCTTCATTTCATCAATATTTCGACACATGTTTATGCCATGCATTATACAACCATGCGAATGTATCAAAAACAGCAAGAACACAATTGAGTTTTTCTCAATTCTTGACCACATACATGCTGTATTCATTATTATATAACAATTTCAATAATAATCAATTCACAACCATTCTCTCAAAATCATCCTCCATGATTGGAAGTGATCATTCTAGGAAATTTACAAATCATAGCAATGGAGATAACAACAACAACAACACTAGTGGAAGAACCAGTCGTCAAAGTAATCATAGCAGTAGTGGAAGTGGAAATATTCAATCTTCATCATCTTCTAGGAGTAGTAGTAATAGTGAACAACAGCAACAACAACAACAAGTTCAAACTGGGCGAATTTTGACACATGATCATAACAACACCTCAGATCATTTATTTGCCTTAATTGACATTATTGATGGTACACAAAAAGAAAAGAATGGAATCAAATATTGGGTTCAACGAAATGTAATTACCATTCAAGTCATTTCATCCTTTGTGTTTGACACTTGTACAATTAATTGCAACAAGGAAGGAAGTACCGAAGTCAAACACATGGAAACATTATCCTTTGTGGACTCTTTTGCCAAAATGAATGAATCCAAAATTATGGAATTGAATTTGTCCACATTGCGATCAGCATCTACATATCACGAAATTTATGAAGCACAATTTCGAAAGAAGTTACCTTACACGAGTGGAAGACCTGAAACTCAAAAATTAATTTGGCTTTCTGCCGAGTTCAGTCTCAATAACCAGATCATCAAGACAGTGATTTCACCCAAATTTTATGTGTGCTCAAGACCTCAAGATCTTCGAGGTGTCACTCGAGTAGGTCAGGCCTCCTCTTCTGAAGAAACTCAGTCATCCTCTCAATCTCGACATGCTGCCAAGATGGCTGCACAAAAGAGCGTGATTCGTGGAATGGTTTCTGTCATTCCTCGAAAGCAATTCATGGCAGAATCTAATCCTCCTCAACAACAACCTTCTCTTCCTCCAACCATGACCAATACTACTACTACACTAGCACTTCCTCTCGATCTGTGAATACTCCTCCTCGTGTTTCAACTCCTCCTAAAATTCCATTAGAACATGCGCAGAATCAACCATATCAAGTTCAATTTCCATCGATTCATCCTCCCCCAGTTTCAGCCTCTGCTTTATTGCATTCTTTTCCTTCTCCTCCATCCACATCTAGTAATATAGCTTCTAATATTTATCAACAATCTTTTCAACAGCAAGCTCCTCAACAACAGCCACAGTATACACCTTCCAATAGTGTTACAACCACTTCAAAACAGAAATATTTTCAATTATTCCTAATAGAGGACCTTTGACAGGAATGCATGATGTAACAATATTTGGTACGTTCGACGGGCTTTCACAAAATCCTCAACATGTAAGAGTTTTGTTTGGATTGCAAGATTCTCCGTTTATTAAGAAAGTCCTTCCTGACAGAATTATTTGTGTTGCACCTGAAAGAATTGTTCCTGGACAAGTGAGAATCGAGGTAGTCGTACCACACCTCTCATTTGTTGGTGATGTTTTTTACACATACACCAGAGAACCTGAAGAGTACAGCACTGAACTCAGCTCAGTACCAATAATGTCAAGCTCATTTCAATCTGAAAAAAGTCACACCACAAGTACTTCCAATGTGGGCAGTAGCGATAGTGGCAAATTGCATCATCAAACTTTGAAAGAATACCAATACCATCCATATAAACATTGATTAAGTTCTTATTTATTTAATGTAGTATTTGATTCTTCTGGTGTGTGGAGATTTCATTTCCTTTAATGCCTCTCCCAATACATCATGCATGTGTTTCAGTTCATGAAGGGAACAGTTAAAGTATTGAGCTTGGGTGTTTTTCTCATCGCCAGTTGTTGTGGAAGTGATGAGCTTGAGAGTGAAATAAGGTTCCAATAATTGTCGGACACTTCGTCTATCACATTCCATTTCAAATCTCCACTCAAGATCCTTATATTGCGGCATTGTACTGAGTCCATAGCATGATTCAGTGCTGTTTGCCTTTGTAAATAGAGTACGGAATTTTTCAAAGTTTTGTTCATAGTGTTTCAGTAAAATATTGGCATGAATGTCGGCGAGTGATGGAATGTCAAAGATAGTTAATTGAAATTTGCTTGAATCTAAATTAGCTTTTGCACAATCGGAATACAAGTATGACAAACTAGTGATTGTTTTTTCGGATTCATCCTTGTCCAAAGACAAACTGGCTGAAGTTGTGAAATGTAAAAAAATGATAATCATTTTGTTGTTGAAAATAGTATCCGACCAAGTGTTATTTGAATTATATTTCGGTGAAAATTTGATCCTGATGATGAATTCAATATTTACCTGCTGTTTGTTGAATTGATTTTTTCACAGATCCGCTGATGATAAAATCTACCGATAACTTGCAAAGCTCCTCCAATTCTGCAATAATCCAAATAGCACTAATTACTCGTATCTGTAAAGTACATACGTTCCGTTGTTAATTTATTGATCGAGACCAGGTCATTGATGTGATCGTCTTGCAATTTGAAAATGGTGGTCATGATGACGTATTTTTTTATTGAAAGATATTTCTCCCTATTCACAATAAGGTGTTAAGAAAGTTGAATACATCTTGAATTTCTTCGACACTGAAATTATCAAGATGCTTCAAGTCCTCTTCGTTGAGTGTTTCAAGTGCTAACACAGTGAATCTTGAAGGCATGCCCAAGAAGATTGTAACTTACCATCAACTATTTTAGAAATGTAACAATATTAGCCTGTTTTTCAAAAACCTGAGGAAACAATCTCATTCCCTCACGAAGGAACACCAGTCCATATTTGAATGTGGATACATGGTTGAACCAAGAAGTGATGGTTGGTAGGATCATGTCGAACGACTCCTCACGAAGCGTACCAACTAGTACAGTGTTCTTCAACGCTTCTTGGAGCTCCTTCTCAAAGCGTTCCTGTTCTGCATTAGACACAAATGACTTTTTGAAGAAAGCAATCACTGCTGAATGAAGAGAGTTGGAGGAAAGCAAAAGCTTGTTGATGTCTGAGGATTCTTGCAAAGAAGCTGACGAGTTGCTTCGAAATGGTTTGGGTTCCTCATTATGGGTATGCAACGACTTGGCTATTTCTTGAGCCTTTCTGCATAGGTTCATAGGTTTCTATCATTGATATTTTGAAACAGTAATTGTAACACTTACAGTTTGAGATCGGTGTCTTCGGATACATTTAAAGAAAAACCTTCAATACCAAGCCTTTCAAAGCTCTCCCCCAGCAAATTCAGCCCTGTGATTATCTTTTTGATATTCTCATGATGTTGTAAATGCCATTTGTAGCTGATATCAAAGTCATATCTATGATAAGTCGAAACTGATCATCTTACCTTGATATTTGAAAATCAATCAGCCTTTTATTTTGCATTTGTAAGGCTGTAACAATTGTTCAAATGAAGCCACTCAAAAAAACACTTACTCCTCAAAGTGATCAGTAAATTCTCAAACAACTCTTCGTTGCCCTCAGCCGAAGATAAATCCGAAGACTTTGGGGGTTGACTTTTAGGTTGAGTAGAGGAGCTGTCCTGTTGTGATGACATTTTTTTTGAATTTAGCCTTAGAATGCTCATGAACCACAACATAAATACTGCTCAACACTTATTTTTTGAATCTGTCATATTGTTGTCTCGCTTTGGCAATGGTGTTCAGGTGTGATGCATCGACCAATGTCCTCTGTTCGTGGGAAACAAGAATCCATGAGAACCCTTAATAAGAATGGTCATGGACAACTGAATAACTTTCGAATATGACAGCCCCGCGAAACACTCGTCACACTCCTAACCGAACAGACTGTAACCGTTGTTCTAAAGGTCAAAAACGTAAGGGATGTTTTTATTGTGTCTTATTGCATCTTTCGATCAATAGGCCTTTCAAGCCAAAACCTATCACCACCCAACAACTACTTGACCTTTATTGCTGTTTGGTCTTTTTTTGAGATGAAACGTTGTATTGTTTCGAGTACTTTTTTCGTTTCTTTTCGTTTGGCGATTCTTGGCTATAAGAAGCAATATCACTCGCATCACCCTCTTCGTCTGAACTGCTATCGGTGGTGTTTCCTTGTTCGCTTTTTGTGGGAGGAATAAACTCGACTTCTTCTTCTTCATTTTCTGTTTCACAGTTCTCGTCGTATTCATCATCGCTGTCGAATTGGTCGCCTCGTCTGATGTCTTTCATATTTACTAGGGAGGGAGAATTTCTACTGGTAAAAGCAAAGCAAAATATTTGAAAAGACCCTACACCATGCATTAACATTTGACTCTTCAATGAAATATCAGTGTTCTTCCATCCTTTTCGCATGGCGTCAATGTCAAAAGTAGATAGTTTTTTGTTACCGGCCTTTTCCAATAATTCTTTTCTGTCTTTGTCATTAAAAGGCTTCCAGAAATGATCATCGCTGATTGAATGTATTCCTTTCATAGAGGGCATGTAATAGGTGTTGATAGTAGATGTTGCATTTGAGGTTTTGTGTGTTGGTTTCATCAAATCATGTAACTTCTGTGTAGTATTGGATCCAGGTTGATAGTTCCACAAACTTGTTCTTCCTACGTGTCTTTTTTGCTCGAAAATTTTAGAGATCTTGTCACGAATAGATGTTGCAATAGGGGTATTATATTTTTGTGATACGTATTCCAGTCGTTCAATAAGCTCCTGAGGATTGTTAGAAATTTCTTCAATGGCGTTGCCTGCATTGACTTGGTTTTCGCTTACGACAGAGTAAAAGTATTTTTGAATTGGAATAAGTTGTTGGTAATTGCTTTCCTTATTCAAAAGCTCCGAAATCATATCGTCGATATTGTTTGGTTGCAAGACTGATTTCAATGCTGTCTTTACAACTGTCTTGTTTTTGGAACTAAATGCTTCTGAATACAATGTTTTCTCTGCAAAACAAAAATAGCGAAGCAAGGCCCATTCATGATCCATTATTATTTTCTTGTCGAAAAAGTATTCGTATCCACGATCAATGTCATCGTGTGTAATAGAGATCACTTCAAGCTTTAAATGACTCGCTGTTTCAAACACACATGTTTCCACAGTAGCATATCCTAATTTGTTTTCACTATTTAGAACAAGAAAATAATAATCTCCTATTAACGATTGGTCATGTCTAGCTATGATTTCTTGATATCTTTTCAAATAACATGCTTCAGTAGCAATTATGAACATGTGTAGTACATTGTTGCTTTGAAGTAATTTCTTTGCATCTAACAACAAACTCGGTACGTAATTTTTTCCTCTGGGTCTTGTGATAATAAATATGGCATGAATTCGGTTAAGTTTTTGTGTTATAGAATTTTCTGTAATTTTTTGAAATTGATTTGCAAACTGTTGAAACCGAGAGGAATATGAGATTCCTAGTCTTGTATTGCTTTTCTTATAAAGCCAAATCTCATTGTGTGGCCGTATATGCTCGTGCTTTTCTTTTTCAACGACAATGGAGCTTTTTGGTAATTTTGGTAATGAGTATTTCAATAAGTTATCGTTGGGGGCACAATATTTCTTGTCTTTCAATTCGTCAGTATTTTCTGACTCCATTGTTGGAAAGAAGAGTCCTTTATCTGCGTCTCTATATGGAACGGGATACTTGGTATCAATAGTTACAGATTCTGTGTCATGATGTTTTAACTTGTACTGATATTCTTGTAGCAATTTTTGCACCTCTGGTTGGCGAGACATTTCAAGACTGGTGTCTAGAAGAGACAATGTGTCCTCTGTACAGCTTCGTAATTGATCATCATAATCAACAATGGCGTTATAAATATTCAAGGCCAATTGATTATCACTGCTCTCTTTTGAGTGAGGGTTAAGTAGAGAAATAACTTCGTTAATAAAATTATCTCTGTCCTTTACCAGTTCCAAATCAATACCAATTGCATTTTGGTCTAATTGAAGTTTAAGACGGTTAAGTAACTGCATAGCATTTTGTGTCAAGCTTTCAATAATCATGGTCACTTTGTTAATAAGAAATGGTTTAACCTTATTCCATTCTTTTTTGTAGTTCTTCTTTCTTAATCTATTCCCTTGAAGTTCAATAATAGATATTACTTCATCTTCGTCAAAGCAGTGACGAATGTGTTGCTTATAAAATTCAAGCACATCGTTGATAAATGAGGAGGATGTTGTATCAGAAATGCTTTCTCTTTGTGGATATTGACTTTGAGAATTGGAAAGCCGTTGCGTTAGATGTTTTGATAGAATATTTGTTATCGATTTCACTTTTTCCTTCATTCTTTTTTCAACTTTCGCAGGAGTCTCTGATTTTCCATATTTTGCATCAAGGTAAGTCAGTATCACAAATGCTCTATCTCTTAATCGCATGCGTTGATATTCATACATTTTAGTCCTTGCTCGCTCCATAACCATCCTAAAATCTCGCAAGAACTTTTGAACAGGTGCTTCTTTAGGTGGAACAACAATAGTGGTAAAATTATCGAAGAGATGTTTTGCAAACTCATATCTCTGATCAACTTCGACATTTGATTGATTATCATTCAATCTTTTGAGAAGCCTATTGAAGTCGTGATATGAAAACATTCCTGTTTGAGATTCGTCTACAATTCCCTTAATCTCATCCAAAGATAATGCATTAATTATACCACAGTCACTCAAGAGATCTGTGATTCTACTTGTTTCCAAAAGCCCTTCATGGTTAGCTCTACCCAAAAACACCTCTTGTGAAACACCAATATCAACCCCTAACAGAATGGACAATTGAATTCCAAATTTGATCTTATTAGTGGCATCATTATAATTCCACTTGTTATAATCTTCTACTGTCATATGAGGATCATTAATAAGAAACACCACAGAAGGATAGAAGTTCTGATATGGTGAATACAATCCATGATCCCAAAGCTTTTTAACCAAGCCATCGTCCCAGGTGCCTCTATTGTTCTCACAACCTACAAACAAAACACCAACATCCATCATGCTCTCTTTGATATACTGCTTGTATTCTTCACGATCGTCATAACCAGCCATATCTCTCAATACAACCTTACTTTCTTGTAGGAATGGGCTGGGCCATGAGAGAACAAGTTTTTTCACCATCATCGCCTCCTCTTTTGTTTTGTTTTTTTCAAAGTCCTCAAGAGTTTCGTAAGCTCTTTGACATAGCTCCTTGTATCGAACTTGAGGGTTGTTAGAGAGTATCAAGTTGTCCTCTGTGTCAAGTTCGACCATCATTTGGTCAGGCTTGTACTGCTCCTCTTTTACATTGTTTACCTGACATCTAAGATGATATTCGTCAATAGAACACATGACCTTGACGAGCTTGTATTTTGAGTCTGGTTGAACGTCAATGGTTGTTCGAGTTAACCCTGCTCCGTATTGCTTTTTGGAAGGCAATGGTTGAGAATGACTTGTTCTGTTCATTCCATCACTCAGACCATTGATCAAATAGGATTTGCCATATCCGGGTTTGGAAAAGAAGGAAGCAACAATAGCACCTCTCATGTCATCTGGAATAGATTTCATCTCTTGCAGGTATGTTTTGCACATATTTTGATTTACTCCTGCTTTGCTGTCTTTGGTTCTTTCGTTGAATTCCTTTTCGATTCGTTCAAGACATTTTTCTTCTTTTTTAATGATGCTTTCATTCTCCTCTATAATCACGCCATGACAATGACAACATTCTTCAGTCTGTCCAAAAAACAATACTCCTTTCGATTTCGAGGATATGGGCGAAGAACAACATCAAGAGGTAGACGTGTCAAGTTCGGTCATTGTTTGTCTTCCAATATTCACAAATCATGTTATAAACGCAGCTTTTCCTTAACAATTCAGAGTTCAAATTAAGAGTATTTCTAAAAACGACTCTTCTAAGGCCAACGATAATGCTTACACGTTTTAGCCATTGATTGTGTAACGGTTAACATATGGCCTTCAAGCAATATTTAAATACAATTAATTTTTTCGACAAAAACTTCGTGTTGTTGTTTTCCGTGATCGAAGTCTAATCAATAAAGTGCAGTCGATGATGGCTTAAAATGAAACAACAAAACTGTAATGAGTTTAAACTCGTTGAGCATACAACGCCATTGGAACATCGCACGTAGATGAACTGCCGGCTGGTATGCTCCGACAACAAAGAAGTCAAAGGTTGTCGAATATTTTTTTGTAGGTTGGCTTCCTTGACTGCTCTGATTTGGACACGACTTGCAACTTGTGAACGAGCGTTGCACACAGTGTAAAGTTTTGAAGAAACGAAAGACGAACAGGAACCATTACACTCATTCCTTTTCAAATTTGACATCATGTTTTTTTGCGCCAGTGCTTTAATAGAAATAAAAAATTGAAACCACAAGCGCGAACGAATTGCGTTCGACAGAGAAACCAGTCAACAATAATTTTATTATTCATATTGCGAAATGATTACAACACTTTTTCATAGGCACGAATGACTTCTGGATGATCGTGCTTTCTACTACCAAGATCTATGATCATCTTGTCTCTGTTGTTCAGAACCACCTTTTCACTTTAAATCGGAAAGAATTGACCTGAACGTAACCGACACCCTTCTATATCCGTGTGTTCTTGTTTTCACTACCTTGTTTTTGACCTTAAAGGTTTTCGTTTTGGGAATTTCATGCTGATACTGATATCTTGCATCTTTGGAGAGTATTACTAACGATCTTCTAGAGAGAAGTTTATCAACAATAACGGACGGAGACACTTCTTTTCTTTTTACGCTCTTTTTAACCAATTCTTCTTCACTCACTCGTTCGAGCTTGTGGAATTTCATAACACAATCATCGCCAAGGCTAACAATGATAATGAAAGGTCCAAAATCAAGACATTGATCCACATGCTTTGAAATACCTTGATTGGTGCCCTTGTATTCATTAACAATAACTTGCTTGAACTCCACCGATCCAATTAGATCAGAGGCCAATTCCTTGATATTCTTTAACGTATGCAGAAATACTTCAGGAATTGGCGGTGCTGACTGGCCGTTGCTGTTATTCACATTTCTTGAAGAGTAATTATAAGCGTAACCGTAATGCTGTGTTCTTCTTGTTAGCTCTGAATTCCATTCTCGTTTATCAATTTCTTTCATCATTTCAATTTCTTGTTCTTTGGTGATGAAATTTTCTGCTATGTACAAGCCGGGAATGTCATGATCTTGTTTCAATAAGGGAACTTTTACCAATGAGGAAGACGGAACGGTAAGCTTGGTTTGTTTGAAATCTTTTTGCTCTGGTGAGGGTATCTCTTCTTCGGAGAGTCGTTTTCGTTTCTTTTCTGTTGTTGAGTACATTTATGCAACGAAAAGGCAATTTTTTTGTGGGTCACTTCCATTGTTCGCTGGAGGTGGTTGGAATATTTTGCTGTTTTTCACTTTGTGTTCAAAACGCTCAAAATCATTTTCTGATTGGTGCATCAATTCATCATTTTGTGTTCAAACACCAAAGTGACCAATTGGTTCCTCAACCTCGACATTGAACCAACTCAAATCTCCAGTTTAAACCCACCACGTCACACCCAAAATAACCATAACAAAAAATATTCAAACAACAATTATTGTTGCCTATCTCAAAGACTTTTCCCACAACCATGAACAGAGTACAACACGGTCAAACAAAGAAAAAGAAGGTATTTGCTGACAACTCAAACGCAGCATTTTCAAGACCACAACAAGACTCTGCACAGACAACATCCGATGCTCCTTCCGGAAGCACTCACACTACTCATTCCCATCATCGTCATCACCATCATCATCGGGATGGAAAGAAAAACAGAAATGGAGAACAAGTTAGTACGACCACGAACGCTCCGTTAGCAAACGAAAATAGTGTTAGCAGCACAAACACTTCCACCACTCGGCACCCGCGAAGAGAATCTCACTTTACTTGCTGCATTTGTTGTGAGGATGCACATATGCACAGCATTTTTGAAACGTGTAACCATGTCGACATTTGTCACAAGTGTACTTTGAAACTTCGAGTTTTTAATAATGACAATAGATGTTCGATTTGTAAGAATCCTTCTGACACTGTGATTTTCTCAAGGAATGCAAACAAATCGTTCGCTGATTATAACAAGGATGACTTAATTTATGATGAAACTTGGAAAATATATACTGATGATTATTTGTTGATGAATGAATTGACGTCCCTTCGGAGAATAGAATGCAAATTATGTAAAGAACAAAACGGTCTTGTGGTTAGCTTTGAAAACACTCAACTTTTGAACCATCACATGAATGAAGTTCACAAACTTAATTATTGCTCGCTCTGTTTAAAGAGTAGAAAAGTATTTCTGGCGGATCAAAAGCTTTACACATGGAATAATTTAATGAAGCATCTCAAGCTAGGAGAAGAAGATGAAAATGGCAGAATTGAAGGCCATCCTCTTTGCAAGTTTTGTAACATTCGGTTCTACTCAGATGATGAAATTTTTGATCACATGTACAAACAACACGAGCGCTGTTTTATTTGTCAGAAACATGGTGTTCAATTCGAATTCTACAAGGACTACAAACATCTTGAGAGACATTTTGACGAAAAGCACTTTTTATGTCCTTTCCAAGAATGCAGAGAACAAGGATTTAAAGTTTTTGAAAACGAATTAGATTTATTTGCTCACAAGAACAAGTATCACTCCTCAGCATCCTCTACTAAGCGTGGAAAGATTGTGTTAGATATATCAACCCTAAGCAACATTTCACACGTTCCAAACGATGCCGAGAGAAGACAAGTTCGTACAGGAGAAATTAATTCTTCTGTCATTCGATTTGTGGATACTGGTGGCGATGGATATCACAATGACTCACTTCATAAAAAGAGTGCAGAGGCTTCCTCCTACTCAGACCAAAAGAAGAAGCATCACAAAGGAAGAAAAGAAACCGGAAGTGGAGATGTGAAAGAAAAGAATATCAACCTCGTGAAACGAATGAAAGAAATGGTTTCAGAGTCTCAATATCAAGAGTTGAAATTCTTAAGTACTCAATTTTTAAGAGGGGAATCTTTAGCAAGTGAATACTATGCCAAGATTGTTTCCATTCTAGGTGAAGAAAAGACAAAAGGAATCTTTGATCTTTTGGTTGAAGCAATTCCACCCAAGATGAAAACAAGAAACAAGCCTTAATACTGGCAAAGAACACTTATCACTCCCCTGAATTTAACCCAAATCTCAACAAAGAACAGCCAGCTACAGCAGCATCAAAACAGCAAGACAAAGCTCCTCAAGAAAACTGGCCAACTCTTTCCAATACTCCTCAAACATCATCCAAGCCAAATTGGAATCCTGCTCAAGCATCCAACACACAACCAAAACCAAAAAAGGAGAAGCAACGACCCTCTCCCATTTCACACAATATTGTGAGAACTCCTGACCTTCTTTGGGGAGTTCAGGGATCTGGTACACCACCAGCTAAGCTTGACAAAGAGCAAGAGTTCCCTTCTCTTGGTTCCTCTTCCTCTCCTCCACCTTCCAACAAAGTTAAAAAATCAAATTCCAATTGGACAAAACCTCTCAAGACAATTGATGAAGACTCTGAAGACAAATCTAAGCATGAGTTTTCTGAATTTGGTAACGTTAAAGTTTATAAATTCTCTGACAAGAAGAAGAAAAAGAATAAGTAAAACATTTTGAAACACCAATTTTCAACATTAAAGTTTTCTCTTGTCTTGGTGTTGTATTGATCCAATTGGCCAATCATTATCGCATCAAGTAAAGACATCACAAGAAAAAATGTTCGAGAAAGTTGACCCAGCCATTTTGCCTTTTTCTTGGCGACAACAAGCAGAATTTTTCAAAGTAATTGTACCTCTTCCAAATCCGAATCTAAAATCTAAAGATCTGATAGTAGAAGTTTCTTCCAAACACATACGGGCCGAGGTGAGAGGAGGAGAGGTGTTCGTTGATGTAAGTCGTTAACGCTGAAGAAATTATCAATAACTAACTGAACACGGCTAACCGAAATATCGGAATGAATATTGATGCATACTTAGATTGATTTGGCAATAGAAATAATCCCAACAGATAATGACTGGAGCATTAAACGAGGACATATTGTATTTAAACTGACAAAACAGTCTCCGATTGATTTGAAGTTTTCATTCAATTCTCCAATTCGATTTTCAAATCAGGAGTGTACTGAATTTAAAGAGCAACCCGCTCCTCTTCAGAATGAAACCAAGAGTGATTACTTTAAACTTGTAAAAGACGATATTGTGAACAATCACTTGCAATTTTTGGAAATGTGTAGAGACTTTGCAAGATCTCAATATCCTGATGATTTGGACGAGCAAACAAGACAACAAAAGGCAGAAGAAATATATAACAGAGCAACAAAAGAAGAAGACATTTCCGAAGTTTATAACCTTTATAAAGCAGCTGCTGATTTAGGACATGCTCAATCAAGAGAATTATTCGCGAAATTATGCCTTATTGAAGAAGATAATGATTTTGGAATTGTCCCTTCTCCTCAACAAGCATTTGAATACATGAAAAAAGCTGCGATAGAAAATGGCTCACACACAGCATTATTTCAGCTCGGAAATTATTTCATGAAAGGAATAGGAACTGAAAAAAGCTACGAAAATGCTCTTATGTGTTTTACTGAACATAGCATTAAAGACGGTAACCCCACATCCATGTTTAACATAGGAGTTCTATATCATGAAGGTGGCTCTATTGCAAACATTCCATTTAATAAGGATTATAAGAAAGCATTTGCATGGTGGAAGCTTGCTTTGAACCGTGGACACGCTCTCTCAGCCTACAACATTGGTATTCTATTGAAAAGTGGAGATGGCATTGATAAAAGCCTAGTGAAGGCATTCCAGTACTTTAAGCTGGCCAACTTCATGAGCGAGAAGATTCAAATTCCAACTGACGTCCTCATTGCAATTCAAGAACAGCAATTCAACGTTTTTAAGGGTGACGATGAACTTGTAGCCGAAGAGAGTCCGTCTCCAACTGATAGCAATCATGTAGATGAAGATGAACAACGAAATGTTGACTTTATGGATGAAAAGCTTTACAAAAAAGAACAACCTGAGAAAAATTTGTTGTCTGAAGAAGAAGACGAATACGTGGATGAAGTGTTAGACATTACAAAAATTGCTGGAAACGCTCGATCACCACCTACCACGTATCATGAATTCGATGAAAACGAAGAAGAAATGGAAGCTATACTACGACAATTATCAGGCAATGAAAACAATGAAAAATCATCGAAAAATCAACAGCAGCCAACACAAACACCCAAAACCAATCATGACTCTGCTGGGTCAGAACCAAGTGTTGGGTGGAAGATAGCCGAATATGCCCTCACTTTTGGCGCTATGATTGGAATTGGTTATCTCATGAAACGAAGCACAGAATTTCACTAAATAAGCAACATTGTACTGCCGCTAGGGAATTTTCAGAGCGGCAGGTACGGGTCGTTTTAGTGTAACATGGTTAGAACGAGAATATAATGTATCTCAATCCATTGATAGTTAGAAATACATTTAAAAGGAGCTTGAGCTTTGAATTATGGATATTCAGAATAAACAGATCGGAAGAAGGCTAACAAGCCTTAAAGTTTAATCAGGCACGATCAAAAAAATAGGATGAAGCGTTGGACTGGTGGTATGTTGCATGACAAGGCTTCTTATTGATTATTTAAGCACGTAGGAGCCCGATCACGGGTAAGCAAGAAGAAACATCAACAGACACAGTTGGAGTTTTTTCAAAAAAGAGGAACCAAACGACCCATGTCTTCATCAACCAACGTCTCGAATTCTGCTGGTGATTTGAACAACGATTTTCCATGCATGCAAACAAATTCTCAAAGAAATGCACCGTATCCGCTGGATGTTCATTTTCTATTAAGAACACAGCTTCAAAAGAGGAGAGAATACAAACCCATTAAGGAGGATTACGAAACATCTGACTGTCATACAAGTGTGAGTAAAAAGAAGGAAGAAGATGAAGATAGATCTTGTATTAGCCCTTGTCAAAGCACAGCTTCATCCTTGAACAGCGATGACGAGGATCATGAAACTGAGGCTGATTTTGAGAATGTGAGTAAGTGGTTCCCATCACTGACTATCAAGTATCGTTATGTTATAACAGTCCGATTTATTGACGAAGGTATTGACAAAACAGAACAACTCAGCCATAAACCAAAAGAAACAGATACCATTTAAACGATGATTGCTTTAGTGAAACGACCGAACGAATGAACACTGCTGAATGCATTATTGGCCCAAGGAACCAGCCTAAACCAATTCAAGAAAACAAAAAACCAACAAGAGAGAACCAGTTGCATTCACCAGGTACAGATCTAGGCTTATTTGAGATGGAGGAGGGAGTCGTGTCTCCCTTTCTGAATGGTATCAGCAAACAAGGCCAAATGAGCACTCAAGAGGACGACATTCTGTTGGAGGCAGAAGACGAGATGGAGAACCCTTCGCCCAGATCCACTTCGCTTTATCATGTCATGCGAGAATTGGAGAAAGTCAAAAAAGAAAACCAGCAACTCAAGCGTACTATTTCTGAATTGATACGACAACAACACAGTCACCAAGTTTTATGAATTTAAATTTTATGATTGTAATAAATTTATTTACTTCAATGGAACGAACTTTGAAGAAGAGGTGGCACCGATACCTGGCTTACCGTGTTTGACTGGCTTGTATGTGAGGGAGAAATCAGCCAACTTCATTCCGATCATTTCTGGCTTGATTTCAACGGAGACGTAGTCCTTACCGTTGTAGACACCAATGATAGTACCAACCATGGATGGGAGGATAATCATATCTCTCAAGTGAGTCTTGACAGCATCTGGCTTTTCACCATATGGTGCAGAGTCTCTCTTCTTTTGGGCCTTTTCAATCAAGGTCTTATACTTCTTGGATACACCCTTGCTGATTCTTCTTCTGAGAGCACTAGTGAACAAGTTCTTCAATTCATCATTTTCCATCTTGGTCAATGCTTCCAAACCATGTCCTCTGTAGGTGAAGACTTTGAATGAGTGCTTTTCAGTTGCCATTGTTGATTAGAATGGAACGGTGGAGTTTTGGCGTATTTTTTTTCAGAAACAAATTTTTTTAAATTAAAAAAATGTGGTTGATCAGAACTTTACAATGACCAAGTAATTTTTAGTTCGCTCACAGACAAGCCAACATCAATTCCCAGCTGCTTTTTCACATTTTGAGATATGATTGGTTCAATCTAAACCATGACATGACGTGCTTCATAGGATCTCATCATGATGGCAATCTTTTACAGATGAATTTCATCTCGACACGAGGCTTTCTACACATCACAAAAATGAGTAGACTTGTTCCCTTCGCTCTTGGTGCCATCACAGGTACAACATTTTCATATTATTACCTCCGTAGAGATGTGTACAATACTTCTCGTGCATTAGAGAGTACAATTTCGGAGACTCATAAATTTGTTAAACAAGCTGTAAGCGAAGCTGAGCAATTGGAAAAGAGGCTTTCCGCAGTTGAACAACAACTATCAGACCAAAGCACAGTTATTGCTACAACAACAACTAATCTCGGACGTTTGAGCAAGAGAGTCAAGGATATTGTTGATAGCATTGAGGAAGTAACAAAGGATCAATAATCAATACACCATGGTTTTGATTGCTTCAAGAGGATATTTTCATCATTACGAAACTATTTTAACATTTGAACAGACTTTTTAAATTGTAGAAGATTTACACACTTTGAAATAATATTTTATATTTCTGATTTTATCTTTTATTAGTAGTAGATTTATTTCTTTTGGGATAGTCTAGATTTAGTTTGCTTGCTGGCCTTTCTGTTAGTTATTCTTTGTTTTTGGTTGATTTCTTGATCTGTTTCGAAAGCACTCGGCTCTTCGTCTGAAGTTTTATCACTTTCAATATCATCGTCAGAATATTGTTCATTGTCACTTTCGTTTACTTCTTCAACAGTCTGTTCTGATTTTCTTGTCTTCTTTTCTGGTGTAGTCTCAGGGATTGCAAGCTCAATAAAATTTGGTGCAACCAAGGACTCACTTAGGAATAGATAAATTTGACGATTAATAACATCGGTAAGTAAAGGAACGTTTTGAAGAGTTGCATGATGTCCAAATTCATTGGAGAAGATTAAATCAAAGTTTGGCTGTCTGAGGAAACAAAATTTGAGGGTCTTAAAATCAGGAGATATAATCACTCGCATCTAATTAAAGGAGTAATTCATCCATGCATTCAATAATAAATGACAAGATAGAAACACTTACCTTGGCATCCAGAAATATATTTTCAATGCTAAATTGGATAGGGAATGATGCAAATCTTGAAACAGGATAATTGAGCCATATTTCGGTTCCAATGTGAATTTTTGTTTTTGGATCGTCATACACAATACCAATGTCCACTTGCTAGTAAAACATGAATTGATAACAAAAGTTATATACTTCTTAATGTAACTTACCAATCCATTTCTGTCCTCTTTGGCTGATATTGCTTTAAAGTATGGAGACTTTGACCCAAAATTCAAATCCTTAAATTGAAGATCTCCAATAAAATCAGGTAATTTCATTTCTTCGGAAACTTTTTGTAGTATTTGTTTCTTTATCTTTGAAGCATTCTTATAAAAATATTGTTGAAGAACTCTGTTTAGAATAATATTTAACCATTTACAGTCACTTTCATCACTGTCTTGTTCTCTCACAAAGAAAACGCTCTCGTCATTAATATCACTAATTGCTTTTTCACTGACAATTACTTTGCTTCCAGTAATATCAATTCCTTGAGTTGGTGATTGAATATGAGTCGGTTTTCCTTTACGGAATAATAACAAAAATAATATTGAGCACATCAAAATACATGCTGAAAACATAATGAGCAAGACGGAGAACATGAATGAAGAGAAAATGGTGACTACATCTCCGAAAAAGCTTGCACTATTGGAACTCTCTAATTGTCGATTTACATATCTAAAAACAATTGAAAATCCAAGTAAAGCCCCTGATATTATCAAGAATCTAGAAGATGTCGAAGATGAAGATGATGATGACGAAGGAAAGTCTCGCGCTTTGATTCCGATTTGCTGTTGGGGTGGATTGCTCATTTTTTAAAGCTTGTTTGGAGGTGGATCAAATTGATTGGTGAATTTGATTTAACTGCAACGATACAATCATCTTCACCAGTAAAAGAATTCAATGTAATGATCGTTTCATACGTGTAAAGAGACGTTAGCTAATTGATTCGATTTGTATTGCTTTCCAAATTCGAACTCTAATTGAAAATGAAATTATTTAAAAAAAATGCTCAATCCAAGTAACTCTGGTACTGTTGCCACTTCTCCTGTGTTGGGCACAGACAAGGAACAACAGCGTAAAATGAATGTTGTGAGAGCAGTCAAAGATTATATTTTGGATATGGTGGATAGCGTGAAGGGTGTTAAAGTTTTATTATTAGATGAATATACTGTAAGTATGACCGGAATTAAATTTCGATCGGGTGATGAATCGCTTCAACTTTTCAACAATGATTTTGAAATTAGAGAGATATTGTTTCTGTTGTAACTCCATTCAGTTTGATCATGCAGAAGAACGTTTTCTTGGTCGATCTTTTAAATAATGAAAAGAGACAGCCATTACCAAATATGCGAGCCATCGTCTTTGTCAGACCAACAAGTGATAATGCCATGCATCTCAAAGCAGAGCTTCTCTCTCCTAAATATCAATCTTATTCTGTTTGTAAGTTATTCGACAAGACAAATGAGTTGTTATGACAATGAATGTATAATAGTCTTCTCTAACGTTGCAAGTCAGAACATTTTGGAAAAAATTGCATCATCAGACAAGAATGAGCTTGTGAAGAATGTATTCGAATATTTTTCTGATTACTTGGCATTGGATAACACTATTTTTTCATTTAATATCCCAAGTACTATATCATTATTGAATGCTTCATGGGATGATCCACTTATTTCTAAAATTAATGATGGATTGACAAGTCTGTTAATATCACTTAGGAAGAAACCATTCATACGATATCAAAAGAGTTCCGATTTATGTAAAAAACTTGCAACTGAGCTGAGCGAAAGAATTTCCACAAACAACCACGACAATGGAGTTTTTGATTTCAAGATGGAGTCTGAAACAAGATATCATGCTAAGGCTCCTCCTCCACCAATTTTGTTGATTCTTGACCGTAGAGACGATCCTATCACTCCTCTTCTCACACAGTGGACTTATCAAGCAATGATTCATGAGCTGCTTGGTCTTCAAAATAACGTAGTAACATTCCCAAGCGACAAGAGAGAAGAAGTGATTTCTTCACAATATGACGAGTTCTTCGCGAATAACATGTATGAAAATTGGGGAGATTTGTGTAAAAATGTAAAGAAAGTTGTTGACAGATATCAAGAAAATCACAACATGAAAGAGAATATTCAATCAATTGAAGACCTTGCAAAGTTTATGCACAACTTTCCTGTTTTTAAGAAACAACAGCAGGAAGTTGAAAAGCATGTTTCGATTGTCACAGAGCTTCGTTCTATTGTGGCGAAACGTCGTTTATTAGATATTAGCGAGGTCGAACAAGAGCTTGTTTGTGGAAAGTCACACGCAGATAATTATGAAGCGTTACAAAACATGCTAAACAAGGAGTCCCTTTCGGAAAAAGATGCTATTCGGTTGGTTCTTCTCTATGCACTCAGATATGAAGATAGAAAGGCTGAATTGAAAAATCTTAAATCTCTGCTTTCCAGAAAGGGAGTCAAGAATACAGCTCTCGTTGATTATGCTATCAAATATGGAGGTAAATCACAGCGTACTCCAGGCCTTTTTGACGAGGCACCAACAAGCATCTCTCTCACTGGCTTTTTCAAAAAAGTAGCAAGCGAATTCCAAGATAAGGAAGTTACCAATGTGTTCACTCAACACAAGCCAAGACTCTATGACACATTAGATCTTTTATTTAAGGGAAAGTTATCGTTCGATGATTATCCATTTATTAGCCTTACTTCAAGAGAAACGTAAGTACTGTCGATATTGTGTCATTATTCAACAACATGTTTTAAATAGACCCCAGGAGGTTATTGTATTCATAGTTGGTGGCTTCACTTACGAAGAGGCTTCGTCTGTTGAATTATTTAACAGCAAATCAAGAAGAGAGGCTGATGAAAACGCTAAAGTAAAGGCAAACTTTGGCGTTATTAGCTCCTGAATCAAATTGATGACAATTTCAAATCGGTGGTGCTTGGAGGCACCTCTATATTGAACAGCGATTCGTATCTCAAAGAACTTAAGGCGTATGTCAAGAATCAATCAAGAGGTCAGTTTGATAGCGATGAGGAAGAAGATTCTCTTGTTTAATTTATAGAGTTCGTGTGGACTCAACAACCTGCAGTAGCAATAAAGGAACGACCTAATCACATTGATCTTGCAATTTGTGAGAATTCTCACATTCTGAATTTTGGTTGCCGCCACAAAAAATGAATGAAAACAACGACATTGTGTTTCATGACTTTGTTCATCCCGAACGTCACCACTTTGACCAGCTGGAAAATGCGATCGAAGAAGCTACCATTAAAATCAGCTCACAAGAAGCGTATGTAGCATTAATTTGTAGCGCACTATTGTATAAATGCGATCATACAGAATTATTCATGAACAACAAGAAAGCATTGAAACTTTGAAACAACAATTACTGCAAGCTCAATCAACCATCCAACAACTTCAAATAGAGAATGAAAAATTGAAAAGAGATTTAGAAAAATCTACAAGTAATAATTCATCATCTTCGGGCACATGTTTTGTTCCGAGGTCATCAGACTCGGCTGGCCTTGCAGTAGTTGGAAGAAATGCAGCTACTCATTCCTCTTACATGCACCAGACAATAAGTAGCAACCAAGGAAACGCAATGACAACACAACGGAATCAACAACGATCGGCCACATCTTCCAATACCGCAAATTCTTTGGTAAGACCAAAACTCCAACCTGTTGCACTTCATGAAGATCGATCTGGGGTAACAACATCTTCAATTCCATCCATTCGACCAACGAGGAGAACAAGCTCCAAAGCTTCAACATCTTCCATCTCATCAAAAAGTTCTACCTCCAGAAAAACTTCCCTTAGACCAACAGCCAGTTCTAGTAGTAGCAATAGCAGCAGCTCTTCAACGCCATCTTGTGTAATATCGGAAGATGAATTGCTTGCTAGAAAGTTGCAACAAGAGGAATTGAATTCATCTCCCTTTCAAACGTATATTAACAATTTTGATCAAGTCATTTCCAATAATTATTTCGATCATTATCAAAACGACCATTTTGGACAAGTCTCACAAACAAGTAGCAGTATACCCTCAAACATTACTGGAGATGAGTCATATGAGGAATTGTTAAGGTTGGATGAAAATGCTGTAAAAATTGGAGTGAATAAGGGTCTCCTATGGCAATTTCCAACATTTATTCATGATGGAACCAAATCTATGAATGAAGAGAACAACTCTTGTGTCTGCTGTATGGAAGAATACAATAAGGGTGACCAGTTAAGAAGATTGACTTGTTTTCACACCTTTCACAAGGACTGTATTGACCAGTGGCTGGAAGGAAGCCACACTTGTCCTATTTGTAAATTAGACTTGAATGAACATTGAAGGGTTGTTGTTGTGAAGTAAATAAACACTGCCCAGCCAAAAAGCAATTATTGATTTAGGTGAGCGTTAGAATCACTGCCAAGGATTTTGTCCAGTGGCAGCCGTAGGGACTACCTCGATATTTTCCTAAAGGGTGTTCTCAAACATGTCGGGTGAAATGTTTTCGAAATAATCCTTCGAAGAATTGACGTAACAAATTGGCAATACTTTTTCAAACGCTGGCTCCAAGCAGCAAATTGGTGGTCCTTGCCGAAATAAATGTGGTTCGCAAATAAAAATTATTTTTCACATTGTTTTGAGGTCATATAATTGTTCTCTGACTCTTCGATGAGATAAGACTGGATTTTTGAAATATAGCAAAGATGGGTTGTGTTGTTGCTGACCATTGGGGCCAGTGCAAGTTTTTGAGATACAAGACACCAATTATTCTTAAAACAAAAATGCAACAACCGTTTTCTTCTCTATCATCATCCTCACTTTCTGATGCTAGCAAGAGCAATCATGGAATCGGAAAGGAAACCTTGAAAATCATTCTGAAAAAACTAAATCAACAACTTCATCACGAGTTTTTCGACAGTGCTACGGAGATTGGCTCTCTGATGATCAGCAGTTGTTTCAATACTATTGTCGGAGATGTTAATTCTCGGAATGAATTGATTGAAGGCATATCGCCATACAACACTTCTTGGAGTATTAACAAGTGTGAATTTTGTGTGGACAATTTGGCAAATACAGTACTAGTTTCTTTCAAAGAAAAATATAAAGCAAGCTCCGCTCTAAGCGAAGAAGCAGAATGGTTGCAAATATTTGTGGACTTGCTGGTTGTGTACTCCAGAGCGTTGATTGGAAATTCAGAGGTGATGCGAGCAAAGGTAAGCAAACGTTAAACGTGAATGTTAGCGTACGAGTCACCAATTATTTAGCAATATCTAAGTCAGGCTGTAACGATTTCTTCATATTTATTGGATTATTTGTCATCCAAGACGCCAGATGACAAGAAAAAACATTATTATATTTGTGACATTCTTGCAGACGCCTGTTTAAAGAATAACCTAGAAGATGAAGCAGAGATTCATTTAAAATCAATACCAAAAGAGTTTAGAAGTGTAAAAAACTTTATGAAATTAGGAGATATTTACATGAAGAAAGATAAAAGCAAGGAGGCTGTCGCCTGTTACCAAGAGGTGTTAAAAATGGATAAATATGCAATATCAGCTGTAGAGAAGCTCATTAAACTTGGCCTTCCTGAAGACAAGAAGAAAAATCTTACGGATTACTACAAGAAAGAAGAATGGTTGGCAAAGCTCGTGGATGTCAAATATTATGCACACAATAATCAACATGAAAAATTAATGCCCTCGCTCAAGTACTTGGAAAAGTCATTTCCTAACAACGTTGGGCTTCAATTGAGTTTAGCAGATTGCTATGATCAATTATCAAAATACAATGAGGCATTGGATCTCTTCAAACAATGCTATAAAATGGATGGATATACAGATTTAAAAACGAGCACCTATGCCACACTTTTGCAAACTACAGGTCATCCTTTAGAGCTTCAAACACTTTCTCAACGATTATTAACAACGAATAAGGGATCTGCAGAGAGCTGGTTGGTCATGGGAATTTACTACACATCAAGAAGTACTCTACTAGCAGTGGCAGGTGGAGATGAAAATACAGAGAGAAACAAACTTTCATTCCAACACAACATGGAAATGGCAATACGAAGCGTAGATAAGGCTTTAGAATTGAATAGCGCTTTTGTACTGGCATATTTATGGAAGGGACATTTACTATTAATGAATCAGCAGTATGCAAAAGCCATTATGGTCTACAAGCAAGCAAAAACTATTTCAAAGGATATCAGGATATTCCAAGGACTAGTGAAAGCATATTTAGCGTTACCTCAACATTTCCAAGATGCTCTTAACGCTGCACGAATCGCACAAAAACACTACAACTCTAAGAATGATTACAAGCCACACATACTATTAGGCAGTGTCTATACGATGAAAGAAGAACTTCATGATAATGCACAAAAAGAGTTTGACCTTGCCCTCAAGATATGTCAAGAAACAGATAATGAATTTGGAATGGAAGAGGCACTTCTAGGAAAGGTAGAATTAGATATCAAGAGACAACAATTTGATTCTGCCATCAAAACTTTACAATCTCAAAATCTTAAACAGAATACTGACAGTATTCAAACCAAACTTGGACAAATCTATTTGTATCAACAACGTTTTGAAGACGCTTTTCAATGCTTCCATAAGGCACTCTCGCTGAATCGATTTAATGAAATTGCACGACAGGAATTACTGAAACTTGAAGAAGCACCAGCTGAAGAAGAGGCTGAGGAAGAATATGACATGTAATCTCGATCACAAACAAGCATAAACATGTATGATGGATAAGCTCCACACATGCATCATCTCTCCAGCACACTCAGCATCTGCATGAAAAATTCCAATTTCGGCCCAAAGACAATTCGGCGATTGTCCTTGTGTTCCTTTTCGAGGCCTCCCAACACAAGAGAATGCCAAAATCCAAATACAAAAAAACAAAGGAACATCCATCATCGGAAACACCACCATTAGTTACATTACACCTCTAACAAGTGATTTTCACCATGCAAAACTCATGTACATCCGTCGTGAATAAGGTTGTCGTTGTTGGAGGAGTTGCTGGAGGCGCCTCTGCTGCCACTCGACTTCGAAGAATTTGCGAAAAGGTCAACATTGTCTTGTTTGAAAAGGGAAAGAATCCATCTTTTGCAAATTGTGGAATGCCCTATTACCTTGGAGGTCAAATTGCATCCAGAGACAGTTTAATTGTTACCGGAGTAGATACTCTCAGAAAGAGATATAACATTGATCTTCGTATTGAAACAGAAGTGCTTGCTATTGACCGAGCACAAAAACAAGTGTTGTGCAAGACACCACTTCGAGAATATTCAGAGTCATATGACAAGTTGATTTTGTCAACTGGAGCTGAGCCAATTATTCCACCATTGGAAGGAGTGAAGAATCCAAATATTCACATTTTACGTTCTCTCGAAGATATGGATCGAATTAAGCAACATGTTAAACCTGGAAAGAGATGTGTGATAATTGGTGCTGGGTTTATTGGATGTGAGGTTGCTGAAGCAGTCACCCATGCTGGTGTTAAGGTTAGCATTATTGAATTACTAGATCAAGTCATGCCACCAATGGTATGTTTTTTTAATAAGCATTGTTTTATGAATCTGAATATCTGAATGATTGTATGATGATTTAACACAACATTATTCGTGCCTTACTTGTGATTTTTTTCAAAACTCCAATAGGATAAGGAAATGGTAACTCCTCTCCAAAATGATTACAGATCGAATGGTGTGGATTTGTTGCTTCAAGAAAAGTGTGTCAAATTCTCAGAAGGAGAGAATGGTAGTGTCAATGTCCATCTCGAAAGTGGAAAAATTGTGAACGCTGACTTTGTTCTTCTCTCCGTGGGTGTCAAACCTGAGAATAAGTTAGCTGTTGAAAGTGGATTACAAGTCGGTCCTCGTGGTGGTATTGTGGTCAATGAACATTGTCAAACCTCAGATCCTGATATTTATGCATGTGGAGACAACACTGAAATTGAAGATTTTGTGTTGAAGAATAGAACTCAAGTTCCGTTAGCTGGAATTGCCAATAGACAAGGAAGAATTTGTGTGAATCACATCTTTGGTAAAACACCAGATAGTTTCAGAGGAGCTCAAGGAACATCCATCATGGGAGGATTTAATTATACTGTGGCTAGCACTGGAGCAAGTGAAAAATCTCTTCAAAGAGCAGGATACACTTCCTATGACAAGGTCTACACTCCAATTAACGATCATGCTGGATATTACCCTGGTGCCAAGAGAATGATCATCAAGTTGATCTTTGATACCTCTAAGGAACGATATGGAAAGATTCTAGGATGTCAAATTGTTGGCGAACACAACGGAATTGCTAACAGAATTAATGCAGTAGCCATGGCCATTCAAGCTGGAATGACTGTGTTTGATCTTGAAGAATCTGAGCTTGCTTACTCACCACAATATGGCTCAGCAAAGGACCCTGTGAATATGATTGGTTTTATTGCATCAGGTGTCTTGAGAGGAGAGCAACGAATGGTTCAAATTCCTCAAGTGTTGGCCAATCGAAGCGATTATTATTTGGTTGACGTGAGAACACCTAAGGAGTGGCAATCTGGTCATTTTGAGGACGCTGTCCACATTCCAATCGATGATTTGAGAAATAGACTCTCTGAGCTACCAAAAGACAAGAAGATTGTGACCTATTGTAGAATTGGAATGAGAGGATACATGGCTCAAAGAATTTTGAATGAAAACGGTTTTGACAATGTCCTTAACCTTGCAGGCGGTTTTGAAACCTATGAGAGGCTCTACAAGTAAAGGCATGAAGATGATGCAATTCTCTAGCTAGGCTTAGGAAAGAGATACCGAGTTTAATTAAAAATATAATTCTAATTTTTTTAAAAAAGCCGCCACACGGTACAGTAAACATCATGAGTGATTTAAGTCCCCACCAGCAAACGGGAGTGCAACTTGGCCATCAAGTCTCCGAAGAGGACATTAAACGATACAGAGAAATCTTTCAACTTGTAAGTATACATTTCATAAATTTCTGAATTGAGAAAGAATCGTGTTGGATGCGGGATTTAGGTGGATAGAGATGGAGGAGGTGAAATTGAACAAGAGGAGCTTGGTACTTTGATGAGAACCCTAGGATTGAAACCTTCCGATGAAGAAATTAATGAAATGATGAAAGAGGCGTAAGTACTGTACTGGTCAAAATCAGTGGAATGCAAATATCATCATTATAGAGATGCCGATAATTCAGGTGCTATTGATTTCGATGAATTTGTAGCAGTCATGTCAAGGAGCGTTCAATCACAATACACAGTGGAGCAGTACATTAATGCTTTTAAAACTTTTGAGACTGATGATTGCCCCTACGGGGTTGTGAAAACCAAGGTGTTGGAGCACGCATTAACCACCTACGGTGACAATCCCATTACGTTACAGGAGGCTACTGAACTGTTGGCCAACGTAGATCCAGAAAATACTGGCAAGATCAATTACATTAATTACATCAATATGCTTGCAGTTCAATCAGGAGGCCAACAACAACAGAAAAACAGTTAGTTCTATGATTGTATCGTTTGTAAATTATGTACATAATAAATTATTTAAAGCCTCTCATCTACCAAATCTACAAAATTATCACACTTAATTACGTCCAAGTCCTCATCTTTTTCTTTCCAAATGTCAAGTAAATCTTTGGTAAGCTTACTTCCAAGAAATACTTTTATCCTTTCTGTTAAATTTGTCACATGCAATCCGTCGGATTCAATATTTGTGAGCAGCTTCACTAAAATACAGAAAAATTCAATGCATTTGGATCGTAATATTTTAGAGAGATCCTTGTTCCTCAATATGGTACATATAACATCTGGACCGCTAGAATCTTCACAAAATAAAACTACACAATGAGGGCAATTGTGAAGACAAGACAGTAAGCAATCTAGACATGTTAAACGAATTTCATCCCACACTTCTTCTGTATCTTTTTTAAAATCCAGAGATTGATATGGACTGCTTTTTGATGTACTTGTCAGATAATTATTGCCGTCAGAAAGTATTTTTAAGATAAATTTAAATCCTTGAACAGTTGCCAAAGTATTGGAACATGCCGATGAAATAAGACAACATCCCTCCAGGACCAACAAAGCCTTATAAATTTCAACAGCTGTCACTGGGCTCAACGCATGCTTTCCAGCTGTTGTGTGTTGCAAAATATTGGTCACTACATTTGAAATTACTATAACATTCAAATTAGCCTGTTATTAAATTCTCATAAATTACTCACCATTTGTATCTTCGTCCATCTTCTTTTGTAATATCGAAAATATTTCCTTGTCAGTGCTAGTCTCCAATCCAGATAAAATAGAAATTAATTCATCCAATCCTTTTTCTCTTTGAAATGAATATCTATTCCTCAGTAGTGAAATACATCTTCCAATATTAAATTTTAATTCTCTTCTCAACTTGTCATATTCATACCATTGTTCATAATAGGTTAGAGGTTGTCGAATATCAACATGTTCTTCAGACGAATCAAGAGATAACCGAGATAACTCAATTCTAGATGTGGAAGAATGTAAATCTAAACCATCCAAATGATCATTCGTGTTGAGAGAAGATTTAATAGATCTATGGTCGTCGTTATTTGTTGATTCGGAAGAAGAAACAGCAGGTGAAACATCACCCTGATTCAAAACTGGTGGTGAGTAATCAGAATTTGAGGACGTCTGTTGTTTCTTCATTTTTTAATAGTTGATGATTTGAGCAAAGGACGTATGATGAAGGTGGCCAACCAAAGGTTGCAGCTTTACATCCAACTCAAAGCTTTGTGGATCTCCGAACTTGATAACAAAAAATAGCTCATCATCATTTCATGTTCCGATTTTGCACAAGAAGGAACGACACCTAAAACATTCGGCTTTAAAAATTAGAACATTTTTCTCTTGCTCAAATTATATTTGTAAATAATAACACTCGAAACTTATTGGAAAATGGACCAGTCATCACTTCCGAATCAAGAAACATCATCAACAAATAATAATAATAACAGTAAACCAGTGTCCATTATTGTAGCCACCTCTCCATCATCTCATACTTCATCATCAACGCCTCCGACATTTTTCTCTCAACCATCATCATCTTCCAGTTATGATGCAACTCAACACAAGAACACTTCATCAGGAATGAACCTGTTGAGTTCCTACAAGGAAAGAAAATATAAATATTACCAGAAACAACAGCAACAGTCGTCAAGTAACAACAACATTACTACCGATCGGAAATTTACTGATGAACCACGATCTATTCAGAGCAAGCAACACAAGCATCAAACAACAAGAAATACAGCCAGCAACAGATGCAACGTTGCCTTCACAACATGACACTGCGGTGCCATCTTCGACTGAACCTGAAATTTCAAAGAGCCCAGGAACTAAAACCAGGTCTCGTTCCGTGAATGATCATTCTGCTCCTCTTAATTTATTTGAAGAATCAATCAAAGAGAAGAGACTTACACCAAACTCTAGCCATAAAAGGAGTAGCTCTTTGGAGGATTTGTCTTCCTCAGCTCCAAGGCCTGCAAATGAAACTCTTAATCAATCGGTCAATATAGCACTTATGCCGAATACCACAAGTAAGGAACGTGTCGTTCATCATCAACGTGACAAATTTCTATTCGATGGTGATAAATTGTTGAAGAAGCCATCACCTATGAGGACTAGATCTGAACAACCTACATCTCACTTCAATCCTCATGTATCGCCTGAGGTAATAGACCCTCGCTACAGTTTAAAGATTGAGCCTACTCAAGAGTTAGTTTCATATTCCATTATGGACTTGAACAAATCAGCTGATAATATACTGCCTGCAAGAGCAAGTTCAGATCATTCTTCTACAACTCATAGACATGATGGACATTCTTTGGGAGTTTCCTCTGCTAGAGGGTCTCATTACAGAAAAGCCTTTCCAGGAAATTGGATTCCCAGTGGTAATAGCAACAAATTCAAAGGAATAGGGAATCCAGAATACAACAATTCTATCAACACTGCTGGAAATGCTATCAAACACAGCTTTAAAGAGTTTAAGAAAAACATTAGAGATGGAGTTGAAAGGGGTGTGACAACAGTGCGAAATGCTCCTTCTTTCATCAAATCTGTTCCAAAAAAAATTATTCCAAAACAAAACACAATTTACAGCAATTCTAAAGATGATGATAATAAGCTTGATATTCTAGAAGAATTTTCTACCTTTGATGAGCAACAACGAGAAGCTATTGGTGAAGTGTATATAACAAATATTCAAACTAGAAATTTAAAGTCAGTGGAGGGTTATGCTACTGAGCCAGTACCCACTAACTCACAAAAACAATCAAAAGGATCTAATCTTTCTGTGGGAGCAGAAAAAGAAAGCTACCAATCATCTCCTCGCTCCAACGAAAACAACTCCGAAAATATTTTGTTTGAGGACTATATCACTTACTGTGAAGTTTTATGTGAGGGAAAAGTTCATAGAACCATGCCTCTGGCGGGTGCCTACCTCAACAAGAAGCTTAAATGGTCTGAAGAATTTAAGTTTTACATATCTGACGAAACGAGCTCTATATCTGTTGAAATTTTTCATAGCCCAGTCAAACCAAAAATGAAAAAGGAAATTATTTGTTTAGGATTCGTTTCAATACCCCTTTCAAAAGTTAAAATAGCAAAGGACAGAATACTCGAAGATTGGTTCTCATTAACAACTCCTCTTGGAAACAAACTATATACTCAGGTTCATTTACAAATTCAATATGTACCCTATCAAAATCCAGCTCTTTCTGCTGCTGACTTAGAGCTTCTTGATAACATGAGTTTAGAACCTACCTTTACTCAAGCAACCGAGCCAGTGAAAAGTAAGCCTCAACAAAAGATGCTACTTGATGCTCTCAATATTGACGTTCACGACTCTTCTCTGGAAAATTTATCGTCATTTCAATCGTCAGATCACACTGATGGATCATGCTCCTTGAATACACCATCGATGGTTAAAACCAATTTAATATTGGATAGTTGCCAACATGGAAAGGATCAAAAAGTAATACAAAAAGTTCAAGATGAATTGAAAAATATAGACAATTCGCTAAGAAATGATATTCAGGTTTTGAAATCAGATATTTATGAAACTAAAAAACAGATACTTGACATACAAGAAATATCGAATATACATCTGTCTGTAAAACAAAAGAAAATTGACAACTTGAAAAGCAAAGTAGACAAACTAGAATCAAGAATGAATCACCTTTCCAATGTAGTTCTGCAGCTAAATTCAGCTCACTCTACCACAAAGGATAAAGTTATTAGTCACGATGAAGACTTAAAGCTCTACGAGAGCAGAATCAAGGAATTGGAGAACAAGGTTCAACTACTCCACAGTCAACGTGCATCCATCAAATTGAAGGAGTGGATTTTCTACTTTTTGGCAATTTTGTTGTTCATTGTCTCAAAGGTAAGGTCATTTGAAACTGGATTATAGTTTACCAAAGACTAACGTTTTAACATTTGCTCAGATTATTGTGTTAACAGGATATGTTTACAAACGTATCAAGTTGAGACGGCCACCTCAACGTAGCGATATTGATGACGCCTCAGATGACGAAGATACTTTTTCTGAATTGAGAAAACGAATGGATGGAGCCGAGAAGCGATATAGACAAATGGCTACAAACACTAAAAATATGGTTGTCGATTCAACAACCACTACCAACGAAGAGCAACCAAGCACTGCCAAGATATTCTCCATGCTGTCTCCAATTTTACCATTTCTACAAAAGGCGAATGAAATAGAGAAAAAAATAAGCAACACGATCACGACTGGAGTATCTCCCTTCTCAAATTTTGCAGAGTCTTTTAAAGAAAACAATCAACCATATCCTGACGTTGATATTGACAAAATAGTTGTTTCGAAAAAGAATTCTAAGGTACGGTTTGACTCATCTTCTGATGACGAAGAAGAAAGACTTATTCGAGAATTCAACAATAAGAGGTTGAGCAAGTCAATATCGTTTTCATCAATAACTAGCTCGGACGAAGTTACCTCTGGTATGACATCAGCATTACCTGAAGCAAGCGATTCACTACCAGCGAACAAACCAATACATGGAATTAGCTCAATAAGTCCTATAATGGAGTCATCAAATACTAGTTTGCTCAGCATTCAGATGCCAGAGCATCAACAGACATTTTTACTCAATCAACTTAAAAAATCATTTGACAATCTAGATGAATATGACGACATGGACGAGACTAGCCCTGAAACGACCACTAGAATCACAAAAGAAATCGCCAAATCGGCCGAAAATGCAACACCCTCAAAAACACAATCTTCCATTATTCCAGAGGTTCAAGACCAAGCGGATGCAAAAGAACAATCTATTATTGAAGAAACAGAAAAGTTGCAGTCAATATCTCATTTCTTTAGAAAATCAGAAAGTAATTTATCTAATTTGAAATTAGGTGAAAAACTAAAAGCTGAAGAAGATGAAGGAGATGAATTTGATTCCTGGTTTAATAAAGTAAGGTAATACTTTTAGTTTCATCGAGAAATAATAGATTTGGCTCTCTCTAAATAAGGAGATATATTCCATGACTGTACATAGAATGACATTGTGGAATTACTCATGGCGTAGCTTGATTGGCTTTCATTGTTGTGTTTTGATGCATCTTGCATCTGTTTGAGATATTCTTTTCTCTCAAAAGTAGACATCTTTTTACATTCGCCAAGTATTAACTCTTTCATCGTAAAATCATTTTGAAGTGCGTCAATGACAGATTGAAACAATTTTTCTTCTTCGGTACTGCCTCCATCATAACTATTCCCTGCCACTAAATTCATAATTTCTTGAAGATAACCTTTTAACGATACGTAAATAATATTTTGTAATTTAACCAGTGAGTCTAATATTTCTGAATAAACCTTTTTTGTGACTTTCTCCTTGAGTACTTCACCTAAACCTTTTGGCCCGTGTTGAAATACGCCCCAGTATGGGCTTTCCATGTAATCTTCTTCAATTAATAATCGCTCCAACCCGGTTAAAATTTCACCACCATTCAAAACGCTCTCCTCCCATTTGTTAATAATTAATTGAATTTCCTTTCCGATTTTTGTTTGTGATGCTTTCGGTTTTGTTGGGCAGATACCCAGTGTTTTTGTGCTTTTCATTTTTGTTTGGTGATGATTCAAAAATTGGATCCATATTTTCTAATTACTTGTTCGTTTTCTTTGATTGTTCCAACAAGGCTTTTGTTTTTGCTGACTCAATCGCATTTCGAGCTTGATACTCTTTGAGAAGGTCATCCATGGAGGGAGGTGGATTGTCCTTTGTTTGCTTTTTCTTCTTTACTTTCGAGTCTTCTGTTGAGCGTTTCTTATCGGAAAAGTCCGAACGATTGACGTTGTCATTGACTACTACTTTATGAAAGAGTGATTGATGATCGTATTTGAGAGCACTTTTGAATGAAACTCCTTCAGGGATCTGTGGTTTTGAATTAGAAATGACACTATTCCCTGCTTCGGAATTTTGAATCAAATTGCTAGACAGATCAAGAATATTCAACTGTTGATGGTCGGATGATGAAGATGGTTTTAGTCTCTTGAAAGAGTCCAGTGTTTTTTGAGACTCCTCCTTTTTTCTCTTCTTTTCTTCGGATTGATGTTTTTCCTTTTCCTGTTGTTCGTCCCTTCTCACTCTTTCTCGATTCCGAGTTGATTGAACATGCCAAGACTTCTTAGAGAGCAGATTAGACATTTTTAATTGAAAATAATTTAATTGATGAAAATCTCACTACAAACAATATTAAATAATTAGTTGAGCAAAGAGAATGGTAGTATTACTTCCTTATTCCTTATTCGTTAAAACAAGCAAAATTAAGAGGCCAACAACAATATATTTCACTGCAGGATAATTGTTCATAATTATTGTAACCTGACCGATATATGGCAAAATAGACTTTGCTCTTCCTACCATATGATTTCTATGCAACCATTGCAGTTTTTTAGTGTAAATTCCAAATCTATCATCATAACCATTATTATCACCTTTCGTTAACATTTTCAAATTATCATCGTCTTTTCCTTCGAATAAATTGGTTTGATTATGAACATTATGCAATCGGATCACTCTGTGCACAATCGGAATTTCCTTTCCTTCCAATTTATAAACAACAATATCTCCAAGACGTGCTGGTTCAGGACTGAGACTTAGGAAAAGAATATCACCAGGGTAAAAAGCTGGAATCATACTTCCCGTTAACACCACCACAATTGGCGATTGGCAATTGGTATAAATTGATACTGATTTCCAAATTACTAGAGCACTACATAACACAAAAGCCAAAGAAATAAATTGGCTCAGAAATTCTCTAGCGTTGAATTGCCGCAGCTGCTCCAAAAAGCTCGAGATCATTTTTTGTTTTATTAAATTCGAACAATTTTAAACTCCAAGATGAAATTTCGAACACGTGTTAAGACACAAGTGTATTACGCAAATTTCAAAATCATGAGCTTTTAATTTCTTAATTTAATTTCATGTCACTTGCATTTTCATAGACAGCGTCTTGGTCTGTTCCTCTCAAAAATAATCTGTCTTCTCTGTCTGGGATGTCCACAATTAATGAGTGGAAAGTAAATCTATTTCTTAATAAATTGATAATTCCGTCCTTTCTCGACACGTCGCATGAAATCATGGCTGTTTTTTTGTTGGCGTCTACCAGTTGGAAACAAAGTTGCATACGTTTTGGTTTCCAAAATTGAATTCTTCTGACGAGAGGAACTTCATGAGCGTTGTTGAAATCAGGATAGGCTATCACGAGTAGGTGTAAAATTAAGGCAATATGATTATGAATTTTGTACTTACTATAACTGTATGCTCTGAATTTTCCTGGAGTTAAGGGTGTAACCATGTTATCTCGAAGGGTTTTGTTAGCCAATACCTTTTTGATGGCAGCTCTATGATTGTGTGAATCAAGTCAAATCAAATCTCTGAAACATACCTGTACACAGTGGAAGGATGAATGCTAAATGCAAGAACAGCAAGCCATGTTACTCCACAACACATGAGAGCACTTAAAAACCCAAAATAGAAGGATACAGTTGCTACATTCTTGAACGTAATAGAGCTAAGCCAGCTTGTGACCTCCCAAACTGAATAAAGTTCAATATTTCATGATCATTTCGAAATCACGTACCAATATAAATTACTCCAAATATCAAAGTTGAAATTACAGCATAACGAACAAAATACATTTTCCAAAATTTAACTAGTAATGGAATGTTGACTCCTTCTTCATCCATAATACGTTCCTAAATATTGAAATGAGAAAAACATTTGTTAATCACGTAATGGATTATTGTTACAAAATTTACCTTCTCATCTTTGAAAACTTCTGTTGGAACCACTTCCTTTTCTAAATCCTTCTCTTCTTCGTAGATAAATAAATTTTTGTTCTTATCTGCAGATGATGGTTGCTTTTGTTGCTCCGATGGCTTTAAATTGGTATGAAAAGCAGACACCATAAATACTCGCTTGTCCACTTTGATCAATGAATTGCTAACCACAGACGTTTTGGAGAGTGGCAACACAAGCTTGTTTGTTGAGAACTTCTCGAAGCTTGATCGAATCAAATTGACCATAGATCTTTTGCTGAGCATTTTTTTGATTGGGTTTTTGGAAATCAAAAATGTTTTATTTGAATCTATTCTTCCTTCTTTGCCAATTGTTCTTTAGCTGCCTTCTTCTTTGCCAAAGCTCTTGCGTTTTCTTGTCTCAGTTTAAAGAATAGGAAGAAGAAAGAAATGACTACAATATCTCCTGTCAATGAACCATAAAAACTAATTACGAGAAAATTGGGACGTTTAGAATCATGAAACATGCAACAACTTACCTTCCTGTACAAGTATTGCCTCTTGGTCTCTCCCAGAACATTTCAACATAACAATAGGCAGTAAAAGTAGCAGCATCTAATATGAATTGAACTAATTGAATATCAGTCAAGTACATCTATAAAACAAGTATGTTTCATCAGGCCTGATTCATAACCACAAAACAAATACAAACCTTCCACCAAACATCAAAGCCCAATGTAACTTTCATGTAGTAATAATACATGATGATGTGTACGAAAGTGTTGAGAGCAATTGGAATCCATTGACCTGTACCACCAGTGTACAATCCATAATAGCAAATAGACATGGTTGTGACGTGATGATAGGTATGAATGAATCTGAGTCTAGATCTTCTAATAACAAGAAGGAAAGTATCAAACAATTCAACATATTTTGACATGTAGTACTACATGACAGAGTTCAATATTTCAATAATAATTTAAATTTCGATTGTTCCACCAATTACCGAGTTTTTTTAAAAATTATTATTATTGAATTGAACAAACAATCACTTACCATGTAGGTCCAGAATGGAATGTATCCAACATTGTACTTGTGTTCTGGATCACACAACAAACTATAAAAACCATCCTTTAAACCAATTTTAGCAACTTCAAAAAGTAAACCGAAAAAGCACACAAGTGAAATGACAGTCATGTTCAGATTATGCAAAAAGGCTACCCATTTCAACACCTTCTGGAAAAATGTTGGATTTTTACGTTCCTCTTCCATTTCCTTTGGAGTTTTAGTACCAAGAATGAAACTAATGGTATAACTAATGATTACATATAAAACTAGTGTGAGTCCAATAGATTGTAAACTAGAGAGTGGTGTTACTGCATCATCCCATTTAAATTTTCCTCCGACTTGAACATAGGTGTCGTAGATGGACTTGGGAGAAGTCAAATCAACTTGACGGAACGCACCAATAAATGTTTGGAGGGTGCTAGAAGGAAGAGTATCGATGAGATGGGGTTTTGTTGCCATTTTTTTTGTGCGGGATGTTTGTGAAATCCGAATGAGGCGGGTTGTTGTTTTCAACGGAAAATTATGATGGAATTCTTTGCAATGTATGAAAGTTCAGCAGCGTCAAGAGATGTTTTCATATTAATAATTGACATCACAATAATAAGCTACTATCCAAGAATGTTTGCCACGTACTGACTCGCAATCACAAAAAAATGAGCAATCACTCGAAGGTATGTTTTTCTGTGTTACTCTCCGAAACATTAGACCTGGTGGTTGTAATGGGATACAACTTGCAAATGATTATATTTATTGTCGGATCGTATGACCTTTATTATCGGTTATTGCAAATAGAATTTTTTGAACTCATCCGTGGAATTGGTGAAGCCAAATCCAAGCAGGAGGAAGACAAAATCATCCTCCGAGAAATGGCTACACTGAAAACAGGAATGGAAAACCCCAAAGTTACTCTAGTATGTTTTGATATTGTTGTTACTGTTACTGACTCTCATGATGTATTTCTTGTTATTACGATTCCTACTTTTTAGAAAATGATGAAAGAGTACATGGTCAGACTATTGTATTGTGAGATGCTTGGGCATGATGCTTCGTTCGGATACATCAACGCTATCAAATTAACTTCGAGCAAGGATATGCTGGAAAAGAGAGTGGGCTATTTGGCAGTTACGTTGTGTCTACCTCCTGAGCATGAATTACTTCTCTTGTTGATTGCAAACCTTCAAAATGACATGAAGTCTACGAACTTCGTTTCAGCATGTTGTGCTCTTACAGCAGCTGCTAAGGTTGTGAACGAAGAAACCATACCTGCATTACTTCCTCAAGTTCTTGAGCTGAGAAAACATGCTAAACCCATTGTAAGAAAGAAGGCTATTTCTACACTTCACAGATTCTATCAAATATCTCCTTCATCAGTTCCTGATATTATTGAATACGCTAAAGACGCCATGTGTGATCGTGATCCTTGTGTTATGGGTGCGTCTTTGTGCCTGATTTATGATCTTTTATGTGCTCCAGAAAATGTTAGACAGCTCAAAGATTTAGTTCCTGGATTTGTTGCTATTCTAAAGCAAATAATTGAGAGAAGATTATCTAGAGATTATGATTATCACAGGCTTCCTGCACCGTGGATTCAAATCAAACTTTTGAAAAATATTGCGTTACTTTGCGCTGATGATAGATCCACATCTGAGCTTGCATATGAAGTACTTCGTGAAGGAATGCAAAGAGCTGACACAGGACTCAATATTGGCCATGCTGTTGTTTTTGAGTTTGTAAAAACAATTACAACTATTTATCCAAACAATTTGCTGTTGGAAAGTGCAGCCAGCGCCATTTCCAGATTTGTAACAAGCTCAAATCACAATTTGAAATATCTTGGAATTCAAGCTTTGACCCAAATTGTCAAAATTAATCCAAAATATGCCATTCAACATCAAATGGTGGTGATTGACTGCCTTGAAGACACTGATGAAACTTTGAGAAGAAGAACATTAGAATTGCTATTCACAATGACAAATTCAAATAATGTTGTTGTTATTGTAAAGAGATTGTTGGAATTTGCTAGAAAATCTATTGATTCCCATATGAGAAAAGAATTGATAGAAAAGATCTCGATTTTAGCTAAAAATTATTCTCCAAACATATCTTGGTATCTTGATACCATGAATATGTTGTTCGAAATTGATCCTCAATACATTCCACAAGAAGCTCTTCAAAATATGATGAGCGTAATTGGAGAAGGAGTTGGAATAGATGAAGATGATGAGGAAATGAGAAGCCATTGCGTTGAGACTTTTTGTGATGTGATTGACTCAAAGAATGTTATTCACGATCTTCATATTCAAGTTATTGCGTGGGTCCTCGGAGAATACAGCTATATGAACGCCAACTATGACTCATCTGACATTCTCAGCAAGCTTTGCGATTTGGTCGATCGTCAATTGGAATTTGAAGAGACCAGATGTTGGATAATTACAGCCATGACTAAAATTGTCGCTCAGTGTAAAGTAGCTTCTCATGAGGTTGTTGAATATGTCAGAAAGTACAAGGATTCAAAGAATGTAGATTTACAACAACGCTGTTACGAATTCCTTGCCCTTGTAAATGCTTGTGAAAGAAATAGCTGGGAAGAAATTATGGACAGTGTTTTACCTCTTGACGGAGCGTATGAGGACATTGAGGTTGATGTTGATCTGTCTTTTGCCCAAGATTATGTAAACGTTTTGGTCAGAAAAGGATCAAGAAAGTACTTGAACAGTGAAGAAAAGAAGGTCTTGCTCACAGAAAACGCCAAGCCTGTCAAACGTACCGGACTCGTGGTAAACGCCTATCCAACGGTTAAAGCAACTCCAAATCCTGTCTCCACTTCAGGAATAGTTTCAACAACGCCTATTGATATTGCTTCTCGCGCCCTTTCTGGAACTAATAACACAACTGATATCAGCACATCTCTTCCAAAGAAGCAAGGAAAAGGAAGATGGGTAAATGAGAGTGAAATTGAAGAAGAACCAGTCAAAATTTCAACTCCTCCAACAACCGTGACTGAGAATGTATCAAAACAAACGTCTGTGGTGACATCACCCTCCTCTGAAAGTCATCACAACGAGGTTCATAAGCCACCTGTCACCATTTCAACAGCAGAAGCCAAAAGAAAGCAAAAATACCAAGATCTTTTTGTTACTGATTCAAGTTCAACTGCTACTACTAAGGTATCAACTCAACCTAAAAAGACTGCTCCAAAACGAAAGACATCAAAGGGCCCAACCTCTAAACCTGTTCTACAACAAACAACAATTGAGCCAACAACAGTTCAGCAACAGCCTATTTCTGTGGATGACATTTTCAACGATATGGTGATGACTTCGAATCCTGTTCCTCAAACTGCACATTCTGTTACACCACCAAAGTCTACAATTAATGAGCTTGATGAATTTTTCAGCATGACTACTACTGCTCCATCGGTCACCACTGTGACTACACCACAAACTACTCAAGATTCATTCTTTGATCAAATTCTTCAACCAAGCAAACCAGTTGCTCTTCAACCAGTTCCAATAATTAGATCAAATGAAACTATGGTACCACAATCAAAGAACAAGCGAACCAGTTACATGATTCAGCAATTAACGTCTTCACATAATAGTGCGTTCTCAGATTTGGTTCAGTTAGTCCGAGATGATCGTGTATTGGTCGAGTACAACAAGTTTTGGAAGTCTGATTCTTTAATTGTTGCCTTAGTGTTGTCCACAGACAGAGGTTTTGTGCTTCCACAAATCAGTTGCCAGTTTTCGCCACCGTCTGCCTTTGCAATGACTATTCAATCCGATGTAGAATCTAAACAAAAACCAAATGGTCTTACATTTAACTCATTAGATACCACAAGACCAATTTCTGTAGCTATTACTCTAACCCCAACGGATATTGTTATGGGAACTCGTCTTGTTGGACAAGTTGCTTATTCAAATGAGCAAAATTTTGCCAGCTATTTGAATGTTAATATTCCAATTGACACAATTGATATCATAACTGAATATCCTGATTTTGGATCCACATCTCAATTTGCAGAAGGCTGGAGAAAATATACTCAAGAAAAAAAGAATCTTGTTAAGCTCACAGGTTCATTCGACATCAATAGATGTATTGATACTTTAAAGCAAAAAGCAAAGGTATCCGTTATCCAAATTATTGATATGGAGGTCATTGGTGTTTGTAGAGTTGTTGGAAGAAGTGATGTAATTTTGATTCACAGCAAATTTAACGCTACAGCCAATAGTGGAACCATCACAGTTAGAACAGCAGATAGAACCTTGACTGAAAACGTTTCAAGACTGATTTCCTCAATATTCTAAAATAAATGGATGTATTTTGCATTGACAATCAATAATTTATTGAAGATCGCTATCTGCAACATTCTCATTGTCATCTTCCAAGTAGATAGAGTCAGAAGGTTGCCAGATTTGAAGAATATTGTCCTCAGCCACTGAAGCAATCACCCACTCATCTCCTTCATTGGGATTCCATGAAAAGTCAGAAATTTTGGAGGTGTGACCACCATGAATGAAAAGAAGTTCTGGTGGGCCATCTTCAGCATCTTCTGGGGTTTGCTCCATACCAATTCTAGAAATATCCCAAATCATAACTCTTCTATCAGTTCCACACGATGCTAAAATAGTTTCATTTGATGGGGACCATGACACTGAGAACACTTCGTCTGTATGACTATTCAGTGTATGAAGCTCAGACTTTAGATTTCTCATATCCCATAGTTTCACAGTTTTATCAGCGGATCCAGTAGCAAGAACATATTCGCTGTAAGGAGAAAAATCAATAGAATTGACTTCAGCTCTATGAGCTTCAGTGACATGCGAAGGTTTTGTGTTGCTTTGAGCACGAGTATCAAAAATACGTAAATTTTTGTCATCACACACTGTTCCTAACAAGAAGTCATGAATTCGATGCCAAGCAACATCTTCTACTACAGCCGAATGACCTTCAAGTGTCATAAAAGGTTGTAAAGATCCCTTGTCAATTTGACCTTGCTGAGCAAAAATGTCCCAAATACACACTTTGCAATCATCACTACCGCTTGCTATCAGTCCTTCTTTCTTGGTGCTCCAACAAACACCGTATCCTTCTTGAGTATGACCTTTCAATCTTAAAGTAGGTGTACATTGATTGGTTTTTGGAACACTTTCAAATTCGGTATATTTGAAAATTAATACTTGGCCATTCACACACTTGGTGGCAATATACTCGGGATGTTGAGGCATATAACGAGCTCTATTCACCTCTCCTTCATGGTTAATACGTTGAACACATTCCACCTTTCCTTTTCCCATACTTGTTCCCAATGATCCTGATTCCCCATTACTAGAGTCATATCTTCTAATATCAACATCAGAATTATTAATTGGTAATTCAGCTTCCGCAATAAGAAGATAATTCTGTTCGGATTGTGATGTATGAGTTCCTAGTATGAGTTTTTGTGTACTATGTGTGTCATGTCTGTTTATATTTTCAATCCAATTTTATATGTGCAAGGCTTGATATTCCTCTACTTACTGTCTCTTTTCTGGAAGCCATTCTACGGTTAGAGATGGCCATTCAAGAGCATGGGTTATGATTAGATCATATAAAAAAGATGTATTCTTTTTCCTATGTACGTTGTTTTCATCATCACTCGTAAGATGGATGATGGTGAAAGAAGATTCAACTCACCAAATTTTATATTCTTCGTTGATAATCTTTTCTTCGCGATCGTCAGACATTTTTTTGGCGCAATTTTTTGGTGTGGAATTGCAAAAAATGAGTCAAATTTATTCTTCGCTTCCAAAGACAAAGGGTATGGAATCATTTAAAATCAATTCACATTCAATATTAAGAGTCTCAATCTCACCACTCATTGCTCATAAATTTTATTATTATTTTTTGAACAATCTGGTGATCTGATCGGAACAAATATTTTCAATCGGACGATGGAAAACGATAAATATTCGAATGCCATGTAAATAGGAAAGGTTGTTTTGGTCACAGATTGTGGTGATGTTGAAATTGAATTATTTTCTAAAGAAGCTCCAAAGGCTTGCAAGAATTTTGTGCAATTGTGTTTGGAGGATTTTTACAACGGAATGATTTTCCATAGAATTGTTGCTGACCAATTTGTTCAAACTGGAGATCCAACCGGAAATGGAGATTATGGAGATCAATTTATGAAAAAGGAAAACAATTTGAAGCAGAATATCATTCACGACTAAAATTTATTCAAAGAGGATTAGTAGCATGTGCTGCACAGAACAATAGAGTGATTCTCGCTTCTTTATTACAGTGAATAAGTTGGAAGCCTTAAATTTTAAGCATACAATATTTGGACAGGTTGTTGGAAATACAATATTTAATGTGTTAAAAATTGCAGAGCTGGAAGTGGATCAAAATGATCGTCCTAGTAAGTTCCTCTTGCCATCGTCTACTAACTTGTCACATTTTCTCAGCTTATCCTCCAAAGATTATTCGAGCAGAGGTGATCATTAACCCATTTGATGATATTGTTCCAAGAAAAAAGGGTGAGACTGCTACTTCTTCAACGCACAAGAGAAAGAAACAACAAAACAAAAACATTCTTTCATTCTCTGATGAAATAGATGAACATGAAGTGTCCAGCAAGAAACAGAAAAAAGAACTTCAAAAATTGGAAAAAGAATTGTCAGAAGTGGATACTCTGGATGATGACACAACGACCGTGCCTGTACGAAATACTAGCTCTTCTTCTACTCAAAATGTTAATCAGCAGCTATGGAAGAGTCATCGACGTCTCACAATATTCGCACAGACATTGAAGTTTCACAACAGCAAGACAACTCATCAGTCGAAAGCAAGTTTTCATCTCTGAGAAAAGAAAGAGAGCTAAAGAAATAGAGTCATTACAGAATCGAACAAAACAACAAGCCAAAAGTTATCTCAACGAACAAATGCAAAAGTACAAAAGGAATAAGAAAGATAAAGAAGAAAGGGAGAGAGATGCACTCCAAAGATTCGAAATGTTTTCAAAAGGCTTAAAAAACAGCAACGAGACAGGATGGCATAGTCATTCCTTGGATTTTAAAGAAAAGAAATAACAGTAGTTGTGTAATATGGTTTTTTTTGAAATGGTGTGCTGATTATTTTCGAGTTTTTGAGTTTGGAGATCGATACCGTACGCTCTCTGAGCTTCGATCCACAGAGAGAGCAAGAGGTCGAGTGTCACCAGCATTCATTCTTTTTATCGAAGAAATAAGAGAAGTGTTTGACTTGATGAGGGACGTACGTGCTTTGGATTCAAATTGTGAGTGATGAGTTTGTGCTGTACTTTTAAGGTTGCTATATCTAAGGGTTACTTGCTCAACCTCTCGATTCCTCTGCTGGATTGATTCACTTTTTTCTCGTCGTAGTCGTAAATCCAAGCTATCCAACTCATGTTGCTGCTTTTTAAGTAAATGAGCTTTTTTCTTTTCGTAGGAAGAGCTATATTTCATCATTACTTTTTTCATTTCTTCTTCTTGAAGCTTTTCTGCCTTTTTTTTGACCTGTTTGGGACGGTAAGGTATTTGAATCAAATTCAACCACTTACCGAAATTGCCTCAAAATAAAATTCTTGTCTTGCTAAGGTTTCCTCCATCATCTTTAAAGTTATAAGATCCCTACTTTTGGGATTGTATTTTCTCTGTAATTCCTCCATAAATTTTCTTGAAACTCTTCCAATTCCTTGGCGTGCTTGTCTAAAAGTCGTTTTCGTGATTCATCAAATGCATGCTCCAACATTGCCATCTTGTCATCCCATTTGGATTTTAATTCTGCCATTTCCTGCTGAAACGCCGTTTCTATTTCTTCTCTCTCCTTTAGCTGTATCCGTTTTATATTGTCGATATGTCGTTTTTCATTTTGAAATTTTAATAACAACATTGCTTTTTTCCCTATCTCGCATTGATTGTATTCTCCTCTAGAGAAACAGGCCTTATGATATTCTTTTAAAACCCTGATGGCAGTATCATAGGAAATTTCGGAAGGTAAAGGTTCATGGTTAAATATGATTGAAATTAATGTTTTTGCTTCGTCTTCAATAACATCAAAGCCATCCATCCTCTCAATGGAAGAGTTCAATGAAAAAGCTTGACTGTTGCAACAACTTTCTCCTTCATGACTCTCGCCATTTTGTTGTTGATAATGATGATTTTGTGGTTGATGATGATGATTGCTAGAAGTGATTGTTCTCCGAAGAGGACTGGTGTTGATCGTTGTTGAGCTCCGTAACGACATGTTTTTTTACAGTTTTAATTTTGGCGCACTTTGACAAGTTTATCTATTTCCAAATATAAAAACTCGTTTAATTAAATAATTTAAAACAAAATCAACGCAAAGAGAGCCACAACAAATACAAGGGTACTAGTCAAACCATTGACACAAGTAGCAGCATTAACGGACTTCTTTGGGGATGGAGATGCTTTTGGTGTTGAAGGCTTTGGTGAAGGCTTTGGTGAAGGCACAACAATTGGTGATGGGAATGACTCTCCTGAACAAGCATCGTTTGGATTTTCCAAGCTCACGGAGGATGGAGGAATACCTATCACTCCAATGGCATATCTTGATCCAGCATTTCCTGTTGGTTGTGTGATACCATCATCAGGATTTTGATGAATCACAACACCACGACCAATAATACTATTCACTCCCTTCAATGCCAATAAATCCAAAGTAATATCAATCGTTGCAACACCCAAGGAATTTGCAGTAATATTTCCCATATCACCTGCGTGTCGATTGACAGTTCCTGGATAAGCATGTGGAGATGTTGATGGATTCCAATGTCCCATAAGGGCTGCACCATCTTTCAAATTCAATTCACCAAATTGATGAACATGAAAACCATGAATGGTATTTGGAGCAAGTCCACACACCTTTCCAGTCACTCGAACATTTCCATTACCAACAGAATCATCGAAAATAACTCTACCAGTAACATTGTAATTACCAGCAGCATCAGTTCTGAACATGGTTGCAACAGCACGATTCGTGGCAGTATAAGCATCATTCATGGCAAGATTCGAAGTAACATTGGCAATACCAATCACACAATGAGCAGCAGGATTACTGGCATTACCAGTGGGTTGAGCAATAGAACCAAGGTCTTGTGCCATGTGAAGTCGAATGGCTCTACCAATCACTGAAGTATTTCCATCCAATCGCAATAAAGAAGTAGTAATGACACCAGAGTATCCCAACGAGAGATCAATATTTCCCAAATCACCCACGTGGATGGAGGGAGCACCGACTTCACCTGGCAATGCGTGACTGGCTCCATAGGGATTGTAATGAGAACCAGTGGATACAGAGTTAGCAAGATAACCAAATTCATGGATGTGGAATCCAAGTTTTTTACCTTGAAGAATGGCTGGTACAGTGGTTTGATTGAGTGCCCATGAAATGGTAGTATTGCCAGTGGTGGTGCTATAGACGAGAGAGACACTACCTCGAAGACCAACGGCGTTTCCGGTTGTACCTGTCAAGAGACAGTGACCTTGATAGACCTGTGCTTGAGTGGTTGTTGACAGGAGAATCACTGCAAGCAAGAAGCATGCAGCAATGATTGATGATTTGGTGGTTGATGTTATCATATTTTTTTTAAAGAAGACAGCCGTTTGATTTATCCCAAGCGAGTGCTTTTGAGATTCAGTGGTCAAGGGCTTGTGATCTAAAGACACATTCGTGCGCATTGGTGATGATGATGATTGGCGTGCAATTGATCAGCTCGAACGATTCTGTTGTGCTATGATTGGAGGAACGAAATAATTGTAAAGGAACAAGCATGATTGTTTCCTTTTATTTCAATCTCAGCGGAGACTTTTGGGAACTACGCTTCCATCTGGTATACTCTAGCACGTTCAGAATAGATCATTCAATTATTTGAAGTAATTCTCGTGATTAGTAGCACTGGTTTGGTTCAACCGCCTCTCTCCAAACCAACGTTTTACTGCAATGGCATCCATTCAACTACGGATCCACATGCTCTTCACAAATTTAGGCGCACAATTGGATTCTAAAACATGTCGAATCGCGCACTCTTTTTTTTACATTCTGGCCAAAAAAACAACAAACCGACCACTAAAGAGGATCCTGTACACTTGTGTGAGTGAGAAATTTAAACTATTGAGAAGTCTCACAACGCAACGATAACCTTATCGGATCAGAGAGACTTGTTGTGTGTGGGTCTTCTTTATTGAAAACATTTTATATTGACAAGTGTTAGTAGGTACGTGTAGTAGTACTCTCTTGTCATCATTGAACCATGGTTGACACTGTTCGTCTCCGATGTGTATCACATGTCTTTGTTAAATGGTTTTTCTTTGATATCTATTCAAATAATGAATGTATCATGATGGATAATTCCATGATAACGATTGTTTGTTGATTGATTCAAAAAAAAAATATAATCATTGGAATCATAACAATTCGGAATTGTTTGTTCACATTATTCACACACACACTCACAACAGAAACATGTCAAAAAACTTTAAAATACAAAAATCACAAACGTTCAACGGTGACACATCTCAACACACCAATTTTCCAACCATTCATATTGACACTCAATCTAGTATTAACACAAGTCCAGCCATCATCGAAGAAGAAGATCTTGAATTAATGACATCCTCACCAACCACTCCATTAAAAATTAATTCTTCCAAAGTACATCATCATAACATGAAGATGAAGAGTACTCTGAAGATGCCTTACTGTTGAGAAGTGACTGTCATATGGACCAAGAAGAGGATGTCACTACAGGAATGTATCTCAATGAAAAAACAATTTACAAATTGTCTAAAAAGCCATATACTTCCTTCATTCCACCTCACAATATGACTCGTTTACAATATGCATATTATATTTTTGTACAATTTATGATTTTCACATGGAAAGAAGTTTCGAAAAGAAAAGTTGCATTTTTAATTGGAACTGCTTCATGTTTCGTTGTGGTTTGGATGGTCATGATATCAGTTTCTGCATTATCACAAATTCCTCTTGTTTTTATTAGATTGGCAGAATTACAAGTTGGAGAATATGATATTCAAATTAGTGCTTCAAAAGTACTTCCAGGTGTGACACTCAATTATACTTTAATCGATCAACAAATTCAAAATGCCACAAAAACAGATGTAACTGAACAAGAACGATATTCCTATCACTCTCCGAGATATTTATTTAGTGTCAAAGCTTTTACTTCTTGCAATAATACGTTATCCAATGATTTAAATTATCGAGATTACTCTTGGATGTACAATTCTTCCGATGTGAGTTGTGGACAGAAATCACCACACCAAGATACTTACAAACTCTCCACAACAGATTACAATGATGGATACTTTTGTGTTCCTCGTTACTGTAAAACTCAACAAGATCGAGTCTCCTTATACGTTATTGACACAGACAAAGAAAATAGAATGCAATTTGGAAGAAATTATCCATACAAGAAATTGAAAAAAGGACATGCCATTATAGGTGCTTCTATGGCCATGGATATGGGTGTGAAAGCAGGAGATACAATTCTAGTAGGAGTGGCAACCATGGATACTCTTGTTGGACCTTATTATGAAGCTGGCATTGTTCGATATCATGATCAACTTTCTAATGCATTGTTAAACTCTCTTGAGTTTTTACCTCCATCATTGAAAGAAGCTTTTGAAAAGGAAACTTTAGAATTGAGCCCTGAATTGGCGTCTCTCAAAAAGTTATCCATGTTACATGCATTGCTTGAAGCAGATGTTTCACAACAAACATCAAATTTCATTCAACTCTCAGACGAAGAACAGTACATGAATCGAAGAGTGACATTCAATAATGGAACTTTATACTTTCCAGTCACTATTGATGTAGTGTCCAACAATGTACATGGAAAATTTGCAACAAGTATTACAGACTATATCATTATGGAATTTGACTCGTTTTTAGAACATTTGGCTGAATTCTTACCTTCTCAATTATTTAGTGAACATGAAAAGTCATTGATGTCTCGTGTGAGTCCTTATTCCTATGCTGGTTATGTCTATTTCAATTATCCACCAAATAGATTAACAGCATACAATGAAAATGATTTTAAAAAGATTAGAGATAAGATTACAGACTTTTCATCACTTGCCATGTATTTGATTGGATTTAATCAAGTGGATACAAACTTTCCAATTTTGGAACAAATGCAACAAACCCAATTCTTTTCACTCTTTGTGGGTTTAATTATTTCAATCATCCTTGTGGTGTTATCTCTGTTGAGTGTTGTCCTTATTTATAGTTTATTAATGATCAATGTTGAAAATAGAAGATTTGAAATGGGTTTATTGAGAATTTTAGGATTGAAGAGAATTCATCTCGTTGAATTAATTCTTGTACAGGCCATGTGGTATGGAATTCCAGCATGGATGATTGGTTTGATTATTGGACAAATTTCATATGCAGGTGTGGCCATCTTGTTGAGTTCAACATTGGAAGCGAAGGTTTCCTATTTTGCATCGTTTGAGGCAGTAGCATTTGCTTCTCTTTTAGGAATTGGAGTTCCAATTCTTGGTAAGTTACTCGATTTTTTTTTAAAGGCCTTCTTCAGTACTATTGTTCATTTCATTATATCCATCCATCTATGAATATGAACGAAAATCGAAAATTTTAATTTTATTTTTAATTTTATTTAACCTTCATCCACCCTTTTGAATGGATATTTTAAACAACAATTATTGACATTAACAACACTCAAACAACAACCCTGCAGCATCCATTCTTCCAATCAAAACTGCATTGGGCCAGAATTTACATGATTCTCTCGATACTCAACGTTCCGTTTCAGCTGTGAAATATAGTGTGGAAAGAGCTGAATCTGAATATATTGCATGGACTCCAGTCGTTCTTGGACTTATTGGAACAGCTTTTGGTTTTGGAGTTTATTATGTCATGCCACTCAGTTTACTCACCTTTAACATTACAATTATGAGCTACATGTTTATGAGTGTCATTCTATGCATGTTATTAGGTCTGGTTGTACTTTCTCTCAATTTTGAGAATATGATTGAATTTGTTGTGGTTATTTTCACAATTGGTATTTTTGAAAAGGCAGCAGTTGTGGATCTCGTAGAGAAGAATCTAATTGCACACAGAGAGAGAAATCGTAAAACTACTCTCATGTTTGCATTGAGTTTGGGGTTCATTATTTTTAGCTCTGTGCTTTTTAACACACAAATCACTGCCTTTAAATATAATATTATGAGAGGAGCAGGAACGAATTTAATTGTTGGAACTCGATCATTGTATGCCTTTTCGTCGTATCCTCAGGCCCTGTATGACGTGGAAAACTTTGCAGTTCAACACCCGAATGGATTGAAGGCACCACTTATTGGACTTTTGGACTTCAATCACTTCGTACATCCATTCAAAAGACACAACTTCGATCCAAAGGTGCTCTCGTGAAGGATGAAGTGTATATTCGAGCCATTGCCCCAATTTCTTTAATATCACCAATTCAAAATTTTTGAGACTAGATGCGAGAATTGAACCCACGACCATTCCCAAGCAAGTGACGGTACCGCTCACTAATAATTTTACTTCATTACCTGTGGGTGAAGGCTCTACCTCTTCCTACGCACGTTACAGTAACAATTTGGATGAATACTTGTATACACTCGAGGGTGGTTCTCAATTGATTTTAGGTAGCTATTTTAAAACTCGTCTCAATGTTGATTTGAATGATGAAGCTATTATTGAAACCATAGAAACAACTTCAGCCATTCCAAAATATAATTATGCCTTATTCAAAGTGGGTGCATTCCTTGAAGCCTCTCCAGTCGCTCTCTATTCTTCCTTCCCACGATTTGGTACTCAGAATATTCTCGTGAGTGTTCCTACTTATTTGAGACTACTTGGAAGAGATAAGGGATTTTCCGTGAATCGACTTCCCGTCGATGCCATTTTCATTAAATTAACCGACTCGGTGCAACAGAACAAACAAGAATATCGAAAGATGAAAAATTCGCTCCAGAAAGTGATTAGTGCTTATCGAGGACCTTTCATTAGAGATGTCAATGATGAGTTATATCCCATTGAAATTGCTGTACAGGTGATGAATTTCTTCTTCCTCTTTACTACTTTGGTTGCTTTAATTATTTGTTTCTTTAGTTTAGTTTCAAGCATGTATAGTAATGTGAACGAACAAGCAAAGGAGATTGGTGTTTTGCGAGCTATTGGAATGAGAAAGTTTTCAATTATTCGAGTTTTTATTTATGAAGCATTTGTACTCATTACTTCTGCCTCAATTTCTGGAATATTTATTGGAGGTATTATTGGATATACCATGTCGCTTCAAAACACACTCATTACTGAACTACCTATTGATTTTATCTTTCCTTATCAAATTGTTGCATTGGTATTTATTTGTGCAATGGTATTTAGTTTCCTCTCTTCCTTCTTCCCAATTTATTCACTTGTGAAAATGCCCATTGTGAGTGTATTGAGAAAATTAAATTAAATGTTTCTAAATTGTGTGTATTTATAAATATTGATTGGTGTGTATTTAAGGTATTCTGGAACACGATCGATTCATTTCGTTCTGAGAAACATGTGTGTCAAGAGGCTAATGATCGCATAGCCTTTCATTGCATTAGTTGTGGTTTTTCCCATACGGAATAATTGGTTCGATCAATTCGATCAGGATACAATACTCCTCCTGCACCTAAAAAACCAATAAATGCCAAAGTAAATACAACACCAAACATTCCAAATAAACTCTTCTTTGAAAATTGATAAGAAAATACAGCAGCGTTCAATCCATAAAACAAATGATACACTCCACTCATTAACATGATGGTATAATAAGGTAACATGATGGCTCTTCCAGGATTTTTTTCCATACTAAAAGTCACTTGTGAAAATTCTGAATCGATAGGATACGTGAATCGAGTCGCTGTAATATGAACTGGCATTAATACAAGCAAGACGTATCCTGCATAACGATGTAATTGTAATGGTTCATTATAAATTTTCCTTTTCAAATATTGAATGATGGAAGAAAAGGTGTCCTTTTTCTTTGAATCTTGAGCGTCATCGTTTGAATCGGTGGTTCTTGTTGAATTTCCTGGATTCGTGATTTGAGTTGTTGTGTCTTGGAATTCAACAAACAATTTCGTACAATGATTCTTCCCACTCCACTCAACATGTGCATTGCAAGAGGTCCCAAAATGCAATAATATTCTGCATGATTTCCCAATAACCATTGTGGACGATAGAATCTTCTCAAATACATTTGAAGAGTGTCATAGGTGTTTGAGAGATCATGGCTGTCATGGTATTCATGACGTGCAAGGAAAGGAAAAAACTAAACGCTATGCCAGTGTACTGCTGAACTGATCTCAGGAAAGAATCTATTCGTGATGAAAATGTTGTAGAAGAGTGAGACATGGTGGTTGAATGTGTAGATCCCATTTTTTTGATGGACAACCATGGAGTTTTATTTGGAAACTTTGGTGGTCTGGCGGAGTTTTGTAAAGTCATCTCTGAGATGATTGGACAACCGTCGGAAACGAACGCACCTTTACCAAGATTATTTGAAATCTTGATTTCTCATTCAAATTTCCTTGATTAGTGCAAGCATAGTACTTTACATCACCAAACTGGTCCATTTCAAATGTGTTTCATCATACTAAAGAGATGGTCGTCCTTTATCGATAATTGTTTTTTCTCGAGAAAATGATTTGAATGAAAAAATGCTTCAAGGTGAAATGGGAACCACACTCTCATCCTCTCACACTTCTACGGTTCAAAAAACAATTGAACTTGCACAAAGTAAACAACAATATATTATTCGGGACGGATTGAGATTTGTCATACCGTATTGGTTAGATTTTAGTACGGGATGTAGAGATCGATGGGTTGGTAGAAAAGTGTTTGAAGTTTATCGGAGTGAATTTCCCTACTTTTCTGAACAGTATTTAAAAAAAGCTTTTGAATTGGGAAGATTCAAACAAAACAACAAAATAATTCATGATATAGATACTATCATGGAAAAGAACAAGTCTATTACTCATCGGGTTCATTTTCATGAAAAACCAATTTATAATCGGAATATTAATATTTTATATGATGAAAAGGATTTATTAGTTGTTGATAAACCTCCATCATTTCCGATACATCCATGCGGTCGTTATAGAAAAAACTCATTAACTTTTATTCTTGAAGAAGCTGGATACAATAGTTTGCATACAGTTCATAGATTAGACCATAGTACATCAGGAGTATTGATGATTGCTAGAGATAAAAAAGTAGCTCAATCTATTGTGAATATGATTAACACTAGGGAAAATACAATTGGAAAGTATTATTTGGCAATAGTGAAGGGAAAATTTGGAAAAGAAACAACAAATGGATTTTTTGAAGAAATGCAAGTCGTGAGTTGTGATACAAAGGTGTACTGTAAAGATCACAAAAAAGGAATTTGGTCTGCCAATAATGAGTTGGGAACTTTTGATGCTCTCACATTTTACTGCCCTATTGCATATAACAAGGAAGAAAATATTTCTCTCGTAATGTGTAAACCAGTTACTGGAAGAACTCATCAAATACGAATTCATCTCGAATATCTTGGATTTCCAATTAGTAATGATTTTTTCTATAATCAAGAATTTGTTACCAAGATGAAAGAAAAGAAAGAAACAAAGAATCAAACCTCAACATTAAATACCTTCAACAGCGAAGCCAATACTATGAAGAGAAAAGAAATTGGTAGCAATGAAACCAGCAGTTGCTCTCCAAAATCAAAGAAACAAAAATACAGAGGCAGCGACGAAGAGGAAAAGACTTCCGAGTGCAATACCACATCAACCAAACGAAAGTCAACAGGAAAGAAATTTGATGAAGAAAGTAAGGTTCAAGAATACGAGGAGATTTGCGTCAATTGCAACCCGTTGTACTCTGTCAAACAGTCCGAAGAGCTTGAGGAAAGCATACCGTTGTGCATTTATCTGCACTCTTGGAGATATGAGTTAACAGATGAATGGACCTTCGAGACACCAATTCCTTCGTGGGTTTTTGAAAAGTTTGGTTCAAAAGAAGAGTTAACTCTGCGAAATAAGTTAAGAGATGTTAAAGAAATTTTGGCCAACCAAGCTCAAAGAAAGTAATAAAATTTTTATAAAGTACAAAATTAATAGGTCACTTCTTCTTCATCAACATCCATTTGAGCTTGGTCATCATCTGTTGTATCTTCATCTTTCTTTTTATCTTGGGAGTCTTTCTTCTTCTTGTCTTCTTTTTTATCCTCAGTTGATGAAGATGTCTTCTTGGATGACTTGGGTGCTGATTTGGCAGGTTTCTTAGGAGTTGGTTTGGGAGATTCCTCTTTTTCAGGTTCAACAATGTAGGGTGTGACATCTGAAGGAATTTCATAATTAGTTATTGCATCAAGCAGCCATTTCTCTGTCACACCAATAACAGGATCTGGCACTTTTTCAATGGTATGACCTCCTTCCAATTCTACAGTCAAAGACTTGACCTTTGGTTCAATAAACTTTTCATCCTTGGAAAGAATATGGTATGATGCAGTTCTTGAGCTTGTAACGACTGATCCACCTAATAATTCAATCAATCTCTTCAAATGTTTTGCAGGAGGATTTGTTTGAGTAGAAACTCTTATTTTTGTATCTGCAAGTAATTTAGAAGGACCTTTCTTTTCATCTTCCATATCATCATCTTCATCACCTGATTTGGATTTTCTTGGTTTTCTCTTCATTCTTTCTTCTTCACTTAATAAAATTGCTCTTGACTTTTCACTTGCAGGAGAAACATCAACAAGGTATGGAGTCTCGTCAACCTTTTTACCTTCTTTTTCACATGCATAAAACCAATCTACATTTACAATATGTGCACCAAATGCAACTGCATATAAAACCTTAATAGTTCTTCTTGTTTTGTCTTCTTTTGGAACAATTAAATGAGTAAAGTATTGTCCATTATATTCTTCAAAATTCATAGTATGTGGATCACATGTAGTTGCCCAACTAAAATCTGCTAAAACTCTCCTCATTCTTGGTTTAGAAGATTTTTCATCAAGTTTTGGTGATTCTCCATCTTTTGGTTCAATTGCAACTTTCTCTTGCATTGCAGAAATAATTTTAAGTTTGTCACTATCACCAACTGATGACATTTCTAAAACATATTTTCCTTTTGGAGGTTTCTTAATTTCAGAAATTGGTGCTTGAATATCAAAGCCAGTAAAGTCAAATCTTGTAACATGACCTTCATCATCAATTGCATCTGCTCCATCATTATCAAAATATTCATCATCTTCCTCTTCTTCATCAGATTCACCTTCATAAACTTCCTTCTTTGGTTTTGAGGTTTTCTTTCCTGCATCTGGATTATTCTTTAAATATTCTTCTTTAAGTTTTTCAGATTGTTCAACATATGGTTTCTTCTTATCATCAGAGAGTTCTTTCCACATACTTGAAATTTCTGATAATTCAATTGACTTATTCTCCTTTTTCTTCTCAGCCATAAAGAGATTATAAGCACTAGGTGGTCTTTTTGTTTTCTTTTCATCCTTTTTCTTTTCATCTTTCTTCTTGGTTTCATCTTTTTTCTTGGTTTCACTCTTCTTTTTCTTGGTCTCATCATCTCCCTTCTTATCTTCATCTTTCTTTTTAGTTTCAGTCTTCTTTGTCTTGTCATCTTTCTTGGCTTCAGTTTTCTTGTTGTTTTCCTTCTGTTTAGAAGAAGTTGCCTTTTCCTTTTCATCATCCTTTGATGAAGGCTTGGAGGTCTTCTGTTTAGCTGAAGTTTTCTTATTGTCCTCATCTTCAGTTGATTTAGAACCCTTTGTCGATGACGATGATGAAGCCTTTGATTTGGATGAGGTTTCGGTCTTTTTCTTCTTATTTTCAGGTTCCTTGGTTTCGGAATCTTCTTCATCATCCTTGTTTTCTGTTCCTTTCTTCTTTGATTCTTTCTTCTTTGAATCAGTCTTTTCCTTGTCATCATCTTTCTTTCTCTTTCCCGATTCGGGTTCTTCTGGTTCATATTTAGAATCTACATCAAGAATTTTCTTCTTTGAAATACAATCCTTGACCCATAGAGGATTAACAATCTTTATACCTTTCTCTTTTGCATTCTTATAAGTTGCAGGTTTTCCCTTCAAAAATACCAAATATTTGATTTTATCGGAGATCTTTTTCATCACATTACCACCTTCATTACTCAATGATTCAGTAATTGCATCACTACTATCAGCACCAGTTGTTTCATCGGAGATACCAACAAGAAAATCTAAACCTTTAAAAACTCCATCCTTGTTCTTGGAGTCTTTCTTTGACGATGATGACTTGGTTGCCTTCTTTTTGTTGGAGTCCTCTTTCTTTGTTTTTGATGATGAAGCCTTTGATTTGGATGAAGATTCTTCCATTTCAGTATCACTTAAATTTAAATCAACCTTCATATCATTATCAGATTGAGCTTCTTCGGCTGTTGTCATTTCTTCCTTTTCTTCGGTTGCCTCGTCCTTTTTTTTGGTTTGCTTTTTGGGTGCCATGATGATCTAGATAGAGGTTTTAACAAATTTTTTTTCGTTTGATTTGTGGAAGACCCTGTTCGACTTTTCTCTCGAAACTAACATTTTACAATGAAATTGGCGCATTTTCAAAAACTCTCTTCGAATTCGCAAGGATTTATTGAAATCTCAAAGTTCGTCCATAATGTCATCAAGACCACAGAATCCTCTCAAAACACAAGATACATCCATTACTTCCTTCTCAGGACTTGTTAATTTGAATTTCAATAAGGACCCGCATAGCGTCTGAGTTAAGTGAATCATCAATGCGTTCCATTCGGAAGGAGTACACAACAACAGACTCTTGAAAACATCCTCTGAAACATCAAGTAATTCCTCTTCGGTGTTCACAAACTTTGTACCAACCAAAATACATCGACATAACTGTGTGAGTGAATTTACATTTCCTGATGAAAAGAGTTTTAACCTGGCTTGCAGTAACTTTTCCGAGTTGAGAACTGATACCGCTTCTGAAGAGCTTGTTGTTTCATCTGTTGATATGTCTTGTATTTTTCCTTCTTTAACGAGAAGTTTCATCCATGATGGTATGTGTTCATTCATGTCCATTTCAGCGAGGTCATCAAGGTGATTCGATTCTTCAAAAAATAGTGCATGAATGAGCTTGTCGAACATGTCCTCTGTAAATTTGATGGTATAGTATCCTTGGGCATCAATATATAACTTCACAAAATACGAATATACATCATCTGCTTTTCGGTAGGTGGTATTGCTTCCTGTTTGTGCATTTGGATAAGAATAGCTTTCTAAGGTATTGTAAACAGTATCTAATAATGTCACATGCATTTGACATTCATTGTTGATGATAATATTGCAGCTGATGTCCTCTTCAATTATTTCATCTTCCATGTTCATCATTTTACGAGGTGTTGAAAAATCAAACTCTTCCCTTGGATTGTATTGATTCACAAGTTCTACGAGGGGTAAAATTTTGTTCTTGTTTGATTTAAAGAAATTATTCACTTCTATTGCTTGTTGTCTGAAATAAAATTTGTTTGCTCTTTCTGAAATTGAAGCATTGTCTTTTGCATGACATTTGATTCTGCCATTCTTTTCATCAAATTCAGAGAAAACAATATTCGATAAAAAGTAAACCTTATTCTCCGAAAGGAGCCATCTAAACTGTCTTTTTGCAGATTCAATGTATGTAAGTTGAAGAATAGTTGGTTTGCTCTCATTCTCAAAACATGTATTATCCACAAAGAATAATAAATGTAAAGTATAGTCTCTCTCCTTTTGTTCAATTTCTTTTGAGTGAATTAAAATTCCAACAAAATCTATTTCATTGTTTCCATTTCGTTTTTCAGGGTCTTTCATTTCACTCATCGTAAAACATTTTCTTGGAATATAGAAATATTTTGTCATTTCTTCTTCTGTGAGATCTTTGTGGCTTTTGAATATTTCAATTTTTGTAAAAGATACAGTAGTAATGGATTTCATCACTTGATTTCCCGATTGCTTTGAAGGTCTGCAATTGTAGATGTCTAAAATATTTCCTTCTTGAAAAAGTTCAGAATCTTCATCAGTCTTCCACAGAGTTAACATTATTTCTCGATCATTTAGAGTAGTTTCTGGGTTTTTAAGGTATGGACAACAATCTCCCAATTTCACTGAGAGCATTGAGGAAACTTCTCGATTTAATTTTGGATCGTTTGCAATATACTCAGTGATTCTATTATTAACCGTTGTGCAAATATCACTTTCCACTTGTTGTTGATAAGAAGTGAGTATTTCTCTTTGATTCTCATCCAATTGTGCATAAAAACTCATTTCGTCTTTTGTTGATTGTAAAATGTTGTAGAGAGTGGATCCTTCATAAATTCTCCTAATGGGTGTTGTAATCGTAGATTTGGACCCTTTTCGTTTTCTCTTTTCTTCATCATAATATGTTTGAAATAAATTAGAACTGATTCTTTCCTTTTCTTTTTCAGCGATATTGGCTGCATGATCTTCAGACGCTTTAGTTCTCACAATTGTAGTTCCATCAGATTGTTTTTCAAAATACTTGACTGGATACACTCTTTTTACAATTGCTCTCATGTACGGGATGTTTCCTCCCTCTGCTTGAATACTTTTAAATGATGTTTTAAATGGCTTCTGTCGATATTGAAATCCTAGCATGGCGTCCCATTTTGCCTTCTTGACGCCATTGACACACAGCTTTAGACAGGCATTACTTGGCAACTCTAATGGTGGAGCGGCTTCAAAATTTTCTGTAAAATTGGCTCCAACAATTTTCAGTTTTTGTCCTTCCTTGATTTTCATCCATTCCACATATCGTGTGAGAGGTTCATCTAATTTTGCTTTCATACTGTACCAACCATCGCTCAGTTCTATAATTTTAGAGTCGCTATTGGTATCAGATGATTCAGAAATATTTAAAGAAGCCACTACCAATACAATGTAATGACCTGGAGGTACATCTTTTTCTGCGATTTGTTTTAAACAAGATCTTTTTCCCATGCAATATTCAACGTTGTATCGATAAACAAGTTGACCTAAAACTTTTTCAGGAGTTAAAAATGGAAAGGATGAATCCTTTGGAAATGTTCTATCCATGGATGCAAGTTTCCATACAATCCATCGAAAATGATTTTCTACCCATTCAATTTTGGTGACCTCTTTTTTAGCTCCAAATTTATGCAATAACTGCTGGAATTGTTCAGGACCAATCTCTGTGACAGGCTTTCCTTCATTTTCTTCCTGAATTGAAAGTAGCAATTCTTGAGAAATCTTGTGAGAATTTGTTGTGAATTTGAATTTCTTGGCATCAGTGCAATTCATGGAAACAACCTCTTGAGAGACACTAAACATATTACGTAAACTCTCAATTGGAAGCTGTTTGCAATCACCAAGTAATTGCATCTTTCGAGGTTTTGATGAATTTTCTGACTTTCTTTCTTCTAATGACTTTTTAACAGGAACCCAATTGGGTGGCTTAATGGGTGTTGTATCAGACTTGATGATCTTATTTGGACCTGACTTGATGGCTGTTGCACGTTCTCGCTCTCTTTTCGTTGCTTCTTCAAACAGCTTCTCAGATTTGATAGGTGTTTTAAACTTTTTCTGTTTTTTCTTTGTAGTTTCTAAAACTCTGTTGGTTGGTGTTTCTTTTTTCTGATCTGATAAATAAGAGGCAAATGGGGTCTTAATGCTTCTCTTAGGAGTGCTAGATGCAGCTTTCACAGGAGTGGCAAATTGTTCAGATGTAGCCAGTGGTGATTGTTTGGCTGTGATTGTGGTTTTAGAAGGTGTTTTGAATGGTTTATGGGAAGAGGCAGAAACAAACGCTTCAGTTGGAGGAGGTTTGTCAAATTGCGAAGAATTTGCACGTTGAAACCCAAAAGTTTCTTTTGGAAGATCACCTGCATCGTTGTTGGAACTTGCTCGAACAAATCCCAATGTTTCTGAAGGTAGTGGTTCTTCTTTGGATGCTGAAATAAAACCAAATGTTTCGTTTGGTCGTTCAGCATGAAGCTTTAAACTTTCAGAGTTAGCTCTTTGAAAGCCAAAAGTCTCTGGTGGTCTGCTGTTGGCTGCACTTTGAAATCCAAAGGTTTCTGGTGGTTTTTCTTCATCGTTGATGTCGTTTTGGTTAGATTTCAGTTTGTTAGAAGAGGCAGAAACAAATCCAAATGTTTCAGGTGGTTTTTCATTGAGGGTAGTTCCTTCTTCGTAATCCATGATTTCGGAAGATGAAGCAGAAATGAATCCATTCGTTGCTTTTGGTTTGGCTGATACAAATCCAAATGTTTCAGGAGGCTTATCAAAATTGTCACCTATTGTGGACATGTTCCTTGCACATGTAAAACCAAAAGTCTCTGGAGGTCTTTCTTCATTGGAAGAGCTCTCATGTGAAATGTTGTTATCAGTTGGAAACCTGGAAGTTTCCATATCACGTATAAATGATTTTGAGGTTGATTGTTTAAGCTCTTTAGATGAGGCAGATACAAATCAAATGTTTCTTGTGGCTTCTCAAAAATGGTTGAACGAGATGATTCAAAAGCTGTTGGAGGTCTGTTGCTGGATGCGCTTTGAAATCCAAAGGTTTCTGGTGGTTTTTCTTCATTGTTGCTGTCACTTGGTTTTGATTTCAGTTTGTTAGAAGAGGCAGAAACAAATCCAAATGTTTCAGGTGGATTTTCATTAGTATTTTCAAAGTGCGTCCTGTAAGAAGCAGAAACGAATCCAAAGGTTTCTGGAAGCATTTCCTTATCATTGTTATCCGTAGCAGAATAAATATTTTTCGATCGTGAAGCAGATACAAATCCAAATGTTTCTGGAGGTTTGTTTTCTTCATTTTGTGTTGTGCGATCAAAATTTTCTGTCTGAGCTTGTTTCATTGTAGAAGCATTTACAAATCCAAAAGTTTCAGAAGGTAGTTCCAAATCTTCATCCCTAAATAAATCCATCGTGTTCGTTAATTTAATTTTTTTAGAAGGGTTGTCAGATGGGGAAGAAAGATCTAAATCGTCAGGTATTTCAAATTCGTCATCATCATTTTCTTCATATTTTGAAAATTTTCTTGCATTTGGTTTTTCTGCTTCCGACTCTGCAAAATTGTCTTCCAAGCCTTCTAACAATTCTTGTGTATTGTTGATCGTAATATTTTCTGTTGGCTCCTCTCGTAAGTCATCGGAATTGAGAGATGATATCAATTCTTCCCCATCATAACCCTGATTTGATTCTTCTTCGACTTGAACCATCATGTCTTTTGAGAACAAATCATCATTTGTTTTGTTATTTGATTGTGACATTTTTTTCTGGAATTTTTTTGCTCGTGTTTGTGGTTTGACCTGGTTGTTGATTGAATAACAAGGTCTTTAATATCCTCTTTAAAACATCACCAACCAAGCTGTGCAAAATAATGAACGCAGCTGCAAAATCGCAACATCCGCTGCAACCCTCTTCCTTGATGAAAAACGTCGCGAAACAAAAAAAATGAATACCATTCTCTTCAACGTTGATTTCAAACCTATTGCAGCTTTCGCAGTGGTTTACTTGACCGAACAAAAGGTCAACTTCAAGGTTTCTAAAAATCCAGCTATCACTTTGGCTGAATCTATCAGTGGGTATGTTCATTGATGGCTCTTCTTCTTGTTAACACTTTTATCCATCATTATTTTGTTTGAATTTTTATATTATCATCGGCATCAATAACACGCAAAACACAACAACAGGGTTCGGGGTAACTTTAATTTAGCCTACATCCTTTCGAACAACACCAAGCTTTCTGCTCCAGTTGAAGATTTTCTTGTTGCCATCGAGACTGCCAATGAAATATCCAAATCAGGATTAATTGAAGAGTTGGATGTTTGCATGCAAAGACTGGACAACCTCCTCGTAACCAAGACCTACTTGTCTGGTGAAGAGTTGTCAGTTTGTGATTTGTGTGTATACGAGAGCTTGAAGCAACACAAATTGGTGATGCAATACTTGAAGAGATTTGAAAAATCCATTCCAAACTTGGTTCGCTATTTCACTCTCATTCATAGAAATCCAAAGATTCAACAAGGTCTGAAAACACTTGAGAATGCTTCCAAGGTAGGAACAAGTACCGATGAAGTCTCTTCGCCAAGCACGACCAGCAAGCCTTCAAGTTCGAGCTCATCTTCTGCTGCCACCAAGACCACCACAAGTGGTGCAACCCCAACTGAAACTGTGGATACTGAAATTCGTTTAGAGCTTCCTCATGCTGAGATGGGTAAAGTTGTTACTCGATTCCCACCTGAAGCTTCTGGATTCCTTCATATCGGCCACGCAAAAGCTGCTCTCATGAATAGTTACTTTGCTAAAAAATACAATGGTAAATTGGTGATGCGTTTCGATGATACCAATCCCGATAAGGAGAGAGAGGAATATGAGCATGCAATTCTACAAGATTTGGAAAGATTGAAAGTCAAACCAGATGTCTATGTTCGTTCTTCGGATCATTTTGATAAGTGCATTGAGTTTGCTGAACAATTGATTAGAGAAGGTAAAGCCTATATGGATGATACTCCTGTTGAGGAATTAAGAAAAATGAAAATGGATGGTACTGAATCTCATAACAGAAACAACTCTCCTGAAAAGAATATGCAAATGTGGAAGGAATTAATTTCTGGTACTGAGTATGGTAAAAAGTGTGTGTTGAGAGCAAAGATTGATATGAAGGCATTAAATAAGACTATGCGTGATCCTGTTCTTTTCAGAAGTAAGGATAAGCCTCATCCAAAACTCGGAGACAAGTACAAGGCATATCCAACCTATGACTTTGTTTGCCCAATTGTTGATAGTTTGGATGGAGTTACTCATGCTCTCAGAACCAGTGAGTACAATGACAGAAATGAACAATATTATTGGATTATTGATGCTTTAGGTATTCGAAAGCCATTCCTTTATGACTTTTCAAGATTGAATTTTGCCAATACTGTCATGTCCAAACGTAAATTACAAAAGATTGTAGACATGGGTGTTGTTGAGGGATGGAATGATCCTCGTTTCCCAACAGTTCAAGGTCTCTTACGTAGAGGTTTAACCGTTGAGGCTTTGTATTCATTCATTTTGGAACAAGGTGCTTCACGTAATGTTGCTACTTTGGAATGGGATAAATTATGGGCAGCGAACAAGAAGGTGATTGATCCAATTGTACCAAGATATTGTGCCATTGATAAGGAGGGTATTGTGAAATTTAAGCTCACGAATGGACCACAAACCATGGAGTCAAGAGAAAATGCCAAACACAAGAAGAATGCTAGTTTAGGTATGAAGACCACTTATTATACAAGTGTTATTTATTTGGACAAGGAGGATGCTGAAGCTATTGAGCAAAATGAAGAAATTACTTTGATGGATTGGGGTAATGCAATTGTTCAACAAATTATCAAGAATGAAGCTGGTAAGGTTGTTGAACTTGTTGGTGTATTGCATTTGGAGGGAGATTTCAAAAAGACAAAGAAGAAGTTAACTTGGTTACCAACTAATCCTGATGTTCTTGTGGAGGAAGTAACAATAGTCTATTATGATAATTTAATTTCCAAGACGTCTTTGGATTCTGATGATAAGATTGAAGATGTTGTCAATCGTGATTCCAAGCTTGTGACTGTATCCATTGGTGATCACAATTTGAAGTCTCTCAAGAAGAGTGAAATTATTCAATTGGAGAGAAGAGGATATTTCATTTGTGATGTGCCATTTGATGGAAAGACATTAACATTGTTTAACATTCCAGATAGTGTCAGCAAGAAGACCTTGAAGAAATAAATTTGAGAGCCATGCTTATTGCTGTCCAACAACACTACTCATTTTAAAGCCAAACAAAAAATGATCCAAAACGAACCTCAAGAGGAGGCATCCTCACGTGTTCCGAAAGAAACATCATCGAATGCATCAACACCGTTAGGGCTGTTTGATAGAATACGACGACGGATGGGAAAATCAGCATCTAATAGTAGCAACAACAACATCAATACATCAAAAATAGAAGGCTCATCACCTCACCAAAAAACTCCAGATGTTTTGGATTCAACAAAAAAGAGACCCTACTCTGTAACTAGTTCCTCAACAAGTATACAACCACAAGATCCAGAATCTTATGACTCGTATATGATTGATGACGAGGATGAAAAGGATTCGGGTGTGATCATTTCCAAATCACAACATACTTCAACCAATGATACTACTGGATCCTCTCAAAATGATTTCATTGACTTGACAAAAGATAGCATTGACGAGTCGTTTCATACCTCATTCCTCATGACACCAACTTCCGATGGTGATGTTCAGGCCATTGTAAAATGCACTAATGACCACTCACTAAATTCACCTACTGGACTAACTCCTGTTTTTAAGAGAAAGAAAATTGCCATGCCATCATTTCTGTTTTCAGACGATGATTTAAAATATGATAGAAACGAATCTAAGACTATCATTCCAATATTACACATTGAAGATAAATTTTTAATTAGATTTACAAAACCATCCTGGACTGTTGTCCCACTTGATAAAGATACCGTAAAAGATTGTGAAGGAGATTTAAAACATCCTAAAGAATTTTATTTGGATTTTAAAAAACCAATATTTACGGTTTTACACTTTCTCAAACTCGTGCACTATTTTAATTTTAATCAACACAAAATTATGGAGAAATCGAAGTTTATCAATAATTTAAAAGATTTATTAATTGTACTTCGACCCTATTCTACAGTTTTTGTAGACTCTGAAAACAGTATGGAATATTTGTTGGAAGAAATAAGAAATGCTTTAACAGAAGATAAGAAAAATTCCATGTACACACACGTTGATCAAGATTGCTCTGTAAAATATGTAAATAATCTTCAATTTCTAGCACTAGAGTACATGCAATTATTTAGTCAATATTTCGAAGGAGGCAACGTTCCTCATAAAAGGAAAAATATTAGAAAATTACAACAAGCTGAAAATATTCTGAAAAAAGAATTTTCATCCAGAACAGTGCGATGTTTTGAAGAAAAGGAAAAAAGACTCCATTTTGAAGGGTGTCATTCTCTCTATAACTTTATGGATGTGCATTTTAATGCTAAAAAGTTTGAATTTTACTATTCACATGGTGAAAAACGAGAAATTGGATACAATGGCCTTCCTCTATTTCACTCAATGATCGAATCGCTAATAATTTCTAAATTATTTTTTAAAGGTGGTGAATATAAGGGAGATATCATTTCAACAGATATGTGTGGGGACCTTGAAGAAGAGATGGAACATATGGTTGGCAAGCACGTACCTCATGGATATGGAACTTGGAAGTTTATCAATGGTAATGATATTATGACTTACACGGGTCAATGGAGGTACGGAAAAAAAGAAGGTCTAGGGTCCTTTCAAATGGAAAGCTTGATCTATGAAGGAGAATGGAATGATGATCAAATGAGCGGTTACGGTGTGTTAAAAGTAACAGATGGTTATCACAAAGGCTCTATTTATTATGGAGAGTTTGAGGAAGGTAAAAGAAATGGCAAGGGAGTTCAATTCTACATGTACAATAACGATGAATGTAACGCTGAGAATGACATTCACAATCCTCTCGATCTCATCAGAGATGAATATGGACATGAATTTTATGAATGGTATCGAGGAGAATGGAGAAACGATAAACGTGATGGCCATGGAGAATACATGACCAAATATGAATGGAAAATTGGGGAATGGAAAGAAAAGTTGAGGGATGGTTTTGGATATATTCGAGAATCTATTCATGAATCTAAAAGAACCATTACCGATTCTTTATTTTATTATTTAACATTTGAGAAATTTAAACAAACCTCTAAAAAACCTCACATTCCTTCAACATTATTGCCATTTATAGATAGCTGGGAAAAGTTGAAAAAATTGAACGCAGCAGAATCGATTATAGCTCTCGGCGCTCAACAAAAATCTGCTAAACGGACCATTCACATGGGATATTGTTTTAGATCCAAACTGGAAGCTAAATGGGCAAAATTCTTTGAATCTTGCTCAATTCCTTTCTTTTATGAACCTTATACTTTTAAATTAAGAGATGGATCAGAATATACCCCTGACTTTTATTTACCACTTCAAAACTTTTGGATTGAAATCAAGCCACACTATCCAACTGAAGAAGAGCGAGTGAAGGCTCAATTACTTGCTGATTTTTGAATGGCTCTAATAGTGCACCAGTTCTTGAATGTTCAGAATTTATTAGTAGACATACACAAAGAGTTCAGCCAAAGCCAAGAATATTTCTCTTGTTTGGAGATGAGGTATCAGCACCTTTCGTAAGAAAATTTCAGGTTGGAGCAAAAGCAATAGAGTTTTTCAAGTCTGAAAGAAGCGACTGCACGACCAAAAACACAAAGAAGATAACACCACCAAGGCAAAGCGTTACATTTGCAACAAAAGAACCACTTGGTTGGTGTCAATGTTCGGCTTGTGGCAAAATTTCTCTGGAATTTAGATGTCAGCCTCCTTGTTGCCAAGCTACTTCAGATAGTGTCGTAGAAGAGCAAATGGGAGACACTTTATCAAAAGCATACCAAAGTATTACAAAATTGGACTTTGATGAATGGATGTTAAATTCGTCCGCCTCTGAAAGATCAGTCGTAATTAACAGCATATCTTTTTCTGGTCATCCACTAACGAATATCAACCAACAGCCTGTTAGAAAAAGTAAATTCTTTTAGCAAATTAAGTTTTGACGTTAATAATTGGACAAAATTATTGACAGTTTTTCTTCGAGCGATAAGTTGTCATTCAATAAATGTTTCTTAATATCGGGAAACCCTTTCTCAATTATGGTGATCAACTCTTCATTTTGCTTGTCGAGAAACTCAATTTCGTCATAAACAGAATAGTCTTCATCAGTTGGTATTGATTTAAGCATTCTAATTGTGTTCTCTTTCTCCGTAATAAGCTCTTTAAAATGTTCATTCTCTTCTTTCGCATGCTTGAGGTGTTCTATCAAAGAGATGGTGTCCTTGGAGGCTGAGTCAAGTTTTGTTTGTAGTTCTTTGGTGGTCTCATGGAGAACAATATTCGTGTTTTGGTATTTTTGTTCCAATTGCTGAATCTTGGATCGTTCCATGTCTGTAATGGATAATAGCTCGTCAATCATTTTGATCACTGAAGTATTGTCGTTATTGCTTGGTACAGTAGAATCTTGGCCATTGAAGGACAAATACACGGATGATATCTTATTTACAAGTTCTTCTCTCTCTAACTTCTCTTTTTCACATTGAAGCATTGATTGCCGTAATAATGACTCTACCGCTTTCACTTCCTCTTGTAATTGTTCAATTGTCTTGTTTTTTTCAGTAATGTAAACTTGTTGCTCTTCAATCTTTTCTGTTTTTGATTTCAATTTTAGCTTGTACTTGGTAACAAGGGAGGATGTTTCTTGTAACTGTTTGCGAAGTTTGACTATTTCATTTTCGTATGATTCTTTGATCGATCTCAAAGAAAAAGAGTTATCGTCGTCCTCAGAAGAACTTTCATAATCATCACGGTTAGTTTCTAGCTCCTGATGGTCATGTTGAATTTTTAGTACATGCTGTTCCTCTTAAATAATTTTGATACTTACAGTGAGCGAATGGAATGGTGGTTGTTCCTGAAGAGAGGATGGTTGTTCCTTTTTCGTTTGCTTCTCGTCATGTTCTTTAAAAAGAGTCTCTGTATGTTTCTCAAGAGCAGTCATTAAATCATTCATGCATTGAATTTCTCCTTCACATTCCCATATTCTTACTTTGTTGTCTGTACAAAAAGCAAATATCCTCTTCCCAGGAAGAGCAACCATATTAATCACTGAAACAGAGTTTGCCTTAATTTTCTTGATAGGTTTCAGAGACGTTGAATCAAAAATATGAAGCACCTTGTCATCTCCACAGCTCCATACTTGTTTAGTTGTACATAATAATCCGTTCACCATTTCTGAATGAGCTTTTGTTTCTTTGATACATTTTTGTGTCTCACAGTCCCATACTCTTAATTTACCATCTACACTGCTGGTCCATATATGATGTCCATCAAAAATAACATGTCTTGTAACTACTGAAAATGGAATCTGTTTAAGTGTTTTCCCGTCTGTGGATCTAATATAAATACTAGTATCAGAACAAGTCCAAACTTGATGTGAATGATTAAGAAAAACCATACTTCGGATCGGACCTGTCTGATCATTTAGTACGCATTCCGGTTGAAAAGTAGACAGTGCAATAATACAAATGGAAGAATCTTGAGAGCAGGTCCATACAAATTTTGATTTTGTAATTTCATTAAATACACATATAATTTGTGTTATCTCAGCACTATGATAATGCAATTCAAAAATTTTGGTAATTGAGACAGCATCCCAAACCAATAGTTTTCCATTGTTGAAACCAGTCCACACTGTACATGCAAGTTCCTGTGACAATGAATTGACACATGTCATGCAAGAAAAAGAAGACTTGGAAATATCTCCTAAATGTCCACCAACTGAAATTCGCTTGAAATCGAGACTTGCTATATTATCCTTAATATCATAGATACACAAGTGACAGTCATTTCCTCCAGTCCAAATCGAACTAGTTTTATCAACATAACAACAGCATTTAACCTCCCCGTCTTTAAACACATTTTTGAATGTATTGATCAGCTCACCAGTTCTACCAATATTAGTTGTTGTATCCGAACTAGGAGAGCTGCATCGTGAACTACTGTTTGATTCTTTAGTAGATGAAGAATTAGATAAAGGGGTGTAAGCAGAGGAGGCTCGTGAACCTGGACGAGGCGTCTCTACATGTTTTTTTGTTGACGAGTTATAAAGGGAAGACTGAATCGATGGAACTATTTAAAAAAGGTTATGCATTGTTGGCATTCATTCCTACACTCACCTTTCGATCGTGAAGAAGTAGTACTGCCCGATGATCCTACACTACTAGAACTCGAGCTTGTTTTGAACGCTACATTAAACAGTTTAGAATTTTCAATTTGTCATTGCAAATATTTACCTGGCTTTTTTGGAGTATTGGTTTTTGATCCAACTGTCATCATTCCGTTTATATATATCAATTACATCATTGAAGATCATCAACACCTACCCTTATTACTTTCCGATGAAGCTTGATGATGGCCTCCGGAGGGAGAGAGAAGCGTAGATGAACCCGTCAGCGTCGGGTTTGGAGTTTGTGTTCGTTTGGGTGGTTGTTGTAACATTTTTTTTATTACTAGAGCATAAAAATGCAGCGAGAGATCTGTATTCATTGTGTGTGTGTGTGCGAGTGAACCTGAGGCTTCTCTATGTATTTGAGGTTGTCGATGAAGATGAGACTCTCTTTTGAGCAATGTAGTAATAACATGTCCCCAATTGATACACCTCTTTCTTCACAACATTCAAACCAGACTCTTTTACAATTTTCTCAATATCTCTATTCCACCAACAGCCCCACTTTTTAGCTCTTTCAATACTCCAGGCATCTAAGTAATTTGTCAACCATTGATACTTGTTAGATTTCTTGTTCCAAAAGTAAATTCAAATTCATTCACAGGTTTACCATAATAAATACGTATATTCAGATTAATTTTCTCAATATTTCATTCATAATACTCACTCCATGTTCTAATAATAAAATTTTACCACCTGGTTTTGTCACTCGATTCATTTCTTTTAAAACCTTAACAGGATCTTCAAATGAGCACAAGCCAAAGGTATCAATTGTACAATCGAATTCATTATCTTTGAAAGGTAAAGAATGAGCATCTACCTTTGGAATTAAAGAGACAATCTCAGGTTTTGAAAAATCTTTTCCTAATTTTTCTTTTGCTTGTTTTAACATTCCACCAGAATAATCAGCCAATGTCAAATGTTCGATGTTGTCTTTTCGTTTTTCATATTCCGTTAAATTTCGTCCACTTCCCGCCGCTACTTCCAAAACATTTCCTCCCACGTGAAGCATGAGTTTTTTCCGAAGACCAGTCACTCCAATAAGCCATTCATCAAAGTCAACTTTTTCATCATAATTTTTAGAAATTCTATTATAAATTGCTCGTGTTTTATCCACACTATAATTGCAACTGCAATTATCATCGGAAAGTTCATGATGATGCGTAATTCCCGTTTCCTTTTGTATGGATCTAACTTTTTCCAATTCTTTACTCGTTTTATAAACCTGTGTTGTGATGTAAGTTCCGAGACCAAACACTCCCAAGCCCCCAAGTACCAGCGAGAATTTTTTCATTTTTTTTTCAAAAATTCAGGGCAACCAAATTTTGTTAAATCACAGAACGAATTTATTGATTGCAATTAGGAGAAATTGAAGGAGAAAGCAGAATACCATTTGAACCAACTGGAGAGGGCTGCTGAAGAACCTCTTGAGAAATTCGTGAGTGTGCAGGGGAAGAAGGAACCATATCTTCCTGTTCTTCTTCTCTCAATTCATAGTAATCCTTTCTTGGTAGCTTTTCTTTCAATTGTTTAAGGGTGTGCTCTTTTTCATGGACGATGTGATGATTCTCATCGTCATCTAAAAATTCTTCATCATCCAATTCATAGCCTTCGCCAATCGAAATAGATTCCAAATCTTGATAAGAAGAGCTGTCCTGATCATTCAAGGAAGAGTGGTTTGTGACAGAAAGGGAAGTAGATCTCCTCAACAACTGATCCTTAAATTCATCTTCTGAATTTAAAGAGTCCCTTGCTCCTTTCTTGGACCTTTTCTTCTCAAGTTTCGCAATAGTATCTTGTAACTGTTGTAGGAGTGACTCTTCATCTTCGTCATCATCTTCTTGTTCGTTGAAATCTGTAACGATGTTGTTTAAATGGTTCGACGATCTCAGGCTTTCTTCAAAAGTATTGCTGTGTGAAAGATGGTCAAGTAAGTCATCCAAAGGCAACTGGCTCAATTCTTTAACCAGGCTATCGTTTTTCTCGGCTTTCACAGCTTCTTCAGCGAGCATTGTGCCTAGCTTTCCTTTTTTAGATCCTGATAGGGCAGGAGAAATAATGGTTGAAGTATTTGTCAGAAATTTGTTCATTAGATCATTTTCCTCTGATGTTATATCTAATTTGTTTTGTCTCTCTTGCTTTCGCTGTTTTCTTTGATCCATCATATCTGCTTCAGTATTTAGATCAAACAACAAGTTGTTGTAGGTGGCGTCTCCTTTTAAAACAACATCTTTGCCAGAAGAATCTACTAGTCTCTTTGACGATTTAAATCCCTTGAAATAAGCGGTTTCCCTAAGCACAACATAGGGAGCAAATCCTTATTTCTAATTCTGTTATACGAAGGTACCTCTTCTGGAAGAATGGTATAAAAGAAATATTGATCTGCTGAATTCTTGGAATCTCTAAACGCCTTATAATTCACCAACAGAATGATTAAAAATTCATACAATTCTATGTTTTCTTCTCTGTAAAATCTTGAATCTTTCTTCTTGAATTCTTTGTCTTTCTTTTTTGACAGCAGCTTTTTGAACTCATTCATACAATTAGCAACTAGTTGCCTTGGTTGGTCTCGCAACGACCTTTTGATGAGATAGGCTAATCTTGATAGTGGTACATAATGAGGTACCACTCCTAATTTCACTCTCTTGTATCTGTTCACGTAAGGAATTCTGTCTCCTTCGATGCATTCATTAATCACTTGGGATCGACAGTACAGAAAGAACATCAAGTCCACAGCAGAATAGTACGGAGTAAGAAAGAGTCCAAATAACTCTAACTGTTTGTTTTCTTCTCGATAATATTTTACACATTCCAACAACTCTGTGGTGGTTTGTTTTACAAGGCTCTCCAATCCAAGTTTTTTGGACAAATGGTTGAAAACAAATGACGAAAAGGTTTCTAAGGTACCATCTGGAGAAGCTAGCTCCGACAAGAAGCACTGATATCTAGCATTGTAAATATCATCAAGCAACCGAAGAGCCCAATCCAGACTTCTCATTGTTCTTCGAGCAGAGTCGCTAATAGAGGTACTGTTACAAGAAGAGATAGCCTTGGACGTGTTCCTTTCGGTGGTTGGACAGAACCTGACTTGTAAACAATCTTAACCGTGTTAGTTCCTTCTTTGGAGAAGGATAAATGCGAGTCGGGAACGTTGGACAAGAGATTAAGGATGACTTCCTTCTCGCTCTCGCTGAGATCATTAAAACTCATCTGCAAAGAAGGATCGGTGATAATAGGCTCTGAGGAAGGAACGCCTGCAGAGAGGATCTGTTGAAGGGAGCTTCGGTGTCCCCTCCAATGTTGCTATTATTGCTGTTTGGAGGAGAGCCATAACCCTTAATGTTCTCAAGCTCGACAGAGGCACGGCTCGCAGGTTTTGCGTTCGTCATGGATTGAGGTTCGCTTTGATGATTCAGATCAGTTTCGGATGGACTGAAGCTCGCAGTGTTAGCAAGCATTATGAAATGGTTTAAGGGGAGTAAGACAGCGCCAGTGCCTGCTGTTGCTGAGCAACGAAATTTTTTATGTAATTTCAAAAGGTTGTAAAATGCAATCAAAGCAACAACGAGCCTCTCTTTTGTCATCGAGTTTGGAAAGACTATGGGTGCGATTCCAAGATCTCACTGAGGTCCTTTCGTCATGATCACTGAACATATATCAAACGTCAACAATGAACTTTTAAATAACAAAAAAACAAACAAAAAAACCTACCAACTTCCATGCTTGCTTCATCACCAACAACCATGGCTTCTCAATCACCTACAGGCAGCCCAGTCATAACTTCCACAAAACCATCCCGAACCTATCAAGCAACGGATGAAGTGAATCAATTGGTTTTTCAATCCATACGGAATCACCAAAACTTTCTCAACACCAAATACGATCCCGATTCCTCGGAGCACAAAAACCTTTTGAAAAGTATTTTTAAAATTATTTTCGGAACTCATCTCAAAGATGAAGAATTATACGACTGTCAACAATGGACGGTAGCAGGTTTTCAAAACAAAGACCCAACAAGCGACCTCCGAAGTTTAGGAATACTAGGCCTTTCCACCATGGAATATCTCTGCAAATATCACACAAATACTGTGAAGAACGAATACATGAATAGAGAATACCCATTCGCATGTTGCGTGTTTGCAATTGTTAATTTTATGATAAAGGAAATGAATATGAGAAATATTACAACAACACCACAAGACAGTCACTTTGTTTTACTTATGAAAAAAGAATTATATTTCAATAGAGACAAGTTAAAACAAATGGATTTATTTGAAAGATTATTTTGCATTGCTTTTGAATATTTTGATAAGCTATGGACCAAGCATAAAGCTGGCTATATGGATTTTAGTGTCATGTACGATATATTTGCAAAGAACATTATGCAAATTTTAAAGAAGGAACCCGCTTCATTTAGGTAAGTTTCACGTTAAGGTCACTTACGAAAGATCTCATGAAATTTTACAAACCAAATATTGAATAATGTTAATCTTGGTGGAATAGTGTGTTCAAATTTTTATTATTGGAATGGTAATAGTTACCATATTCCAGTATTTGTGTGAACATTTGTAACAGTAAATTTAAAAGTCAAACAAATCATTGTGGAAATCTCCCTTCTTCTTGGTTGCTTTCTTGGTCTGGTTGCTTGTTGATGGAACAGTAGTAGGCGAGTCATCGACACTTGTACCAAAGAGATTGGATGAATTCGTAACAGCTGCTGCTTTCTTTTTGGTTGTAGCATGTTGTTGCCAGCTGAAAGAATGTCATCATCAAATAATCCACTACTAGTTGTACCATTTGATTTTCCACCCACTAAATCATCAATGATATTCGCTTTTTTGGTTGTCTTTGGTTGAGTGCTCTTTGGTCCTCCAAGAATATCATCTACGAATGAATCAATATCGTTCTTCTTGTTCTTGACAATCTCTGGTTTCTTCTTTTTAGGTGCGCCAGTAGAATTACTGTTAGATGCTCCCAACAATACATCAAGCGGATCCTCACCACTACCATTACCAAATAATGATGAGGATTTGGTCTTTTGTTCTTGACCAACAGGTGGTGTTGTGGTGGATGGTTCTGATGCTGTTGGGGAAGTCGTGATTGGTGGTGTGGTTGTTGATGTGTTGGATGGAGTGGTTGTAACGACAGCACCATTACTCGTGGCAGCGCCTGTAGTTGTGGTCGTTGTAACAGCAGCACTCTCTTCCTTCTTCTTTTCAGATGGTTTGCTTAATACATTGGAAAGTGGATCTTCGAATAATTTCGAAGTGGATTCAATTTTCTTTTCTCGATCAGCAATTCGTTGATTCTTCTTTTCATTGTTGGTACTCGATTTTATGAAACTGAAATCGTCATCTTCGTTCAAATCTCCAAAGAGTGATTTTGGAGTCTTTTTGGTGGTCGTGCTCTTCTTTTCAGTACTTGTTTCAGAAGGCTTTGATAAATCTGATGGACTATCTCCAAAGAGAGATGGTGTTGTCTGTTTTTTAGTATGTTCTTCGCTGTTCTTTGGTTTCATCAAAGGCTCTTCATCAATGTCCCCAAAGAGTGATGATGTTGTCTTTTTAGTGGATGGTTTCTCTTCTGTTTTCACAGCTGTTGCCAGCTTGGCAATTGGTTCCTCATCTCCAAACAATGATGACGTCTTTTTAGTTGAAGAGGTTATTGTGGAGTCCTTCTTTACTACATCCTCTTCAAAGAGTGACGTCTTGGCTGGTTGTTTGCTTGGTTGTTCATTGGATGGCACACCACCACCACTTGTCAAAGGATTCGACACCTCTTGTGTTGTTTTTGAATGATCATCCTCATCCTCTTCATCCAATAAGGATGTTGCTGTTGGCTTTTTAACCGATCCACCTCTATTCTTCTTTCTCTTTGGTCTTCCTAGCGAGGCATGTTCTAACTTGACACCACTGTTACCATCACGAGCAAAGTTAGTTTTTGATGAAGATGATGAGAACACATCTCCATTTCCAACAGTGCTTGATGAAGGTACTTCAGTAGTATTGCTTAATGGTTTTGTTTCAGAAGCTACAGTGGTCAGAGGTGATGCTGTGGAAGGTTGAGGTGTTGTGGTTGCAAAAGAGGTATTTGAACTTGTTGTGGAAGCAATGGATGGACTTGATTTCAATGTTGAAATGAATTCATCATCGTCATCGTCAAATAGAGATGTCTTCTTTTTCGAGGATCCTGCACCTGTCAATGGTGATGATTTTTCAACACTTGTTGCTTCGACTTTCTTTGGAATATCTTTCTTGACAAAGAGAGGTTCATCTGTTGAAGAGTCGAGTGAAGAATTTGATTCTTCAGGTTTTGGTTCAGACTCTGCTGGCACAGTGGCATTTGTTGAAGAAGTTTCACTACTCTCACTAATTCCCATAACCTTCTTTGTGGAAATATATCCTCCTCCAATATTTGCTTGAAGTCCTTTAAGAATGGATGAACCCAATTTGGATTTAATGTCAGATTGTGAAGATGATAATTTGGAGACTGATGATGAGAGTGAGGAAGAAGAGGAGGTAGAATTATCACTGTTTGGAATTGCAATACCTGTCGTATTGTTTTTGGTAGCGGTACTGTTGGAAGAAGAATCCTTGGTGGTGTCTTTAATCTTGTCTTCCATAGTGACCTTCTTTTCTTCTTTCTTTGGAAGGAGTGTTTCTTCATCATCTTCAAAGAGTGAAGAAGTGAGAGCACTCTTTTTAGTAGCTACTACTACTGTATTATTAGTAGCAGCAGTGGCAGTAGTAGAGGGTTTGGTAGTAGCAGCAGTGGATGGTTTAAATGTTTCTTCTTCTTCGTCGTCTCCAAACAATGATGACGCTGGCTTTTTAGATGCTGAGGTTGTTGTTGTTGAGGCAATGATTGGAGTGGTAATGGTTGGAGTCTTTTTGGTATCAACCATAAACTCTTCTTCATCTTCAAAGAGTGAAGATGTTTTAGTAGCTGCAGTAGTGCTACTGGATCCTGTACCACCAGCATTAGTCTTGGAACCACTTGTTGTTGGTGTCAAAGTAGATGAAGGCTTCGTAGAGAATAAGCCATCCTCTTCATCATCAAATAAGGCTGAAGTCATGGATATTTTAGGACCGGTGGCTGGTTTGGTGGTAGCCGTATTGGTAGATTTCTTAGTTGGTAAAATACTGAAATCTTCATCGTCGTCAAACAAACCACCACCACCAACTTTAGTCTCATGATCACCGCCAATGAGAGGTGTCGTATTATTGGAAGTAGTAGCAGCAGCACTGGAAGTATTTGAAGAAGTGGTAGTTGATACTTGTTGAGTCTTAAATCCACTAAATAACCCATCATCTTCCTCTTCTGAGAAGAATCCAATAGATGTCGTTGGTTTCTTTTGTTTTGAGGATGAGTCGGTAGTCGTTGTGGTATTCGTGTTACTCATAAATCCAAATCCAATATCTTGTTCCAATTGATTTAAATCAAACTCATCTGAATTTCTCTTCTTTGAAGTAGTATTTGTTGTTGAACCTCCACCAAATAATCCACTTCCAAATAATCCTCCATCACTATTGTCATTTCCAAATATGTTATCTAAGGATTGTGTGTGACCACCATTACCATCCAACGATGGAGTGGTGCCATTGCTACTATCAGCTGTCGATGATGGTGGTTGGTTTGATCCTTTCTTCATTAAATTGGCCAATTGAGTTCTAATATCCATAGATGATTCTTCTCCATTATTTTCGCCAACAGCAGGTGAGGTATTAGAAACTCCAAAGAAGTTTTCAGTCGATTGTGGTGGTTGTTCATCTCCCAATGTAAACGAATCCTCTCCATTCTCAAAAGTATTTTTCAATTTTGGTTTCAAAGATGCATCTGGTGGTGGAGGTGGCATATCAAAGGATAGAGGGGGTGGAGGTGGAATAGTGCCATTCATCATCATCATGGGTGGAGGGGGTGGAATATTTCCAAATGTACTTGGCGGAGGAGGTGGAATATTTCCAAATGATGAAGGTGGTGGTGGAGGAACACCATTGGCAGATGTCATGGGTGGAGGAGGTATAGCAACACTGGTGTCAATTTGTGTTCCAGCCACTGTGGCATTGACATTTTCATGATACGTCATTAATTTCAATTGTTCTTCTTCCTCATTTGGAATAATTCCCACCAAATCATTCATATAGAATTTACTGCTTCCAATAATATATGGAAGTGTTCTCTTTTTCATCAACATTGGATCAATTTGTTGAATATAATCATTATGAGCAATAGTATTCTTCATAAATTCTTCAGCTTGACGATTTTGTTCCAATTCTTCTGCATCCATTGGTAATTGATCTTCTTCGAGAATAGTATTTCCATTTTCGTCGATCATCATCATTGCATCATAGGCTGTTCCTTCATCAATTGGAATGGTACATGATTCAAGAACTGCATTGAGACCATATTTGATAGCTGTTGTGAAACGATGTTGTTTCTCTTCTGGTGTTAATTCTTTTGCAAGAGGTTGTTCAACAGGGGTTTCTGTCGTGGCAGTTGGTTCAGAAGATGGTACAATCACACGATTTTCAATGAATTGAGTATTAGATAACATGATAAATTCATTGAATGCATTCTTCACTTTGACTTGACATGATTGAGTATCATAGAATAATTCATCAACAGAATCTCTCAAGTGATTCATTTGTGTAAACAATCTATTGGAATAGGATTTCAAATAATCTAAAAGACCTTCATCACAATCAATCGTCCATTTCTGATCACATCTTTTTAAATTATTAATATTTGAATAATCAATGGAACGTTCGGAGGTTGAGAGAATCACGGATTGTGTTTCAAAATTGGCTGGTTGTTGTGAGAGAGAAGGAGGAGGTTGAGAGAAGGATGTTGTTGTTGCTCCAGCACTCGGATACGAAGAGAATGGTGGAGGTGGTGGTATGGTTGAAGACATCATGGGCGGAGGTGGTGGTATGGCAGAGTCCATCATCATCTTTGAAAATATTTTTTAATGTTGTTTTGAAAAAATCTTTTGTTGGAATCAACCTCTTCTAAACCGGATCGAACCCGGAACACAGTACTTTGTGGTCTGGCCTCGTTGCCAAACAACTCGGGTTCATAGAGAAGGCAATGATCAATTTCCACAAGCTTGGGCACTTTGATATTCAGTGCACTCGTCTGTTTGCTCTTCATGCGAACACTTAACGGAAAAAATGCTGAAAAACGATGAACCGAACCGGTTATCGATTACAACTAACCTTTTTCATCAAATCATAAATACCCTTGTGCTATCAACAAACAACTCCCATCATCACCATCATAAACATTCTACAGGTCATCATATTCTGCCCACATGTCCTTTCTTCAACAACATTCCGAGCGGAAATGACAACCAAGGAACAACTGAATTTTGTGTTGATATGATGTTTTTAAGAATATTGGGAGGCTTAGACTTGTACTATTTCATTACTCTCATTCCGAATTTATTATTTATATTATTTTTATTATTTAAATTGAAAATAACCGTTAAGATTTTGAAAAAGACCGATAGTTTATTATTACCTGCATTGTATTCATTTGTTTGGTGTGTTTGTGTTGTACATATGATCACCTGCTTGTCTACAATAGTGGTTGCTATCGTTGGGGAGAATATATTTGATATAGAGACATCAGTCATGATATCAACCAATGAATTGAAAGTATCCAAAAACTCAAACACTCCTTTTCAGTCTCACTCTCTTACGACAATTAATTCATCCATTCCTTCATCATCTCAATCTCGAACATTGATTTCAGCAAAAAATATTCCATCCTATGAACTGGACATTGCTACAAAAATATGTCTCTCAATTTTACATTTCTTAATGGAATTTATTGAATTGTGTGTGGTGGTGTACATGATGCATCACTTTTCTCCAAAGAAATTAATAGCATCATTGAGTAATCAAAAAGTACTTGTGAGGAGTGCTATCATTGCAGGATTTGTTTCAATTTTAGATAATGCAGTAGCCATATCGGTCATGTTTATATTTCCATATTACAATGAATTAGGATTTCCATCCATCATGACTACAAGTGTATTAGAAAGTGCTTTACAAGATACAATTGTGAGTGGATTGTTCATGACCATGTATTGTGTAATTTTAATTTTACCATGTTTAAGATGTATGAGAGATCGAGTTCCACAGAGAAAATCGTTCTATGTATATATCATGTTTTTAATGACCTTACATGCAATTACGTGCTCTGGAAATGTATTACTATTGACATGTCAATCGGTTGGAATTTGTCTGACCATGTCCTCTCGAGTGTTATATTATGCTCTATTTGGACCAGTTCTCTATTTCACTTTCTTGCATTCGAATTTAAATCGATCGGTTTATGATCAAATTGTGATGGAGGCAGAACAGGCACAAAACCATCGTGATGGCAATAGTAGTAGTCTTGGTGTTCCTCGAGTACCCTCTAATGCTGCAATGAACATTGATCGAGTGTTTGATGATGACGAAGATGAAGAGGAGAGAATGAGAACTCTTCTCTCCAATGTAAAGAAAAACAAGAGACGTTTTAGAAATCAACCTTCAAGTCGATTGGATGAAGATGATTACGGTGGTATGCATCACGAAGATGATGACGAATTCCTTAATAATACTCATCGCACGGTTGGTAATTTCAGATATCAAGGCTCCATTCAATAAAAATTGAGCCAAGTTAAAGGAACCACATTTCAACGTAGTTCATTTCTGCGAAATTTCAACTTATTGATGATTCGATGATTCACATTGTTCATTTATTGCTATTCGCAAAGAGCTTGTTCAACACATTCAGAGTATTGTCAACGTTGAGAATGATTTTCAAGCTTCGTCGAGGGGAAGAGTGGTGAGATGATTCTCCTTCTTCAACGTGCGTGGTGTGGTTGCTGATGCTGTAGTGATCAATGATGACGAAGAAGAGGATGACGAGGATGCCGTCGATGATGCCAATGAAGGTGTCATGGTTGGAGATCCATTATTCTTTTGCTGGTGTTGTTGTTGCGGTTGTTGTGAATGATGGTTGTTGTACTCTTTCATCAATTCATCGACACTCAATAAATGTTGACCCTTTTCCTGAGCATCCAACAGTGCATCAATGATCAGTGTGAAATGTCCCACTGTAATTTCATCTCCATCCAATTTCGATTCTACACTAAACACACCTGGTTCTTTCATGGAAATATAAAATGTCATTTTGGATTTGTGTAAATGATGCATCTCATGAATCACCTTATTCTTGTCATGTAATTGTTTGTAGGTGAATTTGTAAATCTTATTCTTCTTTTTCTTTTTGAGATCAGATTCAAATTGTCTCTTTCTGCAGTCATCAATAAATTCTCGAAGTGATTTTGTTTTCTCAATTAAGAATTGATAGTGATCTGTGAGTTGAGTGAGAGAATCTTGTAATCTTTGAATTTCTCTTCTCTGTTTTTCTCTCATACGTTTCTTATTTTGAACTTCCTTAATAATGTCAATGATTAACTTTCTATATTTGGAGATATTTTCTTTGGGGACTAGTATTTTCAATTCTTCTAATTTGATCAAATCTCGTTTCAAATCTTGTACTTTGTTCAACAATTTTCTTGCCTTTTCTTCACTCATAGTTGTGTGATGATCCATCGCTGTCTGATGATGATCCATATTCAATCTGTTATTATTATTAGTATTATTATTATTATTATTATTATTATTATTAGTATTATTATTAGGATAACCATTCGTGGTTGTTACCATTGTCATTTCCATCATACTTGTCTTGAAATATTCTTCACAATTGTGTAAGGTTTCACTCATGGAATCCACAATCAAATCGCAATTCACATTTCTAATGATGGATCTCAAATTATTCTTGGATCGTTCATAAATATATGGAGGTGATTCTAAAATCGTTGAATCTTGTTCGTATTGATCGAGTTGAGAGGGTGGTACAATGAGTTTCAATTGAATTTCATCCATCATGTGTAGTAGTTGAGAGGAAGATGATGAATGATTATTGTTGTTGGTGCTATTGTTATTACTACTACTACTACTACTACTGGTCTGATGTGAAGACAGAGAATTCAATTGAATTGAGGATATGGATGGTTGTATATTATTCTGAGATGAGAATAATGGTGAAGAAGGTGGTGATGAAGAGAAGAGATCTTTGATACTAGTACTCGATGATGAAATCTCTCGTTGAGTCTCTCGTTGTTGTTGTTGTTGTTGTTGTTGAGGAGAAGGAACATTGGTCATCCCAACATTGGTCGTCGTCGTTGTCGTCGTTGTTGTCGTATGAAAAGAAGATCGTGTCAAATTCATGGCAATATAATGTTGAATGGGTGTTGGATCTCCCAATACATTCAATTGAGCTCTCAATGGATCCATCATTGAGTGGTGGTGGTTTTGTGAACCATCATGATTGTTGACAATACCATTCGTACCCATACCACTCGTACCACTCGTGCCACCCGTACCACCCATACCCATACCCACACCACTCGTACCACTCATACCACCCACACGATTCACACCATTCACACCACCACAAATTTGATCTCTAAACTTCCATAATAATTGATGAGTTTGAATCAAATCATGAACACTTATGGTAATGGTTGGAGTGACTCGTTGAGTGAATTCCAAATATTGATGAACGCCAAGAGCCTCCTCAGGATCTTCCACATCAATCAATGGAGCAATGAAATGATCCATATAATATTGTTGATGATCCTTAATCCACTTGTTCATGACCACCATGGGTTGTTCTACTTTGGAATCAAACAAGACATTATTCGTTAAATTGGTTAATACTTTGGAAATGTTCACCAAATTGTTACGCATACACAAGGAAATCTTTTTTCGAGTCAATAAAAAGGCATCACACGCCACAATGGAAGGATTACAAAATCGATAATAAATTAAATATCCAATCACACTGGCACGTTGAATGGGTGTCGAGTGTGGAACTTGTTCTTCTAAAAGAGTATTAAATTGTTTTGAAATCCATCGAAGTCCATATGGCACGTGTTGCACATGTTCACACAAACCTCGTAACACATTGGAACAAATGTCACTCAATTTACGAACACGATTCTCAACGATACGTCGAATAAAATCATGTTGCATGGCCTTTTCATAGGTAATTTCACGTAAATTAATACCACACTTGACACCAGTCTCAACTTCTTGTTTGGAAATGTGTTCTTTCAATATTTTAATGGCATTCAATTCGAGTGTCAAATCTGAATCTTCCAAGAGAGGTGCAATGTGTGGTTCAAAAATATATTTCTGCAAGAATCGTTTACCTTCAATACGACGACCATAGGTGAGTATCATTTTGGGCAATACAGGATTGGAAGAGAGAAAGGAACTCACTTTTGAGGATTGATCCAATTCCATTTGTAATGTATGATTAAATAATTTCAATAATAAATATTCTTCACGTGCACTAAAGGCATACCCATACAGGGAGAGAATGACCGATTCTAAAAATGTATCTAATTTGTCGGAAGGGACCATGTACAAGAGACGACTCAAATAAATGGGTTCTGTTTGTAAAATGTAAAATAAATGAGAATAGAAGAGAGTAATACATGAACCAGGTTGGTCTTGGGAGAGTAGAGTGGTGTTGTTGGGGGTGTTGTTGGTGTTGGTGTTGGGGGTGTTGGGAGTATTGTTGGTGTTGTGAGTGTTGATAGTATAATTATTTTTACTACCAGTTACTGTGTTGGTAGAGTTGGTAATATGAAGACTACCACCAGACGTCTCGTGGTGTTGAGATAACGTTTTTGCATAGGGATCCAAACTTGTCTGTTGTGAAGAAGAAGAAGAATTGAGAATCGTAGAAGTAGCAGAAGTAGTAGTAATTGGATGGATCATTGGACGATTCGTCATGCCACCACCACCACCACTCTCATACCACCACCACTCTCATAACCACTTGATCTCTTTCTTGAAATGATAAATCTCACCAATCCTCCCTTCGTTTGTAATAATTGATCCATTTTCACTTGATTATAAAGTAAGAGTTGTATTCTTCGTTCAATATCTCTCACTTGTTTTTCAATTCGAGTATTATTCTTGATTTGTTTCACTAATTGATCACGTAATACATTCATTTCTTCATTCAATGAATCATCTTCATGTTCAAGAGAGAGTGCTGAACATATACTCACTAATAAATCACGATCTGAAAAGGACAATAATAGAGGTGAAGAATTCATGGAGAGGTGTGGTAGAGAATGATTCATGGATGAGTTATTATTATTACTACTATTATTGTTATTACTACTATTATTATTACTACTATTGTTATTACTACTAATATTACTACTATTGTTGTTCTTATGACTATCATTATAACGATTATTATTACTATGTTATGATCATTATTATCATGATCTAGACTACTATTATTACTAGTATTATTATTATCATGATCATTGGTCCTACCAAATGTCATTCCTGTTTTTTCATCATCATTCATACTTGGTACATGAATAGGTGGTTGAATAAATATCGATGATACAAGAATACTATGGTTCGATGATGATTCACCTTCTCTTCCAATCGTAACCATAATATTAAATGTTCCAGAATGAGTAGGTGTGAAATGAACAAGATAATATCCCTGATGAGATGGTATTGGTAGAATCTTGTTGGAAATTCCAGATGATGGAATGGTACCATCCATGATACATTCAATAGATTGAACAGGTAGAATGGTAGTAGCAGTAGTATTGGTATTATTGGTATTGGTATTCGTATTATTAGTATTATTATTAGTATTATTAGAATTATTGGAATTGGTCAAAATGCTGTCATTCTCTTGTTGTTGCTTTTTGTGATCATTCACTAATTCAACATGAAGTATATTCGAATGATCATGAGTAGTAGTACTCATTGTTGTTGCTGATCTTGTCATGGATGATGAACAACATGTGGTAATATTTCCATAAACATCTTTCAAAATCATTTGAAAGGTTGATTTCTCATTTTGAATACAACATTTCAAACATTCACCTGATAATTGAATGTCATGAATGGAATGAGAAGGTAGAATGGTCAAATCACATGGGAATCCTTGAATCGTGTATCTTTGAAAGGAATGAATTCTATTTGTTGTCGAACTAGTTGTAGTAGTAGTAGTAGTAGTAGTAGTAGCAGTGGTCGTACTAGTAGCAGCAGTAGTAGTGATCCTTGTGCTGACTTGTTCAGCATGATGAATATTCTCATGTTCTTCTTCTTCTTCTTGTTCAGAATAAAAAACTTCCATAGTATAAAGATCAGCAAGTGTACATGTGAGTGAAATTTGAACATGACAAGTATCGAGTTGAGTGCATTTCATGGAACACCAATTCTTCAAATCTGAATGATCGTATTGTTCGAGAGTGGTCTTGGATGTCAACACGACACTAAAACATCCACTATAATCCATATCATTTTGAATGAGTGTATTTCCAAATTCATCACATAATTCAATCATGAAATCGAGAGATTGACCTGCAGTAGTAGTAGTAATAGAAGTAGTAGTAGTAGTATGGTCATTCTTATCATTCTTATCATTCTTATTATTCACTGTTATGAGTTTACATTGAGTAGGATCTAAATGACCACTATCAACCACCATGATACTCTTCTTATACACGACATGATCATGCAAATATACAACTAGTTCATAGCGTGATGCATGTGAAATATTAAATGTTACTTCATAGGTTCCATCATTGTGATCAAATAATTCAAGTGGTAATTGATATGGTTGTTGTTGTTGTTGTGGTAATTGTTGTTGTAACAATGATGATGGATCATTCAATGTTGTTGTTGTTGTTGACCACAATAATAATTGATCAATCAAAAATGCTTTGAATAATTCACCTCCCGAAGATCTCTTATTACCATGTTTATCTCTTGCTTGAATGATAAAAGATTGAATTTCAGAATGAGCTCTATACAAGGATTGAATGGGAGTAATAATTTCACACTTGCTAGCATCACTTTGTCCTAAATCTTTAACAAGTACAATGGCATGATCTTGAATGACACTTTCAATATTGGTTGTTGTTGTATTGGTATGGATGATGATAGTATCATCGTCATGATCACCACCACTACTCTCACCTTTGATATCATTGCAATTTAAATATTCACCAATAGAACCATCACTATTAAAATGTTTTGGTTGTTGTTGTGGTCTTCGAAGAGTCAGACTACGAGGTGATGGCACATGTGATTCTGCAAGTGAAGAGGAGGGTGTTTGTACTGTTGTCAGTAGTGCACACGTAGAGGATCGAATGGTTCGTATTTTCACTGGAATGAATTGTTGTCTCTGAAGGAGTGAAAGAGTCAATCGATAGGAACCACTCACTGGACATGAATATTTAAATTCATAGATACCATTTTGAAAATCTGTACATTGACATGAAATGTGTGTTGTCGTGTGGATAGAAGTAGCAGTAGTAGTAGTAGTATTCATTGTAGTAGTAGTGTTGTCAGTAGTATTCATTGTAGTAGTATTGTCAATTGTAGTATTATTATTCATAATAGTAGTAGTATTCATAGTATTGATAGTATTCTCATTCATCATTAAATGTTCAGTCTGACCTATAAATTCCAATTGAGCATTAAATAGTTCATTTCCTAATCCTCGATTTCCAAATTCATCTCTTGAAAATAAATAAAATACAGACTCCACACCTGCCACACTCGTATCAATACCTCGACCATAAATCAAACAATTCGATGGATCTGAATATGGACTTGATTGAACATGAATAGAGAGAGGACATAATTTGAGAAGATGTAAACAAGTTGGAGTGGTAGTGGTATTTGTGGTGGTAGTGATTGGATTCGTTGTTGGAGTGGTATTTGTGGTGGTATTTGTGGTGGTATTTGTGGTAGTAGTAGTCGTGCTATTCATGTGAGTAGTAGTCGTAGTAGTAGTACCATTGCTATGGGATGGTATGGATAATTGAGGAGATGAATTTGATGATGAGACTGATTCTCATCCATCATCGATGTATCAGTTGCTAAATAAATTTCAAGTGAATACATTCCAGATTTGGTAGGTGTGAATGTGACATGATAGAAACCATTGTGTAAATCCTCTACTTTTCCTTCAATGACTAACTTGTTCATGGTATTACTCGTAGTAGTAGTGGTAGGTAATATTCCAGAATTGTTCAAATTTTGAGAAGAATTATTCGTTGTGGAATGATTCAAACGGAATGATTTTCGTGGTGAAAATGTGGTGGTGGTTGGACTCATTGTTCCAATTCTACTTGCACTTCTCATCCTGTTGAACGTTGTTGAGATTTTTGGAAGATTGGATCATTCATCATTGTAGGAGTATAGATTTTTGATGATTCATTCTCACAAGTAGTAGTAGTACCAATAGTAGTAGTATTGTTGTTATTAGTACAAGGGTTGATTTCCACATCATGACCATCATTATGATCCAAGAGTTGACTCATTTCTGAGAAGATGGATTCAATATAATCCATTGTGGTAGAATGATTAACATGACCATGTCCAGTATTGGCACTACTACCACTGCTACTATGAACATGTCCAATACTGGCACTACTATTACTAGTATGACCACTCCATACATAATTATAAAATAATTTCACAATAAATGTCTCTCCACCCATTTCAATTCTCTCTCCTTCAGCATCTTTGGCAATAATTCGAAATTCATATTGTTGACCTGCATGAAAACAAGATGAGAGAGGAGTAGAACTTGTACTAGTATTCAATGTGAGTTTGGTTCCAAGTTGTTGTTGTGGTGGTTGTTGTTGTTGTTGTAGTTTCAATAAAACATTTCCACATCCATAATGTTCATCAATACAACACATATCAATATCTACTGTATAGGGTGAAATGGCAGAGAGTGAAGAAGATGTGGATTGACTTGAACAATGACTTGTTTGATCATCATCATCCATCATTGGAGAGAGTGTTGAAGATCGTAGTAGTAGTGTGTTGATTGGATGTTGTTGTGATGATGATGAGCGTTGAGAAGTGGATGTATTAAGGTGATGATGATTGGTGGTTATTGAGGAGGTGAGGAGTAGTGATGATGATGATGGTTGTTGTTGTTGTTGTGATGATGGTGTTGTTGTTGGAATACTTGAAGTGGTAGTCGTTGGTATACTTGTTGTTGTTGTGGTCGTCGTAATTAAAGTTGTGGATGACAAGGGTTGGGATGACAAGGGTTGAGATTGGGTTGTCCATGTTGTTGTTCTTGGATTCATCTTGGTTGTTGTCGATAACTTGGAATTACTCAATGGTTGTGGACTTGAACTGTTTTCATCAGTATGATTATTATTACTGCTACTACTACTAGTGGTATTGAATTTACTCATCATACTTAACAGTAAGGATGATGAATATTGTCTCACATCATTCAATTTCTCTAAATGTTCCATGTTAATTTGAACATCTTCATAGGTATAATTGAGAATGGAGTGCATGTCAACATTCACCCTGTCATTGCTATTATTATTATGAATGATATTATTATTATGAATGATAGTATTAGCACTGTCACTGTTACTATTATTATTCAATAATGATGAATTCAATGATTTTATACCTTCAAATCCAAATCTTCTACTACTCAAATATAATGATAAGGAATGAATGGATTGCACAACTTTGAATATATTTTTATATTCCCATAAATCATTGATTTGAAAAATGTATCCATTTGGAAATCCAATATCATGACATGCTTTGAAAAATTGATTCATATTCTCTATGGCTAATATTTGTAAGAGACTTCCCTTTTTGTGTTGATGAATTTTAGTGACTGAAGAAGGAGAAAGAATTTTACCTAATTGAGCAAGAATGACACCATCACGTAAATAATTGGCAAATGAGAGTACATTGGGAGAGAATGAGTTGTTGTTGTTGCTGTTGTTTGGATGGAAGAGTGTTGTTGTCATATTGGTGTTGTTATTGGCATTATTATTGGCATTATTATTCTTATGGATCGAAGATAGGTTTGGACTAATGAACTCGGAGTTCTCTTGTGGTTGGGAGGATGTTGGAGTGTAATTGGTCGTACCATTGGTGATGATGGATCTTGTGCTCAAAGTGTGTGTTGTTGGTTGTTGGAGTGATAGGTTGTTGGTTGATAGTTGTTATTATTATTCGAGTGAATCGATATCATGTATTGAATCCACTGACGAGCCTCTTCAATTCTCAACATTAAATCAAGGGCTCTCTTTTCTAATGTAGACATTTGTTCGTTCATTTTGGTATTGTTTGATATGATAATTACAGTTGTTGAGTTGTTGTTGTTGGACTTGATATCATTGGTGTGTGTTGGTGATGAATAATTTTTTTAAAATGATTGACAGTTGAAAGATTTGGATGCAACGAACTTTATTCGGATTGTTTTGGTGCCGAACCATACTAAACGACAATTTATCATTCTCTCTCTGGGCCACTACAATTCTCCCTCTCAATAATAGCCCCACTACTTCATGTAGCATATTCATACTCTCAAGTCAATCAACAACAACAACAACAACACAACCACACTCAATAAGCTACAAGCATACAATTCTCCAAAGTCACATCTTTCTGACAATAATAAATTAATTTCACATGTTCATACTGTTGGGTCGATTTTAAAAATTCCATTCTTCCAACATCTAAAATTCTCTTACATTTCAATCCAATCGTTTCTTTTTCTTCATCAGACAATCCATATTCTTCACTTGTATTCTTATTTGATAACTTTGAGAATTGACATGTTGCAAACGATGTTAATAAAGTCATTACTTTAAAATCAATTTCATTAATTCCACATTCAAAGAGAAATTGTTTGTTAATATAACCATCAAAAGTACACTTGTGATGACAACACAATGCAATGAATATACCCTTATTTTTGTGAGGAATTAATGTATTGAGAGAGTGTAAACAACATAATGTTAAATCTGTTGCAATTCCACACAAGTGTTTTGATATGGAAATGGTTGATCTATTGTGTAGTGAGTAGTAGTAGTAGTATTTGATGAAGTGCTTGTCATATTCAACGGAGTATTCATTGGAGTAGTAGTAGTAGTATTCATTGAAGGAGTAGTAGTATTGTTACTTGAAGTATTCATTGAAGGAGTAGTAGTAGTAGTAGTCATATTCAATGTAGTATTGTTACTAGTAGTAGTAGTCATAATGGTTGAACTTGAAGAGATTTCAGAACTTTCAGAACATTCAAACATTTCACTCTTGATAAATCTAAATCTCCAATATCTGCAAGAATTCTTTCAACATGAACAATCTCTGTGGCGAGCATTCCATCTTGTGGTTGATTCTTATTGTTATGTAATCGAGTACCATATTTAATAAAATTATCAACTTTTCTTCTTTGATTTTCTCGATCAATTAATATAAAAGTTTGATTAGAAATGACCATATTATTACTCTCATGAGAAGTATGACTAGAGTTTCTGCAGTAATTATTAAAATTTGAACTCGAGTTGCACATTGTGATCTCTCTCCTTTGAGCAATTAAGGCTCTTCTCACACAATAACTCAATGTTCCTTTTCCACATCCAAATTCAATATAATCAAAATCATTCGAAAGACAATGTGCATGTTCAATATTATAAATAATAGAACAGTGTTGTTTGTGATGTTTTTCTCTAAACTCTTCGTCATCACTTAAAAAGTTATAATTTTCATTCATGTGATCTTGAATGATTGTTTTGATTTGTAATTGATGATCATATAAATGATTAATTTTAGAAATTAAATTTTTAAAATATTCAGAATGATTTTTAACGAGATCACCAATGGTTTGGAATGAAATCATACGATCATTCTTGTAAAGATCTTTGTTTGTATCATTATTCTTTAAATCTTGTGGATTATGATACAAAATATTTAAATCTTGTGTATGATTCTTTTTTAAATAATTGTAATGAATCGATGGACAATAATAGGGTTGTTGCATCATTCGATTTTGAGAGAGAGATTTGTTACAAATTTTTAAATGTTTTTTCAATCGATATTCATAAACACTATGAGAAGGATCAATGGGACATGGAACTCTTTTTAATGATGATGGTTGAGAATGATCATTCGGAATTTGTGGAAGACAAGTCGTCATAGTAGTCATAGTCGTAGCAGTCATAGTCGTAGTAGTCATAGTCGTCGTGGTTTCGAGTGTCAAAGAATTGAGATTTGAATCATGTTCAAAAATGGTATGAGTATGACAATAGAGGCTATTCGGTGCACGTTCTCTCTTACAGAATCGATGTTTTTGTTTCACATAGAAATGGCATTGAGTGGGATGTTGTTGTTGTGGCGGAGGAGGAGGTGGTGTTGCTGAGCGTTTGGAAGATTTTGTTGTGTGTTGTTGTTGTTGTTGTGGAATCATTTTTTTCAAACGAGTGCAACATCGAGAGAGAACAGGTTTTTCAAGAGCTGTCAATTTAACCCCAATTAAACCGTTGTGTGTCTAATGAATAGGTGCCCCAAATTGGTGAATGTAACAAACAATGGTTACCCTTAGTCAACGACTTTTACAAGCCGTGTTGTTTGTAACCTTTTGTTCATCCATTGAAAAAAAAATGCCCCGTCTCTATGACTTTGAAATTGTGTCCAACCTTTCCAACAATGATCATCCCATCCTCGAGAAGGATTTCATTCACATGTATTCAAAATATCATTCACACCTTCAACAATGTATTGAAAATATTCACGTATCATCCACACAAATGAAATTTATTAAAGTGTATATAGGTAATAATGTCGAACATTCAAATACTATGAATGAAGAGAATACCACTATGAATATTACTACTACTAATACCACCACACTCAATCACGAATTTGAACACCACCCTCACCACAAAACATGTATTGGAATCATTCCAATCACTATTAATTCTGGTCACATTCATCACCAAGATGGATATAATATTTTCACACTTTCACCCTATCATCACTACATTTCCTATGGTCGAGCAGAATTGTATATTAATGATCATGAAATTAACAAGTATATTATTTATGGTGTAGAAAGAGTTATTGATCTATTTAGTAAATTGTTAGAATATACAAAATTGGATCAAGTGATTATTATTGGAAATTTAATGTTATCTACCAATTTATACGATGGAGACTTATACTCTCGATTGGACATGTATCGAGAATTAACATGTTATTTAATAGCACAATATCCACAACATGTATTAATGATGAGATCTTTGAGCATCTATTCAACCATATTACAAACTCTGAATGACATTGGTTATCAATCCATACCATCAAGAATGATCTATGTATTGAATTGTCATGTCAATGAACATGGAAATGATCAACTTTTTCTCAAAAAGAGAGATGTTAAGGATGATCGAAAATTACTTTCTAAATTTACAAAACAGGTCTATGATATTTATTCCAATCAAGATTTATTAAAAGTCATTGAAAATTATGATGATACTCATAATTCCAAGAATGATGACCACCAAATCTCCTATCATCCATGGATTCATCAAATAGTTGACATTTATAACATGTTATATATTGGAAAGTATTCAGAATGTAATATCAAATTCACACCTACATTTATTTATGAAACACTTTCAAATAATATTATTCAATACAAGTGTTTATATAATAGAGAAACTCAATGTATTGATGGAGTGATTGGATATTTCATCAAATCATTTCCAAGAAATGCCATTCAACATGTTCCATTGTTGAGAAATGTTACTACTGCTACTATTAGTAGTCATGGCAGTAGTAGTAGTAGAATGCATGACATGAATGGCACCACCACTCTGAATACCACTCTGAATACCACTCTGAATACCACTCTGAATACCACTCTGAATACCACCACCACCAATCCCATCACCACTTCAAAGAATACATCCAATATTCGTATCATGACATGCCCCATTTTAGGATATAGAACCACATTGGATCAAAAATCCATTCCACTCTATCGATTACTCTCTGCTCTTTTATTGAAACAAGCTCAACAAGAAAATGCATTCTTTAATCAATCCAGTGGTGCTTCTAAATTTAAAATGAATCGAGGATGTGTTCCATGTGTGGAATATAGTGCATTCTATAATCGACATGTGAGTTTTATGAGAAGATTACCTTGGAATGTATTGAGATTTTTGTTAAATGTGATTGCAAAACCAATGATGGAATATTATCAATTATAAAACATTGTTTAAAACATTTTTTCAACACGTTCTACCACATTGTTCTAGTCATTCAATGAATTTTAAATCAATACTTTAATTTGTTGTTTCCTTCTGTTCATGTACCAAATGAATGAAATTCTCCAAGGATCGTTTAATTTGTTGAAAATTATTTTGAAATCCATCCATTCCACCATAATAGGGATCTTCAACAATGGAATTCTGTTTGACAGGATCATAATATCCCAATAATTTCACAATTGCTTTATCTGTTTGATGTTTTTTCTTGTTTTTTAAATTCTCCACATTTCTCAAATTACTTTCATCCATCACTAGAATATAATCAAATCGTTCAAAATCACTTGTTTGTATTTGTCGAGCTTGTAATTCCGATGCATCAAACCATGGATAATGTTTTTGACATGTTTGTAAAGTTCTTTCATCGGGAGCATCTCCAGAATGATAGGATGCTGTTCCTGCACTATCAATGTACCACAAATGATGAAGATTTTTCTCTTTAACAAGACATTTCATGATAATTTCTGCCATTGGTGATCGACATATATTTCCCAAACAAACAAAGAGCACGGAGTGTACTTGAGAGTTGTTGTGAGGTTTGGACATTTTTTTGTTTGGAGAACCAGCTTGGTTTCCTTGCTCCCCTATTAAACCAGAACTATTACCTCTTCTACTTACCAACAATATTTGACAATTTGCACCAGTGGATAGCAGAACCTGGGCCGTGACAATTATTGATACAGCAGGTCATTATGACAAGATTCGCCCACACATTTACTCAGGAGCTAATATATTTATCCTGTATTACAGTTCCGTCTGTATAGTTACTGTCATGCAGGGTTTTCCTCAAAGCATGTGAATATCGTCAAAGACAAGTGTATACAGTAACCAGAAGCTGAACACCACAGGATGTTGACTGACACTCCAACATACTTCTTGGGCATAGTAACAAGTTGGTTGGTACACATTAAACTTTTGTTAACTGTTAATAGCTGTGTAAATATGATACATTTACCATTTTCTACTTGCAATGGTAAATTTGTAAACTACACTCCACTGAACGATTAAGAGTTATGCAATAGGTCGTTACCAAAAAGTGAATCATGATGAAATCGGTGAATATTATTTTACTAAGAAACTGAATGATACAGTCATTTTAGATTAATCAAACCCATATCTACACGAACCATTAATACCATGGCTTATTGCTATCTTTCATCTATCTGAAATAGTACATATCGCGAAATGACTAAGTTATTATGTCACTTTACTATTATATAGTTCTTCCGCAATGAATACGTTATAGTTGCACATTTATTTCTTTTACTCCCTTCTACATTACTTGATTATTGTGATCTACCGTTATAATGTGTAAAGGTTAATAATTTTCGTGTTGAAACTTCAAATAGTTATTGCTAACAACAATCATGAGTTTCTATCTCCTTAATGACGAAATCATGTGCGAATCTACCGGATATTTTTTGAAAACATAGTGAGAAACAAAATGTTATGTGACGTTAAACAATAATGGTTTAATACCGATGAGTTGGTTGCTGTCTCCTCTCAGGACGTGTCACTTCTTTGGAGATGGAGTGTCGACCAACAACCTTATGAATTCAAAACATAATGGGAGGTGTAGTTGTGGTTAATTATATTAAAGAGCGTAGAAACTTCGCATCGGCTAAAAAATAAACAGCCAACGCTAAGACTTCTTTCATTAGAAGCCTTCGAAAACTAATAATCAAAGCTCTTTGAACAGAATTAGGATCCACAAGTGTTCGACTCCATGTTACAATACTCCAAATGACAATTTGGTTGCATAAAAGTTGAGAAGTCAAGTTTTTTCAATGTTGCCATACGGTATTCCAAAACATTGAATCAATTTTCTGACATTGGGCGATCGTTGACATTCTCTCGAATAACTGAAAGAGCTAACAGTGTACGCTTTAATGATATTGTTCTTCAAACAAATGAGCTTCTTCATATCCAACTCCTGAGGCAGGTAATGTAGAAGTGTCATCTCTTTCATTGATGAGACGATCCAAAGTTTCATCGTCAATTTCTTCATCGTCACGACTCGAGCCGCTCTTGGTTTCCTTATTCTGGTCACCATCCGATAAAATCTCCAATAAATTCTGAGCGGTAATGGTTATTTTGTTCTGTTGGTGGTGTTGATTTCCTTTAAAATTACCCTTATGAATAATCAATCTCTCTAATTTAAGTTTTTTAGTTGCAGTTTGCAATACTTTCTTCTCTACAGTATCCAAAGTAAGTAATCTGAATATTCTCACATTTCTTGTTTGTCCAATTCTATGACAACGATCTTGAGCTTGTAAATCTATTTGAGGATTCCAATCGCTGTCATAAATAATGACTGTATCAGCAGCAGTCTATTAGAGAAAATAATATTGACCACAATCAAAAGTATTCCAATGAAAATAGTCGTACGTGTTCCAATGAAAATAGCATGATTGATCCATCATGATGCGTGCTCAAAGAACAACTTACCAAATTAATACCCAACCCTCCAGCTCTTGTGGATAATAAAAACATAAACACATCATCATTTTCATTAAATTCCTTAATCTTTTGTTCACGTTCAGTCTGTGCAATAGATCCATCAATTCTACAATATTTCATATCTCCTCTACATTCAATGTAATCTTCAAGTACCTATCAAAAAGTCATACAATATGTACATATGTCAATCATCAAATACTTGAACACTTACATCGAGAAATCGAGTCATTAATGAAAAGACAAGTACTTTGTGTCCATTTTTCTTTAAATTTTCTAACATTCTCACCAAGAGAGAAAATTTACCACAATTTTGAACACTTTCTTTGAGGAATCTCGTATTGGATGCACGTTCAGATTCATTGGAGCGTGATTCAAATTCTCTAACAGAGTCAAAATGATGCATCATGATCAATAATGAATTGGATGAATCATAACAATGATCACAGATTGAGGAATTATTATCATACTCATACACACCATGATACCATCATTATCAATACTCACCTAATTAGAAATGGATGATTACAAATCTTTCTCAATTGCATGAGAATATTCAATAAATTACTCGTTGAAGCCTTCCTGGTCTGTTCGTCTTGAAAAATTGGCGCCAAATCCTTCTTCTTGACCGCTTCATAATACTCGCGTTGCATTGAAGTCATACGCGCATAAACGAGAAATTCTCTCTTCTTTGGAATTCCAATATCAACATCACTCTTCAATCTTCTCAATAGGAATGGACGTAAAATATTATGAAGTTTAGAGATGAGTTGAGTCTTTTCATTTGCAATATATTCATTCTTAGTATTACCTTGATTCTTGGTAAAATCAAACCACTTGTTAAATGCTGAAAGATCATCAAAAATGGAAGGTAATAAAAAGTTTAACAAGGACCACAACTCTGAGAGATTGTTTTGGAGAGGAGTACCTGTCAAAAGTAAACGATTCTCACTATTGTATTGTTTTAACTCTCTGGTTAATCGACAATTAAAGTTTTTCAAACGGTGTGCTTCATCGACTACAATATATTTCCAATTGAATTTGTTAGCGAGAAATTTCTTATCACGCATGACAATTTCATAACTTGAAACCACTGAGATGTGTTGGATCATGGGATATATGTAAACACGCACACACACATATTTTCAATATTTTCAAATTCATATACTTACCAACAGAAATTTGACCCTTTTTCACTTTTTTAAAACTTTTAGATCGAATCATGGCACGATCATCCTTATTTCCATGATAAAGAACACAACCAAGATCAGGTGCCCATTTATCAATTTCATTCACCCAATTCGATACCGTGGAGAGAGGTGCAACCACTAGAAATGGACCTTTAACACCCTTTTCATAGAGATGACAAAACAATCCAATCGTTTGAATGGTCTATCAATTTTGATTAACAAGTCATTTTTTTGTAAAAATTTGAACACACAAGTTGGTTTACATACCTTTCCTAAACCCATTTCACTGAATAAAAGTATAGGCACATCCATGATAGTAATAACAACACGAATGATCATGCGAAATGTATGTTCAACTTACTCTGCTAATATTCCATTCACACCATTTTCATACAAACTAATAAGCCAATTTACACCCATCAATTGATAGTCTCTAAGAGTGGTTCCAGTTAAATACTTGGGTTGTTCATACTTGAGAATAGTTTGATTGGCTGTTTGGAGGGATTTCGATTTGCTAAATACGCTTTTCAATTTTTTTTGAGCTGATTCATCAGTGGTGGTTGATTTTCTTCCACGTCGTTTTCTCTTTCCATTTTCGTCCGAGTCGATGGTGGGTTCACCATCTGCTTCTTCTTCGTCTTCACTTGCTTCTTCTTCATTGGGCAATACACCTACCACATGTTCGTGAATAAAACGAGAATAGGTTTCAGTCTTTTGGAGTAACTCATTCAGCTTATCGAAATTCTCTTTAATAGCCTTCGGAGCAGAAGATTCTTCTTCTTCGTCATCAACAGCACCTACTATCAAATCTCCATCAATCTTTTCTTCGTTTTCACCATTAGCTTGCGGTTCATTGTCGTCATGAATTAATTCGGCAACGGATTCTTCTTCTTTTTCCAAAACTTTTCCAGTTTCATCATCAACCACTTCAATATCCAACAAGTCTAAATTGGTACTAGTAGATTCTTCAACTTCACGATGATGATGCATGATGTGTTTTCTTGTTAGTGTCGAAGATGATGGTTCGCTCTCACCTGTCTCCGATGATGAATGCAAAGAGGATGACGAAGAGGGATTGGTAATCATTTTTTCCTTTTGAAACTTGAAAAAAATTTATTATCTTCCTGATGGAGAACGTGCAAAAGCTCTCGCTCTTTTTGATCTGGGCGAACGATCGAGAAGGAGTGAAAAATTGTTAATCTTCCCGTCCCTGTGGCCATTGGAAGGCGATGCCGGACTCGATTGCAATTTTCTTTCCACTTCATCCAATCTTCTTTTAGCCTCTGCTTCTCTCTTTTTCAGGTGTTCAATTGATTTTTCTAATTGAAGTGCAGTTTCATGCTCTTTTTCAATTTCTCTAACTGCATACTGCATGACTACGTCATGAGATTGAGAGATTCGATATTGTTGGACCTCATCAAGGCTAATTCTTTGTGATTTTATCATCTGAACTTGTTTTTCTTTTTCTGATTGGATTTGCTTGAGTCTCTCGTGATACATGCTTTCGTTTTTGTTTCGAGCTTGCTGTCTTTCAATTTGTTTTTGTTTTGCAATTTCCTCTCTTTTAATTCTATTTTCTTCTTTCATCTTTTCGCTTAATTGTTTAATTTCATTTCTTCTTATTGCATTATATTTTACTAATTTCTTTTGTTGATCCTTGTGGATGTCTTTAAATAATTCAAGCTTTTTTTTAAATTCTAAATTCTCTAATTTTTTTGACTCCTCAAAGCTTTTGATTTTCTCTTTGGCATATAAATGGCCATCCTAAATTGGGTTGAAGTTGACCATAAAGATTTACTTCCCAAAGACTTACCTTGATAGAAGATACAATTTGAGATTTTCCCTCAATATCCCTTAGTTGAAGCTCCTTTTTTTTCAAAAAGAGGTTGTTTGTGTTTTGTTTGAGTCTTTTTGTTTCCTCTTGTTTTTGAGTGATGTAGTCATACTGATGAAGTTTTGCTCTTGACCTTCTCTCTTCTTCCTCTAAATATTTAATTCTATTTAGGAGTAAGTTATACTCTTGCTCGATTTGCTTTTTTGCACTTTTGGTCTGACTCAGAGCAGCAGTCATGCTGGGAGAAGAAGGAGCGTCTATGGACGAATTGAAAGATGAGTTTGAGGTATACAGTTTTGAGTTCGGAGGACTTTTGATAGGACTCAAAGCTATTCTATGGGCTTTGAGAGATCTCTAGGTAGGTCCGAAATATTGGGATACAGGGAAGAAAGACCCTTAGTTTGCGATCTATTGGGTGTTGAAAGAAACGAAGAGGAGAAGGTAGAACCATTATTATTAGGAGCCTTTGGTGTTGTCAAAACAGACGTATTGTTGGGTGATGTTGTTATCGTGGATGAATTCAGAAGAGTCATTTCTAAAATGAATGTACTAATGCGAAGTACTGATTCAAACTTTGAAAAACGGAAGAAAATCGTGGTACATGTAGGGTACAAATATGCGAGATAATTTTGAGCGAACACTGTACGGATCAATCAATGCCCTCAACAAGGGCTCAAAAGTTTCCGAAAGAAATGGCAATTATGATGAGCCTGAAAGAGAGCAAAATTAACGAGGTGGGGTTAGTGATTTTTTTTTAATAAGTTTTGCTTAATATGTCTCGGTTTCGTGCCTAATAAATACGAAATGATGGAGAGACAAATTGTTGACCTACCGCTTGACGGTCTCTCCCTTCTCTCATCTCTACAAGAATTGATGTAGAATTATTCACTGTAATTCTCACAACTTGGCATTGTCTCAAAACCTAATCTTGTGGCAAATTTTCCATCCCTTCGTCAATTAGTCTCCATAGTTTATTTCGTCGAAACCTCTCACACACAAAAAATGTTTAAACTTCTCCGGAGACTTTCCCACTCGAATACGGAAGAGGCTGTCACGAAGGGAATGACCACCAATCACACGAATAGCAATAACAATACTGTTATTGACGGAACAGTCATCATTGACACTTCTGCATCACATGAAGATCGTACTCCCAATGTGCTTGCCAATACAACAACACACATCATGATGAATAGCACTGTTACGATGGGTCATCAACAAGACATGTCATCTCACAACAAAAAACCAATTTCATCATCACCCCTTGTTCCTCCTCTGAAAGGATTTGAATTATTGGTGTCATCATCATCTCAATCCTCTTTTCAAAATGGAGAAGATGGTACTACTAGTAGTAGTGGTGATGGTGATGGTGACATTCTAAATCTCATGCATACACCCACTTTGAAGAAGAAGAATCAATCAACAACAACAACCAGTCCTCTTCCTACCCATCCCATCCTTCACAACAACCATCACCACTACTCCTCACAATATGATTCAAAAGATGATGGATACCACTCACTTCAACCACCACCACCAACATCACACCAACAACGACTGGCACTCCTGACGTCACGTTTCGGAAAAAACAAATCCTCTCAACAAGCCAGTCATAACTCGATACTTTTTCTTCGGGATTATTGCTCAACAACCAGTCGAGTGATCGTCTCCACCACAACAGCAGCATCCTCTTCATTACCAACGAGTAGTAGAAGTAGTAGTAGTACAACAACTACAACAACAACCACTCCTCATGTGTCATCATCATCATCTCCTTCATATGTAACTTCTTCATCCACTCTCCTATCATCTTCATGGCATCACTCTCATCAATTAGATCTTCCCTACAATCAATTATCGATATTCGATTGGGATCATGATCATTTAATGCAAATATTAAGGAAATTTAAATTTTCAAATCAAGATGAATTATTGAAATTTATTGAAAATGAATACATGTGTGGAGTTCATTTAGTGAATTGTTTATTGGAATGTTTAACTTATCGATCCATCACAATGATGGTTTCTTCAACCATGCACAAGAGAAGGAAAAAACCTTTGAATTCTCATTTCATGAGTGTGACTAGATGTGAGAGTCGTAGTAGTAGTGGTGGTGGTGGTGCTAGTGGTGATAGTAATATGAGTAGTAGTAGTAGTAGTAATATGATGAGTGAGGATAATACAATTAGTAGTAGTAGTAGTCATCATTCGACGACGAGTCATAACAATCATCATCATCATACGAATATCCACAATCTCTCATTGAATCGAAGATTGAAAAGTTTTATCATTCGAAAAAAGCATTCCACACCACCACCACCACCACTCCTCACTCCATCACTCCAATCACCAAGGATGACCACTACGAATCATACGACTACTACTACTACTATATCAACATCAACACAACAACATCAACAACAATGAATACTCCTAACATGTCGACACCAATCATCACAGCTGCTCATACTCCCTCTTCTTCACAATTCAATGACGATGACATTATTTCATTGGATGATCTTTTAGATGATTTTAATCAAACTGAACCTTCATCCTTACTTGTTACATCAAGTGTTCAGCCATCATCATCTCAACCCACATTACCTGTCATTAAAAGTGACAGTGCATTGGAATCATCCATGTCGTCCACCATACAAGTACCATCGATCATCACTCCAAGAAAATCTGAAAGTAGTGCAGGAACCACTACGACGACGACGACGACGACTAGTACTGTTTCTACACCACGACTTGCGAATTTATTTTCAAGAAGAGCAAGTAGCAGTCAAGCTCATAGTAATAATAATCATCATAGTAGTAGTATAGTAGTAATAATAATCATCATAGTAGTAGTAGTAATAATAATAATAATACTCCTCCAAATTCTACCTCTAACAGTGATGATGGAGTATTATCCAGAAGAAGGACATTATCTTTTTTATTCACTCCAAGAGCATCTTCTCAACATTCAAATCATAGTACAAATTCTCTCATTTACATTCCAAAGAATATTCAAGACTCCAAATTATTAACACAAATATTACAATATTATAGATGTTTACAATTTAAATCAATTATAATTTCATTATTTAAGAATAATAATAATAACACTGGAAGCAAGAATCATCAAGGAATTTTAGAAACTGTACAAACTATGGATCGATCAGTGATCATTTCTCATATTCAAAATAATTATACATTTTTAGATTTGACACTTTCTCATTGGCTCTATATTTTTACTTTTATTGATTTTACTGATATTGGAAAGAAGAAGAAGAAGTGTGAAAATAGAGAGAATTCTTGTTCTTCTTTAGAATGTACACAATCGATCACAACGACCATCACTTCTCATTATACCAACAACACTCTATCCTCACTCAAATATTCATGTAAATATTTCCATGCCATCACTAGACATCCTTATTTATTATATCAATATTTAATACATTACATTCCAGTGAGTGAAATTGATACATCCTCACCTCATCACACCTATCAACAATTTAAATACATGATATTGAAACAGAAATATGAAAAGACAAGTTTATCAATGGTCATTTCAAAATTAATCGAACATGAGGTGATATCATCGAGCACTCAGAGCAGTAACAACAACAACAACAACAGCAACAGCAACAGTAACAACAGTAACAAGAACATTCATCATTCTACAAACCATCTTGTCATGATGACCACCACTAACAACAACAACAACCCTTGTTCCTATGGCATGACCACTACTACTACACTACTACTACTACTAGGATTACTAGTCCAAGAATTATTGTCACTACCACTCCCAATACACCACCAACCACTCCTGTACTCTCTGGTAACCATGAAGATGATGAACAACATGTGATGATTCATCACACGACATTGGAATCTACTACATGTTCAACATTACCATCGTCAGCTGCATTACAAAAATCATCTTCTAATAATACTCTCTCTTCTTCAAATTCATCCAATCCATCCACACCTACCACACCTAGAAGTGGTGGTGCAAATAGTGCACGTGGTGGTGGTTATACTAATAGTCATACTGGTGGTACTAGTAGTAGTAGTAGCACTCTTCATGGTAATACTTTTGCCAATCATGGCACAACTATTTCAACCACACCAAGAACACCCACCAATACCATTATGGCTAATGCTCCATTCGATCCACATGATCATGGAACAACGAATGATGAAATGTCTCAACATGACGACGACGACGACATGTGGTTACTACAGTATACAGGATCTCCAAGATGGCAAACGTGGGCACAACATGCATCTCCTCTTTATTTATTTTCTCATATCTTTCAAGACTCTTATTATAGAGAATATTTACATTGTATGGATTGTGAGCATCAATCTTTGAAAGAGTTTATTCAAATGACCTATTCCATTGGAGAGAAACAACGACAGATTCAAAACAAATTATTATCATTGATTGATCATGAAATGAGTGCTAAATATTACTATTTTAGGAAGATTACAAATTTGGATAAATTTACAATTCACAATCCTAGTTATCAATCATTAAGTGAATTATTTGGAATTTACTACAATAGAGATTGTAATTATTATATAGTCACTTATGGACAATGTGTATTTACATTTCATTGGAAGAATATGGAAACTTATTTAATTCGAATGAATCATGATACCAATGCCATTCAATATATTTCTTCTCAAGTCGATGGTTCATTTAAAAGGATCATGATACCATCAATGAATATCATCATACCACAACAATATCATGCAGTCCTCAATCATCATCATTATCACACAAGTTCTAACACGAACTACCATGGTACCACGAATTCATCCTCATCCTCATCTTCACCACCACCATTACTACTACAACTACTACTAACATCTTCATCCTCAGTACCACTAATTCCATTAGCAGCAACACCATCATCCATTAGCAGCAACACTCCACTGCATGATATCATTTCTTTGGAAGGTGAATGGACTGCTCTTTTAAAATATTATAGTCATTCTTTTGAAGCATTTTTTGAGACTACATATTCTCTAGATATTAAGAAGAGTCATGATGATGATGGTCCTCGTCATTACAAGATGATGACCTATATCGCTCATATTGATACACTCTATGAACCATCAACAACAACAAATTCAAGTAAGAGAAATGATCAAAGAGAGGATGATCACTCTGCTCTTTTAAGCAATGGATGGTACAAGTCTTCAAACAAGTCAAAGAATATGGACACTACCATCATGATGCATCATAATGATGATCAAACATGTTTGAACCATCCAAGATTGAATCCTTATGATGATGATGTTTATCGAATGGGTATCATGAATCATTCCATGAATGAATCTGATCACTCATATGATGATCATCCACACATCCATAAGGATCCTATTACCATTCGCAACAACGAAACATTCAACCACTCGATCAATCCTCATGAATCTCTCTCTGATTTGGATCATTTGATATCCAATTATGGACATGTTAAGATTGAACAAGCCGTGAAAGAGAACAAGAAACAAAACAACAACAACAACAACAGAAATAGCCTTTTTCAATTCATTGGTTCCAGTTATCATGAATATGATTACAACATGTTGAATTGCAAAGTGAAAATATCTCAAATTGGAAATGTCGTATCTATTAATTTTTATAGATCTACACGTGTATTGGATTTTTCTGTTTTAGGTCAATTATTTACAATTGGTGAAACACTGAGACAAGTGTATGGTGTTGTTTGTGATAGGTTTGGTATTTGTGGAATAATGATCTTCAAGAGTAGATGTCCATATAAGGAATGAGTGCTGATCGAATTCCATCTCGAAGTGTTATGATACAGTATAGTCACTTCTTTGAGAACTCTCCAAAAAATTTTTGATCCTTTCTTTCATCGAACCATAGTGTGTGTGCTTGTTGACCAATCACACTCCTCACACTCGTTACAACCAACCAACCAACAACCGTTTTTAAAACATTTTTCAAGGCAGAGTACGTACCACAAGCACAACAATAATACTTCATGATTAGGAACAACATGGTGTCTCCTAGATATTGTTCCTTTTCATCATTGACAAGACGTCGATATTCATACCTCTCTTCATGGCCCAGAATATATCATCTCTCCTTAATGGTCTATGGATTGCTGCTATTAAATATAGTTCTCGCTCAAAACTATCGTGCCACTCTCAAAATATACAATGGAGAAGCCATCACTCTCTCTCAACAGAATTTAGCTATTTTTACAAATAATAACAATCAACAAATCAATCCCAATATTCAATATCAAGTCATGCATGTTGAAAATGGATACTTTAGAAGAAATCAATCCTCCACCAGTGAACTTTCTCAATTCCGTCAAAAAGACATTGAACAAGGTTTGATTCAATTTGTGCATCAAGCAGATCAAGAGAAACCTCTGATTCAACTCTTATATTATGATACAACCAGTGCAACAACAACAAAATCAACCTTAACCATGGATGTACAATTTACCATGTTTAGAAAGAATGCATTTGGTGCACCCACTCCTCTCATTCAACATGAATACAAAAATGGTCAAATTATTCTACAGATTCGAATGTATAAGAAAAATCTAGAGACTCAACAACGGGCATACTATAATCTTGGACTTTCATATTCCTCTTCGAATATGGATGGATATGTTTGCACCAATCAGAACATTCTCAAAAATAACTTTAAATTATATCAAGATGCAGATTATTATCAAATCTATCAATCTTCAATACCGTTGAATGATTTTATTAAACAATCTTCAACAGAATCTGCCATGACCAATGGTGCTCTTCAATCCTTCTATAACACTATTTATATGACCTACATGTTCGTCACGAATCAAGATGTTTCTCAATGCTATACAGTTTCCTTTAAAAGAAATTTCATTCTTCATGTTGGATTGAGTGTATCATGTGTGGGTTCAACCTCATTGACCATCATTAATGTTTGTACCAATGAAAAGGAAAAGCTACAAGTGATGTGTGAATTTGAATGGCCCAATGATATGGATTCTTGTGAGTGAGAAGCAGTGAGAATAATCGTGACACGAAACCTCAATTCAAAACTACCAAATTTGAAAAGATTCCATTCAATTCTGCCGCACAGAGGAAACGAATTTATCGCTTGACCTTTGAATCTGTCGATTCAGTAGCATCTTCTGCTGCAGCATTCAATGGAACTTATGCATTGTATGGCAACACAAACTCACTTCTCTATACTCTCAATTTCCAATATCAAATACCTTATGGCTCTTCTTCATTGAACAGTGGTGTTCCAATGATGGATAGTAAGACTATGATTGGTTTATTTATTGATGATAAGAGTATTCTACCTGCAAGTCGAGCGACTCTTTTAGATTCAAGTGGGTCTTTGGGAACAACACGTATGAGTAATTCTATCCCAACGACGACCATGACTACTACTACTACTACCTCAGCGACCATGACTACTACTACTACTACCTCAGCGACCATGACTACTATTGCAACAGCAGAGAGCTCTACCTCAATGACAACAGAGTCTACATCAATACCTCTCTACAATACTCTCTTCAAAGACAGTGATCGTCTCTATGCCAAAGTATCTCTTATTGACTCGTCTCTTTCCATTGGATACAATCAATTACTCATTCCATATAATGCATACATGTGTTGTATCAAGACATTGGATGGTACCATGCCACCCTATAATCCATCTTCCACAACACTTCCACAACTTGGTTGTACCATCTACGATCCCTCAACCATGTATTATCAAGTTCGATTAATTCAAGATGGAAATGTATTGAGTGATCCACTCTTGGATGTCAAATATTACAATGCTACATCGATTGGAGGCTTTGGTAATAATAACAATTATGGACTATCGTTCAAATTAGCTTCATTAAGTAATGCTGGAGGAGGTTCAACGATTACCGCCTCAAATCCTTCCCGTAAATGTTTTCTCCATATTGAGAGTACGGTAAAGGCTTTTGATTCTCTTCCAGGTCAAGGACAATCCTATGACCCTTCTCTGCAGATTCTTTATGATTTGGTTCAGTCATCAACGAGTACACGGAATTCAGTGCAAACAAGAGCTCAACTTCCACTCAATTCCATGGATGTATCGTTTCAGACATTTATTGTTCAACCCTCTTCGACGAGTGGTCTATCCAATAGGGTCAACCTACTAGAAGAGAATCAAGTTAAGAATTCTGCTATTGATGTGATGCATGTAGCATTATCCTCTTCTGTTGTGAGTTTCATTGTGTTGATGATTTGCCTTATTGTGTTTTGAGAGAATTTAAGAACTTGATCGAATATATTGCATAAATGAGTTCATCTCTTTCTTGAAATGTGTTGACAAGTTGAGCGTTGAAACTCTTGAAAAAATGCCAATCACTCCACTTGCTTCGTTCTTCGTCGTTATTGCCTTCATCACCCTGTTGTGCTCCATTCATGTCAAAGTGATGGTTCATGCTCATGAATTTGTGTCATCACGACTCGATTCCATTCAAATGGCCACACCTCTACCACCATCCATCAATAGTGTTCATGATGTGTCATCCATACTCGTCGACTCCATTCCATCCTCTCTCTATACTCTATACATTTTCAATACGACCACCACCACAACAAAACCATCATCCTCCTCCTATCAACTTCATGTCAATCCCATCTCAATTGGTGATTCTAAAAACATTGCATGTCTCTCCTGTACATCACAAGCCATGATTGTTTATCTAGTGATCAATTCAGTTGGAGTATCTTTTCAATATAAAGCACAATCATTGAATAATTGTCCTCTTGAAATTTTACAAAATTTCAATCCATCCAATTACACCGATTCCGAAGCTTATCATTTACCAAAGATTTCCTATTCACCACAATATACAGTGAGTGATATCATGAATGTGACTATTAGTAGTAGTAGTAGTAGTAGTGGTAGTAGTAGTAGTGACATGATTACACTCTATGGAAACTTGTATCAACAAAATACATTGTTGCATACGGTGTGTATGGTCATTGATGCCTCACTCTCCAATCAAGTGGTCAATAATATTTATTTGAATATGGCAAAGAATGGATCATGTCCAAAGGTCATATCCAGTAGTGCCATTGGAAATACTTGTAAATTATCATCGGATATGAAATATGTGGTTGAGCAAGTTCTAGTCATTCGAAGAAAGTAGTGCTGTTGCTGTTACTGATTCATTGAAATTACTAGTTTTTTTTCAACCAATTCTTGTCAATAATTATTGAAATGCTAAAAGTTTTTACTACCATCTAAGATAATTTTTCCATATTCAAATGGTTTGTGTATATTAAAATAATACTACATTACAAATAATAAATTCTCTACCAATCTAAGGATCTTGATCCCAATGATTCCAAAGTTGGAGAATTTTCAGAATAAAATTGAGAGAACCACCGACGGAATTGAGCAATGGGTCCATCATTTCGAACGAGCACAGGTTGTTTCAAATAAGTCTTATTATTCCAAATTGGAATATCTTGTTCTACAAATGATGTCATCATGATTAAAAACCATTTTGCAACCATCTTGGAATGAACCATGGGCAATAAATGACATGTTCTACATGTTGATGCAATGGACCGACTGGAGTTACTGTTTGAATTAAATCAAAACTACCAAGTGGTGTTGAAAATTCAAACATGACAATTCCTGGACCGTATTGACCTCCATTGACATCAACAACACTGAATGGAATGTTGAATAGATCATTAAATGTTGAGACATGTTGCACTTGGAAATAGGCAATATGATCTTGATGTTCAAGAGTTGATTTTTGCCATTTGGCACCCCAAATATTCCAAATCCATCCAAATGTGTATTTCATTTCTCTGTGAACGACATTTACTGGAATTATTGGCCAACAATGTGTTCAATGATCATTAGTCCATGCATGTATTAGATTCTAAAGTAACGACAATTACTTACAGCTAGTATGCAATTGTGTGACAACTTGATGAATGCACATACGATCATTTACTTACTGTGGTGCATCCTAATGAACCATACGAAGAATCCAGTTTGATCATTCTTTAACATGACAAACACAAACACAGAATGAAAATACTTACAGGTCCATTCTCTGGAATTTCTTGAATATGACAATAGATATGATGTGCTAACTTTCCATGAGTTTTCAAATTAGGTCTCACTGATGGTACTTTCCAATGAGGTGGTCGACCCTCTGCATCAAACCATAAATAGATTTGATCATTCTTTTCTTCTAAAATGTAACTCTTTGTGTTGGCTTGAGATGGTATCTTTGAATTCTGTGAGTGTTTGTGTTCTTCTGTATTTGTTGTTGTTGTTTGGATCAGAATATCCTTTGGAGTAGTAGATTTCTCATTGAGTTGAGCAGCAACATCTCGATGTTCACAATATTCTACTTTTTGACAATCTTGAAAACTATCATCTCTCACCTGTAAATGTTGTACTAATTTTCCATTCTTTTTAATCATTGGCATTTCAATCGGAATGTTACCAAGTGACACACATTGACCATTCTCACCCTTAAATGACCAATGATGAAATGGACATGTCAAACACTCACCATGCACTTGACCACCCACAGTTAAATTAGCACCTAAATGAGTACAATACGCATCTAAGGCATAGGCTCGATGAGATTTCTCTCCTCGATATAGTGCCAATTCCAAACCTAACATTCTCACGTATTTGACTTGTCCAGGTTTCAATTCCCATGAATTACAAACTTTGAACCATCCATTGGGATAGACTGGTGGAAATTCTCCTAATCTTTTTCTGTAGCGAGAGGCCAAATGGTGTGAGGAATGTGAAATGGTGGTGTGTGTATGATTATGTTGTTCTTGTTCTAAATCAATGACTCGATCCAAAGGTTCAAATAAGATTCCATATATGAATTTCATGAATTTGTGTAACACGATCATACAGAGTGTGAGTATGGAAAGAATCAAGAGTCGTTCCATCCATGAAACCAAATTGTTGTTGTTGTTGTTGGAGGATATTCATCAGCAATACCCAACGTTGGAGAGTAGAAGATGGAGCTGTATGATTAGTATGAAAGTACCACGAGAGCAGATTGGGTGTCAATCCCGATAAGAGAATGTTCCATGTCGTGTTGTTCATTGAAAGAGACTGTCAGTGGTTGGTGTTGACGATCTGTGTTTTTTTGATAAGTGTTTTGTTATTTGAATACGCTGGTGCGACTGGTAAAGAAGCATTGAGTGAGCGAGCTAGGAGCTCCGACACCTTTTTCTGGACACATTACAATGAGGAATTGCGAAGTCTTTAGATGCAATATTTGTTGCAGCATGTGTTGATATGATTTATTGAGAGAGTGGTGGCTTTTCTGAGCTTGCACGGATTACAATTTCTTCACAAGTTGGTTGACAAGAAATTCAATGTGTTGAATATTAATGCTACTACTATCATGACCACTACCATGACCATCCTCAATGAAAACATTACTACTACTATCATGACCACTTGTACTCCATGATGGATACTGGTCAATGATTTCAAATTTCATGATGGGTGCAAATATGGTAAATAAAATATTCATGAGTTGAGTCAATGATGGACTTTGATATCCATAGTGATTAATAATGGATCGAATCATGGTATGTTTAAAGGTTGAACTACATGACATTAATAGAAGAATATCAGTTTCTAAATCAAAGGTTAATAATTGATAAATCATGCAAGCCATGCTCAAATAATCTTCATACCACTGTTGTTGAGGTGTGATGGTCGTCATATTCATCGTAGTAGTAGTAGTAGCAGTGCTAGTGGTCGTCATAGTAGTCAAATTCGTAGTAGTAGTAGTGGTTGTACTTGTTGAAATATCTCTTCTCAAATCACATAACATTAATCCTCTCTTGATTCTTTCATTCGTGAGTTCGTTAGTGTCTACAATTAGCGAGGGTTCCATCCATGATTTTGGAACTAACACATTGGATAGTTTTAAATTTCCATGATGTACATTCTTATGGATCCAAGTATTATTGTCATTATTATTACCAGAAGTAGAATGACTATTATTATTACTACTATTATTATCACCAGAAGTAGAATGACTATTATTACTACTACTATTACCAATACCAGTAGAATGATCATTACTAGTATTCATGAATGAGGTCATTGAACTATTATTTGAAAGAATAGAACATAATTCTTTCAAAATTCTAATAATCATCTTTTCTGGAATGGGTTGTCTCGATTGATATTTATAATTCATAATCACTTGTCGTAAATCCATAAAATGTTCACCATAATAGGGTGTTACGTAACAAAATTGACGTCCATAGAGAGGTGAAAACCATTCAAATCCATCCAATATTGGAACTATGGAATGATTAAAAGATGATAATTTGGTAATTCTTATCAAATGTTGAATATAGGAATGAAGATCATTCTTCTTATCGAGTGGATACATTGTTAAAATGACCATTTCATTGGTCATGATATCTCGACATTGATAACAACAACTCTCAGTCGTGGTGGTGGTGGTGGTAGTGTCATTTGGAGTAGTGGTATTAGTAGTAGTAGTAGTAGTAGCACTATTTGGAGTCCTATCACTTGTAGTAGTAATAGTAGTAGCACTTGTAGTTGTAGTACTATTATTATTGAAATTATTATAGTTGAACGGTAAAGTTGGATGAGTGGATGAATAGAAAGGATGAAAGATGTTTCGTTCGGCTCCTCTAAAATATTCTCTAAAAGTATCAGGATGGGGTTTCAGTACTTGATATCGATGTCGAATCATGGTGGTCATGGTCATGGTACATGAGGATGGTATCATTTCTTGTTGGAATTGTGCTGCTATGGAAGAAGATGCAAGTTTTTTAGATCGATGAGAAGAGGTGGATGGTGGTTGAGGTGGTGGAGGTGGTGGGTTCATCATGCCTTGGTAACTGTGACTACTAATAGCACTACTACTACTAGTACTACTACTAATAATATTATTATTATTATAACTCTGGGTAGTATTACTATTCATACCACCCAATGAATCATCCATGATGGAATATTCACTGGTTGGAGTGTAGAGTGGCATGGCATTGAATTTAGATTCCAAATCAATTTCTTGAGTTTTGGTCAAATCAATGGATGGAGTCCATATACCATGACCACCATGATTGAATTCACTCCACAACATACTGTTCTCTTTCATGACAATTTTAGTAAGATTTGGATTCTCTTTAAGAAATTCAAGAGCATCTGCATCTAAATTGAGATAGGTTTGACATTGATCATCATAATATAAAAATACAAATGAATTCATGTGATTGTTCAAAGATTCTTCTTTGTATGATGATGATGGTAATGATAATGATGGTAATGATGATAATGGTAATGATGATGATGATAAATGACCAGTGAGTGAATGAATGAGAGCATTCTTGAGAGTACTAATCGAATCCATTCCATCCAATTTGATTTTCTTTTTAAATTGAGATTTTCCAATGAAAGCAGTGACAAATACGAGTAAATTCTTTCGAGACATGATCACTGAACTAGTACTGAGAGGTAATGTCGAGAGAGTAGATGCTCCTAAGGAGGAGGATGATGACGACGAAGATAATCCTTGAGGTGGTTGTTGAACTTGTTGTTGTCTTGGTAATTGTTGTTGAACTTGTCTTGGTAATTGTTGATCTAAGGATGGTGGATCTCTCAAATACTTGACAATGACATCATGTTGATGATCCATTGCTAATTGTAAAGCAGTCTTTCCATTGGTATTGGTAGCATTTAAATCTGCTCCATAGTGTTCATAGAGCATTTTAACGAGATTGAAATGACCCTTCTTGGCAGCACACATGACTGCAGAATAACCATATTTAGAATCTCGAACATTGACACTCTCTCCACAATCCAATAAGAATTTAACAATTTCTTGATGTCCTGTAAACGATGCGTTATGAATGGGTCGATTACCATTTTTAGTAGGAATGGTAAAATCTGCTCCATGTTTCACTAATAATTTGGCAATTTCTAAATTATTGTATCGACATGCCAAACCAATGGGTGTCCAATTAATTTTAGTACCTTTTGCATTAATTAAATCTGAGAATTGATCACTGTAATACAATTGAATCATTTCAATTAAAAATTGTGCCATTTGAGTATGACCTTTCTGTGAACACCAATGCAATGGAGAATAGGACCATTCATCAGGTTCACGTATCAATAAATATTCCTTATTTTTCATAATCATATTTTCAACCGTGTACAAGTCATTCTTTTTTACGGCTTTGAAAAAAAATTGATTCAATGGTTCTCTCATGTGACGTCTCTCTAATTCTCGAATTAATAACTCGACAATACTCGTGTGATTCTTTTCATAGGCCCAATACAAACTTGAATCTCCTTCCTTACTTTTAATGGATGGATCTGCACCACGAGAAAGTAAATACGAACAACAATTTCGATGTCCTTCTTGTGCTGCCATAATGAGTGCTGTGAATCCATCTTTGGAATCTTGAACATTGACATCTTCACCTCCAACTTCAATCAATAATTTCAATACTTCTAAACTATTGTAAAATGCAGCACTATGAATGGGTCGATTTCCTGAAGTCGTGGTCAGGGACATGACACTTCCTCCTTCTAGTAATAATTTAGCGACATGAGCATGATTGTATTTGGCTGCGAGTCCGAGAGGTGTCCATTTGGTTCTCAAACTTTTTCGGTTCAAGAAATGTTTCACTTGTTGTGGTGAAAAATAGTGTTGAGCATATTTGAGAAGAACTTGTGCGGTTTGATAACATCCTTTTTGTGCAACCCAATGGAAACAACTATATCTCCATTCATCATCTTCGACACATTGTAAATAATTTGGATTCAATTTTACAAGTTGTTGAACGAGAATGTAATTATCTCGTTTCACATGACGAATGAAATATGATATACATAATTGATTGGAGAGATGAACCATCATTTGTGAGGATGTATAGATTCCATTATTGGGGTTTTCAGAATTCCAAAGATTGGTTGAGGTCATATTGGGATTCATTGTAGTAGTAGTAGTAGTGGCAGTTGGGGTTGTACTTGGAGTAGTAGTAGTAGCAGTTGGGGTTGTACTTGGAGTAGAATTCGTTGTAGTAGTGGCAGTTGGAGTAGTGGCAGTTGTAGTCGTAGTGGCTGTACTTGTAGAGGTTGGAGGAGGAGGTGGTGGTGTTGAAGAAGAAGAGGACGACGATGCCTGCGCAGTGTTTGTTGTTGTTGTTGTGGAGTGTAGAGTTGGAGGAGTATTCATCGTCACATTCATGGCATGTAATAAGGATAGAGTATTTGTCTTGAAGAATTTACAAATATCTTCATTGCCGATTCGAGTCGCTAATTCACGAGGTGTTTCTCCAATGATGATGAGATTTAGGAAGGAACGAGGAGTCGAAGAGTCTGACAATTGTTGTGTTGGTGGTTCACTCGACCATGTTGTTGGTGTTGGTGTGGTCGTGGTAGTTGTAGCAGATGTATTTGTCGTAGTTGTAGTTGTAGTCGTTGTAGTAATGATTGTACTTTCATTGGTGGTCATTGATGATGAAAAATTCATTTGAGATGAATTCCAACTTGAAATAGTCTCATCAGCTAACATGTCATTCACCAATGACATGACTAAATCTAAATATCCTGACAAGACTGCCAAATGCAACGATGTATAACCTGTGAATGAATGTCTCACATCCACATGTTCTCCATTTTCAATAAGTAATTTAACCATTGAAATAGGACCATGATAAATAGCCAATGTGTGAATAGGTCTCATTGCAAATGAATTGGCAAGTGTGAAATCTGCTCCCTTTTCCAATAACAATTTCATCATGTCGTTGGCTTTTCCTTGTTCATTGTGTTGAATTTTGGAAGAATTAAAAAGTGGAGTACCACTTGTTGCAAAATGATGATTCAAAATTCTTGCACCACTGTGTTTACACAACAAATTGAGTGCTGTCCATTGATACTTGTCCGATTGATGATTGATCCATTCTCGTAATTGTTCTTTTCCAAATAATTTTTCAAACGTATCGATCAAGTAATAACAAATTTCCTTATTTAGACATTGACACGCAATATGAAGAGGTGTATAATTCCATTCATGAATCATCATTGAATCATCCATAGTACTAGTATGGCTATGATTATTAGCATCCTGATGTGTTGTATCACTATTCATAATAGATCTATTTTGAATCACATTCATTTCACGTGTGGTGCATTTGAGTAAATCTCTTCCAACCTTATCAATGAGAATATCACAAGTAAGAACATCATTTTGTTCAATACATTGCATGAAATGATCTTTGAGAGAGAGTAATAGAGATTGTTCAAGATTGAATGCATGTTGTTGATCGAGTGATAACAACAATAATGCATTGTCTTGATGATTCACAGTCGTGATGGAGGTTGTGTTCATTGTTCCTAATGTGTGATTCGGAGTGTTATTTGTGTTACTGCCACTGCCACTGCCACCACCACTCATTGTTCCTAATGTATGATTTGTGTTACTGCCACTACTACTCCCACTACTACTACTACCACTACTACTACCCCCACTACTACTACTACCACTACTACTCATCCATGAATGAAAAGAAGATGGTTCAAAACTTGTCAATGATCTGAATGGCGATAATGGAGAATTTAAATTTGGTGAACATGATCCTCCTCCTCCTCCTCCTCCTCCATACAACAGATTTGGTTTCTTCTGAATCGTATCACTCAATTCAATGATTTCATCTCGTAAATAAGCAGCCAATTCAAAATGTTGATTCGTATAGGCCCAATACAGAGCATCGTTTCCATAAACATTTCTCGTGGTCAATACTGAAATAAATGTTTCTATGGATACAACTTTTAACAATGAAATGATATATTCAACGACATCAAATTTGTTTTCCTTTGCTGCTAAAATTAATAAATCATCTCCATTCACATCTCTACTCATCAATAATGTTTCAACATGTTGTTGCAATGCATGTGATGCAAATTTGTTGAGTGCAGAGGTAGGAATACATAATTTTACAATATCCAAAGTGTTGGTATCATTTCCAGAGAACATGGCAATATGAATGGGTAATTTTCCACTCAAACTCTTTTGAATGGTTAATTTCTGAAATGGAACTAGATATTTGACAATATTGTAATGACCGTATCGACATGCAATCATGAGAGGTGTCATTTCATGAACACTCGAAGATTTGAGTGAGAGATAATCGATGAGTGGAACATGAGGAAAATGATCTCTGAAAATCTCAACCATTTCTTCAACCATATTCAAATGTCCATATTGACAAGCTAAATGTAAACAATTGTATCCCAGAGTGGCATGTGAAGTGGTCGAGACATTTCTATATTGAAAATCTCGAATGAATAAATAACAGGATGGAAGGATGGTCATTGAAGAGTGAGGATTGAATCTATATGTATCTCTCTCGAACGAGTCATGATCCTGGTGACGGTCATCATGAAATGATGCATCATCCAAGTCATCATGATCTTCAGTTTCATGAGGTGTATGGGAGGTGTGGAGGTTACTTGTCGTCGTGGTCGTAGTGCTACTACTACTCCTATTACTACTCCTATGACTACTACCAATACTATTAGGATACAATATATTCGTGGTACTAGTAGTAGCAGTAACAGCAGTTGGAGCTCCAGTTAGAATTCGGTGAATCAATCCATCGACATGACCATCTCGAATGGCAGCAAAGAAATCATTCAATTGCTCAACAGTAAATGCAATGAGAGGAATGGGTTGAGAGGATGATTTTGTGGTGGTATTTTTCATAATGTCATCCTCATGGTGTGTAGTTTCTGATAATACATTCGGAGAAGAAGGCAATGAAGAACAATGATTGTTGGTTTGACCATCTCCATCTCCGGAATGACCAGCATCATCGTCATGAAATTCTTTGGATGAAGAGGAGGATGAGGAGGATGAGGAGGACAAGGTGGTGGTTTCGGAATGTTCTTCTTTCGTTTGTGGTGGTGGATGGTTGAGAGTGGTGGTCTTTTCATTGAATGTTGCAACATCACAATTTGTTGTTGTTGAGGAGGAGGAGGAGGATGTTTTAACGTTATTCCAATCTCCACCACCAACACCAACACCACTTAATTGTTGTATGACAAGTTGATGATTTTGATAACATTTAGAAAGTAATTCATAATCAAAAGAAGGCTTAATGAGTTGATGAAAGTAATAATAATCGTGTGAATTGTCACGTGATGATTGAAAATTATTATTAGAGAGTGATGATGATGATGGTTTCAGAGGAGCCGTTGAAGATCTTGGAAAAACATGATGGTTTCCTCCCCCTTGAAGTGCGGGAGTTATTGGCGATGACGATACACCACCACCACTTGGCGGAGAGAGGTTCATGATTCTGCTGGTGATTAGTAGCAGTACTCGAAAAATTGTTGTTGTTGTTGATGGCTGAAAGTACTACTTAGGGTGATCAATAGTGTGATGTTAGAGTTCTTTGTATGCTCTGCCTGTTCTCTCTTTTGAATGTTTTTTAAAATTCTTGTGGTTGAAGGATTGACGGTGCACTCGGGGAAAAATCTCAAAACAACAACAGGTGACAGCTGCTTCTTTTTTTCATGAAAGGTCCTTTGATGTTTATTTTGTATACTTTGATGTGTGTTGATGGTATTTACAAACCAATGATGATCATTTCTCAAGTATGTTAGTGTTTGAACTTTATAAATAAGCATGTTGATGGACTCTCTCTGCACAAACTTGTTCAGAGAGAGCTGTCACAAGACATCTCACACAAAAAACTTGCTGTTGTACCGATGTTGCTGTGTATTAATTCACTTTTAATCGTGTAAAACAATAAGAAAGCCTTTTGGTTTAATAATTAATTAATAAAACGAGATAGATTCAATAGAATTATCTACAATGCTTTCAATCATTCACTGTTGTTCGTTGTTGGTTGTTTTTGTAGTGATAATTGTTAGTTGAGCCAACAGAAACATCAAAAAAATACAACCACTGCCCTGTGTGAAGTTATTTGTTCTTTTTAGCAGAGGTATAGTTCTCTTTTACGTTTGTTCGTAGTATTCTGATGGCAATAATAATTATCATTCCAACGTTAATCAAACACTTACCGTAGAAAGTGTATTCATTGAAAATTCAAAACAATTTTGTTGGAATTGGCTTTGCGCTCCGATTCGGTTTTGTTGTGGGTTCCTTGGATATGGTTCTACACGATTGTGAGTTGATGACAAACGGGATAGGCTTGTGGCAATACGATTGATGTTACAACTCTTTGATGAATGTTGTGCATTTTCCGAAATTTCATAGCTTGAGTGTAATGTTGTTCTCGGATTACTGCCCATTAGCTGAGATGATTGATTTTCTATTGACTGAGAGAGAGTTTGTAGTGTCGTTTCACTGCTGAATGTACACTCTAGAAGTTGCATTGAATATGATGCACATTCTGTAATTCCATTGAATGGATGTAATATTCCAGGGCTGACAAATTGTTGACAATTACTTTCTTCGAATGGATAGTAAGATTTTTTAACTGTTTGTGGTTGGAGCAGCTATGGTGACACTTGACCCAATAGTAATTGAGATGAGAACTGATTTCTTGTTGGTTGAGAGTACAATTGAGTTATTGAATTCTCACCTTGTCTTGTCATTCCAGTATTGAATTGTTTGAGTGTGTTGGATCTTGAATTATTTACAATTCTTTTCGAGGTTGTAATATTGTCAAAGGACTGACATGGAATTGCAATTAGTTGTGTTATGTCCGAGCTACATCCTTGTCCCATTATTGTGGTATAAGATAGAGAATATTGTGATGATGGTCTTGAACTAGCAATTCTCTCCGATATTACTGATTCTCCATTTCTAATTATTTGTTGAGATGATTGATCCTCTACTTGTTGAGAGAATGATCGAGTTATTGGGTTGACATTCTGTGTTCCAATATTGTACACTGATGTTTGCGTAAGAGAGTCTTTTGGTTGTTGATTATCTAGTCTTTGATTTTGTGTGAAGTGAGCAATTTTTGATGGAGGATTAATTCTGGCCAGTGGATTTGTTGTCGAATTATTGATATTATTACCATATTCTGGCACCCATGTCAAAGTAGCACCTGTTGGGAGGTAGTGTTGGTTATTCCTTTCAACTGTTGCATTTATGAATTGAACCTCCCCAAACACAGGTCGTACTATACTTTTCGATCCTTGTGGAGCTTTAGATTTTACAGCTGTTTTTCTCTGAGGATTTTGAGTGTCAATATTTAGATTTGCATTCTTAGAGTACAATTTGCTCTTCTTATGGTAAGTGCAAATATGTGCATCCTTAACACATCCATTACGAACACAACATGATACACACATATGAATAACACATGAAGCAGCTTTCATATTGGAACAGCCATCATTGGAACAAGATTTTGAGGAAGAATCTTGTTCCATTCGAGAGCAACATGGTGTAATAGTATTCAGGTAAATTTCAGGCTTGGCAGAGAATTTAAATAGAATTCATCCATCCTCTCTAATTACAACTATATCAGAGATGGATTTTTCTCCAAGGAACTTTGTTGTTGGAAATACCTGATATATTAACTCTTTTGGTATGAAAATATTTTTCAGTTCAAAAGTTTCCAGTCACTCTGAAATTTTGGAATTATTGTTACTTTTTACAAATTGTGGAAGCAATAATCCAAGCTGAGATTGACCATTTCGTTTGATAGTAACATGACGATCAGCCTCATCTTTTCTATGACACCCTTTTTGGTATTGCTTTTTCAATGGTGCGAAAAACCCTTCAAATTTATCAGTTCCGGAAAGAGTTAGCCTACGTTTTTCTAATTGCTTTGTAAGATGATACATTAATTCATGCAAATATAGAGTGTGCATTTCAGGCTCAAACCTTTCAACACATAACATGCCTAACAAAAAGGTGCATATATGAAATGCAATTTGGTAATCAGTTTTCTTTTTTGAAGGTATTCTCTGATATTACAGATATTGCTGTTATTATTTGCAGCATTGTCAACATCCATAACAGATTACCAATTGATTGTTTTACAACTCTATTATGTGGAAGACAGTAGTGGAATTACCTCAAAGGTTCCACATTAACATGACCATCTAAAATACTTAGTTTGTTCATATCAAATGGATGAGAATTGGAGATATCATTCCCACAAGAAGTATCTTGAGACAAATTTTGTCCATAATCTTTAGGCAACATTTTTCCAAACAAATCACATCCATGCAGCAACAGGAACTTCTAATCACTATGTGATATCATACCCAAAGAAACATTATGACCCAGAATTTTTTTAGCATTATTAACGAAAATGTCAAGCTTGAACCCTTTTTCATCTGAAAGTTTTTGTTTGAGCCTATCAAAAATTCCTGGAATGACATGACTTGCATCAGAGCATATTTCTACATCCTTCAAAGCTAGATCTTCCAAAGTGAATTTTTTTCTATTATAATGCAACAATATGTGTACAAAACAAGCATGCTCACAAATTGTATCACATTTTTGTTGTTGATTATTTGTGCAAGAGCATTTCTTGAAATTAGTGACAAGATTATTTGACCCATCAATGCTGAACCAACATTCAGCTATTGGAGTAGCAACATGCAATATGTTGTGGTTATCTATTTGAGTATTAATTGTAACTTGGGAGTTCTTCATACAAACACAAGGCTCTTTGATATTTGGTGACAGATGACTGAGCAATGCAATGGGACCTGGTATGTTGATTGAAATATTTGTGAAACAACCCAACATCCACTTTTTGCCTTTCAGAGAAGTATGCTAAAACACAACCTGAAACTCTCTTCAACCCCAATTTTTGCTGATTTTGTTCTTTTCTTCCCAACTGTGCTCGATCCAATACTTCTTGAAATGTTATTTGAGTAAGTCTATCAGGATTGTAACATGTTAATTCAACACTGTCAAAATTTTCATCACATTGATTGCAACGTTTATGCCCTCCAATAGAGTTGCCAATTGTTGCTTGTTTAGCTTTGTTATCAGCACAAAAGAGCTGGCGTCAATTAGTTTTTTCAAAAATAATTGGAGTATATATTTCAGTACTACAACCCTAATATCAAAATAACGATAGATCACTTCATTTGCATCAATTGTGCAAGATATAATTTCACTGATGAATGTTTTCCCAAAACTTGTAGCAAGATCATTCACCATCACAATCTTTTCACACTCTATTTGAAGATCATTATTTTTTTTAGTAATTCTTAGGTTGACTAATTTGTCATACGAATCAGCAGTCACCTTAGTGCCTGCTAGAAACACAGGTGCAACATTTGCAAAATGATTTACCATTTTGTCAAGGCCTTCTCGCACTCCACGTTTAAAGCTGTCATGATCCCTAGCTTCTATTTCCTTCTTAATTGGACCATATTTCATCAATATTGCTACAAATACTTTCACTGATGATTTTTCAGTTGCAATATACAAATACAGGACATCTAAACAATGGTGAAGCATTTTATCCCTCTCTGTAGTATTATTGCCACCAAGCCAATCATTTTTCTTCCTACAATTCACTTGAGTTAATCCATTATTGCTTCCAATATATAGATAATCACCGCCTTTAGCATCAGCTTTATCATTAGAAAATTGGAACTCTTTCCTGCCCTTGCCTTTGATGTTCTTGTCACTACATTTATGACTTCTAATTGAATTCACATCAATAATTTCGCCACAGCCACAGAGAAACTGATATCCACCTTGGCACCCTTGTTCTCTACAACTTTTTGAATTAACTAGTTCATGACAACAATCACAAACAAACGGCAAGTCCATATCAACAACAAATTCGGATTGTGACAATGCACCAATTTTTTAATTCAGTTGTATGGAAGCTTCATTGTATTCAAGATGTGTTGTATGAACCTGCATTGATTTTGTTGTGTGCTTCTGAATTATATTAGTTTGTTGAAAATACATACAGAGACACACCACAAGAAATCAACACATATTTAGATGGAAGTCAAAACACATCAGACAAATATATTTTTCGTTAATTATTTTGCAAAAACACTAACAGACTTGAGTTGGTTTACCCATGTTCATTTCAACCTAAAGATGCTTCATACCGAAGTGCCATCGTCAATCCTTCATCAACTCTGATTTTGAAGAACGCAAAATAAATTCATGATTGAAAGGTTGAGATTGAAGCAACATTCAAAAAAATGTCTTCTCAAGACTCCACTCCTTCAACAATCCATATTCTTCCAACACCATCATCATCATTGGAAACAAACACGATGAACCATTCATCATCTTCAAATTTAAGACCTGATTCAAAGCCTTTCCAACCATCCTCCCAAAAACAACGATCTTCTTTTAAAAAGCACACACCCAAGCATGAGCCTATTCATTCCGATGAACAACCACAGCTGCCATTAACCAATGATAACAACAACAATGAATCTTCATCATTATCTCGCAATAATAATAATCATCAAAGACCACCTCGAAGTTCGAGAGGAGGTTTCTCTCAAAAGTATGTGAAAAAGGTTGTACCACAAGAGACTCTTCCATCGTGCACCATCCATAATGATGATACGACTTCTACAGACAAGAGTACTCTTGATAATACTCAACAAGCAAAATCTTCATCACAAAAGAGAAGTTCCTCCCAAAAACAACGACCTTTCTCTCAGAGTACTCTTGCCACTTCGCAAGAGGTTCCTACTGCTCCTTCTCACGAAGAGGATCATCATACAGAACAATATTCATCGCACCACAAGTCTAAAACATCTAAATTCAAACAGAAAATTTCTCAACCAGCAGTGAAAACCAATGAACCAGTCACTTCACATAAAAAAGAATCAAAACATGAGAGAAAAGGTCAAAAGGCATTCAATCCAAAAAAAGGTGCTCCCCAACAACCACAACAACAACAACCATCACAACCATTGGATGCATCATCCATGACCTTGCAGAATACTACCCCTGTATCAACAACACCCTCTTCGGAACACCAACACCAACAACAACAACACCAACAACGTAGAAAAAAGAAATTTCAAAATCATCCTTCCTCTCAAAATCAAGATGAGGAAGATGAAATGTTTTGGTCTCACTCCTATGATCGTGAACAATTGAAAAAGAGAAACTTTACCATGAAAGGGGTTGATGCATTTTCTTCGCTTCCTTCGTCTTCTTCCATCCGTGAATCTTCCAATCGTTCCTTTAAAAAATTGAAAAATCGAACTCTCTCCGATGAACAAGTCTCTGCACTCTCTCTTCACGATCGTTTAATTTATGAATTAACAAAACAAACCTATACATGTCTGATTTGTAGAGATACTATTGCAAGACATCATGCCACATGGTATTGTCAAGATTGTTTTGGAGTTTTTCATTTGAATTGTGTTCAAAGATGGGTCAAGGAAAAGATTGAAGATGAAGATCGAACGTATTGGAAATGTCCTGCATGTCAATCTTCTCTCATTTCAGCCATTCCCACAGAGTACAAGTGTTTTTGTGGAAAGATGACCAATCCTAAAGCTTCAAATTTGGAAATTATTCCACACTCGTGCGGTGAAATTTGTGGTAAAATTCACAAACCATGTTCTCATCCATGCACAGAGTTGTGTCATCCAGGTCCATGTCATGAATGTCAATTACAACGAGATTTAACATGTCATTGTGGAAAGGAACATTATTATCGTGTAAAGTGTAATGATCCAAAATTCGCAAATGGAATCTCGTGTGGAAAAGTCTGTGGTCGATTATTGTCATGTCAAAAACATTATTGTCCCAAAGTGTGTCATGAAGGTGAATGTGAGCCATGTCATAATTTAATTACAGCTCAATGTTACTGTGGAAAGACACTTGTACAGGATGCACCTTGCCATGTTTATTCTCATCTCAATGCAGATATTTCTCATCGACATTTTAATCGATTTGATATTTTGAAGAGAACAGCAGAAAATGATTTGAATTCTCGTATTGAAAGTGTTTGGAACAATAACACTTCAAAGAACACGGATCTAGTAGTAGTACAACAAGGTTTGCCCTCACAAGAAACTCATGCATTGCACTTACTTGACAATGATCTTGTTTATCGAACATTTAGTTGTAAACAAGTATGTAAGCACAAATTACCGTGTGGACAACATGAGTGTGATCGTCCATGTCATTACGGTCGATGTATTGGACATAAACGATCGGAATGGAATGTTAAACCCACCTCTACTATGAATCAAAGCTCCTCCGAAGATGATGAAGAGGGTATTGATGAATATATTAAGAGAATGGGATGTTATCAACAATGTAGAAAGACATTGAAATGTGGTCATTTGTGTACTTTGAAATGTCATCCAAATCGATCAGAATGTATGAAATGTAATAATCTAGTCGATTGGTATTGTAAATGTGGTAGAAAGTATGAAAAGAGACCATGTTCAGGCAGTACAGTATCTGCACAAGATTTATTTTTAGAGTGTGATGATGAATGTAGAAAATTATTACGTATCAAACAATTAGCAGATGCATTCAAGGTAGATTATGAGAAATTTGAATTACCTCAATACTCTCAAGAATTGATTGATTTTGGTACAAGATATCTACACGTCATTAAGAATTGGGAATTTGAATTTGATAGTTTACTCGTCAGTGATGTGAAAGGAGCTTGTAAACAATTTGCACCCATGAAAAGAGATCGAAGAGCATTATTGCATGAATTGAGTGAACATTACAAATTTACGAGTGTATCTGTCGATGCAGAGCCATTTCGATCGGTCATTGTTACCAAAACTCAACAATCGAAACGACCATCCATTGTATTGTCAGATGTGATTAGCGATCCTGAAAAGTTACGAAAATTGAAAGAAAAAATGGAAGAACAAGCTGAAAAGGAAAGACGAGAAGAGATGAAACGTTTGAAAAAGAAGGAATCTGAATGGATGGATGCACAACAACAACAACAACAACAGGAATTGGAAGATCACGAGCAAGGAAGTACTAGTTTGACATTGGATTCAATGAGCTGCAAATGGAACATTGGTGATCGCAATGCTTCAGAGGTGTTAGCGCAAGAGTCGTTCAGTGAAAATGACTCTTCTTTCGATCCCTATTCGTTTACCTCAATTCAAGCTGCCATGAGTGGAAGAAGAAGAGGAAGGACGAACACGGGTGGTGTCAGTTCAGACAGCACTGCTAACTTGGCAGGCAATGTTGGTGTGATGGATAACTCCTTCAGCGCATTATTGGAGCACGATGAGCATGATAGTCATCAAGACATCAAGGCATCTCTTTCCAATGCAACAACAAATGAAGTAATGTGGAAGGAAGAGGATGAAGATGACACCAATGTAAAGAGCATTGATCTTTAGACGATTCTATCATGTCAATAAATTTGTTGGCGTGTGTCCTATTTCTAGCTTTCGTGGTCATGTCTTGCCTCTATTGACAAACAAGCAAGTCCCCAATTTAAATTAGTATTAAGGACAACAGGTAGAGAACAGCGTTACCGTCGATCAATTCCAATATGAAGTAAACTTGGTAATGGATAATTTACATTTGGGTTATGTTACCATCAACGGGAGCATGGTCTAGTGGTATGATTCCTGCTTTGGGTGCAGGAGGCCGTGGGTTCGATTCCCACTGCTCCCCAGTGTAAATTTTTACTTTGTGGCTTTTGTTCAAAACAAACCTTGTCAAAGCAGTCAGAAAGTTTTTGCTGCTTACTGGCGGCTTCTAAATTATGATTGTTCATTTTTCTACTTGGAAAACACATCCATCTAAATTTTAGTTTTTTTAAGCTTTTCATGGTTTGATGTGGTTGAATAAAACAAGGTCTTTTACTCCGAAAATTAAATGAGTGAGTAAAAATGGTTGAGTTTACTAGGAATTCTTGTTACACCTCCAGCTGCAAGACAGAAGCAAGCGCACGAATGGTGTTTGCATTTTTGACGTCTCCCCTCTTGTCCAACACGATTAGTAAATCCATAATGTATCGTTGAATCTGATATTGGGTTTTCAGTAATTCCAATGTTGGGCTCGTACCAGTGTGACTTGCATCTTCAGCATCCATTCTTACAATAGTGGTAATGAGATGAGTTTGTGCAATACTTAGTTGCACACTTTGATCGACCGTCATAGATTCCTCTTCATTAAATATTCCATTTCTTGTTTCATAAACGTCCATTAAATAGCTCATTTGAAAATGTAACAAATCAATGGATTCAAATAACAAATTAAAATGCTCTAGTAAAATTATTCTCTCATAGTTGTTCTGTCGTATAGCACAAATATCCTTCAACAACAGTGTGATCACTCTTTTAATAATCATTTCAGTCTCTTCCTTATATGCATACATTAGAAGATTTAACACTTGCTCGTTTCTGCAAAGATATCTTGTGTAGCGGTTGTCGTGAATTTTGTCATTACGTAGTGAGGCGTTCCCAGAATGGTAACTGGAGAGAGTTAGTAAGTTGGACCAAATCAGAAATGAATAGTATCGTGTGAGAGGATATTGTGAAAAGGAGAGCGCTTTCAAAATCTGAATGATATTGTTGTTGCTTGATGTTTCATTGGTGGGTGCATATTCAATGATGAATTGATGACATGAAGAATGTGTTGATAATCCATAGAAGAGTTGAATAAACACAAATTGAAGTGAAGGTTCTAATTCGATAGAAATATTATGGTCGTTTGATTTTTGTGAGCTCTGAGGTCGCAGCATATTGGAAATATGGTACAAAATATTGATTTTGTTGTTGGTAATGAGATTGATAGAGAGCTTTTCGCTTTGAAGCACCAATAGAAATAATAAATTCAAATCTATGGATAGGTTGAGAGATGTAAATATTCAGAGAAATTATGTCCCAACAAAATGTTACAATCAAGTGCCTGCTGATAAAAAAATAAAACCTACATTGAACTTTGGTACTTGATTGTTGCGCGTTGAGTGCCCAATAAATAATTTCATTCAAAATTTTTGAATTATTCAATACATGGTCTGTTATGAAATTCACATCTCTCAGAAATAGAACGAATATACATTTTCCTAAAATTATAACCACATTCTCGTCCGTACAGCACAATAAATGCTCAATGTGTTTAACAATCTTTGGAAATTATTATTTGATATCTATTGCATCGTTCTAACATTGGTGAAAGCAAACTTACATTCAGTCTCTTGTTCTTAATGAGAGTTGCTAAAATAAAGTCATTCACGTTCGCTAATAGTTGCCCAAATATACTCAAAACTAACTGAACAAGTGAGCTATCATCACATCTCAACAGTAAACTTGTGTATGATAAAAAGAGTTCAAAAAGTTCAAATCCAATTTGATTGGATATAGATAGCACTGATTCTGTTGTGAGCAAGATGTTTCTATTATATCTTTCGGATGTTTCACTCTTTGGACTTTCTGCCATCGCTGGAGCAAATGCCAATTGTTCAAACATGTCCTTATTAATTTTCAATACTTCGAGATGTTTGCTTGGAAATGCAGACAATTTGTTAACATGCAAATTATCTTCGTTTTTGTTCAGCCCTTGGCAGTATAAATGTCCAACAATAGCATAGGCAAGCCATATAATGTCTGCAGAGTATAGAAATGTGTCAGTAGTGTGAATAATCTGCAAGACTTCTGATGAAGGAGAAAATAACTTTTGAGCTTGGAATTTGGTGAAATCTTTTTCCGTGAAATAGTGATAAAAATCGTCCAATCTAAATACTGAAAGTAAAATATCGTAGCCTCTCTTCCAACAAGTACTAAGCAGTGTAATAAAATCCACAAGCTATTTCTCAGGTCATTTGTTCAGACACAGCTAGTCATCCACTAGAATACTCACCATGTGTGAATTTGTTTTTCTTTTTCAACAAATGCTTTACTATTAATGATTCCATGTAAACTTTTATCTTCTTTTAATATTCTTCCGATTTTATGAAAGAGCATTTCATTGATGATTGCTTCACGACATGTGTTATAATCACGTAATAAATTAATTAAATTGTTTAACGAATTCTTGTCCTGTAAGTTCATATAAACATGTTCATGTTGATGTTCGGAAGAGATGTTATTTTCTTGAGTGTTTTCAGGAATGAATGAAAATGGAAATATTTGTTTCATCAACAGGGATAATTGTTGTTCACGTTCCGACAAGCCTTTCACCACATGTGAGGATATAAAATATGAATGATGGTCCTTCGATGATAAAATCAAGCCATTTAAATTTTGATTGGAGAATAAGTGTTGCATCAAAAAGATGGGAAGAAATTGGTAGCTTTTCGGAACTGAGGAAGTGTGGTTGTTCCATGATGATCTCATGGTGGAATTTTTTGCATTTTGATCATCATCACAACCAAAAAATGTCGACATCCACGACAGCAGCAACCACTCAGCAAGAGGCACAGAATGGACTTGAAAAGGCTTTGAATCAAGCACCATCATCATCACCCGATGTTGCTGCCAAAAAGAAATCATCAACATCTTCAAAAACAAGGTGCGTTTTTTGAAATTGACATTCAAACTGAACATCATGAGCAACAGCAAGTTGAGTTTGAAATACATACCAAAATTTTCAGTGTCCTTCAACGACAAAGTGGCCTTCACGTTTGGCGTTTTATTACTTGTGAGCACTACTTTTATATTTGGTTATGCCCCAAAATGGCTGCCACAATGGTATGCTCTATGGATGGTACCTCTAATGATTTATAGATTTTTTGATTTTCATGCTCAACATGCTCACGTACGTAATTTAGAATGTTATGAACTTGTTTAACATTTCAAAAAAATTATGGTGACCATAATGATCAAAATGCAATATTTGTTTGGTTTAATAACATCACTTCTAAATTCAATGAATGGCACACGAATGTACACAGTATTTTATGATTGATTTTTGTTATATTGGAAATTTAGCACTGATGATCTATCTCTTCTTTTATCCAACTAGTCCACAATTATTTGCATTAACTTTTGCAAATAACAATGGCCCTATTTTATTTGCTATTGTTTTTTGGTAAGTTTAGAGTTGGCGAGTTCAGAAAAGAACATTTTTGATCATCACATGATGTAATAACAGGAGAAATTCATTGGTTTTCCATGATTGGGACAAGTTAACGAGTTGCTTCATTCATACTTTTCCTCCACTCATTTCATTTGCCATTAGATGGTTCCCAGAGCAATTTCCAGAATATACCACATGCATTGAACCAACCTGTGAGGTGAATTGGACTCATACTGTTTTACCACACCTTGGATTTTTCTTGTTTTGGTTGACTTCCTATTATTTGAAAACAGAGCATGTGGACAAGAAGTTCCTTCAAAAACGTACTCATTTGATCACGTCCTATAGGTAAGTTTTACAGATTTAGAGAAGAAGTTCAAGTGGTGCGTTTATGGGTATCTCCCAATTCTTAAAACAACTTATCAAGATGGATTACTGAGATGGACAAGAAAAGTAAATCGTATCAACTGGGACAAAAGTTTTCTCCTCAAGCCAGATTATTCGCTTTTATGGTATTTCAGTTATTCTTCCACTTGCTAACAGTCATTCCCACTACGTTCATGTTCAACAATATTTACGTCAATGCTGTCATTCTATTGTTTAATTACATTGGTAAGTTGTTGTTTTTCGATTTGTCATGTTTTGACATAACTCAACACCCCCAACAGTCATGGTACACAATGGTAGTAATTTCTACTTTGAAAAATTTGTTAAAATGGTTGCTGAAAAGAAGGAGGCATAATATCTCTCGAAAAACCAAGTTTGGTTGTACAATTAAATATTCAAAATATTAAATGTACGTTTCCGCCAAAAATTTACGATTGAAACAAAAAATGAAGCATGAACAAGCAAGTAAGTACGAGCAAAGAAGATCGGAGTTGTATTTAAAGATAAATGTCTAATCACATCGTTAATTGGTAGGAGGATCATCTCAATTAAAGTCCATCAGGGACAGTACAGCTGGCAATGCTTTGGCAACAAAGAACAAACAACCAATACAATCAAAGAAGGTAGAAAGCGTAAAAGTAAGTATCAAATTAATGAAGACAGTCCGATATTAAAAACTGTTAATAGAGAATCAATCTCAGCAATACTGACCTTTCTTCTTTTGATTTTAATCAGCTGTTTTCGTATGAAGTATGTAGTTTGTTTTACTTTTCAATACGAGTTTTAGTAGTACTGTACGCTAGAAATGGAGATCTATCCAATGTGCTTAACGTTCAAGTTGAGTTTCCGTTGATCAAGGTGTTGGATGTTAGTTCCAATGTTATTAATGATTTATCATTTCTTACCAAGATGCCATCTCTGAAACATGTGTTTTTGACTCATAATTCATTGTCCAGCTTGAAAGCATGCCAATGATGAGAAGTTTAGAATCAATTACTTTTGGATTCAATAAGGTTACCGATTGGGAAGGTATACAAAATGCCCCAACCTGCGAGCATTGGTAGCACCTGAAAATTTAATTTCTAGCTTTAAACATGTTCCAGATCTGAAAGATCTCGAGAGTTTAGACTTGTCAAAGAATCCTATCGTTGAAACGAACAAATTTACAGAGTTATCTGTGGCTCTTTTTGATAACCTCAAAGAACTCAATAGAGAAGCATTGTCAGAAGAATTACTAAAAACTGCCGAAAAGTACAAAGGAAAAATTGCACAAGCTGTTAGATATGGTATGATGATTCCTAAAGACGAAAACTTAGAGGATATCAACAATTTATTAGCCTACACAGAAGAATGGCTTTTGAGTTTTTACAGAGATATTTCTAAAACAACACCATTCCACCTTCTTTCTTATACCTTTGACCCAATTCAACCTGTACAAGATATAGACTGCCGATTCTTTAGCGTCTTTTATGTTAATACAAGAGATATTATTTCGTTGAAAGCAGAAGGAATGGGATTGCTGACATTCAACAATTCGAACGGAGAATGGACGAATATGGTGTTTGATGGGTCGTCAATGTGTATTAACATTGAACATTATAAGGGGATATAACTTTACTCGTTCCTATTGGTTGCTATTCATACAAATTAACTAATGCTGCAACTTCGTCAGAGACCTTTACCGTTAATGTAGAGCCTGTTACAAACGAGTGTAAAGACCCAGAATTTACAATTGATATGGTGTGGAACAATAAGCAATATCATTCTTGCATTAGACCATCCATTACAGATGTAGACACCAGAATGTGTGTATCTCTACATTTCAAACGAAATAAGGAAACTTTGTTTGTGATTGATCAACAAACTCTTCCTGTTGTAGCCGGAAATCCAAGCTGTTCTTGCCTTGAAATATTAGGTTATGCCATTGAGGAAGCGTCCTAGAGCCAAAGTATGTATACAGTGGAGGCAAGGAAGGACAATCTAAGTTTGAATGGAGAAGAGTTAAGACTTTGGTTCATGAAGATGACGTATGCGGCATTGATGTAATTTCAAGGGACAAAACTTACACACTTCAAAGAGAAGATTATGGTTATTTCATTACAGTGACATGCATACCAGTACGAAGCGACGGAGTTGAAGGCCAACCTGTTTCCTGTATTTCTGCAACCACAGTTGATGCTCCCCTTCCACGAATTTCTAATTTAGTGATTGGAGAAATGGTCCAGGACCAAACAACATGTATAACTTACGATTTTATTGGAGGCGAAGAAGCTGACAGCTACTTCCAATGGTTTGTGGAAACAGAGGGAGAGTTTGTGCAAGTTAAAAACGCAACCACAAAAGAATTCACTCCAGGAATCAAACAAATTGGCCAAATCATTAAGTGTATTGTTACTCCTGTAAATAGTTATGGAAAACGTGGAGAGCCTTGTGAGTTAGTCACTAGACCTGTTGTTCCCGCATTGCCAGTATTTGTCAAAGTATCAGTGGAAAGTGACAATTTTATTGAAAATGATACGATTACCATTCAAACTGAGTACTATGGAGGAATTGAAGGGCATTCCATTTTTGAGTTCTTTAGAATTGATAACGAAGTTGAGGAGAAACTTGAAAATGGAAATAGAAAAGACTATCGTGTTGGGCTGGCAGATGTTGGAAAGGTTATCAAAATTTTATGTACACCAGTTAGAGATGATGGATGTAAGGGAGAGATTGTTGAAGTTAAAACTCCCGTTATCCAGGCTGGAATTCCAACAATCCACGACCCAATTATTGTCGGAAATTTAGAAGTGGGATCAATTTTGTCTATACAGTACCGATATGAGGGCGGCTTTGAAGGAGATACTATCATTGAATGGCGCAAAACCAAGCCTTTTACGTTGGAAGAGCTCTCCCGTAATGATATTGTAGTGGAAGACGCAGATTTTAGTATTGTTATGGAAGAACAAGAATTATCTCATGTTATAACAGCAGAGGATGCAGGTTGCTTCTTTTCGATTGAAGTTACTCCAGTAAGAAATGACATGGCAAAGGGGGAAGGCTTGCTTCTGTATTCAACCTCACACGTTGCTATTCCAAAACCATCTTTGATGAATTGCAAAATCGTCATGAATGAGCCAGAACTAACCGAAGGATGCACTTTGAAAGGAATGGCAGATTATTGCTCACCCATCGAAGAGAAAGGCAGAATGCATCAATGGTATTCCATTGACCCGGAAACAGGAATCGAATCAGAAATTGAGGGTGCTAATGCAGAAGCGTTCGTTGTACCTGAATCACTTTTCGAGAAGAGGGTGAAGTACAGTTGTTACTCTATTGACAAGTTTGGACAACGCACTGAGAGCGTGTACAGTGAGCCAACCAATACTGTTTCGCCTTCGAAACCAGTTATTAGTAACATTAGCATTTTGGGAATTCTTGAAGAATTCAGTACAGTACATGTTGGAGAAATTCAAGGCACCAACGTTGACACTCACAACATGGTATGTGATTGGTATAGGGTCAGTTCTGAAGATACCAATACGGATGTAAAGGTTGCAACCGGAGTCAGCAGCTATGATATCAAAACTGAAGACATTGGAAATCGTATCAAATTAGTTTTCACTCCTGTTAGACCTTTTCCTTACTCACATGTTAGCGGTCCAAACTTTGTCCACTTCACTGATATCATTGGACCTTCGAGACCCCACGGCTCTTGCTCGCTAATGGGATCGTTCAAGGAAGGTGAGACCATTACTGCCTCATTTGACTATTCCGGAGGAATTGAAGGCCATTCAACGTACATACTATTATGTCACGATCCTTCAGATGGCACAAATACTACTATAAGCGAAGGAAACACATACAATGGATCTGTGTTTGTAGTGTGCACTAAAGAACATGTTGGAAAACAATTTATTTTAGAATATTTGCCAATAAGAGATGATGGAATGGCTGGGGATTTGGTATCGTTCAAAAGTGGAGTCGTACTGCCTGGTGAGCCTACAGTTTCTGATCTGAACATTGAATTTGTGAAGAACAATACTAGGATTTTAATTCCAATGGAGGACAGTCTTGTACGGGCAAGTATCAAATACTTTGGTGGAAATGAGGGAAAGAGCCTTAAACGATGGAAAAGAGTTGATGGCGATCTGCATGAAGTTGTAGGTATGGATACGATGGAATATCGTATTTCAGTTATGGATATCGGAAAACGAATTGAATTTGAATATACGCCAATAAGAGATGACGACGTCAAAGGGAGGCCCAATCAACAATTTCTGAACCTGTACATGCTCATCATCCCTCTATTACAAATGTCTCTTTATCAGGAAATCCATATGTGTGCTCCAAACTAACCGTTACTGGAAAGTACTACGGAGGCGTTGAAGGAGCTTCATCGATTGAATGGTTTGCCTCTTATGCAAAATCAGGCCATTCAAAAGAATTCAAGAGTTTGACAACACCATTGTTATTGAAGAAAGTTCCTCTACAACTGGAAAGACTTCATCTATTACTCTCTCTATGAATTGTTTATTATTATTTGTTAAAGCCAAATATACTCCAGTGAGAAGCGATAATGTTGTCGGGTCATCTGTTGAGACTGATGTGTTACAAGTAGAAATAAGCCCTGACATCAAAGAAAAGATTATTAAGGCAATCGTTCAAGGAAGTGCAATAGAATTTTGTGAGAACGGCGTATTAGAGCTTGGAAACAAACATATCAGATATGGTGAGACCAAACCCCATCTTAAAGAAAAGTGGAGAAGCCACTCAGTCACGTTGCTCAGCGAAACCAGTCTCTCAATTCATTTCGACAAAGGAGGAGATCATATTTTCAATTCCAAAGATGCTCTTTATCTTGTGCTTCTGGTTCGGATTTTTGCATTGTTGTCATCTCCCAACGACTGCGCAATCTTTTGCGGAGAGAAATTTGCACAAGCTTGGAAAACAAACAAGCGTGTCGCAGAAGAATGGAATCAAATCCAAGCGAGTATGATGCAGAAAATATCCACCGATAGACAAGACGTAAAAGCCCTTATTTCATTGTTCAAGTAAATGTCACTTGTCTTGCCGATTGAAAAATTAAAGGAACTTGACCCAAAATAAAAATGCATAACCCAAACACCTCGTCCTCTTCAGCTCCGATCATCAGAGTATCATCAGCAGATGCATTGACATCATCTCGAAACAATCTTGACCATTCATCCATTTGCAATCATGGAATTTCCAATTTGTCTTCACCCACGTTACTATCATCGAGCGCGAATTCTTCTTCAACCGCCACCATTCCCATGACATTGACCAACCCTCTCACGTATGCAAACCATACACAAATCTCTTCATTTCCAACGAGTGGTGGTGGTTTGCTCATCTCTTCTTCCAAACAAAAATCATCTCCTTCTTCCCCACATGTGGCGCACCCATCAACCAAACAAAATCTTCTTTCTCCATCCTATTCTTCATCGTATCATTCTCCGACCACTCCACCCTCTCCTTCTCATCCGAATACGGATGATGAATCAGCATCAGATCAACAACCTAATAATTATATCAAATCACAACGTAAGAAATCTCTCTTCAGTAAGAGGAGAAGAAGTACAGTGAAATATACAAATTCAGTCATTCTCATGAAGAATGATGTTTCCGAGAGGAGAATTACAGTTCATGGAAATGGATTTCAAAATACAAAATATTTATTTGAAAATGAACACTCGGTACTCCATTGTACGATCACATTATTACCTACTGAGATTATTGAAAAAATTGTAATCTATTTAGATGTAGACTCTATAGTTCGTGTCACACAAGTTTGCAAAATGTGGTATAAAGTTTTTCAAGATGATGAAATTTTATGGGAACAAGGTAGGATGAATTTCAATTCTGTTTTTTTTTAAATATTGAACTTGTATACTTGTGGTTATTCACTTGAAATTGGTTATGCACTTGATTGCATCTTTTTGAATTTTATTTCAACATTTTGATTCAACATTTTTGAACCTATATGGAATTCTAGTTTGTACCATTAATTATCCAAAAGAGACACAAACACTACGAAAATTATATAATAGAAAAAACACAGTAAGACGGTTCAGAGAGATATTTTTTGAAACCTTTCACAATGACAAGTTACTTTTGAAAACTGGAATTTTTGAGAACAAGAATATTAAATTTAAAAAATCGCCGTGGAGCAAGGAAGATTATCTTTTCATACATAATAATAATAATGGAAGTAACAGCCACACAGAAGAATCCAATGGATCAGCATCACATGGAATAGTAAATCCCTTGATGCCCATTAAGGTTGTTGGTAAGTTGTACAAAATTATTGCAGTGGATGGATCGTCGTCTCTTTCATGAAACGCGTGCTTGAAATTCTTAGTGGTTGGTGATGGTATGTAAAATATATTTTCTCATTTATTATATAAATTATGAAATATAGGTGCTGTTGGAAAAACATCTCTGCTAGGAAGGTTTGCAAATGATGAATTTATTTCGGATCAATATTTACCGACAATATTTGACAATTACACAACGTATGCGACAGTTGATAACAAAACCTGGGCCGTGACAATTATTGATACAGCAGGATCTGAAGATTATGACAAGATTCGCCCACTCACTTACACAGGAGCTGACATATTTATCCTGTGTTTTGATTTAGTGAATTCTTCAAGGTTAGTATTTTTGTAGATGACGTATTGGACACATTGTTTGAAAGCTTTCAAAATGTCACAAATATTTGGCTGAAAGAGCTTAATACTCATGCTCCCAATGTACCTATCTTATTATGTGGTACAAAGTTAGATTTGAGAACGACAAGGAACGAAAAGGACTCTCATGAATCGTTGAAGTATTTTATACACTCTCAATTTTCTAAATATGGGATAGTTACTTTTGATGAGGGTGTGGAACTTTCAAAAAAGATCACCAACTGTGTGGGTTATGCAGAAACATCTGCAAAGTCTGGCCAAGGTGTGAAATCATGTATCAAGACAGCAATTTCTTGCGGTTGCAAATACTCCCTCTCTCAAATGGGGAAGTTTTTATCGAAATCTTCCAGCACATCTCCTTCCAGCGACAGCGGTAGTTCTTCAGGAAAAAGAAACAGTAAGACAAACTGTATTATTCAATGACTCTGCATGTTTATTTCAATACAATAATTTAACATATATCTAAAAGAAATATGTTCCTTGATTGAGTTCTTGAATATTCCTTAAAATATTTTCAGCATTTGTACCAATCTGACGAGCCAAATCTCTCTGGGAAATTGTGTTAAGGTGAGCATACATCCAAATTAGCTGACCGTCAATAATATTCTTCTTGTAGTTATACTCTGTTCGTTCGAGAGGCTTATATAAGCGGAAAGCTTTTGGATGCAATCCTGCGCTATGCTCTAATTGGGTGTACATTTTCAATTGTAATGCATAGAGTCTTCGATGAGTGAGCTCATTAATTGGAGCAACATATCCAATACTACCATCAATACTTCCAAATAATATAAACTGAAAATTTGGGTTTGTTTTCGATGTGTCTCGTTTTTGTAAGCTTGGTTGTTTCTTATCTGTTGTGGTTGGAATGGTCGTTGTTGATGCTGGATTTCCAATTGCGATCGTAATTTCGTCTGGAATATCTCTCATTTTCATTCTCAAAACAGTGGTGATAAGCGTTCCGATGTGGAAATCACAGACAGGAACCAAGTTTCTACCATCGTTACTTTCCTGGTGTTGAGGTAAATATTGAAATACCTGCAAGTTCTTATTCGCATCAACAACTGCCATACCAAGCAATTGGTCGTTCACCAAAAATTCAGAGGTAATGACTTGCAGAGGTCTATTGTCTTTGGCCATAGGAATCAAACGGTGACCTTTCTCTCTCCAACGTAAAAATGTCACGCTCTTATATATATCTCCATATAAAATAAAATTCCTAATGCAATTCAACGAGCTTGTATAAAATTGTGTATCATAGAACGAGGTAATATGCATTCTCTTTTCGTTCCAGTCAAAGTAATAAGTGTATATACGATTTCCAACACTACAAACGAGATATCTATCAACTTGCTCTACTCTTGTAATAGGGCCTTTCACCGATGTAGAAGACATTAAATTGATTTTGAATCGATTTGAACCTAAAATTGGTTCCAAGTCAAATAAAAGTAATCTTCCTCTACATAATTCTCTTTCGCTTTGAACATATGCTGTACCTACAGCCACCATGGTTACTAAATCTTGGTTTCTACTGTTCAAAGGTTCCTCAAACGAAATATCAGTGTCATCGTTGTATTCTTCTTTCGATAATGAAACAACTTTAGCAGCTAGTACAGACTCGTGAAGCTCAAAGTCATAGTTGTCCATTTCTTCCCAATCATTTCCAGAAAATAAACGAACTGTGTGTTTTTGTTCAACTGCTGGTGGATATCTACCTGATGGTAATGGTCGATCTTCTGGAAGTATTGCTTTCATTGGCACAGATGTAAATACTAAGCATGTGTTTGTTTCTTGGTGATAAGTGATTAAGTTAGGTGTACTCTTTAACAAAACCTTTCTATGGGGCCAGTATGAATTGAACACTGATTTTGAACTCAATGAAAGAATTGTAAACTTATTTTCGTTTTCCACGAAATAAATAAAACCATGAGGACAGTCTCGATGGTGGTATGGAGTAAAACCTGAAATACTCTCTCGTTTTTGTTGAGGATGAATTCGCAAGTTAGAATATTCAGTAAAGAACCATAGAGGTCTTTCACCCGTAAAAAATATGCCTCTATAACCACCAATGTTGTTAAACGGAATCAGTCTCGATCTCGCATTGTCGGCCTTTGAGAAAATATTCTTTTCATTTCTAAGCTCGAGTCTCAACTCTTCATTCTTTTTAGCCAAGTCTGAGGGGAGAAAATCATCGTGCTGTGTTTTAGAAAATCTTAATCTATTCAATCTAGTGTCCTTGGTTTTGGTGGATCTATCCAAGAATGATTTGTAAATGTGAACAGTGTTATCACTTAGAATGGTAATAAGGTAAGGCATTTCTGATTCTGAACCAACTCCTCTTAGCAACATTTGAGACACGTAGGGGTATTTCACTTCTGTCTCTGTTAATGTCGATGGATCCCTTGCTCCTTCATCAAACACAGTACTGTGAAATTGGTAAAATTGAGAGAATGAAAACACACAAGTTTTCTGAGGAATGGTATAAATTTCAAAAGTACCGTCAGTTAAATAAATACAACATAAATATAAACTCTCTTGGCTGGAAGAAAGAAATCCAAGCTCCGGTAATGCTTTGTAAAAGGTTACAGCAGTAATTTTTCCATGCTTTGGATCAGACAATCTAAGAGGCTCTGACTTGAGAGATGTACTACTCATTGTGAGTAATTGGAGAGTACCATCTTTCAAATGAAGCAATATATAAGGGTCCAAAATGAAAGATGCTCTAATCTTCAACGAGGATCTGTGTTCATTTGTTCTTTTCAGGGTGATTCTATCTAAAAATATGACTGAATCGCTGGTAACCTGTACTACATGATTTTTTAGCTTTCCAATGTTAATAGTAGTATCATTAGTAACAAATGTTGATTTAGATGTGACCTCATCCAATGATGTTTTTGATTCTAGGACCTTTGTTTTGTCCTCAAGGCTCAATATAACGTATGAATCGTGAATAGAATCTCCACCTGCAACAGTCCACATTTGCTTAACCGCGAAAGGTAGTTTTGCAGTATTCTGTGCATCTGGTTGCACACTCCTATTGAGAACTGTCAACCGACCATGTCTTCCAGTACCAGAGCATGCTATGACTGAAAGGTTGTTATCATTAGCTCGGGATTTAAACCCTGAGATATCAACAGATGTATCAGCGATTGTTAAATGTGAAATTGGCCCAATATTAGTAAATAAGTTTCTAATTTTGAGATCAATGGTTGTCATTTCTTTCTTGGACGATTTGAGCAAAAAAGCTGAAGAACTAGCATCATCTTGTTCTAAAGCTGCCAAAAAATCATCAGCAGTTGTTACCTTTCTTTTCTTTTTCTCAGGTTCAAAACCGGTAGAGCTATTGAAAAGATTGGCAGCTTCATCATCCATGGTTCCATTCGTTGTTGTGTTTTCTTCTTCTAGTTCCTTAATTTCTGAGTATTCATACAGCACAGAGTCACCAAGCCTAGATCCCAAAAATAATAAATTTCCAGAAAGAGTACACATGCAAGAGGCAGGAGTGGTTGTTTTCGTTTTTTTCAGAGTGATGTTATTAATTCGACTTCCTCCTCCATCTAAATATATGGTATATAAATCTCCTTCTTTCATAGATACCAAAACCTTATCAGGTGATACAAATGCATAAGCCACTGTATCAAAAAACAATGGAGGACCGTCAAATTGTTTAAAGTTAATAGATAAGTCGGAACTGAAACAGCAAAATCGTTAAAAGATATGCCATAAGAAGCACATTGATTGATGTGAATCAGAAAATTCATTCCCAAAACCAATGCTCCTCCTCCAACGCTCTCTTCTAGTGGTATCAGCTTGTAGCAATCGTGAGGAAGTGACTCGACACTCCAAATTTTTGGATAGTACTTTCGAAACAAGTCAAAAGATACAGCCGTTGCAGTGGACGTATTGCTTTTTGCGGCAAGTCTTCCACTCCATGTTTGTTCATTCTCATGTAAAAACAAAATAGTAGGCTCGTTATAACCGTTTAAAAAGCAGTAATCTTTGACATTTCTGATACCCAACTCATTCAAGTCAATAATTACTTGTCTTTGAACTTCGGCTGCACTTCGCTTAGTTGAAGGAGTATTCGCTCCACTGATTTCCGAAGCCTCGTCGCCATATCATCCATGCTTTTATCAGATAAAGCCATCAGAAAAGTATCATCCGTGGAAAGGGATGCATCTTCTCCGACCTGCTTGAAGGGTAAAATCACTAACTTGGAATCACAAACAATAATTGTTGCGAATCTGTTGTGTGGATCTAAAATTATAGGTTGATTATGGAAAAACTTGGCTCTACCTTCCTTCAAAAAGTCATCTTCGAAATAATGAAGAGACAGTGTTCTCAAATCATTCTTCTTTTCATCAAACTCCACTACAGAAGCCTTTGCTTCATCTTCAAAGTTGATGATCAAAATATTCTTTTTCATTCCCTGAAGGGTTACCGCAACGATGGAATCAATCACTCCGAATAATTCAAATGCGCGAACAAGAACAACACTGTTATCTTTCTTGTTAACGGAATATACTTCCATCACATGGTTTTTTGCTATGATCAAATTTTCATCGTTGGGTGATGTAAATCGAGCACTCAAACAAAAAGAAACTGCTGTTGGAGGATGAAGTTGTTTGAAGCAAGCATACATTTTTTTTTGAAGATGAAGCCAACCAGCAACAAGGTAAAGCTTTAACAACATCCAAATCACTGAAGGTTCAAATGTTTTATTAGAGTTCTTTGTAGAAGCTATACAATAATTCACGGACTTGGAAAAAAGTTGGAGAAAGAGAGCCAACGATCTGAATTTCTCCAGACTTTTTGTCTTTTTGCAACATGACCTCATCATTGCACACAAGAACACCTCCTTGTTGAAATTCTGCAGATAGACCCTTTTCGAGTAACAATCGATACAATTGATTGAGCTTCACATCTCCAATTAATATGGTTGGATGTCCTTTAGGTTTTGGATTTGGATAAATCGACGGAAGAGGATCCTCTGCATTCTCACTACCTTTGAAAATGCCTTCAATATATGCCATATCGTAATTGGTACCGCTTTTCACAAAATGTACATGAGAAAGTAAATCTTGTTTCAGTTTCACTTTGAACATGTTTGTGTCCATAGTCATGTCCAATGTTTCTAAATCAACTGGAGCCTTAATTTGTTCTGCTATTTTCTTTGTCTCACAATATTCTTTGAGTTCTGTAAGAGCCTCTGGCATGCCATGAATAATAATTAATTTTCTAGGATTGATTTTTTGTAGAATGTTTTTGATGTCCACGTTGGACGATCTTCCTTCAAAGTCAATGTATGCTAATTTACATAAAATCCTAACACTGACTTCCTCGCTCTCAATCTTTGAAGGAGGTTCATAATTTTCTTCTTCTTCATGCAAATTAGCACTAGTAGACATTAATTGATCTTTTTGATCGGCCTGTAATAATCTTGTTTCAAACTCTTCAGGGTCAACAGATTCTCCATACTCATCTTTTGAAATACCTCTCTCAATACATGGAAACATTAAATATTGAGATTGATAACGCATGTTTTCTGGAAGGTAAAGATGTGTTTGGGTGTGCGAATCGTCATCAAAACCAGAGCCAGTAAACTCTTCTCTAAATTTCTTTGATTTTTTGTCAGCAATATCTTCATCATCTTCATCTCTAATTTGGATAACCCTCTTCTTTCTTTCTTCCTCTTCTCTTCTCTTTTTTTCTGCCTCTTGTTTTATCAACTGTTCTTTTTCATATCTTTCTAGTTCCTCTCCCTTGAGCGGTACTCTGCGAGACATGACTAGTTTCATAACTTCATCTAATCTATTGGTTTTCTTGGCTCTAATCTTGTTGATCAATTTTCTTGCGAATGAGTTTGGAGAAGATCGATCAGTGAAAAGCACCATGTTTCTTTGATCCTCACACCATTTTACAAAAAGTTCTCTTGCAAATCCAACATCTAAGGTGCTGGAAGAGGCTAAAACCACAATAGGATATTGTTTTTTTTGAGTTGCATCGTCATCATCATCATCAATGCCTTCCATCATCCTTCTCATGGCTTCATTTTGCTTCAATTTTGTCATTAATTCTTCTACGTTGTGGCAAACGCTAAAGTATTTAAAACTAAATGGGTTTTCACGTTTTTCATCAAAACCTTTCATAATGCTGTCGCTCATCCATTCAAGCTGATGCGCAGCAAAATCTATGGTTCTGTAAGCTACGTTTGTGAGTAGAATTAGCTCAAAGTTTCCCAATTGGTCAGGCTTTCGCTTCCATTCTTCTTCTAAAATAAGCATTAGTTCCAAAACTCTTCCTGCAGTTTCTACTGGCATCAGAACGTTTCCATCTCTTTTCAGGGCTTCAACTACTGAAGTTACAATTTGCTTGTCTCGTCTCATAGGAACGGTTTCTTTAGACGAGCTACTTTTTGGCACCAAAGTCACTTCGGTGCTTGGAATAGGTTTGATGTTATATGCATCTGTTATCAAAAGGGAGGGTTTTCCACCTAATTCACCAAGTACAGAACCATTCAGATGTCTCTCTTTCTTAATATTGAAATCAACAGCATAAACAATCTCATCAGTTTCTTTTGTAATTTTCCAAATTGTTCCTCCTAGTGTGTGACCAGCAAGAAATGGACAAATAACCAGTTTTTCTCCTTCCATTTCGGCAACCAAATTAGTAGAGCCTCCAACCTCACCATCCTCTCCTTCAACACCCTCGTTCTCTAGATCCATGTTGGTATTTTCTATTTGAGTCATTCCTCCCATCTGTTGAGACAACGGATATCTTTGACTATATTTCAGTTGAATAATGTTGTCAAAGCAAAGATCTACATCATCTAAATCAAAGGTTTCAAAATCTTCTCTCTGCTTCACGTTTTGACAAGCATCATACATATGCATTTGACCCATTTTAACGATAGGCAATGTAGCAAATATTTTAGCTTTTTTCTTATTCTCCAAAATACCACACTTTCCGACCAAGTATGGCAAGGCACCACAATGATAAATATCACTATGCGAAATCAAAATAGCATCAATTTTGTCTTTGTAAACATTAACTATTTGCTGTATATGTTCATCTTTGGTATTAAAATTTTCATCCCATCCACAATCCAACAAAATATAATAATCATCAACGATGAGTAATGAACACAGTGGACCTTCGTTTTGCGATCCGACAAGGGAAATGTATTGGATGGCACTACTCATTTTTTTGTGGTTGAAATGAGGAAGATGATACTTTCTTGAACAGATGAAACGGCAAGATCGTCAGTGTTTAAAGAAGCATTCTTGTTATAAAGCTATTTTGTTGAACGTTGCTTCTGCTTTATCAAATTTAAATTATTATTGTGATTTAAAAAAATGTCATCACACGGCAGAAGTGATCATCAGGACAATCAAGATGATCTTGAATTGGGAGGAAAGCAAAATGAAAAAATTGAAGTAGCTGAAACTAGAATTGAAAGCAACAAATATGACACTGAAGCGTGGGCGGTAGGTTTGTTTTTTCAGATCGAATATTATTTATCATCATGTTTTTCGTTTCGATTTTGTAGATTCTTTTATCCGAAGTACAAGAAATGAATATAGTTAAAGCAAGAGCATACTACGAAAGATTTTTCGAAATATATCCTACAGCAGTACGTTTATATTTACGATGACTTGATAATGCTAACTAAAACTTGATAGGCTAAATATTGGAAAATTTATGCTGAACACGAACTGAAAGCACACAACAAACAACAGGTTGAAGACATCTTCCGAAGATGTTTAGAGCCTTGTCCAAACTTTGAACTTTGGAGATTTTATTTGGATTATATGAGAGACAACAAAGACCATGAAATCATTAACAAAGTATTTGAAGTTTGTCGGAACAAGGTTGGAATTGACATTTCTGCTTCATCTATATGGGTTGATAGCATCAAGTTTATTAAAGATTTGGCAATTACCGATCAAAGCCAAAGACAACAACAAATAGGGGTGTTAAGGAAACTTTACCAAGAAGCTATTCAAGTTCCAATGCACGACCTTGACAGAATTTGGAAAGATTACGAAGCGTTTGAGAATGAAGTTAATCCTGTGAATGGAAAGAACGAGCTTCAAGAATTTCTACCAAAATTTAAATTAGCGCTTAACAAGTACAGAGAAAAGAAAAATATTAGAGAAAATATGGGCGGTGTTGGTGGATTACTTTTAAATATGCTTGCAACACCACCAACAAACGGTGAAAAAGAACAAACACAAAAACAAATTTGGAAAGATTTAATTGAACTTGAAAAGCGAAACTCCCAAAGACTTCCACATGATGAGTTGAAAAGAAGAGTTATTTTTGTATATAGACAATGCTTACTGTGCTTCCGACATCATGCTGATATTTGGTATGACGCTGCCATGTATTTGATATCTCTTCAGTGTCATGAAGAAGCTATACATTTTTTCCAAGCAGGATGTTTAGCGTTGCAACCAATCCCTAAAACATTGGAAACAGCTCCTTCAAAAGAGGGTAGTATTTTACTTCATTTGGCTTTTGCTGAATATTTGGAGTCTAAGAAAAAATTCGATGAAGCCGCAAACATATTTAAGGAATTACTAAAAATTCGTCAGGATCCTCTTCTATTTATTCAATATATTAGATTTATGAGAAGAACAAAAGGAATGGAAGGCGCTAGAGAGGCCTTTATTGAAGCAAAGAAATCTCCTCACTGCTCTTATCATGTATGGGTTGCAAGCGCTTTACTTGAATACACTGTCAATGATCAACCAGATATCGCTAGAAAACTCTTTAAAATGGGGTTAAACCAATCCTTTGGTAAAGAGCCTGGCTTCATTCTTGAATACTTGAAGTTTTTGGATCATTTGAACGATAAAAACAATACTAGAGTACTTTTTGAAACCATTTTAAATGAAATTCCAAAGGAGAAATCAGTGGAAATTTGGAACAAATTCTTGCAGTTTGAATACGCTCTTGGTGACCTGAACTCTATGGAAAAAGTCGAAGAACGAAAGCAAATGGCTTTTGGTGAGTCCAGTACCGATGCTGCAAGTGGAATTTCTGAAGCCCATCAAAAATCCTCTATTACCGAATTAACCAATCTGGTGAACAGAACTAAGTTTTTAGATCTTTGTCCTTGCACTCCTCATGAAATGGAATACTTGAATTTGAAAGCTCAGGACAGCGAAAAGATACCTGTTGACGATGAAACCCATAGAAGATATGGCAAATCGTTCTACAAGATTGACTATACGAGACAAATAACATTCACAAATACCAGACAACAAAGTCAAAGCGATAAGTCATTGATTGGTGCAAACGTGGCCATTCCAACAGCTATTGTGCCTCCAGCATACACCAAATATAGAGCATATCTTTCTTCAAAGAAAATTTATCTTCCTGACTTGAAACAGATGAACGAATTCAAAGTTATTCCCAATCCAATCGATCAATCTCGAGGATCTACCAATCTTCCTCTTGTGACAGTTCCAGATGAACATATTTTACCAAACATGGTTTTGCAAGTGTTGAAAAGAATGCCTCTCCAAGCGTATGTCAATTTACCAAGCATCGACCAAATGCTGGATGTTATTGCAAATACTCCTTTGCCTAATAGACCACTCGATGACCATAAGAGAGGAAGGGTTGACTACGACGCATCGCATGATTATGATGAAGAAGACATGGAAGATGAGGATTTGAATGCTCCTCGATCCTATGTTGACATTTATACAAAGAGAAGAAAGCAAAGGAAATAAACCCTTCTAAATGCGGAGCTCAGTTCCAACTCACCAGCAACAAAAATGAAGCCATTTCTTAGGAGGGGAGCGCTGTCGGGATTGGCTGTGGTATTCATTCTATTATGCGTGATGCTCAATCCTCTCGTTAAGGCTGATATTTATTTGCATAATCCAAGAGGATCCAACGATAGGTATGTGCAACAGGCTTTGCAAATGATTATGATTTTAATTCAAAATCTTTCCTACTCAGAAATTGCGAATTCAATGCCAATAGAAATAACGCTAACCGTTTATTTGATAGTCAGAACAACGCAGCTGGAGGAGTAAGTACACTAAGGTGATAAACATACAACTCTCTAATTTCAACAGTATGCTTGTCCGAGAAAAATAGGAGGACCGGATGTCATTACTCCTACCATGTAGGTATCTCATGGTTATTATTCATCAAAGAGCACTAATTAGCCAAAACCATACAATGATTAAGGTATTACTATGTAGGAAGTATACTTCCAATCGAATGGACCGCACAACACTCCTGCGGTTTTAGGAATACTTTTTGCAATATAGTTATTCAATACATGTGTGATGATACTTCACCTGGTTTGAGAGATGGAACTCCAGAATCTGAGAACGACCCAGCGACAGACACAATTGATGAGAAGAATAACAACAATACTCGCTATGGAATGCATGAGCCTATGGAGTACTACAAGAAATGCAACACCAGACGAAGAAACAATGGATTGTATTTAGCCGACCAGAAGCAACAAAATCCAGGGTTCTTACTTCCAACAAGTCCTGCAACTCGCACAAGGCAGAATCCCAACGGAGCAAGACATGGATGGGAGTGTCCCGAAGAACGAGATTATTATGTATGTAGTTGTTTCTTTTGCGAAAGACAATAATCCTGCTCCCATAATTATTGGTTGCTCTCGCAACAACCCCTCTCAATTTTATTGTGCTATGTGACAGCCTTATTGGCATCCAACACCTTGGAAAGATATAGCCGTCTTCACACACAACACTTCCATGTGTGAATGGTATCAAGCGAATTCGGAAAATGTAGTGGGACGATATGAATGTCTCACCAGGGATGGTAATCCAACTGTGTACAATGGAGAACAGGATTGTATCAGTGAAGGCCATTCATGGATTCTGTCGAACCCACACAACGTTAATCCGCCAGAGTGTCTTTCTACTGATCTAATACAGACACGAGACAATCATTTGGGAAGCGCTGTAGATGTGTCTTTGGCAGGTGCTGCAGCTGCTTCACAAATGTCAGCACAGTCAATCACTCCTCAATTGGCAAGATATTACTGGGCTGTTCCAAATGATGTTCACGAACGATGCGTTTTGAGAGTCAGATATAATATCACCACAATGGAGTTTCATCCATTCGAAACAGATTCCAAATCAAATTATCCTAATCATCCTTTGAGGCAAGATCCTTTCGAAACATTTGGGTATCCAAACTATTTGTCTTTGGCAATTAATACTCACCAATACGGAAGAACATTTCAAGACCGAAGCTATGTATTCAGAATCAAAGCTCGACCACCAAACATTCCTGCATGGGCAACCATATATAACTTGAACGTTCGAGGAAAGAGAGGAAACATTGTACAAACGTTCCCTTCAACAGAGTATGATTTTGTCCCAAGTTATTTGGAGGCCAAAGGTGGTGATTTTCTTCACATCCAATGGACTGGTTCAGACTACAATCCCCAAAGAAATCCCAACGACGCCGAAGGAGCACCAAACACTGGTGACAGAAGCAACCTTGTTCAAGCAGACTTTGCTGGCCAAAATTTCCCAAGAAACATGTCCAGAGTTACTATGTTTTTGAACAACGACGGAAAGCCTGATTATGAGTTTATCCTTAGGTTGGCATTTATCGATCAAAACATTTATAATACATCTGAGTGTATGGACTGGCAAAGTTTGTTAGACAAGAATGGTGGAAATAAGAATAAGGCTGAACAAGATATCAACAACTGTGCAAAGCTGAATAATGCGCCAAATGGCCCTTATTTTGATGCTGGTCTTCACGAATTGAAAGCAAATGGAGTATTTGCCTATATGTGCACCAGAAATAATAACTTCTCTAACAGAAGTCAAAAAGGATTACTGGTTGTTACAGGTGCAAAATTTAACGGTGCTATTGGTCCACAATTCTCTGTCACACTTCTTGTTTTAGTATTAATAATTAGTAGTTTAATAATGTAGTAAAGCAATTGTGTAACATGCCAAAAAGTCTAGAAACTTTCCACTGATTACTCAAGCCTGCCTTCTGATTGTTTGTCTCCATAAAGCATTTGACGAAGAGTTGGAAGCTGTTGCTCTTGGCACAAATAAACACGCTTTTCCAAAGTATTGTCAATCTTGATTGAATCATTACTAGAGCTAATAACTACACCACCAACACAGTCCTTTGATAAAAAGTTTGATTTTTGAACATTAACCTTAACTGTCAAGCCCTTTGTAGTTGTTGTGTATTCGGATTGAACGCTGGCAACTTGGCTGACAACCAAATCGTAGTCTTGTTCCTTGCAATATACATTAACTTCAGAGTCCAAGAAACGAAGAGCTCCTTGCAACATCAAATTCTTTAAAATCTTTTTGTATTCGTCCTTGTTGACAATTCTCTTTTTGATTTCCTCTAAAGCAGCTTGGACCATTTGCTTCAAAATTTCCTCCTTAAGTTTCAAAATTTCCAAACGAGCAGCCTTTATCTCGTTTGAATGATCAATTTTCTTTTTAATGACTACTTGTTGTTCCTTCTTGGCATATTCTTCTCTGATTTTCTTTTTACCTTCTTCAACGAGGTTCATCTTTTCAACGGCGAAGTCCTCCTTTGTTTGGAGTTCAATTTCGTCGGCCTTCTCTTTGGCTTCGCTCTTGATGAAATTAATCATCTGGTTGATTTTAGAATCGCTTCCTATGTAGAACATGATGTAAAGAAGAATTGGCAGGCATGGTCATCATCATCACGGGATGATAACACCAACAACAAATCAATATTTAGCATTCAACCAAAAAATTGTTAGTAAAACGCATGATTGGCAACAGGAAAACGAAAATTCAATACTTGGGTGTTATGTGTGTTCAATGTTTACGTTCATACGTACCTTGTACGCCTGCTTTACTCATTTTTGTTGGTGAATTTTTTTAATAAAAAATAATAATAATAAATTTTTATCTATCACCCAAATATGGATGAGAAAATTTTAAAAAATCTTTTCACAATTGTAACACAAAAGGTGAGCTCAACAAAATTCAACAAAATTCCAAAACAATTCTAATAGTTGACTGCATTCTTGATCATTTCAAAGCATTTCACAACTCCTGGGATGTAATATTTCTCGTGAACAAGTGGGAAAGGAGTGTCTAAACCACATACACGGATAACAGGCGACTCCAAATGTAAGAAACACTTCTCTTGGATAGTGGCAGCTATTTCAGCACCAAAACCTCCAGTTAATGGAGCTTCATGACTGACAACACATCTTCCAGTCTTTTTTACAGAGTTTACCACAGTTTCAATGTCCCAAGGAACAATAGTTCTCAAATCTATTAACTCACAATCAATTCCAACCTCTTTTGCCATTGCAATGGCTTTTTCAAGGACATAGAGTTGACTTCCCCAACCAATAACAGTCACATCTTTACCTTCCTTTAGTATTTCTGCTTTTTCTAATGGAATTTTGTATGCTTCATTTGGAACCAAGCATTGACTTGAACGATAGAGAATCTTTGGCTCAAAGAAAATGACAGGATTTGGATCTTCAATACTTGACAATAACAAACCCTTGGCTTGTAGAGGATTTCTTGGAATGACAACTTTGAGACCAGGTGTGTGTGCAAAATATGCCTCTGGAGATTGTGAATGGTAATGTCCACCGTGACCAACAGCACTGCTTGGTGTACGAATTGTTAATCCTCCAACATCAAACAAATTTCCACTTCTAAAGCGGTATTTGGCAGCTTCATTGACGATTTGGTCAAATGCAGGGAAAATATAGTCAGCAAATTGAATCTCAGCAATTGCTGTATGTCCCATTGCAGCGACACCAACTGCGAATCCAACAATACCTTGTTCAGAAAGTGGAGTGTTAAAGACACGGTCCCTTCCAAATTGGTCCTTCAAGTCTACCGTACATCTAAACACACCTCCAAAGCAACGTCTTCACCAAAAACTAGTGCTTTTGGATCTTTTTCCATTGCTTGTTTCAATGCCATGTTAATACTATTGCACAAATTCAAATCAGTGGAATTACTCTCAGTAACCTTGATTTCATTTTCATTGTGATGATAGACTAATTCGTATTTAAAATTCTTATACTTGCTCATATCAATTTTTTGATCATCTAATTGATAGACGTTTTCCTCTAGAGCTGGTTTGGCTTTTGAAACCATGCATGTTGAAAAGTGTGTTGATGATGATGTCAAGAACGGAGCGAGAGAGTTTGTTTTGGAAGCCAACAGAGCTTGTTGTGTTTGGCGAGAGAAACGTGAAAGCATGGATGAAGTGCTTCTCATTTTTTGTTGTTTCACTGGTGCGTTGTTTCAGCCCGTTTTGCATGGAGAAGCCTTTATCGAGTTGCACATTTCAAAAGAAAATCTGGGTGGAGTTGTTGTTGATAGGTGTTGATTGTTGAGAATGGTTGGCTCGTTGCTTTGGAAATCATTGTGATTACAACACCACCAACCAAAAAAAATGATTTATTTATTTCAACAGATCGCTTACTTTCCGCTCTCCTTTACATTGCTGTCCATAAATACAATCATATTCTTCATCTTGAGTTTTGGAAAGGTTCCTTCGGAATTTGTCAGTTACAACTATGATAAGATTGTTAAAGAATATCAAATATGGCGAGCTGTTACGTCGACATTTGCACATTTTTCAATTATTCATATTCTATTTAATATGGGATCTATGTGGTCCATGAGAACTGTAGAATTACTTGGACAAGAAAAACCAACTATACATACATTTCATTCCGTTGTAGAATATTTCAAGATTACCGTGTTGCTAATTCTATTTTGTTTTTTGTTCATCACACTCGTGTACTTTTGTCTGATTAAATTTTTGAAATGGGAAAATTATAGACAAGTCAATATTGTTGGATATAGTGGTGGTATGTAATTGGAGAGAGGAGGTTATGAACAATTATTTTGCTGCTTAGTATTATTTGGGATAATGACGATAGAAACTTTACAGCAGGGCATTTCTTCAACTAGTTCTTCCATGTTTGGCTTGAATTTACCAGCAATTATACGGCCCTTTATGGCACTTATTCTGACCTCGTTGTTATTACCCCAAGCCAGCTTTGTAGGTCACTTAGGGTAGGTTTGTAAAAACATGGCGATGAAGATCATTAACATTATTAGTGGAATAATTGGAGCATTTATTATCTACTATGGAATTTTGGTTTGGATGATAGATATAGTTTTTATTGTGTTATTTTCGATTCTAGTGGTTATTGTGTTGGGAAGTGTAGCTTTCACGACATGGAGGAATCGCAATTCGATTACTATTCCTCCTGTGATAAAGCGGTACTGGGAGAAAATATCTTCTGCTTTCAGTAGGTCACGCAATACAATTCGTGGCGGTAAGTCATAAGACTTTTCATTACAAATCTCATCAACAAATTTTAATGACCTTAGAGTTATTGAGTCTCATCAAATTCTGAGCGAGGATGACGAAAGTGACACTCCCGAACAACCAAATGACAATAGAAATCTTTCCAACAATCCGACTAGTGCCAACAACATCTAACCTCGATTGAGTGATGTTGTTATGTATTTGTAAATATTGGCAAAAGAATCATGCTGCTCACAAATAAAACTCTCGATCACAGAACACAATGGTCAGAGGTTTAATTCATTCATCTTATAAATCATGCTATTAGAGCAATGTATTTGTTTGATTTGTTCATCATGTTGTTCGTTTTGCTCAAACAGTGTTGGAGTTGAAGTTTGCTTCCTCGATACCGGTTCTTTGGTCACATTGACCCACACTTCAACAAATTAAACTTGCTGTTGATTATGGGTCAAAACAAAAATGATGCAAGACACCCCTTCCACAGCTTCTGTGACTCTTTCTGCTCTCAACTCTTATCGGAGAGTACTTTATGTTGGTAATCTAGCACCACAAGTAACAAAAGATGTATTATTTAATTTATTTGTACCATTCGGAGAAGTATTGGACGTTACAATTCCTTCAATAACGAATCAATCAGAAGAAACACTTACAGGATCCAAACACAAGGGATACGCTTTTGTAGAATTTGAACTTCCCGAAGATGCAACAGAAGCTCTTGAAAATTTAAACAACAGTGAGTTATGTGGTAGAATAATTACAGTGAATTATTCAAAAGCAAGCAACTTGTCAAAAGAGGCTTTCTCCGATCTTAACGTTCCTTTGTGGAGCTTGAATCAACAAAAACCATCCGATGAATCTTCATCAGCTCAGCAAGAGGAAGCAGAGTCATCATCGCCGGAAGCCAATTCATCATTAGAACAACACGAACCTACACCTAAAAAGACCAAGCTGTAACACCACGATGAAATAAAAGCCTTGTGTTCCAGGCATTGGTGGAGTCCTCAAACTTACAAAAAAAATGTGGCTTCTCGCTCCTTCGACGACTTCATCGGAGGCTGCACCCCTTGTCTATGTGATTCCGAATCGAAGCTATACAGTTGGCAGAAAGCGTATGTTGTTGTGATCATCGTTCATGTATTAATCACCACATTGTATTAAATATTGGTAATTTTCTGAAAATAGGTGATGAATGCGAAGTCTTTGTGGATAACGATAAGAGCATTTCCCGAAAACATGCTGTATTTTCAATGGAAGATGTCAATGTAAAACAAGTATTAATACAAACACAATCCGATCCAATTATTAGACCGGTATTATCACTTACCGACCATTCAAAGTACGGAACGTTTGTTTTGAAAAATGGAAATTATGAAAAGATTGGAGAAAACAACAAAATAGAGATAGTAGATGTTGCAACAATTCGCTTTGGCGTTTATGAGTCAGTTTACTCGTAGGTATATGAGCTAGTTTAATTTTTTAAGATTATTTCAATAATTTGCAGAGCATCTTATCAACTTATTGTGTTTTGTGTGTCAAGAATTGACCAAAAAGACAGAAAAAAGCTTGCAAATCAGTGTAAAACAATTGATGCCAAATATGCAACGATATGGACTCCACATTGCACTCACCTCATTGTGAACGAATCAGACTTTGCCATCACAGAAAAGTTAGCACTTGCTTTGCTTCTTGGCATTCCTATTGTCACCATGTCATTTGTGGATGAATTAGAAAAGACTCTCACAAGTAACTCACCAAATATTAAACTACCAGATCCAGACAATTTTGCACCATCATCTGATAAGAGTGGATGGAAGGATATAGGTTTACAATCTCCGCCAGACTTGAAACAAGATCCAAAACGGAAAATTTTATGAATGGAAAACATTTTTTGGTATTCAATGATGCCATGGTAAGTGACAGTTATACTACAGCTAGAATGCTGATGTTTGTAAACTAGTTTCAAAAAAGCTCTTTAGTCGTTGAAACAGGAGGAGGAAAATTTCTAATGTTTCAAATGACACAATCGATGACATGTTTGTGAAGAAATATAGCGACTGTCACATTCTTGTAGATGATGTAAGTTGGTTCAAAGCACATTCGGTTGTGATACAATCTCATTTCATGTAGCCATCATCGCTAACTACTGACCAATTAAGCAAATTACAATATTACGGATTCCAACTTTTCACAAACACCAATATTTTAGCCGCAATTTTGTCCAAAGACACTTCACATTTAGAAATTACCAAAACACCATCTATTCCTAAACAAATACAAATTAAGGCTGAACCTGAGGGTCTTAAGAGAAAAGAAATACCACCTCCAGTGGTGGATGAAGACGCCACAGACGACGAATTGGCTCAGCCCAAAACAGAACCTCCCACAAAGAAAGTCAAACCCACCTCAGAGGATACAAAAAAGAGAAAAGGAATTGAAATACCTCTTTCTTTGGAAGCGTTAGAATCAGAATCAAAACCAATGGTTGAGGAGGAAAATCAAGAAAATTCCAAAAAGTTCTCACCTAAAACACAAGTCAAGCTCGAAAAGAAAGTACCTGTCAAACAAGAGAGATCTCACGAGGAAGACGATGATGCTCCAAAAATTGTTGTTGAATACATTAACCTTATTAAGGTAAAAGATGAAAAGCCAGCATCACAAAACACCTATACTGGATTCAATGCAAAAAGATTTAAGAAATCAAGAGTCAAAACTTCGACGTCCGTAATCTCTTCAAGCTTCTCCTTCGCTCCTCCTCCCCAAGAGTCCATGAATTTCGATGAAGTGACTTCTCCCAAGCAACTTGCAAAAGAGCAAGATTTCATTACAACAACTCCAAAGCAACAGAAGGAAGAAAAGATTATGGTAACACCACCAAGCTCAAGCAAGAAAGAAACCACCTCGAGCGTCACGAATGCCATTGGAATTGATGAGGAATCTGATGACTCGGATGACGAAGCAATTACCCTTTCGAAAGTGTCAAGGAAAAAAAGATAAGACTGTAAAAATTTATCAAGAACATTATTTTCAGTTGGCTACGAGAATTCTTTTTACTTAATTCTGCTAAATAATTTCGTTATTGAGCCAACAGTCCTTCTTCTGTTCGTTTTTGTGTCTCCATCCAAAAGACCACTATCATCCTCATCAGTGTCATGTTGAGGGAGGGGAGAGTATGCGACAGCAGATGACTTGCTTCTTTTATCTCTGGTTCCATAACTATTGCTTGCTGTCCTATCTTTTGTTTTGATATCTTCCAAGGCTCTAATCGATTTTCTATGAGCTCGTTTGATACTCTCTGAGGTTGATGAGTCGTTCGAGTAATCATTAATTTGTTTGATCAACTTTGTGTCAATAAGATAAAAGTGATTTTTGAGAACGTCATCAGCTCCTTTACCTCCAAGATAGAAAAGTTCTTTTGTCTCTTTGCAATATGCAGAGGAAAGCCCAACAAGTTTTGGCATGTGTGATCCAAAAAAGAAATCAGTTAAGCGATACCATTTTCTCTCCAGAATATTGAAAAGATAAACATGTTGGTCATAATCAGAATTATTAACTACATTACATCCTCCAGCAAGAATCAAATTTGGACCTACTGCGGTCATGGTGTGTGATGCTCGCGCTCCTGGAATGATATTATTGTCATCTGCAAAAACTGGCTTGATCCACTCAAGCGTCTCCATATCGAGCACAAACATTGCATTAGATGCCGAATGTTTGTCCATTTCTTCATGGGCGAACAAGCCTCCGAATATATACACTAGATTTTCAATAGCACTAACAGAGAAGCAACAAAATCTCTCTGGACATTGAGTCTTAGATTCATTTTGGTTCGAAGGATTTACAATGGGATTAAATTCTGAGCTAGATGATATATATCCAGTAGTCTCTACAGTTTTCCAAATATTTTCTTCAATATTGTACTCATACAGACTTGTAAAATACAATTGTCTACCTTGACATCCGCCTACAAGATAGATTTTGCCCTTGTACTGCCACATCTGAGCACCCGCTGTGCAATACAATGGAGTTGTGACAGGTGGTGACATTAATATAATATCCCAACAGATCGATTACATACCTCTTGGATCAGGACACAGTCCTTGACACTCAATATGAGTCCATGTATGAGTTTCGGTGTCAAACGAGTACATTCCGTTATACACTGTATGATTTGAAACTGGTGTAGCTTGAGAGTAGCCACCAAAAACGTAAATCTTATTTCCGACAACGCAAGAAGCTGGCATTGCTCTAGGAGTTGGACTTGTTCCATTTGGATTTTCAATTTCTTGCCATTCCTTTTTAACCATATCAAATATATGGATTGCATTTGGCTTGGCAGAAGAGGCTCTCTGCCCGAGCAAACAATAAAACTAAATTGAGATATTCCAATTATATTAAATAAATTCTCTTTGTCATTGGGATCAAAACCAACCTTTGTACCAACAACTTCCATCACTTGATAGCATACACCACCAGGTCCAACACCACTCGCGTTGACTTCAAATATTTTCATTGGTGCGGTTTGATTTTTTTTAAGGTTTAATCGTAGTGAGATGGTTGATGCGAAAGATTGAAAAGGTTTGAGAGAGATGACGAGAGACCAAAAAGCAAAGATGGATCTATGTGTGTCGGTACGAGAGAAGGTTCATTTGAATGCATGGGTGTGAACGTAAAACAGGTTCATACTACAAGGATTGTTACCAAATAGTGTTTAAGGAAGAAGATGTTCAAATAAGAGGCCTCAGACTTGAAGAAATGCTTGAGTGACTCTTAAGCAAATCGTGATGCCTTCCGAAGATCGGAATGTTATCAATCAAAAAAATGTCTTCATCAGCATCATCATCGGAGAAGCCTCATTTACTCAAACCTGTTCAAGGAGGAGCAACAGGTCCAACAAGTATCGAAAATGTAAATTACAAGTGGACACAAGACATTTCATCGTTGATGCTCGTGATTCCCTTTTCTCAACCAGTTACAACCAAATCGGTTAAGATCATTTTCCAGCCAAAATCAATTAAAGTTACTGTTGCTGGATTTGATACTCCAATTATTGAAGGAAAGTTATGTAAAGAAATTGATGAAGATGAGAGTTATTGGCAAATTGAAGATAAAAAAGAATTAATTATTAATTTACAAAAGGCAGTCGGGACGTGGTGGGATTGTGTGATAGATGGTCATCCAAAAATTGATACCTCTCAAATTGATCCACCTCAAGCTAATTTATCTGATTTAGGACCAGAGATGCGACAAACTGTCGAGAAGATGCTATTCGATCAAGCGGCTAAGGCCACTGGTAATCCCACCTCCGAAGATAGACTCAGACAAGAGAATATTCGCAGACTGAAACAAATGCATCCCAATATTAATTTTGATGGAATGGATTTCAGTAAAGCGCAATTTAACTTTTAGAGGCCGTTTCATGTATACTATAGAGAATGCAATTAAATGTCATTAAATTTTAAATAGTATTTAATACATGAATGGTTTGTAAAAGATGATTCCTAATTATATTTCATCTTTTTCAAGTCTTGATTAATTTCATCTGTTGACAATTGGAAATTCATTCCTTCCAAAGACCAAGGTAATCTCTTCTTTTTGCTATAGGTTTCGTATGACATGTTGATGACATTGGACCATTTTTCAGTGCTGGATGCTGCTCCTCTTCGATTTCGGGTGAGTTTTCGTCCAGGTTTTTTGTCTTCATCGTTTTGTGCAGAATCAGATCCCTCTTTTCGGATGGGAGTGATGCCTTTCAGCTCTTCAGATATCCGTTTCTCTTCCTCTAGCGCCTGATTTAATAACTTTTCAACATATGTACTTATATCATTCTCATAATCAGATTTTGCTTGTTGTACATCACTATTATATGTTTCTTCAATATTTCTCATTTGCAATTCTCTGAATTGAGCAGCAAGAAAAAGCTTTCGTTGCTTTAAACTGTCAAATAATGATATCTGTTCCTTGTATCCTTTAATATAATCTTGGAGAAGTTCATCTCTACCTTCGTCTTTGCTTGTCAGTAATTTTATCTTTTGTTGTACTTGTTTCAGTTTCTCAAGGAGTTCAGGGTTGTTGGATTGGTCTGTGGCGGTTTCATCTTCCTCATTCTCTACAACAACGTTGGCATGATTATTTGTAACTGTTGATGAAGATGCAATTGAATTTTCCTTGCTCTCATATGGAGAACTATCAGCTGAAGTATTGGTCACATTAGACATTTTTAATTATTCACAATCAGAATTACTTTGAATTTATCCTTGGATGAGAAAATTGAGTATGATGATAAGGGAGCGGATCGTTCTAGTTGGGTTGGGTGAAAATAATTTATCTATCTTGAATTTAGAATGGAATTAAACGTGTAAGTGATAATCTAGTTGTCCTTTGGCAGAACAATAAATCAAGCGTTTGATGGCACTTGAACGCAGAGTATTTTTTTAAAATAATAATAAATTTTTAGCAATTTTAATTTCTGTTGGCTTAACCATCATCAGCGTTCATCGTAAGCCACACAGAATACAACGAGCATCACATCATCGTGATGACCTGTTTCGAACATTACCATGGATTAATTGCGGCTCATAAATTCATAACGAAACAAATTATTTGTGAATGAATTTATTTCATTTACAACTTGTTCCATGCTTCAACTTCGCATGAGGAAACTCCTTCCATGACTGCTTCATCTTCCTCTTCATTGTAGAACAAACCAGTAACCTTGTCCAAGGATACCTTTGAGTCGTCGTGGATGGTAGCAACAACACGGAGAACCTTCAAACCGAAAGCAAAGTCTTCCTTTCTGATTTCACCCCATTCCAAGAATTCAATGCTGATATCTCTGATTCTCTTTTCCAAATCAACCAAGTGTTGATCCATTCTTTGGTTCATTTGTTCAGCAGTTTCGTCCTCTGGTCCGTCTGGAAGGTTAGGCTTGACCAACAAAATCAATTGGGACTTGGTAATCTTTGGTGCCATGTTTACTGGTGTTGTGTTGTGAATATTTTTTTCAGCAAAACAGAATTTCAATGTTTTACAAGCGAGTGCAATTTCGCTGCCAACCAACCTTCGAAGGTTACAAAAAGACGTTTCACCAATAAATTTGAAGGTAACTTTCTCTTTGGTGCCCACTTCGAAGCAGATACAAAAAAGTCGACTTTCTTAATCGTGTTTGATAATAGACCTGTTGGTGGAAAGTTAAAACCATGCCGTCTCAAACATCTCGCATCAAGTCAAGAACCATGGTTTTTATAGTATGATGGAAATCATGGAGTTTCGAAAAGATGAAAAAGTTCAAAATGATTGAAACTCGTCTCTGCTGTTGTGTTTGGAGCGATTTACATACCAACAACATACATCGTCTCTTCCGAAAGTGGACTTTATGACAATAAATGTTGGTTTCGTTCCAACAAGCTTCGACATCGATGAAGAAAATCTTTTCTTAAAAAAAAAATTTGTTGTGGGTTTAACGTTGCTGCCATCACTTTCTCTTGTCAAAGTGATCATCATCATCATTGGAGAGTGTTGCACCCATTTCATTTGAATTACCAAGATAAAGAATTTCGGAAGATTATCCGCATTATTGATTCACAAAGATTAGACGAATCATCAAAGAGAATCTTTTTTTAAATTATTTTTATTGGGGAAGAATGTTTAATTCTTCTCGTTCATACTTGAAAAATGGCAAGGCCCACCTTGCTGCTCTCCTACTGCTTGTCATTACACACCTTCTTTGGATCTCATTAGCAAATGCCCAAGCTCTCATCACTCTCACAACCAATCAACCAATGAATGGTACTGTTCAAGGAAATGCCATTCAATACTATTACATTACCAATATTCCTGATTTGGTTTCCTCTAATTCTTCCTTGTCATTTATTGTGACACCAATTTCAGGAGATGCTGATGTATACGTTTCAACGACAAGACTTCCAGATATTAATGATCCAATGTCTTATCAATGGTCATCTACTGTACAGAGCGGAACAGACACTGTGACGATTAACAAGCAGAGTGCTGGTTACAAAGCTGGTGGACCTTATTACATTGCCGTTCATGGCTATCAAAAACCAGCATTATTTTCAATTTTGGTTTTAAATTCAGATCTTCCAACATTTATTTCAGAAAGTTTACCTCAAAATGTTTTTGTAGACTCTAACCAATTTCTTTATTTTACCTATGTGGCTAACTCTGCTGGTTATTTCTCAATTTCTGTGAACGCTTTGTTTGGAGATCCAAATCTCTATGTGAGTACCACTGATTCAAAACCAGGTCCAAACAATGCTCAATGGAAAAAGGAATCTATTGGAGATGATTACATATTCATCAATGCTCCTTCACCAGCAACCTATTACATTGCTGTTACTGGTAGAGATCATGAAAGAACTCAATCCAATTTACAAATTTCTTCACTTTCCACTCAAGGTTTGGTTGCCGATGGTTTGCGAGTGTATGACAAAATTCCATCTTCGGGAAAGACCTACTTTAAATTCTTTGTAGCAACACCTGCAGATTCAATTCAATTCACATGCAACAAGCTAAGCTTCTTTGGTGATCCAGATATTTACATTTCCAAAACAAATGAGTATCCAAGCAAGACATCTTATGATTGGAAAGAAGAAGGCTCTGGAACGAGCACGATTACCATTTCCGATTCAGCACAATTAAGCGGATGGTTCTATATTGGAATTGTGGATGACTCATTTTTCGATGTGGACTATTTCTTATTGATCACTACCACTTTTGCTAATGCAAGACTTTCCAATGGAGTTCCAATCACTAAGGGACTACTTGCAAATAAGGTCGATTATTATATCTTTTATGTAGAAGCCAATACACAGGGTGGGCAAACAGAATTGGATGTGATCGTGACCCCTCGTTCCGGTCAAGAATTGATTGTCTATGGAAGTTCAACATTTAGAAATCCAAGTGAAACTTCTCATGATCTTGAAGGAGTGCTTGTTGGAGGTTCTATTGTACTTCACAAGGATAACTCTCCAGCTGGACCTTACTACATTTCAGTGACCTCTCTCAGTAATACCAACTATACGATCACTGCAACTACCAAAAACAGCTATATCGAGTTGATCGATTCTGTCGAATATTCATCCACGGTTGGAAGCAAAAAACAAAAAGTATTCGTTTTTCCAATTGCTAACAATGATGTCGATGTTGGTATTTCTCTAACATCCATGTCAGGAGATGCAGACATGTACATCTCAATTAATGAAGATGTCTCTAAAAACAAATATGATTGGCATTCCATGTCAGCTTCAAGATCTGAATTTATTCACATTCCTGCAAATGCTGCTCAAAGACATTCCTCTCAATTTACTGGAAGATTATTTATTGCTGTTTATGGATACAATGCTGCTACTTTTTCTATTGTTGCATATAGTCAAGGAAATACCATTGAACTTGAGAGTGGAGTACCTGTCTCTGGTGTGTTAGAAAAGAGTGGAGATTCACAATATTACAAATATTATCAAAGTAATCCAGGTTCACTCACTTTTAATCTCCAACCTGGTTATGAATCCCATGATCCAGATATTTATGTTTCACGTACAAATCCTAAACCTGGACCTCAAGATTATGATGAGCATGGAATTACATTGGGAGATGATATCATTTCCATCACAAATGCACAACCTGGTAATTACTTTATTGGAGTTTACACTTTTTCTCCCAACACATCCTACGTTCTAGTGGTTTCTTCCAATTATATGAATTTGGGTTCTTATGGTGTTCCTCTTTTAGACACAGTCCCCAAGGGTCAATTCAGATATTACTATACTTCTGTGGTTCCAGGAGAGTATGGAGTGGTTGGAGGAGTCACTCTCATTGAAGGTCAAACTCGACTCTATGTGAGCAACAAGACCGATCATCCCTCTGAATCTTCATATACCTATGCCGATACCAATTATCCTGGCAACTTGATTTCTGTGAATCCATCATCGGAAATGAATCTTGATGGTGCCATCTCTGCTGAATGGGTCTATGCAGTGTATGGAGTGGAGGACTCGACCTACTTTATTCACTCTTCGTATATGGCTTATCAGGCTGAACTCAAATTAGGTCTTCCAACCATTGGAGAATCTGAATGTTGTGAGAAGGGATCACTTTTCCTCTATCATACTCCATTCACAGCGGATAAGGATTACTATGTGTATGTTAATTCATTGACAGGAGATCGAGCATTTACTGCCGTTTATATTGATCAAGATCATACTCATCCAAATGCATCCAATTACAAATGGTCTGCTCAAGGCAATGAGGATTTGTTTGTAAAATTGAATGCCAATGAATTGGTGAGAAACAAACCACTCTATATCAATGTCTTTTCTTACAGAGGTTTAGCAAGATATCATGTGACTGTGGAACAATCGGGTGCTCCTATTTTCCTCACCTCTGACTCACCAAACAAAGTATTTGCCTATCCCGATCAACAAGATTTCTTTAGAGTATTTAGTGTGAAAAACTCTGCAGGATTAACTGCAATATTAGAAAGTTGTACGGACAATACTGCCATGCCATTCTATGTGTCAAATATTAACTCACAGCCAAATCCAACAAATAATTCCTATGTGTCTGTAGCGAATGGCCCTTTCTCGCAATTAATCACAACCAACAAGTCTGAAACCTCTACTTTTTATTTCATTGGAACTTCCAAATTAACAACCAGTAATATTTACACGATTTATGCTACGACTGGATCTGATAAAAGACCCAAACCAAAGAACAATGGAATTCTCACAGAAGGTCCTCTCATTAGCACTTCCTCCAAGAGAATTTTGGTTCCAACCATTCAAGATGATTCTGATACCAGTACTTACATGTATTTTGTTTACAAACGAGTGCTTTCTGCAAAAGAAGATCCCAACCAAGTGAACATGCAAACCATTTGTGCTATTACCAATGGAGAAGCGACACTCACGGGTCAAATATTTTTACCAATCGATCGTCCTGATGTTGTGTTTTATGATGTTCCAGTTCGTTCCTCAGAGAGATATATTATTAATGTGATTGCTGTGAATCATGTGAATGGTTTATCCAGAGCTTACCAACCACTCTATTTTGGAATTGATAATACGAATAGCTTGAGTGATGGACAATCATTGATTTCCTTCACTAACCAAAGTATTCCATGTGCACAATTTACATTTGCATCAGAACCACTTGGTCAAGGTATTACTTTATCGTTTATTGTAACTCCATTCTCTGGTGATGTTGATTTGTATATTGCACAGAGTCCACCTGCTTCACCAAATAATTTCGTTCTAAAGAGTAGTAACCATGGATTTGATGTCATTTCCTTCTCAAACCAAGATCCTAAATACTTTAATGGACCATATTATGTGGGTGTTTGTGGGGTTGTTAATAATGACTTGACCGAGTTCAGTATTTTGGGAGTTAAAACTGGAACAGCCATCAAGCTTAAGGATGGACAACCTCAACTTGTTTCGACCAAGGCACTTGATTCGTCATACTTTACTTATCAACTCGAAGGAAATAATGATTTCACACTAACTGTTTCTCCAATTAGTGGTGATCCAGACGCATACATGAGCACTGATACTCAACCAACAAGTTATAATCACATGTGGGGAAGTGACACTAGTTCCGTAGAAGTCATCAAAGTTAAAACGACTGATAATGGTTTCAAACCAAACTCTATCTACTATATCAGTACTTTAGCATTTGGTTCTGATGCAATGTATTCCATTGTTGCCACAAGAAATGACTCGATTTCTACAATTATGCATGGAGTATCTGTGGGTGGACGTGTACAAGTTGCTGAATCTTCCTACTACAAATTTAAATTAACTCATCAAGCTTCAGTGACAATTACAGTGAATCCTCTGAACGCTGTTGGAGATCCTGATATTTTTGTATCCACAGATGACAATAATCAATATCCTAGTCCTAGTCAACACAACTTTGTTGCTCGATCTAAAAGTGTGGACTCTCTTGTGATCAAACCTACAGATGCAGGTTGGAAAATTGGTTGGTATTACATTGCTGTGAGAGGATATGGAGCAGATACTGAATTTGAATTAACAGTCATGTCTTCTGATGAAGTCACCATTCTTGAAGATGGTATGCCCATTTCACTCGCTCCCAGTGTTGGTGATTGGAATTATTTCGGATTCTTTTATGGATTTTCTGCTAATCACTTAATTTCAGCGCCAAGACAAGTGATGGATTAAGAGCTGAAATGTTCTGTAGTCAAACCAATTCTCATCCCGATCGAAACAAGTATGATTTCGTAGGTGAAAATACAGGAAGTGAAATTTTAGCAACCATTCCAGAATCATCCAAGATTGGTTGGTATTATTGTGCTGTTCACACTCTTGCCTCAGGTACTTTGACCATGACTGCTTTTACCAATCAACGTCCAAGATTACTTTTAGATTCCACAATGAATACCAATAACTATGTGAGATCCAATTATTATGTCTACTTTGTTTATAACTTACCACCTTATAGTAATCTGACTGATGTGAATATTTTAGCTTACATGAATTATGGAGATGCAGATATTTATGTGAGTAAGAATAATTCGAGACCTACCATTAGCAATTATGATTGGCGTTCCTTCTCTCTTGATATTGAAAATTTAGTAATTCCTAAAGAACAAATTGGACCCAATGTGAGAGAATTATATATTGGTGTTCATGGATTTTCCAATGCCGTTTTCGATATGATTGTTTATGGAATGGATCGTGTTTTGGAACTCACTGAAAACAGTCCCATTGTTGGAGTTGCTGAAATGGGTACCTACAAGAGATACAAATTCAATCTTGAAAATCAAGGAAAGTTGAAATTGGATCTTTCTGTATTGTCTGCATATCCATCGGATGCTGATCTATATGTGAGTATGGAACCATATCCATCGAAAGAACATCACACATGGAAATCTAAAAACTTTGGTGACGATACACTTGAAATTGATGGAGCCATTCCAGGCACCTATTACATTTCAGTGTATGCTTCACCAGTCACTGAAACGAAATTCTCTCTTTCTGTCTCTACACTCTACTCGTATGTGTACGATGGAGGTCAAATTATGGACACGATCAATGTCAATGCTGTTCGTCATTACAAGATTTTTGTTCCAACTGAGGCTGAACAAGTGATCATTGCAACTACGAATCTCAATGGTCAAACAAGAATGTATTTGAATACCAATGATACATTCCCAACTTTACAGAATTACATGCTCTCCTCTGATACTCAACGACGAGGAAATGGTATTTTAGTGACCAAAGTTGGAAATCCAAATATCTTTGCAACTGGAGTATGGTCCTTGTCGATTTATGGAGTTGTACCTTCATCATTTTATTTATCATTCCAAACAGTGAGAGGTGTATTGAGATCAGGTGTTCCTCGTAGTGGTTTGACTACTCCATTGTGACCTCTCGATATTCTCTTGCACTTAAAACTACTCCTGTTACTGGAATGCTCATTTCTGCTCGAGTGTTCAATGTTATTGATGATTGTATTAAGGTGACTGCTTATCAAAATTCGAGCTATTCCATCTCTGACAAATCTAATCCAAAGTATGCAAATAGTGTCACATTGAAGTTCCAAAATATGGCACAATCACAAAATTTATTTATTGATGTCGTTGCATGTACAGATCGAGTGGTTCAATATGAACTTGTAGTGACTGCCAAAGACCAACCTATTTATTTAATTCAAGATTCTTTCTCGGTTTATTCTGTTGAAGCCAATGAATTTGAATTATACAGTCCAAAGACAGGTCAAGCGTTATTGACACAATTTGATTCCTGTGATGAAAAAAGTATTAGAGATACAGTATCTATCTATGCTGCAAAAGGTAGAATGCCTTCGAACCAAGATTTCGATGAGGCTCTTTCCCCAATTAGCACGTATTCTTTGATTTTGAATCAATCATTAGTCTCGACTGATTCCATTTATTATTTCAAGATTATGGGTAATTATGACTCAATGCCTTCCTATTACTCTGTATTTGCATCGACCTTGAAAAATGATCCAAGACCACCAAAAGTATCTTACAAAGTGTCACGTGTTTCTGAAAGTTTTGATGACAAGGTTCCTTCAGTTTATAATGTTGAGTTACAAACACCATTACCTGCAAATACTTTTTACAAATTTGTGGGTTATGCTTTGAGCGATCAGTTGTCAAGCATGAGCCAGGATAGTGAGATCTTTCGTAATTTGAACTTCCATACATTGTGTGCCATTCATGCTAAATCTAATTTACAAGTTCTTGCAGAAGGAGATAGTACTTCAAAAGTGCCACTCACAATTAATGTATATGGTGATAAGGATTATGTTGTTAACCTCATTACAAGAAATGATAAGGACGGTCAATTGCAACAAGTATCCACTCCATTTATCATTAGAAAGTCACGAGAAAGTGCAGTTAGTCCTGGTGGAATTATTTTAATTATTTTACTTATTTTAGTAGTATTATACCTTGGTATTGGTTCCATTGTTAAAGTTGTCAAGTATAAGGCAAGAGGTATTGATATTATTCCAAATATTGGATTTGGAAAGAAGTCTTTTCTTTGTTCTGGGATGGAGTTCAATTTGTATTCTTGTGTGAACTCTTTAGAAAACGCAGACGAAGCAGTGGTGAAGCTTATGATGTCATGGATGATGAACCAATTGTAGGAGAGGAGAACTCGATTAATAATCCAGAAGCTTATCGAGACAATGAAGAGGAAGAAGGTGTAACAACCATTGAGGAAGATATTAACCCATTTGCACAACAACGATCCTCACTTCCACCAACCTCTCAACAAGGATATACTAGTATTATTTAAAAGGTATGAAGAGTAAAGAATTTCCATTAACTTTTGAGCGACTTCGATGGTGTGTTGTGAATGCTGTTGTCAAATTTTCAAAAGCCAAAAAATATTTTAGAACCAATCTCGAATTGAATCACAACAACGTTATTATTGTTTCAAGTGTATATAATAACATTAAACATTTTTTAAATTATTATTAAAAGAGCGAATTGTAACCAACAACATGATGCAATCAAAAACCGGTCATCATGATTCTCTTCAATACGTTGGCCATTCCGGAAAGGCTTACATGTTGGTAGAAAAGAAATCATCAACATTATTAAATGATCATCAAGGATCATCATCAACAAACACTGCACAACATCAAATGGTGAAATGTAGTATTCGGTTGAAAGAAGGAAAAAGCCTTTTAGTGAAGAAACAATCCGAGCATACATTAACGTTTAAAATTACACCTTTTACCTGTGCCAAGTATACAGTGCTTTCATCGGGTGTTCAACGAGTACTTGTTTCTGTAGTGGAATTATCGGTGAGTGATAGCTCTACATCGTCCGCAACATCTCCTCCATCAGCTGCTTCTTCTGCAAAACAGAGTTATTTTGTACCCGAATTACAATTTATATTCGGTTCGGAAGAGTAAGTAATCGGAATGATGAATATAACATTCAAAAAAATTATCACGTCTAAATGATTTGATGGTTATGGAAAATTGTAAATTTTCGAAGAGAGTCCAAAGAGTGGTGTGACAAAATAATGAATAATGTTTACTGTTTGTGTGCTGAGCTTGTAACAACCAAAATTCAGAAAGATATACAAACAAGAGCTGTCTCACCGACGCAAGACGTTGTTCCAAAAATGAAAACAAGCGTTATGGAGGGTTATCTCATTAGAAAAAATCAAAAACATCATATCAAAACTTATCAAAAACCATCAGTAATATTTGCAGAATTATCAAACAAACAGTTACTATTTTATACATCACACAAAAAGTCAAAGGTTGCAGATGTTATTGGATGCAGAGTGGATTTTACCCGAGAGAGATACTTTGTGGAACATTTAAAAATTGGATCAACAACAGCACAAAAAAGCAATTTTCATCCGTTAGCATTTACTTTGGATGTCACAAATGAACAAGAACCAAGAGAAAGCTTTGCTTGTCCATCTATTACAGAGGCTCAAAAATGGACTTCCTCACTTGGAACTCCATCTTCTCCAGAACTGACTGTTAAAACGGATGGTTTTGATCACCATTTAGAATCAGAAGGTGATGAAAAAGATGAAGAAAAATTATCGGATGGAGGTGGCGACGAAGACAATGGTGAAGAAATTGATGAAGAATTAGCAATGCTATTGGGGCTTGGATGTGATAGTGGCACAGTAGTCATTCATCAAGACGTTCCCACAAAAGAGGATGTTGTTGGAGATGCAGTGTTAGAAACAGGAGAACCTGACATCTTTGGAAAAGGAAAGAAAGGAAATGTGTTTGGCGATTCATTTTGGAAACCACTTCCTGCCTCTGCAACAACACCAAAGGAAGACACTAAAACTCCTCCAAAATCAAAACTTTCTGAAACTGAAATGCTGAAAAGACGCGTTGCTGAGCTTGAGAAATTATTGGAAGAAAAAACAAGGGAATGTGAAAGCTTGAAACAACAGCTGAATTTGCAACAAAATGCTAATGTTTGCTGAACTTATCAAAAAATCCAGCGAGCTTCTCAGGAGGACAGGTGGTAAAAAAGGTTGCAGGATAAACTTGCGTTTTCCACAAAGGATGTGAAATGAGTCTGCATTCACTTAATGAATAATCAACAGTATAGCTCTTTAAAAAGAATTCACATCCATCTACATCACTGTAGAGCATTCCTCCTCTATCGGAAAGTACAGGATATCCTGTCACAGGGTCTGTATAATCACACCACATTAAATCGTTTTTTGAATCATTCATTGATTGTTGTTCGATAAAGGTTTTTAGTTTTTCACTGAACCGTAAGAACTAGATGAAAATTATTGTTCAATAATTAAAATTCATCAAGAAACCAACCCGTTTCAATTTGTCATCCTTCTCCTTCTCACTGTTTTCATCAAACACAAACAAGGAGCATGAAACTGGTTGAAATGTAGGAATGATGTACAATTGGTACTTGTCAAAATGTTGTTTCATCTTTGGAAATATATTCTTCATATCGGATTTCAATAAATTAGGACATTTATGAATTGAATATTCAATCACAAATGAATCATTGCTATCATCATCTTGAAAGTTGATGATGGTTGGAGGCACGACAGTATATCGGCTGGCAGTCGTTTTTGAAGTCATTTTTTGTTTTTCATTGTTTGGCAACATCATCGCGAATCAAAAAGTTCATTAACAATTTTTACTTTCCTCAATTCAAGAGTTCTTTCATGGTGAGCATGCTTGTTCGAACAATCTTCTTCGTTTTTAAGGTGCAGCCGGCCAGCCATGTTGTTTGATTGGAAAAGATGTCCTCCACAACAGGAATCATGTTGTTGTCTTCATTGGATGTCATGTTGTCTTGTAAACTTGTCGAATCTTGGCGTAATGTTGTCAATGGATTTGTTGTCTTCATGAAGAGCAAGCAAGGAAGGGATGATTTTCCAGAATACAAAGTTGTATCATTAGGTAAATCTTTTGACACAATGGTGGAGTGATGATTATTGTTGTTGTGTTTCATGTTGTTTAGAGATGATGGCCATGTTATTATTGGTTGTTGCAAATTCACAATATCCAATAACACATGTTCGTAGGGTTGTATAGAAATCTTTCTTGCTTTTCTGGACACGCCACACATTTTGGATTGACACTCTGCGTATGGTACAAAGGTAAATTGAGAAGTGTATCGAGGTTTTTGAATACCTCTTGTTCTTTCACGAGTCTTCTTTCTTGCCTGTTTCGTTTGGAGACGTGTTGGTGGTACTTCAATGTCTTGACAGTTGGCAGTAGTGGATGACATGTGTTCAATTCTTTTTGTTATTAGGTCTAGGTCAATTCAAAATATGTTCATTGGACGTTCATCCGAATATTGTTATGTTTAAAATGAACCTGCAGCCTTATAATGGCAATTCAACCATCCTTTTATAGAGTCTCCAATTGATGAGAGATTTTGCGAAGAGTTTAAACGGAAAGCATCTCTTCAAATGTATCTTATAAATTAATAAATTAATTAACAATTGTTCTTTTTAGAAGACAAACACAAATCAAGTTTGTTTAAGACGCTTTCTCATGCAAGAAATAGAATGCATCTTTTCACCGTGAATTAAGAATCCGCAGTGTAGTGCACCACTTTCACCAAGTGAACTCGTCCGTACTCTCACTTCGTCTCTAGATCTTGGGTTTTATTCAGTTTCAATTTAGTCCTCAAATCCACTTTGCAGACCCTTACACGAAAAAAAATGGCTCATCTACCGCAACCACGCGGTCGTTCAAATTCAATTACTTCCAACCCTTCTTCATCGTTATCCTCTCCGAACGGTTCACATCATGATTTTACAAACATTATCAATCATCAGAGTGTTGGAACATCGATACCAAACAACAACAAACATCAAAAATCGACGTGGCTATTGGTGAGACTTCTAGATGCATTAATTTATATTGTATCGGAATATGCAAAAACGTTAATCCGAGAATTAATTTTGTTATTTGGATATTTTCTTCATTTGTTAGTGAGTTTTATATTATATGTGTTTCATCGTCCGGGTCGGTATGATGAGACACTATTGGCACAACAAAAAGCATTTCCGAAACGATCCACTTCTTCAGCCTCTTTAGCTCATCTCGACATGTCGAAATTATCAAACGATGATGATTCCTCTGTTGGAGTTGGAATATTTGGGAGGTATGACGATGAAATGTCTCAAACTGGGCGAAAGACTTGTTCTTCGGAAGATCATGGTAATGAAAGTAGTGACAGAAAACGGTTAACTGATAGAAAGAAAGTAAACTTTGATAAGGCTGACCATTTGATTATTAACACAAATGTTCGCAAAAACAGTTTTTCATCCAATGTGACTAAAGGAGGCGATACAAGCCCAACCATTGAAACTGGATCAATTATACAGCACTCACAACCTACTACTAATTTATTTCCCACATCCACCTCTTCTCACATTATGATCGGAAAGAATTCGTTTCGAAAAATATTGGAATCCTCCATGAAATTGAAAAAGGTATCCAGTATTGGTCATTTAATTTCTCCAAACACATTGTCAACAAGCTGTGTTACTCCTACACAGGTTGAAAGCAGTGGAGCCAACATTATTTCAGAGTACCCTCCTGTGGAAAGTAGTACCGCAAGTCTGGTAGATTCAGAATGGACAGATTATGAAAATTTGGATGCTAATTTCGATTATGACTTTGAAGATGATGTAAGAGAGGATATCAAACTCATCTATGAAGAGAAGAGGCTTGGGGCAAGAATTCTTGATTTTATTGGTGAAATGTTTATGTGGTTTATCATGCTAATTATTTACTTACCAAGTTTGTTTAAATCTCCAATCAACTCTAAAAAAGCATCTATTGAAGCAGACAAGGTGCATTTATATGAAAAGAAGTCTACAGGGCTCTTTGAGGATTTAATCGACGCCGTTTTTGAATGCATTGATTTATTAGCAAAAGCTGCAAGGTTATTTATTCGATTCAAGATGAGAGAATGTTTCAAAACCATGAAGGAATGCTTTTTACTTTTCAGACTTTCTAACTTCCTCTCCACTAGAGGTATTGACGACAGATCCATCAGTCAAGTCATTATTGACAATGGCTTCAAATCAAAGAATTATATTTGTTCAACAGAAGATGGCTACAAAGTTGAACTGAACAGAATTCCCAATGTTCAAAGCAAAACAGCGGTCTACTTTCAACACGGAATTTTAGATAGTGGGTTCACATGGATTGGTAGCAGTCCCAACGTAGGCTTGGCATGTGCTGCAAATGGATATGATGTATTTCTTGGAAACTTGAGAGGATATGGTTTGGCCAAATGTCACGGAAAACATGCACGAGAAAGTATCACTACCAGAGAATATTGGGATTTTAGCATCAACGAACATGCATTCTATGACGTGAAAAGCTTTGTTAAGAAAATAAGAGATATCAAAAAGAAAGAATAGGAACTAGCAATTTCAAGTTGGCTGTCGTTGCTCACTCAATGGGTGCAGCATGTATCCTGGCTTACATGTCTTGGTGCAAAGCTCACAATCAAGAACACTATATTGATAAGGTAATACTTCTTTCTCCTGCTGGAAATCATCAAAAGATTCCAACATTGCTATACTACCTATCATTTACAATTCCTCTCATTCGAAAATTACCATTCTGGAATTATTTTGGATTTACTTCAAAGACCATGAAAATTCTAGTGGCAAAAGTTATTCAAGATATCAACAACCATAAGGCCACGAGGTCATTATTCTCTGCTTTTGCAAGCGCTCTTGTGTTGGGAGGTAAAACTCAAAACAATCCATTCCAATATGTCCATAATTTAGTGTATCATACCTTCAATGCAACTTCGGTCAAAGTGGTTGAGCATCTCATTCAAATGAGTACAAGTGGAAGGTTTTTAGCATATGATTATGGTCCAGAGACCAATAAGAAAGTCTATGGAACTGAAAAACCATTTGACTTTTTCGATTACTATGACAAGCTCAATATTCCAATCTATATCGTTTATGCTGACGACGATCGAGTGATTCCCAAGCAATGTATACTCAGACACTACAAAGAATTAAGAAAGTATCATCCTGAAACAAGCTTTGCTAAAAAGTTCAAGGATTTAGGCCACTTGGAATTAACACTCAGTAGCAACGATCGAGTGATTCAATACATTCTCAAAGTATTGGGCCAGGAAGACGGTCCAAAAAAGTGATCGTGTAGATTTGACAAATTTGTTTTACTCATCCAAGTAGGACGATGCTGATGACGTTCGTATGTGAATATCTGCATATTTCTCGTTTTGAATGAGGCGTGATTTCATTAATTTTTCAGAAGTTGTCGATCTACTATTCTCAAAGATGAAATAAGAACAGTCCGATGTTGCAACAATTTCCTTGACATGGACGCTGGTAGAAATTCCTTCAAGATTCAAAATTTCCTTAAACTCGCTGCCATTAATACTGTACACCTTCTTTCTATTGACAACAAGATAATAGAAACAATATCCAGCAAATATTTGAATGTTGTGTAATCCATATTTTTCTACGAATGGTGCAATACTGACATTGGATCGAGTGCTTAACGGACCCAAATTGCACTCGTTAACACATTAGAATTATTCCTCAATAGGAACACAGTTTCATACATGTGAGAAGGTGTGATGGAAAATACGTTTTGTTGAAGCAAGAAAAATTGTTTGTCCTTATTCGCAAAATATAATTGATTGGCTTGTGTGAGAACTATGAGTCCCTTATCGGCATGTTTAAAGTATTTGATAGACTCTTTCTTGAAAATTTCACATCCAGGAACAAGGAAATTTGTTGAACTTGCATTCGCATTCATTTCTCCACATGCATAAATCTTCCAATTATCGACAAGCAAACTTGAGCTAAAAGTAGAGGCACTTGCTAAGGTTATTCGAGAGTCATCTCTATGCAAGAAATCCAATTTCGTTGCTTGTCGAAAACTACTTCCAGATTTCACATCAAATGTTTGATCGAAATACGAATGGCCACTGCAATAGACCTTGTTTTTATCCACAACCACAAGAGAATGAAACCAACCAGCAGCTACATGATCTATAGATGACACCTTGTCAGGGAGAGGAATTTCTCTCAGTCGTGTGACATATTGTTCATGCTCTGGCAGTCCAATCTGTGCATAATTGTTGAAACCTAAGCCAAACAACTTGTTCGATTGAGTGACAAGCAATAGATGTGATCTTCCTGAAGCTACAAGCTTGATGTCTTTGAGAATTTTGGAAGCGAATTCTTGTGTTGAAATGTTATGCAATGATTTGTCTTCTCCACCTTGGAAAACTTCTAAAATCGGTCCCAGCGGATATTGTTCACTATCATCCTCTTTGAATACAAGTCTTCCCAATTGCCCTTTGTCATTTTGCCCAAGGGACATAATATGTGTATGTTCTAAAGAATCGGAAAGAGAGGACGACACATCTTTGATTTTATCATTTGTAAATTGTATTTCTTGATCGCTCGTATGGACAGGAAGGATTTTGTTGAAGTTTGAGCCCGAACTTTGGTGTCGTATTCGCGGAGGAGAAGTGTTTGATGATGACGACTGCTTTGAGGTGGAAGATTTGTTGCCCATTCAATTATTGTTGGAACTGTAGGAAAGAACAGCGTGTGATGATGAAGCTTTCTTATTGTGCTGAAATTCAGTAGAGTCATAGATCAGATTTCATAGTGCATAGGTGCGCAAATAAGGCAACGTGGATGGTTGACATATTTTTCAAAAAGGCAAGGGGTTGATTTCTGGGACAGAAAAATGAGTTGTCGTCTTTCATTTTGAAAAAAAGTCATGCGAGTTCATTTGGTCTTTGTTGACAGTGAATCGAGCATTGAGAACTTTGTTAATGACGAAGATTAAGGTTGAAGGAATTGTTTTCTGCAAAAACTGAAGTCTCTTACAGAATTTGCTTTGAATTTGTAAAGACAATCCAGTGGAAAGTAACCGCTCTAAGGTTATATTGGGTTTGACGCGTGCCAGACTTGATCATCCTTAGTGAATAATGATGGCTTTTAGTCACTTCGTTTAGACCAAGCCCTATCCTAATATTATAAACTAATTCAGTTCAAGAAAGATTTTTTCAAAAAATTAAAAAAAATTTCCAACGGTGAAATTCATTGTTTCGTCTTCTCGGAATTCAACTCTTCAGAATAATACAATACCAACAACAATTATTGTAAATATGTCCAAAGCAAAATACATGTACAAAATTATTTTTGTTGGAGATTCGACTTGTGGGAAAACGTAGAGTATTTGATTGCTGGTTGGAATTGATTTTTTAAACATTTGTTCTCTCTTTGAAATTTATAATTGATGATCATCGGAATTATGCAGCGCCTTTATCCAACAATATGTCAATAATTATTTTACAAATACTTACAAATCAACTTTAGGAGTAGATTTCTCGTACAAAGAATATGATTACGACGAAAATACTTGTTTTAATTTGCAAGTAAGTTTCAAAATTTTGACTGGTATGAAATTAGAACGGAATTGATATCAATACAATAGTTTTGGGTATGTTATTCGAATTTATTAATAGTTCCAACAAAATATTGAAATGACTTGTGACATTCTCAACAGGATATTGCCGGTCAAGAAAGGTAAGCTTTTTTTCATGATGTAAATGGCAACGTCATCTTCTCTTTTTCTATAGATTCGGAAGTAAGTTTCTTATATATTACCAAATTGCTAATAATTTTGTGTATTAGCAATGACATCGGTATTCTATAGAGATGCTGTCGTAGCGGTCGTCATGTATGATGTGACAAACCCAAACACATTCGATCACACAAAAGATTGGAAATTAGATATTGATTCAAAGGTATTTCTTCCAGCACTTCATGAAAACGAGTCTGATGATATTCCAATTCCATGCATTCTTGTGGGCAATAAGATTGATTTACCCAAGAATGATAAACTTAACTTCAAACCATCTCAATTAGACGAGTATTGCGCCAACCATAATTTCGCAGGATGGGTTGAAATTTCAGTGAAAGAAAAAACAAACATGGATAAGGCTGTCAAAATGATTGTAGAACAAGTATTGAATTTTCATCAAAAGGTTATCCAATATTCAAGTGACAACAAGGATACAGGAGGTGATTCTGGTATCATTAATATTGACAAACTTGTTAAGGACATGCCAAAGACAGAAGATGGGCTCAATGGTGACAGTAAAAAGAAAGGATGTCAAAATTCCACTGGTTGTTGTGGAGGGAAGTGAAAGTATTTATTCACACAATAAACTCACTTTCAAGATGAACGTGTATTAATTGTTTGGTGGTGGATCATGAATTTTTTCTGATTGCAACGTCACACGGAAGAGGATAACAAAATTCCGAGCCGCTCTGAAAACAAGTCCCTTTCCGTTACTCAAAAAAAATGCTCTCCAAACACAATGCGGACGATTTAGCATTGAGTGATGATGAAGATTTTGATGAAGATTTAAACCTCGAGCCTACCATTCAAAATTTACTAGATGAAAAATCATTGCAATGGATTTTTGTAGGAGGAAAAGGAGGTGTCGGAAAAACGACCATCAGCAGTTCCATTGCCATGCACTTGGCTCAATGTAGAAAGAACGTATTGTTGATTAGTACAGATCCTGCACACAACTTGTCCGATGCTTTTGCTCAAAAGTTTAGCAAGGATCCGACCCTTGTGAATGGATTTGATAATTTATATTGCGTGGAAATTGATCCAAGTGATTCGAAATCCATGCTATCTGGTTTGTTGGATGATGGAAGCGAAAGTGAGGAAGGAGGCATTTTGAAAAATTTAATGAAGAATCTTTCTACAAACTTGCCTGGTCTTGATGAGGTTGAAAGTTTTGTTCATATTCTACGACAAGTGAACAACATGAACTTTGATGTGGTAGTTTTTGATACTGCACCCACCGGTCACACTCTCAGATTATTAGCATTACCGAATGTTATGAAAAATACTCTCGGAAATATTTTAGGATCAAACATTGGAAAGATGTTCACTCAATTTGGATCATTATTTGGTGGAGGCTCATCGGATAGCACAAGTCCACAACAAATCGAAGAGAAATTGCACAAGTTTCAGGAGAATGTCGACCAAATTACACAACAATTCCAAGATCCTAAAAAGACAACATTTGTATGTGTGTGCATCCCAGAATTCTTGTCTGTGTATGAAACTGAAAGATTAGTCCAAGAGTTGACTAATTTCAACATTGATTCTCATAATATTGTGGTCAATCAACTTGTTCTCAAAGATACCAAGAAAGAGCCATGCGAAATTTGTGAAGCAAGAAAAATTATTCAATCCAAGTACTTGAAGCAAATTTTCGAGCTCTATGAAGATTTTCACATCATCCAAATGCCCCTTCTCGGTAAGGAAGTTAGAGGCGTTCAAGCTCTTAATGAATTCAAAGACATGCTTCTTCACCCTCCTCCACTCGCCTACAAACGTGAAGACTTGAAATAAAAGAGAAACTTACCAAAATTATTCCCAAACGAAAATATTAAAAACACCAGATGAAAGTAGTGTGTTTGAGAAGGTGTCAAACGTTGCTGATCACCTGCTTTGGGAGTTGATGACACGATCCTCTCTTGAAAGAGATGAATGCTAGTATTGTTGCACAAATTTTTCGTCATCCAACAAAAAATTCTGTTGTTTGGTCGAATTGAACATCAAAAGCACGAATTTTTGCAACGCGAGCCAACAAACACACATTCAAAAAATATGAGCGCAGAAGACACTAAAGGAGACGTTAAAGCTGAAGGCAAGGAGCAACACATCAATGTTAAAGTGGTGAGTCAAGTAAGTATTCTTTCTGATGATGATTTGAGTATCAACATCACCCAATAGGACGGAGTGGAAGTATTTTTCAAGATCAAGAAAAGTACACCTTTGAAGAAGTTGATGGAGGCTTATTGCAAGAGACAAGGTCTCAGTGCAGCTTCTGTTCGTTTTGTTTTTGATGGAAACAGAATTAACGGAAACGAAACGGCTGATGAATTAGAAATGGACGATCAGGATGTTATTGACGTGCTTGTTGAACAAACTGGTGGTTTTTAAATTTTGGTCAAATCATCATCATATGCTGCCATCATCACTCCACTTCCTCTCACTTCCATTGTAGTATTATTTACTCCGCATCATCAGACAAGAATTATTAATAACCAAATTCATTGTATCGACGGAGGAATAAATAGAATAATTAATATCAGCAGCAACAACATTTAATCATCATCACGTTATAGTTTTGATACCTTTCCCAATTCAATACTCCTTTCGGTGGCAGCAATCACCGCTTTCATCACCGTACCTCTGAAACTTCCTTCCTCTGCCATATCACAGTATCAAACAACAAGGACAACAAACCAATGATAAGCCAGTAAGCCACGTGATGCTCAATCCTCTACTTTGTACTTACCTAAAGCTAAAACTCCTCTAGATGTGGTTCCTGCTGGAGAAACGACTCTGTCCTTCAATACTCCAGGTGAAACCTTCTCCTTTAGGACCATCTTGGCAGCTCCCAATACTGTTTGTGCTGCCAAAATATTGCTTGTCTCTCTCGCCAAACCACAATATACTCCTGCCTCTGCTAAGGCTTCAATGAACATGAATGCAAAAGCTGGCCCACTTCCTGAGAGTCCTGTCACAGCATCCAAATAACTCTCATCGCTTAAACTCACACATTCACCAATCATTGAGAAGATGGCCTGAACCATGGACTTGTCATTTTCCATGGTGTCAAGAGTTATGTGTTTTGAAGCTCCATGTGGAGGCTTTCCCAGCACATATCCACTTGCAGATTCCTCAACAGTACAACAAATATTTGGCATCACTCGTGCCACTCGAACCACACTGAAAAATTCATCCAATGCTCTCTCATTTGCTTGAGCAATTTGTGCTAAATGCTCGTAAATGGTTGAAATTTTATATCCTGCAGCAATGCTTATTAACAACAAGTCAGATTTCTTGGTTGCAAAGGCTGAAGAGGCTTCTTTCAACACACTCTCTAAGCCTTGAGGTTTTACTCCAAGAATTATCACATCACACGTATCAATAATTTCATTGTTATTTGAACATTTTTGAATATTGGTTTCTTGCACAATTTTGTTTAAAAATTCAACATTGGGATCATAGGCAAATATTTGTTGTGGTTTAATCATTGGAAATGATGATGACGATTCATGACTGCTGTTTTTGTTAACAATGGCACGAATGATTGAGCCATTCATGGCTCCTGTTCCGATAAAACCAAATTTCTTGTTTGCAAACATTGGAATGCTCTGGCTATCTGAAGTTGACATTTTTTGTTATTTGAAGTGGTGGTGGTTTTGTTCTTGTGAAATAACATTTCAAGACGACCCAAAGAGTTCTTGAAATCGGAATTGGACCTCAACACAAATCGTGTAAGGAATGCGGTGATTTTAACAGATTTGAATCACACCAACGCTGAACCTCATCAATGAGCCAACTTGAACCTTAGAGGTTAGCCTGTACTTGAACCTTATTCAATCATGCCTTGTTGATTTTCTTTGGCGTACACCTCCGAATCAAACATTTTCAACTCGAAAACAAAAGCCAGTATCATTTGATTACTAATTATATATTTCCTTCATCCGTTCTTGAAATGTCCCCAGCTCGTATCGGTATTGTTGGTGGTGGGCCAGGTAAGTGTTGTTCATTGTGTACAGACTCTCAGACGGTCATACATGTATCCACTTGCATGAATCATTATGGATGAACTTTTGAAATGTTTAGGAGGTCTCGCAACAGCCATGATTCTCTCAGCCAAAGGCTTCCAAGTAACACTCTTTGAGAAATCTCCAATAGTAGGAGGAAGAACCAGCTCTTTACAAGTGGGTCATTCAAAATTCGACTTGGGCCCAACGTTTCTGATGATGAAATTCGTACTCGATAAGGTTTTTCAAGATTCAGGAAAGAACTCTTCCAATTATATGAAATTTCAACGATTAGATCCCATGTATCGTCTGCAATTTAATAAGGACAAGTATATGGATTGTTATGACTTTTCTCAACGGGACAAAATGATACAAGAATTGAGGAGAGTCGTTCCCGAAGATGTTTCAGGTTATGAACGATGGTCGGAGTGGGAATCAAAACGATATGAACATTTAATTCCACTCCTTCAAAAATCCTATTCCTCTCATAGTGATATAGTGAGCATGCATTCAGTTAAGGCTCTACCTTATATGCAGTTCCCAAAATCATTGCATGAAATGTTAGGAGATTTTTACAAAAATCCATTGAGCAAATTGTCGTTTAGTTTTCAATCCAAGTATTTGGGTATGAGTCCGTTCACTTGTCCAGCGTATTATGGAATTATTGCTTTTGTAGAGCATGCTTTTGGTGTTTATCATGTCGAAGGTGGACTTTCGGAAATTCCTCGAACGATGGCCATGGCTGCTTCTGAAAATGGAACCACTTTGAAATTGAATACGCCTGTGACAGAATTATTGATCGATCAGCGCTCTAGAACAGTGAAAGGGGTCAAGGTTAAGGAAAATGGACAGGAAGAAAATGAATACTATTTTGACGAGGTAGTTCTTAATGCAGATTTTCCGTACGCAGTTCATCAATTAATTCCAAACGCAGAAAACCTATTGAGACAATGGAAACCAAGCAAAATTGCAAAGAAGAAATTCTCATGTTCCACATTTATGATGTATCTTGCCCTTGACAAGGAATATCCAGAAATTCAACATCATACCATTTCATTTGCAGATGATTATTCAGCGAACTTGAAAGCCATTTCAGAGGGTTACATGACCGACGACTTATCCATTTATGTGAGAAATTCATGCGTGAATGACAAGACAGTATCACCAAAAGGCAAATCAGGTTTATATGTTCTTGTTCCAATTCCAAATCTCATGGACAGTCAAGGAAAGATAGATTGGACCAATCACAACACAATGTGTTTAATGGGTCTGTTTTTTCACTCTCACATAACCTGCTACAAATGTTAAGTATGAGACCTAGAAACAAGTTCAACGAATTGGAAGGTCTGTATTTAACGGGAGCTCATACCTCTCCAGGAAGTGGATTGCCTACAATTTTTGAATCTGGAAGAATGGTTTCTGAAATGTTGTGCCAAAAGTATGGAATTCCTTATACGAGATCTTCGTTATTGGATTTGCATCATTAACTAGAACGTGAATCGTTAAGTGACGCTCCTAAAACAGCTAAGGAGGGTTGAGGTTTCCTGTTAAGCCAAGCTAAGAATGTCACCTAATAAACAATAACATGATTACTTCTTAAAAATCATGGTCACAGTTTTTTCCACATGCTTTCTTACATCATTCCTAGAGGCAAGACCAAGCAAGAAAACGACAATGACAGAAAACATGTGATCATTCAATTCTTCCAATCCTTTCAATTGTTCAATCTTTTTCAAAGACTCTTCGGTTGATACTGTTGTTAAAAGTTTCATATAAAGGGGATTCCCAGTATCAAAAGGAACTATATCTAGTTTACCTTGCTGCAACATTTCTCTCATCATCAATTGCAATAATGTGAACGTTTGTTGATTGAGCATTCTCTTATTACTGTTCTCAGACATTATCTTTTCCAAGTCTTTCATTGTATTTTCAATCATTGCTTGTTGTTCTCTTTTTCGCTGAGATTTTGTGGAAGAACCTTCAGAAATTTCTGAGTTCTTGCTTTTCTTGATAGGTGAGCTCACATCTTTGGACGAAGAAGCAAAAAATTTCGATGTACTAATGCTACCGTTTCTAGCGCTTCTTCGAGAACGCTTAGTAAATAACGAATTGTCTTCTGATTCTTCAGTAGACTCCTGTTCATCGTCACCATCATCTTGTTCATCATCACCAGTTTCACTACTTGACAAATACGGTTCATCATTTTCTTCAATTTGCTTCCTTTTATCTCCTCTTCTCGGCTTCTTTGTCTTGACATCATTTTCTGTGAAATGTCTTTTAGAAAATGAACATATTTCAGTGCTGGTATAAATTACAAAAGGACAAACTCCATTGTCACTACCTGGTTTATACAAATAAATTAATAAATTCCACTTGAATGCTTTTAGTTGATTTCTTTGAATATTTGGTAATTCAACGCTCACAGTAATTGGTTGATCATTTTCACTAATTTTATCTCCCATCACGATAGACACATCTTTAATTCTCCAAGGTGCCAAATCTTTAAAATTATTGCTGATATAGTCCAGTGTTTCTTTAAGCCCTTTCATCTTCTTTTCTCCATCCACAAACGGGCCTGTGACAGGAACTTTAAGTTGATTGCGCTGTCCACCCAAAATATAATTCGGATACAGTGCAAAATAGAGATCTCCATGCTGACGAATAAGAGTTGAATTTTTAAAATTCAAATTTACAGAAGTCATGAATATTGGAACGGTAAAACTATCATATACAAAGCCAGAGATGGTGTATTGGTAAGATTTATGACAATCATGTTTTGATTGAATGGTGAGTTTTCCTGCTCCCTCTTGATCCAACGTGATGGCGCACGAAGGCTTGCATGATTTTAATTGTGTGCGCAAGTTGGATGGAAATTCAGGAGATTCACTCCATTTAGGTTCCGAGAATTGAAGGGTATAATTGGGTGCTTTCAATGCTGTTGATGATGATGAAGACTCTTCTTTGGAATGAATCATTTTTTTTAATTGAAAAAAATTAAAAATGTCAAATTGTAAAAATTCATTAAAACATCTTGTGGTTGAATGCAACAATACATTTAAAAGATGAATTCTTGTTGAGAGATCTATGGTACAGAATAGCATCTAATATATTTCTGTTTTTTTACAGAGTGATGATCATTTAGAAATAGATCAATAGAAATTCCCACACGAAGCTTCACAAAACACTTTCCACGACATTTCGTAATTCATTCCTCCTCTGTAAATCGTAAATAAACACCACAAGTGCAGAAAATATATAATGATTCATTTCGTGCAGGCTTTTCAATTGTTCAAATTCTGTCAATACATCACGACATGCAGTGTCGTCCGAATGGTCCTTGTCATGTTCAATTGTCCCTTACTTGATAAATGTCGTACCATTACTTGTAAAAAGTCAAACATTTCTGTTGTAATACATGTTAAATCACTCTTCTCTGATGTAATCTTGGAAAGATCATTCAATTTTTTTACAATCTTGTAATGTTTAGAAACATTTTGGTAATGTGCTAATATATGAGGAGGGTGTGGGATTGAAGATTCCAACTCGGAACAAGTCGAAGGTTTGCTTTTCTTTGGGCTTGTACTTATCTCTTTCGAGGATGGAGAGGTCAGTAACGTTGTTTTCGAAAGACTCTTGCTACGTCGAGTCGATCGTGTAGAGGGAACCATCTGGAAGGAAGAATCATCTTCTGAGTCGCTTTCGTCATCATCCGTCTCATCTGTATCATCATAATCATCACTATCTTGATCATCGTGATAATCTTCATCACTTTCTGGATATTGTTGTTTTCTTTTTGTACCTTTGTTACGAGAATTCTTCTTTGACTTGGCGTCATTTTCTGTGAAGTGTCGTTTCGAAAATGAAAATGTTTCACTGCTGGTATAAATGACAAATGGACAAACACCATTGTCACTACTCTCGAACGTGTTCAAATAGATCAATAAATTCCATCGGAATGCTTTTAGTTGATTTCTCTGAATATTAGTTGGCAATTCGACTGTCACAGTTGTTGTTGGATTATGTTCACTGATTTTACCTCCCAACAACAAGGAACCAGCTTTAATTCTCCATGGTGCTAATAACTTTTCATTGTCGTCCACATAATCTAGTATTTCTTTCAAACCTTTCAATTTGACGTTTCCATCCACATAGTCACTTTTGATTGGAATTTTAAGTTGATTATGTTGAGGACCCAGTATATAATTTGGGTAAAGTGCAAAATAGAGATCTCCATGTTGTTGATGAACGAGAGTTGGATGACCAAGGTTCAAGGTGACAGATGCCATAAATTTTGGAACGGAATCTTCATCATAAATAAAGCCTGTAATCTCGTGTTGAGTGGATTTCTGTGGATCGTTTTTTGATAGAAGAGTGAGTGTTCCTGCTCCATCTCGATCCAATGTGATGGAACATGAGGGTGGATTGGTTTTTAATTGTGATTGCAAGCTGGATGGAAATTCAGGTGAAACACTGAAGGTGGGCTCTTGTGATAATCGAATGGTGTAATTGGGTTTCTCGATAACTCTTGATGATGAAGAGGGTGGTGATGATGCATCTGTGTGAGCTTGTGATGGAAGCATGGCTGTGAATTTTTTTCAAAAGAACGTGACAGGAATGTCAACAATTTGAACCGCAAATTCCTCTTGTGCGAGTACTGACGAGGAATCAGCAGTAAATGGTCATACCAAGATCTCTATCCATGTTGGTTGGATGACCAATTAATGCTGCGAGTTGAGTGAAATTTTTTAATGTTTTAAAATTCTTAATGAGACGACAAAGATAACTCTCAATTATTGCAATGCTGCAAGCTCAGCTTCCTTGCTCTTCAATAAATCGAATGAGCAAGCATATGGAGTTTCCATTTCCAAGTGATATTCGCATGTTGAAGGCTCATCTACTTTTACCAACTTGTTAGTGCCTCCACATTTCAGTTTCAAAATGGCCTTTCTTGCTCCCACTTTCCAACAATGTTGACCATCTTCAAAAGTCATGACGTTGGTTGCACTATTAAAATCTTTGAAATTGCCTAGAAGTGTCGACGAGTAGTTCTCCTTTTGGTTGGCCTTGTTGTAAGGACAAACTTCATACGAATATTGTTTTTGTTGCATCTCAAAACAGGATTCACTCAACTTGTAAAATTCTTTGTTTTTTCCATAATTGTTTGTTAATTTCTTTTGAACATCAGTTAACGAGTTCCTTAAATTAGACAATTCGTTGTTCAACTGATTGTATTGATTTCTTGCTTCCTCAGCAGCTTTGTTAAATAATTCAAGAGCATCAATATCATGAATACGGTGTTGGTAATATAATTTAAATAATGAAGTTGTGTGGCGAATACATTGTAAAGGTCGCGTAAATATTGAATACACATCTAGCTTATATAATAACGTTTCACTTGATGAAATAGTGACTTACCTGGAAATTTAAAGTTAATAATTTCCTCGTCATCAACAAAGGTTGGTTCTGAGGGTGGCTGAGGAGTTTCAGCTTGATTTTCTTGAGAGTCAGCTTCAGCCTTAGCTTCTTCTGAAGGTGGAGCTTCCTTTGGAAGTTGAGCCTGTTGCTCTTCCCATTCTTTCTTCTTCTTTGCTCTCAATAAATCTTTTTGTAATTGTTCAACTTTTTCAGCTTCTTCTTTTTTAATTTTCAGTTCTTCCAAAGTTTTTTCCTTTTCCGAAATTGATTGAGTTAAATCCTTTTGTTGATTTTCCAATTCGGCAATCTTGGATTTTCCATATTCAACATCAGCAGCAACAGAGCTCATGGCAGATTTCATTGCATTAATTTCGTTTTCTAAAGAAGCAACAATTTCCTTTCCTAATTCCTTGCATGTATCTTCACAAACATTCATAGAGGCTTCACCAAATGTGGAGGCAAAGTTTTCATCAGAGCCATCACAACAATCACACACTCCACTGGAATTAATATTATTTCATAACAATTTAAGTCATTTCATACATCTTCAATTATCTTGTTATTGGTTGTTACTTACTCGTTGACCTTGCTATGAGAAATGTATTGTGGCTTGAAATATTTGTTTTTACAATAGAATTTTGTGTCAGAGTTGAAAGATAGCACTGCATTGCTACAGGCGCTTGTTCCAGGTTCATCACTTCCGTCCTTGCAATCACAATAATTGTCGTTCACAGAATCAAAGCTGATCAATTCTTTTGATTGTAAACATTGAAATTGTTGCTTCTCCGATGTTTGCTTATATTTTTCTAGTAAATCAGGACCAACACCGTAGGTTGTTCTTTCGATAGAATTAAGTTCAGCCCCACATTGTTGTACAATCAATAAAGAGGCTACTGAAATCATCATCAGAATAAAATACAACGATGATGTCGGAAGTGAGGCTTTGCTTTTCAAAATTCCGAGTTGATTCATTTTTTCTTTAAACTTTACAATTTCACAACACGTGTTTTTATGGCGTCTTTTATCACCACGTGACATCTGTTTATTGATGATTAGATCACATGCTCTGTTGAGAAGTGTACAGGGAAGCAATCAAGAGTTCTCAAATTAATGAGAACAATTATAGGTTGTGTGACAAATTCAGGAACACAAATCAATCGAGTTTTAGAATTTTCAAATTCTAGCAGTTTCGTTTCATATTTCGAACAATTTCCACACACAAAAACATGAGGTGTGTTTTTGATAATAAAAGGATCTGCTTGTTGGAAAGGATAACACCCTAAATAATGGTTAATGACGACGGTTACACAAATACACTCAAAATGTAGTCAAACTTACTCATTGTATCCGGAGCTGTTGGAGCTAAATGCCCCCATTTCAACATATTTTCCATAATGTCCAATCTAGAATTGTAGACAGAATATTTTTCAACATCTTGTACTGTTTGCCCTGATGTGACGACAACACTGCATATAATTGTCAATAAACAATGAGAAGCTTCAAAGTCAGTACTTACTCTACATGATTCTCTCTTATTATGTGAGGATTAGTAACGAGATGACAAGTAGAATATGATGCACTCTTTGGAAACATGAAAGGATGGATAGGTTGTTGGGGGATTGTAACATTAGATGGATCGTTGGAGCCAGGCATAATGTCCACATCTACATTTGAAGCAAGTTGTTCAACAAAAATATCAAAAGTTTTCATGAATTCAGCAATTGAGCTTAATTCCTTTGGTCTCAACGATCCTCTAACATCAAATAGCTTTCCTTGATCCTCAGGTGCAATAACAACATTTCCTGCAATAATAACTCGAGATATCTTGGTCACAACATTGTCAACTAATGTTCCACTCGTTGCCAATCCAGTGATGAAATCAAAAGCCAATTGAGTTGCAACTGCGTCAAATTTTGGATGGCTGACACAGACGCCTGACAAAACTGCTAAATACGCGTCTTTAGTATTGGAAGAAATTGCATTCTGGGGTGCCATATCGTTGAAGACAATATCTCTTGCAATAAAAGTTCCATTGCTGTCTATTTCTCCAAACAAGCCTGCCACAATTCCCGTCACTAATTGGCTAGTCATTATTTTGTTCTTTTCTGACTGCTTTCCTTCAAATACCACATTGCATCTTGAACCATTGACATCTTCTAGAATTAAATAATCGTTATCGGATACATAATTATCTCGGTTTTCAATTTGTTCCACTTCAGACGCTGTTTTGTCCAATGTGAATTCTCTCAAAATGTTTGGTTTTAACTTCATCTCCTTAAAAAGAGTACCGACCACTGTGTATTCCACTCCCATGGAAAGATCTAGCATGGATTTCGCATGTGTAGCCTTCGGATAGAGTTTGGAAATCTTCTTCAACAATGGAGGTTTGAGTGTTTTAATACGATGTTCATATAATTTTGAAAATTGTTGTGTAAATGTTTTATCACTCAACAAGAACAAATCTTGGGAAAGAGCAACATGTTCCGTATGCTCTCTTTTTTGTTTTTGCGATGATGATGAAGAAGGCTTGTGAAGAAGTGATGAAGTTCCTTCAACAACATCGGAAAGGCACTTTTCTTGTGGCATTATTTTTTTTAACGTTCTCTCCATGGCGGGAAGTCTCGTTCGACCATTAATTGGATTTGTGTGGGTCAATGAAAACACACTGAGGATTCTTGGAAGCACATTTGTTTATTCAGAAAGCGTGGGGTAAGATCTTCTAACAACAAATGTGCTTCAAGAATCCTCGAACATTCGATGTCAGGATTTTTGGGGCTGATTCCATTTTGCAACCTCTAAAATTGTCAACCTAGAAACCCACACATTGCCAGTCAATTTGCCAAAATGTATCTGTTGGACTCGTCTTTACAATGTTAACATTGTTGAGAAGAACCCCGTGCCATTAAAAAAAATAGAAGCCATTTTGAGCGCGCTGATAGCCGTTAGTTCCAACCGTTTTCCATACTTTCATCATCACACTGAAACCCCGAGAGAATAAACTCGGACCGTGTTATTCTTGGTGTTCACTGGATACTACATACACAGCTGTATCTGTGTACGACGATTCTATCTCGCAAATAATTATTCCTCCTCTCGTACTGGAGCCATCACCTGCCATCGGAGTTTTGCACAAAATTTTTGTTTTTTTAATATCAAGTTCTGAAATTTATTGAAATGATGAACAACAGCTCAGAGGATTATTTCGACAATGATGACGAGCCAAGAGACCCAAATGCTTCGTACCATCCTATTGCATGTTCCACGTGCAGGTCTATGCACAAAAAGGTATGTAGAGTTGACAAGAGGATTACATTCATCTATCAATACTTTCAATTACGACATGTAGTGCGATAAGGTAAGTTGAAAAGTATGTACATTTTGATCTCAAATAACGTGATATTAAGAAACTACCAATTTGCAGCGAATGCTTACTAAGAGGTAGAGAATGCATTTACAACATTCCCAAAAAGAAGGGAAGAATTCGTGGAGGAAAAAACAAGAAGAAAAAGCCAGAACAAGGACTGGAGGCTGCCAAAACTCCTTCCTCATTGTTTCAACAACCATGCCTTTCCACTGCATCGTCATCATCGGACGCTCTCGTTTCGACGACCGTTGGAAGCAATTCTACCACATGCTCTCCTCAAATTGATTTAATAAGGCAACGATATGCACAAAGAAAAGATCCTTATCCAACAATATCGCCTGGAGACCAAGATTTAGAGCTTCGAAAGCGTCTCACATCTTTAATTCCTACAACCTTAAACAACTTACTATCTGAAAACTATTCACTGTACAAACAATTTTTGAAAAGAAACACCATTGATACATATTACAACATTATTTCAAGTGGGCATCCTGTTGTTGCCAAGAAAGTTTTTGAGGACTTCTTGTTCAATGATAGTCAACACCAAAATACAGAGCTCATGGCTTGGTATTTTCGATACAAGCGTTAGTTGAACAAAGATTTGGACGAAAAGAAAGAGCTGTTGAAGATATCAATATTTCAAAACAATTATTGTCATCGTTATTTGACAAGTATGATGACTTCTTTGTGGTATGCACATTCAACTACCTTTCATACTATTTTGCAGGAGAAGGTGATGACAGTCGAGCGAGGTTTTATCTTAACACTGTAGATCACTACTTTAATGATAAAGCGTTATTGGATCATGAAGCTCTTTCTCAAGAAGTCAAAAACTTGGACAAGTGGAAAACTGTTACCAAGTTGAGTATTGATTCTCAAAACTTCCATTCCACAGACGATGATCACTTTATGTGTAATAGACTTTCTCTAATTTATAGATATGCTACAGGAAGACAAATGCCTGAAGAGTACATGACGATTGCTCGACAACAAATTACTCCTCAAAATGTAATAAGCTACCTAGGACTTTTGGACAGCGTTTGCTCGTTCCTTACACTGCACAATCAAACGTTTGCTTTCACGCCAGAACAGAGAGAGTTATCCTCTATTACTGATGCTATGGTTTATCACGGATCAAGAATGAGAATTCTGATAGAAGCAGGAATTAGAGGACATCTTATTGAGGTTTCAGCAAACAAAATTATCGATGAAACAGTGAAAGGAACATTCCCAATGGTGCCTGTGGCTTTGGCCAGCGTCGTTGCTGGAGCTTGCAAAGTGCATTTATCCATAATAAGGATGATAAGAGTTGGAAAGCGTGTAAATGGAGCTGATGGAGTTGATTATTATGAATATGTAGCTAAGGGTTTAAGAGCTTTGAGGATATTAGGCACTCGCTATGGACGAGTATTGAAGTTTTGTTCGATCATTATGAAAGAGCAAGAAGAAGTTATTGAAGGGAAATTCGCCAAAAGTATTAATTCATTAGAAGAGTTAGTGTCACAAACTTCCATGACAACACCACCCCTCACCTGCAACATTTACCAATAACCAGCACGCTCACCACACTTCCTGTACAAACATCAACAAGCAGATTTGAAGAACTACCTTCTACGTATACCACTTCGTCATCTTCGTCTTCTTCATTTTCAACGTCGTCTCCCTCTTCTGGTGAAACACATTCTACTCCACAACAATTACCAGTTTTATTCCCCTCACATCAACAAGTTATTTCTGCTGCTAACACTGTGGCATTGCATGACCCGTCCGTTTCTGAGCTACTCGCTCAAATTTGTAACAGTATCAACATGGGAAATGTTGCCAATTCACGACCTCTCATTTCGAATAATGCTGTGAATTCAAACGGCCAGCTTCCTCCCTCATTTGTTGAGATGGAAAGCCATTCCCAAAACTTTGAGCCACCACCACATGACATGCAATCTTCATCAACACAAGGAGTGCTTCCAACCTATGGAACTGAGGTATTCATGCACAGTGAAGAGTTAGAGCAAATACTTGACTCGTTTGAGCAAGAAAATACTCAAAATTTTAATGCCTATGAATAAGAACAATCCTTGTGCCTCATGCTGAATAAAAATTGGATTTCAGCAAGCGGAAAGCCATTTATTTTTAGCGTTACACTTGAAAAAAATACAAATGTCTCAACAAGAGCAAAAATCAACATCCGACAACAAAACTCCAGAGAAGCCATCAAAAGACAAAGACACCGATGAGGAGAAGAAAGACACTCCAATTAATCCATTGGATGCGGAAGAAATTAAATTGATCAAACGATATGGACAAGGAGCTTATTTTGCCAAGATGTAAGTGTTGGAAATTAATTTACAAAGAGAAGATCGATCGACTAATGTTAACAACGCTATATATTGGAATGTATCACCTCTGTTATTAATTACTTTGATTACAAACATTTTAATCCGATATCGTCATACTCGGAACTCCATTCTTTTTTATTGATCAATCTTACAATCTTATACAATTCAATACACGAATCAATACCAACAAATAGAAAAGATACTGAGGAAGCTCTCAAGAAAATGGTTCAAGAAGTAAACGAATTATGTGGTGTAAAAGAATCGGAAACAGGATTAGCAAACCCAAGTCTTTGGGACATTCAACAAGACAAAGCAACACTTCAACATGAAATGCCTTTACAAGTTGCTAGATGTACAAAAATTATCGACGACGACGAGGAAGAGCCAAAGTATCTGATCAATGTTCGTCAAATTGCTAAATATGTGGTAGGCTTGGGAGAAAATGTAGCACCAACAGATATTGAAGAAGGAATGCGTATTGGTGTTGACCGTACAAAATATCAAATCAAAATTCCTCTACCACCAAAAATTGATGCCAGTGTAACAATGATGACTGTGGAAGAAAAACCAGATGTAACTTACAATGATGTGGGAGGATCCAAGGAGCAAATCGATCAAATTCGTGAGGTTGTTGAGACGCCGCTTCTCCATCCTGAAAGATTTGAACAACTTCATATTGACCCACCAAAAGGTGTTTTATTGTATGGACCTCCAGGTACAGGAAAGGTAAGTCACTGATTTGGCTTTCAAAGTTTGAACATTGGAATTTTATTGTGTCATTGTTAATCTTACATTTTTCTCGTTTTGTTGAATTTTCTTTTCGAAATCTGAACAGACCCTTCTAGCAAGAGCTGTAGCTAACAGAACTGATGCTACATTTATTCGTGTCATTGGTTCAGAATTAGTTCAAAAGTACGTCGGTGAAGGTGCTCGTATGGTCAGAGAATTGTTCCAAATGGCCAGACAACGTAAAGCTTGTATTATTTTCTTTGATGAAGTCGATGCTATCGGTGGTACCCGTTTTGATGATGGTGCTGGTGGTGACAATGAAGTACAAAGAACTATGCTTGAAATTGTCAATCAATTGGATGGATTTGAAGCTCGTGGTAACATTAAGGTACTCATGGCAACAAACAGACCTGATATTTTGGATCCTGCATTGATGCGTCCAGGTAGATTGGATCGTAAAATTGAATTTGGTCTTCCTGACCTTGAAGCCCGAACGAACATCTTTAGAATTCACACTAAGAACATGAACGTTGAAAAAGATATCAGATTTGAACTTTTGGCTCGTTTATGTCCAAATTCCACAGGTGCTGAAATTAGATCTGTATGTACAGAAGCTGGTATGTTTGCAATCAGAGCCAGAAGAAAGACTGTTTCAGAAAAGGACATGCTAGACGCCATTAACAAGGTCATTAAGGGTTACCAACGATTCAGTGCAACTCCAACTTACCAAGAAAGTCAGCACATTCAATAAGTTATATCCCAAATGAACCTCTTTGATAAATTATCAATTTTTAAAATTGGTTTTGTTTATTTCACTCGTTTTCAAAGGACATGCATTCTCAAGATACTGATGCGATTCTCATCATTCGAAACAGTTTGATTAATGGAGCATGAAACGAGTTTTAAATCAAATAAGAAAACAAAAGTCTCAGTTAGTCCACAAGTTTCCATATTTCATTTATGAAGTAATCAATTGGCGAAATGCACATCCAACAATTGTATCCTTGCCATCATTGAAACTCAATTCTCAAAGCAAAACTCCAAACTGAGAAACCTTCCATCAAGCATCTACAAAATTTTTCGGAAGTGACATTTAAATCCGATTTTCAAACATCAATAAAACCGCTCAAGAAACGAATCATTAAGCCAATAACACTTTTCATCACAAGAAAAAAGAACGTTCGTGTCACGCTCTCATTGCAACACATTTCTTACAGAATCTCGTTACCAAAATGATTCAAACTCAACAACAAGAGGTTGGCATTCTCATTGATGTGACTTCTCCTCCATGCACACCTACAACAACAGCACCCTCTTTCAACAGACTACTGAATGATCACCAATATTCTTCTTCTTCAACTTCCACGAGTTGCTCGCAACAAGCCAATAATAATACAATTGTACCATCCAATAATCATCAACGACATTACAATACCGTGTCGTATCGAAGTCCGAGTTCATCAGCATCTTCATGGAATTTGGTCCAAACACCCAACCATAACAACCACAACCACCCACGAAAGAGTCTTCGAAGTCAATATTTTAAACATTGTCGCACAGACAGTGAGCACAAACGAGAGCAAGAACAAAATCCTCAAGCCGTGGAAGGATTTGTTGCTTTGAAAACGTCCAATAAGAGTCACAAGTCACTTTCACGAATTGAAGCCATGCTCGTTTCTCAATCACAATATAATAATGATGAGGATGAAGCACCAACACCTGAAAAACCTAGATCACATAGTTTCTTATCGAAAATTGTATCCAAATTAACGACAGGAAATTCTAAAAAGAAAAGGGATAATCAGTTTTAATTGTAGATGGATTGGTAGTTATGAGTTCACATAGTTCTCGGTTGCATGCGTTTGTAATGCCTGCATCGTGCTGTGTGGCTTGGACATTATTTCATTTGGAATATTTTCAATATGTATTACATCAAAACGACTCTCACTTTCTCACTTTCAAACAGTTGGATCAGCAATTCCTACTGAACTGATTGACGCGATATATAACTCGACAACATTGTTGCTAAATTCAAGCAATAATAATAAATAAATGTGGATTTTAATCCACGTTCATTGTTTACAAATCTTGTTGCATTTCATCTCTTTGGTTTTCATCCAAATTGCTCACAATTGGATTAACTGAAAGATTCACGGGTTTGCCCTGAGGATTGAGACCTCGAATGGACAGGTCATAAATTATTTCTTCACACTTTTTCACGTCATATTTGATGGCATCAAATCTCTTTCGTAATGAATCATTCTTCAAGTTCAATAATTTAAATCCATCATAGATCTGAGTGAGAAAATCTTTAATGATGAATGGCTTTGCAAAATCCAATCGAATGACACAATTTACGCTATATCTATTCAGCTCAGAAAATAAATTGCACAATCCATATCTAATAAACCAATGAATGTAATAATATTTCAACAAACAAATTTCCAGGTATTTCCATAGAACCCAATTAATTAAAAATATTATTTGATCGTTCAAAACAAAGAGCTCCACTTACAAATAATCCTCTAATGGAAGATGGAAATTTTCCAATTTATCAATTCCTAACAACTGTTCAGTTTCATCCTTGGTAATGAGAGCATGATCCATGTTGTTTTCCATATCTTTGGTAATGAAATGTTTCAAAGCAATCACTGAACAAAGGTTTGATAATCTATATTGCCACATATTATAATATTTATAATATCCTCCGACTGGAATACAAGCAGATAACTTGGCCAAACTTTCTGCACACTTGGCAATATATGGGTCTGCCAATGTGCAAATTTCTTTCACATGATCCGAGAAGTTTGGCTTGTTTTGATGAATTTTTTGAAGTAAGCCTTGTAAGATCGCAAGAGGCTCATCTATTTCTTTGATTGTACTTTGGATCTTTTCCTTGATAGATTCCAATTCTGATCAGAATCATCATAATTATTTAACATGATTAAAATCCATTTTGTAAATAGGGAGAGAAATTAAAAATCAACCATCGGATTCCTCAGCCTACCTTCAAAGTAATCTTTTGTTTGTTGGAAAATTTGTTCCATGATGAAAGATGGTATTTTTTTGTAGTGCGCCAACGTTCTTCAAGAAGCAATAAAAAATCAAATCACTCAAGGGAAATAATAATAATAATTTGAAAATTGTACAAAGAGAAATTTCTCCTCAAGTCTGATCTTGCTTCTTCATTGATTCATTATTCATTTTCACCTTCAATTTCAAAAAGATTCAAATTCATTCTCCAATTTGAATTTCAATAAAAAATCAAAAAAAAAACAAAATGACATCATTGACCTCTTCTCAACCGCCCCATCACCACACTCCGAAATACACTGGTTACCATCGTCAATGGTTTTCAGTATTGCCATCCGAGACACAACCTGTAAATTCCCAATTCTCATCGACAACAGAACCCATTTCCGTTTTGAGTTATAACCTTCTCGCTCAAAGTCTTTGTAATCGACGAGGTACACAATGCTATCTCACTCCAGAACAAGCACGATGGTCTTTTCGAAAAACAAAACTCTTGAATGAAATTGCTCACTTAAATATGGATATTATTTCATTGCAAGAAGTTGATTTTTATGACACGTTTTGGGAAATGGAATTACAAAAATTAGGATATTCAACAGTGTTTAGTCCTCAATTTAATTTTGAAAAGAATTATCGACCCATGCCTTATGGTCTCGTTATTGGTTATAAAAAGGACAAATTTAATTTATTGAAATTTAAAGTAGTGGATTATCGATTGCAAGCATTGTCAATGAGTAAATTTGATGTGAATCATGAATCTTCATGTTGCAATGAAACGAGTCATTCAACAAGCATATTACCTCCAATGACAGTACTTGAACAATGTGAAATGAATCAAAGTGGTAATATTGCCTTATTGGCGGTATTGCAATGTAACAATGATCCAAATTGTGGAGTGATCTTGTCCAACACTCACTTGTATTGGAGACCTGAAAGTAATGTTGTGAGAGTGAGACAAGAATTGGTACTCTTGCATGAAATGAATGAATTATTTAAGGACTTTAATAAGAATGATCGTAATGACTTGTTTGAATTAGTATTTACTGGAGATTTCAACACTTCACCCAATGACTTACCTTATATTTTACTGACGACAAGAAATCCTGAAAGCAATAATGGTTGTGATGAAAATGGAATTGCTCTCGATGAGAATGGAAAGAAATTTTGGAATGCGTTCAATCAAAGCGAAATGATGAGTGGTCTTGATGGTTACGATTGTGAACAAGATCCTCTCGTTCCTTACTTTCCAATTGTGGAATGGGCTACAGATCAATGCAAAGAAGAATTCCTTCAACAACAATCGCACGTGTCCATGACATCGACTAGTAATAGTTCCGATGAATCTCTCAATGTTCAAGAACAATATTTCTTTGAACAATTCTATATGGATCAAAAAGTGAAGCGACTCGAACACATTCGACAATGTGTGAAACATTTTTCACATTTTCCCTTATTACACTCCTTGTATACACAATATTCCAAATGTTCAACATTGACCTTCATGAAAGAAGAAGAGAGACAGCGTCAAGTTCTCAACCCCACAATTTGCAACACAACAACTTTGACCATTCAGGACCGTATTGAGGCCATGAAAGTTCATTCTCGATGGTCCAATCAAGAACTCTACTATACAACCTTCACTCCCAAATACATCTCTTCGTTGGATTACATTATGGTACGAAAGAGAGCCATCGTGCCGACCATGACGATCAGAGCTGTGATCGTTCACCCATCTCCATCCAATTATGTAGTTTGTTATCCATACCAACACCTCAAGAAATCACACAAGGTCAGGAAGACCATCATCGTGATCGGCAACATCACAAGTCCTACGGCACCACAAATGGACATGTGGATACCGAGTTGGATTCAGGTGCGCATCTCCAACCACACGCTCAGGAACCAAGATCCTTGTGTAACCAAGAGGCTGTCGCCGCTGTTGTTGAGAATGTTGAACCTTCCAACAACAACAACAAGTTACAGCATTACATTCCAAATTCCATTCATGCTTCTGACCATTTTTCGCTTGGAGCCACACTTATTCTACATGATCGTATATCCAATCATGAGCTTAACATTGTAGGGTCGTCGAACCAAATGGAAACGAGTAAAAATTTCATTTAAGGGTTATGAGATGCAACGTTTTACACGTTTAAGGAAAACCTTAATCAACAAATCTGATGTGGTCCGTGGAACTCTGCTGTTGGAAGTACTTTCCTTTTTAGAGTAGTTCTCGTCGCCACTAACGGCCTCATCTCAAAAAAAAACATTCATATCCTCAAGCCTCTTCTTGCCTCCAGTACACTCGCTGTTGGTGGTCCTTGCAGCTGATGTTGAGGGAGGACTTGTTGTGATCTTGATATTAAGATATCTTTGAGATGGGGTTCAAACAATCAAAACAAGTACATTACCCTCCAACAAGGAGGAAAAGTGTAGAGAAGTTCATGTATTAGACGGTGAGGGCGATTCCGAAATCCCAAAAGCGTTCTGCCTTGCAAGAGAAGAAGAGTTGAGAAGAAGAGTTACACACTCTCTTGAATTTAAGAAGGCAAAGAAGAAGCCTTTTGTACCAATGCACCGAACCAACTCTTCTCCTGTTGAAATTGTAAAACCGTTCTATGAACGACCACTTCAAGCTGAAAAACGTTCACGATCCATGCCTTACCGAGTGATCCCAGTTAATTCTGAAGAAGAGGAGTTGGGCCAAATAGGAGCATGGGAAGGATCTGTGAGGGTCATTACATCACCTCCAGTTCGCAGGGGATCAAGGAAAAGCATTACAACTGAAGTGGCAATTGTGATCACTCCTCCATGCAGTCCAGCCCAATGCGATCACTTGTCTCCTTCCTCACGCAGACATCTCTCTCAATTGTCCTTAGAGAAATCATTAGGCCCTATTCTGAACAAGGAACTTACTAGCCCGAAGTGTTCAGCTTGGAACAGCGGTAGTGTGATACAAACCCAGACAGTGCTGACATAATAATATTTTAACGTAACTAACTTATTGCAAGAAACAACGCACCATGTACAATTACTCGTCAATGGGACCTTTAAAATTAATTTACTTGAACTGAATATACGGATTTTTCTTCTCAAATTCTTTCCATGTAATGTAGTCATCAGTTTTGTAAGAGTGTTGTTGCTTGAATTTGGACAAAGTGGTTCCAGTAACCAGTGGCTCCTAAAAGAGCACTGTTTCACAATCAATAAAATGAACAAAAATACACACCCGGCCGCCAGCAATGAGACTGTCGCTGATCAGAGTAATAACACAGATGAAAATTCAACGACGACTACTAGTAACACAGAAATTACTCGGATTCCAAACAAGCCAAATATTGCAATGCCATGTTACAAGAGAATTATTTTACAAGTCGGAGTGACATACAGTTATTGTACATGTGGATTTAGTAAATTAGAAGGAGGAGCGTTTTGTGACGGTACATGCAAAAATAGTGATGAAATTAAAGGATGGGAACCTAAAGAATTTACAGTTAATAATTTTAACAGCGGAGGATATTCAATTTGTTGCTGTGAGTATTGAGTGAATAGAATTTTTAATATTTGCAAACCAAACGAATTTCACATTCGAAACACAATAATAATAATTACCTTTTTCCATGTGCAGGTAAAAGAACTCAAAAACCACCATTTTGCGACGGTTCTCATATTGATTTGGATTGGTAAAATTAAATAGGTAAAACATTATTTATTATTTGGGGGAGTGTTTGTTGGATTTCGTTTCAAGTAGTTCATACCACCTTGAAAAAAAGTTTTCATCTTATCAGTTGTTGAAGCGAGGGTGTCCTTTGGCTTGTCCAAACTTGGACGTGAAGCAGCATCAATGCTTGTTCTGGATGTGGAAGGAGAGTTTGTTAAGGAAATGTTAATTGGATTGTGTAAAGTATCAGTACTGGTTCTGGATGCTGTTGAGTCTTTGGAAATGGTGGTAGAGCTGGTGCTTCTAGTGAGAGACGAAAGAAGTTCTTTTGTGGATGCAAATGATCCGGATCTGATCATGGATATTGTACTTTGTTCCTCCTTATGAATGGCAGGAATTGCGCTTCCAATAGATGTAACTGGATCACTCGTTCCAGTTCCATTCGAGAAATTATTCATTAAACTCTCATCGCTTGAATTTTCAATAAGTTCATTATGCTCCTTCTGCATTTTCAGTGATGTGGCAAGTTGTTCTATTTGTGAAGTCAATTGTTTGAGATCATTCTTTTTCATGTTGACACCAATGCCATTGTTAGCAATCGCTACCAATTGCTTAATTGTAAAGTTGTGGACATTTTTCTTGACCCATTCCAACAGATCTGATTCGCTTTGTTCATAATACGCTGAGATGTAGCTTCGAGCAACAGCTACATGAGGAACATAACCCTTGTTTTCTTCAATCAAAGATGCAGGCACCATTTTCTGTAATTCGGTCGTCAATGTTTGCAAATCTAATTGCATTAATACTCTGCCTTCATTATTACACTTCTTGACTCTTGCGAAACCCTCTACCAGTAAATCTACGACATACTTAATTGCTACGTCCCAAAGAGCATGAATAGAATGTTCCGGTAATCGATCATCCATGGTTTGTAATTTGATGGAGAAAAACTTCTTGATATCATCTCTCAATTCGAAAACAAATTTGTTACATTGGTCACCTAGAACTTGAATTTGATATTTGCAGTTTGCAATCTTGTCAGGATACTTTTCCATGTAGGGGAAGTCGAACAGTAAATATTTGACAGTTCTTCCGTAAATGCATTCCTGAACTTCTTCTGTTGCTGCCTTCATCGATTTCAAGAACTGCGTCACATACGCTCTGGATTTCTTTGGTATTAACTCCATCATTCTTTTTTCTGTAATCTTTTCAATAGCGTTAAAAAGATGCGTTAAACTTTCGGCAGCAATTGCTCTTTCGTAAAGTCCAAAAAATGGTGGTTGCTTGATGTTAATCATCTGAGAGACCTGCGGTATTTTGAAGAAAGTGACCTCACCGTTAGTAGCTTCTTTCACACACCTGTTCAGCTCTTCTCTAATTGTCTTGAAAGTTTTTTGTAACGCTTCAGATACTTTGGTGTCATTTTCTGGATATGTAAAGGCTTCTTCCAAGTTGATCGTTGTGGAACTCACTGTATTTGAAGAAATGTTAGCAAACAGTGTATATACTGTGTATAACTATTAAAATGTTAGCCTTCCAAATTTCAACTATCAAAAGTCAACATACATAAAATTTGTAGAGAGTGGTAAAAGCAAAGAATATGTCAAGACCAATAGGTTGAATGATCTCCATGGCTTGAATGTAAACACCGATTCTTCGCAACATAGTCATAGAAATGTTAGTATAGACCTCCACATCCTTCTTTTTCTTCTTTGGTTTGGTCTCTTTCTTTTTAATAAAATCATCATCTTCGTCTTCGGATGACTCGGATGATTCGGAGGACTCGTCGTCAACAGGTTCTTCTTCCTCTTCAGCATTGACTGTTAATAGGAAGGAACCTTTTTCGAAAGCTAGCTTGAAAGGATTGCTATCTCTGTCATTAGACTTTAAGAAACCTCGAACTTTCTTTGAATATTCTTCATAAATATTTTCAATGCTGTCAAGTGCACTGTTTGACTTGGTCCTGAATTCGGGGATGTCATTTACACTAAAGCTAACAGATTCTAGTTGTTGCCAATTTTCATTTTCAACCATGGTCTTGATATTCTCTAAAATGTCCTTATGATAGTGCACAAAATATGATCTACTTTTTGTTTTAAGAGCTCCCTTCAAATGGTATGAGTCACTCTCACTAAATTCCTCTCCAAGATGGCAAATCTTTTCGAACTATTGTTAAATAAAATAACATTACTCAAAGTTCAACATACCATATTAATAGAGTGGAAAACTTGAAGGAATTTGTCAATTTTAAAGTGTGACAAGTCGCAAGCGCTCAAAAATATAGAAATCTTTTTTTGAATATTATCCCAAAGCGTCTTTCTGAATTGATTTAAGTTTGTTTTGGTAATAGAGAAATCATATGATTTCAGTGTTTCATCCTTGTCCTTTTCCTTTTGTAAATGCCAGCAATACATTTGATAATAATTGTACATAATATCGCTGACTGTACTCAATGCTCTCAATAACGAAGCGAGTACATGATCGAAGTGAATTTTTTTACATAGATTTGCGTAATCCATTCTATTAGTTCAGAGGCATGTACATAATGAGCTATCTATCAAAATCAAATTGAAACCTACTTGACAATGCTTTCAATATTTTGGGCCTTGGGGCTTTGCATAGCAAATGACAAGACGACTTCTCGCAACAGTTGCTCCACAGCGTCATTGTAGTTCTTCTTAATATCGACACTGATCTCTCCTGATGATAATTCTTTAGAACTTTGCAGAGTTGTTATTAAATCTACTCGATGATAAGGGTTAAATACCTACGCTATTAGAATTCTTTCATAGGCGATTGGATCAAATTGAGCACAAACAGATAATAAAGATTCCTTCATCTTTTGCTCCATTCTTTGATATACGTTCTTAATATTTCTATCTAATTGTTGTACACAAGAAAATTGGTTCATACTGACAACAGATTGTCGATGATCCAACATGAGTGCAATAGCATTTGGGAAATTTCCTTCTTCCAACAATTGATTCATTTCCTTGTCCTTGTCAACTATTTCTTTGATTCTACCCAAGTAGTATTCTAAAGTCTGATGTGTAATGCGATTTATGTTGAAATGATGGTTTCGTTTGTATATAAATAACGAACATGTTAATTGAAATTAATAGAATAATTACCTTTAAACTTTTTTTCTTTCGATATAATGCAACAATCATCAAACCTCCATGAACGAGATTCTCGTGAGCCTTCTTTAATCGTTTCCGACCATTCTTGCACATCAACGATGTCATATTGAGATCGGCTCCAACTTCTTGCACGTTGGTCATTCCTTCCACAAACGAGTTGTAATTGTTCATCACAGTTTTACCGAGTCTATGATTGACGACACCCAAAACCTTTTCCTGCTTGTTTAACTCCGTAAGTATGGAGGCTTCATCACTCAAATCCAGAGTAGGCTGGGTAAGTACAAATTCCACAAGATCAATGCCATTATTCATTGCTGCTGATGAGCCACCTTTGGTAGGTGTTGTCATTTCATTACTACCCTGTACATCTTGAAAATAAATTTTAGAAACGGAATTTAAAATATCTTCCTCTGTTTCGGGTTCGTTATATCGTGATGATGATGATGATGAACCTGTTGATAAATTGGACGACCCTCTTGGCGATGCTGCCGATCCTTGAGGTGTGTTTCGCAGACTCTCCCTGCGATTGCTCATTTTTTTGACTGTTTGCAAAACGTTGGTGGCATGATGGATGATTCACCAAATTCCTTTTTATTGTTTTATCTTGAAAGAATTAAGATTGGCATGAAAAAAAGTATGGTTCCAAACCGTCGTTCCTACACATTCATGGCTGTCATCTCGGATATGGAAAGCTAGACTCCTAGCTCGCACATTTTTGCATCTCCATTGAATCCATTGAATACATTGGAAATGCACTCATGATGACGTGCCTGTGTGTGAGAATTCATTCCGAAAGCACTTCTCAATCAGCCTTTGTTTCGTTCAACGAACGATGAAACTGAAAAAAAAATGAAAATTATTGATAAGATTAATCAGTGCATCGAGGAGAATAAGACCTTCTACTCGTTTGAATATTTTCCACCCAAGACTGATGCCGGTGTTGAGAATTTATATCAACGTTTGCAACGGATGGCTAAATTTGCTCCCTTGTTCATTGATATTACTTGGGGTGCTGGAGGAAGCACTGCTGGTAAGACCATTGAAATTGGAGCCACAGCACAAAATATGATTGGCGTTGAAACTCAAATCCACATGACTTGCACCAACATGAAGATCGATGAGTTGGATAAGGCTATTCAAACAGCCAAGGACTTGGGTATTTCAAACATTTTAGCTTTGCGAGGAGGTAAGTTTAATACTTGTTTGAACACATAGTTTCATCTTGATGATTTATTATTGTGAATGATTCTTGTCCGATTCATCACTATTGCTTGCACAATAATGTTGAACTTGTAATCTTGCTTTGGTGATGAATATTTCATATGACGGTACTATTGAATGCTATTTACACGTACTCCGCAATGGGTTGTTGTCGTTATTGCCTAAACTACGTTGTACACATACACGATCATCACACAACCTTGCTATTCATTTGTTGAATCATCATTTCACTCTTATTGTCCTGTGTGAAATTTAAAATGTCCAACCTTCCAAATTAATCATTTCATTCACATTATTTCACGCTCTTTTACTTCGGTCAAACAGATCCACCTCTCGGAACACAAGAATGGGAAAAGACAGAGGGCGGTTTCACTCACGCAAAGGATCTAGTTAAACACATCAGAAACAAACACGGTGACTACTTTGGTATCTCTTGTGCTGGATATTCCGAAGGTCATCCTGATGGAGATTACGAAAAGGATTTGCACTATTTGAAGGAAAAGTATGATGCTGGTGCAGACTTTGTTGTCACGCAATTGTTCTATGACTGGCAACAATTCTTGAAATTCGTTAAGGATGCTAGAGACATTGGCATCAAGTGCCCAATTATTCCTGGTATTATGCCAATCAACAACCACTCATCTTGGCAAAGAATGACTTCTTTCTGTAAAACTAGAATTCCTGAGGAAATGAAGGAAGAAATGTCAAAGCTCAATTTGGAAGATGACAATGAGGTTAAAGCCTACGGTATCAAATTGTGCATTACCATGTGCAGAGCATTGTTAAATAATGGTATTCGTGGTCTCCATTTCTATACTCTTAACTTGGAAAAGAGTACAGAATCTATTTTGGAAGGTCTGGAACTCTGTCCAAAAGAAAGCGTTCCAAGATCTTTACCTTGGGTCAAACCTGCAAACGCCAAACGTTTAACAGAAGAAGTTCGTCCAATCTTTTGGTCTAATCGTGTCAAGTCCTACATTGACCGTACGCAACACTGGGATGAATTTCCTAATGGTCGTTGGAGTGACTCTAGATCTCCTGCATTCGGAGAGTTGGGAGAAGAAATTGCCTATTTCTACAGAAGAAAGTTTGGTGACAAGGAAAATCAAATTACAGCTTGGGGAAAGGAACACGACAGCATTGAATCGATCTCAAACGTTTTTGTGAACTTTATTGAAGGAAAGATCTCATTCCTTCCTTGGAATGAACAACATACATCTCCAGAGACCAATATTATTAAGGATGAATTGATCTTCCTCAACAAGAATGGGTTTTTGACAACAAACTCACAACCTAAAGTGAACGGTTGCCCATCCTCTGACAAGAATGTTGGTTGGGGTCCAAAGAACGGCTATGTTTATCAAAAGGCATATGTGGAGTGTTTCATTTCCCCAGCTCAATTAGATGTCTTGGAAAAGGTTGTAGCTGAAAAGTATCCAATGATCACCTATCAAGCTTTGACCAAGGATGGAAGAGCCAAGTCCAACATTAAGGAAGATAGTACATATGTCAACGCAGTAACTTGGGGTGCTTTCCCAGGTCAACAAATTCTTCAACCAACAGTTGTTGATAGCAATGCTTTCTTGGTTTGGAAGGATGAAGCTTTCCACATTCTTGACTCTCATTGGTTGTCGTTGTATGACGAGAATTCAAACGCTCACAAGGTACTCAAGTCCATCTCTGACGAATGGTACTTGTTGAATATTGTAGACAATGATTATATTCATGGAGATATTTTCGCTTTATTCAAGGATGTTGTCGAAAGAAAGCAATAAATCTCATTACATTCTTTCTATTTTTGTTAAATGATCAGTTTTAGATTTTACTTGTAATACTCAAAAGTACTTTCTTGTACTCATCTATCATTCCAAAAATGCCATTGAAACCACATCACTGTCCAACCAATGAAGTCAACCATTTAAATATTAACGGAATATTGACCGATTCATAAGGTTTTGATAATTCATCTTAATTAAAATGTCAGAAGACCAGCAACCATTGCCCGACAGCAACACCCAACTCAACAAATCTGCTGACGTGGAAGACCAAGAAGACTCACAAGTTGAATTGGTTGAAACGGACGGTAATGAAGACGACGAATACGAAGAAGACGAATATGAAGAAGAGGAAGACGGCGAATACGTCGATGATGAAGATGGGGACGAAGATGAGGACGGTAATGATCAGCAAGATGATGCCACGCCAACTGTCATTCGAAGGACAAGCAATTCCGCTCGCAAAAGCTCCGAGGCCAACAACTCTTCTCAACAACAAATACTTCAAACTTCTGAAAGGGCTAAGGCCTCCTTGATACAACGATTGTTCTCATCAACTCGCAATACAAACACTTCTTCAAAATCTTCAAAAAAGAATAAGCAGAACAAAAAGGCAAAAACCTTACTGAACCATCCTCTTCGTCATTGGGTGTTCCAAGAGCACAAAGCATTCGAGACAGTGTTCATCTCACCAAGTATGAAATTGAAGACGATGATATTATTGACTTTGGAAGGCCTCTAACTTCAGAAGTCACCAGCTCCAAAATTAGTAAAAATAAGATTGAACCGTCGAACAATTTGGCGAGTGAACAAGATGATGAAGCACCTCTCCCGCAACGACTTCCTTCTTCTCCTCCCATTGTCATTACTTCCTCAAATACTGTAATTGCTTCAGAAAGAAAATCCACAACGCCTCGTACCACCTCCAAACCTCAAGAAGAAGTCATTATCATTGAGGACGTAGAAGAAGCCAAGAAAACACCGCCAATAATACTCAAGGAGACCATCCTCATGCATCCTCACTCGAGGACGGAGGAGAAGGTGGCAACACTAACTCGGAACCAAAAGTATTGAAAGAAGAACTCTCGTTCTATCAGAGATGGTTCAATTTTTCAAAGCCATCCACCAACGCTACGACGACTATCAATGCTCATGTTGCCATCCATTCTGAAAACACTCCCAAGTTAGTTGAGACCACAGAAAGTAATAACAATCCAATTACGAGTCAAGAGGATCCAAGAAAATCTGAGGTGAATAGAAATGTAAAATCTTACAAGATTGCAATTCTTGGTGAAGACATCTATGAATCTCTCATAGCGTCAGAATTCTTAATTGATAACATGCCACCTCCAAATTTTGTTTCTTCCTCACAACAACCAAATGTGGCTTCCTCTTCCATTGCTTCTCCAACCAATGATCAATCTGAACGAAGAATTTCAGAAAGCCATGGATCCATGAAACAACTCTTTGATTTCCAAGGTCAGCAACATGAATTAGAATTGTTCTTCTATGATATTTATGATCAGTTTGTAAATATAATGGACCAGTGTCTCAAAGAGTGTGATGGGTTTCTTATTGTCTACAATGTTTGTGACCGAAATACTTTTAACCAAATTGATCTATTATATGAGAAATTGTATAAAGCAAAACAAGGAGGAACTATTGCCTTAGTGTTGGTCGGTGTTGAATCATCCCCTACGTTCAACAGTCGAAGAAGTTTCGAAAGAAGAAATTCCTTGTTAAGCACAGGCAACATGATGGATGGAACTCAAAGCTACTACTTGAGACCTTCCATTTGCTCGAATAATGTGAATAATAACAGTCAATCATTGGCTCCTGGTAGCGGAAACATCAATACAGTAAGTTCACAGAATAAGGACATTGGCACTGAACCTGGAACGGCTGTTCTAGAACCAAGAGGATCAGTGACCTCGTCTTCATATGTCAGTGGAGCTGTAGCTACCAACAATTCAGTCATTCTTAGAACGGCCACTTCTCTTCCTTCTACTGAAAGAACTGTGTCAAAGAGAGAGGGTCTCAAGAAAGCTCTTGAATATTATGTTCCTTACATTGAAATGCACGGAACTGAATTGACACAATTTAGAAAGCAAAAGATCAGAGAAATATTCCATGAATTGTTGAAGGAGATTACCTATGGCGGTAATTTGAGGTTCAGTGCTGTGAAACCAAAGACCATAGAGGTCTCTGAGAGTGCCATAATGTCCGACAATGGAAACGTGGATGAACAACAAGGGGTGATCATGAACCATGGAGAAGCTCCTTCCGAGCCAACCCAACCTTCTGGACTCTTTCAGTCTCTTAAACTTCTTTTCAATAGCTTGAATGTGAATGGATATTGTCTCACTCAACCTATTGGCAGTGAAAATGAGCTACGACAAATTGAGTTCTTGATCGATCATTTCGAATCACACCAAGTCACTTGTCAAGTAATAGAGGCTTGTCTTAAAAGATTTGACTTTAGAAATGTCAAAATGAAATTGAGACAGAAAATCATTCCGAAAAATGTCCAACAAATCCTTTCTTTCCTATTTGACATTCCATTGAGCAAGATGAGTGTTTTGCAATCGCTCATTCAAGGCGAGACCAATCAAATTGAAATCAATGAGAGGTTGGTGTTTGCAATATTCATTGCTACATACGCCAAGCATTTGTACACGGAGCAAAACTATGAGCTCTATGACAGAACGTTCATGGTCACACTGGAAGAAGAGTGGTATTTTGTCAATAATTTGAGCCAAATCTTTCAAGAGGTGAAGAAAAAGTACAAAGACTATACCACTTTGGACTCATTTGTTGAAGATCAAGTGATTCGAATGGTTGAATGGATGGAAAAGAGAATCCGTCTAAGAAGAGGAAACGAGATTGAAATGCTAATGAAGTTTTTGCTTCTCAGTGTAACCTCTCAAGACGATCATTATGGTTTTGAGAAGCGTGTCAAACCATACGTGCTGGGAAGTAGATACTTGGTTCTCAAAAAGATGTCCAGTAATCACAATGGAAGACTCTACAAAGCTGTAAAGGTAAAGGCAAGTCGGTTGTGCACATTGAAACAACTTGCCAATATTTCCAAGGCAGATTTGTTTGAGATTGGATCTGGTATTGAGAGTGGAATTCTGTTTGACAAGCATGAAAATGTAATGACCTTCAATGATTATACCATACGAAGATATCTCGCAAACAAGTTTGAAGTATTCATTGAGATACCTTTCATGAATGGAGGTAATTTGGAAAGGAAGATTGATCAATCCATCAAGAAAAACAAATACATCAATTACATTGAGGTTTTGGATATTGCTTTGCAAAGTGCGAGAGGTTTGAATCATTTGCATGAAAGAGGAATTGTTTTCCCAACTTTGAAAGCAGAGAAAATTCTATTGAGCTATAATTCAGATGAGAAATCCAAAAAGTCTCAACAGCGAATTGATGGTGGCAATACTCCTTCTACCTCCTCAAGCTTCAAATATGGAAGAATGGATGAAAAATTCAGTGAGATTCCAGTTATTGACAATTACATCAAAAAGGAACTCTCCAAGTATGGAAAAAGCAAAATGATGCCCTCATCTTCAAAGATGAGCGAGAATAACACTGCCAGTCAATCAGGAAGCAACTCTCAACTTAAATCACTTATCATTAAGGCTCTTGAGGATTCTACGTCCATTCTGGAGGAAGATTTTCAATCTAATTTGAATTGTAAACTAACAGATTGGTTTAAACCTTGGGACTTTACAACCAACGATTATGTCATCAAGAATAGAAAAGTTATGGACACCTATTCTCAGAACAAGAACAAAAGACCAGGGCATGACTTTGAGGATGTTTCATTTTCAGTTCCAACGTCACACTCCTCTCTTAGAAAGCAAATGGCTTTGAATGAAATTTCATCAAACAACTCGACCATCTATTGTGGAGATATTGAGACGTATTTAGATCAAAAGGATGATATCTTCAGACTGGGATGTGTTTTCTATCAACTCATTACAAGAGAAACCTTTTTAAAGATGGGCCCACTCAATGCTCCACAAAAACCATATGTAGAGCCGCCATCTCAATCTAATCGTTCAAGCGTCACAACGAACACTGTGGTCGTTAACAATGGAACCAATAACAGTCATTCTGAGAAACAAACCATGTCATTTTCAAGACAAGATTTTGGAATGCTATCTATTGATGAAAGTGTTGCGCTCAATGAGGCTTTAGCTCACCAAATCATTGCTTCTAAAATTCATATGAGTCTTCTAAAAAGTGAAGCAATTCCAATCCTTCACAGCACAGTACCACAGACAGGTTCTGAAATGTCACCTTCAACCTCATCCAGTGGTGAGCATGATGAGAGAAGTGTTCTTTTGCATCAACATAATCTTGACTCTCAAACAAACCAACAAACTGGCTCATCCGTTGCTGTGAATGCTGCTGGCTCAACTTCTTCCAAAGCACTCTGTTCAAGATCCAATGAGAAGCTCTTGATAACTCTGATTCAATCCATGTTGAAGAAGAATCCAACACAAAGACCTTCTCTGGCTCGTGTTATTCTCATTCTCGAAGTGTTAATCAAATATTCTGATATTGGGGATGAGATTTTAGCAGTGCTTATGCCCAACGAAAATCATTCAGAAAGGTCTTCAAGACCAAATAGAGCGATGTATAATGACATGTCATACACAATTTCTCCTCAATCAACCTCTCCATCCTCAGTGACACCAATTACAACATCTAAGGCATCAGCAAATCTCGTACACCAACCAGGAAGGCTACTCTATCAATATCCCCAATGTCATCAATGACCTCCTCACAGAGTAATGACGATAACATGGAAATTGCCCAACTAATTCCCAATAATTCTGACGAAAAAGAAGAAATGGTAATGATGGATAAGTATTTAGAGATACCAATTGAAATGAACCAACCTACACCAACCGTTGCATTCTCCACTTCCACTTTTTCAAACGAACAGTAACAGCAAATTTTCAAAATATCCTTAAATTGTAAAGAGTTCAACCTTGCAAGACAGCAAATCTGTCACACAAATAAAATGTCCCATCAAGCAATATCACGCTTGTTTGTGTATGGCACTTTGAGACCAGACGACACTAGTGGGGCAACATGGACTAAAACTTTCAACAATCCACACGATTATCAAGTACATGCTCAATTTGCATATATTGAAAAGGCCCAATTGTTCTTTCATATGTGTAGGTTTTTCGGAAATTATTCATTGGGTGATAACGAAAATTCTTCAACAAGATCCCATTGCAATCCTAAACGACAATCCTAATGATCGAATCTATGGTTATATCATATCAGTGAGTGAACCCGAAGGCGAAAATTTTGAAAAGTTATTGAAATTTGCTGACGAAATAGAGGAATATCCAGAAGGTAGGTTGTGTCCAATCACTGTTGCTGATTTTGAATGATGATGCTACAATAACGATTGTTGATTTTGAATGATATCTTCATAGAATATGATCGAGCCATTGTTCAAGCCTATCCAATTTCAAAAACCGAGTATGATGAATTACAAAGAGATGCCTCTGTGCAACCTCAAATACAGCCTCAATCACCTCCCACTCCTTGTTTCGTTTATCATAGAACTTTGCAAAATATTGCTCTTAGAGAGAACAACCCAGTGCTTGAACGAATTCCATCGGGAGATTGGCTGAGAAAATAATCATGAAGTGCCTTCAGAGTAATACCTTCTCAGTTTGTCAATGTTGACCACAATGAAAATATATCCATTATCGAGATTCAGTTTTAATGTTGTTGTTATTATTGCATTTCTGTTGCAACTAACTTTGGCTGATTTGACAAATGGGTGATGAAAGAAAATATTTTTTAAATCATAAAATATTTTTGAAAAATATCTCAAAAAAATATTGCCATCACTTTTCTCATACAAACCCGCTATTCTTCTTGAAAATGTGGAGAAGTGAGAATATGGTCCTTCTTGAGATGACCATGCAAAGAGAAGCCGCTCACCAAACAGTTGAACGACTGGGAGAGTTAGGCTATGTTGAATTCAAAGATTTATCCTCTCATTTGAACGCTTTCCAGAGACAATTTGCTAACGAAGTAAAGCGTTGCGAAGAGTTGGACAGAATTATTCGTTATTTTGATGAACAAATTCTCAAATCTGAAGTTACCTTTGCAAGCGGAGACAACTTCCCAGGAGATGATGAGGAAACCAATGAGTATGGAAACATTTTGGATAGCTACGAAAAGGACTTCTCGAATTTCGAGAAGGAACTCCGTGATTTGTCTGGAAATCTCGACCAAATGATTGCCGAAAAGAACAAGGCTGAAGAGTTCAGCTACGTCATCAACTTGGCTTCTCAATTCTTCAAAGGAGATGAAGAGACCTATACTGATGATAGTGAGGCTGGAATGTTGTCTGGCTCAAGAAGTTCTAGTCTTGGCTACATGACTGGAGTTATTCCACGTGAGAAGATTCCATCATTCTTGTTGCTTATTTATCGTAGTACTCGTGGTAACGTTGTCCCAAGATTTGCTGAAATTCCAACTCCATTGTTTGACCAAAAGTCTGGTAAGATGATTGAAAAGAATGTGTTCGCAGTCTTCTTTGGTGCTTCAGCTGCTAAGGAAAAGGTCAAGAGAGTCTGTGAAGCTTTGGGTGCATCTATTCACGACTTCCCAGAACAAGACATTGCTGGTACAAAGAGATCTGTAGAACAAAAGATTGGTGAATTAGAAACCACTATTGAGAGCACCAAGTCAAGAGTTACTGACCTTTTGAGCAAGATTTCTGTTAACCTTCCAAGATGGAAAGAGAGAGTACACAAAGAGAAGGCAATTTTCCACACACTCAATCTTTTCAACTATGACATCAAGGGTTCAGTTGTTTCTATCGGTTGGTGCGCCGAGAAAAACGTTGAAAATGTGAAGAGAGAAATGGAAGAAGCAAGATTGGCCTCCAATGCTCAGGTTCCATCCATTTGCGATATTATCCAAACCAATGAAACTCCTCCAACATTCTTTGAAACCAACAGATTTACTGAGGTCTTCCAAAACATTATCAATTCGTATGGTATTCCAGATTATAAGGAAGTTAACCCTGCTGTGGCTTCTACCATCCTCTTCCCATTCCTTTTCGCTGTCATGTTTGGTGACTTTGGTCACGGTATTTTGTTGACATTGTTCAGTTTTGCCATGGTCATCTTTGAAAGAAAGCTTAAGCCAGTTGCTGAAAGCAGCGAGTTGTTTAGCATGGTGTTTGCCGGTAGATATATTCTCTTGCTCATGGGTATCTTCTCAATTTACACTGGTTTCCTCTACAATGACGGTTTGGGCTTGGCTGTTGATATTTTCAAGTCTGGATACCAATGGAATGGTCATGTTGGTGAAAAGATTGCAGATGTTACCTATCCATTCGGCGTAGATCCTGCTTGGTTCCACACATCCAACAAGCTTCTCTACTATAACTCTTTGAAGATGAAGATGGCCGTCATTTTCGGTGTAGGTCACATGTCTATTGGTCTCTTCTTTGCCTTGGCTAACATGATTCACTTTGGACATTTCCTTGACATTTTCCTTGAATTCATCCCTGAGCTTCTTATTTTATGGTCTACATTCGGTTACATGTGCTTCTTGATTATTTACAAGTGGTGTGTAAATTGGTTTGACCCTATTTATGTTGGAAAGTTTGATCCACCTCAAATTTTGCCAATGATGACTGACTTCTTCTTGAGTCCATGGAAGATGACTCAACCACCTATGTTCTACAGTGGTGGTGACGTTGAGGCTGCTAAATCTGCTCAAGCATATGCTCAAATTGGTCTGTTGTTGGTTGCTGTTATTTGTATTCCAATTCTCCTCATTCCAAAGCCAATCGTAGAGTACTGCAAGCAAAAGAGAAAGTTCAAACCAAGAAAGGCTGAAGACTCTCAAGATTCTCAGGTAGTTCACTCGGACAGTGGTTCTGAACATCATGTCGCCATTTTGGAAGGAACTGATGGTGTAGAGCACAGTCATCACAGAGACGCACAACACGAAGAAATGGAGCCATTCTCTGAATTGTTCATTAAGCAACTTATTCACACCATTGAGTATGTTTTGGGTACCGTCTCTAACACTGCTTCATATTTGCGTTTGTGGGCTTTATCTCTTGCTCACGCTCAGCTTGCCGAAGTATTCTGGCAAATGACTATTGGTTTGGCACTTAACATGTTAGAATTCAGTAAGGTTGCCGAAGACGCTGTTGTTCACAGTGGTGTTGGTCTCTTCTTTATTTTCTCAATTTGGTTTGGTATGACTATTGGTGTTTTGTTGCTCATGGAATCTTTGTCTGCTTTCTTGCACACAATCAGATTAACTTGGGTCGAATTCAACAACAAGTTCTTTAAGGGAACCGGCTCTCTCTTCCATCCATTCAGTTTTGCTACATTCGGAAAGGCTGAAGAGTAAATAAAAACCAATAATTGACGATTTCTATTATAATTTTGAGTGATTACAATGAAATTCTCTGTTGCATTCTAAATTATTGTTCAGATTTATATGTTTGGATTTGGGAGAAACGCCTGTTTCCCTACATCCATTCCTATTGGTAAGTATCATTAAATCGTAGAGCATTTGCCAAATAATTAATTTTACAATGTAAATTAATATCCTCATCACACATTTCTAAGGCATTCATATATAAGTGAATTGCATAAAGTAAGTCTCCTCTCAGTTCCACATCTCTAGCATCTCTTAATACATTCAAATACTCGTGAGGGTATTCTACCATGTCAACTTCATTTCGAGAAGTTGTTGGATTCTTGGTGGCAGGAGCATGACCTTCTCTATGGATTGGTGGTGGTGGGCTCATTATCATGGAATCGTCTTGCTCCACTGATTCCCATGATTACTGGCGTGATATGTGGTGGTTGTAGGTGAAAATAACATTTCATCTCTATCGTTGATTGGTGGCTTCAAGGGAGTAATTTGCATGGTAGGATCATTATCTTCATTGTCATACTCAATATCATCCTCATCTTCATCACATATAAATCCCTCATCATCCTCATCAGCATTCTCTTCATCATCCTCATATTCATCATCCTCATCATCTTCAGCGATATCATCCATGTACAATGATTTCGTATTGTACTGTTCATTGTCATCACGATAAATTGGATATTCATCATCAGCAGATGAACCGTCTTGGTTAGTATTAAGGCTTGTACAAGTTTTTGAATCCTCGACTGCCTTAACCGCATCCAATACTCGTTCTTCCTCATCATCCGATGGTTCATAATTCTCATCTTCTTCATCAATGAGTCCAAAGAAGGAAGAAAGTCTTCGTTGAATCTTTTCAAACGAAGAAGGCGCAGTACTCTTGTCATCACCAACAGTATCATCCGATGTTTCATTCATAGACATTGATTTCGGAATGATTGGAGGAGATAAGGAAGGACTCATCAACATGCAATCATCATCATCATCTTGATGATTATCATTCATTGTAGTGGTCGGAGAAGGACTCAGCTCATATCCCTCCTCCTCATCCAGCTCAATCGTCTTGGGCCATTTCTTGTTTCGCAAATTCGATGGAGGAGTTGAGAATATTTTTCCATGGTTTGAAATTGTTTTTGTCCTTTTGGAATCTGTGAGTGGATTCCGTAATCCAAGAGTATTGTTATTATTGTTTGGTTTGATTTTAGGAATGTCATGTGATGGTTGAACGAGAGGATCAAGTTCTGAATCAAAGAGAGTGACAAGTTCATGTAATTCTTGTTGAGATTTTCCAATTTTGAAATTTTGCCATTCCTTCTCTAGTTGAAGAGGTGTGAAGGAGGATTTCACATAAAGTTGTGTGTTGATCGCTTGATTCTCCTTAGATAAAAAGAAATCTTGTAATATTTGTTTCCAATTTCCATTCTCGCCATAAATACGAACACCCTTAATCAATTGTTTGCATTGTTCATTGGTTAATTTGGTGGTATTCATTCTGTGGAGAATAAGGTCATTTCGACTCGAATTTGAATAAATATTTTCCTTTTCTGATGATGGAATCGAAAATTCAGAAGGTGGTGGAGAACGTCCTGCCACTTTTGTGGAATTCCAGTCTTTAGATGAAGAAGGTCGTGCTTCATCATCAAAAAGTGTTCTGTGTTTTGATCGATGATTCTTGGTTGGAATTGCTGCTGATTTTGAAGAGAGTTTTGAAGACGAATCATCATAGAGAGCTCTTGTAGAATCATCAGCAAGCAAGGATATCTGTATTTCGTCATCAGCTCCATATTGAACGTCATCTGCTTGTTTTGAATATAACAAGTCATGGTTACTAAATCCAGTTATGATGTGTTTGTTTTGTCTCTTCACAGTTTCAACATGTTGTTTGAGTTTTTCGCTGTAATGATTATTGGCTGCTTTGTGGATGGATTCCAATTGTAATTGAGTTTCAGAAACGTTTGGATTTTGAGGAAGTGAAAAGAGTTCTCTCAATTCTGAATGTGTGAAATAACGATATTGATTTTCTTTTTCAGTGGTGGTAGATCTGAAAAGAGCATCTTTGAACACTTGTTTTCTGTAAACCTTTTCCTCAATGGTCGAGCAAGAAATTAATCGATAAATGACAACGTCCTTCAATTGTCCAATACGATAGCATCGATCTGCTGCTTGATTGTCATTACAGGGATTCCAACTTGGATCAAAAATAATTACTCTTGTTGCTGTCATTGTGAAAATTCAATCATGGTTGGTTTTTCAGGTCAATGTCCAATGTAGATGTTTTAACAATAACGAGCTCATAAATTTGATCTTTGTAAAACATACCTGCAGTGAGTGTCAATCCAACACTTCCAGTCTGGGAAGTCAGTAAAAAGCAAAAGTAAGGAGAATTTGAAGCATTGTAAGCATCTACACGGCGTTGTCTTTCCTTAGGGCTGTTAATACTTCCATCAATTCTCGTATATGAAATTTTGATGAATTTTAACATGGACGCGATCATGTCTAACATTTTAGTGCTTTGACTAAATATGAGGCACTTTTCTTTTTCCTTATACAATTGCTCAACCAATGATTTGAGAAACATCATTTTTCCACTCATGGAGATCATTTCTTGAATACTCATTGATTTTCTTTCGTTGTTTGGAAGTAAATCAGGGTGTGAGCAAATTTGTTTTAAAATGGTAATGGCTTATATTATCGTGAATTGGAAAGATCTTAAGAAACGATCACTGGTAATATTGCTACTTACCTGCTAATGGTGATGTGGATCGATTAATGACATCGTTCACATCATCACTCTTTAGAAAATCTCTATAAAGCTGAAGTTGATAATCTGTGGATTTGATCCATACCACTAGATCATTCTTCTTTCCAATTCTCTTCTCTTGTTGAGACAATATTGAAGAACTGAGGGTCGAAGATGTCAAAGATGCTCTTGTTGAATTAGAGTTCGTCGCCTGCTCTTGAGGATTAATTCCCAACACTTGTGACTTCTCTCTTCTCAGCAAGTGTGGTCCAATCAACTCTCTGAAACGTTTTAAAATTTCAATTCCTAACTTTTTCTCAAAGCTTGTCGCATCTTTTTCATTCGCTCTTAAAATCTTCTTTTCAAATTCTTCTTTAAACGTTGCTCGGTTTCCCAGAAGACTTCCCTTAAATATCCAATCTAAGAGAGCGTGCATTTCGAGAAGATTGTTTTGAACAGGTGTTCCTGAAATGACATATCGGCACATAGTTGTTGGAAGTTGATGCAAACATTTGGAGAGGAGAGTGTTTGGATTTTTGAGTTTGTGACCTTCATCGAGAAAGATGTAATCAAACTCATATTTCTTATCTACAAACTGCTCTACAAATAATTTAATTTGTGATGAAATCGTTCCCTGGTTTGTTCAAAGTACATTTACATTTGTATAAATTGCAACCCACATTAAACAGAAAATTGCTGTGAATCATTCCACTTACATAGGTCGTTAATAAAACTCCACCTTCCTCTCTGAATTGTGAGAGAATATCCAATCGCTGTTTCTTTGCCAAGGAATGAAAAATGAAAATGTTAAAGTCACCTTCACTCCACTTGGTAAATTCTTTTCTCCAATTTTCAATCAAGCTTACAGGCATTGCAATCATGACATATTTTACACTATTTCCAGCAAAAAGACCAGATATAAACGCAATCGTCGTTGCTGTTTTACCTAACCCCTGTTTTGATGTTTCGTTTACGAATGTCATTGTCAATGGAGAGGTAAGCATGTTCATACTTACCATGTCATCTGCCAAAATACCTCCTTGGATCTTATTTTGAATAGACTTGTGCTTGTTCCAATACCACAAAATTGCCTCTCTCTGATAGTCATAAAGTTTATCATAAATTGAGGCTGGAATTTTAAAAGGTATTCTTCGTTCTTGCTTTGCCTTTTGATCCATAAGTAGATAGATATCTGCCTTTGTGTCAAAAATAAACCCATTGTCAAGCTTTTTGAATCGCTTCTTCACTCTTCCTGATTGTGGAGATTGCATCACAGAAGAATCTATGAATGAAGACTCTATTTCCGTATTGGCAATATTTGTTGGATGAGGAGATGCAATTCCCTTGTTCAAGTTTTGCAATATATTATTTCCCATAACGTTTGGAGCAATGTTAGTAATTGAAGAGTTTTCTTCAGGGTTTAAGGTAGCAGTGTCGACATTGTTACTTGTCGCATAGGATGTCGAAGAAGGTCTATGTTGAGAATTATTGTCACCAAGCATACTTTTGTACTTTTGAATTTTTCCCAGCAGTTTGCTGTCAACACTAAATAAAGAATAAGCCTCTTCATACATGTGTAAAAACAAAGAAGGGTGTTCTTTTTTCTTTTCCAAATCTCTGGCGGCTCTAATGAGAGTATTATATCGCTTTTTTCTATCCTTCTCTGACTCGAGTTTAATGGTTGATTGTTGATAATTATTGTTGGCGTTGACAGAGAGTTGTTGTGATGCATCAACTTGTGGCTGGCCAATATGTGAAACAGATGAATTGGTTGTTTCAAGTTGTTGCTGTTGTTCATGGATTGATAATCGCTTTAATTTTGTTGCGATAGAGCTACCATGTGAAGAGGAGGTAAGACTCTCCGATTTGATCCATGCGTTATAATTAATGTTGACATGATTATTGGTGGAGACGGAGGGAGGTATAATGCTTGATGACTTATTGAATTTTGAAAATATATTCTCTTCTTCATCCGACTCGTCGGCAACCACCCTTTTGCTTTTCATGATTTTTTTTCTGTTAAGAAATTTGAAAGGCGGCAACTTTGGAGCAAGAAGCCTGAAACAAAAAAATGTAAGTATATATTTTGAGATGAGATTGATCATTATGAGTGTTTAATGTTGTGGGCAACGGATGGATCCGATACGATTGGTAATGACTCTATTTGATGATGCAAAATGATCTTAATGACCTTCAACGAAAAGGGGATTTAACGAACTGTTGCCCTCCGATAAGATTAAATGGTTATTGGAAGGAAAAGGATTAGATTATAAAATAGAACAAAATATGGAGATGGCAGCCGAAATTATTGAAAAAGAAGTGGCAAAGTATGAAATGATTCAAGATAAGATGAGGAAAGATAAAATAGCGACTCAAACCGACGATGAAAACGAAAAGATGCAAAGAGAAATGAAAAGTTCGATGCTTCTCATGGCCATGTACAATTTAGAAGAAAAGATGAAGGAAAGAAAGAACCAATGATCCATGAATCAACAACTTATCTAAAACACCTACTTTCGATCTACCTCACCACGCATTGTAAACTATAGTTATTGGTTGACTAAATTTTTTTAAAAATTTGTCGAAAAAAAATAGCCACAACATCATCCCCCATTAACCATGGTTACTTCAACACAAACAGCAACTCAAACCAAGCGTAAGGGAGTCAATTTCCAAGGAAAGAGAAAGGAAAGCAGACTTTGGGTCAGAGCTCGCGTCTTGGGTTTCAAGAGATCAAAGGTTAGACAATACGAAAATACCAGTCTCCTCCAACTCGAAGGTGTCACCAGTTCAAAGGCTGCTCAATTCTACGTCGGAAAGAGAGTTGCTTACCTCTATAAGGGTGAAAACTCTTTGACCTCTGGTTCAAACACATACAAGGGATACAGAGTTGTTTGGGGTAAGATCACCAGACCACACGGAAACTCTGGTGCTGTCAGAGCTAAATTCAACCCACAATTGCCAACAACTGCTATTGCTCAAACTGTGAGAGTTTTCCTCTTCCCTTCAAACATCTAAACTCAATAAAAATTAAATTCATCATAAAGATTAATGTGTGTAAAGAAAGAGAACTTTGAATATGTCCTGTCTCAGTCGGAGTGAGTTGGTATTGCTGCTTTTTTCTCAAACAAAAAAATGTCGTCATCGGATCAACCAACATCAAAAGAAGACTTGCAAGAATTTCTTGATTCCCTCCAAGATTTCAATCCAGCGGTAGGTGTTATCCGAATAATAACTTTTGGGTTTATTCTAATTCACATGTTCTATATCTTGATCCAAAAACACATAGATTCCGGATGAAATCATTGCCTATTACTTACAGCAAAGCGGGTTTAAAACAACAGACAAGCGAATTCTTCGATTGGTTTCGCTATCAGCATATAAATTTCTTTCGGAAATATGTAAAGAGTCTCATCTATTTTGCACAAGACGAACACCAAAACAACAAGGAAAAGAACCCCGATATGTTCTAGCAACAGAAGATTTGGCTCAATCTTTGAAAGATTACGGCATTGAGATCCACAAACCTGAATACTTTTCCGATAATTTAGTGAATGAACAGATCCAAACACGATCATCAGCTGCTTCATCATTATCGTCAGGATCTTCACTTCAACCTTCTGGACAGCCTGGTTCTTCGAATGCTCCCTCTAATGACTAGATGACTCTATTTTGAAACAAAATACATGAACAGCTAAGAGATTGTTTATTATCTAACCTCATATTCTTATTATTTGTATTTATTTTTTGTAATTAATAACGCTGAAAATATTTTGTCGAGATACAACGCATTCGTGAAGAACCGCCAAAAAAATGTTATGGCAAGACATTACAGCCGAACAGATACAATCCGTACTTTCTGATGTATCGAATGTTGAGGACTTGAAACAGTAAGTTTTTCCATGGCGTCATCAATATCAAGAGTTGCTTGAATGGAAATAAATCTTGTTTTTGCCAAAATGATACACATTCGTTCGGAATGCATCTTCGCCTACTATTAAAATAATTGACGTATTCTGAAATTATAAGGAATATGAATGAAGTTTTGGATTTGTATGAGCTCTATCCGAACTTATCCGTAAAACAATATGAAATTCTTTCGGATTTATTCATGCATACGATCATGTTCTGTATGAGAAATAGGTTTACTCTCGAGAAGATTTCTGCCTTATTTACCATTGTAAAGGAAATTCATAAGGATACGTCGAACAATGATATTTCTCTGTACGACAGTTTTGTTCATTTCAAACAGCTCGTCACAAAATATAGTGTACATAGACCTCCCTTCAGCATTGAGGTGTTTCATGTCGACGACGTGAAGAAAATTTCAGAATATGTCTATAACACGTAAGTATATGATATGTGTGTGACGGACGAATTCAAACAATTCTTCAGATTTTACCGTCACTACAAAATGTATCAATATGTTTTTTGCCCAAAGCAAACAGCTTCCGTCACTATTGTACCTTCTCCATCACAATTAATTCTCCCAAAACCATTCGAGATGCTTGGTTTGGGAAAAGCTATGACTCAGCAAGAATTCCAAGAAAAGAAGCAACAACAACAGTTGGCTGATGACACGAAAGCAAAACAAAATACTACAACTCCTCAAGCTACTCCTCGAGTTGAGAACAATGGTAAATCTATTTCACCTCCACTTCCTACAGAGCAAATTTCACGATGACAGAACAACCAATAGCAAAAGAAGAAGCACCACAATCTGAGACATCACAAAAGAAACAACCTCCACATCCTCAAATTCTCAAACAATTGGAACCTATCAAAAAAGAAATTGAGGAAATGACTCAAAACAGAATTTCAGAACTCGAATCCAGAATATCTGAGTTGGAGCAAATGGTCGCAGAAAAGAAGCCTCTAAGGCACCAGTCAAACGATAAAACCTTTCATTAAGATTGTTTCTTTGACTCGAGAGGAAATGTCACGCTAAAAATAAAATTTAAAGTCAAATTTTTCAATTTTAAAAAAATGGAAGAAGTGGAACCAGTGAGTCATTTGCTTGTCTTGGCAGAGAAGAAATTCCTATTGGGTAATGATTTCCCTAAGGTAAACAAGAATGCTCTCGTTCAGGAAATATTGGATATTGTCAAAGAGAAGGGTATGTTTTTTTGTATTTTTGATCACCCACGGAATGAAAATGTATGAAACGATGATGATCGGACCTGATACACTGCACCACAACCAACAACAATCATTAATCTTGCAATATTATTGCTAATAATTCCATAATCTTCTTCAAATTTGGATGATGTTTGGACTGAATGGCACATTTTTGCTCTTTCGAAATTGTGTGCTGCTGAACCATGACGAATCGGACCAATGTTATATACTCGAACAGAAATGGGACCTTACTATGAAAATGTACTCGTTCAACAACTTCCTGACTATTTCAAAGCCGATCAAACATTTATTAACTCGTTGAGAGAATCTAATCAAAAGAAAATCCAAGAATTAAACGAAAAAATCGAAGATGCTCAGAAAAATCTTGGTGAAAATGAAGTAAGAGAAGCTTTACTTACCAAGGCACAATATTACTATTCTATTGGAGACAAGGAAAATACTCTTTCTGCATACAGAGAAACAGAAACTAAAACTGTTGCTTTGGGACAAAAACTTGACATTTTGTTTGCACTTCTTCGTGTTGGATTTGCATTTGATGACAAGGACATTGTGAAGAGAAATCTTGAAAGAGCTAACAGTATGATTGTTGAAGGTGGAGATTGGGAAAGAAGAAATCGATTGAAGGTCTATGAAGGTGTTCATCTTATGACTATTAGAAACTTTGCAAAGGCAGCAAAACTTTTCTTGGATTCAATTTCTACCTTCTCATCAAGTGAAATTATGACATTTGAACAATTTATTTTCTACTCAATTGTAGTCTGCACATTCTCACTTGGTAGACCTGAGATGAAGAAGAATATTTTGGAATCTTCTGATGTGTTATCAGTTATTCACAAACTGCCAATTGCTGAAAAGTTTGTGAACTCCTTCTATAACTGCCAGTACAATTTGTTTTTGGTGTCACTTGTGGATTTGATGGACAACCAATTGATCAAGGATCGTTACTTATCCAAACATGTCCGTTATTTCTCAAGAGAAATGAGAGTGCGTGCATACTCACAATTCTTGCAAGCGTACAAGAGTGTGACATTAGAGGCGATGGCAGAACAATTCGGATTGAGTGCCGAATTCTTGGACAATGAGCTTTCAAGATTCATTTCTGCAGATAAATTGAACGCCAAAATTGATAAGGTTACTGGTGTGATTGAATCAAGCCGAACTGACGAGAAAAATGCACTGTATCAACAAACCATCAAGCAAGGTGACCACTTATTGAACAGAATTCAAAAGTTGTCAAAAGTGATTGAAATGTAATCAACTGCTATCATTTGATTTTCCGTGAATTAAAAAATTGTAAAAACTCAATATTTATGTACATGAGAATATGGTGAGGTTGTCTTATTTTCTCTTTCTTTTGAGGTTGCTTGCATCTTCTGGCTCGTTGTATTCAGTTGTGAGAGTGTGGGTGTTTGTACTTTCTGTTTCAACAGCAGCAAGAGATTTTTGGGTTGTGGGCAGCACTCCTCGAAAACCAGCTTTGGTAATTCTGAAAGGAATCGTTCGTTCTTTCCCAGATGGGCCCTTTACAATTCGAGCTACTCTGTTGGAATTTACAAATTCTAAGAAAATGCTGCAGGTTACATGGTTAATCCACAAATGATTGAGTGAGGGAGCAAAATAGTGTACATTTCTCGAGGAATCATCCTTCTTCACAAACTTGGTTGTCACTTGATTAGTTGTTACAACGGCCAAATCAAAATCTTTAGCAAGAGAACTCAAGGATGGCCCAATGGATTTCTTGAGTTCATCTTTCATGGTATCATCAGAGCTTGATTTCCTCAAATGGAAAGCAATACTATCAACGACAACCAACTTGACTTTGTTTCTCCATTTGAGAATTTCTGGAAGAACTAGTATCAATCCAACAAATTCACTCAAAGTCACCGCTCGATAGTAATAAATTCCTCCTAATATCTTTTCTACGTTAAAATCTTTAAGAGCTTCCATCATGGCATCTTTTTTCGTAATATCTTTGTCTCCTTGTCTGGATGCAATTCCATGTAAGTGACTCACAAAACCTTCAGCAATTTCTTTCGTTCTCTCAATAGTAAAACTTCCTTCAGTATCGATATATAGACATTCACCACCAATACCACCAAATATTGCTGGCATCTGAACATCGACTGCTAGTTGAATTGCTATTTGAGTTTTACCAATTCCTGGTACTCCACATATATCAGTTATTACACCAGTTCTTACTCCATATCCTCCTAGTGCATCGTCTAGATCTTTGCAAAAAGTTTTGATACATCTTGTCGGATCACATTCTCGTTCCAGCAACGCTAATGTCGATAAATGTTGAGAAAGTAATCCCGAAGTTGATGATGAGGGTAACATGGCTGATGTGTTGTTGCTACCTCCTGCCAAATCTTGTGCGGCCTTCGTGGTCATCTTGTTTTGTAATAATAATTTATTTCTTATCAAAGAAGCATCTCCTTTCACATATTTCATAATTTTACTACAAGTGTCCATGGGCTCTCCGATATAACTGGACAACTCTGAGAGCTTCATTGATTTTATACTTTTCATTGTAAGATGCTTTTCTTTCAGTTTTGCAATGACCGATGGAGCTACGTCCTCGACATCAAGTAAATAGTCATCATCTTCCGATGGATGAAAAGCCGAGTGGAAGGCTTGTTGCATTTTTTTTAATAAAAATACATTTGAAATAAAAACTTCCAGTTGATTGCAGAATTCGAAAAACTTGATGTTGCTTTGCCTTAGCTCAAACGAATTGTTTAATTTGATGATTCAAATGAAACACACAAGTCACTGAAGAAACATGAATATTTTACAACAAGAAAATCTTAACATCTAAAAAAGGCAAATAAATACTGATCATCAAGCAACTTTGAAAATTATTGAGTGAATACCCACTACTACTCATTCTTCCTTCTTTTTTCTGTATTTTTGTTCTTCTTCTTTCACGTACTGCACGACCTTGTCTGGATCTCCGATTTGTGCCCACAACTGTTTCACGTCATAACGATCACCAATATAAATTCCGAGACCCAAACCAACCACGAAAGAGAAGAAACGAGACATTTTTTAATGTATTGTTGTTTTGCTGTGGATGATCGTAACACCAAGTAAAAAATGTTCTTTTTAGTTCTCAAATACAAGAAGAAGGGAATGAAGACCAAAAATGTGATGGAGTGCACACTATTGCTAATTTTGATACCAACATTGATAATAACAGTCGGAGTAGGAGGAATTGCATTAGTATCGAAATTATTGTTGGACACGACAGTGATGGTGCAGGGTCAAAGTGATGATTCAACGTTTTCACGGAATCGGATTCAATTTGAAATTGATGAACACGGTCATATGAAAACAGTAGAACAAGACCAACAACAACAGTACAATCAATATTCTTCACCTTTGAAATCAGAAAACCATGTAAAAGTGAGAGCAGTCTTACATCCAGGTCAAGAAATACTCTCGGAGAGAATATATTTTCATCGTGATGACTATTGGCAAGGTGAAGATGTACTTTATGAACTGAACGGCTTACACTCACATCGAAAGTATGAAGTACGAGTTTCCTATCCTGCCTATTGTCCTGCTGTGTTCTCTCTCAAAATCATCCATACCTTATCGGAACTACTCCATCACCCTTCTCTTCCACCTCAAAGACGTCGTTTACTGAATATTGAGAAGATGACCTTTGAAGAACCACCATCATCATCAACTGAGGACTTTCTCCATAAGAGATTTCTCATCATTCATGCAGAGCGAGAAGCTCCCTCCTTCCAGAGTTCCATTCAGCAATCACCCATCCTCTTTAATCTAGGTAAGTTATGTCGAATTATTGTGGAAATTTCTCATAATTGGGAATGGATCAACAACAATAGCTCTCGAGGAATTAAAGATGGGTTTCCTTCCCAATGGTTCTCTAACATTAGGATTGTTGGTGTTGACAACTTTGGTGCTTGTTGGTGTCAGTCTGAATTATTTTGGCGCCTTATTTCAACCAACACTTGGAGAACCATGAGCCCGCCAAAATAATTCGTTACCAAAATCAAACTTTAAAAAAAATGAAGAAATTTGGTTCTAGCCAAAATTTGAATACAACCATGGTCGGATCAAACAATACCGGGTCGGCTGCTAGCTATAACATTCCAACTGTGAACATTCCGACTCTTCTGGCATCCTTGGGAGAAATGGGAGTCCCGTCATTGAGTACTGAAGATTTAAATAATCCTTCTCCAGAGGTGGCTTGTAAAATACTCGGAAGCTGTATGGAAAAGTTATTGGATACATCCACGAACGAGATAAGAACACGAAACAAGGAATATTTAAATAGCCCTGATGCACCTGTACAAATCCGAGAAAATCCTGAGGCGTATTCTCATGCTGCTGAATTTATTGAATTATTTAAGAAAATGTAAGTTGATAGAGATGTACTTGATTGGTATTTACTTGAATGATTGATGATCATATTCAACACGTATAATATTGGTACTATGAAATTGGTTGGCATTGGATGACCAACATTTTGTTGCCTTTTTCTCTCTCGCTACTGATAGACAAAAAGTTTTGATTACGGCAAGACTTCATGATTTTTCTATCACAGATATTGTCAAGCCAAACTCTAAGCGGTTTAGGTTGGCATTATTTGCATTCCTCAATTTAGCAAAGTTTAGAGAAGAAATTATTGATTCATACAATGAAATTATAACAGAATTTGACACACTCGAGGCAGAAAAAGAAGAATTACGATTACATGTAGAGAAAGACAACAATGCACTTCAATCCTATCTCGAAGAAGAACGATCTAACGAATCTAATTTGAAGATACTGGCAGAAAAAGTCAGAGCCATGACACAAGCCATACAAGAAATTAGTGTCAAAGATATTGAGATACAGAACAACATACAAATCGTTCAGTCAGAGAATGAAAATTTGACCAAGCAATTGGAAGGAGCAGAACAACATTTAGAAGCTCTGACAAAAGAAAACAAAACTTTGAAATCACAAATCGTCTCAAACCCTGAAGAGCTCAAAAAGAAAATATTGGTCTTACGAAGATGTATTCAAACAACAACAGACGAGTTACGAGAATTAGAGGAACAATTGCAATCTCTCACGGTTGATCATATTAAGAACGCAGAAGAACTCATTAAGATTCTGTCTAAGTCTATTGTATTAAGCGAGCAAGTAGAAGAATTCAAGAACAAAAAAAAGGACATTGGAAAAATCATTAAGGGCAAACAGGAGACTATTGAAAACATGGAGACCGAGATTGTTGAAGTTGAGAATATGAAAAAGCAGAAAGAGAAACAAATCACCAATCTCTCAGAAAGGATTGAAAAGATGCAACAACAACACCTTGAAAAGATCGCTCGAGCTGAAACTATGATCATTGATGCTCAGAAAGAGAAGGAGCAATGGAACTTTTATGTAGAGAATATAAGGACAAGGCTGAGAGCAACAAGAAAAGACTCGAAGAGCTCAGAAGAATGCAAGCTCAAAGGAGACAAAGTCACCAACAACAAATTCTTCAACTCAACTCACATCTTTGCAATGATATTATTCAAGGAATTGACTCCTATCACATGAAGGCTGTGTCTTCATTAAAACAATAACTTATTGCAAACGGTGACACCCTATTTATTCTTTGTTGATATTCACAGCATTATCAATGACAGCCACCACCTCGTTTTCAGGCGAATTGATTTCGATAGAAAACATTCTGCTGCTTCGTCTACGAATAAGGGATATCTTTTCTTCTCCTTGCTTTGAATCTGCTCTTTTGATTTTCGTTTTTGAATTACCACGTTTGAGATTATCTGGAGAATATTCCTTAGCAGAAAGAGCATTGTCAATGTCTTGAGAATCAACCACAACTCTTCGAGTGGAGTGCATTTTTCTGAGCTGTGTATGGTGTTTGTAACTTCGAATTTCATCTCCCATCATTGGGGCTTGTACTCCAAGCATGTTGGACTGATATTTAACCATGAAGCCAGGATTTTCTGCGGTATTGTGACTTGAAGGCTCGTCCATTGTCACCCATGGATGTTCTTGGAGTTCGTCCATTGTAATTCTGGTTTTCGGATTTTTATCTAGCATTCTTGAAATTATATCTTTTAGCTCCTTGCTTGCTGTTTCTGGAATGTGAGGTTCTTCATGTTGAATCACATAATATAGATATAACAGTTTTGATGCCCCGGCTTCATCAGATTTGAAAGGAAGAGTTCCAAAAACCATACAGTATAATGTGACACCAAGGGCCCAAATATCTGCCAACTTTCCTTGTATTTTCCCCTTGTAGCACGCTTCAGGAGGCAAAAACGCAGGAGTGCCTTGCGAGTCGTCAAGTGAATCTTCTTCATCGTCCTCCAACAATTTGCTTACTCCAAAATCCGACAGTTTTACCTCTCTAGACTTTGTGAGAAGAATATTTGATGGCTTGATGTCTCTATGTACAACTCTGTTGTGATGAAGATATTCCAGCCCGTTTAAAAGTTGTCTAAAATAGAATCTAGCCTCATCTTCAGAAAATGGCTTTTGACCAGATTCTAAAATTCCGTCATCATTCAGTTTCATTAACTCTCCTCCATCTATGTATTCAAACACCAAACATATTTTGTCATTCATAGGATCATCAATGACCTCTAACAGACGAACAATGTTTGGGTGATCAAGCTTTTTCAAAATTGCAATTTCATGTTTGATTTTGTTAATTTGACTGTTTTGCTGCTGTCCAGGAGCCTTGTATTTTCGCTTGATGTTGTTAATTAAGGATTTGTTAATAACCTTAATTGCAACTAGCTCTCCATTTTTTGCACTCTTTCCAAGTTTAACAGATCCAAATGATCCCTTTCCAAGCTTTTTGATAATTGTATATTGGTTGATTGTTTTCCTTCCGTGAACATCTCTTCCATGTTGGGCTGTTGTTGTCATTTCAACATGATGAGATGGAGTGGCTCCAGCAATACTCATTCTTCGTCTTGGAGCCGTTTTCACTTGGAGCATGGAAGTAGGTTGAGGGGGAGGAGTGATAGGTTCAAACGATTTTTGTTTTTCCATTCCTAAAAACTCAGAATGACGTCGCTCTTTTTCTGGTGCGTTAAGTGTTGCTCCAAAAGTGAAATTAGGGTTAAAAAGAAAGTTGGAAGGTGTCGAAGTGGGTTCTGTTTTTTCGTTTTGTTTGATTTCATGTAACAGACTCGGCGAGTTGGGCGTACCAGCAAACAAGGAATGTCTTCTCTTAATGTTATTGGGTAGGAGTAGCTTGTCATTATTGGTAAGTCTTGAATTAAATTTGAAAACAGAATCTTCTAGTTGCTTCCGCAACTCAACCATCGGATCGTTGGAGAGCTTCGAAGTAGTTGTGGGGTGAGATAATTTTTTGTCGACAAGAACGTTCTCTCCTGGAGACGTAATCTTGTTGTTTCTAGGAGATGACAGCTTGTTAGTTCTAGGAGATTTAACGGAGTGGGGAACAGTTGGTATATTTTGATCGCTCTTCCCTCGAGGGACTGGCTCAACTTTAAGTTCAGAAGGTCGTAAGTTAATAGCATTTTCACTCTTGTTCCTTGTTTCTTTTTGAGGAACAGTAAGCGATCCATTTAGGGATCCAAAGTTAGACACTGGAGTTTTTGTCACTGGACTGCTCAAGTTGCTGAGATAATGCGGCCTGTTTCTACTTCTGGCTTGATTGGAAGCTGTGCTCGTTAGGGAAGCGCTTGATGATGAATATGTCACTTGTTGTTGATTGCTATTCTTGGTGGAAATCAGAGGTGTGATGTCATCATTTGGGATATTATCTACAGTGGTGGAGGTCGTGGAGGCGGTTGAAATTACTGAGAAATCTAGCGAGTTTCTCACGCTGTTGTTGTTGTTGGAAGAAATAAAAGGTTTTGAAGATGTTGAGGAACCATTGCATTTGACATCACCTTGAATCGATCGATTATTTGGGTGTTCTAGATTGAGAGGAGTTGGACGTTTGGCTTCTAACGAGCCCGAAGCTGCATACGCAGACTTATCTTTTTCTTGTTTGATGTTGTCTTTCCTTGAAGGCGACCTAGAGTCTTGAAATGTTGGGTTGCTCTTTCGTTTTTTTGTTGGAGAAGAAGGAGAAAACGAAGACGGAGAGGGGTCCTCTACCATGTCGTTCTTTACAACAGCACAGGCTGACACGGAACCTCCCATTAATTCTTTTCTTTATGACCCTATGTGATTGTTTTTAACGATGTTCCGAGTTATGATTCACGACAAAGCTTGTATTTTCAATTCCTGATGATGTTAGTCTGATGCTGCCGTTTAAACAAGGCAACACTCGTTGTTGATGACCAGTGTGTTCGAGTAACTAACCGATGATGATGATGCTGATGAAATTTACTTCATGAAGAGAACGGCCTCTCTTGTTATACCGCTCAAGTAATCGTAAATCTCTAATATTTATCGCCTCGTAGTGCGTGGGCGGGTGCCTAGTTTTATTTTTTTAGAGTTGGTGATGAAGCTGTGCGCTCAGCTCTCGAGCTTTGAGATTCCTTCAGCCTTTTGAACAACAATCACGCTTGCACCAGCAGATCCTGTACAAGTATATAAGGACGAAGGCGGTTAGATCAGCTCAATAACTTTTGGTGCAACTTCAAGTTCAGCTTCATATTTTCTCTCATGAATTGAAGTTCGCGGTAACGCTGAGCACTTGGAGAAAGAGGCCCTTCAAGGCTGTTCATTCGCTCGAGTTTTCGTTGAATGGCATCTTCGTCAACTTCTTCGATGGGTGCCAATGGACGAGCAGAGGGAGGATGTGGAATGGATTGGCAACTCAGAGAACGTTTAAGCTCTTCTTCATTGGTATGAGCAGGTGAGGTGGAAAAAGGTAGTGCTCCAAGATCAGTCAGGAGACTCTTGTTGGATTTCTCTCGTTGAGTCGGTGAGGGACTTCTGGATCTTAAAAAAGAGGCATCACGGAGAGGTGGTATTTGAATCTTTGGTTTTTCGTGGTGAGATTTATGAGAGAATTTAATGGAGCTTTTAGCCGTTCGAGTTTTTGAGGGATATGTGCCTTGAACTTCCACCACCAAACTACAAAGGATGGTTACAAATATTTAAATGATATTGAAAATTACGTACGTTTGATTAATAAGCTCGTCAGGGCTCTCCACCCATGGCAGTGTTAGGGCGTTGAATTTTATCATGCTTGGTTCGTTGAAAATGATAAAACAATCTCGGTTGATCCGTAAATCTTTCATGATTGTCACTCGCTCAATAGGCATAAGCTCATCATAAATTTTTACATCAAACAGTGCATTGGGATGCTCAGCCAATTGATGAACTCGAATTTCAAATGCAAATACCTCCGCTAACTGTTGGTTCAGATCAGTGTAAGAACTTGTCACTTTAAACACAGGACTTGGTATTGCACTGCTTTCTTGCGAGCGATCTACATCTTCCAAAGCAGTTCGATCCATGAGAGAGATACCTTCAGAATTTGTTGTACTCTCGTTTTGTAATGTATCATCATGATTAGGTTTGGTTTCGGTTGGTGTTGTTGGTGTTGAGGTCTTTAGAAAGGCCTTCTTTTTCTCTATTTGCTGAATGTGCAGAGGAGAGCGATAATGTACAAGAGTATCAGGCACTTCAATTAATTTTCTCGTCTTTTTCGTTCCACTTTCCTTTAATTTCATGTCGTGGTATTTACTTGATGTTGCTTCCTGCTTCTCCTTAATCACATCCCAAAAGTTTGACGTTTGTAAATTTACATTTGCAGAAGCCATCATGATGAACGATAAATCGTCATGATCATCCATGGGCCTTCCTACATTCAATTTTCGTTCATCATAATATTCATTAATTCTCTTCTCCTTATCATCCAACATTCGGAATTGCTCTTCAATTTGCCGTAAATTTCGTCCCTTCTTCTCTGGCATTGGAGCAAATTTCTTGCCCCTCGACAATACTGAGCTCATTTTTTCCAAGTTGCAAATTCAAGCATTAAAGATCATCAAGAGAGATGAAGGTTCGTTGTTACTGGCTCGTGAACAAGCGGCCGCTGCCTTGTTTTGAAAGAACATGTTTTCTACGTATATGGCATGAAGCAATAACAGGTACAGACTTGTTGGAGAAGATGAGGTCAGAGAGGCATTAATAGAAGATACAACATTGTATTCTCAATGATGATCTGTGGTGAACGTTTCATGGATGATCAGAGCTCGAATTGTTTGTAAATCCTTTTGTAAAAGTTGAGAATGGATAATGACCAGCATGTAATCTAATTGTTGAGAAACGTATGAATACTCTGGCTCAATAATAAAATTCATAATGAGTTGATCTACGTGTCGTTGAATGGCATCATTTCTCATTGTGAGGAAACGAGGATGACTTTCTTTAAGAGCTTCAAAATCTTCATTGAGAGCAAAGAGTCCTTGACAAGCTAATAACTGTCTCTCGAATGTAATACTTTCTAGTAGGATGTGCTCAGTTTCTTGTTGAGAATTTTCTTCGATTTGTGATGGTGAGGCCAAATTCGTACTAGTCGTGGAAGGAGTAGCATTGGATGGACAATTCTCAGCATTCTCACTAGGTGTCGAAGAAGCAGAAGCTGAATGACACAAATAACATGCTAAATTCGTGCATTCAGTGCATTCTGCTTTCTTTCCAAAGCTATAAAAAAGAAAAGCTCGTAAGAGTAAAATATCTACTAAAAGCTCTGTGTGTTTTCTTGATTTTGTGGATAAATCAATGGTAGAAATATCGCTATTTGATTTAAAATCAATTTCTTCGAGTTCATCCACTGTATTAATTCTCAATTCCATAGTAATGAGAGTGAATGCATTTTCACAGTCATTCAATGACTCTCTCATGTTCGTGACAACATTAATTTTGTCAGAAATGTTTTTGTGCATCTTTTTGTGTCTCTTGTAATCCGTGATGGCATCTTTTTGAGGTGACTTCTTTTTCTTGAATTTTTCGATCAAGAATGAAACAATTCCATTTTGAGTGAGTGTTGATCCAAACATGGGTGAAGAACATATGGCCACAAGATGGTTGTCAATTTGTAAGAAACATTTCATAAGGGAGCGGTAGTAAAATCCTTCACACAATGTTGGATTTAAAGTGATGGCTCTCGTGAGGTTTGTGATGGAATGTTTCAAATCATTTTCTAAATTTTCGTTAACAAATCGAATGGATAACTTTCTCTGTTGATAAATGTAATTTTTCTGACCTTTGATTAATAATATCAATCGAGCAGAAGATCCCATTTCGTCATTTTGGTTGTGCGACGTTAAGGACATGAGTTGAGTTGCAGTTGATCTTGTTGAAAATGTGGCAGAATATCTTCCTTTTTCAACGCCATTGAATGTAATGGTGTTTCTACAGTAATAAAGCATGGCTAACAGATAATAATAATATGACCATGCCATGTGAATATCGAAATATGAGCTTCCATTCAGATCAACTCCAAAATAACTTGAATATTCGGTTTTTTGTCTCTGAGCAGCATCAATCACAAAGAGTTTAGCTCTTCGTGTTGCTTCCTCGTCAATCACTTTGTGTGAAGAAAATGCAAAAGAAAGAGAAGATCTTCTCATCAGCGAGTTAAATATGAGGTCATCACTACTGGAGCTTGGTGGAGATGCAGTGTTATTGGTTTGTGAGGCAGCCGTGCTTCTTAATAGAGCTCCTTTGGTAAAATACTCGACCGCTTCATTGATGCAATCATTCATGAGCAGTACAATTCCAATATCGATCAATGATTCTTTGGTCAAGACCGTTGCCGAGTTGTTAAAAGTGTTGGATCTTTTCTTTGCTTCCAACTCTTCAAACTTTTTCAAATTTTCAAGTGCTTGTGGATAACAACCATTCGCACTCTTAATTTGCAAATTCAATAAATAATATTCGGGTGTTTTTTTCACATAGGAACTGGACATGAATTTTTCAGCATCGTCATAGTGTTGCTTTTCATAGAGAATTTTGGCAGCCTTAAAAAAGCAATCTGTTTCAAAACACTTATCGGTGGTCATGATAGTTTCTCCATCGGCCAATGCCTGATCAATATTTCCCAATTCAATATGACACATCATTCTCTCATAATACACTTCACTAATCTTTAAAAACAAGTGATAATTCACAGGACTCATGGTCAGAAAATTCACAGCTTTGGTCAAATCAGGCAATGCTTCCACAATTCGATTCAATTTTAACAGAGCTTTTCCTCTAATGAAAAACAATTCTCCTGGATTCACTGGATTGTTCTTCAATGCCTCCTCTGCATACACAATCACATATTGAGGTAAATCTCGAATCCAACAAATTTTCGCGAGTCCTTCCCAAGCTCGAGCACAAGATCCTTCCTTACTCAGAGAAATGGCCTTTTCAAAGTAATGAATGGCCTTACTATATTCATTACGATACACATAGCGATATCCTTTTTCCACATAATCTTCACTCGAAGTTTCACGACGAGAAGAGAAAATTCCAAGTTTTCTCTTACTTGAAGCGTTACTGCCATGAATGATTCGATAGCGTTCAATGAATAAATCCTTCCATGGATTATTGTAATCGAGAATGGAAGACATGGAGCTATGGTGGTGTGGTGGTGTTGGGAAGAACATGGTTTTTCGTTGACTCGAAGTGACCATGTTACCATTATAGTGATGATGAATTCGAGAAAATCTTGCTGCACTTGTTGTTGAATGATTACTATTAGAACTTGTTGTTGTTGTGTTGAGAATATGATCAGAAGAAGTAGCTCCAGCAGTAGTAGTAGTAGTAGTAGTACTCGTAGTAGTCATAGTCGTATGTGTTGTAGTAGTTGTAGTTGTCAAAGTAGTATTATTCACATGTTCTGAGGTGTTAAGGTCAAGGCGGAATGTAAGATTGGTGCACCAATCAAAAACGATTGTCTTGATGAAACGATTGGTGTATCAATATCCCAAAATACGAGACGATGAGGAACTTCCCACACAGCTCGATAATGTCGTTGCCATTCATTCTCAGCCAATATATGAAACACTCGATTCGTGAGTCGGCACGATAAGAAGTCTTTCAATTCTAAAAAGCAAAGAATGTAATGAAGTAAATCGTTAGGTAAATCTGAGAAGGTGAGTGGTTTGGTTGGAATTGCTGTTGCGAGAGTGGAATTTAATTGTTTGAGCTCGTTGGTTGCATTTCTCAATATTGTGTCCAATGATAGAGATGAAATTGCTGAAGGTGGTGTCAAGTTTTTACTTGTAGTTGTCGATGGTTGTTGTTGTTGTTGTAGTTGAGAGAAGGAATGGATTGATTTTTGAGGAGACGGAATTTGGTTCGTTTCCAAATATTGTTGTTGATTCATGAACAGAGGAGAGTGAATCATTGGTGTCTCCGAAGATGATAATGAAGAAGAGGAATTTGAGAGTGTGGTTGTGGTTGTGGTTGTGGGTGGTACTGTTCCTCCTCTCGGTGAGGTATGATGATGATGATTTAGAAGTGAATGGATTCGAGGAGAAGAGGATGCATGTTGTTGAGAGGATCCTAGAGGTGAGGTCACTCCTGTCCCAATGGTATTGTTGGAGGTAATGGTTTGGATCGGAATGGGAGAAGAGAACGATGGAATCATGGAAGGTAATTGCTGATCCGATGATGAGGACACAATGGGAGAGTGAGTAGTGTTCATGAATACTTGAGAAGCAGCAATATTGGAAGAGGATAGGGTTGAAACATCTCTCGTTGTGTTGTTGTTGTTGTTGGGTGATGATTGGGTTGTTGTGTATGGGAGTTGTTGTACTTGTTGTTGGGGAGGAAGAGATTTGGTGCGTTTTTTTGACATTTTGCTGTCACACACAAAACATGGAACGCATGGTTTGTGTGTTCTCTGTTCAAAGAGTGGAATCAAAATTATAATTTCAAAAATGTCAGTGATACTTTTTTCGTTAAATTGAAACGCTATTGTTTATGGGCTTACACACGTCAATGCCGTTCGTCAGAGTATGAGGATGCAATTCCGCTTCTACCTTGTTCAATAGTGGCATAGGTGGCTGGAGGATTGTCACCTTCATTCTGATCGTCGTCTGCGTCTTGACCTAAACCTTTGTACGTTCTATTTTTCAAAAAGAGCATCGAGGGAGTGTATTGAGATTGAACCAGTTGACGTTGCTGCTGTTCTTGCAAGACCAGAGATTTACCATCGTCTTTGCTCTTGAGAATCTCTTGGGAAGAGGCTGTTGATTTTCCAACTCGGTAAACGAACCTGAAATTAAGGAGACAGAATACGACTCTGTGTCATCTTGTGGCTGTTGCAGTGGAGACTCATGGTCTTCATCCTCGAAAAGTCTATTGAAATCCAGTTGATAGTAACCTGTCCACTCTTTGCCATACTTCAACGCCAACTCGAGCTCGAAAGGAGTGATAATTGGTTTCACATATTCTCTAGATTCAATAAGTGAATTTTGAGAGCATCCAATAAGGACAAACATGTCAATCTCCATAAAATTAGCTAGTTTGGGTACATTCAATTTTCCTACGAAAAATAGATAGAATTTTCTGTTGTTGTCAATAATGAGTCGCTTCACATATTCTACCATTTTCAAGTAATTCTCAACAGATACAGTAGCCACTAAAATTCCAAACACTTGAGCTTCTTTTGCTTTTTGTACGAGGGCAAATCTTCTTGCCAAGGTTCTTGATATACCTGCCATGCTATCATTTTCTATCTTGTTCTTGTAGCCAGAATAAACTTTAAACGAATGAGTATTATATTCCATCATGAATTGAGTAATAAAAGATCCTAACTCTCCAATGAAAAAGAATCTGGCCTTCTCACTTGGTTTTGGAAATATTTGGTTACTAATTTTGGTTTCATTTTCAGAAATTTCTGTGGTAGTACTCCCAGCAACGTTTTGAAGAACTCTGGATTCGTATAGTTTTGAAAAGACTACTCTTTGAGATTGGATGAGTGGAATAAGGTCTTTCTGAATTCTCTCATAATTTACCAAGTCATAAATAACGATAACTTCTCCTCTTGCGACTCTTCAACAAAATTGTTCAATGCCTTTGCACATTCATTTACATCTAATTTATAATTAACTCCAAAAACGTGAAAAACTGGTGTTCTCTTGACTCTTTCATACCACCAAATTCAAAATAATATTTGTCGACAAAACAATTAAATTATTGAAAACCTACGGTTGAAGACAAGCATTTCCGTAATGAATAATAAACTCTGCGAAAATATGTTGTGCTCCAACCTCATCCACACAGCAGCTTCCATATGAGGTATCTCCCAATATATAAACTCTCAAATGATTCGAATCATTTCCTAGATGATGCTGTTTAGTATACTCTGAATTTATAGCAAGCTGAGAAAGTAGCGAAAGTGTTGAATGAGTATTGAAATCTTCAATATCTCCGACAGGTACTTCTTCATGATTACTTTCATTTCTACCATTCATGGTATCATTGGATTGATCTCTTTCCATTCTCCGATGATAATGATTTTTCAATTGAAAAGATACCAAAGATGCATCCATCAACAAGTCGTCGGAAAATTGTAACGCCACAGTCTTGAACCCATTCCGAATAATAATATCCACGCTTTCCGCAATTTTATAACACTCATCAAATTGTTCAATGGTATACTCATCTAAATGTCGACTCAAACACGTGTAGCTATGAGAGTCCTGCGAAAGTGAAACAGTTTGTTGAATGGCACCAGAACCATCATTAGTGAGAGCACTCATTTTTTTCTTCCAACAAACTGTTGATTGCCAAAGACGAATGGTGATGAAGTCGTAGAGAAAATACAAATAAATACTTGGTCACAACACCCTTTTCAATGATTATACCAAGCTTTTTAAATTTTTCTCGAAATGTCATTTGCAGGAGATAGAATATTGAATTTTTGGAATTTCATGAATTGGCAAATAAAGCATAGGTGTTGTTCGAGTTGTTCCTTGTTTGAATATCGTCAGAAAAGAATCGAATAACATTATCAATCTAACCAGGGCGAGCCATTCATTTGAATGAAATGCATGTTCTTTCCCTTTTTTAAAACATTTTTCATCTATTTAATTTGCAGTTTACCTAAACAAGACGCGATGATCAAAGGTTCACTCTCTCAGTTGAGAGATTGAAATTACATGAACTATTTCGCACCCATTTCCACATCAAACAAAGGGTGATCCAATCTGTGGAGGGTCCTTTGTTCTCGACTGTACCATTTCCTCTTGCTTTTGTAATTCCAAATCTTGATAGCGTTCTGATTGGTGATGAATTACTGGGGTTGGTGCCTCTTCAGCCATGGAGAGAGATTGGTTTTAAAAGACATCATTAATGACCAAAAAGCATTTTGGCGCTCTTGATAGAGAGACGCTGAAACGGTGTGTTTTATTCAATTGAGGAGCAAACACTTTGAAATTCATTTGAGATTAGTGTAGCGAAGAGTAAACCGCACACTGACAAATGTTGATGCTAAATTGGTTGAGCATCTCTCTCTTGAGTGTCGACGACATTCGACGCCTTATCAACACAGGTTACTTGCTTGTCAATGAATTTATCATTTGAAAAAAGAGAAGACACCAAGTGACAGAGTAACATTCTGCAGTCCTCTTGTATTAAGTCATTCCACCAGCTCTCTCTCATTCCCAAAATATTTTTCCTGCCAGCAATTACAGGTTCAAGCTCCAACATCTTTTCATCGTACAACTCCACACTCTCGTAAGCGTTGTGGTTGACAACACTATATTATAAAAGCAAAGTTTGAATTCATTCTTTTCCACGCATTTGGACAACTCGATTCAAGAATGAGCAATAATAGTGCCAATGGACTCATCAGTCCTACCTCTCCCAACAACAACAACAGTGCCAAACGCATTAGTTTTCTGGAGGCTAATCCCTCAACTCCTCCTCGAAAAACCTCTCCCGTTAAAAACTCTCCTCTCAATAACATTTTAGCCTCAAGAACGAGAGCCAAATCAAGTCCAGTACCACCCGGTGCGTTATCTCCTCAATCGCCTCCAACAACGTCGACCATGACTTCCTCTGGCTCTTCCCTCACTTCACCTACATCTCCCAATCATCATCATCATCATACATCCTCCATCACACCTACCCGAAGAATGAGCATCTCGGTTCCCAATACAACCTCCACGCTCTCTCCTCTCCCATCGGCACAGAAAAAGGAAGGACGCAAGGAACGACTCTCCATCATCTTTAGACTCTTTGATAAGGACGAAGATGATCGTTTGAATCCACAAGAAATGAAAGATTTTTTATGTTCTGTTTTTTACGGTCCTGAAATGAAGGACATTCTCTCCGAGTTGCAAACCACCTATAAGGATGGAGTGAATTTTGAGGAGTTTGTTCAATTGTGTCGAGACGAGAGTGCCAAGAGCTCAGCCTCTGTGAATGCTTCGAAAAGTCCAATGTCGAATGGAGGAAGAAGAGGAAGAAGTGCCACTGTGCATGTTTCTGCATTTTCCAATCAATCACAAAAGCCATCAATTTCTCCTACTTCATTGAATGATGTTGAGGAAGATGATGGATTCAGTGAAGAGGATTTGAAAACGGTGTTTAGTGAAATTTTGGATTCCAACGATGATGGTGTGGTATCATTGAGTGAATTCAAGAAAGTAATTACTAATTTAGGTATACAAAATACATTCTCTGATGATGAACTTGCATTGCTTTTTGACGGAAGCAAGACGTTGAGTTATGAGCAGTTTAGAAAACTCGTGACCATGTAAACAAGCAAATCACTCGCTCCTGTAAAGTACATTCATGACTCCCAGTAAAAATGAATTTGTGTAAGAATTATTTCCATTTTTTCAAGTTGGGCAAAGAAGATCTTGAGTCTTTTGAAATACTTGAACAGTTGTTAACATTAACGATGGATTTTTTAATCTCAATTGACAATCTGACAATTATCTTTCGTTGGACACCACGGTGGTATTTCAAACAATTTCGAATCCACCTTCTCGCTCATATCGTAATAATCAAATCTTTGAACAGAATTAGGATCCACGAGTGTTCGACTCAAATGCCAACATTGTGAAGAATCAGAACTATTCGTTTCATTCTGAACGACCCAATCTTCAAAATAGAAACCATGTTGCAATACTCCAAATGACAATTTGGTTGCATCTAAGTTGAGAAGTCTTGCTTTTTCAATGTTGCCATCAGGTATTCCAAAACATTGAATCAATTTTCTGACATTGGGCGATCGTTGACAATGACATTCTCTCGAGTTTGAAGAATTTCCCAAAAAGTATGTGTAATCATAATATGCATCTTTTACGAGTAACGAAATACTTGATAAGGTTAATTCATTTGAAATACCATTCTTTTTCTGGGAAGAATTCATGTTCATAAACTCCTCCGAACGTTTACGATTAGAACCAAAATCATAATATTCTTTTGTGGTTGTCATTGAAATGGATGTAGAACCACCAGAGGATAAAGGAATGAAAGAATAGGAGCAGGTCATGCTGCATACCTTGGGAAGACAGCAATAAGGCTCATCACTGCTCGATGAAAGACTTGTCTTTGGCAAGATGTTAAGAGATTCAACACACGGAATGATGAACGTCATCACGACTACAACAAAGCTTGCCAAAACATGAAGATGAAAACATTCCTTGGACGATAAGGTTGTATGCATTTTGTTTTTTCAAGAAGCAAAGGTAGAGGAACTTTGAGCGAAGTCAGTTTGAAAGAGATTTTATGATTGTAACCAAGTGTGAGGTGAGTAATCGAAACGAACGGAACTGTTCATGTCCTACGCTTGAAATGGTCATGTTCATAAAATGATGAAACATTTGTTAAGAACTAGCCTCGACGAACTTCAAAAAAACTGTAAAGTAGGTCGTTGAAGCTTTTATTTGAACAAGATAAGGGTATGATCTTCTTGAGCTGACTCTACATGTATTCATTGTTTCATTCATCTCAATTAAAAATCTGACAATTCTCTTTTGGTGGACACCACGATGGTATTTCAAACAATTTTGAATCGAGCTTTTCACTCATGTCATAATAGTCATACTTTTGAACAGAATTGGGATCTACTTGCATTCGACTCAAATGCCAACATTGTGTGGAGTCAGATCCTTGACTTCCTTCCTGAACTACCCAGTCTTCATAATAGAATCCACTCTGTGGTTCTCCCAATGACAACTTGGTGGCATCCAAATTAAGAATTTTCGTTTTTTCAATTTTGAAACCAGGCATTCCAAAACATTGTTCTAATTTTCTGTTATTGGGTGTTCTTCGACAATGGCATTCTTTGGACGACGGGCTACTAGTAGAATTTCCCAACAAGTAGGTATAATCAAAAAATGTGTCCTTCACGAGTAAGGTAATACTTGAGATTACGACTTGATCGCTTTTTTTAATACGATCTTCTTCAACGGTAATATTCATAAACTCTTCGGATCGTTTACGTTGATTGGTAAAATCATAAAATTCCTTGATGGTTTTCATCAATATGGAAGAGGATGATGAACTCAAACGAATGAAGGAGCTGGATGAGGTCATACTGCACACGTTCGGAAGACAACAATAAGGATCACTGTTGTTGTTGATTGGTTGCATGATACGGAGAGAATGAACACTTGCAGTCATACTCATGCACACCAGTAGTGATGAAATCATGATCAACAACATGAGAGATGCAGCAGTTAGAAGAGTCATTTTGTTTTTACTGGGTGGAATTTGTTGAGGTACTTTTGAAGGGTTTTAAATGGATTATAATGGAGTTTGAGATAATCGAAACAATTTGATCTGGTCCATGATTGCCAATCTATTCTAGTACAAAACGGTCATGTTGTGGAATTCGATCTGTCATGAAACTCCGTAAAACGACCTCAATCGAAGAGGGAAACGCTACTTGCAACGTTTTTACAGTTTTTATGCTCATGTCCTTTTTTTCCATAACAAACAACAACGAATACTTGTCCAAACGAAAGAACATGTTATCTGGTACGGAAGTTGACCTCCTCAACCACTCCAAATTACGTTGAAATCCGATTGACCATTTAAAAAACATCAAAACTGTCATCCTTCACATCTCAGATCCACCCAACAAAAAATGACAGCCTCCTCTCCTTCCACTTCCTCCAACAATTTGGATCAAAGCAGCTCCATCGAAACGACCATCAGGTAAGAATTTCTTTGGCGGATTGAATGATTGAATTTTGATCATTCGATGCGATGATGATGATTGTGTTGAAAATATTTTGTAAAATAATTTTATTATTATGGATACAAGTCAATTGATTGTTGCGTATGAAGTTTTGGTTCATTCGCATTCTATTGTTGCTGTAGAATCGAGCATTAAAGGTGATATTGTAGACAAATATAGACAGGTAAGTAACAATGATGGTTCGAATTTTAATTCATCATATGGTTTGACATGTTTGACATTTGACGGTGCATTATCAACTACTTTTCACGTCGCTCAACCATCATCATTGTCATCTCATGGATCATCCTCTTCTTGCGTGATCATGTCATGTCCAATTTCCACTCCGTTGAATCCACCATGATATGTTTTCATCTTCTTCTCTATCTTTTCACACTCCCATAGATTCAAGAATGGAAAACAAAGGAAGAACACATCAATTTCCAAACCAATTTGGAATCAGTCAAAACTGTTCTCATTCGTCTCTCTAAAGATAAAAACAACTTGTTGAAGATTTTAGATTCCATGGCAGATATCATGTCCAATTATTCATTGTTGAAAGATATTAATAGTAAGAAGAAAATTATTATTCCTGAAAGAAAGGAAAATGATTACATTGATAATGTCATTATGAGGCATATGCAATTGTGTATGCAATCGTTTAGACATCACAAGTAAGTTGTTGATCGAAACAACAATGATGAACCATTAACCTTGTTGTTTGTCATGCATGTGTCAACCAATTGTGTGAAAATTGTTTCACTCATCCTCAAATCATTCTTTCTCACTTTGAATCATACTCTCAAGTGATTTGAACCCATCCTCAAAAGTCTACATTCCAGATAAAATTCAAAAGATTTGCTACGACAGAATTTACAATGACATTTTCGTTGAAGACTGTGGAAAGCTTCTCGGTGAAATTTCGAGCTTCCAATTAGACAGTGTCTTACAAATCTTGTTGACAAGCTTTGAAAAAGTTGGCAAATCACAAACTGAAGCCAAAAACTTTTTACCATTACAAAAGCTTACCAAATATCTCGATTTTTGCTTTGCCGACGAGGAACGTACAGAAGGTACTCTGAAATATCTCGATGCCATTCGTCAAAAGCTTCCAAATTTGAAAAAAGGCAAGAAGGAATTAATGCCATTCATTTGTGAAACTCTTATTCACATTTATGAACAAACCTTAACTGGTGTGTTCATGCATGATGAAGAATTCAAATTACTTGATAACGTTGAACATTGGGAGAAGCGTAAAAAGCAATTTAAACAATTCTCGTCAAACAATGAAGCAAATAATCGCTTTTGGCTATTCTTCCAAGAGATTTATGACAACTTATCAAAATTGGCCCAAAAGAAAGAAGCTGAAACCATTGATTTAGTTACATGCATGGCCATGATGACATGTCGTGCTAAGGAAGATTTATATCTTCAATATTTCCCTGAACTTATCAAATATTTCCAAGATGGACTCAAAGATAAGAAGGAAAGATTTGCATTCTTCAAATCTATCAAACTATTTGTAACTTATTTACCTAGTGATTACATCACCAAAGATTTGGAAAGATTCAGTTCGTTTGTGAAATTTGTTTCTGACCAAATTTTCCACAAGAAAGTCATTTTAAATGAATTCAGACAAGATGCAGAGACCTTCTTGGTTGAATATGCCAAGAAACAACTTCACAGAACTTGGCCAAAACTCATGGATGAAATTCTCAAAGCAGAGAACATGAAAATTCACACCAATGAACATCGAGCTGTTGCTCTTTCATCCATTTCACGAGTTGCTCGATTATTCCCTGATGAAATTGGAAAACAAAACTATGTATTGGGAGTTCTTTGTACATCAATCTTTACAGATGAAAAGATGAGACAAGATGTTTCATTGTTGAGAAATGTGTTAAAATGCTTCCCAAGAGTTAGAAACACATCAGAAGAGAAGATGAAAGAGATTAGAAATATTATTGGGGCTCATTGTTTATTACATCCAGATAGATTTGTTTCAAGAAATGCCTCAGAAGCTCTTGTCACATCTGTTGAAATGGAACCAGGAAAGACCTTTGTAGATGTTGTTGAAAAGTATCGAGAAGTCCTCGTGAAAGTGAATGAAATTACAGCTGAAAATGCATTAAGACTTTTGAAAGATTTATATCTCATACTCGAAACTTTTATTCACAAAGTTCAAGAGTCAGAAAAACTCATTCTCGGTCTCGATGTTCAAGAATATAACTCTGTAAGAAAGAAGCTTGAAGGAATGTGTCTTTTGTACATTATTCACACTGCTCCTCAAGTCAGAAATCAAGCTGTCAAAGTGTTAAAGCAATTATCTAGACCTGAATTGAAAGCAATTACAAAGGAAGTGGCCTCTGCAAATACCTATCTTTTAGATGACTCGATTTTAGTGTTACCAAGCAACCATACAAACGCCAATCCAGATTACATGCCATGCATTGAAGAAATGTGTAAACATCATGTCGATGATGCCATCACAAAAGCTTGGGATGAACTTGTCAAACGCTGGAGTTATGGAATTGCTGACTTGGACCTCAAACGTATTGAATTGTTGGCCAATTATTTGAAATTCCTTTGCTTGTCGATTAGACCATTTTTGAGTGGAAAAGCAGAGTCATTCTTGTTGGAATTGGTTCAATTACTGACCAAACAAAACTCTCTGTATCGTAATCATGACAAGATTAAGACTGCTGTGTTAAATGCTCTTGAATGTTTACATCCATCAAGTTTGTACATGTTGTTAACACAGATTAGATTGGTAGAAGTACAAAGAACTTTCATTAAGAAGGAAAACAAGATTGAAAGCAGCGATCCTCTCTATGAACAACATATCATTTCACTCTTGAAGAGAATTATTACCAAAACCATCAGTCATGTGTCACCAACAGAATTCTTGTTTGTGAAACAAGGAATTTCTGTGAGAGATTTCTTTGATGAACTTATTTCTAATTGGACTTGTAAAGATCGAATTGATGTAAAGGACATTCCCGGTTCTTTCCTCACCATTGAAACATGGAAAGATGCTGTTGAAATTATTGCCACTTATTTGAAACATTTGAATGCCATTAGCAAGCAAACAGCTCTTGAAAAGAGTACGGAAATTGCTGAACAAGCATGTGTTCACAGTCACATGTTCAAGAAACACAATGTTCACACAGCACTTGTTAAAATTTTCAATTTCCTGCATTTCAGCCTCTCAGCATTACCGTTCAAGAAGCTGCCAATGCTGTTCAATATTTGTGTGCCTTTGGAGTCATTGAAGATGAAAAGTTCATTAATGACATTCGTAAATACTTTGAAACAGTGATTGTGAACAATAGAAATGAAGTGGACATTGTTCCTGCCATGTCAGAATTTTTGAAAAACAATCCACAAACCATTCGTTTATTCATTATCAATTCATATTATGAATCTTTCAATAGGCTTTGAAAGATGATTTGGAAAGCACAGAAGACGATGACAGTAGTCGACTTAGAAAAACTCAACTCAAAGGATCTAAAAAAGAAGTGGAAGGTCTTATCGAAAAAGAAATTCAAGAACGTGAATTTGAAAGACAAAAATTCAAATCCAGCATTCCACACATTTGTAAGAGTTACTTGTCAGCCATTGTAAAGGTCATGGAAGATCGTTTAGATCACTGGATTCAAGAGCAATTTGTCACATTGGGCGGAATGTTCTATCTCTCACTCATTCACTCGTGTACCAGAGGAAACATTTCATTGCGTGACAAGGCACATGAATTAATTAATATTATCATCAAATCAGATGCTGCTGATGGAACGATCAATTATGGAACTACCTATCACGGAACAAGTATTGGAGATGAAAGTGTCTTTAAAAAGACCTTGTATGATTTTTCAGAATTTGTTTCCAAGAGCGCTCCTCAAATTACGTTTGATTTGTTTGCGGAGGCTGACAAAACTGTGGATTTATTGGATGGAGTCAATAAGGAGAATACTCTTCGTTTGTTGATTCCATGGGCATACAACTTTGGAGGTTATGTGAAAACATGTATGGACAATGGAATTGGTGACGGTAACTACAAGATGAAAGATTTCAAATCTCAAACCTTATTGAAACACGTGTACTCTCTCACTGAGAAACTGCATGGAGGAGAAGATTTACTTGTGGACGATTCACCCAAGACCACCAATCTCAACAAACACTATCTCGAAAAGATTTGGTACAACTTGATCAAATCTTCCGAACAATGCAAATGGGTCATTCCTGAGACTGTCAAATTCATTGTTGAGAATTATGATTTTGTCTTTTCACAATCGAAGGATAGTACCAATCAACCCATCAATGCCACTCATACCTTATTGCGAGCTGTCTTGTGTATATTTGCAGAGACGAGAAGAGTTTGCCATTCATTCTTGAGAATATTGTTGTTTATTTGAGAGATTACAAGGCGAAATTCCCAGAAGGCAAGAAAGAAATTGCTCAATTTATTGTTGACAGAGGACTTGAGTCTCCATCGAATGCTGAAATTTCCAACTTGGAATTGAGTGCCTTGCAATTATTGGTCGATATTACCTATGAACATGATCTTGCTCTCATTCCACACTTGCCAAAACTCTTCATGAATTGCATGGTTCTTTTCAATTCATGTCAAAGCACACGACCATACACTGAAGCGAAACTTATTCTTGAAAATATTTGTCAATCTCTCGCCATTAGACATCGAGATCAAAATACTTCAACAACGAACTATGTTGAAAAGGTATTCCAATTCCTAGTTGAGAATTTGAGAAAGAGTAATGCACCAAAATTAACACGTGTGCGATCTTTCATCACACAATGGACTGAATATGTTTCCAAGAAGCATCGTCCTGATCTTGCTGAAGCAATTTCTGAAATGGCACTCAATTGGGCTCTCCAATCCAAAGACAACAAGATTTCCCTAGAATCTTACTATATCTTTGAAGCACTCAACAAGAACTTTGCCTATGATGTGATTGAGAAACTCGTTGCTGGATTTTTCGATGCTGTCCGTGTGAGAGATGATGCCAAGATTTCAATCATTATGGATATCTTCTTCAACATTCCATCCGATAAGTTGGCTCCTCCAAAAGTTTCCAAACTCTTATTCCAAGTTGTTTTCTGGCTCTTCTTCTCATGGAATAGAGCGCACTTTGCAAGAGGTCTCAAATACATGCTCAAATTGCAATCTCTTTCTCAAAGTGACAACATTGATGAATCAGTTTTGAATTCATCCATGTACAACGTATGGAAGGGATATACTGGTGAAGAGACTGTGGATGTGAGTGTGTCACGTGTCATTTACAAGGGAATTTTCGATCAAGAAACGTTTGCAGATACATTTGAATTGTATAACAATTTGATCTACCGATTTGATACATTCCTTCCAAAGGGTTCTAACATGCTTGTTGCTACAACCTTACTCATTCAAGCAGTTCTCTTCCTTTCTGGAGATTTCTCAAAGAAACCACAACTCAACAAGTTGTTTGAAAAGTATGGAAATGAATTGACTGAATTCAAGACTGCCTTTACCACGTATGAGCAAGCATTCAATCAAGTTCAATCAACATTGGTCACCAATGAAGAATTGGTTTGTGACATGGTTGAACATAACAAGGCAACCACACAATTCTCTCAACATTTCTCAACTGCATTCCAAAAGGTCTTCTCCAACAAGAATGGAAACTTTGTGGCTTGGGCTCTTATTTCCTTGCCAAAGAATGCAAATATCAACAATTGGGCTTTGGCTTCCATCTTACTTCTCAGCAAGTTATTGCCAGTTATTTTCCAACCAGGTCTTTGGTCCATTGCTGAGATGACCAACATTTCAAAGGTGGTTATGGAATGCATGCCAGACAATAGAGCCATTTCACATTTCAAAAATTCTCTCTTCCAATCATGTGCCAGAGATATTATGGAATTTATTTCATTCCATGCTCATGAAAAGCAACAAGTCTACACCAAGAAGGAAGCAGAGACTGTGTTCCCATTCTTGAATCCAACACGTGGTTTCATGAAAGCCGTTCGATCTGAACGACCAAGTGACAAGGAAGCATTCGTAGGAACCAATGAACTTGAAAGAAATATTGCTCGTACTGAAATTATTTGTAGAATGTGGTATCAATCATTTAGCTTACAAATTGATCCAAATGTCAACAAAGACGAGGCTACACTTTTGAATACTATCATTGATTTCAAATCTCAGGAATCTACAGAACCTGTTGCTCCAAGTACTCCTGTGGTTGCAAATTATTCCAAGGTTATTTCTCAAAGAAGAAATCCACAAGAGGAATCTCCTTTGACGACTCCTCAATTGGATGCACAACAGGTTGATGATCATGGTGATCTCAACGGTGATGACGACGAGCCTGAAGATATCATGATACCTCCACCACCAGAGAGTGACAGCGAGGACGATGAGGAAACGGTTGAATCTCATGAATCTGTTCAATAAAAACACCTTTTTTCTGTATGCTTAGTGTTTTCAAATTATGACAACACAGCTGACGATGGTCTTTTGGATAAACTAAATGCTGGTTTTTTAGGGGAATATGAAGATTGAGGGCGTTTTCGTTCCACTGTTGATGGTGGTGAGTCTATTGGTTTTCCTTGATACGAATTTCTTGAGCTTAATCGAGAGGAGGTCTCAGACGAGTAAGTAGAAAAGAAGGTATTGTTTGGTGCTTCTTTCCTCACACCATACGAAGTTGCTGAAGGTCGTTGTGTTTTCGAAGGTAATGCTGGAGAAAAGAAGTTTGAAAACGTTCCACTAGGTTTCGTTGCAACGTCAGAGAGCTCTTCAATTCTAGATACGGATGGGGAATCAAGCTCCTCAGGGGAATGGGATCTTGCTTGGTTCACTTGGTGGACTGGGTATTCGACAGGCTCTTCTTTTGCAGCGACAATACTTGGCTTTGGTACTCTTGCACTCATTGGTCGTTCCGGAAGTGTGACGCTGTTTGGCTTTTTTCTTAAGGTGATAGATGCTGATGACGGTCGAGAATTTGGTTGTGAGGTCGTTTGTGGTGTTTGTGGCCGTGATGACCCATAATTGTGGCGTTGCGAAAACAGGTCTTTGGTGTCACCATTCACCATTAATGTTGAAGGAAATGTTGTCCTTCTTGCATGATGAGGGTTCGTAAAGTAATCACTTGCATTAAAACCTTTCTTTTCAGGAGATGAAGATTGTCTTGCATGACCGCTTGATTTTTGGAAAATTTTTTCCTTGAGTGGGTTAAATTTGTTATCCTTATTAAAACTGCTGTACAATGGAATACTAGGATCATCCAAAGCTGACCGTTCGTTAAATAAATAATACCAATATTTAACATCAGACAAAGGCACATGTCCAAAAGAACAAGCGTTTCCTCCCTTGTCAACACCATTAACGTTAGCCCTATTGATATTTTCTGTTACATGTTTTTTTTTCTCTCGTGTGACAACAATTGGACTTCGATCCAACAATCGTTTTGGTGATTTTGGTTCATCATTGTGTGATTGAGGTAAAACACTAGTTTTGGGCATTGTAGTACCCTCTCTTAAATGCGTAAATGGAACAAAAGCATTTTCAAATAATTTATCTTGTGTTGGTGGTACTATATTTCGTATCGTTTCTCCAGTCGTAAAAACACTTCTTCGCTGATGATTCATTTGATACTTGGGTGATGTAGGTTGACCTTTCAACGCTTCCTCCGCATATTGTTTTTTCCGATTCTTTTCAAAAATTGATCCACTTGGTTCCGATGATGCAAAACACCTACCTCCAACAATTCCGTCCTCGTTTTTGCACTCGATCCATAATTTGCAAACGTCAATCCTTGATGAGTATTGTTCTGATGGTTGTTGGCGTTGGGCCCAGAGCCTAACGGTTGTCGAGAGCTCATTTTTTTTAACTGTTGTTTTTGGCGGGCAATTTTTTTTATTATCTCCGTAAATTACGAAACTCGGATTTGGTATGTACATCCAAATGTTGTTCAAAAAAGTCTTCCATATGGAAATCGTATTTAAAGATTAAGAGAGGATTACGATCGTAGTTTGGCCCGAACTCTCAAATTTCCAGGTCGAGTGGTAATTCCAGGAATTCTCTGAATACGATCCTTTGGATTGCTTTCGTCATTGAGTAATTCGAATTCAAAGGTTTGAACTAATTTGGCAAGAATGGCACAACCTTCCAACAGTGCGAATTTGTATCCTAAACATCTTCGATTTCCAATCATGAACGAAAGCCATTCAAAAGAGTGTTGAAATCGTATTTGACTTTCAGAAGATTCCATAAATCGTTCAGGATTAAATTCCAAAGGATTTTTCCAATTCTTTTCTGCATGACACACTGCTGAAATACTAATAATGACGTCGGTGCCTTTTGGAATTTTAAAACCACCCAGTGTGACATCTTTGGTTGCAACTTTGAGAACGCCAGGAACTGGGTTATGTAATCGAAGAGTTTCCATCAATACTGCATTGGTATAAATTAATTTTTCGTAATCTTGACAAGAAATTGCTGATTTAGAGTTGGAGCTGAGAGCCATCACACTCTCTACTTCTTGACGAATCTTTTCTTGAATATCTTTGTGTTTCGCGATGCGATACGTTGCCCATTGGAGTGCTGTTGCAGTGGTCTTTTGTGTGTTATATTGAACATGGTTCTCAGTAACAATAACAAACACTTACCTCATGTCCTGCTAATGAAAAGATATAGGCATTGCTCTTAATAGCCTCAAATCTTAATTGAGTAGGAATTTCACAATCATTCAATTCCATATTCATGGAAGGTTCCATCATGAGACTTAATAAATCTTGATGATTATATTCTTCCTTGTTCAAAATTTGATGTTTTCGTGTGGAAATAATTTCATCTAATTGATCACTCACAGTCTGAATGGCCTTCTCAACTCCTAACCATTTGGAAACTGGTGTGTACAAATAGCCTAATGGAAATCCAGCGTATTTCAAAAAGTTTTCAACAATCACGCCTCGAGTGAACATGATTTCAATGGCCTTTCGAAATTCAACTCCCTTATTGAATGGACCATTTGGAGTTTCATGTTTGGGTTCGATCGAGTCAGATGAATTTGGGGAAAAGAATCCAAAATTTAAACCAAAAACACTCAATCCTAGAATATGTAATGTCAAATCCGAATAATCCTTCATGTTCATTTCAAACCCTCCTTTCAAATCATGATTCAATTTCCATCGTTTTTCAACCATTTCATCAAAACATTGACTTGCTAATTCGGTCAAGTGTTGCAAATTTTGTGATGAAAATGCAGGAGAACAAATCTTGTGATGCATTTTCCAAGTCTCATGATCACTCGTACTCAAAATATTATCTCCAAAGGTTCTGAATGCATGATATGTTTCAGGATTCTTTTTAAAACATTTTTCTTTGGTGACTGTCATTTCCTTGATGAGTTGAGGATCATTGAGAATGACCATTCTTAGAGGCCATAGAAACTCGAACGAGACCAGTCTTGGCTTCTCCTCTTTCTTGAATGAGTTTCTCGACAGTGTCTTCTCCTCCGAAATAAATGTGTTCAGCAAAAAACGGAATCTTTGATGGTCAACAATGAATGCATGGCGAAGATTCATGTCAATGGTTGGAACACGTCTTCTTGATGACTTACCGGAATAAAGCTAAAGAAGTATTGAAAAGAGCCTGGAATGTGTTTCACTTTTCGGTAATTCCAATAAATGCATAAAGAGCCATACAGAAACCATCCTGTAAGACAAACCATGGAGAGTATTGCAGCGTCTAACAGAATTGATGTAGTAGTTGGAGAGAACCAACACCATAGGGATGAAGAGTTCATGGAGCTTTGCGATTTCTTTTGATGTTTTTTGTTTGATTATTGGTTTTGATGGATGAACATTGGAGATGGCGCTTTCGGTCCGCAACATTGCTTTAGAAATCCGAAATGTCACCTCTCAGGCGTGTTTGGTGATACTTGTTGGAATAAATCAAACTGTCATCTCTCAAAAATCGTGCACGAATGAAGTTGTGGATCATTTTTACCTTTTCGACTGAAAATGATAATTCCAATTCTTCAAGGTTTAATACCAAAATGAAAAACATAAGGTTAATCTTCATTAACATCCTCCACATCTCCCTCAGAGAACAAAACTGTGAAGGCATCTTGGGGAACTGAAACAGATCCGAGTTGTTTCATCTTCTTCTTACCCTCCTTCTGCTTTTCTAATAGCTTTCTCTTTCTAGTAATGTCACCACCATAACACTTGGCTGTCACATTCTTTCTAAAGGCTTTAAGCTTTTCACTGGCAATAATTTTAAGTCCAACTGCACACTGAATATTAACTTCGAAAAGCTGTCTTGAAATGAGTTTTTTCAATTTTTGAACAACCTCTCTCGCTTTAGGATAGGCCTTACTTTCATGTACAATATAAGAGAGAGCATCCACAGGATCCTTATTTAACATGACCGTCAATTTAACCACATCAGACAATTGGAATCCGGCTTCTTCATAGTCAAGGGTTGCATAACCCTTTGTCATTGATTTTAGTTTATCGAAAAAGTCCTATTGGCCAAGAAAATTATATAATTATTTTTCGTAACATTCAGATGATCCAATACTTACGTAAATCATTTCGTTCAGAGGTATCTTATACTGCAGAGAAACTCTTTCGCTTGAGAAATATTCAACACCCACTTGAACTCCTCGTCTATCTTGACAAAGTGAAATGATATCTCCAACAAATTCTTTTGGAGTCATAATTGTGCAATTTGCTATTGGCTCATAAACTTGAGCCTCCGGATGTTCTGGAAAATCGTTAGGGTTGTCAATGTATTCTGTAATTTGATCCTCTGTCGTATTGTAGCTAGTTCTCTTGCCTGACGATGGCATTACTACTTTATACGTCACTGTGGGAGCCGTAATAATCGTCTCAATTGTAAACTCTTGGGCCAAACGTTGCTTGAACACATCCATACTTTGTTAAACGTCAATATTTCAACAATGACTAATCTATGGTACGAAAAACTTACTGCAAAAGGCCTAAAAAACCACATCTAAAACCTGTACCTAGGGCAGCGCTTGTCTCTTTTTCAATAGTAACGCTTCTGTCTGTTAAAAGTAGCTTATCAATCACATCTCGTAATTTATCAAATTCAGCAGTCTCCAAAGGATAGATGCCCGCATAGACCATAGGTTTTGCTTGCTTAAATCCAGGCAAAGGTTCAATCTTTGAATCACATAAATACAGAGTGTCACCAATTTGAGCCTCCTTTGTGCTCTTCATACCACACACCAAATATCCAACTTGGCCTTGAAACAATTTGTCCACCGGTACTTGGTCTGGATTCAAAATTCCTAACTTGGTGACTTGATATTTTAGAGGCCTAGCAGAGGTTTTGACATTTGCTGAGGAATAGATAAAATCCCCGACTTCAACACTCCCTTGAGCAATATATACAAGAGCTACAGCTCCAAAATATTCGTCATACCAGGAATCAAAAATTAGAGCCTTAAGAGCTCCTGGTGTTTCTCCCTCTTTACTTTTTGGAGGTGAGGGCGGTGGAATTTTTTCAATAACTGCAGGAATAATCTTTTCACAATTTAAACCAGATTTTGCACTCACTCTGAGAATATCTTCCTTTTCAACTCCTAATATTCCTGTCATCTCCTTTTCAACAACTTCTGGCTGAGCTGTTTGCTGATCAATTTTTGTAATTATTGGAATAATTTCAAGATTTTCTTCCAATGCAAGGAAATAATTTGCCAGCGTTTGAGCTTGAACGCCTTGCCCTGAATCCACGAGCAATAGAGCTCCATCGCAAGCACCCATACTTCTACTGACTTCATAGCTGAAATCAACGTGACCCTGTTGTTCATGAAAAATTCCAATGTTGAAATTACAAATAAAACGAAATTCATGTAATGAATGAAATAAGTGTTGTTTTCGCGACTTCAGTTGTAATGCTATCAAACTTACTGGTGTATCAATTAAATTCAATAAATACTTCTTTCCTTTATATTCATAAAACATGGCGCAAGACTGAGCCTTCACTGTAATTCCTCGCTCTCGCTCTACTTGCAGTCTATCAAGAAATTGGGCATTATCTTTCAAAATCTCGGGAGTAATAGTTTTGGTTTCTTTCAGTAAATAATCCGCGAGGGTACTCTTTCCGTGGTCAATATGTGCAATAATGCAAAAGTTTCTAATATAGTCGGGAGTAAAGGATGACAAATCCAATTCCGATTTGTTGTGTTCTTTAATTTTCTTTGCATTGGATGCCAGCGTAGAGTAGCTTTTGGCGATGGATTTTGAATTGTTTTGAACTGCTGTCATCATGGTGTTTGAATAATTTAAATTATTTCTAATTGAAATGTGATTTCTCATAATGGCATTCTTGTGTGATGCCGTTGATACAATTCCTCAACGCTATTATTACTATTCTTTGTTCCAATTTTTATACTATTGCTAGCAGACTTCCGATGATGAGCCCGAATTTGAGTACATGATGATGAAGATGTCCATAAACCAAAAGACGACGAATGGAATCCCCCAATACAACAACTTTTCCAAACAAAACTCGGAGTTGTTGTCCATTGTTTCAACTGGAACAAGGTCTGTTTCTTCTTCTCATCTAATGTCCTCCTTCCCAAACAAGAGGCAACACTATTTGTTTTCATTTTTTATTACATTCTTATCAATTAGTCTCTCTTCTTATTCGTTATTTCAATTTTAAAAACACAATAAATACAACACCTCATGCTCTTAATCTTCAAATAAATATTGCAATACAATTCAGGTAGGGTCTCGATGAATCAAGTCCCACCTTCGTTTTGAATTTTCCTCTCGAAAAAAATACCTCGAAAACAATTTTCATCCTTTCCGACAAAAGAGGCTAATTTTGAGAGCACCAACATTCTCTTTCCTCTCAACCAACACTCAAGTATACACGTGTTAGAACCAAATTCTCGTGAAAGAAAATTCTCACTTATTCTCATTTCTTACTTTGAAAATGTCCGATATGAATTTGCAAAGCTTGAAGGAAGAATTGGTTCAACAATTGTGTGAGATTGGAGCTTTAAAGTTTGGAAAGTTTACCTTAAAGTCTGGCATTGTTTCTCCTTTTTATGTGGATTTAAGAATTATTCCTTGCTATCCAAAAATGTTGGGCAAATTTCAGAGTTGTTCTACAACTTGATGACTGAAAGACAGTTGGTGACAAATATGGATAAAAAGGTCATTTGTGGCGTACCTTACTCTGCATTGACATTTTCATCATGCATGTCTGTGTCACACAACTTGCCAATGGTTATTTGCAGAAAAGAAAGAAAGCAGTATGGAACAGGAAATATGGTTGAAGGTGTTTATGTCAAGAATGAAACGAATTGTTTATTAATCGAGGACGTCATTACAAGTGGAGCAAGTATAATGGAAACAGCAGAAAAACTTGAAAATGAAGGTTTAATTGTGACAGATGCCCTCGTATTTTTAACAAGAGAACAACTTCCATTTTCCAATAATATGCATGTTTTGAAGAAGGGTGACAAGGAGTATCGAGTTCATCCATGCTTGACCATGTCGGAAGCGACACAAATGCTCATGAAACTTGGTAAAATGACAGAGGATACTCGTGAGGAAATTCTCACCTTCATTGCAAACAACCAGTTCCCTCAAGAAGCTCAACAATCATCTCAACCACAAGTTCAAAAAAAGAAGGAATTGAGCTTTGCAGAACGAGCACAATTGGCGAATAATGAATTTTCCAAGAAGTTATTTAATTTGATGGAACAAAAGAAAACAAACTTGTGCATTGCTGCAGATATTACTAGTAAGCAAGATTTATTGAAATTGGCAGAGGAGTGTGGATCTGAAATTTGCATGTTGAAAACTCATGTCGATACTTTGGACGACCAACCTGATGAAGAATTTACCAAACAACTCAAAGCACTTGCTGAAAAGCACAACTTTTTAATTTTTGAAGATCGAAAGCTAGCTGATATTGGCAATGTTGTCAAGCAACAATACGCAAGGGGACCTTTCAAGATTGCTCAATGGTCTGACCTTTGCAATGCTCATATGGTGAGTGGTGGTTCATCTCTTGTCAAGGCGCTCAAGGAGGCCCTCAAAGAAGAGTCTATTAATGAGGCAAGAGGCTTGCTCTTAATTGCTCAAATGAGTACTGAAGGAGCTACCACTAATGAATCCACTCAACAAGAAGCATTGCGTGTTGCCCTCGAACATCCAGACTTTGTAAGTGGTTTCATTTGTCAAAGCAAACTCCGAGAGGACTTGGACCAATTTTTATATTGCACTCCAGGAGTGAGACTTGATGTTAAGGGAGATTCTCTTGGTCAGCAATACAACTCACCAGAGTATGTCGTTTGTGAAAAGAAGTGTGACGTCATTATTGTGGGAAGAGGCATTTATCATGACAAGGATCGTAAAGGAGCAGCTCAACTGTACAGAAAACTCGGATGGGATGCTTACTTGAAGAGATTAAATAATCAATAAGGTTTTTTTATCACAATCTAACCTGTTTAGTTCTTTCGTGTCCCCTAGCTAATCAGCTTAGGAACATGTTTAAAGATAATGGAATTGTTAAAAGTGAAGATCCAATGCAGAGACATCGCCAATATCATCGTTATCCACCAACTTAATATTGGAAACATCCTCACCATCGTCATCAGATTCAGAACTGAATTTAGCAGCATCTTCAAAGTCTTCTGCATTGTTAGGAGCAAGTTTTGAACTAGAACCTTGTGGAGGTGTTTGGCTCGTGGTTTTCTTGGGTGTCTCTTGTTTAACTTGTACTTTCTTGTCTTCATCGCTTTCTAATTTTCGTTGCTTACTCTTCTTTTCTTTGATTTTATCTAAAATTGAAGAATTAGTCACGGCATCTCTCTTTTTGGATGGTGTTGTTCCTTTTTCCTCTGCTAAAGTTACGTCAGCCATTTGGAGATCTCTTTTCTTTGATGTTGGCACTTCTTGAGCTAACACTTGTTTAGTACGAGATTCTTGGGCGTTCTTCTTGTCTTGCTTTGTCAGCTTTTCCACTTTGTTTATGTCTTGTTTAGTCTCTTTAGATGACTTGGATTCTTTTTTACTTTCTTGCATTGGCTTCTCGTCGATAGCAACATGAGATTTAGATTCTAAAGGAGATTCCATTTTCTCATCCAAGTCAATGGACTCAGTGTCACTATCTGCTTCTTCATGGCTATTTGAGAGACTGTTCAATCGATTTGAAAATCTTGATTGAAGATCAGACGAGGAAGAAGATGAAGGTAATAAATTATTTTTCGTAATGCCATCCAAATAAGTTGCATTCTGGTGTTGCAAAGATTCTGCAGAGGGAACATACAATGGGGCTGACTTGGGGTGTAAAAATCCTTCCAAAACGTTCAATCCACTCATGCAAGTGGAAACTAGCTCTGGAACCAAGCTAGACTTTCCTTTTTGTAAAATTAGTAAAGCATGAGAAAGGAAAGGTGACTGCGTGTGAACGGACGAAGTAGAAAGGAGAGATGGAAGTAGTGCTTCATACATGGCAATAATAATGGGAATCAAGTTTTCATGATAACTTCTGACTTGAGAAGCGCTGTAAATTGAAATGTTTGATGTGGAGAAGAAGGCATCAAGGTCATGCCACTTGGATACAAATCCAATAATGCATGATAAAAAGTCAACAATTGTGTTCAGCACATCTACTACAGAGTTTTCAGTTTCTGATGTGGACTTGTATCGAGAATCTACTTGTCTTGTCACAGTTATTAGGACACTACTATCGTTCATCATATGGTGAATAGCTTTAAGTGTGATAAACACAATTCTAGAAAATTGATTGAAAATTTCTGGATTTAAAACGAGGTCTTCTTCTACGGTGCTTTGCTTTTTCTTCTTCTTTTTGGAAGATAGCTCATAATTCTCAACAGCATGCTGTTGTTGGACCTGAGTTAAAGGTAAAGAAAATATTTGACTATCCACAAAATACGTGAATTGAGAAATTATGTCAATTAAATGTGGTAGGACAAGGCGAGTACACTTTTCACTGGTTTTTCCTCCATGCTTGGATGACAAAATGGTGAGACATCTCATTAGTTCTTTATACACTTCAAAATACGGCTCACTATTGCAATAGTCACAAAGCGCGATCAGTATCGAACTCTTCCAATTTCTAGTTTCTGTGACCAGTATTTGACAAATACTATTAATATAAGGTAGTAATTGCTCTGATCCTGCATTGATGAGTGAAGAAAGAACCTTTAAACATTCTGAATGGATAGTTGGTAAAATTATAGCATAGAAAGACGATTGTAGTTTTTGACCATCTGTGTTTGAAGTATATAAAATGGACTTAATATCCCTATTTGGCTTCTTTAAAACTTGTGTGGAAATAGCCTGCAGTAAGAAGGCCTCTTGGAGTACTCGGTTAATAAGGAGATTCGCATTGATCGTTATTGTAAATGGATATGCAGTAGAAAGAGCTTTCTGCACCATGTAACTGTAAACTCTGAAAAGTTGACAAAATTCCAGAGGTGTTAAAATTATTCCTTCTAATGGAGGCTTTTCTATCTCTTCGACAATTTCGTTCGTATTGAGGCCAAAGTAATTTTGAATTCTGCGCAAATGTGCATCAGATGCATCGTCTCGCGTGCCTCTATAGAGCAATTCACGTGGATCGGGATACACCAATTTGTAGCATTCATTGATAAGAAATTGCAGAACGTGACAAGCCAATTCAACAAAATGTTTGTGAGATTCTTGCTGATTGAGGTCAAAGTAGCAAAGAATAGATGCAATTAATGCTTTCAAAAAAACAATGTTGTTTGTAGAATCTCTCTTGCCCTTCAATGTTGAAATAATTCCTGAAAGTGATTCCAAGTAAGATGATCCGCTCACATTATTTTCAATCTCATTGCTTCCTGTTTTTGACTCTTTTGAATCCTTATACAAATAACCAGAAATGATTTTTAAATCATCGAGCTGACCTCCTTTTTGAGATGTTATCACTTTCAAACCATTTCTCATTAGGCCATTATGTAAAATTTCAAATATTAGCGTTAAACAATTCTCAATGGTTGAAACATTTTCATCAGTGCATTGCATGGTTTTAGCGGCCCTTATTAGCGTTGTCAGCCTTTTCTTAGTTTCTCTCTGCGTATCTTCCACAGTCATGTTCAAATATTGGTTTTTTTGTAAAACTTGTGTTCGCTTTTTTCCTCCTTCAATAAGCTCCATCACTTCTTCTCTTTTTAAAGGAACAAAGTCTCCCCATTCCGATTGTTCATTTTGCTTTCTTGATTGTTCATCTTGTTGATTTTTCTTTGAGTCCGATGCTGCAGGTAAACTCTCTTCCAGCACATCCATCTTTATAAAAAGCTCACGGAAGCATTGAACCATCAATCGTTGAGAAATGGCATCGGGTGATGACGAAGCAGCAGAGCTCCCGAGAGGAGTCGATGATGAGGCTTTTGAGTGCTCCATATTTTTTTCTTCAACAATTTTTTCTTTGGTTGAACAACTTCATAAAAATTGAAGAACATTACAGCGAGCGTTGATTCATACTCGAAACTTTTGGGAAGATTGATCTCCGAATCGAAGAGAGGCAGCAGCAGCATACTGGTCGTTAGTTGAAAGGAAAATTTAAAAGAGTGGAGATGGTATTTGGATGGTTTCAACTGTTTAGAGCGAAGAAATTTTCTGCTTCGGAAACAACAAACGAAGAATCTAATCACTTTCTAACGAATAATTCTAAGAGCAGTCATGTGTTACCATCGTCATCATCAAACGGTTTTGATTCGTCCCGATTCTGGTTTTGGAATCGTTTAATGTCATCCAATTATCATTTATTTCAATCTCCTCTTCGTCGTTTGATTGTTCATGCACAGGAAGAGGAATCATCATCACATGAACTACAACAACAACAACACAATTCTCAAGGTCCAACCTCTGAAGAAATGTTTCAACAATTTCTCAAACATACCCAATCAAAACACCAAACTGAGCAAAGAGGAAAACCAAAGATAGAGACGTCAAAAGAAGAGCCTATTGAAGACCGATTGACCACGTTGGCCCTTGAAGATTTGGAAGATGACGAGATTTTTGCACGAGTACAACGAAAATATCACTTGAAAAACATTTACAAACTTATGAACTCATGGGCAAAATGTTCAAGCATGCCAAGAGAACCTCTCGATAGCCATCCATTTGTGACAGATCCAAAAACATTAGAAACGATGCAGTTAGCTTGTCATGTCAGTGGTATGGTCGATGCAGAGGAGTATTTTACTTTGACACACAGATGTTTACCCACAACGGATACGATCAATCTTGTGAGTGGTCACAAGGCTTTCTCCTCCAATATTCTCAATAAGGATGAAGCTCTCGAAACAGTGACACAATGTCGAGATTGTGTAGAAGGAACGGATCCTCATACACAAGAAATGAAACAAATTTATTTTGAAACTAAGGATTTAATTGAGGAGAAGAACTCTTTAAGGATATTTCTTCCAAAGGTCTCCGCACTACTTAATTTAGTTTCAGAAACGGAGGGTCTTTCAGAAGGCCCTCAAATAGAGGCACGAGAAAAATTTTGTGTAAATCAACACAAGGACAGTAATCGAAGTATTGCTAGTAAGATTCATTGGGCTCAACTCAAAATATTCCAAAATGAATTTTCTGAAATGCGAAGTTGCTTGCATTCTGCCTCGAATGATACTGAAAAATGTAAATTTGAAACGACAAACTATGTTTTGCAATCAAGAGCAGTCGCATGTGGTAAAGAGATGGCGTATTGCCTTGACAATTTTTCAACCATAGCTAACAAGTTAGAAGACTATCAACGAAGACACACAAAAACAGGTGTTCTTATTGGTTTCGGAAAAACTGGTAACGAAGAAGATGAGGACGACATTTTTGGAGATCAAGATGAAGAGGATGACCATATACTTCAATCAACAAAGAAGAAAAATCAAAAGCAACAACAATTCACTTCCCAAAAGAAAAAGAAACCGCTACAATCGAAGAAACCAAGGATGAAGATGATGACTATGTGTTTGGATCCTACAATTACGACAATTTGGATGAAGAAGAAGAAGCTGTGTTTGTTGGAAAAAACGACCACACAGAAGATGACGAGCATGATGCTTATTTTCTTAATCAATCCGCCTTAACTAATGCCAACACAAAGTCCAACACAAATTCGAAGAGTATTACTAGCTCTTTGAGTTCTACAAATTTTCTATTGAGAGGCTCACAAAAACGAAAACAAGTTGATGATTCACTTGAAGGAAGCACGTATGCATCTTCAAGAACAGTATCAGGCAGCTCAGAAGTTGATATGAATGCAAATACAACAGATTTTACGAACATGAAACTTGAAGACAGAGATCAAGTGTTAACAAGCACAATGGAACGATTTACCAAATGTATGACTCTCTATCAACCAGTGACAAACTGTGTGAAACGTGTCGAAAAAGCTCTCCAACAAAATCTCGCCAAAGTACAACGAAGAAATGGAAAAAAGAAAAAGAGACGTTTCAAACAACGAGAAAAGTCATACGCAGAGAAGTTGTACGATTTTGACACCTCAAAAGAAGAGTGAGGCAGCTTTAACGTGAGGATAAATTGCAATTTAGACCGCAGACAGAGTTAGTTTAAAGATCTTTGGATTTCACATTTAAAAATCAAACAACAAAAAATGCCAACATCTGTAAAACTCTCTGTCGATGGAAGTAAGTGGTGGTGTGATGAATCAAAATCAACAAACGATCGGATGCAATAATTGATATTATTTCCTACTCTCATGATCCTCTTTATTAATATAACAGTGTCCTGTGAAGGATGTGCTGGAAGCGTTAAAAACATTCTCACCAAGTGTCCCGGTGTTGTTACTGTTGATGAAGTTTCTGTGAAAAACAAGACAGCCACTATTCAAGTTGATTCATCATTCAGTGTTGATAATACTGTTCAATCTTTGAGTAAGGCCGGATTTGCTTCCAAACAATTGTCCGTTTAATATTCTCAAAATGAATTTTTAGTAAAGTAGCAAGTATTGAGCAACAATTACTCATCGATCTTTATCTAATTAGATTTCGTATTGTTCTTGATCTTCCAGTGATGAACCATGTTGGATTAGCCAACCTATTGATCGCTTTCAAATGTCAAATTATAAAAAAAAGAACTGTCAGTGGGGACCAATTTTGCTATTTTCTGGACCATAGAGAACCACCCACTTTGTCATTTTCATTGATTTCATCCTTCTATCAATAATATTCAGAATTAATTAATTTTGAAGAACTACTACTAGTATTCATCAAGCGGAGAATGTATGTCATCATCGCAATTGTCAAATACTAATAATAATTAATCGATAATTCTTTTTCATACAATTTTTGTACATTCACACCATCATTGTCATATCAAAAACACATCACTCGCATTTCAAACACTTCTCTCACAACCTCCACCTATTTGAAATCTTTCATTTTCACACCTATTCTTTCATGATGAAATTGTATTTTGTACTTTTTCAAAGAAGAAGAAATGTCCAATAACAACAACAACACGACCCTTCCTCCAACGAGTGCCACCATTAAATCCCTCTCTTCTCCTCGTGCTGTACCTTCTCGTCTTTTACTCGGCTCCACTACTGGTATCAACTCTCAGACTGGAATGGAAAATGTGAGTGGTTCAACTTCTCCACCCTCGAATCATCATCACTCACGAGTTACGAGTTTGGGCTCACCTCTGATCCTTCCCATGAATACAGGTACTCCTCGTATTCATTATCCACCCTCACCGACCACCATTTCATTATTGGAGGATTCTGTACTTTTTCAACAACAACTTTCTCCCAAACAAATTGGTAGGTGTTATGATTGTTCTTAAGAAATTCTGTTACTGTAACGATGACGACGATGCTATTCATTCACACACACATGAAATTGATATTCCATAATTTTCACTTCTATCATCATCATCATGATGATGGTTGTCGTAATGATCCATACACTTCTATGCCTCGCCTCGTGTTGTACTGAAACAACAACAACAACAACAATAATACCTTTGGAACGGTATTGCCCAACACACTTTTCAAAAAAATCAACCGTTACTCTTGAACGAATCTCCGTACTCGCGCCAACGACTTTTTGTGGCAATTACTACGATATCATCATCATCATGATACAACAATTTTAATCATATACAATAACCCATTACTACTACTACTACTACGAACACGTTGATCATCATCGCCACCACTACACGACTTCATCCGTTATTATTGATATTTGTCATCATTGACCTCATTGACGGCCCCGTCATCATTTTCTTGTGGATTCGTTCCTTCATTGATTTTTGAAACGAAACCACTGAATATTATTATTATTTGGAAATACTAAAACCCTTGTGCCAATCATATTTTCATCTCTACTCCCATATACCTCTTTCCTGTCTCTTTGCCTCCCTCTATTTATCGACTACTATTGCTAAAATCGCTCATCACCACCATCACCTAAATTCCACTTGCTGTACCCGATTTCATTCTGACACCATTACCACTCTTATTTCACCATGAACACGCCTACTGTCAAAACATCACTTGCCAAATCACCACTTCTAGATGCCACCAATAAGATTCAAGCCATACTTGACAAACAGTTCGACAAGCTTCCAGTCACAAAAGATATCCCTCGATTACTAAAGAAAATATATTTAATATCGCCAAAAAAGATCAACCTACAATCGCTTCAACAACAAGATATCAATGCATCAACCATAACAAACATCACACAATCCCTCTCTACGCGACAACAAGACGATATGTGGAAGCACAAAACAGATATTCCATTCAATCCTGAAAATCATTCCGATCTCACATCTCCAGACGACATTCCAAAAGAAATTATCTTTTACCAATTTATTAGAGCTATTGTGGAAGATGTGTTAAACGCTTCCAGTGAATTCAACGTTCCATCCTATGAAGAGTATATTTCACACATTGATTTTAATGACCATCGTACTCTCAATAACTTTCTCATGAATTCCATCTCCTTCCATCCCTCTACACACATGGGACAACATGACCATCCAATCCAAACCAACTCTAATGCTGGAAATGAACCTCTAAGCGGTAAGGATGAAAACAAAAATCCTCTACTGTTTCTTCTCAAATGTTGCCAGCAAACAATTGTCATTAACGTTCTGATGGGACTCCGTGAATTCACAATGAAACACAAAATTCATTTTAAGGATGCTCGTGGAGCTTGGAAATTATGGATAGGCTCCGATAGTGATCCATCTGATGCTTCAGCTCCTTTTGATACATTCTATGTTGCTCACGAGCGTTCGGAGCAGTTATACATGAAGCGTCTAGATTGGATGCAATCATATGGAATATCTGACGAAGAATTGGCGAAATTGGAAGCAAATGATCCAAAAGAACAAGTTAATTTTGCAAAAGCAGCCATGAAACAACTTTTCCAATTCAAGTGGCAAATCAAGTTATGTTTTTCTAAGGAATCTGTATTGAGTGGTGAAACACCTCTAGGCGAGAATGACTTTAAATTAACTCATGTCACAATTTCTCTACTAGGCATTGATTACTCAAATGAAGATCTCACAGTGAGCCATCCTCAATACTGTGAAAAAGAGATTGCCTTATTAGAGCAATATTTTGACATGTTCAAATTTCAGTCTTCAATCTCAGTTACCGCCGACACATCCTCTCCTCAGAGTACTTCATCAGACCAAGTGCTGGAATTTTCCAAGAAAGAAATGTTAGGCTCCCCTTGGGCATCTCCGACCACACCTGGTGGTGTGACATCAGGAGCGAGCATTTCTCAACTCATCAATGGCAGTAAACCTTCGCCACTCACAAAGCACGTTTTTTCATCAAAAACACCGATGGATACTCCAGAGACGCAATCGATGGTAACTGTGTTGAGCACTGAAAGCGTAGGTGATCATTCTCAAACCATAAAAACATCGGCAGCAATAGTAGAAACATCAAGCAAAGAGCAGGAAAAAGAGGTTAGTGAAAAAGATCAATTATTAATTATTGAATCTAACAATATTTGTACTGACTCCAATAATCAACATCATCACTATACGAATTATAATAGCATATCGACATCAAACAAGTCACATCAACAGAATCCCAAAAAGACGAAACCAAATAGTACCAAGTCATCATCTAAACACAATGACGATATGATTCTTTTTTGTATTCCAAGAACATTACTTATTGCTCTTCCATTTTTTGGAGCCTTCTTTTCGAAAAATACAGATCATGACGACCATGTTGTGATTTCACACACAGAGCAAAACATGAATGATGAAATTTCTGAGGAGAAAACCTTATTGAGTTAATTTATTATTATTAAAATTTTATTGTATTTTACTTGATTTCCTTCACAAAAATATCAAGCGACTTTGTAGAAATATTACATGACATTTCCAAACAGTCAAGATGTAAGGTTTCGTTTAATCTTGCTTGTTTTTTGGCGCAACGGAGGCTCCAGGTAAATATTTTTCAATTCTCACATATTCCACGAAAGAAATGAACCAGACCAGTAAAGCAATCACAAGCCGAACGACTTCAAATTTCACAATTTCTATCAATTCTGACGAGAGTGTTTCATGAGGATTGTTTTTGATAATGTAAAGTATTTTTGTACAAGTCGTAATCACCATCACAAGAGACATGAGAAAGAGCAACATGCTCCTCCGAGTAAAAGCAAATAAAGATAACAGACCCAAAATTCCTAACGCAATATAAATCCATCCTAATTGCGTTAATAACATGGATAAAATTCCAATCCCTATGATTTGTTTTGGCTGTCCAGGTGTTGATGAAATTCCATCAAGAGTCTCAAAAATTGTCATGGATTGCATGGCATCTTTCGTGTAATACACGTATCCGAAACCGCTAAGAAGATAGTCTATGCACATGGAGATGATAAATATTGCATTCATAAATTTTTGAAAGCCCGTGAAGGCAGGCCGTATTTGTGGGCTCACATCATCCTCTTGATCGGACAAGTCTTGTTGCTTGTTTGATACTTGTTGGGTTGGCGAATTCGATGGTTTTTTAGACATTTTTTAACACTTTGATTTTAAATTTAAATATTACGAATATTTGCAGAACAAAGACACCAACAATACGTAAGTGCATGCCTTGAATATTGTACTCAATTAAATTGTTGTAGAATGTTGTCTGGTGTTTATCCAAATATTAATAACACAACCAAAAAAATTTTGGGTTAGCAACAAACACAACTCCGCATGAATTTAGGCACACAGCAAGCAAAAGAAGTACGAGTAGGTCCAGGACCAAAAAGAGGCTCCTTTCCATTGGATCATCTCCACGAATGTGATAAAGCAGTTGAAGAATATTTTAAATGTTTACAAGACAATGGTAATTTTGCTTCCAAGTGTCGGAAAGAGGCCTCCGATTATTTGAAGTGTCGAGTTGAACACAAACTCATGTCAAAGGATGATTTGCTCCAAGCTGATATTCCAGAAACCAATGAAAACGTACCCGATTTAACTATTGAACAAATTAAACAAATCAGAAAGGAACGTTTACAGAGAGAAGGCTTGAAAGGACGGATGGGACTGACTTCCGGAAGAGCAGACAAGCCTAACGGATGAGTTTGTAAAATATTATTCTGTCCAAACAGCAACTCTGAAAATTTGAATTGAATTTGAAGGATAATAATTTGCACTTGATGCCTGGCCCATATGGAGCTGTAATTCCTCTGAAATGTATGTCTCTGATTTTACAATACCAATCATTAATAATAATAATTGTACATTCCTTAAAAAATACTCTTTCACTCCGAAACACTCTTCGATTGTAATGAAAACGTGATGCATATTTCGAAAGACTAAATTTCATTTTGGGCCGATCACGTTCAGGAATTCTCATCAAAACAAAAAAATTATTTCGAATTGCGTCTGCACACACACTCAGGCTTACACTCATCATTGACAGATCGCAGAGAAATTCTGACAAGCAACAATGGTGAATTCAAATAACATTGCTTATGATCCTCCACATGTTGATCAACAGGATCCTGTTGTCAATCAAGTAGGAAGGGACGACGGACAAGCAAAAGTACCACAAGAAATCCAGCATCGTGATGGTGATCCACAAGAGAAAAACAACATCGGATACAACGCAGCTGTTAATCAAGTAGTGGATCAGCACGGAAATGAAATTCCTCGTCAAAATTTCAATGATTCTGGTCAGGCTGCTGTACCAAGGGAAGAAGGCCAACAACAACCTCCACCACAACTCCTACCTGAAGAAATTGCCATCAATGCCAGATTGACAGGATTTGGAATGGATGCATTAAGTTTTTCAATCGACGGCAATCAGCAAAAACTAGCTCACTCTTTAATCTTTTTGGGCAGTTGTTTGTTCTACCAGTTTAGTCCAGCCAACGTCAACTTGAATTATATTATTTGGCTATTTAACTCTTATGGGTGTACCAAAGTGCCTTGGAACCCAGATCTCACTCTTGACAATTATAGACAGGTTTGTTTCATCTGTTTTAGTATCAATATCATTGTCACTTTCAATCATACAGTTGCTTCGTGATCTATTGTCAGTCATAGAGAGTAGACAGACTACTGAGTATCAGAATGCTGATGCTGGCTCAAATGATCAAGTATCGTCAGTCCCCGATGAAACCAAATACAGTATCCTTTCTTCTACTTCCAATGAAAATCAATTGGATGCAGAGGTTGTACATCGGTTAGAGAGATTGATTAACTTGAAAACGAAACCATTTAGAGTGAAAGAGCTCACTTTTTCTGCGGATGCAGATACGTCAAAACTGGCTCGTGATTTGAACGAAATTGGAAAACAATTTCGGGGTTATCATTCCTCCTCCATTGGCAATCTTAGATCTGTTTTGCACTCTCTTGAAAAATGTGGTATTACTGCAGTTTCACTTAGCTACAACGAACAATCTTTGAGTCAAATCAAATATGCAAAGGTTTGTATTAGTAATTTTGTGCTTTAAAAAGATGTAACTATTGAAATAGTTGTTACAAGATTTGAAGACATGTATTGAAAAAAACATACAAAAAGAGAGCTCATCGAGTTTCATATCCTCCGTTAAGAATTTATTGGATTTAAAAAGAAAAAACCTTATGAGAATATGTTGTCATATATTTTGATTTTGGCAGAAGAAAATGTTGGACGGAAATTATTGGAAGTGCATATTGATACTATTAAGGAGGGACTTGATGATTTTATTTACCACTTTCTTTCATATAGTTACCTTTACAGAAGTGATGAAGTGGATGCTGATTTTTATTCAGTTCTTCCCAATATTCATGAGATGATTGAATTATATTACGGTAACATTGGTTTGACACCTCTTTTAGCCCTACAAACCGTCCTATCCGTATTATTGAACAAACAGAATGACTTACCCAAACTGCTAGAAGTACTAACAAGCGTTACCTTAAGTCCAAATATCGGAGGTCTTGACTGGAGTTTGGACATTCTCAAACACCTGAGAAAGTATTTAACAAAAGTTGGAAAGCAACATTTTGAATATGAATATCTATTGACACTATTACTCACACGACTTAATTTACCAAAGGAGTGGACAGATTTTTGGAAGAGCATCAACAACATTTCTTCCCAACAGTTCGATTGGTGTTACCAAATATTTGTCAAAGTTTATTCCATTCCCAATTCTCGCTGGATTTCAGAGGCTTTGGTGAAGGTAAACGACCCTCATAAGTCTCAGTACCTACAAACGTTCCTGACTACCGTGTTGCGACAAAACGTGGACGTTTTTCACACAGTTTGGAATCAGCTGATTGAGAATGTTGGGAATAATGATATTGGATTTTGGACTTCCTTACTTTTTTCAGTACTTCCGAGCACCTTTTCGAACCAGATTATCGAAAAATTAATTTCTTCAGTAGTACCGAAAAATGTCACAGCGTTGAAAGAGGAGACGGTAAAGAATATTTTGAACGTTCTAAACACATATCCAACCTATCAACAAGCATATCTCAAAATACTCAACTCTAGAATACCTTGGAAAACTATCACTGTTCCTCAAATGAAAATGGTTGTAAACACTTTACCCTCTACCATGGTAGACGTGGAGACACTTTTTGCGTTTTTCAAAAAAGAAAGCTCAAGGAAAAATTTGGATTCTTTACTTGAAATTCTTGGCCTGTTTATTGAGAAACAAGCACATGTCCCCTTTGATCTTATGGTCTCAATTGTGGTAAAGTGGTTGGATGTGATGTCCGATTTAGAGCCCATTATAAGCCTTTTGAAATGTGAGCAAATTGCCCATTGGTCGTTAGACGTTTCATCTCAAGAAATGGATACCCTTGGAGAAACTGTAGCAGAAGTGTTGTCAAGAAAATTCAATTTGGAGAAGAGATTACAAGCCATGGACTTTTTACTTTCACTTCTCGAACACGTTGATGTAGCTATGCCATTTGTCCAAGTTTTTTCTAACAAGTTTGTGATCTCGTGTTATCTTTCTGCAGGTTCATCGAAGGAAAAGCAAAAGGTTACCTCTCAATTAATCAAATCCTTGGGTGCTGCAAAGAGAGCACATTTGTTTTTCCACATATTGTTTTCATATAGCGAAAGTATTGATGACGTAGGAGCTTTTGTTGATTCTATCAACATGTATCTTGGTATCATTTCTGTTTGGAAAAAGTACAAAAATCATGATGAAGAAGTCGAAGAAAAATTCAATCAGTGCATTAGAACACCTATCCGCAAGATGAAAGAAAAAATTGCTGATCAACTAGTGACGTATGAAGAGTTGGAATTGTTGACCAAGAACAAGAAAATAGTGTCTGAATTGTTTAAAGAAGTTGGAATTACAAAAGAAATTGACTGGGATACATGGCTTAAGTACTCTCTTAAGACAAAGCAAGAGTATGAACAATACAAGAACATGATAGCATGGTTTAGAGAGTTTCCATCCTTATCTACTCTATTAGCTGAATTGGAGCAACCTTCTTTTGCTGAACGTATCACTATCAGTGATATGGAGGACCAACTATCGGTTTTCCAAGGCATGCTTAGTGAATTTGACAAGGAGGACACAAAGCATCTCGTGTTGCATTTCCAGACTAACAAGAGCTTACTATTTAACTCATTATTTAACAGGTTTTTACATGACAAATCAGTATCAACCTTTGAAGACGCGGCTGATGCTTTAAGAGAGGTGATTTCCTTTTTGAAGGACATTGAGAAGTCAACCATTCGAGAACTTAAAGAGTATCAAATTTTAGAAGTGGCCAAGATGATAAGATCTAAAGGTACAACGTTGAAACGTGAAATAGAAATGATCTCTGAAGCTATTAGCTCTGTTGGATCATCTGATGCGAACGAAGTAGATTTGAATTCTTTACGAAGGGCTCTGGAGTTGGAAGAGATTGGTTTAGGAATTGAGGTTTTAAGAGATTGTCTCCAAGATTACAATATGGACATTATTAGACAAAACTCTTTCAAAGACTTACTAGATCTTGGTGAAAGATTGAAGTCTTTATTGGACTTGAAATTGGATAGCGTTCATACAATGCTTCAAAAAACCAGTGAAATTTTACCTGGATTAGAAGCGTTTCACTTTAGTTATTTTTCCATGTTGCTCACACCCGAGTCAAAGGCACTGTTACAATTCATCAAGGATAACAGTGACAACTTTGAAGAATCTGTCAAAATTGTTCGGGCTCGTAGTCGAAGTACAAAGTTTCATGAGGAGTTGGTGAATTCTCTTATGATTGCTAAAGAGCTAATTACCCCATTTCTTAATTCACGAGTTTCTCTTGGCGATCTTATCAAAAAGGTCATTGACATATTCAAGAGAGAAGAGGATTTATCCAAGCTCAATGATCTTAAAATAGTTAATGACAATCTAACAACTGTCAAGGTTCTCTTTTCAAAAACATCAATCGTCAGTCTAGATGACATATTTGAGATCGTTTCCACGATAATGAAGTCCGGTCATTATATCTCAAACCTACAGACAGGAGAACTTGTCATTCATTACAGTGTGCAAACAGAGTCAAGTGAATCAAAGAAAGAGGTCTTTGGAGACGAGTTGCTAGATCTTGTAGGCATTTCAATTTTTAGATCGTCTGACACGGTCAACGACTTGAACGATAGCGCAAGTTTAAAGAATGATTTGAAATTTTTTGTTATGATGTATCAAACAGCATTGAAAGCTCACTCTGTGATATTGAGCTTGTTTAAAGAAGGTCATCCAAAATACCAACAATCAAACCTGATAGCTCTTTGTGAAGACATGACTTTGGAAAGCTTGGAACAAGGCTTATGCTCAGCGGAAACAACATTGAAAGAATGGAAGACAGCAATCAAACACCTGACCGAACAAGTGCCAAGAATTTTGAAATTGTCTCGCCCTCAATTGACACAATTTGTTTCAATATTATTGAGGGTTTCCAAGTTGGGTGAAACCAACAACTGTTCGTTCTCTCATCTTATACCATATCTTTGTACTATGCTAAACGATGACTTAGAGAGCCTGCAAGAGGGCGTTAGTGTTGAAATGGTGAAAAATACACTCTCCACGGTACTGCAAGAAAATGAGAATTCAGACATTTTGGAACTGGTAAAGAGATTTATGGAGTCGTTATTAGAGACTCTCTATATTGACTCGGAAATCGAAACATCCTCTGCTAAATATCAATCCAAAGTAATTTTTGACATGAAGTCTAAGGATATCCCACTCTCTATTATAGGAATTATGACGACCCTTACCGAGAAAGCAACGTCATTAATTCAGTATTCAAATATTTTTTATTGCCATTCAGGTACCACCAAAGAGGAAATGCAGTGGTTCAATAGTAGAAGAAAGATTTTTGCTGACTCCAAATATGTTATTGTGGGAGTGAATAATCTTGGACTGAGCGTGAAGGAAGAATTAGTGAAGTTTGAATATGATGCATTCGACAGTGGTAAGAGCGTCGGAGAAACCTTTTTACTCTTCACATCTGATATGGGAAGAGACTCTTTTTCTTTCATAGGCACAATATCTGTTGTGGATTTAGCTGTTGACGATCACCTGAAAAAACATATTCGGACGAGTTTTTTGAGCAACCAATGCAAGATCAAAGATATCCATCTTGTGAAAGGACCAATTTGTTGTGGAAAGTCTCGGTTTATTAAGAAGAAGCAGAGTAGTGACAATGAACAGTACATACGAATTTCTGTACGGGAAGACTTTTCAAAATTACAATTCTTTGAAAATCTTTCACGATATGAAGAATCCAAGAAACAGATACTCTTTCATTTCGACATTTCATGCTTTGCTGAGTTTCTTGACTTTGAGAAATTTATATTGGAGTGGTTATTAGGGGGCTATCTACACTTAGATGACGGGAAGATCGTTATCAACCCATGGAACACAGATATCGAAAGTATCAGGCTTTTCTTTGAGATTCCTTGTACTCTTGACAAGAGAGAGCCAGACTTAGAACTTTTAAAATTTTTGTCGTTTTCGAACATGCCAACAGTTCTGGACGCTAATGTGGGCAATTTTGATTACTCTTCAAAGAAGGCCCGCTATGTTGCAACCGTTTTAAGCTTGTTCAACAAAAGGTCCGTGAACAATATTGCATCGTTCATGCAAGCAGAACAAAATTTGGTTTCTTCCCATGAATCTAAGGATATATTATGTGACTTGTTCAGAAAGTGTGAGATTTCTTCTACTCATGCTCACAGAAAGTTGTTTATCAAATTGATGCACGAACGATTCAAAGGACTTTCATCTTTCCACAAACACTACATCGACCTAAGGAATAGTGGAACAGAGGAAAATTTGGAAACAGTTTTGAATGTTGAGTCACTATTGAACTCCATTAATGCAAAATTGATTCCTATTTTTAAGGAGGAATGTATTGTGATGGCAAATGATGAGATCAAACAGAGTTGGATGAACCTTCCTGTATTGTTTGCAGTTCCTTCTGATACAGGCATGATCAAAGAGTATGACATCATTAAATGCTCAGGCTGCAAGAAACAAACAAATATAGAGAATATGCGTATACTTGACATTGACAAAGAAAATGAAAGCAAAATAAGGTCAATGCTCAATACAACCTTTAACACCAACGTGACCAATCTATGTGAATCTACAGACTACCTTCTGACAAAAGATTTCGTCATCAAAATTCACTTGGTCAATGAAAGAAGAAAAGTTGGCAAGTCTTTGATTTTACAATCAGAAACTGGAACAGGAAAGACTGAAATGCTACGTTTTTATGCAGATGTCTTAAACTCTCATTCCAATATCTGTCCAGATATCCGTTATGAGCTTAATTCAAATTGGTTCAAACAAGAATGGAAGAAACTTCAAGACAAAATTCAAATTGAAGAGAGGAAGACGGTGAATGATGATAAAGAAAAAATCAAAGAAAATATCATTGAGCTACTTCGAACCACAGAGGATCAATTTGGGAATGACGAGTATTTAGAATTGGTAAAATCTCTCATAAGATTTGTGAAACACCTATTTGAATCGTACAAGCTTTTGGAAAGAACAACCGCCATTTCAGCAATATTTAATGCTTTTGAATCCAATGATTTCACATCTTTTGACATTAAGAACATTGCAGAATGGCTGTCTCATATTGAGGCAGCACGACCATCTAGCATCTTCCACAAAATTCTAATGCATTCAGGAATTACTGCAGATCAAATAAGAAAAGAAATTAGTGACATTTTGGATAAGAAGCAGAAATGTTTGGAGCAAGGCATTCCTGATTTAATTACGGTTGTATTTATTGATGAGCTTAACACAACATCCTGCATGGGTATGATTAAGGAATTAATGATTGACCATTCGCTAGACGGTGTCAAATTACCCAAGTCTATTTTCTTCATTGGAGCTATCAACCCAAAAAACAAAACAAAATCTGCACTTCTAAAAGAAGGTTATCAAGTATCAAAAGTTTCCAGCAAGAATCGTTCAAAGCTACCTGGAGATGAAGATGTGATCATTAATGCAGGGGACTATGAAGGAGAATACATTGTCAACGATATGGCACCCTCCATGGAATTGATCAAGTTTGACTATGGTGACTTGTCGCCGGCGCAAGAGCATGATTTTTTGCGTCTACTGCTGGAACAAGAGCAAAAGAAAAGAGATGTTCAAGATGTAGTCACGACCGAATTGCAACAGTTCATTTACACCTCACAAAGGTTTGTTGCTGAAGCTCGTCTTCATAAAATTCGAGTTTCAATTCGAGACTTGACAAGAGCGAACAAATTGTATTGGTTCCTTAGAGAGAATGAGGTAATTCGCTTAGATCCCAACGAGAATACAGAAGAAAACAAACACGTCCACGGCATTATCATGTCGATAGCTCTAAATTATTACTTCAGACTTCCGCATGAGAATCGAGAAAAATTTGAGAGAGTCATTGACGACCTTGTGAAAAATCAATTCCCACACTACTCATATTTACAATTCGGTGCTACTGTGAAGACTTGCCTCCGTGATTTTTATCAACGAGCGAAAGAATGTGGCTTCATTCCTGATGGAATTGCCCACACTCAAGCATTTGCAGAAAATCTGTTTGCCATGATCGTGTGTATACAATCTGTAACTCCGTTGTCAATAGTTGGTAGTCCTGGAAATAGCAAGACATTATCATACACGTGTGCAACTCAAAAAAAACGAAGTCTATTTCCAACTATGAAGACTGTACATAGTCAACACTATCAGTGCAATGAACTGTCAACTGCATCAGAAATAGAGACAGTACTTAAAAGCTCAGTAGAAACCAAGAAGAAATATGAGCGCGCTGGCATGCTGAATGAGCTTTGTTCATTATTGATTGACGAGGCAAGCTTACCAATTGAACAAAAACATGCTCTCAAATGCATTCATTACTACTTAGACAAACCTTATATTTGTACAGTACTGATTTCTAATATGAGACTTGACGCAGCCAAATCAAACAGAGCAATTCAAATCATTCAACCTTCTCTGAGCTTCGATGATTTGCAAGCACTATGTAAAGGTGTACTAATGCTTGATGATAACGATGCTAACTCCTATTCAAGAAATGGAAAGATCATTACTGCGCTTTGCAAATCTTTCCAACAAGTGAACGAGGTGTTACAAAGTCCAATTGTCCAAAGAGAGCCTGAAGCTAACCAAACTTCAGCCAACATTGCCTCTTGTGGTATTTTCCACATGCGAGATTTTGTCTTCTTCTTGAGAATGTTACGAAGAAATGCTGGTGGTGGAGATTTATTTTCTCCCAACAATATTTATTACAGCTTACAAAGAAACTTGAATGGCGTTTTTAACCAAGATTTTGAAGCTATTTGTAATCTATTCTTCACTAACATCAGACGTGAATTGGGAACTAATGATTTCAAAATATACATTCCTTCAACAAAGAAGTATATGCAAGTTGTTGAAGATAGCATTACTGATCGGTTGAATATTCAACAAGGAGAAGATCCAAATCAATCTCATTTTCGTTATACCATGATAATAGATCCAAGCGAGTCTCAATCTTCAATTGAATTACTTTTCAAAGCAGGTAAACTAAAACAGAAAACAAAAGTTGTTTATATAAGCGACTTTAAAGAAGACTCAAATGATTTGTCTCTATCGCAAGAAATTAGCGAGGTGAAACAAGCAATGGAAGAAGGTGCTTGTGTTATTTTAGTGAATTCGGCAGCCATTAACTCCAGCTTTTATGATGTGTTCAACAGACACTTCACAACAATTAATGACAGATACTTTGCAAACGTTAGTATTAGAGGAACCACACATCCATGTCTCATTAATCCACAATTCCATTGTATCCTTCATGTACCGTTAAGCCAATATAGAACCATGCCCATACCTTTGTTGAATAGATTTGAAAAATATATTGTTGGAGCAGAGCAAATTTTACAAGACGCCATTCCAATAGAATCTATCACGGAAAAACAAAATATTTTGAAACATATTAGAGATGGTGTAACCGATTTCATTCAGCAATTTCATCCTGAAACTTTCTATGGCCTTACTCCAAATGAAACTGTAGACTCACTCATGTTGCGAGTAATTCACGATTCTACTGAAGAAATATCTATCAAAAAACCTCTTGCTATAAGAAATGAGAAAATTATTCGACTCATGAAGGAGAAAGATATCGAAGACCATGAGGAAGATGACAACATTAACACAGGTACATCATCCAAGAGATTAAGAGAATATATAAGATCTGTGAACTTTTTACTATTACAAATATGCCCACCAGAAAATATTTACTTGAAGAGGAACATTATTCCTATTTCCTATTTAATCGAATATTTAACGCATCAAGAGCACTTTAGTGCTATTTCTTTTTTGAAGAATGCTATCCAGTATCACTTTACAAACAACTTAACAGAGCCCTCAAAGTATTTATTATATTTGAGACATTCTAGCGGTATCCAAAACTTGCCAGAGAGCTCACATATTCATGAACTACTAACATCCCATTTCCAAAGTCCTGACTACTTGCTAGATGATGACGCGCCTTTAAATGTAATTACTGTGGCATCCGTTTCATCCTTCTCTTCACAGATAGAGATTTGTGAGTTGCTTGATAACTTTGCTGAAAATCCAAACAAGTTGGTGCTGATATTTACTGTTGACATGTCTTCAATTTCGAAGCAAGTTGTGAATTATATCAAGTTTAAAGTTGACAACATGTTATCATCTTCAGTAACAAAGATTAACGGTCTCAAGCCATTTGTATCTCTGCTTTTACATTTCCCTCCAGAATGTGCACAATTTAAAGCTGCCTATGATACCATTTTCACAGATTGGTCTTACTATTATGTTGATAGTTTATTGACTCCAGACATTGTAAACGGTTCACAAAACCATGTAGACAAGGGCTTTGAGAAATATCAAGATGCAAGATACTGGTTTTGCGTTGCTGTTGGACTTATTAACTCTTTCGATTTAGAAGATAGGAAACAATTTCAACAGGCCTTTATTCCTCTCTATGAAACAACATTAGTTGAAAACATTAGAGAAAACTCTTCTATAATCTCTTCTACATTACTTAACCAATACTTTGTTAGACAAAGAAAATTCTCCCTGCCACAAAAATCAGAATTTGTGGAACATTTATTGAAAAATTTCAAACCTTTAAGAGATATAATTCTGAACATGTTCTCTGAAAAGTGGAATACAAAAGAAATATCTTCAATTGTTAACAATATTTGTCAGGGCATTACTAGTGGAACAGTTGTAAATGGCATAATCCAAAGTATCTCAAACGCTCTGTCGTCCAAACTTATGGAAATGATGTACTCTATCACAAGAAAGTTAATTCTACTAACCCCATCTGTGGAGAATTTATCACAACCCAATATGGGTGCTGTTGAACTACAGACTAAGATAATGGAAATGTTTATCAAGACTTCCCTAAAGAAAAACAAGTACAATGAACGTGCTGCAAGCTCCTCTCAAATGGTCCAAGAAAACCTGCACTTTTCTTCATTACTACTTGATAGAATTGAGAACCAGCAATCTTCAGATCTGATTTTAGAAGAAATTACTGATATCATTGAAATGGATAAGAACATGTTTGAAAAATTCCGCTGGGATGCAATTGCATATCATTTCTCTAAGGACATCATCAAAGATGCACAGTCCATCAAATTGGTCGACATATTATTGTCACCTACTTGGAAATTTGATGAAAAGAGACGAATTTTCAAGTTAATATCATACATGAAACAGGAACGAGCAAAGAATTACATTAGCTTGATATTTTCTGTACTGATCGAGTTTAAATTTGTAAAATTTTTAGAGAGCGACGAGTTTGTTAAATCATTGGGAAAAGTTGGACTTGTATTCGAGAAAGCTTTAGAGCACATTTATAGATACAGTATTGAATTTTTGTTCACATCACTCGCTACTGCAATGTCCTCTTCAGATATGAATTCTCTTTGTAGTTGCAAAGGATGGCTAAATTCTCTAAACTTCTTCAACATGAAACACTTTACAGAACAGTCCGCATTCCTAAAGAACCCAATGACTGAAAGAATTTATTTACTGAACTGTATTTTGAACGGGCTGGAAGATATGACGGAACCAACACCCATTAAGGATTTATGGCATCGTTTTGAGAAGAAAATGCACGATCAAAGCAAATTGTCAGAATGTTTCAAAGACGTCGTTGAGATGATTCATCCTACTTTGATGACATATCTATCGGAAGACTCTCAACGTGTTTTCATTAATAATCTTCTTCATTTCACATATATATTTTCTCTTGAACATTGGACAGTTCCTTCTTTAACTCAATATCTGGAAGTCATTCATTTGTTTGAAGGTCAAGTGAATGGCCCTTCTATTTGGAAAATGATTAATCTTGGATCTCTCTCATCAATTATGGATCAAATAACTCGACTATTACTTGAAAATAGACTTCATGACAATTTAAGAAAATGCATTTCAAATTATTTAAACAAGTTTGATAATTCAATGCTTATTCCAGAAGACATTACACTCAACAAACAACACTCTGTAGTCACATTATTGCAGTCGTCGTATATTAGCCACAAGCAACAAATGTCATGGATTTCATTTTTGGAAAATTATGTGAGGGCAAATAACAGTGTTATTGGTTGTGAAAAACTTGATCTTTGCATTGATAATGCAAACTCCAAGTTGCTTTTAATCAAATTCGCAGAGCATCTTGTCGAGAAAAATAATCCTAAAGAAACCATAGAAGGACTTACAGCAGAAACAAAACAATTGTTACTCAACGCTATGGGAAAGCATTCAAACATGCCACTCTTTTTATTGTCACGGTATGCCACTGATGACCATTTGGAACAAGTCATCACTAGTAACAGAGCAGAACTTGCTAGTATTGGTTTGGGAAATTATCATCTTGAGAATATTGTTAAGGACTACAAATCTTATCACTTTACGTTCATGCATAATCGACAACACCCAATTTACAATATTTTCTCAAGTATGCGAGACCGAGCGAATAACCCACAAGAATTTGAGAACTATGTGTTACAACAAGCACCACAACACAAGTACACTATTAGAATGCTTCTTGTTGTTATTTCTTACAATTACTACTTTTTACAAATGAAAAGATGTGATGCAGTGTTATCTTGCTTACAAAAAGCAAATGTTAGAACGGCCTTATCTATTGAAGATGTCGAACTACCCGCTTTTACAAAGTTTGCATCTGAACCAATTTCTGTACCAGCTGAAAAACAGCAACATGAATTTACAGAGTATTATCTGTCCAAAGAGTTCATTGCTTCAGATCATGACAAGATTTTATTGCATTTATTTGCCAATATCACAGCAGTGACGCTTGGTGTTCCAAAAGAAAAGAACCATCTCTACAATCGTATGTTCCATCCTGAGGTGTTAGCAAATTCATTTGGACCAGGTTCCACTTATCAAGATCAAAATTGGGACTGTGGTTTTATTGTAGCAGGTGTTGAAATTGCAAATATTGCCAACACGAATATTATGAATAGAAGTCAAATGCATCATGCAGCTCTTAACACATTGACATGGGCTGCTTTTACTTTATGTGTTCTCTTTGATCCAGCTAGAAATCAAGCAAGTGCTAAAGGAGGGCACATGTGTAATTATGTTGAAGATATGAATTATGTCAAGAACATTTCTGCTTTAGAAAAGTTGCAGCTTTATATCAAAACTAGAGTGAATACATTTATGACTATCTTTTCAATGTCTCCTGAAACCATGAATAGAGTTGATCCAATCATATTCTTTACAAACGCTTTGGAGAGATTTATGAGCCAAGCATCATCATCCAATGATTGTTTAGGTTTCTTTAATGAAAGAGGAGAAAAAATTCGAAGATATGAAACCTTTTGGATGAATAATTGCTTTATTCCTGTGCTAAACGATTACGGAAATATTGTCAACAAGATGAACGAACAAACACAACTGCTGCAGAGAATTTCTCAATTTAAAGAGGCCTCTATGAACATTAGAAAAGTGAGGGATGTATTCATTTCACAAAAATCAATTCTCCATCTTTTATATGAACGTTTTTCTGAAGTAGAGAATAATAATGGAGCTTATGAGACACTACGACAAGTGATCAAGTTCAAGCATTGGCTCTCCTTTAGTGATTATATTCAAGATTTCATTGCCATGTATATTGAACTGCATCGAGGATTGAGTGGAAAGTTAGAAGAACATGAAATTCACATCACTATTAAGGATGCCATCCGTCGCATGACTCGAGAGAAACAACAAGAAATTCAGGATCTTTGGACGAGAGTAAAACAAAATTGGTCAGATATCAAACACAAAACACTCCAAGCATTAGGAGAAGTGGTTTGCCAGCAAGCAGAACGAGATATCATTGATTTGAATGATGACACTATTTTATCTTCTGTATTACACGTGGCAGAAGGAAATAACGCAATAGGAATGATGATTAAGAATATTTATGTGGCCCAATCTTCGATTCAACAAAGTTACTCTTCAAGTAGCTATGTGTATGCTGAATCAGCTGTTCATATCACGGACAAGCTATTCAATCACTTGCTCTTTATCCATCTCAAAGAAGATCACTTGTGTGAAATGGTGAAAAGTTTCTTGATCGTCAAGAACAATCGTAATGATTTTGATTGGACAGGTCTCGAGTTCCTATTCAAAGAATCACTTGCAAAAGGAAGAATTACGATTCAGATACTTGATTCTGCTCCCCTCACACCCTCTGCTAAATTTGAATTTAAGAAACAAAACGTTCAACAGCAATCAGACAAAAATGTTGAAGCAGCCATTGACGAAATTGAGGATGAAGAAAACGCGTATAAGAACAGCATTGACTATTACTTTAAAATTCTTACAGAATATGAAGCCGAGTTGGGAGAAAATGAAAATATTGAGCTTGTGGATGATAAAAAGAAAACTCTCTTGAGCAGTATTGATACCAAGAATGTGAATGAAGTATTGAAATTGGCAAAGGATCTTTGTGTCATCCTGGAGCATCACAAACTGAATGTTCCCAATTACTTGTCCTATGCTCCAAATGGATCCGTTTTGAAAAAGCTGAAAAAAGTGAAAGACTCTGAATTATATTCTCTGCTTCAGACTGTGTTGGATATCATTTATAACCGAGAAGAAGCAAAAACTCTCTATGAAAAATTTGCTGCAGCTCAATTCAGATATCCATTGACATCTGGCATGAAGAAATATTTGGATAAAATTGGAAAAGAATTGGAAGATCAAGTGAAACAACAAGATCCAAACATTGACAAAAATGTTTAACACTCAGGACAATTGCATCTGTGATTTACAGTGACAAAGACGGACTGTTAAGATTTAACAATAATCAACAAAAGCCACTTTTGGAACTTTTTGAACAAAGTATCAAACATCAACTCAGTTACGATATTCAAGTTTCACACTTTTTACCAAAAACCATTACTACACGAGAAACGGTAGCATATATTGAATATTTGAGAAGACTCATTGGTAAAATTGGCTTGCATCGATCGGAAGTTGTGGTGTCCTCTCGTAATTGTTATACTGAAAAAGTTCCTAATAGCCTTGCTAGTAGTGCTCGACTCTCAAATTCTGATTCCATTCTCCAAAAATTTGGTACCTATGAAGAAAAACAAGCTTATCAAGAGACGGAGCATGAGTGGAACAATGACATGCAAGATCAACCTCCGTTCATGTACTCATCACCAATAGAAAGAATATCCAAGCTAAGAGAGGCCATTCAAAGAGAGCTTGATACTTCAAAGGAGTTAATGGAAGAGCTCGCTCAATTGAAACGCTTAGAGCGACTGTTGCGCTTGAAATGGGAAGCACAACAATTAAGACAAGAAAGTGAAATGTTGCAACAACAGTTGAAGGAGAGCAAAAAGATAAGGACAAGGATGTACTTGAAAGGTTGGAATTTATTAAGAAAGCAGTAGTTAAATAAAACCAGTAAAAGTCTGTTGGCATTTGTTAAACTCTTTGAGCAAGAATAAGAACCCGTGAGTCGAAGAAGATTCAGCTTTGTGACAGTAAAGTTGAAGCCGCGACCTCGAATAAGCAGGGTAGTTTGAATTAAGATTATTAATTTATGAAAGTTTTAAAACTACAATCACGTGAATTGAATAAATTATTCTCTTCCGAACAAAGCCTTAGCATAAGCAATGTAATCATATCCGTCACCCTTCTTTGGCATTTGTTGCAACAAGAAGTCAGCTTCAGATGGTTCCATGACAGCTCTCAATTGACCTTCAGTCACATAGTCCTTCTCACCAGCCAATTGTTTGAATGATTCAACAACATCCTCATATCCTGAACCCTCTTCAGCAAGTCTTCTCATGTATCCAAGGAATTCGTTGAATTCGATGAATCCATCTCTGTCGCTATCAACAGAAGCAAAGACCTTGTCAACTTCCTTGTCATCAATATCTTCACCCAATGAGCAAACACAAGCCTTGAAGTCAGCCTTGCTCAATTTACCATCCTTATCCTTGTCGAAGTACTTGAATGTTTCTCTGAAGTCCTTCAATTGCTCTTCAGTGAGACCTTCATTCTTATCGGCCAGCAATGTTGACTCAATATCGTTAATAGACTTCTCAACAAACTTCTCCAAGTTGTCATGGACAGCCTTAATCTCAGATTCAGTAACAGTGCTCAATTCAAGAATTTCACGTTGTTCCAAAACCTTCAAAGTTTCCATCAATTGTTGGAATCGCTCCTCTGATTGTTGATTGATGGTGGTTGCTTGTTCTCTAACCTTTTGCAATTGTTGTTCCAAATTATCAGTGGATTGTCTTGTTGTGTTAAGAGCATCCTTTTGATTCACTGCAAATTCAGTGTATTGGTCGCACAAGGAAGCGAATTGTTGGAGAAGTTCTTCGTTTCCGCTCAATCTTCTCTTTTCCTCTTCCAAATTCTTCTTTCTGTCAGAAATGAGCTTACCAGTTTCCTTGAACTTGTCATCCAATTCCTTGTTGTTGATTGGTGAGTACAAGTTTGGATCACCTCCAGCATTTTGAATTTCCTTAACCATTTCATTGACAGCCTTCAAGAGTGGTTGTTGTTCTCCGTATCGGTTCTCAACGTCAGCCAAGATATCCACAAAGACGTCAACATCCTTGACACTTGAAGCAGTGATTGGTTCAACCAAAGCCAAAGAGATATCATCCAAGAACATGGCCAAACCTTCACTCTTCTTAGCAACATCCAAACATTTGCCCAACAATTCCTCCAACTTCTTGAGACGATCATTGAGATCCTTCTTCTTCTCATCACCCTTATCGGCAATGTCATCTTGTCCCTTCTTCAACTTGTCAATGGTGGAATTGACTTCAGGAGCAGCTTCGTGTCTTCCCTCAACAATCTTCTTACCAATATTGTTGGTTTCATCCAATGACTTGTTGACTTGAGCCAACTCATCTTCAAAGGTCTCATGGATGTTGATCTTGGCTTGCAAAGCACTGATTGTGTCCAATTTGTTTAAATCCTCACGGAAGTAACCCTTGTTCTTACCATCTTGCCATTCGGAAATCTTCTTGGCACGAACACGGAAACGGCTCAACAAAATCTCCAACTTCTTCATCAAGGTAATATGTTCTCTCAAAGCCTTATCATAGACATCTTGCTTCTTGTTCAAATTGTCCCACTTATCATTGATGGTTTGAGTGGACAAATCGACAGGAGGTTCATAGATTGGGAGACCTTCGTTCTTTTGTTTGGTTCTAATGTTGGAGAGCAACAATTCCAAGTCGTTCTTCTCAGTGGATTGTCCTGGTTTCTCTTGATCCTTGTATTGACGGAATTCTTCTTTACGATCTTCAGCCTTCTTGAGAGAGTCTCCAAAGTGTTCAAAGGATGGATCCGAGAGTCTATCCGAATTTCCATCAATCCAATCAATCAAGTTCTTGGCTCTTCTCTCATAATCATTCTTCATATCATTCAACTCTTGTTCACGTTTGGCAACCTTGGCAAGCTTTCTACCAGCCTTCTCTGCACGGTTGGAGCTAGCGAATTTCTTCCAATAGTAAGCAACGTAGGTCATCACTGCCTTATCATCAGGAGTGAATTTGATCATATCATCAGCGTCCAACAATTGAGGAATATCCAATTGCTTTTCGGCAACATCGAAAGCGAGTTGGAGGTTCTCTCTGGCGTTCTTTGGATCCAATGAATCAAAGTCCAACAAGTCTGGTCTGTGTTTATGAATCAAGGCACAGAAAGCCAAACCATCTTGCCATGATCCCTTAAAGTCCTTGACATTGACGTTGGCATAGCCCTTGGTCTTCTTCTTACACCACAACAAGAGACCCTCACGAGCAGAAAGTTCTGTAGTGGAGGAATTGAGAGAAGAATGTATTTAAGAGGGTTGTTGTTGTTGATGATGAACGATGGAGTATATAATCCAATATCAATAATGATGATGTCCAGTCATTAAGTGAACAAAGTTGGAAAGTGATCACGCCAATACAAGCACACAAATATTTTTTACAAAAATGATGATGAGAGAGATCATCAAAAGCAAGGCAATCATGATGACCATTCATTGACCAAATACGAATAAAACCAATGAAATGAAATATATATCAACACAATGGACACCATATACATGATAAAAACATACCATCTTCAGAAATATCTTGAATTTCAAACTTGTGGATCAAACACCAAATCATACCCAAGATTTGAGTCTTTTCCTTGTTAGCAATTTGTTCAGCAGAGAATTGCAAACGAATACCAACACTGTCAATAAAGCTGTTGACTTTATCGACCACCAAATTCAAATTGGCAATCTTGTGGAATTTCATACGAGGATTGGCATAGAATTGACCCAACGATTCGTCAGAAATGATTTCATAGAGATGAATCAATGGAACACCAGTTTCGAATTCTTCGATCATGTCTTCGACTTGCATATTTCGTTTACGCAAGTGAGAGTTCACCCACTTGGTGAAGGCTCTCATTTGGATACGTTCCCATTCAGCTGCTTGAGACATTTGTGTTCAATGTATCGATGGTGTGTGGGAGAGAGTTTTTTTTGATAATAAAAAAATTTTTTGGTGATGTTTGTGTGAAAAAGTGAATGATCGAATTTTTGATTGACGTTTTTCTTACCAGTGAAAGGCCATTGACAACTTGACGTGTCAACTCGTCAAGCAGCGATAAAGGAAATTTCGAGCAAGACAAAACACAACTAAATTGAGACGGGCTTTTGCTTCAATTAAATTGTGTTGTTAATTAGAAAAGGGTGATCATTGTCAAATAGCCAGACGCCTGAACGATTGTTTGAATGAAGAAAGTGATAACAAGATAAGGTTGAATACAATGTTCTACCATAAAGTATTTCAAATTGTTGTGTCCTCCAATAAGGGATGCAATCAATCATTGAGCTGTGGTTTTGCTGATTAGAGACGATACGACCAGGTTGCACTCAGGGAAATGGAAGGAACGAATCATCCAATGATTGAGGCAAAGAGCCATCCAAAAGTTGTTGTTTGAGTAAGCAACAGTTCACACAATCAAACCCTCACACAACATGGAAGTCGAGCAATTCTCCAATAAGACTACTGTGGGGGATCATTGAAATTGTCAATACCTCTGGTTCAAACATTGATGCTTATGAAAATAGGGAAACAAATAAATTATGTATTCAAATAGTGTTAGGCAACCATATATCATAAAAGCTACAAATGGAAATGTGAATAAATTATTTTTGATATCCTTGTGAGGAATAGTTATTTCCTTGGTTGTAAATTATCTGCTGTTGCTGATCATACGATTGTGAGTTGTTATAGTGCTGTTGTGGTTGTTGTTGCTGTTCATAACGAGAATAACCCTGATTGATGTTTGGATAACCTTGTTGAATAAATGAATTTTCGAGTGGGTAGGACGACTGTGACATTTGACTCTGCATGACACTTCCATATTGATTAGACTGTTCAACTTTCTCAACTATGGTTTTAAACTTTTCAATAAGGTTCTTCTCCGAGTCGACCATGTTTCTGAGTTCAGCATTGTAATTTTTCAATTGTTCAATCTCTTTTTCGTAGGCAGCAGCAAGTTCCTCCAATTTTTGTTCTCCACCCAACAATGATGGCTGACTTGTTGGAATGGACAAGTTATTGAAGGCATGGCTTCCAACAAGTCCTTTTGACTCCTGTTGTAACTGTGGTTGCACCATGGCATTGCCTTGAACCATTGGTTCGAAAGGAGGTAGTGCTACAGGAGTTCCACCATTCTGTCCAGTCATGGAAGGAAATTGCTGTGAAGGTTGTGAAGAAAATGGTTTGGGTTGATTTTTCAACATGCCATTCTGAGGGGAATTGCCTTGCATCATGGGAGGTTGGAACGATGGAGGCTGAGTGGGAGGTGGCATCTGTGGGGTGGCTTGCTGACCAGCAACACTTGTTCCTTGTTGTTGCTGACCCATCCATGAATTCATATTAGTTGTTGTTGTTGTTGTTGTTTGAGGGAGTTGTGTAGCCTGTGCTGAAGAGGAGTACATGGGTTGTGCTGAAGAGAAGCTCGTTCCAGGTGAAGCGTTGAGAGAACCACCACTGCCGCCACTTCTGAAGAGTCCTCCTACTTTCTGTGGTGGAGGTTGTTGTTGTTGTGATTGGTATTGTTCGGGTGGTGATGATGTTTGATCTTGATAAGTGTAGGATGATTGTGGATGATCCCAATGAGCTGAAGAAGTTCCGTTCCAATGATGATTGGCTGATGGAGTTGTGTTGTTCATCATGGGATGATTCGAATAATAGGAATCGTGCATATATGGCTGAGATTGATTTTGGGATTGATGCATTGGATGAGAACCAGATGAAAAAGGAGGAGGAGTCTGTTGTTGTTGTGGTTGTGGTTGTGGTTGATTCAAGCCTCCTCCTGATCTCCCATTTCCGAATGGTTGTTGTTGTGGTTGTGGTTGTTGCATTGGCATCATGAAAGGAGGCTTTTGTGGTTGAGATGAAAATTGTGGATAATTCTCACGATATTGTTGATCAGAGCTATGATGAGAAAGAGGAGATGATGAAGTAGTGCTCCTATCGGATGGAAAGGATGATTGTTGCCCAACAACAGATCCTCCTCTCTGAATCTTGAGATTATTGTAATCGTTGTAGTTATTCATGTCCATGCGGTACCTTTCTGAATCTTCAGCAGAGATCATTGAGAATATTGCTTTAGCTAATCGATGCAGCAAGAGGTTATTTTCAAATAAATTAATTTTTTTTGAAATGATGGTTCGATTGATATTTCGAAGATGAGAATTCACGATTCCTTTTTGGTTCCTCTCGTTGTCGAATGATCTTAATAAAAAGCAAAAATTGATAGAATTTTAAATTCGAGTGTCTTTATTGTTGCTTTTGCGAAGGCTGGGACTCCAATGATTTCGACAAGGTCACTGGTGTGAACACTGGTCCATTTGGATTTTTCACTCGTGAAATTCCTTTCAAATCCATGAGAGCTTCGGATGGGAGACAGAACCATCGTAAGTGCTCGAATTGCTTTCTTTGAGCATAGTCTTCATTCCAAATAATAATTTCAGTTCCAAGTCGATATTGAGATAGAGGGCAAATAAATTATTCGAAGCTTCTCTCATCAAACTTTCAGCAGAGGACAATATGGAATTGTAATTGAAAATGACATTCGCAGTTTCAGTGTCATGGAGTTCTCCGTTAGAGCTTGCAAATTCCAATGTTCCATTGAAAAAGTGACGTCAGTTAACTTCTTTCTATGAGCGTTGAGATGGTTCGAAAAATTATCATGAAATAGTCCTGAAAGGCGAACGGGATTGACCAGCTTGTCGAATTTTCTATGATTCCATTCATTGTTTTTCTCATTGAACACATAGAAGGGTAAAAATTTCCATCCATTGTTTGCAATGAAATCCACTGCTTTGACAACAAAATCCACTGTGGAATCATCGAAAAAGTAATGAAGTTGAAGCGTGGTCCACCCAGGTGTCAATTGTGTTAATTTCACTGATGTACAAAGGCCCTTAATAGTATCTTCAATTTCTTTCATCTTTTCTGGAGCTATACCAAGTAACTGTTGACCATGAAGATCCTCACAGACATAACTTGGGTTTGGATGCCAAACAAGTCATTCAACAACATGCAAACAAAACCTGGATGTAAATACTGATCTTGATGCTTAATCAAAAAGGAGAAGATGGAAACCTTTTTGATCTTCCCTTCCTCCATACTTGTACGATTGGTCCCAAGAAGCATTAAATTTGAATTGTTGGACCACACCTTAAGCGCTCGGTCCGTGTATCGCTGAGTCATTCTTTGTATAATGGATGCTCCAACATCATCTTTTAGTTTCAACACTAGTGCTGCTCGAATCAGCGAAAGCACATCTTTGGGGGTTTCCATTGGGTGACATGTACTGTTGGTCATTAGTTTTTGTCTCATTAGTAAAATTCCTGGGCAATTAACACCACCGCCAATTAGTTTGCTTGCGTCCACATAAAGAGCATCTTTTTGCAATTTCGAATCTGTCGTGCTGTGATTGAAATCTATTGTAAGATAGGACGAGGCAAACTCGTAGTTTAAAAAGCAAAGAGCTCCATACTCATGGGACCAAGATAAAATCTCGTTCTCATCCAAGCAAACACCAGTGATTGGCGAAACCATGTTGACGGAGACTACAATTAATTTGGAAGATAAATACTTGTATCTTTTGAGCATCATGATTAATTCATCAATTACGAAATTTCCATGCTTGTCGTTAGCAACGAGAACAATTCTGAACCTGTTTCTTTCCATGCTTGTATGTTTTCTTTGTGTTCATTTGGAGAAACAAGAATCACTGGCCTCTCTTTCTCTAATTTTACACTTTTACAAATTGCACTCAAACCGATTCTGTCACAAAATAAGCGAATAGCATCAGCACAAGAATTTCGTGTGAAAAACATGGCATCTGTGTCACTTGGTTTTGTTTCATTTGAAATATTCTCAATATTAGCGTTCAAACTTTTGGCTATCATTGCTCTTGCGTCTGTGACAAATTGACTTGACTGATAGGATAAGAATGAGTTTGTACGGGCGTTTGGATTTCCAAATGTGGGCAAAACTTGTTCGTGCAAGTAGTCCTCAATAAATTTGAGTGGTTTTCCCTCCTGCACGGTGTCACAGTAGACGAAAGGTAAAAACTTGTCCAACCCGAACGGTGTTTTAAAAAACGTTTCACTACCGAAAATATTGTCGTGGATGGATTTTAAGAGATGGGTCTTTTTGTGAAGATGGAATTTTGGCACAGAGGATGTGGCAATTTCTTCTAAGGTTTTGTACATGATGGTCTTTTCAACAAGTGGTCTTTTCCTATACGAAGAAGCTCCTTTTAGTTTGGTTAGATTAATTTTCTTTGCAGACTCATGGTGTGCTCTTGAAATGCTTTGAGAGGGAATGTTGCTTGCTGAATTCGTTCTCTTGAGAGGAGGCACTTTGGAAACTTTTGGCTCCGAGTTGGAAGGGGGAATTTCTTGGACATTTCTGTTGAGTGGTTGTAAGACTGAACTTTTTCTTGCTTGGGATGTTTTTTGGGAAGGATTGAAAGTCTGTGACAATGCTTTCTTGACAGGAGGAGCGTTCTCGTCGTTGACAACTGCTTGAGGATCGGATGAAAATTGGTGCTCACGTTCTTTGAATGAAGCAGAGAAGATGGTTGGGTCATACTTCTACGGAGAGGAATGTCTCGGTTTCGAGATGTTCCTGGAGTAGATGATCTCTTAGACATGTTTTTTCAATTTCTAATAAATTTGTAATTTCAAAAGTGTAGTGCAGTGGAGGGAAATCATCATGATGATCATTGACTTGAGCTAATGGTCTAGTCAAGCGACAGCCTTTGGAATCGCTACGATGATCATTTATATCGATAAGAATCAAGTATAAATGGATTCAGGAAGTCGGAGAGGTGATGAATTTCTCTTCATGTATATTTACAATGAATGACGATGAACAGGGATCAGTGTATCATAACATTGTCGATCCTAATGAGATAAAGACGACAAATCAGATTCAACAAAAAATAATAACAAGGCATAATGTTAGGAAAACAACTTTATTGAAACTGTTGTATGGAGACCTTTGGGTACTCCCCTACTAGAAATCTAGAGGTAATTTATGCAGAAGCTTGCATAATCTTGTAACCCCACCAGATAGCCCACAACCAACCAATCAAGAGCCAAGACAAGAAGAGTTGCAAAATACCAACAATCAAAGTTGGTTGCATCTTCTCCTTCTCAGAGGTGATGAAAGCAGCAATGATAGTACCGAAACCTGGGAAGAGGAAGTTAATGATGAGGATAATCAATCCCATTCCTTCACATCTTGGAGTGCTATCTTCAAGGAGACCCATTTTGTATTATTTTGAGTTGTGTTGTTTTGTTTTTTTTGTATGTGGTTTTGATACACTCTGGCTTCTCCCTTTGAATGTTTTAAGGGTCATGGATTACAACTCTGTTTACGGTTCGGAGATAAGGTTGACTGAAACTGGCGGGACCAGAATTATCCTTTTGGAGCCACATGAACTTGGACGACGACTGCTGGCTGTTGAACTTTGCCATCTTTTCGAATCACTAGGGTTCATCTCTCTACTCAAAAATACAAAGGATGACGCCCGGCAGCCAGATTACTCTTTTAATGTAGTACTCTGACATGTATTTCAATAGAATAATACAACATTTCAATTGTCAAGTTCATCAATTTACAAAATTTCATAACGATGAGTATTCGAATTGGAAGGTGAAAAAGGACTTCTCCTCGTGCCGCAATCTCGAATCTCAAAATAGAGTGTGAGGGAGGTTTATTAGTCAACGGAACCCTCAACAACAAATCCACCTCACTTCTGTTAGAAGTCCATTATTTATATTCCCTAAACGTTTTAGAGCTCGCATCATCGCGGTATGCATTCAAATTCAAAGAGTCCTTTCTTCCCAACTAGTTCAGAACTACTGTTGGAATTGCACTAGTATTATCAAAACCCGCTTTCAGCAACACCAGCTTCACAACAACTCAAAATCATGGAAATTATTGGAATCGTACCTTTGCTTTTGATTCACATGGCATTGGTCAGAACTTGATGGACCACCTTATCCTCGACCATGATTCTTCAAAACACGCGCACAAATTGCAACCACTAACAGGGTCATCTATTGGAATTAATGCGTTCGCAATTTCATCAAAAAATGTCTTCAAACAATACCACTCTAACGCTCCACTATTTTGATATTCAAGCCGTAGGTTTCAAAGATTTTTCATGATCTCCGAGTCTGACTTGTCTGGTTTTTAATCAAGAGAGGTGAAGCAGCTTACTTGATTGCAGTTCAAGGAGGTGTCCACGTTGAAAGAAATCTCTTTGAAGATTTGGCTTCCGATCTCAAGTCTGTGTGTCCTTTTGGACAAGTACCCTTGTTGGAGATTAAGAGTCAGGAAGGAACCAAATATTTGCACAATCTATTGCTATTTGTCAGTATTTGCAAAGAAGGCTTCTTTGATTCCCGAGGATGATTTTGATCAGAGTGTTGCCTTGCAATATGTGTTGGGTGTGGATGAATTCAGAAGTGGTGTCTATAAAGCCTATTACAGCGGAAAGGAAGCCTCTGCTGCCAAGAAGGAATGGAAAGAAGGTGCCATGATTCAGCACTTATCTCGTTTTGAAGGATTTTTGGAGAAGGCTGTGGACAGTGATCACTTGTATTTGGTTGGAGGTGAGTGTTTGATTTTGCATGATAATGATGATGTGAAATTACGAGATGATATGGATTGGAAATGAACATTTTGTTCATTCATCATGATTAACAATTTTCACACATATTTGTGGGATTTCAATCGCAAATACACATCGGTGTGTGAAAATACAATGTGAATACTTTTTTCGTATCGTGTGACAGGCAAGTTGAGTTGGGCCGATATTGTGTTATATGATGCTCTTGTTGAACAAGCATTCATGTTGGAGGAAGATAATTTGTGGAGCAAGTATCCTCGTTTGTTGAAAGCCAAACAGAATGTTGAAACCTTGCCAAATATTGCGAAGTATTTGGAGAGTGGAAAGCAACCTGCTTTGTACATTGAAAAATGGAGAAAGTAAGGAATGAATCATTTAATTCCAAATTATATTATAATGCATGACAAGGATTCAATAAACATCTTTGATCGAAGATACAAAGTCGAATTTAAATCACCTATTCATCACCCTCTTCCAATTCTTGTTGATTATAATTTCATCAAAGGTCAACAAATGATCTTCACTACTATCGTCCTCACACGAGAGTGATCCTCTTGAACTGCATATTGCAAATCATGTTTGATATGTGGTACATATTTGAGCTTGATATGAATGAGAGGTGTGGTCGAGAGGTTGGGTGTCAAAGTACTTGGCATGAAATTGAGAGAGCTCATTACAGGAACGGAGGGCTTTACAGATACTTTACCAATTCGTGAGTGTTGACTCGACGAAGAATTACTAGTACCTGCAATTTGTTTCAAACTCTCACCAATGAATGCAATATTTCCAGAACCTGAATGTTGAGCTGTGATGGAATTGACTTGAACCAAGCTACTTGGTACCACGTTCATTCGATCGTAGGGATCGTCTTGTTCTTCACGACTGTTACTACTCGATGTCAGAGAATGTAAAGATAATACTCCTTTCGGAACCACAAGAGGTAAATATAAATCCAATTCGTCAAATTCATCAAAATTCAATTCAGACAACTCCAATTCACATTCTCCCAATAGAATGGGCATGACTCCTAATTTGGAATGAAAGACCTTTAAATCCAAAATTTGTACGTCCATACTCGTCACATAGAGAGTGAATTTTTCGTTAAATTGTGGATTTTGATTCCGTTTTTGAATGGCTGTTGTGTAATACTTGTCCCACCAATTACGATGTTCAATAGTTTCACATCCACGAAGTCCCACTTTACAATATGAATGTGCATGTTGAAGTTTGAAAATGTCCAAATGTGGCAAATTCAATGCTTCGACAATTTCGACCAATAATTTTCCAGAAGTGCAAAAAAAGCTTTTGGCTCCAAATGCTTCAAACACAATATCCAATAAATTCACTCCTCGAAATAAATTGACAAGAGCAAATTTTCGACTCACGTCACTCATGGCTGTTTCCTTTTCTTCTTCTTTCCTCATTCGAACAAATGTTTTGGAAATTTTCTGAACAATGAAGGAATCCAAACGACGAGATTGAACGAGATCTAACCATAAAATGTCATTGGTGACAATTCCAAATGAGCGAAGTAATAATTCTGCCATGAGCTGCCATTTAATTTTGGCAGTGTTTGAAATGATCAAATTATCTTCTCTGAAAAAGCAATACGATGAGTCATTGTCTGATTTTGACAAGACACGATTGTGAACAATTGAAGTGTTGAATCATTGCCAAAATGATATATAGTCAGAGTGCACATGAATAGATAATAAATCTCAAAACCTACCAATTCTCCAGGTTCCTTTCGACTTGTCAAAACGAAATTCTCCTCCCATTCCTATTGTTTTTTATAGATAAATAATATTATTATAAACAATATTATATAAATAGTATTAAACAATATATAAAAATATATTAAACAATAATAAAAAATATTATTAAACAATATGATAGAAATAATAGAAATATAAATAATGATGTTAATAAATAAAATTGTTTTTCACACACTTACTTGCAGGTAATCTTCCAACAGTGAGAGTATCAATATTTCCAACAAGAGATACATGTCCACTGGCTGTCAAATCTCCATGTTTCACTCGGACACGTTGCAATGCAAAATCTACTTGATGCTCTGGAGCGAAAATAAAATTAAAATTTGCATCCATGACCCAAATGTAATTGGCATCCTTATTTAACAAAGTGGATTGGTCTTTGGAAAATAAATGTTTCAAAATGTCATGATCATTGGATCTTGAATCGAGTGAGTCACTTTTGACACCTTCTTGATTGGTATTATTGCTTAATAATAATTCATTTTCATTTTGTTTTCGATAGATGGTCCATTCAACTTCAGGATAATGACCTTTCAAATAGTAATAGGCCAAAAAATCTCCAATATTATTGGTCGTGACATTTGAAGTTTCTTGTTGAACATGAATATCATTGCTTTCGTTTGGAGTATTTTCTCGTTGTTGAATTCGAGAGGAAGATACCACACTGCTACTACTCAATGACGATTGTTCTTTCATGACTTGATTTTGTTTGATTCGTCCCAATGCCTTATCATTTGTTTTTAATTCTTCTCTCGATCCAGACCAATTATTGACACGAGAATATAATATTCCTGTGTGAAATTCTTCACTAAATGAGACTTTGTAAACTTCGGGAGGAAAATGATAGGGTAACTCCACATTGGTATAAGTCACAGCTTACGAATTGAATTCATCATTCCAAAATGAAAGGATTCATGACGATGATAATGATCCATTCGGAAATATACAAAGTGTGAACGGTTTGAGAATGTTCGAATGATCACATTCACTCACCTTGAGCAGCTGGTATTTTTCTACGAAGTCTCTTTTTTGCCTGTTCGTACAAGGCTGTAGAGTCCACAAATGGAGTGTCACTTTTCATCATCACACAGAGGTGTTGTTGTTTAATATTTTTCGAAATTTATATTTTTTTTATAATGTAGTAATATTCACAAGATTGAGATGATCAACAAATTATTAATCCTAAAATCGTATTCTCCAATTCTTCCTCTTGTTTTGTGAATGGATGAATATATTCACACACAAGTCGATCCACCACAAAATTAGAAATTTTTTTTTTTACAATTTCAAAGAGATGATCAAACAAGCATCTTCAAGTCCATCACCACACATCAAGTAATGATCAAAGCGGGTAACCTCCGACGTGTCCATGCACCACTGGTTCATGATGGCACATTCAAACCATCAAGATCAAAAAATGTTTTAAAACGCCTTCCATCATCATTGCTCCCAACGTGTCTGAGAGATGTTTTCGCTGGATCATCTCTTGTTGTTGATTTGTATAGCTTTGATCATCATCTTTTCTCACGTGTTGTACAAGGTCCTCATAAGGAACCCAAATCTCCATACCGTTTGAAAGATTTACAGAAAATCCAAGTAGCTTGCAAAAAGCTTTGATCATCATCTTTTCAACGACAGTCGTCATGGTCGTTCCGTGCTGGAACTCTGTTGGAAATTTCTACATTCCCTTATTCCAATTCAACGTTAAAAATCTGAGTCTGTAAAAACTGTAAATTGATCTATACGAGACTATGGACCTCTGGATGCGAATGGCATTTATAAAATCGAAGCTGGTCTGAAGGGAACTTGCAACGAGAATTTTAAAGTGTTCGTTTTCGCTTTTTCCTTTTTGATTTCCAAACCACACGAGTTGTAACATGGATTCAAGTTCATCCCACATCATTTAACCAAGAGGAAATGAATTCATAAGAATGACCTTTAGATTTCGTAGATCACACCAACCATGGTGATTGAAAATTGTAGATCTCTTTTTCATCAATTTTTGGTTCATGGATGATGATCTCTGTCTCGTCATCCTTTCGTGTGAAAAAGGTCATCACAAAACTCCCGCCCTTCTCCTGACCAATAGTTTTTTTCCGTTGTATATTGTAAACTGATTACAACGGTCAGCTGTTGAACGATTGGCTAGCGAAAGGAATAGCCAGAAACGACGTGAACTTGTAACGGTGTTCCCGCCCCAGCAGTGAGAAGAGGCACCTGGCATGGCAACGATAAGAGCTCGCTGCTGTCAGATGCCACTTGGTTGTATTGAACAAAAAAAATCTCTACACACAATATATAACAAAAATGGGTCTCTTCGAAGATAGTACTCCAAGATGTGAAGGTATGGGTGTTGTCATCCTCCTCATTAACTTCCTCTTCCCTGGTTTCGGTACCATTTTGGCTGCTTTGATCACCTCTGAGAAGGAGAAGATGAGCCCAACTTTGATTGTTGGTATTTTGCAAGTTTTCACTTCATGGCTCTTGATTGGTTGGTTGTGGGCTATCTGGTGGGGTTACAAGATTATGCAAGCTTCTGCATAAATTTGTTGATGATCATCAATAAAGTTTCTCATGTGTTTTCACACACAAAACAATTTGTTGTTATTCTTGTGTTTCTTTTGTGTCTTTCCGTTCTCGAGCAAAATTTTACCGACAGAGAGATACAGGTTCTGCCCATTCGTGTCATCATCACATGCTATGTGATGAAATATTTCATCTGGAGGCAACTCTTCGTGATGACGGTGTTGGTATCAAAATTAATATGGAAAGAGTGGGATTTATGATCCAGCACAACGTGATTTGATGATGATGAGGAGTGTTGCCAAATCGTATATCGGGGTTATGATGATATTGATGGCTAAACGTGATGTCGCAATGTATTTATCCTTCCGTGTGAAATTGTCATCATTGGAGCATGTAATACTACACGCCTTTGCAAAAAGAATTAGTTCGTGTTATGCCCGATAGTATTCGGCTCCAGCACAGTTTGTATGGTTTTTACAGCAAACACTAATTTTATGTACACAATAACATTCGTGGACGATGGAACAAAAGTATCAACATGACGATACTACCCAACACACACAACTCTCTTACTTGATAAAACTCCTGACAATATTACCTGGAGAGAAAATATTCTTTAACATTCCAATTCCCGTAAAATTATTGGCAACCTTAATATTCTCAACGCCTTGCTCCACATATTCGTTGGCTTTGACAACATTGTCATGAATGACAGTGATGGATTCGTCTTGCTCCTTGATCATTTCGTTCAAATCGACAAAACACTGATGCAACTCATAGTAATTAGTTTCCAAATCTCTCAATTCTCGATTTGTTTCGAGCGCAATTTGTTTCTCCACATCTAGCGTGGCTTGGTCTGCAGCACTCAAAACAAATTGAGGAGCCAATGATTGAACACCTGATTGTGAAAGGCCTTCTTCATCTTGGGAATAGCCATCGCCTTCGTCCTCATCACCCATGCCTCTACCTGAGAATGATGGAGAAGAGGCACTCTTTGTGGGTCTCTTACCATTGGTACTTGCCATACCAGAACGAGATGAAGATTTCTTGTGAGAAAACATGGCATCCAAGTCATCTTCTCCATAATTAAACAATTGTGATCGTTTCATATTCTTTTCAGTGTCTCTATAGTCCTTAATACACTTTTCGTATTGTTTACATAATTCCTTAAATTGAGTTTGTAACTTGTTGAATTGAACTTTCTGAGAGGAAGAAATTCCCATGGTATCGTAACCACCAGATAAACTAGAGCTTGTCAATGATTCATTATCGTTAATATCGTAGGCACTGCTACTGTCAATCTTCTTTTTTGAAAATCGGTTCAAACCTTTTGTAATCACGTCCTTGCTCTTTTGAATCTTGTCTTTGAGGTTCTTAATTTTAGCCCGTAATCGTTCCGAGTCCTTGCTATTATTTAAGGAATCAATGGCACTTGATTTGTTGGATCCGCTCAATTCATAATTCCTCAACAAGTGTTTTATATTTCGTTCTAAATTATGAATATTTGAGGCAAATTGTTGAATGTATGAACTTAAATCTTCCAACGATGAAAACTTAATTTCATCATCTATATTGAGTGCTGAGGGATGACCAACTCCCGATGAAGAAGGATTGTTGATATTTCCAACCAAATTTGAATTTCCTAATGATGGTGATGATGTTGAGGAAGAGGCCTTCTTCGTTCCGCTATTACTATTGCCATTTGAAGAAGAACCACCACTCTGTGCTAACGAAGGAGATGAAAGGCTTTGATTTCTCTTTTGTTGAGAAACGGAATCAATGGATGAATTAACGCCCCACCACGAACTCATGGTACAGTTATTATTATGTTACAATTAATGATGTTAATTAATCAACAACACAACTCCGATCAGAGAATGAGCTGTTAGGAAAATGTTACGGAAAAGCAAGATGATGAAAATGCCCAAAGAAGGAATTTAGATATTTTTTTTAATGGGTTGTTGCATTGTCATCATCGATTCATGGTTACACGGAAGGCTGATAGTTCCATTCGCGATTGCGTTTACGAGCTCCACTTACATGAATGATTTTCTTAATTGTAATTTCATTCTCAAATAATATTACTCAAGTAGCTCAGTAATACTCTAATGTTTGTGATTGGATTTCACAATTTGAAATTCTCTTCACTGAGTTTTGGCGAAATATGTTGTCGATGTTGTAAAAGCATGGTTTTAGTGGTGGGAGTGATAGCATCATTATGTCTCATGTGAAATAGGGTGAGATGCTTCATTTGAAATCTACCACTTGCCAACTCATGACATGCCACATCTGTAATTTCATTTGATGAGATGTCCAAATGCTCCAAGGTGTCCACAATCGATGATGATTCACAGAGAGTATAAAGACCAGCATTGGTCACTTGATTGTTTGCCAGTTTTAACACTTTGAGGCTTTTGAAACTTGCTTTCGCTAAACACGTGCAACATGCCTCAGTGATCGAGTTGTTGTTCAAATTCAAGTACTGTACATGTCTCAATTCTATTGAATGGGTCAAATGTTGACAAGTCATGAGACCAAAATCATTTCCAGATAAATCCAAATATTGAATTTGTTGACTTGTTACATCTTGAACCCAATTGTTTCGTTCATCACCAATATTGTCTCCGCTTAAATTTAAATGTTTTAATTTCGGCATGAATTTCAAAACGCTTCCACCCTCGAATTCATCTTCTGAACCAACCATTGTTGCATTTCTGGTTTTAATATAACCTCTCGAGACAATGGTCTTTCCAGGATACGATGGAACGAATGTTGATGAAATCATTTCGGTCTTGGGTCGAACAATTCCTATATAAAGACCACTCAAAACAAGTGTTGAAACATTACTAAACAAACCACTATTCGCACATTGATAAAAACTTTCGCACTTCTTCAAATTCCGAGACAAGTGTGCAACAAGGGTAATTCCTCTCTCGGAACCTTTTTCATGAGTTTCAGAGCTCCCAGATGATTTGATATTCAAACTTTGTATGATATCATGCTTGGTGATGAGTTCATTCCATGTAAAGCACACTTTTCTCGTCATTAGAAATAATTCCAATCCTTCCAAATATATAAATATGTGATTCACTAATATTTCATGAGGTATTTGAGCAATGGTTTGATCCCGATCTTTGCATTCCTTCATCGTTTTGTTTTTTGTGTTCTTCACTTGATCATTAGTGCATTTACGATCGGACGAAGTCGTTGATGAAAACGACGGAAAATGTATGGAGATGAATCGTTGCATTTTTAATGAACTCACAAGACGGAGTTCAATTCGAGTTTCAATGAACAGTAACAAAGCAATAAGTTATGATCATTATTTATTCAAAAAGGTAGTTAAGGAAAAGTGTGCTTCTACTACCTTCTCCTTACAGTTTTCTTTTCTCTGGATTGTGTAACGATGCACTGCAATTTTCCAAGAGTTGGTTTCGAGTCGGAAGAGGCTGAACTGGAAGGTTGAGGAGAGTCAATGTCATCATTCGTTTCGTTTGAAGAAGAAGAAGAAGCACCAGTATCAACAACTTCAGAGTAACATCTAAAATGATAATAAAATCCACTCATGAAAACAATATTGTCTTCTTTGGTCATGGTTAATCGTTGACCACAGAGAGCACATCTTCCACCAAGCCTTACTCGAACACCCTTTCTTTGGAATTTAAATAATTGAGAGCTTTGTTGTTTGAGGTCGGCCTGAAGAATTTCTTGACAACCTTCTTGCAGTGTCTTTTGGTGAGAAAAGTTGGTAATGAGACGAGTGAGCTTCTTTTTAAGGCCTTCAATGTCCATGCCTTCTGGAATCTTTTTCACAAGCGCTAATGGGTCAATGTAGTCACTACCATGTTCTGCAATATGATCTAAAAGTCCTGAAATAAATTTTGGTTTTTTCAAGCTCTTATTGATAAGATCTTGATAAAGTTCACTATCAGGTTGTTTTTCTACAAATTCTATAGCAAGAGCTACATCTTCTAATTTGTCAATAATTAAGGCAAGAGCATCATTAGTATTACCCATTCTGTTCAATAGGTAAACAATACCCTTATAGAGTTGCTTGTTTCTTTCAGGTAATACGAGATCATCCTCATTGCTGTTAATGTTTTTCGACACTGTGTTCTCCATAGGCACGTCCGTGGCAGTTGTTGTTGACTCGTCCTCAGAGTCTGAATCATATTGATCATCTGAAGTAATTGGTTTCGTTCGTTTGCTGGTACTTTCTGAAACTGGAGGCACATCTCGTCTATACAAATATTCAAATGTTTTTTCAATTGGTTTTCCTAAATGTTGTTCACAAATTTGCAATGCCTGCTCAATTTTGTACGATTGACTTTGCTCCAAAAACCAAACCAGTCGCTTTGAGTCATACTCGGCATATAGCTCCACTTGTAAAATGTGATACTTTTGAGCATTTTGTACATTGTAATAAAAGAGGCCATCAAGATACTTTAAGAGCTGTACTCTCTCGTTGCGGAGCTGTTTCACGACTTGATCTACCACAATCTTGTCATGATGTTCGACGCACATCCTTAACGCTCGGTCCTCATCAAAACTTATTAACACCACAATTTTGTCTTGCACAGACGAAAAAAGGGAGTGTTTCTGAATAAATTCAAAAACATCGGCCTTTCGGAGCTTGAAATAAATATTGAGGGCCTTGTCATACTGTTGTTCATACATAAATAAATTAGCTAATGCCTCCAACAGGATGGATATCTTTTTCTCACAATCACGAGCTTCCTGGTCTTTTCCATCGAGTCTATTTCTTTCAGCTTCCTGTTCCAAAATACCAATTCTCTCGCTTGTTACCGATGTAATATTTTGAATCTTGTACAAATCTTGAGGCCATTCCTTGATGCACGTAAGGAACTGTTCGGGACCGTTGAGAAGATAATAGTTCAACTTCATCTCATAAATTGCATCTTTCAACCTTGGTTGGCTAATAGGAATATATGGTATAATGACATGGAATTGCTTCAAGTCAATAAATACGTAAATCCATTCTTCCCATAGCTGTTGATCGGTTCCAGAAACATTGGGTACCATTTGAGCAGCCTCCTTATATTGCTTGTTTTCCAACAAATGGCGCAAGTACTTTTTTCCAATGTCAACAATGGAAATGTTTTTAAGTTGACTTTCGTTTTCTTTGGCGTATTTAAGAGCGTCTGGATACTTATTTTTCTGCATGAGCCATTTAACGTGGTCATCGCTGTCTCTTGGTCTTGCAGCAACTATATCTCTTGGAGAAAGAATATAATAAACTTCTTCTTGATCAACGAAATGATGAGATGCAGCATTAGAAGGATTGAATGTTTCTAGCCTGTAATCTGTAGCAAAATAATTTTCAAAATTTTTGATAGAAAGTGCGTCACATGATTTTTCCTCTCCTTTCAAATCCATAATTCGAAGTTCAGGTCTAGGAGCAACCAGCTTCTTTTTTTCATCTTCCTCTTGCTCTTCCTCGTCATAGGCTAAAATTAAAAGACTGTTCTCATTCGAATAGGGCGTTATACCAGAAATGAAGAAGTCCACTTCAAACATGGCCAGTACTTCGACAAATTTTTGGGATTTTTGCTCTTTTGGCAATTTTCGTTCCTTGATGACAATGAGTGTGACGCTTTGGCCCCAACCTATCAGTAATTGAGCTAGAGTTCTCGTATCTTTGCTATCTGACTGTTTAGTATCAATTGCAAATCTATCAGGAAGACACCAATTCAAACAAGCTCTATACATATCTGGCCTTGGTGCAGTAGCTGATCGAGGAATGTAGGTAATTTTCTGATTCGAGACCACATCATATACTTTTACGCCAAGGTCATTGGCCCATGCAATAAAATCACCAAACCATCTCACAGCATGAATTTCTCCTTCCTCTTTGTGAATTACTACTTCCTTATAGGTTCCAAACCATCCCTTTTTCTTCAATGTTAGTTTTCCTGTTTTGCCTCCACAAACAACTGAGTGGTCACTCTTTGATGAATAGAAAGGATCCAAAGCCACTGATTTCATAGGTCTATTGAAGAAAAATTCCATCATATTACCCTCTTGAGTACCTACAGATCCACCTGTTAGGGTTGAAGAAACAGTTGTCAATACGCTATTACCTGTGATGACAGTATTTGCGTCACTGTTTGGATCTAAAATCTTTTTGTGAACTGAGGGATTCTGCATGCTTGCATAGAGAGCCGAATAAATATTATACACAACAACCTTTCCGTCATTGCTACAGCTAGCAATATATTCACCTGTACTATCAATGGATAAATCATTAATTGTTTCGGCATGAGGTCTGAATTTTTGTTGTTGGTTGTTATTTCCTTCAATGTCCAAAAGATACAAATAACCCAAATGTGTGCCCAAAGCGAGAAACTGTTGATAATCATTTCATATAAATTTGCATTGAATTGTTGACAAGATTTTTGAAAATAAATTTTTTCATCAATCGTGATGATCCAATATTGTCGGAGTTGATGAATTCACAATTGATATTAATGATAAATAAAATTAATAAAGAATTATTGTAAACAAGTTCGGTGATGATGCCAATTCGGGAGATCTTACCTTTTCACCGACCACTAGAGCACTGGCATAATTTCCTTCAATGCCGAAAATATCTTTTGGAAGACTCCCACCAAGACGTTGGTATTTCAATTGTGGTTCATATTCCTCTTCATCTTCTTCATCGTCCTCTTCGTCTTCATCCTCTTCGTCCTCGTCATCATCGTCTTCTGTTTCTCCTTCTTCATCCTCTTCGTCCTCATCTTCCGGCACATTGTTCTTGTTATTGATTTTGGAGTTCCTCTTTTCTTCCACTTCATCATCACTCCCACTCGATGTCAAGTCATGATCTAACGATTCATCTTCATCATCGTCATTTGTTGATGATATTGCAGGTTTTTTGTTGGACAACATTTTTTGTTTGATTTTGTTTTGCTTACACGCTTTTTTCAGTACCTTTTACTTGTTGTTTGGAAACATTTATTCTAATCGTAATTCTAATTCATCACAGAGAGAACATCCATTGCTAATGAAATCTTTATTCCAGTTTAATTTAAAAAACGAAACAGTGCATGATGATCATGATAAATATTCCCCTTGGTTCCTCCTAAAACAGCAGCAATTCAAAAAAATCCAAAAATCTCTTTCCAACCATCATCATCACCCACCATAACCACTCGCGTTCATTCCAACCCTCTTCTCCTTTTACAAAGTTTACTTTTGTATGTTTGAGGTTTTTCAGTCAACCAGACCTTAGTCGCGAAAAAAATAGCGTCAAAGCCTTTTGCTGCGTAACCTCAACCGCCGCACAGCGCTCTTAACAATCACAACGTATCTGAAACTCTGCTCTTCATTTTTCACTCAACTATCTCAGTTGAGTCCTCCTTCTCAGTTGTAAATAGTATCACTAGTAGTAGCCGCAACATCAACTCTTTTCGGACTTGTCTTCAACACTCTCGAAAAACCATTATTGCACAACCATGCCTACAACCAGTGAATTAGGAAAACGAAAGAGAAAGAAGAAGGCACTTGATGAAGATTTTGTAGATATTGATGATTCAAGAAATAAGATTGGTGAGGAAGAGGATCCTGAGGAACGTCTAGATGCAGCTGAAGATGATGGTGTCGGAGTGCAGAATACTTCTTCTCGTTCATCCAAATCAAAAACTGTTAGCAGTAAAAAGAAGAAGAAGCAATCTTCCTCTACTTCAACCATTTCTTCATCCTCTTCATCGGAACGATCCCCAGTATCATCTCCGGTGCAACAGTTGTTTCAGCTACACACCTCTTCTTCAAGGATGATACAAAGTAGTCATACCCACAGCAGCAGTGATCATGAAGATGAATTGCTCAACAATAATGAAGAAGAGGAACCCTCCTCGTCTCCAACACCCACGAAACCAAAGCCTGTGTTGGTTTCTCCCACAGCCTCTTTGTTTTTAACTCAAGTTGACCAAGAGAGCAACAACCAAGCAAATGTACCCATAGCGACTGTAGCATCCTCAAAGAGAAGATTCAAAACCAAGTCAACCCTAGCAAGCGTAAGTGCAGCTTCTTCATCGCCCACTACAAGCACTGGTTCGCCATCATCAGACACAGACAAGAAAGGAGGCACTGTTACTAGGAAGACCCTAGTGCTTGTGAATCAACCTTCTTTGTCATCAGCCCCAATATCCACAGGAGCATCTTCATTGAATGCTGGTGCTACCAACAATAATAACAAGATCAATGGAGAGACCTTAATAACCTCTCAAAATGACACGAATAACCTCAATAGAAGCATCAATAGTCAGGCGGTCGTTCCTTCAAGTGATAACAGCCCGTATAATTTGGATGATTGGTCATTCATTACTAATCATAATGGAATATCAGTGGAGTTCAAAAAATCAAGAGATGCAGTCTTTGTTTCTTCCTTTCCAAAGGTGTTGTACACTCTCACTTGGAAGCACAAGTATGATCTCAAAATTGTTTCTGAAGATCCGGTCTTTAGAGGAGTTTCCAATAAGGTCATGATCGCCAATGTACAGGTTGACTTGGTTATGGGACGAGATTTCACACTTCCATCCTATGAGCCAAGCAAAGCAAGCAGGCAAAAATCATCTTCTAATGATGAAGATGAAAATGGCCGAAAGAAAAAGTCTCACAAAAAGCCTAGCGATGTTGAGACCATCACTCTCACTTCCGCTTCTAAGGAAAATGACAATTGTATAATACTAAGGTTTGGTATTAATAGGACATATTGCTCTAAAAGGTTCAACTATGCGCCATTTAGATTGAAAATCGACTATACAGGTACCACGCCCTTCACGCTATACTCCCCTATTTTCCATTCATTTGCTAAAAAGTTGAATGAATCTACAGTGAAAAATGTGAATGAAATTCTCAAAAGAATAGACGATTCCTTAGTTCTACCACTACAGAACGCTGAAGACGTTTCAACTCCTTTCCAGTCTGTGTTTTGTGATACAATACCAAATGCCAGTCCTGCTCCGTCGTCAGCAGTTGTACCCAACCAAGTCATATTTGTGGTACAAAATGGATCCTCCACGACAAGCAATAATTCGAATGGTGCCAACCCAAGTGACACAAACAAGATTCATGAAGATGCTAGTCTTTTATTGTCACTGGGAGCCATGTTCAAGTAGCTCAACTTAAGCCCAGATTCAGTAAATTGTATTTGATCAGAGCTTTTGTTGTGACATAAACGTAAAAATTTACTTTCTTCGCTTGAAAAATCGAACTTGACCTTTTGAATTTCTGTTTGGCATGGCATTGCGTTGTTCTAGAGCCTTAATCATACCCTTTCTTTGGATGGAATTGAGGACAGACTGAGCTCCGTGTCTCTTCATGAGACCTTTGACCTTATTATGTTGTTGCTTCTTCTTCATTTCATTTCTAATCTTCTTGAGTTGTGCCTCGCTCTTTACTTCCTCCTTGCCCGCCTTTCCTTCCTTCACTAACTTTCTCTTCTTATTCTTGTCCTTCTTCTCTTCCCATGGAGCCTTCTTTCTCTTCTTATTATTTGTGAGAGTAACTTCACCATCGTCACCTCCCTCATAATCATTATGGGAGCCGTCATTGTAATATTCTTCATCGTCATTCTGTCTGCCTCTCTTTCCAGAAACAAAATCTTGCTTTTCTTCCATCTCACCCACTTGTTGAATTCGACCATGAGTTCTCTTTCTCCATTTGGCATAGGCATCTGTCGTTTTGAGATCGTCCTTCCTCTTATTGTCATCTCGTCTCACTTTACCATCCACACCCATCACTCCCACAACATATTTACCCTTCTTTCGATCCCATATCATTCCTTGTTTCTTTCGTTGTTGCTTATTCAATTCATCTCTCGTTTCACCTCCAATATCCATCACTGCATCATTAATAGCCACTTGTGTAATTTCATTGAATTCACTCGAGACGACACTTGTGAGTGGTTTCTTCTTCTTATTAGAGGAACCATTCAGAGAGTAGTGATGATCTTGTGTGGAATCAGTAGTATTGTTAGTTTCATCTTTTCCATAATCCATGAAAAAGTTAGGATCTCTAAACTCCTTCTTCTTTGCTTTGGTTGTGGGTGTGATTGAGGATAATTTCACAAATCGTTCTTGTTTGGAAGTGTCGCTTAATAATTTTTCTGCGAGTGTTTTTGGTGTCTTTGGAGCAGACGATTCGAGAGTATGGAATGATGAAGCATGGTCACCATTCTCATGATCTTGATGCTCAACATCTTCAACTCCAGAAACGATAGCATAATCTCGAACTTGTTTTAACACTTGAGCTTGCTTGAGGAATTGTCTTCGTTTTCTCATCACTTCAGCTTCTGCACTTTTTTCCTTTTCCTTGAATTCGAATATGGTTTGACCAGGTCTGTACATTTTCATTTGTGTTAAAATGTCTTGTTGCTCTTCCTCTTCATCGGTAATGACTTCAAAGATTTTGATCATGGGATGAATAGAAACGTTGAGGTACTCTTTGGCTCGTGCGATAGAGGCTCCACTAGGTTCACCTCTTGTTCGATTGTAGAGTTGTATGGCTCGTGTGCAGACCTCTCCTTCTGTTTTCAGTGCTTGATCAATACTCTCAAACTTGGTAATTTGTTCAATTTCACGATCAATGATAGCTTGTGGAACAGTTCCAAAATATCCATCGATATATTCTCTCCAGTTTCTACCAGTTAAATCTGCTGGCACGAATCTGGTTTCATCATCTTCATAAATAGTTTCCAGAACAACATTCTTTGATTTTCTACCCAAGAAAAGCTCCAAATCTAGGAAGAAGGGAATTTCATCTGGTGCTACCAGGGAATAAGCGGTACCAATCTTACCAGCACGACCCACACGTCCAACTCTGTGAACAAATAATTTAGGTTTTCCAGGAAAGTTAAAATTAATGACATTATTCACTTCAGGAATATCGATACCACGAGCAGCAACGTCTGTGACGAGCAAAATATTAACTTCTCCATTTCTAAATTTTTCTAAATTTTCAGTACGAGCTTGTTGATCCATACTACCATAAACAACTGTTGCATCAATTTTGTAATGTGAAAATAATGTTAATAAATATTCTGCATGATGACGAGTTGGAATGAAAATAATTGTTGATTCTCTATTGCTAATAATATTGTTCAATAAATAAATAAGAGCTGCATACTTCTCGTTGGATCTCATGAAAATGCTACTCAATCGGATCGTGTCACTCACTTTAATGTCAGAATCTAATCGAATCAATTCAGGTTGATTGAGGCCTGCTTTAGAAAATTCAGCAACAGCTGTTGGTAAAGTCGCAGAGAAGAGTAGAGTTTGTCTTGTTTGCGGTAATTTGTCAATAATTTGATATAATTGCTCAGAGAGTCCCATTTCAAATAAACGATCTGCTTCATCAAATACCACATATTCCACTCTCTTTAATGAGAGACCAGTTTCTACCATGATGTGCAACAAACGTCCAGGTGTTGCAATAATTCTATACAATTCATTAAACGCAATCATTGATTAAATTAATTATCATCATTATTGAATCATCAACCTACATATCAGGATTTGCACTCAATCTCTCAAATTGTCCCTCAATGGATTTACCACCAAACAACATACAAGTCTTCAAATCCGAAACTTTACCAATGAAATCATAAATCACCTTATTCACCTGCAAAACCAATTCACGTGTCGGAACAATAATCAAGGCTCTTGCACCCACCGTGGATGAATGTTTATAATCCAACCGTTCAAACAATGGAAATAAGTAAGAGGCTGTTTTACCTGAACCTGTCCGAGCCATAGCAATAACATCACGTCCTTGCAAAATCACTGGCACGGATGCATGTTGAATCGGAGTGGGATTATAGAAACCACATCTTTTAATTTGTTTGAGTAAGAGTTGAGAAAGTCCAAACTTGGAAAATGGGCTCTCCTTCTTCTTTTTCCGTTCTTCTTCTTTCCGTCTGAAGGCTTGCTCTTCCTGTTGCATATCATACGTGTTGGATTTGAGCCGGTTGAGAAAATTGTCGTATCCTTCCATGGTTTGTAAAATATTGTGTTGATTTTGGTTGATTTAATATCGGAGGTACAATGTTTTATGATGAATTATTGATAATGTTTTCAAAATTGTTGTTGATGAAGAAATTGAGAGGAGGTGAAAATGAGACCAGCACACACGAAGAAATTTCACCCTTTTTTTTGAACTTGAAAAAATTCCAAAAGCAACAATAGTCAAAGGACAAGAACGAGAATTGATAGCAATTGAAAGAATGACAAGGAATTTGATGTGCTTGAAATTTTCACCTTGAACGTTTCAAACAATGATCGTTGAGATTGCAAGTTCTTTACAAAAAAATGCTTGGTAGAGATTTCAATCAGCATTCGTCGAATTTACACTTTTCACAGATTCGTGGATGGTCATCATCATTGAATCGATCGAGGCTATTACTAGTGGTGTGTGCTGGTCTCATTTTCATTGCTTTTACCTTGATCATGATTCAACTTGCGTTTAAACATAAACGTCAGTTGTCATCTTCGATCGGAACGCTTCAAGATTCATTACGAGAAGAAGAAACAAAAACAACAACCTCTTCTTCCTCTACTAAATCAGCAAGTTCAGAACGTATTAAATCAGAAATTCATATCAAACAAACAAGAGAATTTTCAAGTCGAGAAATTTTACATTCTCAACAACAAGCCACAAAACGTTCAAATTTCGTGTGGTCGAGATATGTACCACCTAAAATTCCAAATTCATTTTCAAAATTTGAAACACCACTGATACGACATGACATGGTTGATTCAAGTGTTAAGAATGATTTTTTCAAAAAAAGCAAAAGTGTGAATAGTGGAACATCAAAATCTTCAACAAGCATTGGAGGAGCTCAATTATTCAAAAGTGATTTTAAATGTATACGTTTAAGACCAGATTCAGATTTTGCAAGAGATCCACAATTCTTGTATTCATCGTGTCGATTTGAAAATGTGTGTATGAGTCGAAAGGGAAATTGGTTTCTCTTCAAGAATGTCTTTAATCGAGATGAATTGAATGGAAAAATTTGGTTGAGTACAAGTGCAACAAAGAAACATGAATTTAATCCTGCCAAGATGAGAATGTTTTTGAAGAGTCCTCCTAAGGAATGGATCATTTCACAACAACCCACGGTCGATGAGCAGCAAGAGCCACAGGATTTGGAGAAGAAAGATACGGATGAAAACTCCAATACGGATCAAATTCTTAAAATTTCCAAAGATTTCAAATGGTTTTCCACACCAGTATTTGGATTTTCTAGACATTCTTCAGGAAATGCAGGTCACTTAATTTTAGATAATTATTTAACACTTTTTAACCTGATGCTCGATTTTGAGTATGTCAACACCAATATGGGAATTTTATTTTTCGATGATATTTTCAATGAAGAGACTGGCATTCACGCACGAGCGAATATGGATGGAAATTTAGCAGAAAGTAATTCCTTAATTTGGGCAAAATATTTTTCTCGGTACACTCCACTTCAACTCTGTAAGGATCGTGTTGAGGGATATTCCATTGGACAAGCTCCATGTCGACAAGAAGTATCGTCGTCGTCCATGCGTCCAAATGCACAACAACAACCAGGCAACACTGTGAAATCGTTATCACGACAAGGACAAGAGCTCGCACAAAATGATGAAATGGTCGCTTGCTTTTCCAGTCTCGTCATGGGCACTCCAGATTCCTATCTCTTTGACCTGTATCGGAGAGAGGCCATTTTACCACTTTTCAGAAATTACTTGTTGAATAATATTGGACTCTTACGACCTTTGAATGATTTGAGAGGAGAACGATCGTCTCTTTCTCTTCATTAACCTCTGTCTTTAAAAAGAAACAAGACAAGGTATTTACCATTGCCATTCACAACAAACCTTTTAACACAAAAAACAAAGATGCCATTGTGAATGTGAATGAAATTGTGGAATACTTTTCCAGAAATAAGAAGACGCTCTTGGATCGAATCAATCACAAATATTCTCAATCTGAATCACAAGATTGGTATACTTCCATTGAAATTGTGAATTTGAAATTGGAGAGCATGTCGTTTAAGGAAATGTTTCACTTCTTCCGAGATCTCAATGTATACGTTTCAACACAAGGATCAGCTTCTTACATGTCTCTTTTCATGTTACATCCAGAAGCTACTTTGGTATATACTCCCATGTGTTATCGAAAAGATTTACAATGTTCAGATTATAACATTCGATTTCATGAAGCATTGAGCAATGTGAGAACAATTTCACTCATTCAACATTTGGATATGATTGAATGTGTTGATCCTTCTCATGTTTCAAATCAGAATGATGAGGAAATCTCTAGCACGAACCAATCATTGGAGGATGAAATTGTACAAGGTAACAAAGAGAGTCATCGAAAGGAAAAATCGAAGCAAACAGTAGAGGTCAGAGGTCTTGCTGTAAAGCAAGCTCCTGTCACACGTGCTTATTACGGAACTTGTCATGAAAGAATTGATCCAGTCAAGCTTTTTCAATTGATTTCACAAATTGTTTCAGAGGATTGAATGCAACAACAAGAATGAAAGATGCATGTTCTAAAATTGGCATTTATTTGAATTTCCACATTTCCAACACTATCTCTTCCAAATACAATGTTGTATGCGATTGTAATGACCGATCATGACAGGAGTAAAAGATAGAGAAAGGCTTGTAACGCATTATTGGAGGAGTATTGTGTTGATGTTGGAATGAGCTCATTTGGTCGCTGAGTGTTCGATAACTGCTGCTCTCTCTGCGTCCGTTCACGATTCAAAAACCCCCCACCACAAATTGTGCGTGAGTATGATTCATTCTTTGGATTCAAAATAAGAAGAAAAAAAACAACCCGAGAAGAGTTGTTACATTGAAAAAACCTTGCATATTCATTGGGTACATCAACGACTTGTTGAACAACAACAACCATCGTGGAGCCATATTGCATCCCATTCAGAATAGATATTCTTGTTCCGAAGAGAGGGTTTTGTATTTATTTCTCTCTGTATTGATTGCCTCGTTCTGTGTTTTGCTTCGGATTGGATACAGCACTTCTCCCATCATCAAGAACTCATAGCAATCAATTGAGCAACGTTGCTCTCTATCAATACAAACAGAGCATCAACACTCCTTGTCTTCATAGACAAAAGCAAAGCAACCATCATCAACACACCACGCACTCTCCAAATATGGTTCAACATTTTCTCTTCATCAACTTTTCAAAAGGTTTGTGCTGTAAGAATTTAGGACGCTCCATTGATCCCAACTCGTACCAAGGCATGCACATGAGTGATGTTATGGAGCTGATAGAAGAAGGTGGAGATTGGCGAGGGGATCGTCTTGCCATCGTCGGAGAGTATGCCGATGATGATATCGCCAATAAATTGGTAATACCCGGACTCGTGCATAGTTTTAAATCGGGTAAGAGAAGACAATTACAACAACAGCAACAGCAACAAGCCAATCAAACCACCACTACAACAACGATCAAAACTACAACATCAAACACTCCCTCTGTTTCTTCCCAAATTCAATCGTCTTCGGAACAATCCATTGAAGAAGAGGCTAAACAATTTGAAGCCGAGTTAAAGAAATTACTCAAAGAAGATGGATCGCCGTTCGAGTTTCTCACAAAACGAATGAAGGGAATTAAGATTCATTCTCCTGCCATCTATTTTGATGAGGGTAAATATATTGTCAACCATACCAAGAAACAATACGTTTCAAAGGCAAAATTTAGAGCTCCCTTGTCTGCTGCTCTCAATGCCATGATTTCGTGTATTCAAGATAAGGTTGGAAAATGGTCAGGAGATTCTATTAGTGTTGTGACTGATATTGAACCTTACAAACTGTATGGTGATGTTACTGATCTAGCTGAGAGGACCTATATTCAATTATCAAAGGAAAATCATAACAATGCAGAAGATCACGATTTTTAATCTAACATTGTTCAGACGAGTGGTTTACTAGCAAGTGTTTTGTAGCATTGTCAACAACTGCACACACTCAAAGAACGTTTTGGTTAATATCAAAAACAATCATGACAGCAGCAACATCGAATCTCATTGGTGTGGCAGCAAGTAGCCACCAAGATTCATGCAATTTAAAGTTCTCTCACGCACACACGCTCGAATGCATCTGTACAAACACAATGTGAATAACAATACAGTACACAATATTTATTGTGGATTTCCATCTCAAAAACCAGAATCACACTCTGCTGAGAGAAGAATATTCTGCAACAACAATAGACAAGTCATCGACACCCAACATGAGCGCGTGATTGTTCTTCCTCGTGCGAAATAGATGCGACAGAAATTTCCAACACAAGACAAACATCCTTATTTTCTGCGAGTCGTCCTTACACACAACCGAGGAGTTTGCAACAAACGATGCAACTCCCAAAAATACCCAAAAAATCAAAACCACCGCATTGTTGTTGTTTGAGGTTTTGCTTCACACACATCACGAGAACATCTTCAGTTGTTGTCCAACATTTCCATCACTGCAAATCATCGTCCGGACCAACCACAAGTTTCACCAATCATAATGAGTAGTACATCAAGTAGTAGTAGAGGACGTGTAATTATTGGAGCCTTTGTTCATGCTCTTACTTCAACGAAAAGCCTCAACTACTGTCCGAAAGGAGCCATTATAGTTTCCAAGGATGGCATGATTGAGAAGGTAATTCCATCCCTACAATCTTTGCAGACTTCTTCTTCCTCTCATTCCTCTTCTTTAACTAATTTATTAACGTCCTATGAACATTATGAACATTTGACTCTCAAGCCTTCTCAATTACTCATTCCGGGATTCATTGATACTCATGCACATGCTCCTCAGTACTTTAATTCCGGTCTCGGATTGGATATGCCTCTTCTAGAGTGGTTGCATACCTATACCTTTCCAGTAGAATCTCGTTTCAATGATGCAGAAATTGCAAATAGAGTGTACCGAGCGTGTGTTAGGAGGTCGTTACAGAGTGGAACCACAACGAGTGTTTATTTTGCTACGATTCATAATGAAGCGAGTTTGAAATTGGCTGAAATTACTGAAGAGTTGGGACAACGAGCGTGTAAGTTGATGATGATGACGCATTTCTCTTGCGACGGTGCAAATTCTGCTAACAATAACATGTCCGTACTAATTTTGAAATGTTTGGGATGACTATTTTGAAAAAATTGAGATAGACATTGGCAAGGTAAATATGGATCGATTTGCACCTGAATATTATTGTGAGGAAACATCCAAAGGCATAAAAGATGCTAGGAAGTTTGTGGTTGACATGATGTCCAAGAATTTTAAACTAGCCAAACCAATCCTCACTCCAAGGGTATGTTATGAATTGTTGTAAATGTACGAAAGGAATTTTTATTGAACATTAATTTTCGGCATTTGGCACGATGCATCTCTCTATTTGTTGAACATTTGCGAAATAACCAGTTTGCAGTGTCATGCACTGAAGAATTAATGAAGGGTTTGGCTGATATTGCAGAGGAATTCGATTTACCTATTCAATCTCACATTTCTGAAAATGTCAACGAAGTGAAATTGGTTAAAGAATTATTCAAAAATCAATCAAGTTATGCTGGTGTATACGATGAAGTGAAACTTTTGAACCATAGGACCATTTTAGCTCATGGAGTTTATTTAACCGATGAAGAAATTAATTTGTTGAAAGAAAAGAAAGCTACGATTGCACATTGCCCTCTAAGCAATTTTTCCATTAATAGCGGTGTGTTGAATGTGCGAAAATTATTGAACAGAGGCGTGAAAGTTTCTTTGGGAACAGACTATTCCGGAGGCTATTCTGTCTCAATGTTGAACGCCATTCGAAATACGCTTATTGCAAGTGTGTCTGTCACTACAGATCATATACGAAATGGTAAAGAGTCGACAGACGATGACAAGTGCCTAAGTCTCGATGAAGCATTTTACTTGGCGACCATTGGAGGAGCCACTGCTCTTAATATTGAAAACAAGGTGGGAAATTTCGAAGAAGGAAAATTGTTTGATGCTCTTGTGGTGGATGTTGAAGTGGCTGACTCCATGGTAGATAGTTTTAGCGATATTTATCCAAAAATTTTCCCAGCAGAACCCTCACTCGCTCAAAGTCAAGACACTCTTACAGAGAAGAGGCTTAAGGAAAATTTTTCTCGGTTTATCTACAACGGTGACGACAGAAATATTGTTAAGATATTTGTACAGGGCAATGAAGTGAGTGGAAATTTAAGAGTGTAACTGTATCAAGGATTGAAATTGTGTAAAATGAAAATTATGTCCAACATCAACGTGTTGTTTTGTTTACTTGTTACTGCTCGTAGGTTGTGACGTGCTCCTCGACGAAGAGCTACCTAGTTCAGTTTTAGTCCAATCATACTCTGAGAATGCTTGCATCAATGTAAATGCTTGTTTTCGTTCTTCCTCATATCGAGGAGGTCTAAGTTTTGCCTCGTTTGGAGTCCTTTTCAGCATGCCACAAATTACTTCCTTTCCAAATGTAAACGAAAAATCATCACTAGCAATTGGGTGCGCAAACCCTCCATTCACTTGAAATTCTACATGGAAATATGCAAAATCTTTCGGTATTGATCTGTGGATGCCTTTTCCTTTAGTATCAATGAGTTGCTTATTCTCTGACCACTCGCTTGCACTTTGATTATATGCTGTATTACCAACATCTAGAATTGCATTCTTAAAATATGAAGGAGCAAGCTCCACTTGAGCTGGCGACAAAGGTATGCATTCAATAAATGCATGCTTTTCATGCTTTAACGAATATGGGGTCACAGTTTCCAGAAAGAGACAGTCTTTTCCTTGATTCATAAACATTTTCTTGAGAGATACCTTAAATTTCATAATTTCCTCATAGACATCTTCATCGGTCTCTCGAATGGATACTGTGTGCAAAATCGGTACAATACAGCAATGTCCTTCAGTGAGACATCCAAAAGGTGACAACGTTAAATACGCCTTATTTCCTGTAGCAATGACTAGATGATTCTTGAATTTCTTATTTTCAAAACAGAATAGACATGTTTCAGCATGATTTTTCTTTTGGAATTCGTGCATTTTGTGCTTCTTCAAGAATGCTTGTTGTTTTTCTTCTAGTGTTTGTTGACGTTTCTTCTTTTTGGATCTTCTATCGTCTCCAATCTCAAACGATTCAGTTCCTGTATTATTTACAAATTGATCGTAGTATTGATCATCGTATTCGGAGGCATTTCTTGAGGAAGATCTATATTGTGTATCTTTCAAAATATTATTGGCAAGACCTTTATCAAAATCTTGCACAGAGTGCTCTTTAGCTTCCATGTATAGCTCCTTCAAGGACTGATCAGTTTGATGTCCAATATATTTTCTTCCTTGAGCTCCTCCATCGATCCTCTTTCCAGATGAATAAAACAATGGTAACTGGGCAGCTGAGCCATGTTTCTTGTATATTTCTCTACATTTCTTAATTTCTGTTAGTTGATCGCTTAATTCTTTGTACAATTTTTTGTCTCCTCTAGAATCAGCATCGAGTGCTTTTTGAGCAAGAGTATTTAACTCGTCTTGTGACATGGTTGCATATCTCATAAATGTTTCTTCTTGAGGAGTTCCAAATCTTGATGTGTTCAAATTCTCTCTTCTAGCAGATTCACTTGTCTTGTACTTGTCATAAATACGAGTATTCACAGGTTGATCAATTTCAGGTTTTTTCATGCTCTTATCAAGTCCAAAATGTTTGTTTCTTTGAGCATTTCTTTCCAACTTTTCCAAAGTCTCTCTATCATAGCTTGATGAAATTGTTTTTGATGCCTCGCCCCAGTGTTCTTGCAGAACAGCGTCCACAGAAACTCCCGATTCTCTTGCTCTTTCCTCAGCTCGTTTCAAAGCTCTTGCTCTCCACGACAGAGAGGAAACATTATCAGAATCATGGGATGTTCTAGCGTTAGGATTTAAATTAGGGTTTAATTCTAAATTTTGAATATTTCTTCTTGGATCCGAGGGTTTGTTACTATTTTCCTCTTCATTCCGAGATGAAGATCCACCAAATAACGGTTTTGTGGAGTCTTTTGGAGGGGCTAACATCCAATCTTCTCTTTTTAATTCATTGGTAGCATTTGGATATTCATCTTCACCTTCAAACTTTCTCTTTTTACTATTTGAAGCATCATGGGATTGATGATGATTACTTGTTCGGTCTTCTTCCGGTAAAGATGATGCAGCAGCTGTTGTGATCGGACGACTTCTCACTTTAATCCCTCGAAGCATTTTTTTCAAAGTGGAAGGCACTTTTTTGTTGTTGAACGTGTTGCCATGAAACAACCATTATGATCAAAATGTGTCGTCCTATCCTTGCAAATGGACATTCAGTTCAGTAATGGGTTGATCCGATTGGATCCTTCTCTCTCATGCTTGTTTCAAACTGTGCAGCTTTGTACAATACAAAACCTTTCCACACACAAAATCAATGACGAGCAGTCACTTCATTTCGTGCATCTCTATCTTTGTGATTTTCATGTGAATGTCATTTAAATAGTTGTATGAAATTGTAACTATTAATTCTCGTTAGAGGACTCTCATTTCATCCACATGAATTTTCTCTTTTTTGTTTCTAAATTTTTCTCTTGACTTGTATAATTTCCAAGCTAAGAAAATAAATAGGGCATCATGTGTACATGTTTGGGAAAGTCACATTTCACATTGTAACGTTTGGAGCGAGCAAATCGAGCCCTTCCAAGAGATTCAACCACATTTACTATCCTGCGAAATAACACTCAAAAACATTACCTCGACAACAACTAACTGCACTTCTCACCGATCTCAGTGTCTTACTTGCCCCGAAGATTGCTGTGTCAGCTCATCATTTCACACGGAATCGTAGACCCACACTCAGCACTGCCAACAACATGACCATCACTGAAGCCACACCAACACAACAATCATCATACACAACACAAATGACACAACCCAAGGAATCAGAAGCAGAAAAACAAGAAGAGGCTGATTGTTTGGATACATGCATGGCGTCTCCTATCTCGTGTTTGTGGATTCACGACCTCGGAGATAAGCTTCATCCTGTAGTATCAGTAATTCTCTATACACTTCTTTGTCCTGTCACAATGCCATGCTTGTGTACAGTAGGAGCTCTTGTGCTTTGCAAGACATGTGTATCACTTGAGGATGACGAGTTTGAGAATAGAGAGTCGGATGAAGGAACCAAGAAAGGAGAACAACGAACAAAATCGCCTCAACCATAATAACACTCGAAATCCATCTAATTCAATAAGTAAAATACTAAATTTCAGAATTAATTGTCTAAATGTATGGATTTGTGACCGGAATAGGATCGAAAATACAACTTGTGAAACCACACGATACAATTAAATTATTGAGAATGGTCACTCACTTGAAATTGTTGAGCATGTTAAATTCTGGATTCTGTATGTTCTGTACTGCTTGTGAGAGTTGTTTCAACATTCAGAGAACTTGTTGTAGTTTTTCTCATGGACGGAGAGCTCAGTTTTTCTGGGTTGAATTCACCATTTTCAACAGATTGTACAAGAATGCTTCTAGCTGTGGCTCCCAATGCATCTACCAATGAGTCAGTGAACAGAGCTTTTAGAGCACTTGATTCTTGGTGTCTGTATTCCTTGTAGTGAGAAAAAAGTTTCATCATCATTTCCTTAATAGGTTTAAGTTCAGGTTGGAAATCATGTCGGCATGGAAGGCAATGGTCATATCTTTTGTGTTCCATATCTAACAAAAAAGCTTCCCAATTATAAAACCCATTGACTTTTCGATAATAAGAAAAGTTCGAAAGCCAGTTCGATGTGTCTCGTCTGAATAAGCAAAAATATATAAGCATTGCCACTGAGTAGTAATCACATCCAAAATGTAATTTCTTTTGAAAAAAAACGTAAGGGGCAATAAATGGAATAATTTCTTGCATTTTCACTAATGTTTCCCTGTCAGAGGTTCCAGCAACCTTGCTCAAACCCTCTTCTGTGAAAATGTTGTACAACATCACATATCTAAACGAGCTGCAGGAGTTTTGATATTTGTCTAACACGTCGAAAGATGATTGTAAATCTACTGGGCATTGAGTTTGACCTCTTTCATTGGTACAGTCAATAGACCAGTCCAGTCCACACAACTTGACACAATATTTGACCGAGAAATGTTTACGAACAAGCTCTGTTGAAATTAATTCTGTATCATCGCTTTGAATGAGCACAGTAAACGGATTAAGGTTCAAATGAGCTATACTTCTCGAATGAAGAAAACAAACTCCCTTAATGATTTGGAGTAGTACAAGCATAATGTGATAAATCTGAACTCGATCTCTACCAATGAACCTCTTATCTATAATGTCTAAAAAGTTGATTAAACTGTACTCAATATTTTCTAAAATTACAGATCTACTATCAATGGCAGCGTAATACTTGGCCAAAAATTTGGACTTTCCATTGATGTCCTTGTATCGAACATCCATCGGTGTTGTAATGTATTTCGATGAATATTGATCAGGAAAGATGTTATTAGTTTTCATGAGGAGAATCAACTGAGGTTTCGATTTGTGGGCAATGTTTTCATAATCATTAAATGGGTCCTCTATAAGGGATGTTTTTTCAAACTTATTTTCTAGAACGTTGTTGAACCATCGGCACTCTTTCATGGATTTAAGTACATTGAGTAGCTTCTTAGAATATGTAAGAACATTATACGCTCTAGTGTCGTAATCTTCGCTAAGTACCAGGAGGACGGGCATGTATTTGCTTGGAAAATCTTTCAAGTTCATTGTAATGAAAAAGTCTTTCTGAGAATCCACAGGATTGGGTAGTACAAAAACAAGCTCATGTGCTTGTCTTTGGCGAGGAGAGTTAACATCATATTTTACAATGCTCTTAATTTTTGTGTCAAATAGAGACACTATTAGACGATTCATCATTGTTCGCACTGTTCGAATTGTTATTTGTCGTTCTGAGAAATCAAGAGCAGGATTGACTCTGATAAAAAATTGGTCGTTTTTGGATTTCTTGAAAGCAAATGTTAAAGAACTGGTGTCACAAGCCCAACAAACCTACCAAGTTTTTCCAAATCATCAAATTATATACGTCCACATAAATGTTAATGTTTTGAGCAATTAATTTGGTTAACAACTCAATGAACAGGTATAAAATTAAGTCAATTCTCTCTTCAGCAAATTTCTTACTTGCACCAATTATTTCCAATAATTTTCCAAACTTGCTCAAATTAAAAACTGAATAATGATTCATTTCTGGGAATGGAGTAATAAGGTATAGATAGTTCATAGTAGAAGGTAGTACAAGCTTCCAATCAGTAAAAATTGCATTGATTTTGAGAACATTGTCCATTTCCTTTTGTGTCTTTTTGTAGACATATTTTGTGCTTCTTGTACTCTTTTCTAGGTATTTGTTAATTTCGTCTACCTTTCTGAATAACTGAATGCTGATAAGGGCTTTTCGTTTCTTTTCTTTTTCGCTTTCCTTGTCAGCTTGAATATCTTTTATATTGCTTCCGAATATCTCACTATCATCTGTATCAAGAGTTGCCAACAAATTTTCCACGTTCATGCCTTCGAATTGTGCTGGTGATCTCATTGAAGGAAGCGAAGAGAAGGATTCCCCTGCTTGCATATTTACGCCATAAAATCTAGTTTTGGTTCTTGGAGAGTCATCGTTACTACCAAAATCATAGCTCTGAAGATCTTCATCAATCTCTTCTTCACCTCCTCCAAAAAACAAATCTTCATTGTTGAACATGAGAGCCGGTCTAACAGATCCTCGGGGTGTTGTTGGCTGGGGCGTCTCATTGCCCAATGTTCCAGGTACCACGGGCATTGATGGTGTTGAAGTGAAATCAGAATGAGGTGATGTGTTGGATCGAATGACTATGTCGTCTTCCTTTGCAGACTTTCCTTGCATGATGTTTGATTCTAATGTTTTACCACTATTTACAGGTGTTGCTTTCTTTGTGTGGCTGTCTTGAACACTCTTTTTGCTGCCTGTCCTCTTTGGCGGCGTGCTGAATGATGAAGAGGAAAGATTAAATGATGAAATGCTTTGGTTCGGTAGCAACTTGATATATTTCTCTACAATATCCTTTTCATTAATTTCCATGTTGATTGTGTAAGGCTTATTCAATATGGTGATTTCCTTAGAATCAGCAGCAATACCAGATACTGTAATCAACGACATCAGGTCTTGCCTGTTTGGCAATACTGGTGGTTGAGGAAAATCCTTGTGATACTCCGATTCCTCTCTGTCCCCTCCAAAACAACATAGTTTGGACAGCACCCCCGAAGATGAATTACGAGAATGATGGCCATGATCAAGTCCCCACCGTACCAGAATTTCCTCATACGTTGGAACTCCTTTCTTTTGATCTGCTACTGCTTTTGTGGTCTTCAAAGAACTACTAGACAATGAAGGAACAATTTCTTCAATCCTTACATTTCTACTATTCCCGAGAGAGCCCTCAATATGCGTTTCTGGAATCATATTTCGGAAGAGAAGCAACAAGGATCATCAATAATTGAGGCTCTAATCTTGATATTTTTTTTTAAAAAGCTGACTCTAGGTTTTTGGGATCCTTGCTTGCATCATGCCACTAAATCGCTGTACAGTAACCAAAGTGAAGCGTTCCTCTTCTTGAATTTCGGTCCTAGAGTATAATATTATAAAATCCATATAAATCTCTCTCGTGATGAAACACTGATTCCATTTTGATTTTTTCAGTCTACAAACAAATTATCTCATCACGATTGAAATCTAGAAAATGTCAACACTCCCTATAAAATGGTGTTGGTTGTTAATAAGTTGAAATATTCTAAGCCTCGGAAATGAATCAATGACAAGATTTGGTTAAATTCATCTTCATAAATAACATTTAACGGGTATGATGCCTGGACACATTTTTTGTTGACAATTTAACAAATTATTTACAACGTGATGACGTTTTATTTTCACCATGCGCTGTTCAATTAGTTTCAAACAGCAACACTTGTTACAATTGTTCGCATTTTCGAATCCATCCATTCACTCGTCTCAATAAATTACAGTCATAAACAAATCGATCCAAGAATTGTTCTTGATTTCTTGGATCTGTCCATACAAATTCTAAGGAGCCATCTCTACATGTAACGGTCATTCGTAGTTGGTGGTGTTCATGTTTGGCTCTCAATTCAAGATAATGATTTCCCGACTCGTCTTCATGCATCTGACAAGAGGTAAACAATAAGAGTGGATACAGGTGGTCATAACCAACGTCAACGCCTCTACTCCTTAAAATACGAAGTTCTTTCATGATTAAATACAGAAATTGGAATTGAGAAGACATGATGGAAACAATGATTGGTAAATATCGTGTGTAGTTGAACCTCTTAATAATGGTCACAATATGAACCTCAATCAGTTTGAATAAATTCGCTTCAATTTCATCCATAGTGTTCGAGGATATTGAACTGGAGCATGGTACAATCTTTACATTCACAATGGACTTGTCTTGTGGGTTAAATTTGATATCTACGGTTAAAGGTTTTTGGTATTCTGCATAGTCAGAAAACTTGGGAAATTCAAAGACTAAATTGTGATGCTTTCGATTTACAGTGAATGGCACAAGCTTGTTTTTCACCAGGCTCAATAAATTTGGATTGGAAATGAGCAAGTCTTGTGCAGAGAGTGAGAGACGTTCAGATTTGGGTCGTCTGCGAGTGGTGGTAGTGGGAGCAGTTGAGGTGGAGTTTGGAACATTGGTCACTTGCTGAGGTTGAGGGTTGTTACTTGGTACTGCAGCAATGTTAGAGGATTGGGATATTGGTTTTGAGGTAGGTTGTGGCTGAGATTGTGGTTGTTGTGGTTGTTGAGGCTGAGGTTGTGGCTGAGCTGCTTTCTTCTTTGCATTCTTCCTATTTTCAATTTCACTTTGTAAATTGGAAATTAAATATTCATAATGTCTTGTGTACTTTTCAAGCACCTGAAGTTGTTCATCCACTCCATAGATTTCATCAATGAGCAATTGACGTCTCACGTTTTCGCCTTCTGATTTGAGTTTGAACTTTTCTACATTGGCACCATTCTTTGCGCTCTGAAGAGAAATTCGAACATTGTTTGGAATGTCTAAATTCTTTGTTTTAGACATGGCCGAGTGTACAACCACAGGTTCATGATAGGTTAGATACGTTTCCTTCTCTGTAATATCTTTTTCAGTTCTTTCAATCTTTTTCTTTGTGGTTTCAATCATTCGATCCAAAGTATCATTACGAACGACAATCTTTCGGTATTCACTCAAGAGCTCTTCACTTGGCATCGAATCTACGTCTTGAAATCTTGATGCATTTCTTGCATTCTGTGGAGGAGCAATAGATTTTCGATCCGTAATGGTGGTGAGGAATCGAATGGACATGTGTGACCAAAAGTCAGCAATGGAATATTTAGTCATTTTACCAAGAGAGGACGCCACACTACTCAAAAGAACACTGTTATTCATGCTGCTTGTAGCATTGGAGCTCGTTGGTTGTTCACTCGTGCTTCCTCCAACAGCAGTGGTACTAGTAGCAACCGAAGACTTTAAATCTTGATTCAATTCTCCAGTAATATTCTGAGCAGTGATGTTTCGAGTGGTGTCTTCATCGAGTGGTGGTACCTCATCTACGTGATCAAACAAGGTGGTCATGCTCATGTCATGCACACTTGTATTGAGTAAAGATTTAGAATTGAGGTTTGAGAAGATGGAGGCAAAATCAGTAACTTTCATCTGGGACGAGTTGAAGTTTCCAAATGACATTATGGATGAAGGATTCAGAGAAGAAGAAGGAACCAATGAAGAGGAGGCCATTGCTGCTTGATTCAGTGTTGATCCTTGTTGAGGGTGTTGTTGTTGTTCTTGTACATGACTTGGTTGAAGAGAAGTTGCAGCACTAGCAACCACACCATTCAAGGCTAGTGGCTGTTCTTGTTGTTCCTGATCTAGTTGTTGTTGTTGTTGCTGCTGCTGTTGTTCATCAGACGCTTCATGAGAAGCACCAACACCACCATTACTCAATTGAGATTGATTCAATATGGATTGATCCATCATCATGACCTCATTGCCGTCTTCATCCACCTCCACACTTCCAAACAAAAACGAAGAATCAGGAATGGCTGGAGCTGGAGTCGGACCATCAAAGTTGAAATCATTAAAGGCATCTCCATGATCTTCTACTCGTGAAGAATCATGATGAACTGGAATTGTTAGATTGGGCTTATAGGAAGGCTTTTTTTGAGTTGCAACTGATGATGAGGAAGTACTAGTTGCAGTATTTGTAGTGTGGTTATTCCTAGAAGAGGATAGACTCATGTTGGTTAGTTCATTCTCGAGTACGCTGATATTCGTTGGAATGAGTTGAGTAAATTCCATGGTTTGTTCTTCTTCGTTCAAGACTGGTTCATTGACAAAATCAGTGAATTCCATAGTACTAATGCTTTGTTTGGGTGCAGTATGAAGAGCAGCATCTACTTCATCATCGTCATCATCAAAGATGGATTTACCTAATGATGTTTGGGAGGCATGTTGTTCAACCGTTGTTGCTGGATTTCCAAACTCGAGAGAAAAGTTTACAGCATTTTCCTTGTCTTCCGATTGATCCGCTTGAGAAACTAGTGGTTGCTTTCCATTATGGTTGCCATTCATGGAAGCAGTCTTGGATCGAGCTTTGAGTTGAGTGGGAGATTTGGCAGGTTCAAACATTTGAATATCGGGTTGTTTAGTGGAGAAGGAAACTCGTCGCACACGTTTCTTGTCTTGTTTGATGGGAGGAGAGGAAAGGAGTGCTGAAGTGGATGACATCATGGATGAAGAGGAGGACGAAATGGTCTTTCTACCATTTCCGTTACTGCTTGAAGAAGACGATGAGACAAAGCCTTTTCGTTTCATTTTTTTTGAACTTGTGTTGTGAAAAAGTGTAACGGATTTTTTTGGCGGGATGATTGTGCAAAGTGAAGTTATCTTTGTTGAACAATTTGTAAATAATGTCGACGAGTACAAGTAAAACCATCATTTACGGTTAGATTTTATTGACGTCAAGAATGACGGCTGCGTTGATCATCTTCCAATGATACTTTGTCGCAGCCTCAGGGAATTCACTATGTCACATTTAAGTTCAACATTGTCCTTTTTAACAAAGACACACTTGAGATTTCAAAAAGTGACATCTCGACCTGTGGGAGTCGAAAGGTTGATTAATTTTGTCTATGAGCTCGCTCTCTTTGAAGAACCATTTCTTGCAATTGTTCGTTTGCTTTTGAAAGAGAAATATTCGTCCTCGATTGCTGTTCTAAAACTGAGAGAATGGCCACGAACAACATTGCTATTGAGAGCGTCAGAATGGTATGATTACACATCCATTGGAACCAAACCAAAAAAAGAGTCACCAAAAGAGTGATAGCCTTGGGATACGTCAGAAACTTGTAAGAGGTATTGGACTCTTGTTGTTGAGAGTACCCATCTTCTTCTGACGAAAAATCTAATTCAAAGTTGACAGAGAATTCTTCTTCCTTCACAAAGCCGAAATCATGATGGTCGACAGCATCATCTTCAGATTTCAACACTTCTTGATGAACGTTTGAGTGGTCCTGTGGTGCATCATTCTTACATTTGGGAAAAACAAATGAAGCCAATTGATAATAATCGATGGCATTAGATGGCGAGTCAGGGTCATAAAAGTCAGAACAAACCCATGTTCGAGAGGGACATTCTGAACAAGAGAGCATTTCTTGGATCATTTTGCATTGGGTGTGTTAAATTCTTTTTTTTTGAGTGTACTTAATTCCAAACATTGTGTCAAGACGGTGTTAAATACCAATTTTTGGCAAATAATATACACCAGTCCGTATGCCCTCATGATTGAGTCCTCGGAACAATTCCTTATCTTAGGTCGATGCTCTAAAAAGTATACCTTTAATTTGAGCGTTAGTGGTAGAATATATTTTTCGGATTCAATGCAACGAGTCTGTTTTTGGAGGACACAGTGACAATTAGAATGAAACGCCGAGAATGTTCCATAGAGTGTTTTGAGAAAGGAAGGAAATCTTCCAGGAACATTTCAGGCGCTTATGCAGTTAGTGGATAGTATTATCCCAATGATCCCTTTGCTCCAAATGGCCCTATTTAAAAGAGAGTCGACTAGATTCACAAAACGGATCCATTCGTTCGAATTTAATTGAAAATAGTCGAGATCTAAAGATGGTGTTCAATGAGTGTCGTTTTCTTTGGCGACATGTGTTGGATTTTATCGATATGGAAATATTCGAAGGCAATTTAAAAACCTCCTAACGTGAACAGTGTCCTTAGATGGAAAGGAGATTTCGTGAGAAAGTAGTGTTCATGCAGGAAGAAGTTGAATGTATTGGTGGCTTGAAAAGCAAAGAATCATACTTACTGTTACAAAACATTTTCTTACACAAGTCCTGTTGAATGAAAGTACGGCATGGTTTTTACTTATGGGAGCAAAAAAGGCTACAGCACTGCAGGTTCCCAAGTTGTCTCCAACCTCAGTACTGATGCAGCTCGACGATGCTTAACTTCTCAAATCGGACGGGATGAGGTGCATTCATCGTGATATGGCCGTAGCCATTCATTATCAAAAGTTCATTGTTTAATCCAGAACCACCATGAACAGGACTTTCTCTTCTATTTGAATTTCTCTCATGTTACAAATCAAAATTTTATGATGATAGTATGCGGACCCATGTATTTCATTGAATTGACAAATTTATTTCTAACGGGCTGATTTAACACTCTCACTTTTTCATCTTTCTTGATTTTGTAATTTTCGAGGGTGACGATGAATTGGCTCTCTTTTCCAAAGTATTTTTCGATGATCGTTTCACTGTGACTTGCATTCCAGTTAAATTTGAAACGTGATAATCCACATTATTTCTTCTTCGGGTTCCACTCACAACGTTGCCTGGATCAATGTCAAAATTAGGTAATCGTTTGGTAATATCAATGGGTTTGGATCGGACCCATTCAGTCTTTGTTGGAATTTTATCAGTGGATGAAGATGATGAGGAATCGTTTGATGATGTTCTTGAGACCATTGTTATTGTCGTTATTAAAGTGTTGTGTTAGTAATTTGTTTTGTTGCTGAATTTCGAGATGTTTTGGCTTGAGTATTTATTGAGCTTGTTGTCATCCATTTTTTGCTGGAATCTCCTTTGGTGGTGGAAATTCACAAAATACTGGAAACAAATTCAAAAATAAATTCATGATGAAAATGTGAGAATTTGAAAATCAACAACAAAACAAATATTGAAAACATCTGAACAATCAAACAACACAACAACAATGGTCTGCACAAGAAGCAATAAGGGATATTCCAATTACTCTTCTGAAATTTCAATGGATAATATCATCGGAGGAACAAGACAACGAAAACAATTCAATTATAAAGTCATGAATCAATATGGAGATGACCATGATGAATCAGAAGTGATTAATTATTTCTCTTCACGACCCTCTCACAATACTTTGGAAATGAGAAACAAGACTTTCCGAAAGTAACCGTTCATTATTCAAACCAATTCCTAATTTTCACTTCTTCTTGTAAATATGATTCCACCACACTCGGCTTTAATGATGATTGTAATGCTTTTGCCGTTAAACGTTTAATTTTGAATATAATATTTCATGATTGCTTTTGTTTTGCTTTTTTATCGTTTTCTTGATTCATGAAAGACAAGTCATTCATGAATCAACCATCTCTACAATCAACCTTAGATCGTCATGTGATCTTTTACCCAGCATGACACCATTAAAAAATGACACGACCCAAAAGACGAAATCAACCCGTCACTCCACTCGACTCATCCTCCTCGTCATTGTTGAATGACGATCATGTTGGCGATGAGGATGACGAAGATCATGAGAGTACACGACGACTGGTGGATAATCGTTACGACCAACTTAATGACGATTCCGAACAACAAATACATCGAAATGCATCCATCATGATGATGGAAGAAGAAATTAGTCATCACGAGTCATCAATTACTGGACAATATCATGAAAATACTAACAACAGTGTGCAAGAACAACGGCCAGAACATTCTTCAACACTTGTCAATGAACCATTTAATAACATTTCCAATGCACAGTATTCCGATCGGAATTTGACAACTTTTAGAAAATTCAAAATTCAACTTCAACCCTTGATAGGATTGTTGTATAAAAAGGCAATGCTATTTAGGAGAGATTTAAAGAATGCCATTATGGTGATTGTTTTTCCATTGATTTTTATTGCATTAGTGACCATGACACATATTTCCTATGCTTCATTATTTAAAAATTCAATGAATCCCTATCAAGCTGGAACGAATGAGTATTATCAATGGTTTTTGGATCAAACACCCATGATTCCTCTTAGCGAGATGAATGCTCCAAAACGTAATTCAAATAATGTGAAACCATTCTCTAGAAATTTAGCGAATAATAATAATGACTACAAAATTGCGTTACTATTTCGAGGGTTGAACATTTCTTCAACGCACGGTGCTGCAGTATCACGAGATATACAAACGAGATTATCGTATTCAATGAGTTTTTACGTAGATTTTGAAGTATTTTCGTCACGAGAGGAAATGAATGCGAAAATTGCCAATGATAGTTCTTTTGTTGGAGGTTACGAATTTGAAAAATTAGATTTTGATCATGCTTTATTTAATGTGACAGTATTGTATAATAACGAGCATAAGACAACTCTTCCTCAACTCACTCAATTAATAGAACAAATAATTATTGACATCCTATATTATGGACCTGTAAATACTAGAGCACAAACTATTTTTCCCAAAATTGGAATTCAACACATTTCTTTTGGAAACCAACTAACCTATTTATTTCTCGATAATTCAATATTTTATTTAATCATGCCATTAATACTTTTATTGCCACATTTTGTCACAGGGGTAGTGAGTGAAGAAGAAAAAGAAACCAAAATTCAATTACTATTGAGTTCGGTCTCAAAAAAATTATATTGGACGTCACACTTTATTTTTGATGTCAGCTTGTACTTTATTATTTCATTGGCACAAATTATAGGCATGTCTCTCATTGCTTCTGCTCCTGCTTTTGTTGACAACTCACTTTTTGCTGTATTGGCAGTGTATGTGAGCTATGCTTTCTATTTTATTACATTTAGTTATATTTTTAGTTATGTATTTAGTAAGGTGGAAGATGCTCAAAGTAAGTATCTACACACGGTTTTTCATGGTCTCATTACAAATATTTTTTCTGTATTTAAACGGAACCTTTGCATGTGATCATTGTGAGCACAGAATGGACATCATTCATCATCTCAGCCAGCGTACTCTTCATCTTTCTAGTATTTCGATATCTATTCAATTTCGAAATGCATACCTTACTGAAGTTTCTGCTATGTCTCATACTTCCTTCTTGGAATTTCTTTTATGCACTTTCACTATTGGGGCTTGCTGTCGATCAGGGAACTCCAATTTCAATCTTGGATATGTTTCAACTGAAAGGATATTCTGGAGAATTGATGGGAGTTTTACTTTTAATGTGGTTTCAAACATTTTCTCATATTTTCTTAATGCTCTGGTTCGAATATTTGGATTATTTGAGAAAAAAACCAAATTCGTGGCTTTCTCGATGGTTACTTCCATTCAATTTTGCAAGAAAACTTTTCAAGATGGAAACAATGCCACAACGTTCTCCATTGAATACAATGACTGAAATTGAAATGAATGAAAACAGTACTTTAGAGAGTCCTGCAGGGCTACTGATTACTTCTGTCAGTGACGGTCGTTCTGAGAACCATGAAGAGGAAATCTATGAAAGTTCACCCAATGACATTTTGCAATTCCATCATGTTCACAAATGGTTTGGAGATTACCACGTTCTACGAGGTGTGAATTTTGGTGTGAAACGAGGTGAAATTTTAGGACTGTTAGGAAAAAACGGAGCTTCCAAAACCACTCTTCTTAAAACTATTTGTTCCATCACTGGAATTAGTCATGGTCAGATTTTAATCAATGGTACCAATGTTTTTGAACGAATAGGTTCTCCATCCAATCTCGGTGTTTGTCCTCAAAACAATCGACTCTATGATAATTTAACAGTGTGGGAACATTTGAAAATTTATCATTTCATTCGAGGACAGTATTCGACTGAAAACATTCGCCGAACATTGGAACGATTTAAATTTACTTTAGAAGACTCAAATAAGGCAGTGAAAGAATTGAGTGGAGGAATGAAACGAAAATTATCAATGGCTCTTGCCTTAATTGGAGAACCTGATGTTATTCTATTGGATGAACCAACTTCTTCGATGGATGTCTCGACTCGAAGACATGTATGGTCTCTCATTCATGAAATTCGAGCCAATCACGCCATCATTTTAACGTCACACTCGATGGATGAAATGGAAGAGCTCACAGATCGAATTGGCATTATGGTTGAAGGATCATTGGCCGCAATTGGCAGTAAAACTTCGCTCAAGGAACGATTTGGAAAGTTCTATCGAGTTGTCATTACAAGCGAGAGCGAACAAGAAGAGGACCTGACCAAGATTGAACATTCAATTTTAGAGAGTTTTAAGCAAGATGAAGAACATCAACCAATGACCATTCTTGACCAATCATCACACAAAGAGAGCTCAGTTGTGAAATTATTGAATCGCGTGGGTCGCACATTGTTTTTTGAAATTCATAATTCAGTTCCAGTGTACGAAGTCTTTGAAAAAATTGGAAACTTGGCATGTGTACTGCATTATGATTATTCCATTTCACAGTCGACATTGGAACAAGTGTTTTTGAATTTTTCAAACTCCCAAAAAAGATAATAGCGTGCTCTGGCTCTTTGATACGTTGTTCATCTTATTTCCAGAATCACGAAATTCATAAAATCTCCCGCTAGTGTTGTTGCGCTCTCGAAAAAATGTTCAACCTCTTCCACAAGGCTCATTCAAACACTGACAACAATGAACAAGATTCCGAAAATTTACAAACCAAGAAACAAAAATTGAGACAGCCAGCGTTGATTCTGATTCATTTTTCAAACTCATCGTCTTTTCGAGATGATGATGATGAAAATAATTCCACCCACCTTCAAAGATTACAAATGTTATTGAGGAAAAAATTCTCATTGCAACAAGTTGGAAAAAAGAAATGGGTTTTGAATCGGGAATTGAAATATGAGAAATTCTTTCCAGTGGAGTTTATGAATGATCAAGAATTTGTGTTTCATCACTTAAAAAAGTATAGGATCGGACTAAAACACGCTTCAATGCGACTACGAGACGACAGAGAATTTGTGATGCAAATAGTTCAGCATAAAGGATCAGAAATATTTTACACCACATCTCGAAAAATTTGTCGAGACAAACAAGTGGTAATGGCAGCCATCAAGAATGAAGTATTTGCAGCTCTACATGCCTCACGTAAACTTAAAAACGACCGAGACTTTGTATTGGAGGCAGTCCAACTGAATGGAGAGGTGTTGGCCAATATTGGTAGAACGTTTCATCAAGATAGAGAAATTGTTTTAGCTGCTGTGAAACAAAATGGAACCGTGTTGGGGAGAATTGTTCAAGAGGAATGGAGTGATGGAAATGTTACTCTTGAAAAGGGAAAATTGAGGAGTGATCCTGAAATTGCATTAGAAGCAATCAAACAAAATAAGAAGGCACTTTTTGATGTACCAAATAATTTGCATCGAGATTTAAGTTTCATGTCAAAAGCTCTTCAATTAATTTATCCAGATCTCAAGAATTTTGATTACTCAAGCAAAGAAATCATGCTTAACATTGTTCAAGATTTTCCTTTTTTACTTAAATTTGCATCGGACGAGATCAAGAACGATCGAGATGTTGTTATCAATGCAATTTGCAACAGTGTCCACTCACTTGAGTTTGCGTCTGACAGTTGTAAGAATGACAAAGAGATTGCACTTCTAGCTGTCAGGCTAGAAGCCATTGGTTTGTGTCTTGTCTCTCAAGAATTGAAGAATGATTATGATGTTGTATTAGCTGCCGTTCATCGAGATGGAAATGCTCTTAGCTATGCCTCAGAAACATTGAAACGCAACAAAGAGATTTTATTAACAGCTATTAAGACCAACGCACGTGCTTTTATATATATGTCCAAGGAGTTGAAATCTGACAAAGAATTCATATTGCAAGTTGTAAGAAAAAATGGAAGCGCTATTGTATATCTTGATGACGCGACAAAAGAGGATGAAGAAATTATTGTTGAAGCTATTAAGCAAGACCCAAAAGCCCTCAGATACGCACCTACGAAATTTCGTCATGACCCACAATTCTTATTACGAATGGTCAAACTTGGATGCAAACATTTTCTGTCCTATATTGGTTCAGAACTCCCTAAAAACAAGGAATTCATGATACAAGTAGTGAAAGAAATTGGTCTTTATGATTTGGCATCCCCGTTTGTGGAATACCCATCGTTTGTGTGTTACGATAAGGACATTATGTTAGAAGCAGTGAAGAAAGATGGGTATGCGTTGATATTTGCAAGCAAAGAATTGCAAAACGATCCAGAACTTGTGATGGAAGCATTGAAATGTAATGGCTATGTTTCAGAGTATAGTGATGAATTCTATCGAGAACGAATGCAATATTGCTATCATGACGCTTATTTGGGAACAAAAAACAATTCCATTTGAAATAGATGTGGAATGTACACTTTGTAATAATCTAATGGTTGAGGAAAAATTTGTTTTTTGTTAAGGAAACTCTAAAAATAATTCAAAAATTCCAAAAAATTCTTTCAAAAAAAATGAGCCATCATCACAACGAAGCTAAAGATTTAGATCCTCACGCAGCAAAGCTTGCAGCACAACGCTCGAGTATTGATTACACGGATTTTCCGGCTTTTCCAACCAAGGTAGTGGTGCATCCATTGGTGTTGTTGAGTGTAGTGGATCACTATAATCGGGTTGCTAAAGATACTAATAATAGAGTGGCTGGAGTTTTGTTGGGAGAGATTTCAAAGGATGGTGTGGTTGATTGTACGAACAGTTTTGCTGTGCCTTTTGAGGAGGATCCTAAAGATCCAAGTATTTGGTTCTTTGATCATTCATTCCTTGAGAGTATGTTGGGAATGTTTAGAAAGGTAACAGGTATGTGTATTTTACATGATGTATTGATGATAAGATCATTGTACAATATTTACATTACGAATATCATCATCAATTGGACTAATTTTATTTTCATTATTCACGATCACCATACAACACACATCAATTTGCAACTATCAATTTTCTGCAACTTGCCTCTTCTGGAAAACAACATCCATTGCAATACATCTCTTTTGTGATTTCTACAATTATTAAGCCAAGGAAAAGGTTGTCGGATGGTACAGCACTGGACCAAAAATTAGAAAATCCGATATCGAGATTCATCAAATTATCAAAGAGAAATACCTTCCTCATCCAACCTATTGTATTATTGATGTAAATCCAGAACAAGAAAACGTGATACCTACTGACGCCTATGTTGCAGTAGAAGAACGTGAAGATCAACAATCTCAACCAAAGCTTACATTTACTCACTTGCCATCTGAAATTGGAGCATATGAGGCTGAAGAAATTGGTGTTGAACATTTACTTCGTGATGTGAAAGATACAACTATTTCCGATTTGGCTTCATCAGTGTCCACTCGTATGACAAGCTTAAAGGCTCTGAGAAACAGATTGAACGAGGTCAATACATACCTCGATCAAGTTGTTTCAGGCAAAATGCCAGTTAATCACAATATTTTATATTTATTACAAGACGTCTTTAATTTACTTCCTGGCTTGCACACAAATGATGCTAAACAAGCTATTGGAAAAAAGACGAACGATACTTATTTGGCCATGTACTTGAGCTCTGTAATTCGTTGTATCATTTCATTGCATGATTTGATCAATAACAAGATTGAAATGAGAGAATTCGAAGCAAAACAGCTCGATAAAAAGAAGGAAGATAAGAAAGAGGACAAGAAAGAAGAAACTTCAAACGATAAGGAATCACAAAAAACCTCCACAGACAAAAAGTAAATGTGACACCACCAAATGAAAGATTAAAGATACCACATAAAAACCTCTCTGTTTAAAACCGCCATCTGTTATTTCATGTTCTTTTCAAAACTTCTTTCAAACTTGGCGTAGTTGTCAAGCATTCTTTTTCCTTCAGTGGTTGACAGGAAGGGCTGAACTCTTTTCCTTGCTTCACAGAAATTCTTCCATGACAATAAGATTTGATTACTCGAACAATCTTTCAGCTCTTTCAATGCTTCCATTTCCCGCAATGCAGACATACATGCTTCTCGACATAATGCTTCAATTTCTGCTCCTGTCATTTCTCCTGAAATTTCCTCATTCTCTACTAACAAGCGAACCATCTCCTCTCTTGAAATTTCACAACCTTCAGCATTTAAAAATCTCTCACCCAAATTCTTCATGTGAATCTCAAAAATTGATTTTTTAGCATCCACATCTGGAGGAGGTACATACAACAAGTGTTCCAATCTTCCAGGTCGCATCAATGCACTATCAATCATATCTGGTCGATTCGTAGCAGCCACTACTAGTAAATTTTTCGTTCCCTCAATGCCATCCATTTCATTTAAGAGCGTCGACAACACTCGACTACTCACAGAATCTGCTCCTCCCATGGTAAATTCTCGTTTTCCAACAATGGCATCAATTTCATCAAAAAAGACAATGGAAGGATTCATAATTCTGGCTTTTGACATTATATCTCGAATGGCTTTCTCAGCTTCACCCACATATGGAGAATAGACTTGTGCCACGTTGCAGTATAAAAATGTGGAATGAGTGGAAAGAGCAAGTGTTCGAATCAAAGTGGTCTACCAAATTTTTGTTGCAACAACATGATTCATAATGACATTCGAAATAAGAACTGTTGAGAGTGTGAAATTTGTAAATTCTTACCTTTCCAGTTCCAGGAGGTCCATAGAGTAAAATTCCAAGCGGTGGTTGAAGTCCCAATCTCTTAAAACTTTCTGGATATTTCATTGGCCATTCGGCAGCTTGTCTCAATTTTTGCTTCAAATGTGAAAGACCTCCAATTTTATCCCAATGCTTTTCATCAAAATTGAGAATTTCATTGGAATTACTGTTCATGATTGATCCTTCCTTTTCCTCATTGTGCACTTGGGAAATGAATTCATTGTGAGAATTTTCTTGACCTTCATCGACATGTTCCAATTTTTTAATGGAAGGTGTTAAATTGAGTTCAATGATTCGTTTCAAGACGTATTCTGTGGAAATTTCATGATGAATGTTGTTGTACAATTTCATGTCGGCATTGAGTGAACTGAATACTTTGATGAGGTCATAAAATTGATAACCTGTTGTGGACATGCCAATTTTTTCAAAATCCAAGTGAGTAAAAGTCGTGCCATACATGACTTTGCAAAAATCAGTTCGTTCTTTGGGAGAAGGAAGTTCAAATTTCACTTCTCGTTGAAATTTTCCTCTCATTTCCATTTTCTTCATGAATTCACAATCTGAAGATGCAGATCCAATAATGATTAAATGAATGACGGCAGTAGATTTCTTTTGATGAATGGTTGTTTTCATGAGTTCTGATTTTTCCATTTCGTTCTGAATGGACATGAGAGATGAAAATAAACTTGCTTGAATCTTATCCAAATCGTCTAAAAACAAAATAATGGTCAGGTCGTTCGAGTTTTTTGTACTTGTCAATCGTCGTTGCGCTGTTTCTAGCATGCGGTTGGCTAAGGAGGAAATGGCTTGCTCGTTTCCAAATAGTCCTCCTCCCAAACTATTACAATTCACATAAATTAAGGGATATTTCAACTTTTTGGCAATGTTTTTCACAGTCGATGTTTTTCCAATGTTGTGAGGACCATGAATGAGAATGGAATATGGAGTGGAAAATGTAAATAGAGTTTGTGCGGAAGAACTCGTTGAGCTTGTGTGCATGATGTGGTGAAAGAATGAATTGGCAACCTTCAAAAGTGACAGCAATTCCTTGCATGATTTTGATTCGAAATAAAAGTGCTGATCTGTTTCAGCGATTGTTTGTAATGTGGAATCTGTGTCATTACTTTCCATAGATTCGCTTAACTGTTGTCCTGTAGTAGAATCGGTATCGTAGATTAAAGAAATTTTTGTGGCCGAAACAACTCTGTAAATTCCGTTATTGATCGATTTAGCTGTTTTGGTTTTTAGAGATTTTGAAATGAGAGAAGTTACTCTATAAATTTCGTTTTCTGAAAAGTAAATTATGCAATTCAATTTCAAATAGAGAGAGTGAAATCGTAACAATTTCATCCCAGAAATTTCATAATTGGAATGTTGGATTTTCTTTTCCATCGTTAATGGTTGTAACGTTATTTCAGTAGCATTCTCAATTTCAAAAGAACAAAATTCAATGTTTTGCACAGTAAACCTAGAGCATTGATGAATAGATTTTGATAAATTTTCTTTCACAAATTGTAGTGTGGTCACCCTTGAATCCTCGTTGTCACAAATAAATACATTCGATTGAGAATTAATTAATTGATGCTTTTCGTTGGTATGCCTTTCAGATGAATTCATTTCGTCCTTGGCTTCTTCTTTTTCGTTAGTGAGAGACAGGTCATCTACAACCCAAGTACTCGATAATATTTTTATATTATTATCCAATGTCACTATGCAAGGTCCATCGATCACATAATTTACCGTTTCATACGAGGAACCTTTAGCTACAAGCGAAACAGCTGCTTTTTTGCTTCCATCTTTCACATTCTTTGAGCTTGTCTTTTTAGAAGTCGAATTATTTTTGCTGTTATTTGTTTTTACGGTATTCACAACTTTTTTTGAACTAGTATCATCCTTCTTTAGAGAATCAATAGTCAAAGATTCGGAATGATCATCCTCTTTACCTCTCAGTTTTCTCATCATGGACAATGGAAAATAAGTCCTATTACATAACAATGAAAGACTTTCTCGATATGCAATAAATTGCAAACATTGTTGTTCTACGTTTGAAGCATTCTTCCGTCCGTTGTTGTTTTTTATCAATACACCACTAGCATTAGGTTCATTGTTTTCCGATGGCATTTCCGAATGTGCTCCTTCATTCATAATGGATATTGATGAGGTTTGTTCGTCTTGATTCATTTTTTTTTTAAATCAATCATTAATTTACATACCAAATAATTATTTGTAATATCAATTGAAATAATTATTATTATTAGTTGCGTTTTTACAAGAAGGAGTGAAGTTTACTAATGAATGACATACTTGTTGCTGGTTTTCAATAATGGTTACATTACATTCCAGGAAGAACAAAACCAGAGGATGATTGTGCCACATCTTGATCCTCTCCAAATATATTTCTGTAAATTCCCAAAAATTCCTCAAATGAAAACACATTGTCATCTCCTGCCTTATTCATGTGCATGTCCACCAATCGATTAAACAAAACTTTGGACATTTTACCATTCTCATTGTAAACCGATTCCAATAATTTGGACATTTCATTTCGATCAATGGTTCCTGATTTATCCAAATCGTACTTGTCAAAACATTGTTTGGCTTTTCTCTTTTCCTCTTCACTCAATGGCTTTTTCTGAGGAAGTGGCGGAGCAACCGAGTTGGAAGGTGAGGATGTCAAAGGTTCCTTTCGGAATGAGTTGGACTTGTGTTCGAGACGCATCGAAATGGGTAATTCAGGTGAAAAATAGAGTGTGGTGTACAATTTCACAAATTCATCGTAATCAATCACTTGATTCTTGTTGGTGTCATTCTTGTTGAATTGAACGTCAACGTATTTTTGGAGCATCTTTTCGGAGAGGTTGGTTTTGAGTGTGGTTTCGAGGAGAGTTTGTAATTCTTGACGATCAATGGAGTTGGAGTTGTCCTTGTCATATTGTTTGAATGCTCTTCTAATTTCTTCCAATTGCTGAGGTGTTAATTTTTGTGTTGATGACATTTTTTTGGATTTTGTGGATTGGTGACAAGTGTGAAGATAATAATCTCGTCACACACAAGACTCATTGACTGGCACACTGAACTCGTTTCCACTGGGAACTTTTTTTAGCCTTAAACTCTCAATCATGAAGAACACACTACAAGTCTATGAAATTATAATGAAAGACGATGCTTTGAATAACAAAATTGTTGCTACCTCTACTTCACAATAGGATCTCCCCTTGATCATGATGCTCTATGGTGAAGTAGTGGTTGTTTCCGCTTTTTTAGTTTCATTAATATCAAAGAAAACCTTCAACTTTTCATAAAGTGTAAAGGTCAATGCAGAAGCAGGCATGATGTAAATCAATCGAGGACCGAGACCTCTTGTGAAACCTTTCCAACCTTCTTCCTTGTAAATCTTTCGGAATGCATCTGCAATTCCATCGTATTCCTTCTTTCCTGTCTTGGTTTGTGTTTGGAGTCTAGTTTTCACAACGTCTACTGGAATGGTGCAAGTTGTACCGATGGCACCTGCGAGTGCACCTGCAAATAAGTGATGAATGGATTTTCCAGCTTTCCTTTTGCCTGTATGTGGATCTATTTGAGAGGCGTTGTTCAATTCCCCCCTTCGTAATAATCGCTTAATCATTTCATAAGAGGTGAAATAAATGGCTGCAAAAGGAGCGTCTCTCAATAGTGTCACTGCATAGCCTGAAAAGAATCCAGAAATACCATCTTGTTTTGCAATCGTTTTCAGTGTGCCAATAATTCCTCTTTTCTCTGCAATTTGTGATTTCAATTGTCCTTCCACTTGTAATTGTTGCTTCAAAATATCGAATGGCGTTCGACATGCTGTTCCTAAAACTCTAGCCAAAGCTCCTGCTGATAATGTCAAAATTGGAGTCTTCCATGAAAAATTGTTGCCGTTTGAATTGCCATTATTATCGTTTAAAGTGCTTGCCCCTCCTTTCAATATGGGCACTTTGTTTTGAATCGATTGCATAAATTGTTCGTATACTGTAAAGCTCACAGCAGCTGCTGGTGTGATGTAAATTAACCGAACAGACAGTCCTTTATAGAGACCTCTAACTCCTTCTTCCTTTAAAATTGTTAAGAATGCATCTACACCATGTTTGTAGTGATGCCGAAGTTTACCTTGTCTGAATGCATCTTTTCTTTGAAATTGCAATCTAGTTTTAACAACATCAATGGGAAACATTATCACGGCAGCTCCACACCGGGCCATTGCTCCAGCAAGTAAGTTCTTGGAGAGTGTCCAATAAAACACTTGAGATGTTGGTGATGAAGTAGAATTTGCGGATGCTGCCGAGACAATGAGCTCTGTTGGAGTGGAATGATTATTGTTGTGTGAAGAGGGTGGTGGTGATGATAGACTGGAGCGAATAGTTCCATGATGGTTCTGTTGTTGAAATGATGAATTGGATATGCCCTCATCATTATTGGGATATTCTGTGAATTTGCTAGGTGTTGTTGATGATGATAATGGAGAACAAACACAAACATCCTCATAAATCCTTGGTGTTTCATCATGACAATTCTGTTGAGAAGAATAATTCGTGTAATTTCCACTCAAAACAGAAATACTTCCACCCAATGTATGGCCATTCCGAATTTCATTTAAATTACGAAAATAATTATTGTAATTACCACTTGTATCATCACTGTAGCACGCGTTGGTGGTGGTTGGACTCTTCCATGATGATTGTTTCTCCATCATCACTGCCGAGGTTGAATTGGAATTCATTAAAAATTTTTCTGTTAATGATTCTGTTGAAATTGGAACATGATTTGATGATGAATGTAAAGAGCCCGTTTCTCTCTCTTCTGGCCACGACGTTGATGATGATGATGGCAGTAGTCGTAATGAAATAAGGCTCGTGTTGCGGGCATTCATTTTTTTTCGCGCTTTAAAAAAATTGAGAATCTCATTCCTCAAAACAGATTTTATCAAAATTGCTTGTTAACATACTGAAATCATTTTGATTTGTTGCCAACGATAAATGCAAGCTTCCAATCACTAATTTTGGCTCATCATGATGAGTCGGAACAGTGTTAAAACTTTTGAAACTTTTAATTCTAATCACAACGTTCGTCGTTGGACATCGAAAGATGGTATTTAAAATTAATAATGAAAGCAGTTCAAAGAAATGCACAAGCACAGTTCTGAATTGAAATATTGTATATTATTTACAAAATTTTTACAAAAATACTCTTTGAAAGATTGGTTTCACAATCTCACTTTCTCAAAATTTAAATAGATAGTACAGATCAATTATTTGGTTTTCTGAAACAAGGAAGAAACACCAATCGACTTGGTCTTTTCCAAAATGGTATTCAACGGAGCCTTAATTTTAGCAATATAGCTCCGAACATTCTCAACATCCTCCACAGTTTTACTCATATAAAACTGATGATACAAGGTAATCATCAAAACCGAGACTCCCACTGAAATTCCGATCGTTTTCAACGTTTCTTTGAGAGAAGACTTGGCCGATGATGATGGCGGTTGAGGTAATTGAGAATTTGATTTGGTTCCGGACATTGTAGGGGCTGATGATGTCGTGGTTGTTGTGGATGTTGTAGGGCTTGAAGGTAATGCTTCCTTGTCTTGGTTGTTCGTATTGTTTTTGGCCATATCGATAATTTTTTTAAATATCATTTGAAATTTCATGAAGGAAAGAGATGCGGTGAATGAATTTATTTGGAATTTTTGTGAAAGATGAAAAATGGGAGTCAATTTTGCGACTCAAAGATGGATGACAATTGTGAAAACTTTTATGTACAAGTCATGTCTTTGTTGTGATGATGAATGTGGTTCATATTCATAGATTGATTAGTCATATCTAAATTAAATCAACTTGTTGTATGCCAAAGCAGAAGAAACGTCGTTGTGAAAATTTATTGTAAGCAGATTGTAACTATACACAACACAAGCTAATTTTTAAACGAATTGGTTTGATGGTATGAGTATCCATCGAAATTACCTTCTGACAGCACAAATCCCTTTATTTGCATAGAATGGAATAGAGGGGTGAAAAGGGTTGAAATGGGGATGATGACGTTGTTGGTAAAACTTACAATTATTGTGTTGTAATAGAGTTACAATCTTGGATACATTCGTGTCACGATAAATGTCTAGCTTAAGGGATGCGAGTTTATTTGATTGTTACACGTTAATAAGAGGAGGGTTGAATAAAACTGCTACGTTTCCTGATTGTTATTACTACCAGGACTTGGAAATATGTGAAGGGTTGTGTCAAAGCCAAAATTTTGGTCCTTTGAAATATGGTAAAATGTTTTGACGGATGGCAGTGGTTGTCATCATACTTTATCTGATTCAACAACAACATTCAGTTTATTATCTACAACTTATGCTTCTTCGGTCCACTTGTTTTCTTCTCTTATTTTCGCCTCTTCCTCAGGGGTAAAATCTGCCAGATAGTTCATCAAAGAAAGAGATCAAATGATAGATGGTCACCATTATCATGGTTCAAGTAGTTATTGAAAGATGGTCATTATTATGGTTGAAAGTGCACAATACAATCACGTCATGATATTGAAGTTTACATTAGTCATGCCAATTGTACATTCTGATGTTAACACGCACCATCATTATAAAATACTTACCATTTTGCAATCCAAACATATCTCTAAGTTGTTCTGGTGACTTTCCTCGTATCTGCTCCGCAAACTTTGCACAAAATAAATCCAGCAATCTCATGGCATTATAAAGATTGCTTGTCATGATTAAGCTTACAACTTCACTGTGGTTCAGTTGTTTAGAAAATTCATAAATAGGTGTGGGAATATATTCTCTCAGTGCTTGTGTCATTGGTTTTTCGATTACATAATCTTCACAAATTGCATGCAATTCTAAAGCGGTCAAAAACAATTGGACAACCTGTAGCGAGGTTTTTCCAAATGAAAACCTCACTTGTGGAATCGTTTGTTGTTGCGATTGAGATGTCAATGAAACACAGTTTGACAAAACACCACATAAACTCATAGCTTGAGGAGTCATATAAACCACCTTGGAATTTGGTGAGGTATCTCTTTCAACTTGTTCCAGTAACGCCTTGCATGAATGAACACATTGCTTCCAATCATCCTCAACAATGCCATTATGGTTATTGACAATAAAAACAATATCACAAAAGTAAGTATTCATACCAGTATTCTCATAATGTAATTTTGTGCAAAATGTATCATTTCCACTGGCCAACATTGTAAATAATGTATATTGACATTTCATCTGATTTTTCAAACATTCATTTGCTAAATACACAATACCATGCTGTTGTGGTTGAGATGATGTTTGCTTCTCGGATAACGTTGAACGAACAACTTGATTCTCCACTCCAGTGGATTCCAATTCAACCGAAAGCGCAATGAAACCGAAAGGTCCTTTCCGAAAGACTTGATCCAAAACGGATCTCATCACTTGTCGGGAAAATTCATATTCTTTTCTATGGGAAAGAATGGAGCCACTCATGGTTGCATCTTCTACGTCGGTTGGGCTGCTATTCAATGACGATGAGATTGGACCTTGTTGAGAAGATGTTTCTTCTTGATTACTTCTTGAGCGTTGCTTGCGAAGACTTGAACCCATTTTTTTATTATTAATCATTTTGTTCGATCACGTTGTAGGTGGAAAAATGTCAATTTGGAGGTTACCAAAAAATCTAGATGTAACCAAATTTGTTGAGGAATGTTCACCGCATTTCATGACAACATGTACCACAGATTCAAAACCACCTGTTTCACATTGATAAATTTCGTCTTAATATACCGAATGCAGTTTGAAAAATTTATCGCTTTTCCAATTCCAATAATAGTTGTGAGCTGTTCAATCTTGATTGAGGCTGGAATCTTAATAATTGACTCATGACTCGAATTAATTTTTGTAAGAGACCCTTGTTGTGATCGAGATGATCTTGATAATTGGTGAGAATTTTCTTTTTCAATTCTTGCATACTATTGTTGTTGTGTGTTTAAAAACAATTTCGTTTTGTTAAAAATTAGTAATTATTAAATCACAAACAAAAGTGTTAAAGAATCATTTGATTTGTAAAAATTGGTAAATGTTAAATCACAAAAAGAATGGTGAAAGAAAAAACATACCAATTCTCTTCGGAATGAATTAAGAGTGAACAAATCGAAAGAGAAGTATCGAGTGACAATAATTGGAACAAGGTCACACCCAATGAATACATGTCTGTTGCAAAGCCATAGGGTTGATTCAGTAAAATCTCGACTGAAATGTAACATAATGAACCAGCATAGGTTTGTCGAGTGGTGTGAGCATTTTCTTTTGCAATTCCAAAATCTCCCAATACAATTTCAATATTCTTTTGTTCCTTATTGTAATATCTGACAAAAATATTCTGAGGTTTGATGTCTCGATGCATAATGTTATGAGAATGAATGTAATCAATGGCTGAAGCCATTTGTGTTAAAATTTTCCATACAATTTCTAATGGAATTGGTTCTGACTTTTGACGTTGTGTGTTAATGAGTTGCATGACGTCTCCAAATGTGTACAATTCCATTACAATGCAAAATATAGAAGAGTATTGAGTATCGATTTGGAAAGTGTCAATAATTTTGACAATATTCTGATGCTGCAACTGCTGTACCAGCAATGCTTCATGTTCTGCATCTTGAATTTGTTTTTGAACACTTCCTTTTGGGCAGTTCACCATTTTAATGGCAACATTTTTGGAAGAGTGTTCATTAATGGCGTCACCAACATCGTTCAATACTTCTGCTTCAAAAACCACTCCAAATCCACCCTCGTCAATCGTTCTCACAATTTTATACTTTTCCTGAAAGACCATTCCCAAATATTGTTCATATTTCACGTTTCGAGCTTGTCCATGATTTTGAGCAGGTGCATCATTGGCTCTCACTCGTTTCAATTTAATTAAATTTAACTCCTCTTCATGAAGTTGCATGTCTTTCAAGTCAATAACGTCTACGAGTTCCTTAAAATCTGGGTCATAAAATTGTAATTCGTATTGACCACGAATTCCACATCGAATTTTTGCCTTCCTCACAAAATCTTCGACACTTTCGTTTTGATTGACCACCATTTTAAATCTTTTTCTGTACAAATTCAACATGTTATCTACATATTCGACTTCAAATTTGTAGCAATCGTATTGTGTGGATTTGTTTAAAATCTTTCGAGCCCATTGCATCATTTCAGAATTTTCAGTCGATTCTGATAACTCGGCAACATCCATTCCATTTTTAGTGATTGAAATATCAGCTCCCATTTCAACCAAAGCAAGTGCCATTTTCATTTGATTGGTCTCTACAGCAAATGTTAAAGGAGTTCCATTTAAAATTAAATTTCCTAGAGAGGTTTTGCTTTTTGGTGTGTTTGCTTTTGATTGAATGATATTTGTTGCTTTTTCACTTCGATCAGTATACATGGAAGAAAGCTTGAAATTGAGAAGTTGAGGGAATTTTTCAATCAGTAATTGAATACATTGAGTTTTGCGTTTTCTCAAGCAATATAATAATAATGAAGGATTCGAATAATATGCTTCTGGATATCTGAAATCAGGAAGCTCATTTCGTAGCACTAAATGAGGTTCTTTTTCAATTAATAATTTAAGAGCGTCGTAACGATCGTGATCAATTGCAATAAAACATGCTTTGGCAAGAACAAGAATATTATGCTCCTTATCTTGTGTTAACATGTGACGGAGAAGAATTTCAGTGCTTTCCACATGTGGGTGATGAACAATGCTGAAATCAATGGGTCTGTACTTGCCCTCGTATTCATGGAGAATTTGTGGGTTCAATGTGACCAATAAATCCACAGCTTGAATGTTATTTTCACGTATGGTATGCATCAAGAGTGAGATATTAAATGGAAAATCTTCAAGTTTCGAAGGCCTTTCATGTAGCAAGTATTCGATTCGAATGTGATGACAATATTTGGTAATTTCTTGATTTCTACATGGAAGACTTGCAGTGCAAATATCATAGCCGTGTTTTGTGACCGCATTGATATTAGCTCCTTTTCCAACAATTTGTTTCAGCTCCTCGAATTGATTGAGAGAAATGGACATGAACATGGCTTGTTCTAAACTTAACTTTGATTCTGGGTGACCATTCAATAATAAATAATACTGATAATAGTCTTTGCATTTCATGCAGTATTTGGTGAGTAAGCATTCAATGTCCACCAAGTCGCTATTATCCAAACTTTCATACGCCTTTTTCAAAATGTCTTTGGCTTGTTTGATAAATTCGTTTGCGTTATAATAGGTGTTGGAGGCATTCTTTGTGAAAAAGTTTTCCAAATCAATACTGTATTCTTTGAATTTATGGCCAATTTCTGAAATCGTTTTCCATTCTCTTCGGTATTGAAATAATTGTGAAACATTTGTCAATGAAATGTCAAAAAAGTCGGCAAGAAGCATGAGTACGTTCACATTTGGATAAGTGACAGACACTGTTTTGATCATGTTTCTAATTAATACGAGAGGGTGAGACCCAACATTGGGTAATGTGTCGCTCTTACTTGAAGAAAAGGCTAAAAACAAGTAGGAAGCACAAATCCTCTTAAAAATCTCTCTTTCATGCTTGAATCTTGCTAATTTTGGAATGTCATAATTCAGAGAATCAGAAAGTTTGAAAAACCAACTGAAAAATCGGGAGTAAATAAATTGTTTCTCGTCTTGATATAAATTTGTTACTTTCATAGCTAACACCTCCTTTTTGATGGAAAAGAATGACAATAAATCTTCTTTGGCATGATGGAATCCAAGCTTCTCCAATTTCTTTTCTAAATTTTCAAATGTAATCAAGTTAAGAAAGTTATTAATGTAATCTTTGAGTTGTGCCAGTTGATGTCTCTTTTTTCGAACAATACTTGTCACTTTCAAATAAGTCAATACAGGATATCTTTCCCAAGCACATAGTACATTATTGACGCTTTTTGGAAAGAATATTTTGTGAGCTTCCTGAAAGAATTGCTTGGATACCAAACTCACATTAAGGAGATTTGTTGGAAATAAATACAAACAAATAGTTTTCACGATTTTGGATGGTAATACTTCTTTCAAGACTGGGAATCTTTGATTCAATATTGCCTGATTGATGGTTGCATAACTATTATCCGTTTGAATCAATGCATTCAAATCAATGTTGTGAAATTTGAAAAGCGTATATAAAGGAATCACCTTGTCCAATAAATCTACAATAATTCCATCCTCGCTTACTTCTTCATTATCATCTAAATCGAGAATTTGTTTCAAGGACCAAGAGGTCGACGTATTGATCCTTTTCACTTCTGCCAACTTTTCATAAAATTCTTTCGAGAATTCTTTAGCTAATTTTTTAGGTTTTGGAGGAGGTTGAGATGGTGAATATTTGGCATCCACGGCTGAAAATGGTTTTCCAGAGTTGGGTGACAATGGTGGAGGAGGTGGTACTGTGGAAGCTGTTGTGCTCGACCCATTTGCAGCTGAAATGGATTTGGTCACCGCATTCAGTTGTTTGAATACTGATTGCATCACAACGGCGGAATTTGTTGTTGACACGGGCGGTTTCTGAGGTTGTGATTCTTGCTGTGATATTCGAGAGAGTGAGGAAAATCGTTTACAGAGCTTGAACTTCTCAGTGAGAAATGACGACGATTCCAAACAGATGCTTGACGTAATAAACAAGTAATACAATGAAATTTTGTCAATTACTTCTGTGTCCATCGTTCTGTTTCTATAATCTCGTAACAAGTCATGATCAGCGTCAAACACTTGAATGATTCCTGCCAGTTTACGTTTTGGAGTAGTGTCTTTGGCCGTCACAGATACAATTTGTGAAAGTTGTGGAACAGGAGGCACTTTGGAATTTAAGCTCTTCCATCTGCGATGAGGCGTTGGAAGTTCTTCATCCATATCGAATGGAGGAATGTTCTTGTCTTTAACGATTCGCTTTTCAGGCAATTGTTTCACATCAAAAGGAAGATCGTTGGGTATAATGGACATTAAATATTCAATTTGCTGTTGTCTTTGCGTATTATTCACTGATTCATGTAATTTCACAATAATCTTGAATATAAATGTTGTGAAATTGGAATCTTTAAATCCAAATCTCTTTTTGGTAGCAGCAAAAAATTGTGGATAATTACGTTCCATGATGGAGTCAATCCAGGTAGATGCTCGTGTCCATTCGAATTGTTTGGAAAGAGCTGCCACTGCTTTCACTAAAATGTTGTACAATCGATTATGTTGTTTGTGAAAAATGTACGCTAAATAATCCGAGTATCGAATATTGTGAAAATGGAAGCCTGATTTTTCGTCATTCTTCTTGATGAAAAGTTTGATTTCTAGCAACTCATCGGTGATATAGCTGGATTTCTTCACTACAAACGTTGATGTGACGATTGAGTTAATTCCATAATTGAAAACAATTAAGGTTTGATCAATGATGGACATGAGTGTTTTCATGGGAAGCATAAATGGTTCAAACAGAGAAGGAGACACTTCGAAAATTCGATCGAAATACGGATCTGACACAATTTTTGATTCGTATTGATTTGTTTGTTCGAGTACTTCTTTAAGCTTCATGAAAGAATGTGAATTCAATAATGCATTCACAATTTTCAGTTCTAGAGGTTCTAATTCATCGTTTTTGATGAGATGGGAAATCGAGTCAAGTGTTTTTCTATTGACCATATCCAAAAACTTCAAAATTCTAATACTTGTAATTACGTTCAAATCAGGATATCTCAAAAATTCATAATCTGTGGAATTATTCTGAAGAAATAATTCTAAATTGCTCTCCGTGACAAAATTAATCTTGTTCACTACCTTTGTTAATCTCATGTAGAGATGATTCTTCTCGAATACACTCGAAATATTTTCATAGATTCGATCCAGATAATAAATGAAAGTTTCAATTTCCTTATTCTCGTCATGAATTAAATTTGCAACCGTTTTTCCTCGAGGAGATTCCACTATGGATTTGAAAATACATTTCCACAAGTAAACAATGATGTGAATAAATTTTTGAACTTCGTCATTTCGCGAGTAGTACCTTAAATAGTATTGGTCAATGATTTTAGATTTGAGGTAGGTGTGGTCCTCGACTGAATCGTTTCTTGAACTTGAAGAATTCGCTCTTCTGTTAAACAATGAAGTAGGCGAGGTTGAAAACATGAATGGCTTGTTACTAGCATTGGACGAAGCAAAGAATGTATGAGCCCTCACCCACAACTCAAATAATTCCTTCTTATTGAATTCGAGCATGGTGTTTAACTCATTAAGCATGCGTAGCGAGAAAAAATAATTATCAAATTCAGACTTGTACAAGGAATGTTTCTTCAGTTCAATGATATTCAAGTCACAGGTTTGAGAGGAAGGCAATTTTTGAGCTTTCACTTGTTGATTTTGATATAATAAATAAGCTTTGAAAAATCGTTGAATACTTTTTCGAATTTCTAAATTAGGATATTTGATATGTGTACTTCTAAAGAATTTTCTCAATGGAGACGTGTCACTTATTGTCACCATCGTATTACCACTTGTATGATCTTCCACATGATCTGTAAAACTTGAAATATTTTTCATGGTCACTCCCGTTGATTTTTCAACATGTTTCTGTTTTGTAAAACTTGACACCTGATCCACGGTTTGACGCAGAAACATGGCCAATCGACTCTGATTCGATTCCTTATTCCAACCAAAATCAATAGGAGTAATTTGAACGTTATCAATTCGACAAAATAATGGAATAGTGTCCTTATCGATTTGAAAAGGTTCAAGATGAATGGTTCTTGTAATGGTTTGTTTCTGAACGAGAGAGTTCAAATCATTGGAAACAATTCCTCGAAATTGATATTGATGATTGTTGGAGGAAAGTTGAATTTTCACAAATACAACATCCATCAATGGAGATTGTATTCTATAATACAGTGGAGGAAGATTGAAAGTGATTCATTGTATCGTGTTTAAAATAATATTTGAAATAAATTATCGTTGTATGATGAAGTCATGATGATTTTTTTGATTTGTTAAATATTTTAAAATAATTTCATGTGTTAGGACAACATGATATCGGAATGAATATTATTTAATATTATTATTGAACATGAACCAAAATGAAATTTCACGTACTTTAAATCACATTGACATGAAAATTGTGAAATGTCTTCTCCTTTGAAATGATAATGATATTGTTCTTGTGACGACACAAGAACGGTGAATTGAATGGAAGTGTTTTCCGAGAGTGTGAGCGTCTCGGTCTCGTTGATGATGATGCTCAAAGAGATGCCCTGAAAGGAGATGTGAAGTGTGTGCATTTTTTTGAGTTGAATTTCTTGTAAATGTCTTTTTGAACAGACATTTGACGTTCAAGTTCAAGTTACATTCTGTGATTTTCAATGTTTAATAGGTGTCGACTTGGTTGTTGATCCGTTGTGTTTAGGTCGGATGACAATAATTAGTCCTTCTTTTGTTTTGCTTCTCCAGTGATCTCTGCAGACACTTGGCTTTCTCGAGAATGTTTTCGAAAACCACAACAATAGAGACACAAAGTGACATAGGGAATAATCACCCACTTGAAAATAAAGTAATTGACAATCAAGACAGTCACTAATAAACATGCTGCCAATGATGCCAAGCTCACAATGAGTGTCTCGTTGGAGTTTTCTGATGCTGTTGGAAGCGGTGGAGAATTGGCCAAAGCATTCACATATTCTGCAATGGTCTTGACAGCTAGATTGGAATCAGGAACAAATCTATTGGAAATTATTCGAGTCGTCACAGTTTGAGAAACTAATTTTCCAGGAATGAAGAAATTGGCAAGATAGTTCTGAATAATTTCTTCAGTGGCTAATGTAGGTATTAAAATATTTCCAACATTCAAACTCTCAGTCAAGTAATGTGAAACTGTGTATCCTTCGATGGTCGATGGGATTAAGCTCAATAATTTTTCATGGGATAATGCTTCAATCGAGGATTGTAAATCTCCACTGGTGATTACAAATTTGATAGCTGGATTCTTCAAAATTCTGCTTCTCTCCTCAACCTTGAGATCTGAGAAGGTGAATGATGGATATTTAGATTCCAAGTTCTTTGTTACTTCGTTTCTGTTCACCACTACGATATAGTCATACTTCTTTGCCAGCTTTTCCAACACATTGAAGAATGTGAGAATTAATTTAAAACTATCTCTCAAATTCACTAGAAGTACATTCTTGTACTCGATGAGTTTCTCCAACTTCTTAACTTCTGACAAGCGTTTTTCTGGAAGAGCAATCCACTTGACTTGTTTTGTGTACAAGATTGGTGGAACGATTTTGGCATTGGAAGGAAGCATGATACTTTCGTCTTCAGTGACACCAGGAATGGATGTGTAAAAAACATGGCCACGCTTCACTACATCGAGAGGCTTAACAGTGTCGTGCACGCGTCCTGGTAAGTACTGATTTCTTGCATTATTCATCAGGTTATCCCTCAGCCAAAATGCTTCAAATTGCGCTTGTGAAAAATAGTTGGAAATAAAATTCAATGATTTTCCAACCCAACTTTGCTTGTTCATGTACAAGTAATAATTTGTGGAATTGGAAAAATCTGCACTTCCAATCAGATATTTCACTGAATTGGCCATAATTTTTTCCCATTGAGCAGTTGTTGGAGTATTTCTCTTTGTTAACTCGCCCAACAATTTCAAAAACAAAATTTGGTTGAAAGGATTAAATCGAGTTTGTAAAAACTTTCCACTCTGATAATACGTTGGTTGAATGAGTGACAATGAAGCCAGTGTTGGACACACAATAACTAACGGCTTTTCAAATCCAAATGCAAAATCCATAGCACCAATGGAATGACAATCTGTCACAACCACATCAGGCGAAACAATCTCCTCCTTCTCCAACTCTTCTTGTCCACATGTAAACATTGAATTGGTCAAATATGGATCCATCCATTCCCTCTTCATATATTCCGCATATTCAAAGAAAGTTTGTTTCTTCAATCCATGTTCCACAATACTCGTATAATAATTATCCTTCTTGATGCTTCCAGAAGAACCTGATACTCCTCCTGATGCTGCTCCACATTTTCTCACTCGGAATGTTTGAGAAGAGGAAACAGCAGATCCTTTTCTAGGTAAATATTGTTGAAAGGAATCCACGACATCATCATAGGGACTAAATAATGTAACATCCATCTGTTTGGATGAATTTCCATGGGCGGATGATGAAAACCCAATGAGTTCTTCAATCAAAGGCTTCATTTGATCATAAAAGAGAGGTTGAGTAAAGATCCATGCTCTCCTTAATGATGATTCGGAGGAAGAAGAGGCTTGAATCTGAAAAACAGCTGAAATCAGAATCAATCCAAGCAGAAGGAATAATTTGAGAGGATGAGAATGAAACATTTTTTTTTGATTTTCGGAATTTGTGGTCGCAGCAGACGAGTGTTTCGAATCATTGATCTTGTTGAAAGATGACATCGGAATGAGGGATCGATCTGACATGTTTTAATAATTGTTAGAAATAATATATTATTTAAATATTTAGAAAAATAATATTATATAATAATGGATCTCAATGTCCTAAATTGCAACGACACTACGATGTCATCGCATTTGCAACGGCCTTTTTTTAATCTCCATTATTGCGATAGCATTTAATGCGACCAAAAACGGTTGTTGTTGAAAATGTTACAAAAAAATAACAACATTCATCTCTTTGCTTCTCACACGAGTTTTAAAAATAATAATAATTTGAATGTCTCTGCGATGCAACGAATAAGAACACAACCACTGGATTCTAGAATTTGTCCTCTCACAGGCTCCGAGAAGATGGGGTGGTTGTCTGTGACAATATTCATTGCCATGATGATGACGACCCCAATGACATTTGGCATGTCCTTGACCCATCACGGACTGTCTCGATCACTCACGTCATCAAATTTCAAACGAACATCTCTCGTCGAAGAACCTAAATTCACACTCTCCACGAACCAATCCTTTTATCCCAATTTTTCCTTCGCTCCACAATTCGGAACGTTTCGAGTGAATATTCGATATGAAACCATTCCCTTTCTAAACAATGTTTCCTTTTCACTTTCCTATCTAACTGTTGAAAAATTTAATCAAGTCATGAATTTGAATTCTGGAATTTTCAAAGATTCAGATTTTGATGGCGATTTTGATTTATTTCACTTTGATCAAGTTTCGTTTGTTGGAAATTCATATCTTGCTGGATCGAGACTATCAATTCTTGAATTGAGATTTCCAGAAAATACATTATTGCAGCAATATCGATATGTATTGAGAAAAAGAACACCTTTGGATGTTGCCTATGATTTAACAGTTACGGAATTTAAATTAAGTACTGCGACTAGAATTTATGACAGATTTCTGTCAGGTGCTCAATTTGTGAACATTCCAGTTGGAATGACAGAAACGTTTTATTGTGATGCATGTGTTGCAACGTATTTAGATATTAATGATTTGGGATCAAAGGCATCATATTATTTGACAACCATTCCACTTTCGAATAATGTCACCATTAATGCAATTTTCACATTATCCAATGCCATGAATTCCAATTCAGTGAACGTGTGGAAAACATCAATGAGCGTTTCTATAACGAATTCAAAAGTGACCTATTATGTGACTTCTACCTTGAATGCCATTTCAGATTTATACATTCAAGTGACAGCTGTCAATTGTACAGACATCAATGGCAATTATTTACCGCAAAACACATGCCCATTTTCCTTCTCAGTCAAACCTAACAATCGACGTGCTTTCGTATCAGGTATTGATGCTGCCATCGTGGTCACAGCCGTCGTCCTTAGCTCTGTAATCTTCCTCGCGCTCATTATTTCCTCCATTTACTTTTTTTACAGATATCGAATGAGCAAACGTTTCGATCTCCATGAAGATCGAAATGGCAATTTCAGAGACATGTCTTCCTTCGCTCATTTGGCGCATCGATCGAGCGGTGGAGTTAATACCTATGATGAAAGCCGACAACCACACAAATCCAATGATCCTTTCGTTCGATTAGATAAATTACATGGCTATTCATTGGATTCAAGTACTCATTACATCATGGATGCTAATGTGAATTCCAATGCAAGAAATGTTTCTAATAATTTACAAAATGGAATTCCAATTCAAGAAGCATTACAATATGGAGTGGATGTGAGAAAACAAACCCCATTGACACCTCAAATGATGATACCTCAAGTGGGACATATTTTGACCGATTCCATGATTCCTCATTTGGATCAACCAGTGTTACAAGAGGTGGAAATGCAAGAACTGTCAAATGTCACACAGAATCCACTCTTGTTTCATCCATCCATACAAATGAAACCATCAGAACAAGAACCATTTCCATCGATGAATGATTACATCACATCTGGAAATGAATACTTCTCATCACAAACTGATTCAATCGTTGTCGATCCACAATCATCAATGACTGTAAATCAAGAAACGATCCAAAACAAGAACGAACATCAATCATTGGAACATGATCCGTCTGATGTAGCTGCTGCTGAACATTCCAATCCTCCATCTACTTCAACTGCAATTTCTTCATTTCATGAAAATTCATCAATTCTCAATAATTAGAAAATACAATTTTTCACACACAACCAATACGTTTATTACAAGTGATTGAAAATTTCACACACCTCATTGCTAGAGAAAACAAGTAATTCGAGAACAAGAGAACCATCAGTGTGTGAAACATCTTCTCAACAAATACTACTTTAGAATTTTACATGTAGCATCTTCTTGGAAGTTTACATCTTCGACACATACATCCATATGGATAGGAACATCCACGGAATCTTCTGTAAAAGTAACGTCTGTTTCTATAGTAACATCCCCAATATTGAGCACATCGAATGGTACAACTGTAGACTCCATATTGTGAAGAGTATTGCTGACGTTGAGCCATGACTCCCATGTGGTTGTTGGGAGAATGGAAATGGATACAACAGAGCAACACCAGAAGGGCTAAGAGCACAAGAAGAAGGCAATATTTGGTTTTCATTGGAGTTGTTGTAAGATATTGTTACGAGAGGACTAATTGCTCGATGGAAGGTTTTTTTGGTAAATTGTGGATCGAGTGGAGAGTGTGTGCGAGATGGAATGAAATGGTTCTCTCAAATTTCAATGATGAAATATGGAGATGCTTCTGGAAAGGCCAGAGCCTGTGCTGTTGAAGGGAAATAAAATTGGGAAATGGGCATAAATGGTTAAAATACAATTTCACTGAAAATCGATTTGGATGTATCTCATTGTTTAACTCGATTAAAATGGTTGTGTATTTCAATGAAAATTTGGAAAATTACTTGTTTTGGAAAATTCAATTGTGGCTAGGTTGTGAAACGAATAATCATGACTCGTTTATTTTGGTGAGATTCCAATGTAACAAATTCAATGAATCATTGTAAAAAGGTGATCAATCTCTTATTAATAAATAAAAAATTAAAATTCATTAAGGCTTATTTTTCACACAGTTCAAAATTTCATCCTCTGACAATTTGTCACCATGTGGTTGTTGTTGTTGTTGCTTCGAACGCTCCAAACAAAGCCTTAAAAGCTCATGAGCTGTATACGAAGCATACAATGCTTGCTGTGAAGAAAGGGATTGATGATTGGAAAGTAAATATTGGAAAACTTGACGTACATTGTCCACAAAATGTGTTTGTTCATGCGCATCTCGAAATGAAATCAAAAGTGGTTCACTTAAATTTTTTGGAACAAAGAATGCATGTTGTAGAATGGTTGCAATCGATGGCCTCTTGTTGGGATCTTTCACTAGAATGGTTTTGAGAAGAGAAATGGCTTGTTGATATTCCTCTGCAACAGCAGGAAATGAAATTTCAGAATTTTCATCCGTAATGAGAGAAATCTTTTTGATATGATCCTGAACGTCAGAATAGGGTGTTTTGTGATAAATGGTTTGATAGAGCATAATTCCTAAACTCCAAATATCTCCAGGTGGTCCAAATTTGTATTTTGTTGAGCCGTCATTCACGACATGATTTTTGAAACTTTCTGGAGGAAGAAAATTGAGTGTTCCAACAATGGTATTTCGTGAAATGTTTTGAGTATTTTCATGTTCAGGTACTTTGGCAATTCCAAAATCAATAAGTTTTAACTTTCCATTCACTAATAGAAAATTAGATGGCTTAATATCGGTGTGAACAATCTTCTTGGAGTGAATGAAAGCCACAGCTTCAAGCATTTGTCTCCAATATTGTTTCAATTCGTCAATAGTGAAGGGATTATCCTTATTGTGCTTTTTTAAAATTGTGTTAAAGTCGTGACTGCCTAATTCCATCACGAGTAGAATTTCATCTCGACTTCGATGAGGTCTGTGTTCATAGTCAATTAATCGAATGATGTTATTGTTGACGTCGTCGTCTCTGAGAGATTCCAATAATTTGGCTTCATCGAGAAAGCCCTTGACAATGCTGGCGTCATCAGTCTTGTCAATTTTAATGTGCTTAATGGCAACTTCTTCATTCTTTTCCAAGTCAATGCACTTGTAGACAGAACAGCTTCCTCCAACTCCAATTTTACGCATCACTCCGTATTCTCGATTGTTGATTTTCACAACGATGGTAAATTTTCGTTTTTTAGAATCACTTCCTTCACTGGAAGGAGTGGAACTACTTGTTGGTGTCGTCGTTGTTGAGGATACTTGTTTGGATGAAGGAGTTGCAAAATTATTGGTAGAAGTTGGCATTTTGTTAGCAAGAATTTCTTCACGTGACCTCTTGAGTGGTGCTGACATTTCCATCGACGAGTTGGTTGTCGTTGTCGACTGAGAACTCGTATTGTAAGGCATGGTTGACACATTAGACACTCCATTCTGTTGCATGCTGCCAATCGTTAATGGAGGAGGAGGACTAAGGAATGAAGGTGTTTGCTGCGTTTGTTGATACGTCGATTGTAAAGCTCCATTCGAGTTCGACACGGGTGTTGCATATGAAGCATTGTTGTTCATCAATGAATTGGATGAATTGGATGAATTCATTCCATTATTGACAGAACTTTCCACGCTGTTGTGTGATGATGGTTTTGTGAATAAATTGGTCCTAGAAGAAGGTGGTCTTGCTGCACTAATCAATTGCAAAGGTCGTTCTTGAGAGTTTAAACCTTGTTGTGAGGGTTGTTGTGAAAGAACATGTGGTTGAGGGGAAAGTCTTCGTGTTGCTCTCGAAAAGAGACCTTCTGTTGGTTGTGGAGGTGAAGATTTGTTTTGTAAAGTGGTCGAAGAGGTTGTTGAAGGAATGGATTTGGTGACAGTTGGCAGTTCAGGTGAAAACGATTTGAAATGATTTGAGGATGGAGGAGGAGTTGGTTTAAAACTTAAATGAAATTGAAAACTTCCCGAATCCAAAATCGAATTCTTCACTTGCAACAAGACTAGTGATTTTTCAAACTTTTTCAAACCTTGTTGAATTTTCGAAAGACTCTTAAACATACGATCCTGATGATCATCATTCACAAACCATTCATATTGAGCATATAAAAAGTAATACGTTTCATCCTCCTTAATAGGATGACTACACGATGAAAAGTATTCAAATTGTTTCGAGAGATGATCTTGCATTTCATTCTCAATATGAGGCATGTTACAATTTAAAAGAGAAACTGCGAGAAGCATCCACATGAAATACAAATCCTTTTCAGTATTCGACATGATACTTGTCGTCGACAACTGATGGATCATTCCATCTTCAATGACATGAATACACACTCGAATGAATTGAACTTTTTGATCCAAATACATGGCATGAGGAGAACCATCTAATTTTGTATAAACATCGACCAGTTGAGAATAAATTTGAAGAGGAGAGATTTGTTTTAATTCTTCCAGAGTTGGAACGAAAATATAGGGTTTACTTTGTCGGAGATAGGATCCGAGGGTAGGCTTATTTGATGATGATGATTTTAATGATGATGATGATGTTGAGGAAGAAGAAGGAGGTTGGCTTTTTTTGGAAGAAGAGGATGAATAGGAAGAAGAAGGATGGAGGAGATTTTCCTTGTTGTTGGTGCCAGTGGTGTGATGATTGTTGGTGCCAGTAGTGGTCGTGGATGATGGGGTCGGAGTGGCCAACATTTTTTATGTTAAAAATTTGAAATTTATAACGGATTTTTTTGGCGGGAAGATAATTCTTGTGTGGACCTTTGAAAATCGATACTTGGTATTACTTTTCTTTGTTAATCTTGTTTTTTATTTTGTGGCATTTGACAGCGAAGTTGGGTTTTGAAAAGGAAACACCCTGAATTCATGAATGAGAGAGATACATCTCTTGTCTCAATGAAGTGATGTCTCAAAAAAACAACTTAATGTCTCTCATTTAACCGTTGATCATTGATTTTGACAGAAAAATGTCAGAACGACCCATCATCCTGATTGACCCAATGGTCAATGTTACTTCGATCGATTACTTTTTACCGTCTTATCTCAATGCCATCTCGCTAGCCAACAGTCTCTTCTTTTTAACTTGTTATTTCATCTTTTTTTCTTGTTTTGGAATCATGCTATTCATCATTACAAAAAAACGAAAAATATCACTCAAGAAAAATCCCAAAATTTTATTCATTCTTGTGGCCATCTTTGTTTCGATTCAATGTGCCACTTTATTTGTTAGAATTGTTTTTGATTCGTGGAGTATGGACGCGAGAGCTCTCAAAGAAAAAGATTCTCAACAATTGTTCTCAAAAGGATATTTCTTTTCGTTGAAAGCAGTTGGAGCTTTGACTACGTTATTGTCGACCATTAACTATGTTTTTGTGTTTGTCATTTTGTTTCATGTTCAAATGGTGTTGTAAGTTTTAGCTGGAATTCTGAATGTTGTAAAATTTTGTAAAAACTTGGAAATAGTTGGACATCAGCTCAACAATTAGGAGCTCTGTCAACCACTCTCTATGAACGGATTAAGAAGGTTACGAGCGCTCTGTTTGGCGTTTTTGCCTTCTTCTCTTTGATGGCAGTTTTGACAGCGACTATCGCTCAACTATTGAATGACACAACCGTAATTTCTTCATCAACCATGGCCATCATACTCTATTCATGTTTTGCAGTATTATGCAGTGCCTTTCTCTTTGACATCATTCTTACCTTAATGAGCGGATTTTTCATTCTGAAAGGAATTCACAAAAATTCATCCTACTTCAAATCTTTCAAACTCCTTTGCTCCTGTAAACAAAGTAATCCCTTCCTCGTCACTTTCGGCTTAATGATTGGATTAATTTTGTGCGTGTGTGGTCAATTATTGGCAACTGCCTTAGTATCGGCCGCAGGTTCGAGTCGAGGAAGTGGCCTTAAAATTTTGTTAATCTTTGCAACGTTGAGCTTGTTGTTGTTCCATCCCATGTTTGTTCAGACGGAGAGGGCTCTTTCTCAAGTTCAACATTATAACTATCCACCCTCAATATCCTCAATTCAGGATTCCATTGAAAAAAAGGAAGGAACGAATTCAACGTGCTTGTCCATCTCACCTTCGGTATCCTCTCCAACTCCTATTTTGAACGAATTACAAGTTTAAGAATCGATATTATTCAATTTATTCATGCTTGTTCCCATGAACACTTGTCGATGGAAGGACATTTTGAATCCAATACAAAGTCATTCTCAGAAACCACTGCACGTTGTTCTGAAAAAACTGCATTCATGTATTCTTTTCGATTGGCATTATCAGAAATCTCATCGGCTTCAACGATCCAACAATTTCCTGGATGACCATTCACTCTAGAAGTGACAAATCTTGTATTGACAAATTGTTGAGAATTATAGACTTGATCCGTAAAGAGCATAATGGGATATAGACCAATGTTGGAGGTTTTCACAGTGCTTCCTTGAGCACAGGTTTTCTTGAAAGGAGTGCCTCCAGTATTTCGTTCTTTTCTGCATGAACACAAAGTAGAATTCCATCTATAGATGTATTTCATGGATAAATCCGAGGACAAGAAACTCAATATCGAATACGATGGTTGTGGATATTCATTGAAATAAACTTGAAGATAATCCTCTCGAATTCTATGTTGAAGAGAGTCCACGTAAGTGTGATGCACAGTCAATGTTGTGAAATTGGCTTTTAAAGCATTGGAAGATGTGGCAGTTTGTGTTCGAACGTGATGAGAATATTGAGGAGGAAGACAACATTGATGTTGACCAGTGACAGTAAGTACTTGCAACGAGAGCAAACTCAAGACGAGAAGGAGGCAGCAGGTCCAAGTGGTTGTTGAAATCATTTTTTTCGTTCCAGTTCTATCCTCAACTTTGTCTCACTATCACGAAACACAAGCTCTTCGTTTATCACGGTCACCCGACTCCTCAACACAACTTCCTTTTCAAGCATTTAAAGAAACCCGTAAAGAAAAGGCCCAAGTCAACTTGAATTTGGATCAAAAAAAAATACTCTGGAACAATAGAACTACCCTTTCACACACCATGAGACCTCTTCCTTCTGTCATTGCGTTTCTTCTTTTCACATCCTCTCTCTTGATTTTCTTCTTTGTGCAATTCTCAGTGCAGGATTACACTCTTTGTTGTTATCCGTTTGAATATTCCCACAAACGATACTGCCCTCAAGTCGATTCTCAAATATACTATAAAAGCAATTATTCTGAAGTATATACCATGTTTGCACAGAGAGATGTGACTCATCAACGAGCTCGGTATGATGTCTATGATTATTTCAAAAATGGACAACAAAGAGATTCTTACACAACTGTCGTGTTTAGAAGTCAAGTCGACAAAATGGCCTACGTCTTTACCAATACTTCAAGTAGTTGCACTTGCTACAAGTTCAATCCTACGGGACCTGTCGTTTCGGAGCATTGTGTAGAGGTCTATGATGACTCGGTGGTCAATAAGACTCAACTGGGTGGAATTCCAATGACTCGTGTAATGAACAATGACAAGTATGTTGAGAGCAATCTCTTGGAGGAATATCATGTCTATGCAACAGATACTGGACTGGGTGACCATACGTGTTGGGTCTTTTTGGAAACATTTTTCATAACATCAACCAGTTCAGACGATACAACTCGATTCAGTGCCATCCAGAGTTATTATGATCAATCTCCAAAGGTGGATCCTAATGCATTTGGAGTGGATGTGAAATGTCCTCCACCAGAAAAATGTGACTTAATTCAGGAAAATTCTGCAGTGTTGTTGGAATTGAAGAAATTGGAGCATGGTCATGTATATAGAGAAAGAAGCAGGAAGAGAAATTAAAGTTGTGATGTTTTGGTCGTGCAATAAATCCACACATTTGCTTTCCATTCTTTGTCGACTAGTGTTCATATCTTTTGAAAGTCACTTCTGAATATCCTTTAATTTCTTGGTCGATTTAATTTGCAGATTTCAGTCCATTCGTGACGAGAAATTTCATAAGGTTTGGTCATTTCCATAAACTTTTCGAGTGGAATTAAACCAGTCTTTGAATCTTGAACAAATTGTTCCTGTTGCTCTGGTTTCAAAAACAGTGTCTGGTTGTTGTACACAATTTTCACAAACTGTTTTGAAGGATTTTTCTTGGTAGCATAGAGTTCAAAAGCTAATGTGGCTGCAAAAGCTGGCCACTCATCATTGTACATATTCAAGGCAAGTAATAGTGGCATAATGGTGGTATCATGCGCAAGGTAAACTTCCATTTTTCTTTGATCCAACTCTTTTTGTAAATGCTTGTTGCCACTCTTTTTCATACTTGTCACCAAATGCCTCAAAAGCATGCCGACATTCATTTTAAGAACGTCATCTTGTGCCGAAAATAAAAAAGATCCGCTTTTTCCAACATGTTGTGAAACATACTCCACATCTTGAAGAGTAATGCCTTTTGGTAACTCGTGACCATGAAAAAGCATACCAAGGAAGGCATTGTTGATGGATTCCCATTGTTGCAAATCTTTTGCATTATTCACACGTTTTGCTTCAAGTAAACCCTTGTCATGAATTTCTGATGTTTGTGATTGGGCAGGTTGTGGCTGAGCAGAATTAGCTTCCAACAAATCAAGTAATTTATCCTTAATTTCAAGGAGTCTTGGATCCTTTTCAGTCTCCTCTCCCAACGTTTTAAGTCGTTTCGAAATAATGGACCCTAACTTGGCACAAACTTTAAAGTGGCCATACAATGTCTCTCTAGATTCTTCAAACATGTGTATGGTTGGGTATTCTTTCGCATTCTCTCCTAACAGGCCCAATAATAAATACATGGCAGAGTATTCTGTTCTTCTACTTCTAATATCACTCGATCTAACATACATTAATTTAACAATTTCATCAACTGATAAATTTCCAAACAATTTTTCCAAATACTGATCTCTCAAAGATTTTCCAACTTCAACCATTTGCAAAGAACCTTTTGCTGTGAGCTGACCTTTCATGCAATTTCCATACAATTCTAATCCATCGTCTGTTTCCATAACAGCCTTGAAATGTGCATGATTATCGCCAATCAAAACCACTTTGGAGTCATACGGTAAACATTCCCATGGCTTACTGTCAATAAAACTCGGAATAGCATTGATAGGTGTTCTTGCTCCGTGGCGATTAATAATTTGAACTTTAATCAATTCCAATTCATCCTCCGATTGAATATCTCCAAAATAGAATTGATACAAATCTTCGGCTTGCAATGGACTGCTTCCAATCCAATTCTTGAAATGATCATCTTGGTTTGAAGACCCATCAAGCTTCGTTGATTGATCTTGATCATGATGAAAAATTCCATACAAGCCTGTTGCTAAAGCGAGAGTACTCCCAATCATGAATACTCGTTTTCCATGATGGATTTTCTGACTCGTGTTGAGAAATGAAGAGGATGAAAAAATCTTCGTTTTAAATACTTTTCCGAATAGTGATGATGTAAAGGACATTTTTTTTGAGGAACTTGCCTCAAAAACAATGTTTAAATGTGCAATTTTCCAGAATTCTGAAGGTTCATCAAAGGTCCTGCAGTTTTAGCTAATAAAAAGATGACTTAAATGTTGTATTTACAGTTCACATTTTATTACAACAGCAACAATGATTTATCTCTTGGTTGCTGCATTTCTTTGACAAGCTTTAAACACTTGTTCTGTGGAAGGTTTGGCAGCAATGGTCGATCCATAACTAAATGTTGTGGCATCTGTGTTACCGACACGAGCACAGCTTGAGGTAGCAGTGGTAAACAAATGGGTAGGCACGGTAGACATGGAATTACATTTCATAAGGTCGCTGGTTCGATTCGACGTGAATCCAAAAGTTTGCACTTGTTGAACCTTTGCATTTTCTGTCAATTTGTTCATTTGTTCCAACAATTCGTCTTGTTTCATGGTTTTCACTCGTTCAACACCTAATTCTTTAATCTTCTCGGCAATGAGTTGATCCATTTCATCATCTTCAATACATCCATTAATAATCAAATTTGGAATTTTGTTGGCATTGGTCAATAACAGACATTTTCCGTTGGTTTTCGTAGCCAAATAGTCCATAAATAAGATCAATTGTTGATCCTTTTGTGATCGTTCACATACGAGTGTGTAAAAAACACAACCCTTTTCCATGACGTAATCGGCGAGTTTGATCCAATCAATGACTTGATTGTTTTCATCTTTACATCCTTCTGGATAACTGTCACCGCTCGCTCCCATTCCATGAGGTGGAGCATCTGCAATCCAAATGACAATTTTCTTTCCGTTTTTGTTGAATGGCATTTCTGAAACAACTTTCAAAGCACTGGCCAAAGCTTCAGGATAGTCACCACCTCCTGTGGCACTCATTTCCTGAATGTATGATTTGGCAACTGAAACGTCACGAGTGAATGGATATTCCTTGACAGCATGGTCATCCGAATGATCTCGATAACTCACTGCTGAAAATCTCAAATCGGATTTGAAATGATCGTGGAGTGATGAAATGATGGTTTGAATGGTGTCTTTGGCGACATTGATTTCACCAGACATGGATCCAGTATTGTCACACACAAAAACGAGATCGACAATCTTTTCACTGAAATCGACCAATTCTTGTTCTTGAGGAGTCAATGCGGGATGTTGTGCTTTCAAGATTGCTCCTCGTGTGATTGTAGGAGTCATTTGAGGAAGGGAAGGAAATGAAAATGTAAAGGAAGAGCTAGTTGTGGATGGTACTCTCGACATGGCTATTGTTGTTGAAATTGTGTTGATCTGTTTTTTTTTTGTTGTTTTTTTGAACGCGTACCAAAGGAGCTTTTTATGCTCCACAGAAACGTCCCCACCGAGAATTCCTAGTTCTCTGTTCAAAGGAAATCCTGCTTTTTGTGTTACATACAGAAATGTCCTTACTTGTGTTCATAAGTGTTTAATAAATTAAAGTTCACAATTATATTTGGTGGATTAAAGGTTGTTTTTGAAAAGACTGGCGTCGTCTTCTCTGCTATCGAGAAGTCCAAACATGTTCGAAATTTTTGCAAATATCGAGGACATGGATGGTAATTGAAGAGAGGACGATCGTGTTCGAGAGTCACCAGCAATATGACTACTACTTCGAATCTTTCTCAAATTTTCTCGTTGAGTTCGTAATGCTTGCTTTTCTTGTTCAGTTAATGATACGAGTTCGTATTTTGCCTTGAGGTTGGTCATGAGACGTGAAGTGAGTCGTACGCTGAAGGCATATTTGAGAAGTGTTTCAACATCAGTTTGTTCTGCATTTTCATAAATTTTTGATGTCACTTCGGTAGCATTGCATCCCATTAACTCCTTACGTGATAATTTCAGTAGTGCAACAATTAATCGTACCATACTGCATGTGTTGATACCGTCGCCGACAAGTTAGTGATTCATTCAATATACAAAAACATGTCTTAAAATCATGATAGAGCTCACAACAAGTACCTACATTTTCCATCCTTCATTCAAAAATATAGACCAAATTCTTTGTGAGGCCGTAAATGTAAATCTATTCGTACATAGTGTCATTAATATTGAACTGGCATACATTTCTGGTAAAATGTAATTTTCTTCGAGATGCTTGTGAATATCTGGCAACCGTAGCTTGACCAATTCAGAAACCATAAACATGACCATTCTTAATCGAGGTAAGCCATCACAAAATATATCTTTCAGGCCGTGTTTCGCATTATTCATGATTTGAACAAAGAACCAAAATGTGTCCTCTTCGTCTTCAAGGTTCATTAAAGCAAAGCCACATATAAAAGCCATTCCTTGACAGTATCCTGTTTGCTTGTCAAAATAGCAATACGCTTTTAGAATACGACACAATGCTTTTTGACCTGGCCCGTCTTTTTCGCTAAAAAATTCATATTGTGGATACGTTCTATACACATCTTTCATAATTCTATGAACGTCGTCTTCTAGAATTGTTTCATCAAGTTGTGTCAGCTTTTTGTACAGACCCGGATATTTGTTGGATAATTCTTCGGATCCAACCATACGCTTCCAAATGGTTTTCATTAACTCTTTTGTTGGAATTCCTTCTCGAATAAGCTTTCGGAATTGTTTCGGATTTTTTGTCACATATTCATGATAATTAGAGGTAATTTCTTCAAATTGTTGAATTCGTTTCGAGTCGTGTTTCGCTTCAAAAATTATTGAGCTATATACTTTGGGAGTATTTGTCTGTGAATTTTCATCAAGAGAATGTTCTCTTGGCGATCGAATCTCATTCACAGAGGGATATGAATTGATCGCTTCGTTCACGATCAGAATCGAATTATTTCTTGCTGTTGACGTAGAAGATGTTGGAGGTGTCGTTTTCCCATCTTGCTCTTCTGATTTTTTCACACTCAAAATATCAGCAGCACACAAGGAAACCCGTCTCGATCGTGCATTAAAGTAATTGTCTTGAATTTGATTGGAAAGCTCATCTTGTTGCGACTCATCTTCGGAGCAGCATGAAGAAGAGTCATCACTCTCTTCCTCTTCATCAAATCCATTCGTAGACGCTTCATTCATAGAAGTAGTGGAAGAACTAGTCATGGAAGTGAGAGGTAATCGTGATGAAATTCTTCGTTTCCGCTCTTGTGGTTTGATCGTTGGTGATGAGTCTAGATTTTCTCCTGTCGTCGTCGTGGTAGTGGCTTCATTGTTACTTGGTGTTGCAGGTTGTTTTTCCGTTACAGGATCATGATGTTGGCTCATCAAAGGCTCATCAGCAAATGAAACCACTCCATAAGGCTTTTTGGAAGTGGTGGTTGAAAATGGATCATTGTCTTGTTGTGATGATGATGAGATTAATAAATTATTGTGTTCTTGTGGATGCATGATTGGTTCATCCCGATGTTGTTGCTCTTGTTCTTGTGGAATTGCAATCATGGATGGGTCTTGTTGATGATAGGATCCAGTAATTTCTGCTTCTTCACCATAGGATGAATGTGCATCATGGTTGATTATAATGGACCCAGACGATGATTGAGCGGTTGTGTTCGTTCGTGATTCATCATGGCTGCAAGATGGTTTTGGAACAGCGTTATTATTACTGCAGGACATTTTTTGTTTGATTTTTATTGATATTGGACCCAGAGAGTAATTGGATCTTTTTTGATCGAACGAATGGGTCATACGCCGGGGTTGTGGTGTGATGGATTGAAAAATGTGTCTCATCATTGTATACAATTATGAAAGATCCAGTGAGACTCCAAGTTTTGTGAAATTAAAAATTCAAAAACTTGGAAATACGGAGCTAATAAATAGTGAAAGAGATGGAATCAATACTCTAATCATGCATGTAATAAATATCATGTGCTACAATTGAGATGTCTGTTAAATTATCCCTAATTAAAGCTGAAAATAGATTTGGAAATGCTCTCAAACATCTATAATTGAGAATGGTATTCATTTCAATGGTCATGAAAGTATCACTTCGTGATCCAGAGTCATAACCTCCATAGAGATGAATTTTTCCTCGTTTCTTATCAATAAACATGGAAGAACAATTCAATGCTTTGATATTAGTCACGTTAATTGCCTTCCACTGTTCTGTCACAAAATTAAAAATAAAGCAATGAGAATAGGGAATATATTGATCGTCACATCCACCATAGATCAACAATTCCGTTGGAGAAATTTGGCATGTCGAATTGGCATGACCAAACAATGGAGGTGGTATTGAGGTTCCCATGAGGTCAACTATTCTCCATTTTTGATCAGCAAAATCATAGATACATAATTCATCGCTCAATTCTTGTGCTCCAACTCCGACATCTCCTCCATAAACAATTAGCAACTCTTTTCCTTGATTATATACAATATTTCCACTTGCATAGGCACGAGCAGAAATGTAGTTTTTCTGGAAAATTTTTTTCCAAGTGCATTTAGAAATATTATATTCATACATTTCATTGGTAGAGTAGGAATCATTTCCAGAATAGAGCAGTAAGGAATGATTGGATTTTCGATAAAGGAAAATATGTCCTCGGAGTTTAGAAGGACCATTAGCATGTTTGTACCACATTCGAGTGGTTAAATTGAAGCTATAGAATTCATCGGTCCACTGTGATTCATTGGGAGCTTCCTGATTGACACCTCCTAAAGATATTCAATTGATTTCACAATGAATTAGATTGTGACAATTTGTAGTGAAACAACAAAATTTCACACTTACCATACAGCCAGAAAATTGGATCTTTTCCTTGTTTCACAAAGCCATGGTAATACCTCGTTTGTGGAACAAGAATTGAGACAGCTTCAATTGGAGGTAGCCATCGATTTAATGACATATCATAGATATGAATCTAGATTTCAAAAGATATCCAAAGTCCAAATTTAGAAAGTGTCAACAGCAAGATCAATAGCATCGCATCATCATAATTTTTATATCATCAGGCAATGATGACTCAAAGACTTACCATTCCCTTTGTTGAATTTCTTCCTCCCCAAAAATAGACCAAGTCTCCTTCTGTGATGCAAACATGACTATCACTCACACCAATCGAATATTTATACATTGGTTGTTGTTGTTGTTCAGTATCATCATCCTGCCGAGCTAGATCCTCTTCGAGTGGTAAAATGGCTACTGGTCTAAACCAATTGGACTCTTTTGGTGAGAGTCCATCGGACGAAGAGTTGTTTGCTGCTGCCGATCGAAACAAATGCACGTGTTTGTATGGTCGCATTTTTTTGTTGTTGTCGTCTCAATGACTTTTTGGCGGCAATCTTGTTGAATCGAAAGGGGTATTTTTTGACCTATTTCGTTTCATGGATAATGAACAGTGGAATACAGTGGTTTCGATAAATGCTGTTTGTGAGAACATAGTGAATCGTTGTTCGAATGGCGCAGTGAAAATGATCTTCTCTGAGATGGCTTTTTCATTTCTCCATTGAGGACAATTTCTTTACCCAGAGGACTTTTCACAAACCAGCTACAATTTGACCGCTCACAAATTAAAAAGTGAAATTGCTTTTCATCTATTTGACCAATCAAATAAAAAAAGAAGAAACAACCCTCACTCGAACCTTATCATCTCACAAAATGGTATCGTCAATGCATAATTCAAATCAATCCAACGATGAAACATCCAACATGAAAAACAAAGACTCGTCATCCATTACAAATTTTTGGACTCCCTTGTTTCGAAAAATTCAACACTGGAGCGGAATTGCCTTCTCCGTATTCACATCCATGCATGTGGCCACAACAGTTTCAGCAGCTCTTTCTCCTCAAACCTATGATCAAGTATTGGAATCGACACGAGCATGGTATCGTCCTTCCAAGACTGTTGAAGGTTTAGTCGTGATGAGTCCTCTCATTGTTCACTTGTTGGCAAATTCTTACTTTTTCTATTTGAACTATTTTCCTCCCAAGTCATTGATGAAAAATGTTGAAACTCAAGAATTGGAGAAGAGAAATATTCAAAGAAATTCCAATATGGAAACATTAGTAGTGAAAAAACCCTCCATTTCGATTTGGAAAAGACTTCATCAATATTCGGGATATATTCTCTCCGTACTCATTCCTGGTCATATTTATGGAGTGAGATTTGCAAATTCGTATCAACAAGAATTTGCTGCGTTGAGACACTTCTTAGAGAAGGGAGTGGGTCATTTCATTGGAATGTCTTACTTTGGAATTCTAATGACTACTGGTGTCTATCACATGCTGTTTGGATTGAATACTGCTCTGGGATATAAGGTAAAAAGACCCTTCCTTTTGGGAGGAATTGTGGCAATGTTGGCCGCTGCTTATTTTGGATTGTTAGGAATTGGAGGTTACTTGTATCCAGTTGATGCTATGCGAGAAAAATTTCACAAATTCGATTAATCTCTTAACGTTTTCCTTTCATTGTAAATAAAATTCGTACATGAAATTACATATATAATACAAATTCATCAAAATGGCTCACTCTGTGACATCTTTCGGTGGTTATTTCAGGCCTCTATTCTCTTGCATTGTCTTGATCGATAGCCATTCCTTATATTGAGCTGTTTGTTCCAAGCGCCCAAAGGTGTCCAAAATGTTGATGATTAATTCGTTCCAAATCACGTCGAACAATTTCTGTGTCGATACTTGTTGGAGATTTGCATTCCTGCACTCTTCAAGAAGCTTGTAAAAGTGATGTTTTGTGCTGGATGGTAAATTAATTTCATATTTCGAAAAATTAGCAATAAAATCCTTCTCAATGTCTTCTAATTGTGAAAGTGAGACCGTTTCACTTTTGATGGATTTCAACAATGAAAAGAGTTCAATATTTTCAATACTAAATTCTTTAGAGGCATATTCTTTGAGTAATTCCAAGAGGTCAATATTTTCTGCGAGCAAATCTTGAAGTTCGGTCGAGGTTTTCTTTGCATTTCGATTTCTAAGCTTTTTGACAATTTCAATGGTGAGTGTTGTTCCTCCACAAAACATGACACAGCAAATACAAAGAACTGTGTTGAGTATGGCGCTGGCACCTCCTGAAGTAGCTGCTTCTGCTAATCCTGGTATAGTGTTGCCCAATATTACAAGAATGGCCACAATGATGACCAAGCTAATGGAAATTAAATCAATACGCACATAAAAAGGGTCGTCAAATAATAGAAAAGTAAAAAGTCCTTTTTGTCTAATCTTCTTTCTGTTTACAAAAATGTCAAATGATATTGCAATTAAGGCAAGTATGCTGCCCAAAATAATAATTACGAATAAAAATATTACTCGGAAAGTATTAGTCTCCTCAATAGAATTTCCAAAGAAAATATAAATTCCAATCGAAGAAAATACTACACTCATCATAAATGAGAGAAAACCTGTGATGAACAGCCCAACTCGATTGGTGGCCAATATTTTGAGCAATTTTTTATGCCTTGACTTTGAAATAAATGTATATAAATTTCTCAAATAATAAAATCGCACTACTGAAAAGAAATAGATTAGGAAAAACCATGTATAAATGATCATTGAAACAAAATGGAATATTGGAGAGCAAAGTCTCACTAAAAAATTGCAAAACATTAAAAATACAATAAATAGAAGTAATGGTGTGTAAGGAACAAGAAGTCTTCTCTTAAATGCTGGAATTTTGTAGCTTCCTGTTGCAAATAATAGCACGAAATAGAGTATGAAAATTATGAATTGGGGAAATATACCAGAATCTGTTTCAGGCCGGAAGATCTTGGAGAGACAAAGAGTATCAGCACCACATGGATGACATGTGGAAGGAAATAGAGAGCTTACGACAGCATTCAAGTTCCAATTAGGTGAAGTCAAGTTATGTGAGGCTAGAAATAAAGGCATGTAATGGTTATACACTCTCCAGTCGTAGGAAATAGCTTTTCGAGAGATATATCGAACTAACTCTGCATCTTGTTGAGTGAAATTAGAGTACCCTGTCAAGAATCGATAGGTTTGTGCATCTGCTACGTCAGCATTTAGACATGTCATATCCGCGTAATCAAACATTAAACCCATGGTTTGATTTTGGAGGAGATTGGTATTGTCGGACCATGTATTTTTAACGCTCTTCACTATCAGTGTGTTTGGAATCAAAGGAATTGGAATGAAATCATTAGTATTGATGTAATTTTGAGATGCTGTTGTAGACTGTTGTGTTCGATCTCTGTATGTTCTCAAGTAAAAAGCAAAATCATAAGGATCCATAACAACAGCATCGTGTTGTTCAAATACGTTACCTATTCTACATGGCTCTGACCACACCCTCATTTTGCGAACAGTTATGGGTAACGTGTCAGATGTCAAGTTATGAAATTTCAGCATCTCATTAAAAGAGGCAACGTTGTGATTTTCGATTCCAATTTTGATAGAGGTGCCTACTTGTGTTATCTCCCCTTTTTTCTTCATCATCAGTTGAATAAAATCGTCTCGTGTCAAAACAATAGCACTTGATGAAGAATTGAGTTTGTCGAGTCAATCAGAAAAGAACGAATTAGATGTGGACACATTGTTAAATACCCTGTCCTTCCACACGAAGAGGGTCAAAAAGGTGTGTACTCCAACCAATGTGTCTCCATTCGAGAGCTTTCTGAGACTTGAAGATGAGAGAACTGCTGCGTAGGGAGTTTGTTGAGATATAGCCCATACATGTGTCAAAAGCAAAGACACAAGCAACAGCAAGATGAGAGGAGTGTGGGTGGCATGTGTGGCCATTTTGTTGGGTGTGGATGTTCCACGTGATTGACAAGATTTGAAAATGACGATTACGTTACACAGTATGCTTATCCTCAGACAACGATCACGCAAGTGTTTTTCGCTGGGGCTGACTTGGCCTCGCGTGGTCTATATCCAACCTAAACATGTCGACAAAATCCAAAAATGAGCAAGAATGTAGGCACCAATTCGAACACGTTCTCCATGCAGGCTTCTTTGTATCGGAATGCCCTCATTGACCAACATTACGTATTAATTCATCAAACTGTGCCTTCCTATCCTCCTCCATTAGAACAAATGGACCGTATCGTGATGATCCCATTTGACCGTTTGAGAAGTTCCAACCTAATCACTAATCTTGTTTTTCTTTTTGCTCGGAGCATGTTGGAGTGAAATGAACGAAGCAAATTGGTTTTGAAATATTTTTTTGAATTTTTAATTTGAAAACAAATCCAAACATTACAAGAATTATTGGTAAACGATACTTTTTCAACCTTGTTCATTAATAACTGCAGCTGTTATGAATTTATTATCATCAATAGAATCCAATGAGATTTTTGTTACTGAAGTTCAATAAAAAAATGCCACCACTGAAAAAGGCTCCTTCTTCATCGTTGCCCAAAGTTCAACTCTCGGAAGAGAAAAAGGCTCAACTCGACTCGGAATTAACTTGGTGTATTGAACATTTACAATTGGGATTGAAAAGAAAGGATGCAGATGAGTATCAAATTAGAGAGACCAACAAGGTTATTTCTACATTACAATCCAAGAGTGTTCCCGATGTTCAAAAAAGACAATTGATGAAAGTCGTGTTTGGAGATTATAGAAAATTAATGAGAATGGAAAAGCAACAGTTGGAGGAAGCTGAACGAAAGGAAGCTGCTAAAATGAAAAAGAAACAAGGTGCAGCATCATCTTCTGATGATAATGTTGAAAATGAAACGTCGATAACACCAGCTCAACAAGAGACCCAATCAATGATGACAAGCAATGCATTGGAAAATAATTATCAATAATATTTTGGATAGCTTAAACCCTGTAATCGTATTGAACTCCCTTTAATTTTTGGTGCTTTTGTGACGATTGGTTCTTTTGATTTTACAAGAAAACCAGACTGTTGTAACGAAATTGAGTTGAGAACACTCAACAGTCAACTGTCATAAAAAGAACCGATTTATTATTCAATTTCAAGAGCCAAACAAAAAACACTCAAAATCAATATCAGCATGGACGAATTCAATGCAAACTCTCTTTCTTGTTTATCAATCCTTGATGGTGTTCGTGGAGAAGATTCTTCGAACAGCCACAATCCAACTCTCACAACTACTCATGATGAAACTCAAGCACAGCACCACGGCCAGGTTTCTTCTTGCGTGAATGTTCCTTCCATCCAAATTATTGATCACGCTGATGATCAGTTCAGAAATCCCAACAACAACAACAACCAACAAATTGTTCACAACAACAATCACAGCACAACAACATTTGGTTGTGTTCAACAGCCGTCCTATGCAGTGTCCTTTGCCTTTCTTCCTATTTTCATTCCAGTGATGCCACCTTTTCCACCGACTACCAACCAACATGTAGGCCCTTCATTATGCAATACTAATGTTGATAACGACGATCACGAGGAAGAGGACGACGATGAGCACGACGATGAGCACGACGATGAGCACGACGAGGACGACCACGAGGACGACCACGAGGACGACCATGAGGAGTATCACGAGGATGAGCATGACGAGGACGACCATGAGGAGGACGACCATGAGGAGGACGAGGACGAGGACACTACGGAGCAGCCACAGCCAGAGTTATCAAAGAAGAGAAAGCAAGAGAGTAGCGTTCACACTTCTCGTGGAAGCAAAAAGATCAAGAAAGAGGCGACAAGTAGTGATGACGATGACATTAATCGAGTCGACAAACGAAATACATATCTTGAATGGGAATTGCCATCCAAGGAAATACCAGAGGGTGATATTGGTGTGGAAATTCGAGTTTATATCTCTCGAAAAACTCAACACCAAGCGAATGCAACAGATGGTAGCAAAGCCACCCCTCTTTGCAAGTATCGATTTACTGTTACTGAAATTACACAAACAGAGGATCACAAAATCTATGTCAGCCAAATTTTCCAGAAAATGGAGAACCGAATGAAATTTCCTGCCAACAAATACTTTTGGATTGAAATTGGCAAGTCCACTGAACGTATCTTTGTCTATTGTCAAGGTAGGGGCAGTGGGTCGAAAAAAGCTGTTTCCAAACCACGTACTGAACAGGACACAGAGAAGCATGAAAACACAATAACTAACCAGAAAAAGAAGACCAAGAATGTTGTGTCCATTGCTGTAGATGGAACAGTTAGTCTCAGAAAAGAAATTTTGAGCGCATACTCAAAACATACATCCAACGCCATTTTAACGCTTGACAACGAATTGTCGACCACATCAGCTTCAAGTACTTCATCTTCCAATGAATACTTGAGACAGATCAACTGAGAACTTGCTTGACGATTTATGCAGTTTCAAAGCACATGTCATTACTCTCTAATTCACTGAAGTATCAACTTTGGTGAAGTAAAGATTGGTGACATTTGTACATAAATCGCCAAGCAATATTCTCTTCGACGATAAAAGTGCAATGCGTTGATATTGAAAATACTTTGTATATACAACAAAATAAACCACACTGTAACATAGAAAGTGGATGTATTGTTCAATGGTTGTTTCAAACGCAACTGATCAGTGACTTTTTAGTTGTTTTTTAAAGACCATGATTAATCATGAACTTTGGATTAGATAACCTGTTGCATTCGTTGTGGTGTTGGGATGTTAAGGGTAGGTGGAACAAATTTTTATTTGAGTGAAAATATAAATTGTAAACATAAAGATTGTAAACGTTTTATACAACAACCGTGTTTCCAAAGTGTTGCTGTCGAGAACTCTCGACTCCTTTTCAAATCCAATACCCTTCTTTTGGCAAATATCCTGAGTTGTAAATCTTGAGTTTTCTGATTGGACGAAATCATATTGAGAGCTCTCATTTCCAGTCAAATGTCAAAAGATAAAATTGTTAAAAACGCCTGTCTTGCTTGAAGCAACTTCACAAAAATTCAAACAAAGAAAAAAATTTTACAAACAACTCATACACTCATGGCAACCATTCTCACCGACCCAATGTTGTTGGACGCCAACTCTTCTCTCGATTGTGCCAACAATGAACAAGCTTCCAACTCTCTTAATGATTATCGTTTTAAAGAATATGAAGAACCTTTGTTTCCAACCGAAGGATTAACCGTTGATGATCTACTTTCCGATCAGGAGGACGATGATCAAGATCAACTAAATGATCATGAATTGAATTCAATTTCAAATCACTTGATGCGTCATGATCAAGCAACAAATGCAGTCACTCCTCCTGACAACACTTTCCATCCACACGATGATCCACAAAGATCTTTGAACCAAAATTTGAATGCAAATTCTCATGTGGTTACAAAACCGAATCCGACAACCACTTATGTAAACTTTTCTTCTGTTGAGGAAAATAATCACAGAATTATTCTCAATCCAAATCTTGGACCACAATTTCCTTGTCAGAACGTAATGGTTCAAAATGTTGGTTATGCTCCTCCTTTCATGCAGCAGAATTATTATTTTCATCCCAGTAATCCAATGGGTTATCTGTTCCGTGCACTTTTGGGTGATCTTTCAAGCAGAAATCATGGAAGTACACATCTGCCAGTTGGTAATTATGGTAATTTTGGTTGTCCATATGGTTATGGTTGCGCAACGGCGATATACAACCCTATTATCGTTCCTCCTCTACCTCCTCCTCCTTTTCCATTAAATGTGGCAATGAGTGGTGGCGGCGGGATGTCACATGTTCAATCATTTCACTTTCCACCCTATGCATTCATGCCACAACCTTTTGTGCACCAAATAATGCAACCATCCATCATGCAACAAGGTACTGTGAACAATAGTCATAAGAGGACATGTTCTGATGCAACTATTGTGAGAACTAACAACTCATCTTCTTTGGAAAGTTCCAAAAAGAAGAGAAAGAAACACACCATTCCTACCATGCCAGTGATGGCTTCTCCAATCAAATTGGACCATAGAAATACTTATATTGAATATGTACTACAAAATGGAATCATTCCAACCACACCAATACTTATTCATGTATATTCTGTACCTGACAGTCAGTACGAACCTGAGATTGACAAGCTCAAGAAGGCAATGCGCTTATATTCTATTGAAATTACTCTTGCTCCAAATTCTCGAATCTATAACAACCAACGCATTTACATTCCTTGCATTTTTCGGTACATCAAAAAACAAGCAAACGACGACAACAACCCCAAACCATCCATCTATGTACGATTTGACACCTCTGACGAATTTCACTTTCTATATTGTCAAGGCTCCAAAGGTCCGAAAGGACAAGTCTGCAACATGGTGACCATTTCAGAATCACAAGGAAACTCTCGTTCTTTCCGTAAGGCATGTTTGAACCAGTACAAATTCCTTGCATCCACCAATGCTTCTTTTAAGCTTGTCCATCAACCTTGCTCTGCTTCAAGTTCTTCCACCAATGGAAACTTGATCCAGAATAACCAAGAAGCCGCCATCTTGATTGACGGACTAACTTTAGATGCTAATATTCCTCCTAAATACTTAACCAAATAACTGGCCATTATTTGGTACGGCCGTAAGTATTTAGGAGGAATATTAGCATCTAAAGTTAGTCCGTCAATCAAGATGAGGACTTCAACCAAAAAAACAGAGTACAAATGCATGGCAAGCCGTAAAGATTTAATTTAGATGTACATGTGATGTTAGTGGTCTGACGGTCTTTGTGATTTCAAGTGCAGATGCGTTCACCTTACCATTATTCTATTCCTATTCTTGCTTTGTGAGCTTTGCATTTAGGCGTTGTCGAACGGCATACTTTTCCTTGAATCGTTTTATATTGTCCATTCGCTCTAACAGTGAGGGATGAGCGTTGTAATATCTCGAGTACAGTTTGTCAACAATTAAATTATATACATTATTTACATGCATTCTAATTAGTGGTTTTTCAATGTCATAGCCAAGAGAGAGACTGTATTCATCGCTTGAATATTCATAGCTTCGTTGAATGTAGTTCAGTATGACCATGGCAAGGTTGCCCAATGGTTGGTATAGATAAGAAAATAGGCAGAGGCCAACACTTGGCTAAATATTATTGTTGTACATTTTGTGAAGTCGTGTCCATGCTACTTACATCAATAAATCCAAATCCAAAGCTTGAATAAAAGTGTTCATTGTAAATTGTAAATGAAAGAATGAATAAGAATATTCCGAGTGCCAATACTTGAGAAGTTAGAATTTTGATACTATGATTCATCTTGTAATGATGAATTTCGTGAGCTAGAATTGCCAAAATTTCCTCATTGGTTAAATTCAATCCATCCTTGCTGATCAAGTTATCATAGAGTACAATTTTCTTGTTTTTTCCACTGCCCACCATGAAAGCATTGGCGTGTTCACTTCGTTTTGAACCATCCACATAGACAATATCTTTCACATCAATTCCAACAGTCTTGGTCAGTTCTTCGATACTCTTTCGAAGTGGGCCTTCAGGCATTTCTGTAGGTTGGTTTCCATTCATTCCATTAACGTTCATAAATTAAATGTATTTTAATCAATGACAATGGATGACCATCCATTGGTGATTGTGCAAATAAAATTATTAGTAATTTCTGATTTTCAACAGTGCCCCTCACTTACCATAAAAAGTATTGAACATGGGTGCTAACACAATTGGATACAATTCATAAATTCCAACAGAAAGGGCAACACCTCCAAACCAAAGATAAACCCAATGAATTGGGCTACCTGTTATGAGGAGCCATAAAATTAAAAATAATAATGGAATACCAATCACCACGGCCATAATTCCCATCTTGATTTGATCCATAATCCAATTTCGGAAAACAGACATAATGTCTTGCACTCCACTGTCACTGCTATTGTCACTCAAGGAGGCGTCATGGTCCTCTTTTTCATCTTCAGATGTTTCTACGGCTGTTGAAGTCATGAGCTTGTTGGCGATATTTTCCTTGCCAATAATTGATTTTTCATTGAGTTGAGGGCTAGCATGCTCAGGAAGTAGAGCAACCTCCTCTTCATCGGTACTGTATTCATTGTAGTAGGATCCATTCTGGTGATTTTCATCTCCGAAAAACATATTTGCATTATTCACTTGCATGACTCTCCTTCTACTGATTTTATCAAGAGTTTCTTTCTTTAAAAATTCTGTGGATGGATCATTTTCGATCGATTTTTGCAAATCTCTTCGTTCTTGCTTAATCTCAAAGAATTTTCCGTCCAACACAAATATACGATACACTTCAAATGGTGCACGAACGAAAGTGCTCAATAATGAAACAAGAAATAGAAATGTCACACCTCTAGTGATGACATATTCTTCACCGAGGCCAAAAAGTAACATGTTCGTTTTGAGGGCTAGATCGAACATCCAATTCAGAACTCCCGAGAGCAAAATAAATACTTCTGTAATGAAACCGTACGCATTTTCTAATCGAGAAAATCCTAATCTTGTTATACTCTATTTAAATACCATCATGATGAATTATTTCACACACATTTGCGGTTAGAATTGGATTAAATTAATTAATCATCAAACTTACATAATTTCTCATGTCATCATATTCATCTTTGTCAATATAATCTTGCAATTTAGATGGGATATTCGTTGATGTTTTCAAAAGCCTACTTTGCCTGTAATCCAAATAGAGCTCTATAAAAAAAGCAATGGCATTAAAGAGAATGGTGATGGCCAAGAAAGGTAACGGAACCTGTTGAACAATATTCGCCAGTTTGGTTGCATAGTGTGCCACATACAGATGCAACATTTTATTGCTGATAATCTGGTCCTCCGACTATTTTGCAAATCCGATAATAATTTCAAAATTCACCTTCTCTCAAAATTGCTCAAGATGATGAAAATCATTACTGGTTATCACTCACTATTCACACCAATATTAATTTTCGGTTTCAATGATGACGAAACAATCCCGAACTGCAAGCTTCTTGTTTGATTTTTTTTGTTTGGAAGAGTTTGAAAGAAACGGACAGCGCATTCTTGCCGCCAATAATTTACAAATCATTTTTTTGAAAAAATTGAATCATCTTCTTGATATTTGAAAGAGTTGCCATAACATCAATTGAAAATGTTCGGACCTCAAAGACCAACCGTTGTTTTAATCTATGGAGCAGTCGGAAGCAGAAAGGAAAATTTATTGCAAAGTTTGATGGATTCTCAACAGCAATTGCTTGAAAAAACTTCCAGTGCATCAAGCAGCATCCATCGAATGTTGGACGGACTCGAAAAGTTTGTGTTTGTTCCGACAGTTACGGTGGCACCGAAAGATATCGAGCACGATTTTAAAAGGACTCCGAATTGTTTTGAATTCGAGGATGCTTCAAATTTTGCCTCTCGCTTCGCTAGTAATGATTTTGATTTATGTTGGAAGGAATTTCTGGACAAGCAATACAAGTGTTCAAAATCGGAAGCCATCACTATCGATTACATCTATAAGGCCATTCCAAATGTTGAGACAATCTTGAAAGAACATCCATCGTGTCGGAAAGTCATCATTTCCACTTCTAACAGCTCTGGATCTGAAGAGAGTGGATCAGTGTTCAACCCATTGATGGAAGCTATCAAATTGTATAAAGATTCCCACGATGTAAAAATTGTGCTTGTTCGAGCGTCAAGAGAGGTAGTTCAGCAATCTCTAAAGGACAAGGGATGTTACAATCAAGATGAAATCGATACGTTAATGGTGCATCATGAGTACATTGAGAAAGACAAGACAATTAATGATCTTCGAAAATATTTGCATTACAATGGAAATATTCCGCTCACCTTTGTTGACATTACCAACAATATGGAGGCTGATATGAGAAGATTTGTGAATGCTGTCGAAGGCAAAACTGAAGAGGAAAATGAACCATTTTACGAGAGCAAGCACACTGCTCGAGAATACATGAAGACACACAAAGTTAGCGAGTTGCTTCAATATTTGCTGCAGCTTGTGTTGGTAGAAATGCCTTCTGATCCACGACAATTTCTCATTGATAACTTGAAGAAAATTCAGTCCCACTCCTCGAAGAAGATTTTAACGTCCTCAGATTTTGAAACCATGTTCTCCATGATTGATATTAATAATAAGGGCTTTGTGACCTACGACCAAACGTTAAAGACTTTAATCAATCTGAAAGTGGATTCTAAAAGTGCAGAAAAAGCCTTATCAGCATTTGAAAAGAGTTCAAGAATTAATCAGGGTCAATTTGTAGAAATAATTTCCAAGCAATTAGATATATTGAACGGCACTCCTTATCAATAATGCAGAGGCAAAAGATGTAAATATTGAATTAGTATTAAATACTCAATTTGAGCAATGAGATATGCACGTTGTACTAGTACCTACTCAATTTTACCATCATCATATCATGATCATATCATGGAGAACACAAATCTCAAAAGAAAGCACGCCCTCAATAATTTAAATTTCCTCTCCAAGGAAAAGAATTGCTTTGAATGTGCTTCTGCATCAATAATACCAATCACTTTAGAATTGGTTTCATCATAGATTGGCAAACAACACTCTGCTTGCACCATGGTATCACAACTGTAATAGGGCTGACCTGAATCAGATGCTGAATTGACATCTTCCCAAGTCACCACAACTCCATTCAATGCTACAAAAGAATTCGTGGATGCTTTGGCATGTTCTTCATCAATTGGAAAATCTGCCCGACTGAACTTTCCATAATAACTCATCTTGTACAGGCATGAGTGAATGTTTTTATAAATTCCCAACCATTCACACTGAACCTCCTTCTGCAAGGCATTCACAATTTCGTACAATAGATGAATAAATTTTGCAAGTGCAATCACACGATCATCCTTTGGATTTACGTGTTCCATTCCAAAAGCACACTGTAATAAATCAAATTGTTTTTCGTCCTTTGCTCTACTGCAGGCGAAGGCTCCTGGTGTTTTCTTTGGAACGTCATATTTGAATAATTGTAACATTTCGTTTGATGTTGTAATTTTGGAAGCAAATGATTCATCGTTGTGTGAAATGGCGTTGCTAAAAAGGTTGTCAATTTGTTTGTTAATTTCGTTCAGTGATGATGAGATGAGAGAAATATCTTCCGAACTCGTGCCAACTTTGATGAGGTATTCTTCATAGATTTGTTCGTTGATTGGGAGAGGAAGGAGCAAGGACTTTTCAGACATTTTTATTCACAAAAAATCAAAAAATCGAGATTGATATCTGTGAAATAGTAGTTGGTCGATCGTGTCGAGGTAAGCACCAGCAAAGCTATCGCATGTTACCAATACCTAGCTCAGAAATGTCAAGTTTGATGAAAGATACTATCATGAACCGAAATGCAATAAGTTCACTTCTCAGCCAGCGTATTATTCCAATTGAAAATCTTTTTTGATATGCTCATAGGCTGGAATATTAATGAAATGCTTTCCTGTGTGTGGACATGTATAATTTGCTAAGAATCCTGTGGTGTAACAAAACTTTCGTGGTGGATAAATGGAAGGAGATGCTTCAATCGAAAAATAATTCGGATGTGAATTCAAGTGAACTTTGTCCATATTCAATAATACATGGTCTAATTTCCTCCGAACGAACTTTGCCGATTTCTTTTTGGAGTCTTTAGACTCAGTCTTTTTCTTCTTTGATGATGGTTCCACATCTTCGGAAGTATCCTTCTTTTTTTTCTTGGACTTGTTTTTCGGTCTGGTGACATCATTGGTTGTATCCCATACACCTTCTTCATCATCACCTCCAGAAATGATACTAAACTTTCCTGCACTGCCTCCTTTCCTATCAAAATAATTATCTCTCTCGAGTAGTGCAAGTCTAGCTCTCATTGCTTCCCATTGTTTAGCGTCCTCATATGATTTATTTGTACTCGGAGTGTTTCCTCCGACAGCAAGTGTACTGGATGTAGTTGTTTGATCATTCAAGAATTCTTCATCGTCCTCTTCGTCCACATTGATAGCTGGATGAGAACTCCGTTTTGGTGTTGTTGCTTTTGGAGATGAAGTTGTACCTGATGATGCGTTTCCCTTTTTCGATGAGGGTGTTCGTTGTTGTGATGAACGAGTTTTCCGCTTTGGTGCCATTTTTAAATAAAAATTTAAAAAAAATTATTCGTTTGTTTCGCTGATGGCTACCTTATTACGACAATCGTTGAATTCTTCATCTGGGTCCTCTCTTCGCTCCCTTAATGGTAGACCAGTAACGGATTTACTCTCTATTCGGTTCATACGTTCCAATTCATTGATCCTTTTTACTAAAATTAAGGCTTTCATTTTTGATCGAAGTTATCACTCAGCCACATGTTGTTTCAAACATAAAAGCACAACACTGAAAAAGAAGAAAAAGAAGAGTCACACAAATTCTTTTGAAAGCATGTACATACCTCGACCACAGGAGTTCAAACAACGTTATGATGAATATTGCGACTTTACTGACAAATTCGTTGCAATTTGCTCTCAGTTCAACTCCGAATTTCTTTCCCAACACATCGGTGGTCATGAAACTCTCAATACATCATTCGACTCTATTAATCCTAAATGTAACATTTCCTATGTCACAAAACAAGGTCTACAACACATATTTCAGACACTGGAGGCAGGAAGAGATTTCATTCTTTACGACATTAGGGACGAGAGAGACTCGTCTAATGAAAACTATCCCTCCCTCCATGCCAGCGCCAAGAATATTCTGCTCAAGAATATTGGTCACGTATTCCTTCGTACATGTGTTAATACCTCTCTCAAACGATACGCATTTGTCTTGCCTTCTCACGATATTTCAAGCGAGAAGGGCCCGATGATTATTTTGTACAGCGTTTCTTATATGAAGTGGTTGGATAGAGCAGCAGAAATTTTACAAGAATTAGGATGTAAGAATGTTATTGTTTATGCAGGTGGATTAAAGGACTGGTGGAAGAAGCAGGAGGGTTCGGAGTAGAGATTTAATGATGTGTATCAACAAATATCGTAATCTGGATTATATTTCACCAACATTCTGACTTATTGCTTGTCTTTTGCAACAAGACCATCACCGATTGAAGTGTACCTAACATGGAAGTTGTAAAACGTATTTGAAATTTTCAAATCATTCTAACCCATGCTAAATGCTGAAAAAATGTTGAAACGATATTCAAACAATGAAGAGGACGACCAAGATTTCGGGTATGGAGAGGAGGCAGACAATGCTCCACAGAAAACACTTCAAAATAAGAAACGAAAATTGATCCGTTTCCAAAACCGATAAACATGTACGAATGATAATTGTTGATTTTTCAAATTTTTCTGTTTCAAATGATGATAATGATGACTAGAACATATCACCAACGATTGGAATTATTATTAAACAACAAATTCTCAAACAAGCCGGAAAAAAGAAATGGCTTTTGAATCGGGAATTGGAGTATGAGAAATTCTTTCCAGTGGAGTTTATGAATGATCAGCAATTTGTGTTGAATCACATTAAAAAGTATGGTTATGGATTGAAATTTGCATCCTCACAATTACAAGAAGACCGTGATTTTGTTCTGGAAGCTGTTCAACAAAACGGTTCAGAATTACAATATACACATCACAATATTCACAACGATCAAGAGGTGATTATATCTTTTGGAAAACAAGGAATTTGTTTTGCAAGCAGTCTGCCAGAATGGAAATGCTCTGTGGTTTTCTGACCGTACACCATTTCGTCGTGACATTGAGGTTATTTTAGCTCCTGTGGAGCAAAACGGTGATGTGTTAGAGCGTGTTGTGGAACAATTTGGAAATTAATGAAGAAATAATGCTCAAAGTAGTTTAATATTTGATTATTCGAACAAAGAAATAATGCTCAAAGTAGTTCAAAAATTTGGATTTTTGTTAGAATTTGCATCGTGTGACCTCAAGAATGATCGAGATGTGGTTTTGAATACCGTCACAAATGATGGTACTTCATTGTCGTTTGCGTCTGATGATTTAAAGAACGACAAAGAAATTACATTGAGGGCCATTAAAAAAAATGGTAAAGTATTAGAGTTTGTCTCTGAAGAATTGAAGAACGATAAGGATGTTGTGTTAGCTGCTGTAAATCAAAACGGAGAAGCTCTTGAATTTGCATCAACTGATTTGACAAATGATCTAGAGGTGATATTAGCTGCCGTGAATGTAAATGCACGCGCTCTTGAGTACGCATCTGATAAGTTAAAAAACGACAAGGAAGTTGTAATGACAGCTGTGATGCAAAGTGGTTACGCCCTTGCTTTTGCTGATGAGATGATAAGAGGAGATCAAGAGATTGTGTTTGAAGCTATCAAACGAAATAAGTCTGCTCTTAAATATGCTTCAAAGAGACTTTTGAGTGACAAACAATTCATATTGGAGGCTGTCAGACTTGGATGTGAAAATGTTCTACAATACGCCCCACTAGATTTTGCTAATGACAAGGAATTTATGTTAAAAGCTGTCCAATACAACGGGATTGGAGTTCTAGGATACAGTTACGTTAGCCATGACAAAGAACTCGTGTTAGAAGCTGTGAAAAATAATGGATATGCTTTGTATTCCGCAGTCCAAGGATTGCGACATGATTCTGAACTGCAAACGGAAGCACTCAAGACCAATGGTTTTGTTTGGAACTATTGTGACGACTTATTTCTCGAACGAATGCAACAATGTTATTATGGCGCATATTTGGGCACAAGTGGTAAAGTGTGAGAGAAATCTTGCCTTATTATTTATTTAACATGGACTTGATTGAGGTCAACATGGTAGCCATTCTCTCAGCATTTTCTCTTTTCATTTTGGCAGATGGTGAGCTGGTTCTCTTGCTTTCACTTGGATCCTCTGGACAATAACCAATTTCTTGACAACTGACCAAGGGAGACAATTCGTGTTCAACTTCTTGAATAAATGTTGGGAGGTATTGTTCAACAGTGTAGATACAGATAGCTTGATAGGCTGTTGGGACAGTTGTACACACCTCCTCCAATTTTTGAGTGAGTTGTGACATGGACTCATTTTGAGAGATAAATAATTCTGTAAAGATTTTTACACAAGCGTTAAGGGTAAACCACGTTGATTGGTTCGGCAAATATTTAACACAGTTATGTGAACACGTGATTGAAACAACGACATACTAAAACATACCAACTTCATAAACAATCAATTGACACACGTTGCAAATATACTTGGTTCTATTCTCATCCTTCACTTGTGACATGACCAATTTGTATCCTCGGTCTTGTTTTTGACAAATAGTCTTGGGTGAATGATTTGCAATCATTTCACTAAGAACGTGTGGGAGGAAGGAAATGGCCAATTCGTGGCACATGTTCATCATGGTTTGGTTTCTATTGAATGCTGCACTATTTGTACATGTATGGATCAAGTCGTGTTCCATCTCAGAAATGCTCTTCTTCTCTGAGACGAGTTTCTGTGAAGGTCGGGCGTTCACAACAACATTATTCCATCATTTTGAAATCGTGATGACCACAAGCACAATTCAATGGAGCGATGACCATAGAACAAACGAGAGTCTGGTGAATATCAATATCGTAATCCTCCAACTTACATATTGCGCCAGTCCAACAACCAATTGGCAAACCTTTTGTTGTGAATATTCGAGAGGAACGGATGCTCCGTTATAATTATTTAATTGTGCAGAAGCGCATTGTTGAAACATGCTGATGATGATCACCACGACCACCAACATAATATTGAATGAATTTGTTGTGCACAACATGTTGATGATGATGAACACAAATAAATATATTATGAATAATATTGAAAAAAGCGGATGGAAAGATGGTGAGTATATACTACTCTCAGATCAAGAATTCGGTTCTTGTTGATCGTTTTTGATGATGGCGGCTTGAAAGTAGTGTGCTAAAAATCTGAAGAGAACAAAAAAAACGGTTGGCCCTCTGGATAAATGTGTGATTTTGTTTGAAGATGGTATTTCCATATTCGTGCACGAAAGGGCTGGTATTATTATAATTCTTGTTAAAAAATCTCAATCTCATGTTTTATTAATACGCGAGAATGAGGAGCACCGTCTGTTCATAACCAAGAAATATATACAACCATGTCTTCTGGATTAACATGAAATCTAGTCTGTCCAAAACCATGAAGAGCCCTAGTTTTGAAAACTGCAGCACCATTTAAAAAAATATTCCTTCAACAAGAAAATGACGTCGCCGTATCTTTTGCTCTCCGATTTTTTTGCAAAAGGGCTGTGATTATTAACGAGCAGCACATGTATACTCCTCTTGGCCACTTTAAAATTCCCCTACTTTTTTTCACCTAATATTGAATGGCAATAATTTCGAAGGAGATGATAATTGTTGCAATTCCGTTTTGTGATGATAGTAATGAGGAGTATTTTTGTGTGTTTTAGCAAAACGAAATCAGATGCGTTGATTCTGCTCAAGTTATGAGCTCAAGCATAATGAAACCTCAATTTGGAAAAATTTCAATATGAACTAGTTTAGCAAATCACACTTTGAAAAAAATGTCAAAAGTCATTTGTCGTTTAGAAGGAGAGAGCTCATCTCTCAGCTCATCAAACATTGAAAAACTTCTTCTAATACTTGAAGAAAATACATCTTTTGATAGTCTTGTGAAAGATATCAAAAACAAAGCCAAGAATTTAAACTTTACAGACAATGTGTGCAACGATTTCCGAATCAAGTATTTCGACGAAACTGCTGAAGAAGAAGTTTGTATTTCCTCTGATCAAGACGTTAGGGTGTTTTTGGATCAAATTAAAAACCCAAACACAAAGAAAGAAAACAAGGTACTCTCATTCAAAATTCTTTCCCCATCCAACAACAGCAAAAGGGCATCAAGCAATCATGCGTCTGAAGGTGTTATTACTGCAGCGAACAGGACCGGTACAAAGGACTCCAATTTTCCTCGCTCTTCCTTCGGTATCCAAACAATACAGCCACCACAGGACAACCATGATAGCGTTCCAACTTCTCGAAAAGACCTCAACAGTTCAAGACCTGGTGATAAAGTTGAAGAATATCTCAATAAGAGGTATTCATCCATTCAATTCATTGGATCTGGTGGTTTCGGATCGGTATACTCAGTTACAAGCAAAGAGAGCAATTCACGAAGAGCGATCAAGCTGATGAAAATTGAAGATTTTGAAGTTGCCAACACAGCCATGAAAGAATTCCAGAAAATGATTGAATTGAAACATGAAAATATTGTAGCAACATTTGATTCATTTTTTGCGGGAAGTCTTTCAACAATTGGTATTGAAATGGAATTGATGAAGGGAAGTTTGTTTGATTTATTCATCAAAAAACAACAGATTCTTCCAGAAAAGATGATTCTTGATACTCTCTTGCAAACTTGTCTTGCTTTGGAATGCTTGCAAACGAAGAAAATCATTCACAGGTAAGTTCGTCATGGAGAAAACATGTGTATAATTGAGTGTGCATCAATACACATTATAGAGACATCAAGCCTCACAATATACTTGTGAGAAGTTTTGATTTGACGAAACAAGAAATTTCAATTGGGCTTGCAGATTTTGGAATGGCTCGATCCATGGACACAGTACACAAAACAGGTGTTGGAGGTACTGTTCTGTATTTTTCTCCTGAAATTCAACAGGCGTTTGGATTAGAGTCTAAAAAGCCTTCATTTTCGTATTCGAGCGACATGTTTGCATTGGGAGTTACCATTTACCAGCTGATTTCTTTTGATCTAGTTACTTCGTGGGCAACCTTAGTCATGCACTCTAATAATGATGCAATTCGTCAATTCATTACTTCACATATGAAGGCAAATTACTCGGACTTCCTTGTACAATTAATCATGTCCATGATTCGATTGGAAAGCACTGACAGAATTAGTGTGTCACAATTATTAGGAAAACTATCAAAGAAACCACCATCAAAACTACCATCTAAACGAAAGGCAACACATGTTGTCTCTTATCAACAATCTGCTCAGCTCGAGTCTAATCTTGGAAAGACTTACTTGGATCAAAAGAATTATGCCAAAGCTTATGAATATTTCGCACGTGATGCTAAAAAAGGAAACGTTGATAGTGAATTTTATCTTGGATTTTTGTTTGAAAAGGGTTTGGGAGTAAAACAAGATGCACAGTTAGCGTTACAATGGTATGAAAGAGCAGCCAATCATGGTCACATTGAAGCTCAATACGTTGTTGGAACTCTTTATGAAGACAATGGAGAAGATGAAAAAGCGAGCGTGTGGTACAAAAAAGCTTCCATTGGAGGTCATGCATCAGCTCAAAATTGTTTGGGATACATGTATGAATTGGGGTATGGAGTTCTTCAAGATTATGATATTGCTTTTGCATGGTATTTAAAAGCAGCAAATCAAAACAATGTCGATGCACAATATAATCTGGCAAGGTTATATGAAGCGGGATTGGGAGTAGATCCGAATGCATCACTGGCCTTCAGTTGGTACCAGAAAGCAGCTGAGAAGGGTGATGTACAAGCTCAGTATCGAGTAGGATTCATGTACGAAAAAGGAAAAGGTGTGAAAATGAATTACGATAAGGCACTCGAAATCTATACACAGCTCGCTTCACAAGGAGTTCCAGAAGCTGAGAATCGTCTTGGATTCATGAACGAAAAGGGCCTTGGAGGTTTACCTCTAAACTATGTTGTGGCTAGTGAATGGTATCAAAAAGCGGCTTCCAAAGGAAATGCCAATGCACAATTTAATCTTGGATACATGTACGAGAAAGGGTATGGTGTATGGCAAAGTTATGACCAAGCCATTCTATGGTATACGGAAGCAGCAAAACAAGGACATTTGGATGCTCAATATTATCTGGGTGAAATGTATGAGAAAGGAATTGGTGTTGACATTGATTACATAGAAGCCGTGAAGTGGTACAAAGCATGTGCATTGCAAGGAGATGCAGAAGCACAGCTTTGCCTTTGTGACATGTACTACAAAGGATTAGGCGTGGAAAAAAACGAAACTACTGCCTTTTATTGGTGTATGAAATCTGCTGGGAAAGGAAATGCCCAAGCTCAAAACTTTCTTGGTTACATGTATGACCATGGAATAGGAACGCAAGAGGATCAATATCAAGCTTTTGAATGGTATCAGAAATCGGCAAAACAAGGAAATACGTCAGCACTTATTAATTTAGGATACATGTATCATTATGGCCACGGTGTTACTCAGAGTTATGAAAAAGCTTTTGATTTGTATTCGAAAGCAGCAAATAAGGGAGATGATATTGCCTTATTTAATATTGGAGTCATGTATGAGAATGGAGAAGGAGTTGAACAAAACTCACTGATAGCACGAGAATGGTATGAAAAGTCTGCCAATAAGGGAAATGCAGATGCAAAGGCAAAATTATTGAATTTCTCAACAATCATAACCATAACTCCAGAAGAATCCGAAATCACAACTCCAGCCAAGACCAAAAAATCAAAGTTCAGTTTGCGATCCTTGTTTCACAGAAGGAGCAATCTTGCAGAATAAATTGGTTTGATCAACGGAAAAAAAATGTCATCAAATGCTTCTTCTCCTGCTTCCTTGTCATCTCTCTTTCGAACAAGAGTACAAGCACTTCCAGTTCCAACCAATATTCAAACGCAAGTGGTGAAGAACCACAACAATTGTACTATCCGATTGCATGTGTCTCTTGCCGTCGTGGTCATAGGTATGATTTTTGTGTGAACAACATTTGAATTTCTAACGAATTATCAATACGGAACCATCCATTCATTTCGGAATTTATTTTTGAATTTTTGATGATTGACTTTTGGCAACTTGTCAATATTTGAAATTCATGGACTCAACAGAAAATGTGATAGAAAACTGCCATCATGCACTGATTGTGCTCAAAAAGGTAAAGAATGCAACTATCCTGATCAACTCAAACGAGGACCACAAAGATCACAACCCTACAAAGTCTCCTTCACAATGCACTCTGTGAACTACCCAAGTAATAATTCCAACTCCACTTCTTCGAAAACTTCTTCAAAAAAGAAAACATCTAACACCACTATTAGCATAACTTGACGGTCGATAACAATCAAATCATAGACCAAGTTGTTAAATCTACCAGTTCGAGCAATGAAGTTTCTAATGAATCAACAAATGAAGAACAAAGTGTCAACTTTCAAATTGTTGACATGTATTTTGATATCGTCAGCTTGGGTTGTCCTATTATTCAGAGAGCCACCATGCTTGACATTATTGCAAAGAATCCACAGAATGAACAAGTTCCTGAAAATGTTGCACTACTGTATGCTATTCAAGCCAACTGCTTTCAAAATTTAGGCAAAAAACAAGATGGAAGGAATGCATTCCTCACAGCACGCAAATACTTGTCACAAGTTTTTGACCTGTTGGATAACTTTTCAATTGCTGGAGCATTTCTCTATATGGGATTGTTTTGCTTGAGTGAAGGAGAGCTTGCACAATGTCGGTACTATCTTGGAAGCGTTCAATTCTTTATTGATAGAAACAAAGATCGTCTTGCTGATAATTTACAATTTATTTATTTATGCAGATCATTACTATATACGAAATTACAACTAGATGAAGCCGAGTCTTTAGAGGTCTTGAACAGAGATTTAGATTTCACAAAATCTTCACATCTTGATGTGGTTGTGAGCTCAGAAAAATTCACACAGCAAGTGTTCCACATGAAGAAAATGATGGATTTCTTTTTATACATTTCACAACACATGAAAGACGGTGATTGTGGCCTGTCGGGCTTGAAAATTCCACAACCTCAATTTTCATCGAGTGCAGAGGAACAAGCAATCATGGCGCATGCTCAAATGATCCTTAAGCCTCAAGCCCAATTCAATAGAGTACGACAAGAGAAGTCACTTGTCAGCGCTGCTTTGACCAAGCTCATGTATTTGTTGATGGTTGAAGGAGTTCGTTTAGGAATACTTTCTAAAACAGCATCCGAGGCGGAAAATGCTATTATTGAAACTGCGAATAGAATTTCAGAGCTGACTACTGTTTCCTATTTCCCGTATTTACCTGCTCACGTTCATTCAACAGTCATGAACGCAGCAAGAGTTCATTTAACGCTTGTTCAACAAATTGTAAAAGGGTTGCGACCAAATGAAACAGAAATATCACTCGCAAAATATTATGACTATTTAAGAAGCGATCTAAAAGCTCTAACTCAAATGGCACAACGATTTTCTATTGTTGAAAAACGTGTCAAGAATTTACTACCATGATTCAACAAGAACTGAGAAATCGAGAATTACAAACTGAGTGGCAATTACAAACATTACTTCATCAGCAACAACATCAACAAACTTACAATCAACAGCATCAGCAACCACAAGATACATTCCAACAAATTTTAACACAGTTCACAGAAGCCACGACAAGTCATAATAATACTGTTAGCCATGGAAATAATGCTTCCAACATGTCGCCATCTTTGATGAGTGCATTCGGAGCTGCCACATCCTATTATCATACTGAAGGAAATACAAAACAGCAACTCGCTCAACAATCTTCCCATACATCTACAGATCACCAGCAACTAGCATTCACCGAGTTCAACAGAGAAGAATTTACGATTCCAGAAGATCAAAATGCAGTTCATCAAATCAGTGAAATAATGGGATTTACTGAGACAGTGACGCCAGCAACCTCTTCTTCCAACATGGATGATGTGAGCACTTTCTTTTATGATGTCTTGACGTCACCTTTAAATATTCACTTATTGCCTTCAACAATTACTGAAGAAGACTCACAACAGCCAATTGTTTCTGTGTTTAGTTCTAATTCTACAGTTGAACAAACACTCTCAACTGCTCTGAGCCAAGAAAATTATTATACTGATCCATATCAATCAGATTTGTTGTTGGAATAGATTAACCGTGAAGTCGTCATAAGTCGAGTGAAGAAAGTATCAGTCAACAATAGCTGAGAAGACTTATTGTTTAAGGTGCAGATGGCCATTCAAGAGCTTGTTTAAACCTATTGAAAATAGAGAGCATGTAGCACGCTTCGAATACATTTCAATTTGTCAAATAGCAAATTTTCTTCGTGAACAACAGTAAGTCTGACGCAAATCAACCAATTATTTGCAAAAGACATTATTTCATCATTTCAGGGAGCGTGATTCGTGTGCTCATGTTGGTATCAACCATTCTCATGACTAAATCAATTAATTCAGCACTATATGTAACTCTTTGATTTGTCAAAATATCTTTACGAAGAGCATCAGGTTGTTTACAAAGGGCTGTAATGTCATTTTGACAGCCTGTCATTAATTGATAAATAGTGACACCCAACGCAAAGATGTCTGAAGCAGTAGAATAATTATTACTATCAAAAATCTCAGGAGCTATAAATCCCATTGTACCTTTGATTTCAGATTTTTGGTTCATGTAACATTTCAAATCCTTTGCCAAACCAAAATCAGTCAAACAAACGTGAATTTCATTCGATACTAAATTGACCGATTTGACCAAGATGTTGTCTGGCTTGATATCTCTATGAACAATCTTTTCTTTTGAAATGACAGAGAGAACATTGATCATTTGTGAAATAATGGACCAAATAATTTCTTCAGAGGGCACAATGGAATCTTTTCTGCAGAACATGGTGTGTAAGCTTCCATATTCCATCAAATCCATTTCAATGCACAAATCCATGTTGTCAAGAAGGAAAGCACAGTGAACGCAAACAATGTTTTGATGCATTGAGGATAATTTGACAGTTTGAAATGCCTCCTGTAATCCCTGATTGACATCAAAACCATTGGTTGGAGAAATGATCTTCAAGCTCTGTAAACATTTTCACCCTTCAATTTAACTTGGTAAACTTTTCCAAAACCCCTTCTCCTAAAAATTGATAATATCCTTCATATCGGGAGTACAATACATTTTCTTTGTTGGTAGGAGTGGCACAATTGTCTACATTTGAATGAGTTGCAGATACAAATATTGCTGAACTAATTGTTGAATATGTGAACGTTTGTTCGTCGTTCTGTGTTACAGGTGTTGCAAAGAAAGCAGTGGTTTTTGATGTTCTTCTTGAGGGTGATTGTGGAAGTTCGAGAGGTGGTGGAGTGAGTGTTTTTTTGAGTTGTTGTGAATTTTTGGTCTTCTTGACACTCCTTACTTTCCGCCATGCAATCATGACAATGAAAATAAAAGAAATCAAACCTCCGAGTAAAGACACACCTCCAATTACGCCTCCAACGATTGCACCTGTTGGTGTTGTTGGATTATTGCTGTCGACAGATACGGTATTACCTCCACCATTAGTACTTTCTTGAACTGAGCAATCTAACCTTTCCAACCCCAGTGACAGTCGCACGTGTTGTTGGACTTGCAAGTTCCATGTCCAGAGCAGTTTTGAAGCTTTTCACAAGACGGTTTCGAACATCCCTCACTTCCTTTCCAACCACTTTGACAGGCGCATAAATTATTCGAAATACAGGTTCCATGGTCAGTACAGTTATTCATTCCATCACATGAGAACATGGAACAATCACTACTTCCTTTCCATCCTGTTTGGCATGTACATTCATTAGGTCCCGTGCAAATACCATGTCCATTACAATTACCCAAAGCTTCACATGAAGACTCTGAACAATCACCTTTTCCTTTCCATCCAGATGGACACAAACATGTGTTTGGTGCAGTACAAGTTCCTTTTCCACTACAAACATGTGCTAAATTTGAAGGGACTCCAAAACAAACGTCAAAACAATCCAATTCTGTTTTGTTGTAGAGCTGTCCAGAACCACAATTGGGAATGAGAGTTCGAATGGCATTGTTGAAGTTATCGGAAATGTAAATCGTACCGCTATTGTTATCCACAACAGCTCCATATGGCCAATAGAGTTGTGCTGCCAAACTATCACCTCCATCTCCAGAATAACCTGTTGAACCAGAAATGCCAGCAATTGTTGTTAATACCGACTGAGGATAACTATATATAGAAATGGTGTTTTGGAACCAGTTGGGCATGATGATCTTTCTCTCATTATCTGTGACCCAAAAATTTTGACCAACCATTCTTGAAGAGGATTGAATGACCGTGGAAATGACTCCATACGTGTCTACCTTTCTTATTGCATTGACTTCATGATCAAAATAAGAAATGTAAACATTTCCTGAAGGTGCAACTCTTACACTTGTTGGATAACATAATGAAGCAAAAATTGCAGGTCCTCCATCGCCTGACATGAAGAATTGTGAGCAAATTGAATAACGTCAGTCCACACATAAATTGGATTACAAATCATGATTCACCTACCATCAGAACCAACTTGGCCGTTACCAGCAATGGTTTGTATGTAACCATTGTATATCATACGAATTCTGTGATTGCCATGGTCGGCAATATAAATCTTTGAATTGAATACATAAATTCCACGTGGAAAAGATAATTGGGCATTGACAGCTGGACCTCCATCTCCAGAAAAACCAGACACGCCAGTCCCAGCAATGGTCACAATGGTATTACCTGGGTAGACCACTCTAATTTTATGATTACCATTGTCTG